CCTAACCCTAACCCTAACCCTAACCCTAACCCTAACCCTAACCCTAACCCTAACCCTAACCCTAACCCTAACCCTAACCCTAACCCTAACCCTAACCCTGAGTATTATATTATAACCTAATAACACTTAGTTACATTAGCAGGCCTTAGAAAGGATATACTATATTCTAAATAATTAACTAAAAGAAAGTAATTACTATACTATAAGTAATTACTCCTGCGCTCACTAACACCATCCCAGTAATTACTATAGTAATTACCACTATAACTATAATTATACACAACTAGACTAAATATATAAGTTTACTTCTCTACACTTATTTAAATAACTTAAATAGCTAGTTATTAATATAAAATTAAGATTACAACACGCTCTATACTTCTACTATCTAGTGACATTATTTACTATTACCTATATTACTTATCAGGTTTCCTAACCGCTCCGCTAACATAAACCCAGAATCATCTACTAGGTTTATCCCTTGGGAATCTACCCTATATTAACTTTCTAGTGTACAGTTTATTACAAAAGTATATTATAATCTTAATTCTATATTAATAACTAGCTATTTAAAACTATTTTTAAGTAAGTGTAAAAAGTATATATATATCCTATTATTTACTAGTGTTTACTTTTCTAAAGTAAATATTATTTATATTAAAAATCTATTTACTAGTATTTACTTTCTTAAAGTAAATATAATCCTAATTAGCTATATTAGCTAAAGGTTTCTTTATTATATATACCCTATAGGTTTATTTATTATAACTATAAGTTATTAGGTTATAATAGAATATCTTTAAGTAATAGTACTTAAAGTAGGTTTATAATTTATTAAGGAATTAGTAAAGTTTAGTAATATTTTTATTAAACTTCTTTAGTTATTTAATTTTTAAAACTTTTTTTAGTTTTAGTTTCTTATTTATAGGAATAGCTAATACTATAATAGGTGCTATAATAAGTGCTACCTAGGGGGCTACCTTTAGTAAGTTACTAAGTTATTATTATAGGTTATTAATAGTTTATTAATTTATTTACTATTATATATATAAGTCTTGGATTATATATTTTATATTTTTTATATAAGTTCTAGCACTTTATTCTTATTACTTATATTATTTATATTCTTATTTAAGAGCTTTTATTAGAATATTTTACTAGTTATAAGCTATCTTTACTAATATATCCTTAAATTTAATAATATTACTTAACTAGTAATTACTTAGGGCTTAGCTCTTATAATTAATATTATATTCTAGGATATTAAAGGTTAGTATTTATATTTTTTATTTTATATTACCTATAAGGTCTAGTAATTATTTAAACAAGAGTTATTAATATATAATAAACTATACACTAAATAGTTAATATAAGGTAAATTCCCAAGGGATAAACCTAGTAATAATTCTAGGTTTATATTAGTAAAGCAGTTAGGAAACCTAATAAGTAATATAGGTAATAGTTTAAATAATATTACCAGATAGTAAAAGTGCAAAGTGTGTTATAATCTTAATTCTATATTAATAACTAGCTATTTAAGTTATTTAAATAAGCATAAAAAAGTAAACTTATATATCCAGTCTAATTATATATAATTACAGTTATAGTAGTAATTACTATAGTAATCACTAGGATAGTGTTAATAAGCGCAGGAGTAATTACTTATAGTGCAGTAATCGCTTTCTTCTAGTTAGTCATTTAGAACATAGTATATCCTTTCCAAGGCCTGCTGGTGCAACCAAGTGTTGTTGGGTTGTGACATTATCCTTAACCTTGGTCTTAAGGCTCCTGTAATATACTTCTTTCTTGCTATCTTTGGTCTAGTTAACCTAGGTCAAGAGTTATATGAATATGGTTATGTGTTTGGACAAAGGTCCTTTTTGCTTAATTAGACAAAGGTTGCATTCTGCTTCCTGCTCCTTGTTTGATGTTCCGAATGATTTTTTGAGCTGATCGCGGAAGTCTTGGTGGGATTTGAAGACTTCTTGGGTTTGGTTCTTCCAATCTTTTGAAGCGTTTTTCTCGAAGTCTTGCATAATGGGTCGTGACCATTCTTCGGCTACTCCGGTGAGGCAGGTGATTGCGAAGATGGTTTTGTCTTTGTTATCCTCCAAGGTGTCCGGGAAGTATCCGAATTAGATAGTGAGCTCTGTGAAATATTTTCCTATCTTTTTTGGTTCTCTGTTATAGGAGTTGGGGCGCTTGGATTGTAAGACCTTGCCCTTCTCTTTTTTCTTGGTCCTGAGTATGGCGATTTCGGCTTCAAGGGCCAGAATTTTCTCTTGCTATTGCTTAGTTATAATCTCTTGTAGAATTAGTATTTTACTAGGTTAAGCTATATATTTTGCTTTTTTGGATGAGGTACAAGCTGGGCTAGATTCTAAATAAACTATCTTAATATTACTAGTACTTTGCTTTGAACTAAATACTTCTTCTATTTCTTCAAGGGATTTACCTGATGTCTATTGGTAATCAATTAGTTGGCAGTTTATATATATACCAATTGTTGAACTTACCTCGCGAAGTATGAAAAAAGAATAAACTACCAGAGAGAAATTAAAGATTGAAAACATAAGGAATGTCTTCCAGCCGAGATTGTTAATAGCATGTGGCGTGATTTGCGAAAGCATGAAGTTGAACAACCATTGTGCAGCAGCTCCGGTTGCGATTCCAAATTCCCTAGTGCGAGTTGGGAATATCTCACCTAGATAAAGCCAAGACACGGGGCCCCAGGACAAATTGTAAGATGCGGCCTCGCAGTATACCATGATGATCGCGGCGATAGACGAGCCGGTTATCTGACCGGTGGGTGGGGCCTTCGCAACAATGATGGCAATAATGAGCATTAGGATGCCCATCGCTGCCGCACCGCCCATGAAAGCTGTCTTTCGCCCAATCCTTCCGACGACAAAGATGCAGAAAACAGATACGGAGACAACTTTGACAACCCCGAAAAACCCCGTGACAAACAGAGAGGAGTTGCCCGCGCCGACAGCGGCGAAGATTTGCGGAGCATAGTACGCAAGGGATGTGTTCCCAGTAAGCTGGACACCGAGCTGCATGCTGATAATGACGGAGACACGGAACCGATTTACTGGCAGTAGAAGCTCCTTCCACGAGACGCCTTCGGTAAGGCGGGACTCCTCGTCAAGACTAGAGCGGATCTCCTCAAATTCGGCCTGTACCTCAGGACTATCACCGCCGCGAACCCAGATAAGATTGGCCAAGGCCTCTTCGTTTCGTCCCTGCTTTGCTAGCCATCGGACAGATTCCTTCACGAGGAGCATGCCCAGGCCGATGAGACCACCCGGAACGAGTTGGAGTCCAATAGGGATCTGCCATTGCAGGGTGCTGGACGGAACACGGGTCTGGACTGCGTAATTGACCCTATAGATAGGTATAAGCGCCGTACACTCAGGCCTTTGAAACAGAGAGATTGGGTGGCCATACCAGTAGCTGACACACACGCCAAGGGCAAAGAATAGCTGGAAGCAGGATCCAAGCTGACCGCGCATGTTCTTAGGTGCCATTTCGGCAGAATACATAGGCACTAGGACGGTAGCGGCGCCCACGCCAAACCCGGAAATGACTCTACCGGTGTAGAAAGCACCGATGGAGTGTGTGTTGACGACCTGGAGGATTCCGCCGAGGCTGAAGATGGACGAAGCTAGGACGATGGACATGCGTCGTCCGTAATGGGCAGTGAATGGCCATGTCAGAAAACAACCAAAGAACGCGCCAGCCTGAAGGATAGAGACACAGTTTGAGTTGATGCTTGTCGACTCAGCCTTGGTATATCCGAAATCATTTTGAAAGGCCGACAGTGTCAAGACACCACCTAACGGACTCAACAAACTGGATATGCGATAATGTGTCAAGGCTAACTAACCAACAATTCCAGTGTCATAAGCGAACAAAAAAGACCTGTATTGGATTTGTAAGAGCGTCGTTCTGGAGTTTATGTGAGCTTGAGACGGTGGATGAACACATACCCGATGCAGCAAAGCGACACAAGATAGATGGCACGGAAGTTGCCCAGCGAATAAGTAAAAGCCATAATGTTGGTTTGAGAAGCAAATCTCCAGCTCAAGACGAACCCAGTTGATCGCATGGGAGATGGAGGGAGATATGTAACATCTTATTAGAGTTTTGACTCTCGTCCCATGGGGCCCCAGATTGTGTCAAATGGAGCCCCAGATTGTGTCAAATGGAGCCCAAATTGTGTCAAATGGATGGAGTCTAGAATCTGGGGAAGGTGTACGATTCAGGTGAGCCCGATATCCGAGCATTGACTTTAGCTTCGGAGATCTCGCCAGCTACACGGCACTTTCGTCCACAAATGCCCCCACGTGGGGCTGGTAAAGAACTAAACAGCTCCATCGGATATCGCGCGATATCCGACAGCATGTCGGCCTGGAAGCATTGGAAGAAAGCTCTTTTAATGGCGTGACTAGGTATTATGTGAAGATTAAAAAAAAAAGAAAAGGATAGGGCACTCCGAAAGGGGTATATAATATGATCAAGACATGCAAAAGCGGGTGTTTTCCACAACTTTCCCCTCAACTTATCGTGTCATCGCGACCTCCTTTCTACGGTGTGACAGGACTCAGTGCAGAATACCATGGCATCAACCGCGACCGAAACCAAAAGGCCGAATTTCCTAATCATCCTCGCGGATGACCTGGGATTCTCAGACCCCGCATGTTTTGGCGGAGAAATCAGAACGCCCAACATTGACCGCCTAGCAGAGGAAGGCGTTCGGTTCACAAACTTTCATGCCGCAGCAGCATGTTCGCCTACGAGAGCCATGATCATGACTGGCACCGACCACCACATTGCCGGTCTGGGGAACTTGGTCGAGTGGTCAAGGGCTTCAGCTCAAGCTGCTGGGAAGGGCAAGGTGGTATCCACCGCACCCCAGCGTGGTTAGTAGCTCATTGTCGTTTCCATAAACAGAAATGTACTGACCCGGTATTGTAGGAATGCCGGGCTACGAAGGTTATTTGAATGAGAAAGTGGTGGCTCTTCCCGAGATTTTGCAACTGGGTGGCTATGAAACCTTCATGTCTGGAAAATGGCATTTGGGCATGACTAAGGAGCGCTCACCCACCGCGCGCGGCTTCGAGCGTTCTGTCGGAATGCTTGCGGGATGCTGCAACCATTATGCCTATCAGCCGCCAGGGTCGTATGTCTGACTTTCGCTACTCCCGCTTCCCACTTGGCTAATCCCCTCTAGGGAGAATGATATGCCTGGTTTCATGCAGACCTCACATATTGCTGTACACCTCGAGGACAATGAATACCTCAAAAGCCTGCCAAACAACTGGTATTCATCGGACTACTATACCGAAAAGATGGTAGGATATTTGAAAGATCGTGCAGAACGGAAGGACGAGAGGCCGTTCTTTGGATATCTTGCGTTCACAGCGCCCCACTGGCCGTTGCAGGCTCCTCAGGAGCTGATTCAGCACTACCGAGGCCAATACAAGGATGGACCCGAAGCCCTGCGACAGAGCAGGATGAAGCGAATGATCGAATTGGGACTAATGGACCCCAATACCCAGCCACACCCGGTCGTTGCGGACGAGGTTACAGAATGGGAAAACATGACCGAGGAGGAGCAGGCCAAGAGCTCAAGAAGCATGGAGGCCTTTTCCGGCATGGTCGAGGTAACTACCTGTTTGAGTTCTTACTGAAACCGTCAGCTAATCTTGCCTAGTCCATGGATATGAACATCGGCAAGGTACTGGACGAGCTAGAGAAGCAAGGAGAGCTTGATAACACCTTTGTGATCTTTCTCAGCGACAACGGCGCAGAGGGCGCGGCATATGAGGCATATCCAATGATTCGCGGTCCACTTCTCGAGCATCTCGAGAAGTATTACGACAACAGCCTCGAGAACATTGGAAATGCCAACTCCTTTGTCTGTAAGTGGCCTACTCGCATTGCGTGTCCTCTTCTCTATCTAACCATTCCAAGGGTACGGTCCACGGTGGGCAATGGCCTCCACGGCGCCATCTCGTCTATACAAAGCATACCCGACTGAGGGTGGGGTTCGCGTGCCTGCTGTCGTGCGTTATCCGAAATTCAAGAAAGAGGGAATCTCGGACATATTTGCCACCGTCATGGATTTGGGACCAACTATTCTTGAGATGGCTGGCCTGACCCACCCGGCACCGGAGTGGAAAGGCCGAAAAGTGGTCGACATGAGAGGCAGGTCCATGACCAAATGGTTCAACGGAAAAGACGAGACTGTTCATGAGAAAGATTTCGTCCAAGGGTGGGAGCTTCTCGGCCGTGGTGCTATCAGAAAGGGAGACTGGAAGGCAGTTTTCATCCCCAAGCCAAAGGGTACCGACAAGTGGCAACTATACAACCTGGAAAAAGACCCAGGCGAGGTCAATGATCTTGCTGAGCAAGAGCCAGAAATCCTAAAGACACTACTTGTGCTGTGGGATCAGTACGTATTAGAGAACGGCGTCATTCCAATGCAGCCCGAGTTAGGCGAGTATGTCGAGGCTCTAGAGGAACAGATGACGGAACAGGGTTGGATGGAGTACGAGTTCTGGCATCCGGGTGCGATTCAAAACCCAGAGAAGTTCATTAAGAAGCCACCAAGGTTCCCGAGTCAACGTCCGCAGAAGGCTGCTTGGATGGATTAGCTATCAAGCTCGGGAACTAGGGCTGTCAAATGATGCCAAGATACAATGATTCTCTCACTAGCCAAACCTAACTGTATACTTTAACGGCAATAAATCAACCGGTGCTAGGTCAGCGGTCCAAAGTATGCATCGAACAATGGCTTTTCACGGCTTGTAGACAGTTATAGTTCCTTTTTAGAATAATACTTGTTTCAGCGCCCTAGGTCGCGAGAAAGTCTCCTAGAGCAGCGTAAAATACCTTCGAAAAGATACCACGGTAGATGAAAAAGCCTGCTAAATATAGAGAGGTCGCTTATAGCTGCCAAAGGTAAAGCATAAAGCAAGTATCCAGCCCTTCACTCGAGACAAGGTCAGACCTTAATCCTAGTGCAGTGTGTACAAGAGGCGTACCTGCGGAATCTGACGCACTAACCTTATCTGCAGGTTACTAATGCTGGTACTAAAAGTAGTATTTTTAGTTCTGGCCGGTGCATTTCGATGATGCTGCTATGGTTTTTGGTTGTTTTTTTCGGGTGGTTGTCCTTCTCTCCTCCTTAGTAGCAGGATCGATCCGATCACTAATATCTTCTTTCGCTCCTACCTTGGAATGGCGGCCTTAGCTTATCCCTTATTAAAGATGGCCTTAACCACTTGAAAAGGAGTTAGATCTATACAAAATCAAACCGGGGAGGGCCAGACACGTGACTTCCAGATATCCTCCATGTCATCTGACTGTCACTAGTGCAATCCCTATCCTCTCGCGACACGATTTAGTTTCTGATATACGCCAGCTCAGCACCGAGATAGCGTGTGCGCTCGAGAAACTGCATACGCAATTTTCAATGATAGACTAGGAATCATGGCTAGTAAGAAAACACGTCTACTCGTTTCTTATGCATGGGAAACCACGACTGACAAATTTGGAGGTTGCGTCACTTGCCGCCAGAGAAAAGTCAGTTTGAACACCAAAGGCCTACCGGATATGGAGTCTGACGAGTCTGTAGGTCAAATGTGATGGAAGACCGGGGCTGTGTCGCCGCTGTGAAAAATTGGGCATTCAGTGTCTATCGAGAGGTTGGCTGTAGTCTTTCCACGGAATGTGCTGAGAATAACTAATCACAGCAGGGTCGCCCCTCTCTCCACAAAGCACAGACTCGGTAGCACGGGCCTCGAATTTAACTCAGGCTGGCCACAAGCGTCTGCGGATTCCAATCGCGTGCGAGACATGTCGAAAGAAGAAGCTCAAGTGCGACGCTCAGAAACCCGCATGCTCCTTTTGTGTGCGGAAACAATCGCAATGCCTATATGTGACAGCTGGTCGGCGATGGGGCGAACTAGACAGCAAGATCTCGCCGGGCCTGGGATATGCACCTTCAGAGAGCTCAGAACAAGCCGCCGAGCTGCCAAGGAACTCACCCATCAGCCATGATACGGCTGAGGCGGGGGAGACGACTTTCTTCTCTAGCCATGCTGCAGAAGAACAGTTCTCCAGGTCTCCGGGAAGAGTCAGTCAGTCTGATGTATCGGCATCAGAAAGAGGTTCTGAGAGGCGGGCGAATGAAATGAGTGTGAACTCTGCCCAGAGCCCACGATCGGCTCCATCCGAGCCACAAATGCGCACGTTGGGAATTCCTTCGGGCCCAGAACTGCTACCATACCTGGATTCTCTCTTGGAAAATGTCCACCCAATCAGCTGTAACAACTTTTTGCATCCAGGCTACTTGTGTGAAGGCCTTGACCGAGCATCGGCCTTGCTACTGCTGGCTATTTGTGCTTCGTCATCCAAATTTCTTCCTGGTTCCAGCAGCCGTGGGAACGGACTGAAATGGGCAGCAGAAGCGAGGAGCTTGATCATGAGCAACTTTGACCACATTTCAACGTTGACCATCTCAGCGGTGCAATTTCTTGTTTTGCACGAGATGCACGAAGGAGAATATACCTCCGCATGGAATTTAGTTGGTATGGTGCCAAACTGCCTCGAGTCATCGTTGAAGTGGCACTGACATTTTAGGAATCGCTACTCGAATGTCGATGCAGCTACAGCTCTATGAGCCCAACTCACCGGGGACATTTCTGCAGCAGGAGTGCCGGCGTCGCCTAATGTGGGCGGTGCTGGTATCTGATCTCCTTTTCGAAAGCAACAGTCGTATCGACCTAGAACTGCTGATGGATGTACCCTTACCGTGCAATCTATGGAGCTTCACCCAGGGACAGCCTTGCAGGACTCTGACTCTTCGTCAACTTCGCGGCGTGGTTGAAGATGAGGCAATAAAGCAGTCCTCCAATCACTGTGCATACCTGATTAACATTCTGGTGATTCGGCGCAAAATTTTAACGTGTGTCCACTTCTTATATGATCCTGCTCTTAGTCGTTTACATCTAACTGTAATAGTTACATTCAAGAAGCCCGGGACTCAAAGATGGACTTGCCTTGGCTTCCAGGGTCTTACTTCTCCATGCTATGTGAAGAGTTAGAAATATGGAGGCGCAACCTACCTGCTAACTATGCTTTTGTTGAGCGTTACATGTACACTTTCAGAGTCAGCCGGCATCTCGATATCTTTCTCATGATCCATGCGTATTATCACCAATGCTGTATCATTCTATTTGGCGCCTTCGTTCCCGAAGATGTAGGCTCAAAACTTCAACGCTCTGTGGCGCAAATTCCTCCCGAGTTCATCCAGACTTGTTCAGATCGGTATGTCTCACATGCTAGAGATATTCCGTTCCTGATACAGAAGGTCTTAAAAGTCGAGCCGGATCATCTGTTCCGTGATCCGTGGCTCGGTCTTTGTATCTGGGATTCGACATCTGCTCTGCTCGCGTCAACTAGGTGGCAAGAAAATAGGAATTCTTACAGGGATGATATCACGGAGTTAGTGAAGTTGAATCTGCGAGCTCTGGAAAACTCTATGCCAATTATAGTCCTGGCTAAGAAAGTCGTGGGTGATGCCAGGCCACCTGATTAGTCCTTCATTGCTAACGCATTCCAGCATGGATTTTGTTGCGCTGCCGCCAGAGCTTATGACATCGAGATTCCCAAGGAGCTTTCTGTGGAGGATATGGAACGGTATAGTCTACTTTGTTGCACTTTCTTTTTCGAGGTTCTTATACCATTAATAGGGCACCATTCGAGCCAGGGCCGCTTAATGCAGCTGATGGGATATCTCGACGATATCCGTTCTTTTCCACTATGAAATCTCAGGATTCACCCGAATGGGACCAATTATTTCATGCTACTAACGTCGGCAATTACGCAGCTCCTACACGGCCATCTGTATCGACCCCCTCTCGACCTCTACATTCAATTCCCAGACTAGGTTCATTAACATTTCAACCTAACCAGACTCTATCGATTACTGAAGAGCTTTCCTACTTACACACTCCCAGTATGCCAATGTTGGCCTCCTGGCCTATGGATGATTTCCAGTGGTGGCAAATCCAAGATCCAGATATGGATCCAGTAGCAGTAGCAGCAATTACTGGCCTTATACCTTCTATCCCAGCAGATTAACAACTACTTTATTACTAATATAATAACTGTTATAACTTAACTTTTAATAACTAGAATATAATATATAAGTGTTAGGTCGTAACAGTAATTCTTAAAAAATAACTTACTTCTAAACACAACTAGGTGATAGCGAGGTAGAGATTATCATCCCCGTATCGCCGCCGAGACAATCAGCCACTTCTCAACGCAGTCGCCGTCGAACTGAGACCGCTACGGTAGCATCGAGAGAATATGATGCGCCTACGGCTGTGAACCGTCCCGCAGTCGTCGAGGGTACGGCAATGACACAGGCATCCTCCGCAGCACTTGATTCACAATTGAGGCACTTGATTCACAATTAAGGAAGGACAAAGCGGAGCGGCGGCGGCGGCGGCGACCAATTGCCAGAGCCACCTCTAGCAAAACAGCCAAGGGCAAGAAGCACGCGATTGCTGAAAGCGGGCATTCGTCGGACAGCCTTCGCGGAGCAAAGTGAGCGTTGTGTTATGCTGATGAAATTGATGAAAGCTCAAATGCAGATGAGGGCCAGTGCTGTAAAAGAAGGGTCACGGGTGAGCAGGCTCGTGTGGAGCAATTTCGTCGAACATTATCAACACCGCCGCCACCATCAATTTCAGATGGGGAAAAAAGGCTACCTAACGATAGCGACTATGAGGCAACCATGAAGTTGTCGATCCACCCGAATACAAATAGTGCAGAGCATCATCACGAGGCGAAGAAGACATGCCAGAACAGAAGGGCTGCCGATGAGTGCATGAACCAAGTGGCTTGAGGCCTCTCACGATGAGACTCTTCGGAGCGAATGGCCTATACAAAGTCTCGAAAGATGAATGGCCACTTCTCGTGCAGTTGGCTAACGCTTTTCTTGAATTGAAGATAGTCTGTAAGACTAGGTACTACTAGGTGTTCCCTAATCCCTGTCTTCAGAAATCATCTGCGTTAACAAATCAAAATCGTCCACCTCGCCTTCCAGTGCGACAGATGGCCCTAGTCTCTGGTAGAATGGAAATTCAAATTCAGATGGATAAAACCCCGCATATTCCCAATCGATGATGGCCTTGATCTTAAGCGTGCCTGGATCAACTATAACATTGTTCATAGAGAGATCGTTGTGACAAAACACAAGGTCTTGCTGCTTCCGCCGACGCATTCTCCAAGGTTGTCCATTGGACTTCCGCATAATACGATATGGTGGAAAGACCTGACAGTGAGTTAGCCTGGCTTATAAGAAATGTTCCAAATGCATGAGTACCATCTTATCTGGCCCACCCCAAGTGTCAGAGGTAAGTTTCTTCAGTGTGAGTACATGACATTGTAGCTCTTTTGAAACAGCGGCTTGGCTCTCAGCATCCAGATCGTTCATTCCAACTCCATCCACATATTCAGTAATTAGTAAGTATGATGCGCTGTTATCCTTAAAGCAGCCAAGTAATTTTGGGAGAGGGTTACCAGTTTCAGCAAGAAACTGAAGGCATGCACCCTCATTAAGGATGCGCTCCGTGCTAAATAAAGGAACATGCATATAACCATTCTGTTTTTGCCATTCGCAGGACCGAAGGCTTCGCTTAACCCAGGTGCTGCCAATTCGGAAGTACTTTCTCTCAGGCGAGATACCAATACAATGCTTTTCCCGTTTTTCATTCAGTTCGCTGTTAGTTGGTGGGGCCATCTTGACGCCAATGTGAGGTAGATTAATGAAGACAGAGTATTGATGGAAAAGCCATTCTGGAACTGATGTGCAGAATTGCTTGGAGGAAAGGCCACAAGGTTCGCTTACGTTTTTCAGCTGATTTCTGTACTTTGAGCCCTAGCACACTGCACCAAACGTTTGCCCTGTATGGTGCGTTTGCCCGCTGTGTGGTGCATTTTGTATAGTCGCAGACAATGTGCAAGACCATCAAGGTGCATTGGCGAAACTAGCAATCACCTAGGATAGGGATCAGCTCACAACACTAACACAGACCAATGCACCATCAGGTGTATTTTTTTTTTTTTTCGGTTATTCCATGGTAGTTATTAGAAGTAATACATGTTCAGTCCAATGAAAGCTTTCTGTTGGGGACGGGAGTTATATACTGGGAATTCTTCTTGTACCTTATAGGCGCATCGGCAATGCAGATACATAATAATGCTCTAGTTAAGGGCAATTCACTCGATTTATTCCGCTACGTCAGTGGAATTTCACAGGTATAAGAATGATTGTTATCGCTGCATCGAAAAACAATATAGGTTTCTTTACTTTTCAGCTATAGTCTTCTTAAATGTCATTGTGATAGTACGAACACAGACGAAATCAAGTGAAACGTAACAAGTTCAAGCCCACTTTCCCAGTAACGCCATAACACCTGCTCCAAGCAGAGTATAGGATACCATTCGAACCAACTGCCTTGCGTGTCTCGTCCTGTCGCACTCAAAGAGAAAGTCGCGCGCAAGCAGGTCAACAAATCCAGTGTAGATGAGAATGCCGGCGCTTAGGGAATCAAGAACTCCAGAGACGACATTGGCAGTAAAAGAGTTTGGTTCGTAGGTTGTTCTCAACGCGAGACCAATGGCAATCGACAGCGGTGTCGTGAGTCCGTAGGCAAGACAGAGTAGCCAGGGTAGCCAGTTCCTCTTGCCCGGGAATGGGATTGAGGCCATTCGCGCGCCAATTCCAAGGCCTTCAAAGGACTGATGGAACACAAGAACGGGGTACAGGGTGTTGAACTCTTCGCCGACAACACCCAGATTCAATCCGATAATGACGGAATGAAATATGATGCCGAACTCGAGGATGAGAAAAGCACCAATCTGCTGCAGATACGCCATTCTCTCGAGAGATTCCCTGTCTCCCAGCTCTGACAGATCCGTAGGCTTCTCGTCAGGATTGGTTTTGAGCTGACCACAGGAAGGCTCCAGCATGCCACAGGGGCTGTGTGTAGCAGGATCAGGCTGCCTCACCACTATCTTTCTAATCTCCCGCTCTGTCTGGACGCCATATTTCGCATCAATATAGCATTTGGCTCCCAGCTCGGTAAGAAAGGTCATGACTGCCCCAAGCAGAACAAGAGCTGGACACCATGGGAACTCAGCCCAGTAGCCTGTCAACCCAACACATGATGTGCCGCCAATTGCCTCATACGCCGGATCAAGAAGATGGATAAAGGCTGTTGCGATGATGACGCCGGTTCCAACATAGCGAGCGAAGATGTAAAGCCCGGCAGGGATGCGCCAGGTAGGCTTTTGACGAGCTATCACGGGAAAGAGAGTAACGGCGGTGGAGACGACGAAGATGACGAAGATTGATGATACTCTCGCACCAAGATTCCCGTTATACTCATTCTCGCTAACTTGAAGGCTGCATATGATTTCTTTCAAGTCAATATCAGGGTCGGTCAGGTTCACCGAGGTAGGATCAAAGCCCCGTGAAGTTCGCATAGTAGAAGGAAGAGCTGGCTGAACAAATCTTAGCGCATGGGACGATGGACAGACCGGCAACTTGATGCCAATTGAATCACAAGCTGTGAATCACAAAGAAATAAGGTATGGTGTATTGAAAAGACAATTGCATTAAGGACGTAGCTACGAACTGGACGACATTAGATATAATAAATTTTCAAGGAGCCCTGGGCTTAATTTTCAATGTTTGCACCTTGATGGCTAAAAATCCGGACTGTTATCCATCGGACCACTAGAATGCTGTCATCAGGAGTTACCATGACCCACCAAGCTCGCACATTCTAGAGAATGCAAACTATTACTTAGGATACTTTTACAGGCAACTATGGTCTGCTGTACTTTGCCTGCGGGATTTGTTTTCTTTCCCTTTTTTCCCCCTGTGCTTTATTTCTTCTCCAGTTAGCGTATTGGCTGGGCTTTCCGATGATAACCTAAGGTGCGCAATGAAGAAAGAAAGTATGAGTATCATTGCCACTAGCAGTGACCCTTCAAGCCAGCTAAGCCGCGGACCATGAGCAGCAATTGCTTTGACAGCGTTTATGTCAATTTGTTGATGAGAATCCAAATTTGCTAACTGCTCAAACCCATCTGATTGGCGATTAAGACGCTGCTAATGCTGGAATGCAGGTAGCACTAGCAGGGCAAGGGATATGGAGACTGTTGCAAATGGAATAACATTTTCTAGATATCGTTGTTGCGCACGGGTCGAGAACCAGCCACTTTCCCAGAATGGTGCGGGAGAGCTTAGTACCGAATCAGCCATAGTACAGCCTATGGCGTGCGATAATGAAATAAAGAACCAAAGATTGACGCAGACGTGGTGCTAGAGAAATCTTGCGGCTGGGCCCAGAAGTATTCACATGAGATGATGCTGCCTAGAGCTCTCTGGGGCAAAGCCTGCTGTCTTGAAGATGGCCGACAATTGTTTGAACATTAATTCATGTCAGTAGTTCTTCATATTACATACAAGAACAAGCCTTCTGGAAAAGTATTGCCTTTGTACCCAAGTCTCTGCCATAGCGTGTTTGTTGATTACCAACAGGACTGTCACGATATAGTGAAATACAGAGGGGGCCATGCTACTGTTCCCTTGTAGGCAGTAGTTCCATTATGGCCGATATGAGCAATCCAGCTTTTGAGTAAATGATGTCTCAAAATATCTAGTTAGCACCAGGAACAAGAGTCGGGGTCGTAGAGAGGTGCATTTGCCTGTTGGACGTCTGATGATAGTTAATTCTAATGAACTTAGCCGAGTAGCGTCCCGTAGAAGAAGCTCAATAGATTCATACTGTCCGCATTTGCCTTCGAATGACAAAGATGAGGCCCGAGGGAAAGCAAAAACGCTGGAACGGTCTGTGGCGTGCCCAATCCAATCATGGTCAGTTCAAGGCGCAGACTGAGCAGTGGTGGGTCAAGCGGTTTCTTGGAATACTACAATAGGGCGCAATGTGAAGATGCCCAGTCTGCCCGCCCTTGTGGATCTCTAGGTGTTTTTCGTGTGAAGTTTTCTCTCTTGGACAACTCGGATACAGGGTTTGGAAAAAGGCTCCTGCATTCGATAGATCAGGCTGCCTCTCAGTACAACGACTGTAAAGCTTGTGAAGGGCTAGACTGGGAGGATACGACTAATACCCGCCGAGACTAGTCCAACGGAACTCGCTATGGGTCAGCTATTTATTATTAGAACAAGCAACTCGGCTTTAAGGCAGACTCTGATTGTACCCTAGAACAGATTACAATCCATTGGAATGAACTTGTTGCTATCCCAATTTTGGACAACAAGATCACCTTTCTTAATGTAAAAAATCTTGCGCCAATTACTTTATAATATCTTTATTCTTTTTCGTAAATTTGGCAAACAGCTATTCCTATAAACACAAGAATTTTACCTAGCAAATCAATCCCTCTTTGTGTAGTGTAGAGTATGGGTACTGTTGTAATGGTTTGTATTTTGCAGGGTACTGGACTAGTTCCAAGATTCATGTCCAGAGCCACTCTATAGCAACCCAACCACCGGTTCTCTGAACATTCTTAATTTTCATTATTCATAAAAACAAAGCTACCCCGTATTCCAGTGCCGGCTATGTGCCAAGATCCGCTTTCCTGTGCAAGACTCAGGAACCACCCAATCAATGATTCCATTTGCATAGCCCACAGCCAATATTTTGTAGCACTGCCGAAAGCCTAAATAACGCCACGTTATAAGTACTGTAGCGAAAGAAATAACGATGTGCAACTTTCTCCATAACCCCAGGATACTAATATCTGACCGGGGCGAAACAAGCTTTGATCTCCGCATACTTTACTCTTATTATTCATTTACCCATTTATTAGAGTTCGAACCCCTGCCAAGCAAAAGATTCCCGTCGGCTCGTCGGCTTACCCTTCCAACAGGATCTTCTTCAATAACCCAGCTCAATGCCGCTGCTATGTTGCTTAATCTTTTATTTCCCTTGACATACAAATTCAGTTGTTCGGTCCTCCAATCTACCTCATTACATTTATTACATGATCTAGCTAAGTTTGCAAGTTACTGCCAAGTTGCTCTCCAGTTTCAAGTTGTTTGTATATTGTCATGTATCCTGAGTCTAGGATGGTTACCTATTTTACAGATACACTGGCTCAACCGGCACCTCGCATTCTGCGCTCCCCGATTTTGAAGCTTCCTCCACCATATTTGATGCTCAACGAGCTTCTTACTCATAGACATTGATAGTAATGGGCATGTTGAAATCGAGCTCACCGATACAGATTTGGAACTAGACAGACAAGTCAGGCGAAGAAAATGGCAAGGAAAGATGAATTAACTTACTCCGTTGTTGTTGTTGCAGCAGATAATGGTCTGGTCGCACGCAGTGGTGTTCGAGCAGGTATGACCTACAAGACATTAGAACTGATCTTAGATGGAAATGTCACCCATCACATACCGCCGTTTCCATCGCTGCTGCAGCAGTATGGGCTACCTGCAGAACAGGCATTCGTCTGGGTGTTTGTACCACAGTCGCTTCCGCTTCCGCTTGCGCTTGCGCTCTCTGGCGTCCAAGTCAGATTTAATATTTCCATGAGATGATCGAAACTCACTGCCCATTGCGTTACTGGCCTTGTTGCGGACCGGCATCTTTGGGAATGGAATATCTGCCACGCTGGGTGTACGAGGCCCGATGGCTCGAGGTTCAACCTCAGGCTCCTGGACAGGAGATGCCATGATGCCATTGAGGGCAACAAGAGTGTAAAGGATCATAGAAACATACATGGTTGAATGTTGGAAGTTTGATAGGCAGATATATGATGAATGAGATTGGTTGATTGTACTGAGTAGCTTGAGCGATAATGGAGAAGAAAACGTTCTATTTATACAGAATGTGAATGACCTGAGGGATTTTATTTTTGTATTTCTCCTGCTGTTGGAGGTTAATGTGTACACAAGAAGCAAAGGAACTGCCAAAAGTCCAAGAAGCAGTTTCTGTAATAGAGTACATAAACATGACGAGTTATATATTAACTGACTTTGTCACGCTTCCTGCACAGTACAGAGCTAATGCCCCCCAACAGTCATTATTGAATATTTTAAAATTGTTGAAAATTTAGTACAATAACAAGTTAGTATTAAATATAGTATGTTGAATTTTACTACAAGCGCTGCTCTTTTACTACAAACAGTTACTTAACATTAAAAGCCGGTTGGATTTTCTCATACTGAGAGAGAAGTATTCACTTATGTCATGTTACTCAACGCTTTGGAGAGTTTGGCCTAATGCAGCTTCTAAACTTTCAGCTCGCGAAAACATGCAGCTATGCTACAAGATTGAAAGAAACAAGGAACATAGAGCTTTGTTGAATAGGATTACATCTTACTATTACCTGTGCAAGGACTCAGCTAATATTATATTGCATCAACATACTTCTCTTTCTGCGAGAGCCAAACCTTAAACACCAAGTTAGTACCTGCTTTGATACAGCCTGCTTCAGCCATTAAACTATCAACATGGACCAATAATACCCATGAGCTCGCCTACAGTACAAATATCTGACCGCATATTGGTACCTGAATTTATATACAAAAATAAAGTTAAGACTGTAAGAAGTAAGTTCAATAGTAGCTTGGATGTGAATTTTATTTTTTTCGCAAGATTTCGGTTTATCGCCACTTCGTACTTCTCCTACATCGCATATCGGGATGGTCAGACTGTTTTCGCGATACTCATACAAAATCTTTCGACAGAAAGGTATAAAGAGGGCCTCTCTGCCTTCTTCAAATTTTCTTCTTGCTATCCTCAGACACTCACTCAACAAAGCAATCACTACAACAGCACTTTTCAATCTTTTACTTCAAAACCACTTCCACCTTTCAAAATGCAATTCACTACTGCCATCGCTCTTCTTCTCACCGCCGCTACCGGCGCCATTGCAGCCCCTGGCGGCCACGGTGTTCACACTCCTCCTCCTCCTCCCCCTCCCCCTCAGAACGTTGGTACCAACACCAACTACCAGTCCAACAACTGTGGCAATGGTGCTTCGCCATACTGCTGCAGCGCTGAGACCGATGCATTGGGCTCAAGCTACTGGGAGTGCTCCAACATCAGTGATACTTGCAACTCCATCACTGTTTGCTGCAACAACAACAACCAGAACAACAACCAGCAGGTATGTCCTAAAACAACTTCAATCTCAACTACGTCTGCGACTACTTTTAAGTGCATTATACGTGGTCCACACATCATGTAACTTCATTGACCGAAATATATAGGGAGACCACAACAGCGAGGACAACAACAGCGGCAACCAGTCGTGCAGCGCCTTTGGACAACAGAAGGTTATTTACAAATAAATTCGTCTGCATCAGTCTAAGGACTATAGCTATCTTATTCACGAGTCTTCTAGTCTCTTAAGATAAGCACAGCCTAATGTACTAGCAGCGGATTTAGGCTCAAAAATGTGAGATGTTATGTTGAAAAGGGGGATTTGGTTCTTTTCTATTCGGGTCAAAAGATAACTTGTACCAAGTAATTTTTTCTACCCAGCTACTTTCTTTAACACTATTTTGGCCGATTTAGTTTACATAAAATAAAAAGGATTGCTTTGAACCTACAAACACCAAATGGTCTCCTTACGGCCCTCTCCAAATAGTTCGAAGTACAAGGCCTCGTAAACTGTAGTTTGCCTGAAAGATCAAATTTCAGGCATTTGTTGGTCTGTATAGGCCAAGCGACGGTACAACGGGGTCTTTGGATTTCTGAGCATTACCCTAGCAAATCAACACTTTCTATTTGATGTCGGAGTGCATTGACCCGTACAATTTACAATACTATTACCAACAGCAGTAGAGCAAACCCCGTATTACATGCAGCGTTTCATATACTAGCACTTACTGATGGCTCTGCAAGAATCCATCCTTGTCCAACCAGAGTCTATTGTTATGCATGCAGAAATATGGTATTCTGAGAGATGTTTTCTGATATAATAACACCCAAACGATGGTATTGGCTATGTATAATAAACATTAGCCTCAATAGTTTCGAGATTTTACTCATCCGACTCCTTGTCTCTTTCTTCAATCACTGCAACTATAACTTTATGTAAATTATCAAGAATCTTATGGTGATTTCCCGTCATGCGTGCTAGAAGAACCCCCGATTTCGAGAGAATAAAAGCTCCCTGTATCATGTTCCCCTTGGGCGAAGCAATTGACATTGCTTTGGACAAAGACCCACTTGGATTGCTCAGGAGAGGCAGCCAAGTATCTTTCTCTTTCACAAACGCAGCAGTTGATGACACCGAATCTGGTGAGATGCCTATCGTATCCATTTCCGCCGCCTCCCAGTCTAGTTGAGCGTGTTCAAACTCCCCGTATATTTCGTATGCTATTAGGAGAGTTAATGCAAAGTATAAAACAGATACTTGGGTGCTTGGCCATACCATCGTCATCCCAAGGCTTCGGGTATACATAAACAATCACCCCATTGCGACTCTTATCCACCAGCTGTTTCAACGACGTTTTGGTTCCATCTCGGAGGTATAGTTCACCTCCGAAGTCATCAGTTGATGGGATCTTGGACCCAATGCTTAGATGAAGCGTTGAACTTTTGTCGCTTTTCCCTTTGTTCACTTTCACGGGGCCGGTCTTTTTAGTTACTTTGGCTTTGCGTTCGCGTGATGGTTTTGAGACCTCCGCCAAAGATGGCTTGGCCTTACTCGCGGTAGAGGCATTCCTGTTTGCAGCAGCTCTTGTTATAGGCATATTTCGGACGTCAAAAGCAATCAAGTATGTGGCAAACCCCCAGCTTTGAGAGAACATGAATGCAATGGACTTGAGTGTGCAGCATTGCAGCTAAGCCAAGCCCCACTTGTGGCTGATCCTTCGAGGCATGATGCTGACTGACCGGCATCTATTCTTAGCTCAAGAAATTCCAAGTAAATATAGTCAGCCTCGGAGCTCCTAACACTCTCCGTATTACCTAGGGTATCTATTTTCGCCGTCGTGATTAGTAGCGGCTGATAGACCATACTATCTGAGACTGAATTTATCGCCTAATGAGTAGCTTCTTTCCAATTAATAACGATTAATAGACGGAGGCCGGCTTAGAGCGACATGCCCGGTCTTGGCATCGATCGCGGGCAAATCCTGATCTTTTTATAACAATACTCGCATTCTTCTAGGTACAATACATAACAGAGTACTGCGTCTCATTCAAAGACAAAATCATGCAGAATTCGCCTGCTGCCCTCAGAAGCCTGTCAACGGGACTCAGGTACTCGCTTACGTCAACAAAAGCGCTTGATGCTATGACCCGAAACTAATTTTCTGACGAGGAGGCTTACTAGTTGAGTATAAATCTAATGCAGTTGTCCATTCATTGGGGTCTGTCTCTCTAATATTCCCATCCTTGTCGAGATACTTGCCGTCGATAGGATAGCCGCTCACTGTCCATAATTGTATCTCTACAATGATATCATTAGCCTACCAATTGTCCTTAATCGTTCTAAGCTTTTGTGCCCTCTCTGTGGTCGATAAAAGATACCCCTGACTGGTCGCTGCATTTTTTTAATGGTAAAAAGTAAAGGATTCAATGAAACAAGATAATCAAAGTCGGAACTAATAGTTTACTACATGTAAAAGGACATTGAATGACTATGATTCATGGTTTAGTTCTACGGGTTACACACTTGTTATGGCGAAGTTTAAGGCCATACCATATTGTAATGCAATGCCAACAGCTTACACCGGGCGCCAAGTCAACAGCCCTCGCATCCACCTCAACAAAACTGAGTAGATGTAACAGTACGTATATGTATATATATACACAGCGAAGACAGGTATCTCAATCTGTGGAGAAAGTTCTTCTTCGCCGGCTACATGTAAAGCTTTTCTCCAAAAAAAAAAAAAAAGGAAAAGGAAAAAGGAACACGTGCTTTTAAGACGCGTCGGATTCCAGGCAGCTGTGATAATCCTGTCTGGGTTCTTCAACTTTATCTTGTACCTCATTTCCCCATACTAAAGATAAACTCCTTCAGACGTAAACAGCGGGGTGGCAGAAGGTACAATACGTGCTGCATATGCATCACCAAAACCACCAGATGAGTCCAGTTATAGTAGGCACTATGACGAGAACAAGAGTCGCCACCATGTATCGCGTTTCTTCTTCTGTTTGTGTGTGCGCTTCGTACGGCGGAGGCGAGGAGGGTTCCTCAGTGGGAAGAGTTGAATATGTGTGTTTCTGCGTAGCCATTGTAACTATTGAGTATGCTGCTGAATATAGTATTGATGGAGCTATATCAAGAAGCTGAAAGTGATTTCGAAGCTAGGGTGGAGGGACTCTGTAATTAAAAGTGTCTAGGCGCATTTGACCGGGGACATGTAATGTGTTTATAGGCACACGAGGCGACTGTTTTCTTAAGAAAAGGCGACTGGATTACACCTCAGCTTGAGCAAAGTTCTTTAAAGACACGGTACAGTATCGGCAATGACGGAATCTCTACCGACCCTGCTAGACTCTAAGCAATAACTGATTGACCTAAACTGCGCACTGCAACAGATGGTTGCGCCTTTATTGGACTAGCGCAGTATTATACTGTAGAGACTTTTATACCTATTTGCACTTTGTAGCCCTCTGACTGACTGCCCTACAGTGAGAAAGAAGCACCTGATAAATTTGAAAGGCTACCCCTTGCCGCCCTTGCCGCCTTTAGAAAAATCAAGGAAGAACAACCAACCGGCCTGTTCACATGATATATTCATCCCCAAGATACGTCGCGCTTCAGGTAATCTTCGCTAGGAAAGACATGTATTGCGCTTATACAACTCGCGTAACCACTGACGTGACAAAGATCTCGACATCATTATTTGCCAAATAACTCCATCCAAGAACAGATTTTCTTCATTTGGTGTAAACCTCGACCCACGAAGCCAGATTTGAACTGAGTAAGGTATAGTAGGTAAAAGATCTCCCGGTTGTAGTCGAGTACCCGCACTCCAAGTATATCTAGAGGCAGCACAGTTTGCATTTCGAGGAGAAATTTCCATCTGAGGCTAGTATATGCAAAGTAGATTTTAGGGTATGGTGGGTTTGACAAAGTTCCCTGGCATTAAGCTCTGGAGGATTATCCGTCAGGACCAACAAATCTCTCACTCGGCCGCTATTAAGAACTACTTCGTAAAGTGAAGTGATGCAAAGGCTAACAAGGCTCCGAGGCTAATAGGATCCATCAGGATTAAGCAGGATCCAACACAAAGGGGCATATAGCCAATAACACTGTTCATTTAGAACAGCTATTGATATGTATTAGGGTGGTTGCTATCTTCATATTCCGTAACCGTTTTACCAGAGGGCGCGGTGATTGGTTATCCTTCTCTCCTGCAAAAAAATAATTCATGTTGGCGCGCTAGCAAGGAACAGTTGCATGAGGGTAGCATTGTATAATATACGAAGCGGGGATTATGACAACTGCATTTTGTGTCTGGTCAATCCCGTCCCGAAGTCTCGGGGCGCAACACAAAAGACTCAACTGATATTGTTATCTGAGCGTGTACTATTCTAGTATCAAACATAACGAGCTGCTATGTATTACAAAAGAGGGCTATAGCTACACTGAAGGCATAACGCAGGCAAAAGGAATAGCCATGGCCTTTATGTACAACGTCTTGCGCCCTGAAGGTTGAAAAGTGGTAGCAGCTAGGTAGATTGAGCAGGGACTAAAAATTGGCTGAAAAAGTCCAGGATATCAATTGTGCCGTCTAAAGAGCAAATTTTCCCGACATCTACTCATAGTTAGCGCATTTCAGGTTGATTACCTTGTATACAGTTTCGTCACTTGCATTGGTCTGGGCGAACGACGATCAAGCATCCCTCAGGATGAATGCCGTATGCCTGGTATGCTTTCCCGTGCCCTGAATTGTAACTCTCGTCGTCTACGAAGACTTTTTGAAGATCTGTTCACGTTAGCCTGGGAAGTCTTGGAGCCAGCCCGAATACCAACGTTTGATCTTCCATTTTCCCGTTAACGGGGTGAACACATCGGGAATCATGTTCTGTTCAACCTTGGTACGCTTTGATGCAAGCACAAGCACTCCTTGGATGACAGAATTGGGTTCCTGACCACTTGGTGTAAAGGTATTGATGATTTCCTGCAGTTCTACTGCAACCTACATTCGTATAAATCGTGTTAGTGGAGAATATCTTTATTGTGCTCAGAGGTCTGACGGACTTTGAAGAGCTTGGCGGCTACTGTCTGCTGCAAGATGTCTCCCGAAAACACAACGACATGCCACCGAGAATCAGCGGACAGTGCTGCCACCAACTGGATAGGGCGGGCATCGCAGAACCGGACAACCTGCGCGCTGGGGAAGCGCATTCCGACGATGACGCCCTGAGATAGGCCCTCGTCTGTCGGGCTGGGAGATACAAGGAGAGACTTTTCGTATCTCACGCCTTGACCAGCTGTGTATCGGCCTGCCTTGACAAATTGGTCCTTGAAGTCCTGTGAAGAGATTCCATTCTCTTGTCGGTAAGAGGAGGAGAATAGTTTTGTAAAGAATCGGTCAAACTCGATCAGCTGCGCGGCCGTTTTCTGGCGCTCCGAGACATATGTGTCGAGAATACAGGCAGAGGACTGGCGCCGTAGAACTGATGCCAGCTTCCAGCCAATGTTGTAGCCATCCTGCAGGCTCACATTCATACCTTGTCCGGCCTTTGGCGAATGCGTATGGCAAGCATCACCCGTTAGAAAGATGCGCCCGGCCTTGGCAAAGTTGTCAGCCAGGCGCTGGCCAATCGAGTATGCCGACCACCAGACCGTCTTCATGAACTCCACAGAGTAGGGGTGGAAAATTCGACGGGCCCGTTCCTGCAAGTCGGCCAGCGTGATGTCCTTGACCGCCGCATCACCGAGCTCAATGTAGAAGCGGACCATGGAGTCGCCTTCGCGGGGGATGATCATGAGGTTGCCGGCGCGTGAGTGAATGATTGCCTTCTTGCGGATGTCGGGGAAGTCTGTTCTGGCGTGAAGGTCCATGACACCCCATATGGCATTCGTTGAGTCGCCGACCATGGCAATGCCCAGGGATTTCCGGACCGCGCTGTGTGCTCCATCACAGGCCTGATCTATTGTCAGCAGTGGAGCGAAAATGTGAAATGGTGTTTGTTCAGTCAACTGACCAACACATATTTAGACTGGAAGACCTTCTGTTGTCCGTTAGAAACCGCCCTGGTGGTAACGCGGCTGCTTTCGTTAACAATATCATCGACTTCCACGCTTTGAACGTCGCATCCGTATTCAATCGCCGCGCTTCCGGACACCCGCTGTATCTCTTCAATCAGCATACCATTAATCCTTGCCTGGTTTAGGATGACATGAGGCTGGTGGCTCAAGCCTGGCTCCGTGTCCGCTGTATAGTGAGTGCGTTTAATGCCCTCGCCCTCTGCTGCCCAGAAGGCTACCTCAAGCACATGGTATGCCTCCTTCAAGAGGTCCTCGGCTATGCCAAAGCTCTCAAATATCTCCACGGTTCGACACTGTACGCCATCTGCTTGGCCATTCTCGAGCGGGCCATCTCGGCGCTCCAAGATCTTGTAGCTGATGCCGCAGCGTGATAGCCAGACCGCTGCGCAGAGCCCCGCAGACCCGCAGCCACAGATGAGTACATCGACCTGTTCAGCCATGACACTGTTTCGCGGTAACGACCAGTTGGCAAGGTGCACAAGGTGCACAAAGATTATCAAAGTGTTGTCTGACGTTCTTTTCAGGCTGATTGCGAATGGTTGCTTGCTGAAACTGCGGGACTGTCTCAGTCGGTCATAAACCGGCGCCGGGTCTGTATCCGGGGGTGGCGCATCCGGAGCCCGACGCTCGGGATTCTACCCGCCAACGATGGTGCATTTCCTATCTTTTGACAGCTGTATTGTTCATTCATGGAAAGTATTGTAGGAGGTTAAATTTATTTTTGAATGATGGGATGAGCTATACGAGGTGTCCAATACATGTATGGGTACAATAAAGTTACAGAATGGCGAGGTTTTCTCTCTCTGAGCAAGCTATGGCTGACGTTCGCAGCCTCCTCGATGCCGCCTGCACCGGAAAACCAGCAGGTATACCTTGTGCTAGTACTGTTGTTGTTGGTACCAGTTCACAACCAGAACTCTTCGCGCACTCCACGACAGCGTCGATAGGGGAAAATGACTGTAAGGTCGGTGACGATATTTACTGGTTGGCGTCGTGTACGAAGCTTGTCACTAGCATTGCCTGCATGCAGCTCGTTGAGGGCTCGATTCTCCGTCTCGATGATGCAGACCAGTTGGAGAGTCTTTGCGCGGAGCTTGTAGACCTCAAGGTAGTACAGGAGGATGGCTCTCTAGAGCCGGCTCGGTCCCGCATCACGCTGCGGATGCTTTTGACTCATACAGGTATTTGACACCAGCTAATGTGTAAAGAACCGTACAATTCTGACAATTGAAAAAGCTGGGTTTGGATACTCATTCCTGAACGCTAAGCTCCAGACCTACTCTAAGGCTTATCGCGATGGTGGAGTCAATTTCAACGAATTTTCTGGGTATATGGATGACTTTCTGCAGCCTCTTGTCAACCAACCAGGGGGGGCATTTGAGTATGGCGTAAGTATACTTGCTATGTATTGTTTTATGTACTCATGCTAAGCCGCATCTAAGATCTCTATGGACTGGGCTGGCGTGGCCGTTGAGCGAGTTACGGGCCTGAAATTAGGTGATTACATGCAGCGCCACATATTCCAACCCCTGGGCATCCACGACTTGACTATGATCCCTTCGTTGGAGATGAAAGAGAGATTCGTCGGCATGTGGCAACGCGACAAAGAGGGCCACCTCTCTTCTCGCACACCTCTCCTCAGCCGTCCGTTGGGGGCAGATGCATCCGATAGCTTCCATAGCGGCGGCGCAGGACTTTTCGGGAGCACCCGAGAGTTTGGAAGTCTGTCCTACGCGTGTCATAGTTCCCAATCATCATACTAACCTTTTTCTTAGAAATTCTCGCCATGTTGCTCCAAGACGGCAGATCTCATTCGGGTAAGGTGATACTTGCGCCTTCAACTATTGAAGCCATGTTTACCGACCAGATATCATGGCTGCCAAACTTCGCCAGACGGCATTTCCCTGCCGTAAAGCCAGAGCTAGTCTATGTGGCCGAGGCCTTCTATCCGCCTTGCCCACCGCCGACGCCGCAGGGCTGGGGACTGGGCTTCATGATTACACCCGGCCCGACCGGTCGCTCCCACAAGACAGGTCAATGGTCGGGCTTATCCAACGCATTCTGGTGGTGTGACCGGGAACGAGGCATTGCTGGCCTGGTCGCCTCACAGATTTTGCCGTTTGCTGACCTCAAGGTTGTCGAGCTTTGGATGGAGATAGAATCTAAAGTATATGAAGGTATTGAGAGAGAAGCAGCAGACAAATAGACAGTATTTGGGCATTCAAATATGTAGGAGCTCGAAGGTTACTAGAAATTTATCATCCGGCTTTATTATCAAACGTCTATAGTACTGCTAGTGCTATCAGTGCCATCAAAGTCTATTGCGTTTATGAAAGGGTTACACGCTTAGTTGACTGTGTAATCCGCCATCCACAGACAGGTTCAGACCTGTAATCCCGTCCGACATGCTGCTAGCAAGAAATACAACAGCACTTGCAATGTCTTCTGGCTTGCCGAGATGCCTGAGAGGATGTCGTTGTGCCATCTCTCGCTCGATTTCGACGTCATCTGTCATAGCTGAGATCATTGCGGTCTTTGTGACTATGGGAATGGACTGAGTTAGCGTTGATACTATACGTCTTTGTAATAGCCATACATACATCCTGGAAGAATTGAATTGCAGTGGATGCCGTGCGGAGCATAGTCCATAGCTACTGCTCGTGTAAAAGCGATTACAGCGCCCTTTGTGGCCGAATATGCAGGCGTGCCTGCTTTCCCCAACACGCCAAGTATAGATCCGATGTTGATAATAGTTCCGGCCCTGCCGTCGCCAAGGATTCTCTCTTGGCGCATCATTTGGGCACCAGCGAGTTTGCACCCGAGAAAGACGCCGCGCATGTTGACCCCCCAAGTTCGCTCAAACGTCTGCAGAGATGTCTCCCAGATGGGTCGTGGCTCAAACGCCTCGGGAGCAATGCCAGCGTTATTAACCATTCTGTACTATATTAGTATCTAGACATAACAACTCGACTAAATGCTGCAAAGCCTACATGTCAATCCGTCCAAACTGATTTGCCGAATCCCGGATGAGCTTCAACATGTCGTTCTCGTCCGCGACATTTGTCGAGACAAATATTGCCTTACCACCTTGTTCACATATTCTCTCATGTGTGAGTTGATTTTTATTTCTTTTGGAGCCAGGTGTTTGGTCGGCACAAATAATAGTAGCGCCCTGCTTGGCAAACTCCAGTGCCATCGCTTGCCCCAAGCCGGACGAGGCTCCTGTAATTATAGACACCTTGCCTGCCAACAATCCAGCATGAGCTATAGCCGAAGCCATGATGAATGTTGTAGTACATGCAAATACTGTTCAAGGCAATCTATAACAGAGCACATTATGTTCCCGCGGCTTCGCGTATTTGTAGTCGGAAGTCATACCGCACGTGGGTCAATCTACGGGTGCATATCCGCATAGCTTCCAGTGTAGCTCTAGCCCATAATGGAGATATTTATTTACAATAAATCGAATTTCTCTTAGTTTTCCAATACATGCTAAGCGACCTGTATATCCTTCGTCCCCGTGAACTTATTTGCTGGAAAGTAAAGTGAAAAGCTTGAGTCAACGGTAATCAGATCGGCATCTCTAGTTACAATCTTGCCACGACAGGATAGGCTTGATAATCTAAGATTCATTGTTAGTCTGGATACTCTTGTAACTTGTAGCACTTACTAGTCCTGATTGAAGGTCTGCGATTGCCTTGCTTAATAGTTCCGCAGGATAGACCTTCGCTAAGCAGTCGACGGGGAATTTTCCGTCGCGGTAAAGCTTCAAAAGTTTGGGAATCAACTGTAGATCAGAATGTTAGCAACCCCACGAAGACAACACTCGCGGAAAGGGACTCAATACAATATGCGGATCGGCAGCTCCTTCAATGACACCAATTACTCGTTTACATGACAGCAGTAAATCTAGAGCATTGATTCTCAATGTTGCCGTTGGAGAGGGGATTCCAACCAGAGCTAGCGTTCCGCCATGAGCAAGGGCTTTCACCGAGGCCTCGAGCACGCCTACCACACCAGTCGTGTCTATAATTTTGTCTGGGCCACCCGGGATAAGGGCTTGCAGTGCGGCATGAAGATCTGGCTCTGCTGCCGAGTTGATAATATGCGTTGCCCCCAGAGAAGATGCCAACTTCAACTTGGCTTCGACAACATCAATCGCAATCACCTGTCGTACCCCGAGAGACTTTGCAGCCAGCATTGCCGCAATGCCAACAGCCCCTATGCCCACGACGGCTACAGAGTCTTGAGGCTGTGGTTTGATCACGTTGAATACAGTTCCAGCACCTGTCAGATAGCCACAGCCGAGGGGAGGTAGTGTGCGGAGGTCCTCTGGTCTCGCATCAACCTTGATTACGCTTGCCTCTGTGACAACTGCTAGCTTGCTCATAGATGACTGCCCAAAAAACTGACCGTGAACCTTTGTGCCGTCAAGGAGTGATATCGGCGACTCTGCTCCAGTGCCTTGACGGGCAGAGCGGATAAAGTTGGTCTCCGTCATGTGTGGACACGTGCCACATCGGCCCTCAAGGCAGAATCTGCATTGGCGGCAGGAGTGGAATGAGAGCAGCACAGCGTCTCCTGGCTTCAAAGATTTGTCCCTCATTGCGGAACCTGTCCACCTCACAACGCCCGCCCCCTCATGCCCGAGCACAGCCGGGTAGCCTCCTAGTGGCATGCCCCCATGCTGGGCAACGACATCCTGTACGAGGTCAACTTGACGAGAAGGCAATTGATAGGAGCAGTAATACATACGGTATGACATATACCTGTATACCAGATCTCCACTAGCACCTCATTTGGCTGTACCTCGTCCAAGACAACGTCACAGAGAGTAAATGGATTGCCTTTACCCTGTACGACGTAGGCTTTCGTGCGGATGTTTCTCGGAGCTTCCATTTCGCAAGAAATTATTTCAACAGCTAGGAAAAACAATAGGCAATCGATCAATTAGAAATGGATTGATTTGGGAAGCAAAGACATATATTATATACGATGTGGGTTGTTGTGCTAGTATTTATTGGGTGAGCCGGAAACACTCCCGTCGCTCCACTCATTTCGAGCCTATGGAGTAGCATTGAAAACACATACTTTCAATATACCGCAGTCTTGGCCAGCAAAGATCTGGTGCTTCTATCTCCGAGAAAGCACTGCGGATTCATTAAATATAAGGCTTCTAACCCGTCACACCAAAAACCAGCTACGGCTTGCACATTCGCCTCCTAGCCTACCAGATGCGAATCTGCGATGGTGATAGTTTTCAGCTGTGTAAACTCAGCAAATCCTGGCTTCAGTTAGCGTACATACAAATAGATACGGTGCGTAGCTATTGGCATATTCTTACCCCAAGGAACCCCGAATCGCCCCCAACCACTTTCCTTGACGCCTCCATGAGGAATATGCGCCTCGTCATGGATTGTCATAGAGTTGATGTGGACTGAACCGCTCTCAAGACGCCGCCCAATATCAATAGCTAGTGGTATATTGGCCGTGTAGACGCTTGCCTTTAAGCCGTATGTTGTGTCATTGGCTAGTGCTACGGCTTCGTCGACTGTGTTGAAGGGGATGAGTAGGGCGATTGGGGCAAAGGTTTCAGTATGCCAGATCTTCATCTCCCGGGATACATTGACGAGGATTAGAGGAGTTAAGAAAGAGCCGTCTTGACGCGCACCCTCTCCACCGCCTAGAATCTTCGCTCCCTTAGCCCAGGCATCCTCTAGAAGTGCCATAACCTTCGATGTATGTTCGACCGAAGCTCCTGGACAAACGTTCTTACTCGCCTCTATGGAGCTTGCGACGAGTTTATCCGAGAACGAGTCAATGACACTTTGACTCACAAAAATCCGCTCCGTCGACATGCATACCTGGCCGTGCTGCGTACCTATGTTAGTCTTGTCTGGCGCCAAAAAAGAGTATAAATTGACGAACGTGTGTGAAAGCTCCAATAGCAGCTGCCTGTGCTGCCTTATCGAGGTCAGCATCCGCGAGCACAAGCTGTGCGGCCTTTCCACCTAGTTCCAGCAAAACTGGCTTGCAGTGCTTAGCAGCGTTGGCTGCGATAATCTTACCCACAGCCGTGCTGCCTGTGAAATTGATCTTGCGTACACGGTCATCAGAGATGAGTGCGTTGATAATCGGCACAGCGTCCTCCTGGGAATGTTGTATAACGTTGAGAACACCCGCTGGGAAGCCTGCGTCGTGAAAAAGCCTACCGATAAAGTGATGAGCCATTGGGGACTTCTCCGAAGCCTTGAGAATCGCCGTATTGCCGCAAGCGATGGGTGTTGCTACCGCCCGCATACCAAGAAGTAATGACGCGTTCCAGGGTGCAATGCCAACCTGAACGCCCAGAGGCTCTCGAAAGACCATGGCCAGCATATCGTCTGATTGCTTACTGGGTTGGATGACACCACCCGTGGTATGCATGATCTGGCCCGCTAGTTCTTCCAAGAGGTCGATACTGGTCTGAATATTGATCTGCTGGATCATAAAATCGTCAATTGGCGTCTCGACCTGCAATAACCACACACAAAAGAAAGAGTTAGAACCATGCATTGAAATATGGATCATGAAATATGGATCATTTGCTGTTGTGGTTGAACTTGCCCGTAGGATAGCTGCCACTTCTTCTCTACGTTCTCGTAGCAGATTGGCCGCTTTGGTGAGCAGCTCCCGTCGCTGCCACGGACTAGTCCGCTTCCACGCATGAAAGGCATGGTAACTACTGTCAACAGCGTTCTGAACAATCTCCGGTGTAGCGCCGTGCGCCGTCACGGACTCTCCGGTGGCACTGTTGATTACTGGGAAAGTAATATCCGACAGGACAGGCTCGTTGCCGATCCACAGAGGAACTGTTCGCCTCTCCAGTAGTGACATGATTTATTCTACTGATAATTTCCTGCACTGAATTTTACTCTATATCCGCGATGAGCTTCCGCATTTCATGGGCATAGAGCGCTTTTTAATGCTGTTTTCCAGACGATGTTTCCATATACCGGATCACTATCCGGCTGGTGTGGGCCATCATCCTGTACGGCTACCTCGCCGCACCAGCTCACGGCAAGCGGGAGGATTTCCTTGTCTGAACCCGAGCGTAAGGCTGAATAGATACATAATATGCATTAAGGCACCCATAAAAATCATATCGTATTGGTATTGAGTTTAACATTCATCGAGGCTTTTCTTAACTGCTTTGTAGATGCTCATCGTCATATGAACCTTGTGCAAGCCAGGTAATATCGGAAGTATTGTACATCCAAAGATGCTGATTGAAGCGAGCATCTTCTTGCATAATTTCCAACGGAGATGGCAAATCTTTATTCCAGGTGGACAGGTCTGGCCGCACACGTCCAATTTCACCACCTAACACGGCTGCAGCCTCGGGGACTTTTAGAACGCCCAAGTCGTTCATCATTCCTGCGTCCGTTCTTTAGCCTGACGACCTAGATAATTACGGAGAGAGGGAGACTAACCGTTCTGAGTTCGGTAGCAGAAGACCTCTTGCTGCACTGAAATGAGAAATTTGCGGCAGCGTCCCGCCGCACGGCTTCGGCTCTGGTACCTTTTGAGAGCTGTGAAACAGCGGCTCAGTCCTTTGAGAAGCGATGCCTCGTCCATACAGTGAATATGTTTCGGAGAGCATAGCAGACTGATGAGGAAAACAATAGCACAACTATGAATATCTGTAAAGCGACATAAGCCTGATTGTCGCCTCGCAGAGCGCGAGAGGTGACTTACAGAAGACCGTGTACCACGGTGGAGCAAGCAGGTCCGTCTTGAAATACATGTTTTCCTCGATGAACCGCAGTAACTCTTGTGCTCCAGCCACGCATAGGTTGGCTGCCTTCAGCATCGTCTCATCTTGTATGGAATCCGTGACCATCTCAGTTGATTGGAATGCTGGGTCACAAAGGCCTGACAAAACTGGCCGGAGCATCATTAAGCGAACGTGCAGGTATCTTTTTGAATTTATGAGTACTGGATTGACTTGTCATCTATTACAGGGACGGATTGACATACCTAACTTCCAGAACTGTCGCCTGTCTACGGAACACCACCTCATTCTCCGATAGGCTGAGCGCCGGGGGCTCTCCGCTGTTCTTGTACCGACTGACTTGAAGATGTGGTGGGAGGTTTCTATGCCACGCTTTAAGAAGACTGTCGACGGCAAAAAGTTTGCGGAAATCAATGTTTTTTGCTCCATTGTTGGTTAAGGGGCTCAGACTTGGAGCGGGGCCTGGGTAGTACATCGTGGTTAGGACCTCGCCGAGGATATCCTGCAGCTGGACCGTCTCACAGAAACACTCCGTCAGGCTCGGCTTCCCATCCGGTTGAGATGCTGGTGCCTCCGGAAGGTGTGTTAGGTACTCATCATCTACTGCTAGTGGCAGGACGAGCTGGCTCTGTGATATGGCCGCATGGACTATCAAGGGCCGCCCGTACGTCAAGCTGAGAACTCTGACATAGGTAGTCAGACACCAAACGAGCGGAAAAGGGAGACAACACGCAGATACTTACCGATCCAATAATACACAACCTGCCCAGGCCCGTCTTCGCATCTCCATCTCCGTTTGGTCCATAGTCTGGGCCGGGCAGCAACCCTGATTACAGTTCTTGGGGTCGTGGTGTAGCCCGATGTTCTGGGCGACACGCACCGCAAGCCCGACGATGTTCCAACAGGTGCTCGACATCTCAGTGCTCTGAAGATACTGGCCCATGAGCAACAACGTTTGTACGAGAGCTAAACTGCCTGCGGCGAGCATGTCCAAGTCCATGAGCTTCTTGGCGCGCTCGTAGAGGCTGCGGCTCAACTGATCCCGGTCCTTGTGGTCCATCCCGGGGCTGAAGAGAGCACCTAAAGCAAACACGCTATTAAGCATACAGTAGAATAGACGATTACCCATGGAGGTATAGAGACCCGCCGGCGTGGAGGCGTGCGCCTCTGTGCGAAGACAGCGTGGCTCGGTCTGAGGGTACCAGATCATACGGTAGCGTTCCTCGAACGACGGCCTATGAATAAGTGGATAGAGCGAGTGTGTCCAGCGCCAGTAATTCTCGACAAGATCGTCAGCCTCGTCGCGTGGCGGAATTGTCATGCCAAATACCGCACTATCCGTCTTGAGTGGGTGGGAACACGATGATGAAGTATGAGATGGGCTCAGATCAGAGACCAGCTCATGTTGGCATTGAGAGCACGACCTATTATTCCTTGCAGACCAGTGCTTGCGGCACTGCTGGCCCATGGCACTCCTTGCCCTGTCTACCAGGCTCGCAGTGCTGGACGGGCCAAAATACTCCGAAGGTCTCCGGTTTCGCCTACCACCAATGTTACTCAAGGGAGCTACGACTCCCATTGCGTTAACACCGGTGTCGTCGCTATCCGAGGCAGAGTCAAGGTCTGGATCTGTGTCCTGGTAGGTTGGAGAGTCCGGCTTACTGCGCAGTGAATGCGACAAGTCATTGAAGGAATCTGGAAAGCCATTGTCTACGGTAGGCCCATGGTCTGCCTGCAAGTTGATGTAGTAGTTTGGCAAGTTTTGTATGGTCTGTTCTACTGGCGGGCTCGTGGGCTGCGTCATTGGCTGGGGCATCTCTGGACTGGCATTGGCGGGCTCAGGCGGTGACAACCCCGGTAACAGAAGACTGGATGTATCAACAGATTGTTCTGGTGGGTGATTCCGTGACAATTCGAGCTCTCGTATCCGAGCCCTAAGGCCCTCGACATAACTGTGAGACTGTCAGCAATGGTTCTGAGATGGGTTGCAGGGCTGAGATGCTACCTATTGGTCCATCCCTTGCTGACTCTCTCCTCATTCCAGACGCAAGTCGCGATGCTTCGTCGACGGCATGCGCCGCATACAGGCTTCACACCATCACATTTGCGTTTCCTGTCGCGGCACTCGTCACAGGCCAGCGGAGTGCGGCGCCGCTTACGGGCGCCTTCGGGTTGAGGAGATCCGGCCGTAGACCTCGGCGACATTTGTGACACCATTTGCATGTTGCGTTGCTGCAGCCTCTGCTAGGCGGCACGGAAACAAACTCAAATCTTGGCAAAAACAAATTGCCCATGCAATATTTAAGATACAAGATCTGAGGCTACGTGGTTCCTGGCACCCTGCTTAAATGATATGTGGTACTACCTACAGGCATGATGGATGATGAAAAGACACTCCGGGGTCGACGACGCTAGGCTACCTACACTCCGCTTTCTCCGCACATTTTCTAGGACTACGCAAATGCAGCTGAAAATACCCCATGGGGCAGGCATTAACCGATAAGATGCTGCTGGACTAAAATGCTAGGAATCTCTGATTTGAGGGGCCATGTTGTGCTCGCTTACAATTATTTTCAACGTGTAATTGCTTCAACCCGAGTCCGCAAAGGCCCCATCATGGTTTCCAAGGCAGCAACTAACTAATGACAACAACGCCGTTGTTAATTATTCTCTCACCAATGTTTTACAACGAGTTGACTCAACTATGATGAAAAGGTCTGATAAAGTATCTCAGTAGGAGGATGGGTAGGGCGTTTAGCGTACTTCGGACATCACTTGTTCAAGATCCTGGACGGACATATGACAAATACGGGGAACAACTAATTATGATCACATCCGGTAGACCGAGAGTTTGCCATTTTCGTTTGGTGGCAATCAATGAGACGCAAGACGCTCTCTTGAATATGTTTCGTGAAGGAACAGGAAGATTGATACTAAAGGGCCAAGAGTGTTCTATACCGAAACTATGGATGTTGTGTCGTCGGAACCAGCTCGGCGCTAGCGGAAACGCATCCGGCCTCACCTCCGGGAGCACACCCGGAGCGCTGTTGACTCTTGGGAATGCGATCAATATTGACAAAACAGCTAGTTCAAACGGCCTAAAGGCTCAGTCAACATACCATTATGGCTCAAGGCGCCTGTACTTGTTGTTTGCTATAAGGCACCAGTTTGAAGAAATATAGCACATAAATATGTCTCTTACATTTACATAGAGAGCCGCAACAGGCAGCCAACCCGAAAGTTCGGCCTATTAGACGTTGTGTATCTGAGTATTATCATGGCGCTCTCTGTAGCAGGCAGATATGCTATTGTCACGGGTGGTGGCTCAGGTGCAACAACTTGTCATTGTGCTAGATGGCCCAGGCTGACTGCCATTATTAGGCATCAATCTCGCATTTACGAAGAAGCTTCTGTCGCGCGGCTGCTCGGTTCTGGTTGGTGATATAAGCCTACGACCAGAGGCCAAGGAGCTTCTGGATCAGTATCCGCACGATCCATCGACACCGCCATCTACCGACAGGCCTGTCGCGCTCTTCAAGAAGACGGATGTCGCGTCGTGGCCACAGCTATCGGCGTTGACTCGAGCGGCTGAGGCGGCCTTTCCACAAATTGACATTGTTGTTCCTGGCGCTGGCATCTTTGAGCCCAGATGGAGCTCTTTCTGGGACCCTCCAAAGTCACCAACAAATCCAGATAGCCCGTCTCGAGACGACGCAGACGGCGAGCCGGGTCATTACGCCGTACTAAATGTCAATTTGACGCACCCAATCCGGCTCAGTCAGCTCGCAATCGCTCACTGGACCTCACGCCGTATTCCGGGCTCGCTGCTCGTCGTTGGTAGCATGGCTGGATACGTGCACGGTATCGGGTCACCATTATACTTTGCTAGCAAACACGGCCTGCACGGCTTTGTGCGCAGTCTCGGCCGCCTGCGAGACACGGTAAATATTCGCACAGCGGCTATTGCGCCAGGTGCCGTCAGTGTATGTTCATACCAGCCGCGGCGAATGGGGCAATGGCTGACAATATTTTTTCTTCTGCTTTTTTTTAGACACCACTATGGAGCGGTGATCCCGATAAGAGCAACCTGATCAGCTCAGACGAAATTGCAGCCAGCGCGGAGGATATCGCTGACGCCATGTTGGAGCTGCTGGAGAATCCACAATACGGTGATGGGACGATATTTGAGGCAACGGCCAAAGGCACGCGAGTAGTCCCCGCGTTTAACGCCCCTCCACCAGACATTGAGGATGGAGGTATATCGGAGTATGAGGCCGGCGTGTCGAGACAATGGGAGAAGAAAATCACAGAGGAGGGGCTAAAGGTTTAGGCAGACTAAACTATCTATCTCTGTATGAGATTTGCTCTAGATTTCCGCGACTTTGCAATGCTCGATATTGAATATTAAGATTGAATTGCATGTTTCCCAGTTACTTCATTCTACTAACCCTGAAATCCTCTAAGTTTCAAATGTGAGGGATGGATAGGTGTATATAAAGAATAACAATTGGTGTCACGCAAGGTTGGCTTGACAGTTTAAGACTTTCCTATTTTAAGCCAGGCAATTGCTGACAAAAGAGTAGAGTTTCGAGAAGTGGGCGCTATGAGTTGAGACAGGCCACGGAAGCAACTCCGCAAGCTTCCATGGAGAATGGCACCAAGAATTCCACTAGGCAGGAGTTTGCGCGACTAAGCGAAAATCAAGCAATGTTTCCTGTCCACCCAACTATCCTGGGAGAATCTCTCAAGAAAGTCGGCCATCGCTGATCAATGACAAATTAAACGCAAGCAATCAAACCGTTCTCATAGTCTCATCACCATCACTCTTATTTATTACAGGTGAAAAGGCGTATAGGTATTGGTTCCACTTGCCTGACCAAATGTTTCATTCTTTTTGAGAGAGAACTTAGCGTTCATAGCCACCTCCCCTTTCATCAGTGCGAGGCGGATATGATCCTCTACTGTAGCAGCAAAGCGGAGTATCTCGGTTAGCATCTAGGCATCTGATCCGGGGACCCAGGCGGGGAAGCGGGATTGGCGGATAGAGCTACGATACAGCCATCTCAATATGCATAAAATGGGACATGTTGTCCTCCCTCCTTTAGCAAGCCAATCAACAAAGTCTGGGCAATATACACAAACACATCTTATCCATTATATCGCTACAGAAATGGAACCCAAAGAGCTAAAGCATACACAAATCGCCGATGGACTCTTGTTCGGCGAGTCCCCTCGCTACTACAACGGCCTGCTCTATATCAGTGATATGGCTGGACGTATCATCTACACCATAAACCCTTCTTCCGGTGAAAAGAAAGTGCTTCGTGAGGTAGAGACTCAGCCCAATGGCATGTGCTTTGCCTCTGACGGCTCGCTCATTTGGTCGTCCATGTTTGATGCCAAGTTGTACCGTCGCGATGCCTCTGGAAATGATACACTGTACGCCGACCTGTCAGGCGTCATGACCGGCTACTGCGGCGACATGGTGATCGACAACACCGGCCGTGTCTACCTAGATGACACGGGAGCTCGGGTCTTACACGGTGAACAACCACGGCCGGGTAGGCTTCTTGTCATCGAGACAGACGGATCCGTCAAAATCGCTGAGGAGAACATTGTCTTTCCCAACGCCTTGTTCATTAGTGCCGATGGAAGAACGCTATACTGTGCCGAAACCTTTGGGTATGGGCTGCTCAAATGGGATATTGGTGCCGGTGGCAAGGTCTCCAACCGCCAAAAGGTGTGGTCTCCCGCCACAATCTCACCAACCGGCGAGGTTGGCAATACTGCTCACGGCCTCATCGGTATCGACGGTGGATGCATGGATGGTGAGGGAGGCATGTGGCTGAGCTTGTTGGGTCTAGAAAAATTCATCCGCCTCGACCAGCAAGGGACCATTACACACGAAATCCATGTAAAGGGTCATGCGACTGCATGTACACTGGGTGGAGACGATGGAAAAACACTATTTCTGGTCACCAACTGGTTCTCAGATGATGAGGAGAGCATTTTCACTGCCGTAGCAGCCAAGCGAACCAAATGTACTGTGAGCTATACCAGAGTAGATGTTGCAAAGGGCACGGCGCTGCCGTAAGGACTCGATCGAGACTCTAGGCATATACAGCCTAAAATCATGACCAAAGTAAACTAAGTACTAAGATTTAAATACTAAGTAGATACAATACAAGAGAAGATGAATTCGCACATTGATAGCTTTATAAGTAAATATATGTATAACTTTCATTGTCTTCTCTTTTCGATAGCATGCTAGGGTAATACATAAACAGAGTAAAATTTCCTTCTATACCAAAGCGCACTATTAGGTATCTACGCAACTTTGTTCCTTTGACAATAACATGTTGCCACAGTCATAGATCCCATACACAAAAATAAGCTTGTTTACAAAGAGTAGGACGTGTTATGTGTCCAGTACAGATATGTTCCACGGCAATTACAAAGATTTCATAATTCAAGTGTCTATCTCCCTTCGCCTATAGATACAAGCCAAAATCCAGGATGAGACTAATTCAATTATTCCTCTTCATGTATTCGCAATTCTATATAGTTCATTTCTTACATATTGTAGGATATGCAGTCATCTCAAACCAACCAGCTTACTTAACATCTATACTGAGGCCCTTTATTTTAGCCAGCAGTAATTTTCCAAGCACGTATCATGTGCCTCATACATGCTACGGCCTCCCAGCTCGGAAGACTAAATCCTTGGTGATACTGCCATACCGGGTTTTCCACAGGTCCACAAAGTAATTGGTGCGTCCTCTCCAGGGTCCAATATTGCCGCAGCGGGGGATGAAGCCCTGTGCTTTTTTCACGTACGTGGCATCAAGATCCCAAATCGGCCGGCGCTCCATGGGAAATTCCTTGGGCAAGCGCGGAACAACGCTGGAATAATGCTTTTTCCGCATATGTTGTAGCAGGCGGCAGACGAGCTGAGAGCTGGTTTCGACTCCCAGGGTCCAAGAGGCATTGACATAGCCCATCATAAAAGCCAGATTCGGTACATCTTGTAGCATTGTTGCGTTCCAAGCATAGCGATTGGCGAGGTTGATCTCTTCGTCGTCTATAGTTATGCGTATATGGCCACCGAGGCAGAATTTTAGGCCCGTAGCGGTGACAATCACGTCCGCCTCCAGTGTCTTTCCATTATCGAGAATGATAGAGTCAGAGGACATTGTCTTAATGTGGGCCGTCTCAATATGTGCCTTCCCGCCTCGGAGACTCTCAAAGAAGTCACCGTTGGGCGTGAAGCAGACGCGCTGATCCCAAGGCTTGTAGAGTGGTCGGAAATGAGGATCCATGGGAACATCCTTGGGGAGCTGTTTTGCGACTGCGCCTTCCAAAGCAGCCCGAGAGCGCTCTGGAAAGAGTCGGCAGAAGTTGTATAGGATAATAATCATCCACATGAACATCCAGCGATCCAACTTGAATGCCCATGTCCGAGGCAGAAGTTTGTGTATCCATGAACCACCTGTCGTGTTATCGATGGACATGATGTAAGTAGGACTGCGCTGTAGCATTGTCACATGGCTTGCCTTTTTGGCCAAGTTGGGAAGCAGCGTGATGGCAGTGGCGCCGCTGCCAATGATGACCACCCGCTTGCCAGTATAATCGAGGTCTTTGGGCCAGAACTGAGGATGTACGATAGTGCCACGGAAGTTATTAGACAAGCCCGGGATCTCAGCCCGTAGGGGCTCATTGTAGTCGTAATAGCCTGTTCCCAGAATCAAGAACTTGGTATGTAGCTGAATGCGGCGGGCCTTGGTTTCGACCTCCAACGTCCAGAGCTCCAACCCGGATGACCAGCTGGCCGCGACGATGCGATGCTGAAACTGAATGTGGCGATAGATTCCATCCCTTTCCGCCGTGGTGCGCAAATAGTGGACGATGGAATCACCATCTGCGATGGCTCGATTCTCTTGCCATGGCTGCCAGCCGAATCCAAATGTATGCAAGTCCGTGTCCGACCGAATGCCAGGATAGCGGAATAAGTCCCACGTACCACCAATGTTATCACGGCCCTCAAGAAGCAGATACTCAGAGTCGGGAAGTGTTTTCTGTATATGATGCGCTGCACTGATGCCAGAAATACCAGCACCTACGATGATGACATCGTACACGTGGTTAGGAGAGCCTTTCTTCATGATGTCTATTGCCGTAGTAGAAACCTGAACATGACACTGCAAATTGCTCATCAAAAGTATTGCCATGATAACCTACCTACATGTATGTGACTCTGCGGGAGGCATCCGGAGGCCTGGATCCGTATGCCTGAATCCCTGAGCCGAAGCTGGGCCGGATCCGGATCCGAAGCACGCCCCGGGTTCTTGGGCCCGGTCCGGGTATAGACCCGGTCTCGATGTCATGGTACACATTGTGGGCAGTTGTCCAGTTGCTCAAAGTGTGATTCTGACTGCACTTACCGGGCAATGGGAGCCAACTTTGTAGCTGCTTAGTTTCAGATTGGCTTCGCTTGTTTTAATTGGAGAGCCCTAATTCCAACCTCCGCAACACAAGTTTCTTATCCTATACGCTTACAATTCTTCCCCGGATCCTACTTCCACATCGCGGGGAAGATTTCTATGGAGGGGGACTTTGAGGCTTATGGTTACCGGGAAGCTGGGGCTTTTATGATTATAAAGGAACCACTCTTTCTCACCTTGTGCCCTGTAAAGTCAGATTCATCCAGTGAGAACTTCAGCCTGAAACCATTCTCTATTTACACTTTGGCTTTTTCAAATCAAAATGGGGCCCAATAGAATCGACGTTCATCACCACTTTGTCCCAGATTTCTACCGCCAAGGTACTGCTGCTTTTCCCAAGACCTATATATTAGACCCACTAACCTTTCACACTTGATCAGCTGTAGAGGCTTCCGGCGGGGATCCATCTGGGTGGTTTATTCCCGAATGGACAAGCCAGTTGGATCAAAAAGTCAACGACAAATTCGGCATCAGCACTACCATTCTTTCCCTCACGGCGCCAGGAGCCTGTATCCTGCAGGATCCTCAGGCTTCCGCCAACTTGGCCCGGCAGGCCAATGAGTTCTGTTCCAAGTTGCGAGATGAGCGGCCCAATCAGTATGGCTTCTTTGCCGCGCTACCAAATCTCTTGGACGAGGAGCTCACGCTCAACGAGATCGCCTACGCCTATGACGTTCTCAAGGCGGATGGCGTGGTCTTGTTCACACGCTACGGAAAGGGCAATCACTACCTTGGCCACCCAGACTTCAAGAGCATTTGGGCGGAGCTGAATCGCCGCTCTGCCGTGATTCTCGTTCACCCTACTCATCCGGTCGATACCGCTCAGGTCAGCGGCCTACCTCAGCCGGTCATTAGGTATCCTTTCGAGACGACCCAAACCGCGATCGACATGCTGCTCAACAAGACGGTTCGTAACAATCCGAAATGCAAGATTATCTTATCACACGCTGGTGGTACCCTGCCGTATCTCATCGGCCGCCCGACTAGTGTGATAAACAAGACTAAGGAAGACGCTGATGCATTCTGGGAGGATGCTCGCAGCTTCTACTACGACACGGCCGTCGCTGGGACAGATAACGTACTGTGTATCCTGGAGAAGTTCGCCAAGCCTGGCCATATACTCTACGGCAGTGATACCCCGTACGCAAATAATGATATAGTCGACTTTCACACATCTCGGCAGGATGCGTACCGATTTCAAGATCCAGCCCTGGCCGCTCAGGTGAATCGTGAAAATGCTCTAGCATTGTTCCCAAGGCTGAAAAGTCAACTATCAAATTAGATGACACATAAATTGTATCCTCAATACTGTCCAATACAAAGTGAAATTTGGCCTTTACCCTTGGTTATTTATTTAAATTAAGTTATATTTTTTAAGTACACCTAATCAGTTATAGTTGCCTGATCATGGATTTTATATGTCTTTCACCCTGATCCTAAGTTATATAGAGAACAATGGTTATAAATAAACAAACCAATTTTCATTATTACATTTTATATCAAGAAACTAACTATTCAAGTTGTAATCAATAAGTGTAATAAATATTCTCATGTTGTACCTTGTTCCCGTTTAGATCATGCCATTTAAAAAACAATGACCTTTTACAACAGCATTTTTTTCACAAACCTATGTGACTTCTAGAGTGCAATACATAATTCTCTAAACGCACTGGGAATAGTAGTCATTCACATATAGACGTGGCTCCCGTTCGGCAGCATGTTGGCCCTGACCATCCAATACCGCCACATTGGCTTTATCTTGTCAAGCAGCTAACACCACCTGCTGTTATTGTTGGAGCGATGGGGGAAATTGTGATGATTGTCTTGGATATCGTCGATACGCTGCTGCTGCTGCTGCCGCTGCCGTTCTGCAGATCTGGAACAGAGTACAACCCCCGATACAGCTTCTATGGATGAGAATATCCCACCAGGCTTTATAGCATATTTAGAATCTGAAGGCTCTAACCCAGACTCTGCGACTGTAAGGAATTTAGCTAGTAATATTAAAGATAATCTGTTGCTTGAAGAATTTACTAATGTTTCTAGAGTAGAACTATGGGATAACTTGCTAGGATTGTAAGGTTCATTTATACCCGCTCAGGCCTTAATAAAACCATGTAGATATTAAATCAGCTGATTTACTGAAAGTAGAAATAATGTGATATTATAGGGTCTAGTTTAATTTTTGTACAAGTATTGTTGAACAGACCACTTGGCAGAAGCAAATTGACCACTTCTCTTGCCGAATTGTATACTACTAATACTTATATTCCCTATCTTCACCAACGAGTAGGCTATACATTGTAAGCGGGATGCCACCCATCGGCATTCCACAAAGTATCCCTGTGTCCTTGATTCCCCGCACTTATATATAGATGAGGCGTTGTGCCGAAATCTCTCCAATCTTCGGTAAGTCTATAGAGGATGGGTCAAGGTATGTGGAGTTCCGGGAGTATAATAAGCGCGCTAAATTATTGCCGTTAATATTGTAGCAGGGTCGGAGATTTTTTTCCCACCAATCTTCGAACAGTTCCTAATGTTTCTCCTATACCCACCTTGTAGTGTAAGTAATGGTGGAGCAGCTCTTGCTTGTGCTTGGGAGTCCTGAACCCTCCTTGGCGATTGCGCCCGCTTTCTTTTTGCCAAGACCGCCCCTGTGGCCTGATATCCAGGATACCTTTGTTATAACCTTTGGTTTGAGGCTTTGTGCTCTTTTTCGTAGCCCTATGTAGACTTACCGTAAGGACGTAGGTATGTGTTATTTCAATTGTATATTCAAGCAGGCCAAACACTGAGATAAAGATGCTATAATAAATCATGCATTCAATAAAAAGACATCCTCAAGAAGCTACTGTATATTATTCAATAAAGACCGATTCATTATACCTCAATTCTATCAGCTTATTCTGTCCTCACCGCCTTTCAACCTCTCTAGCCGCAATGGTAAACCGGGCTCCAAACTTGGGCCGACTCGGCTTTTCGACTTGATTCCGGGCGAGTTGAGCCGGGCAACTTGATTGCGCTTATACCTACAGACTCGGATATAGTACCCGTCTGATTTCCTACCCTTCCTAGTACAGGCCGAGTGTACCCTCTGTGTGTAGTTGATGTTAGCTAACTCTGTCAGAAATTATTTTAGTTTTAGAGCTATATATAAACTAGAGCCTATGGTAGTAGTACAGAGTGAGTGGAGTCGTAATCCTCTGCAGAAAGCAAATGCGGGCACCTAGTATAAGTTAGTAGTTCATTGATTAGTTATTTTATAGTCCCTGGTAAGTCCTGAAAATAGATTTTGTATAGCTCTATTGTAGAGTCAGTTGTTATTAATTTTCCTCTGGTTTTACCAAGTTATACAGCCAAGTAGTTAACACATGCTATGTATTTGCATGGAATTTTCAATATTTGCTGTTGGATACCAGTGCTTTTGTTCTGGAGGCCACAGAGATACCTACGTCTAGATTCTCTAGTATAAGACCAACGCCGAATGTTAGGTCCTCTTTCAGTCTATAAATTAATGCAAAGTAGATCTTCTATCATTTGTCATAATCTCTTAAAAATCATTAATTATAGTATAACGTATAACCAAGGTTGCAATGGGGTAAGCTATGCTCGCATTCTAAATATACCTTACTACATGTAATAAGTTTACATCGAAAATATGCTCTACTCCGCCTTCATGCAAGAGTGATTAGTTAACAGTAAGCTGACATATTTTATCATGAGTAATTATTACGTTCAGATATATTTTAATAGTAAAGGTCTGTTCTGCTTTAAGGCGAAGGCAAGTTATAAATATCAAGTCCTTTCGACTTGTAGATAAAACTTTTGAACAACAACCATCGCAAATAAACCAAATCTCACTTACAACATTACATCTTTACATATTATAAACCTTTCCAACATGAAGTCCGTTCTGGCTATCATTACGCTCGCTATTGGCCTTGCCAGTGCTGATACTTTGAGCATTGATCTGCACGCCGGAAGTTGCTCTGATACTGCTTTCCAAACTTTCACAATTGGAAATATTGGTGAATGCCACCCTGCTCATGAAGCATTCAACTTTTATGTTCAGCACGACATCGCCCAGAGTTTCTTCGGCCGAAACCTTGGTATCCGGGCCTTCCGCAACGGCGACTGCTCTGGCCCTTCCAGCACCAACTCATTATCTAATGCTCGCTCCTGCGTTGGAGCTGAAGGAGCTAGCTTTATGCTCACGACCATCAACTAAGGTCGATGGATAATAGGATCAGGTGGCTCTATTCTTGGGATGTTGGAAAAACAGAGCAGAAGGAGTGGGAGGAGAAGGCAGATCAATGAAACTACCAGTACATAGAGAACAGCTATGTAGGACTTCAATATCAGAATCAGGCTCCTCTGGCCTGATACTGCAGTTTCCCAAACTTAATGACTTGTTTAACAATTTCTGAAATTGTCCTACTATTCCTTCTCCCTACCATCCATGCAGAGTATTGACGCCAAGCCACTGCAATAACCTGATATTTGTGGCCCATGACTGTTAATGAACACTTTCCTGTGTCCGAGTCTCATATCTCGATTTTTTTTTCCAGCGACGACGACACGAGGCGTGCTGCACCCAGAGCGTAATTCTGAGTTCCATATTTCAACTTTTCTATCAGTCTTTCCGACGCGACTCATGATTCATCGTACGATGAAACTGCCCAGAGAGCGCCAATATCGTGTCCCTTGCAACCCCATCTTAGACCGCCTGATTGCAGAGCTCAAATCCTGATAGAGTCATTAGCTATCATTAAATACCCACCAAGGCGACTGTGCCGGAAACTTGAGGCATCAAATGTTTTAATCACCATTGCACGCTCGACGCCGTCTAGACCCCACAGCCTAACAGTGTTTTCATATAGCTTAGAAGTAAATATATTTCTATCTTTTGTCTAGGCCAAGAACATGACGGCATCGGTATAGACTTTGAGAACGTGTAGACATTGGCTGGTTCCCGTGTCCCAGACCCTCACTGCCGTTCCAAGACCACCCATTCAGGATTGAATCACTACTTTGGCCCTAATTCAGGTGCCCAGGCGGCTCCTTGGATGAAGCAGGTATGATCTGTAAGATTTGACTTACACTGGCCTGCTAATGCGTTCCAGATTGAGACAGTTCCAGATTGAGACAGTCTTATCATAAGACGCGGTTGCAATCAATGCCGCGTCTTGGGACAAGGCCCGAAGAGAATTTTCTAGCTTTAAGTCAGAGACTACAATATTCCATTCAGACGAACACCGATAACCAGAATATACAATATATGTCCAGCTCAGTTAAAATGTTTAATATCCTGTGTACTTGTTTCCATTGTAGTGCAAGTCTAAGCGCAAGTTTACGCGCAAGACGTAATAAGCGGCCTACGTAAACCTACCACCATTAGACGCTTGTGGAGGACTAGAGAATACAGTCAGAGAGCGATTCATTAATAGTCTAAGGACAAATGTAGCCGAGTAGGGTAAAAGAGAAATCCCATTTCCGGCCATCGCTGCTGTCTCTCCGGCCGCACCAAGTGTCGTCAGCAAACCTTCAAATGTCAGAATCAATGGATTCCTGGCCCACAGGCACAAGCGTTTGGCCTGGGAAATAAGTCTCTCTATTGGACGGTAGTGGGAATCGCAGCTGTAGTAAGAAGCAGATGCCGTGATCATTGCCTAATTTGGGTTATACTTAGGACACAAGGCACAATCAGATTGATCAACCTCAAACTTGTACCGATGGAGAGTGAATCGGCATGAAACGTGACAAGTGTTGTTTATGTATTTACAAATCGGACGTTTGTTATTTACAATAAATTTAAGGGTTCTTTTCTATGTGCTTAATACAGCTGTGCTACTGCTCCACTCTACTATGTCACTTAGAGTTAGCCTGTGTTAAATGGATGAAGCAATTGGCTAGGCAGACCGGCAATTTCTCCGAATGATGTAGTGTTACCCCGCATTAGAAGCTTCATCTTTGTAATTCCACTTGTTATTATGTTATTATGTGTGATTTGAATATAGCAACATTATCATTGTTATATCTCGAGGTCTCAAGGCACACCAATAGGGCAAGGTCATTTCTGACATTTCCGATTTCCCGCATATCACATCAAGCATGCGTCGATATGTGCCTATCCAGCCCGCTAGCTCTGCTAGTCGCGAGAACCTTGAAAGCTCTGAATCCAGTTCGGGTAATGCGTCAACAACCAAGCGACGCCGTATAGGCGTGTCTATAGCCTGTAACGCCTGTCGTCGTAGGAAAATTAGGGTTTGTCTTGACATTTTCTGAACCATTGGAGGATAACTGCTAACATGCAATGGTGTTAGTGCGACGGGTTACGGCCGAACTGTTCGAACTGTAAAGACAGTCCCGAACCCTGTATTTACAGAAATGATTCCGAATTGTCCCACGACTCAAAGTTACTCTTGCTTGAAGTCATACGTCTCTTGAATTCCATTCCCGATGATGAAACGCTAGAGAGGTTACGAGTTCTAAGGAGAGAGATTGATACCTCAGTTATTTTAACAATATTGAGGCAGGATGTTGACTCCAGCCAACAACCTTTAGACAAGTCTGAATCAAGTTCTGAAGGGGGAGACCCGTTTCAAGTCCTGGAACTCTCTTCTCAGTACCCCAACGTATACCCTATGGTACCTCATCGGAGCATGGAAACTTTGCGGGAGACAACCTATCAGCAGCTTATTGTGGGAGGCAGGGGCAGGCACCAATCGACCCCAGCGCAAACCGAAGATCCAAACCCAATAGATTCAGTTTCAGAAATCTATGACCCACGTCTTTCCAGGTTGAATATTCATTTATGGACCAAGGTGCCGATATCTAGCGAGCTTGCTGCGCGGACTATCACCTTGTACCTTGAAACCGACCACCCTCTTTTAGGCTTTTTCGAGCCTGATCTATTTTTATCGGATCTCATAGAGGGCAAGACCAAATATTGCTCTTCGCTGCTAGTCAACTCTCTGCTATACTGGGCAAGTGTTAGTATTGCTCCTGTCCCATTGTTCCCTCCAGGTTGTCCTATTAATGCAGTATACAGCAAATGAATATTGCACAGGGATCTGATGATAGTTCATTCACACTCCAGTTTTGTGCGGAAGCAGAACAGCTATGGCGTACGCAAAAAGAGACTGACTGCATACTAAACCTAATAGCAGCGCAATTTCTGAGTTTAGGATACCTAGGCCAGGGACGGGATCACGTAGTTTTGTCATACGCCTCCGAGGCCTCTCGCATGGCTGTTCGACTGGGCTTATTCGGGGTCCAAGAAGACAATCCTGCGCTCCAAGAAATATCCATACTATCAAAGGAGTCCAGGAAGGCTTATATGTATGCGGCCTGGGGTTCTTTCAATTGTGCAACGTAAGCAATTTCCACTCCTAGTCTGTTGGAAATGTTCATTGATGTGCTCAACATTTATTCAAGCTATATGTCTTTGTTTTATCGCCAACCGGGTTTAGTACCTCCAGAATGCCCTCCACATTTACCAGTGCCCGAAATTCAGGAAAATAAGGACTCTGAGAACAAGAAGACTGAAGATATCGACTACAAGGGAGGCGTGTTTCCGCAATTATGCCACTTTTGGTCCATTTTGCATGAAGTCGCATTGCTGTACGCCGGAAATGAGAAGCCCTCCACTGACTCAAGAAGCCTACGTTTTGCGGAGTATAAATTTCGCGAGTTATTAGCATGGAGCAATAGTTTGCCAAACGACCTCTGCCGAAACGACCAAAATCCGCATTATGTTCAGGTTATGCAGTATGTTCTTTGAACCTTATTCATATATGGCTCGGCCCTAATGCGTTCCAGTATTTGGCTACATGCATCTATCCTCGATATATTCAGATACGGAGTTTCCGGTCCATTACGTCACAGTCATTTGCGAACCTTTAGCAGCCCAGAGAGCTCTGCGGACAGGGTTTACAATGCATCAGTCCACCAACTAAAACACCTTGTAATGAACTATAGGCTGAAATTCTCTTCTTATCTTACTCTATTTTGTGGCATGCTGCCTTAATTTACCTTGCAAACGCGCTTTTATACCAACCAAAAGAAGAGGATTGGGTGTTTTACTTTTTGCTTTGCGTATACGGCTACGAGCGACTCCACACGCATTGGCGTGTTACAAAGTCGATTTCCACTGCCCTCTTATCCCTGGCATTGCGGAAAGGGGATATCTCAAGTACTGCAGCACGGCACATCCTAACAGATCTGGATCAAAGTACAACCTCCGATGCAGATCCTTTGGATGAGGCTATAAGAGCAGGTTTTATGGCAGATTTAGATCTTGAAGGTCCTATCTCGAACTCTACGACGGTAGAGAATCTAGCCTATGATATTGACGATAATCTCTTGCTAGAGGAATTTACCAATGCTTCTGGATTAGAATAATAGGACAATCTGAAGAAAGAAGAACCTGTATGGACACCATTCTTTCGATGGACCCAGTCCAATGAAAAAAAAATCCACGATTGAGAGTAAGCCAGGCGCGGGTACACGCAGTAGTGAAGTTACTTGGCTAACACCAGAGCATAAAGAAAGCGGCCGAGGGTTAGCTTTCATCACCGGTTATTTTTCTTATTTTTTTCTTCAACTTCGATCTAGGATGACTGACGTAATTGAACGTCGAAGGCTTCTGTGATCCCTAAATCACCAAAACTTGAAGGGTAGCAATATTCTTCTCGATAAGAGTATTCTCTGAGTATCTAATTGCCGTAACTATGGAGCAGTATACTGATTGGGGCCTAGGAAGGTGAGACAAATTCGCTTTTCGGTACTAAATAAGTACGATCGACCTTTATTCGTCTTTAGCTGACGGCCTTGGTGAAGTCACTGGAAAAGATGAGGCTTTAGGTCTTCTTTTTCTACTTGGCTTTCTCTAGAACTTTTACAAAGCGAATTTATGCGTCGCAAACTGAGAAGAGCTGCTGCTGAGATACAATAATGACTATGATATTTGATAACAGATATAAGTAAAATGTAATGTTATTGTACAGTGAATTGGTATTGCTCTCCTCTATTGAGGTAGACGACTCGGTTCTGTAGCCCAGCATGCTCGATCTCTTTCATAAAGTCTGACAATGGCGAAAGAAAAACATCATAGTCGTCGTAATGTATAGGAATTGTGATATCTGGGTTAACAAGACGAATCAACTGGAGCCCTTGTTTGGCATCCATAGTCACCATTACCAACGGAGCGAGGGCGCTTGGAATTGTGGTGCCTCCAAGATGAATTAGCATAAGATCAACTTGCTTCCCTTCAAGCCACTTTGGAATCTCCTGTAACTCGTCGACAAATAATGTATCACCAGATATATAGATGCGGTAGCCTGCATCGAATTCGGAAGCTGGATTGTCACGGATGTCTCTTGTACCAGTTACCCAGCCCAGCTCAAGGAGCCATCCATTTGTGGGCGGTACAGCATTCAAAAAGTCGTTCAACTTTGAGATAGGGCCGGGAGGGATATGTTTTCCTGGCATGCCGGTTACTTTTATCGCAGATGTCCTTGATTCGTCTTTTTCTGTCTTGCCGCTGTTTCGGCATTCCAAAAGCATGCTTTCAAAGAAATCGAGGGCATAAACAGACTTGAAAGGCTCTGATCTAGATGAAGAGGTCAGACATCCTTTCGCATGCGGGGTCGTAATAATAGGGAAGTTCCTATTGAGCGAATCTTCGACTATCCGATCAAAATGATCCTCATGGTAGTGGGACAGTAAAATGCAATTCAAATGAGGTAATTTATCCAGTTCAACAGCTGGATTTGTCCTTCTTTGTGAAGTTACTCCAGGTCCAAGATGCACATGGTCCCCTGCATGTAGAAAATTCGGATCAGTCAAAATGCGGAAACCACGCCATTCAAGAACTGTAGTAGCAGTTCCGATGAAGAAAACGCTGGCGTTTTCTTCGCTAGTTGAATTGATAGGGTGTGTAAGGACATTCTTGATGGGTAATGCGGCTGATGGACCTCCAGTTCCACTTTGACCTCTGAGCAGTGAGACTCTAGACAACTGGTCAAGGACTAGATGGCGTGTTACCACCTTTTGTGACATTGTGGCAACAAGGAACAAAGTTCCACAAGGTCGCGATGAAATGAAAAGAAATATACAAGAAAAGTCTAAAAATTTTGGATTGCGAGCCACGCGAGATTTAAGAGGGTTATACTACCTATGATATACGGATGACGCATGCATAGGTAGCATCGTGACGCCACGGGGCCGTCAGTTTGTGCGCACATTCACGTCTAATTTTTATACTCAGCCGAGGTCCAGGCCACGAGACCACCCGAGACTGATGATTAAGAGCTGCGAAAAAAAAAAAAAAAAAAGCAGGTGCTCCAAGCCACGTTTGAAGCGTCTATGCTTTTTTTTTTTTTTGGGGGGGGGGGGGGGGGGGGGCCGGGGGGGAGGGCAGTGGACTGCGGCTTGGGTGCACCTAGGTGGCTTCGAACTTGAATATGAATATTACGCCAATCTTCCGCGTAAGAAGTGAGTCTTGTCCCCAATGCGCTGGTCCAGAGAAGCAGTATGGGAACCCAGATCTAGAATTGGTACTAGAGCTAACAGATCCCGAGCGTATTGCGCAGCTATGCCCTGCTATGGTTACAACAAAAGCTCACGAGGAATTATGCATGGACTTAGAGGCGTATCTTTGTGTTACCCAGTTCTGTATTGTTAGTGAAGCTGTCAGCAGTAAAAGTTGTGGAACTTGATTAGTGGAAAGAGTTGCCAAATGTGAAATGCGTAAAGGTAATGTCTTGGCCCTAGGGCCGGGATATTGCTACAACTTACATGTACTGGTATACAGTGTAACAGATTTAGGCGATGCTCTGCTATAGATCAAGTATTCAATCGACAACTTTGCATTATGCAATCTAAGATATAGAAAGGCTAGCGATCAGTATCCTCTAACCTTTGAGACATTGTGGGAAGAGGATGATCGATTATTGATAATAGAATTCTCTGCGCTGTAAATCCAAGCAATTCGGCTAGGCAGATAGTTATAAAAAAACAACAATGATCGCGAACCAGGCCCTGGCTGCGGCCATGGAAGACCTTCACTAATACATAGAGAAAATCCCGAAGGGTCACAAGATACTAGAATGAGAGATTATATTGTCTCAATAGCTAAGATGCTCTAGACATTTATTGTTATACAGGAAGGCGGCGGATAATATAGGTAAACATAGGGTAGGGGAGACTAATGTTATCAGCTTCCAAACAAACAACTGTTATAAAAATAAGTCTAATAATACTTTAGCATCAGCGAGGGCTGGATATTGTAAATTAGCTGCATGGTAGTATTACAAACAGAAAGAATAAGAAGACATAGCATTGTAAGAAACTGAAACTTTACAAAAGGATAAATCTTCCTATATTTCTTTATTTTAGGGGAAACAGAATTAATATACAAAGAAAAAATATAAGAGAAATAGTTAACTATTTAATGGCCTTTAAGTTTGTATAGATCAAGGGAGACAAGAGTAATATCTCTGATCAAGTAACTCGCAACAAGAACAATCCGCAGTAAAGTTGTTACTATATTCCAAAGCTCAAGGATCAATTAATATCACAAACTAAAGCTTTAATAAATACATTAAAGACTTAGCACAAAATAGCAACCTTTGAGGGAGTCTTGGTGATTGCTAACAAGAAATGTTATTAGGAAGCTATGCAATAGCTACGCATACCCTGAAAATTGAAAAGGAGATATTTCCAGAAAACCCATCAGTTGGCTTAAAGGGTACACAAAACAAGCTAATTGGTATTTACTCCTATACCTATAAGAATAATTCAGTCCAGAAAGAGGGTCAGGAGAAGAAAATTGTATACTGTCAGGATGCGGCACAGGTATACTAGAACAAGATCTTGTAGCAGGTGAGTATAACTATATTCAGACAAGGGAATATTATACTGCTAGGAAATGCTTACCACAAAGTATATGTATTTAAAACCAGACTGTCATTGTGCAAGGATAAATCCACCATCACTCTAGAATACAACATGGTTGGCCGCCCCATCAGCTCCCTTATCGAAACGGCTATACTGAAGAGTGCTGTGCTGGTTATGGCTGGTCGCCGGTGGGATGGTCCGTCTCCTCCCGGTTGGGATTTGCTTCTTCGTAATGAGACAACTTGACAAAACGGTAGAAACCTGCAGCCACCAAAGCGCCCATAAATGGACCAAGCCAGTAGATCCACTCATAACCAGGGAAACTAGGCGTCGCGACGGCACATCCGAAACTGCGAACTGGATTGAGTGATGCGCCGGTGTAAGAAGTCCCTGACAACTAATGTGTTAGCATGAAGATAATGCGGAACTTCTCAGTAGGTGTCTTACCAGCTAGCATGGCAACAAACAGCGCTAATCCGATACCGATGGGTGCGATAAAAGTGTCTTTAGAACGCTCGGCAGAGAGCATTAATACAACGAATACAAGGAAGGCTGTAAAAAACATCTCAATGAAGAGACCTCGTACGATCGATGTGTCGCTTGAGAGAACACTGTTGGCCACGGCAAGGTCACCTGGGAACATGCAGCGTGCTAGACCGCCTGCACACATGCTGGCGATGATTTGTGCTGGGACTAAGAAGGCGGCTCGCACCCAAGGTAGCGTCCCCGCCAAACACATGCCGAGCGTTACCTATTGAGTTGACGATCAGTTACTCCATTTTCTGCATCACAGCATACCTTGGACACGTAGATTTTCTGGTGTTTAGGCGCTGGAGGGAGGGACAGAGACGTACTGCAGGATTAAACAGACCACCACTTATACGGTAAAACGCCCAGACATTGACGAGTAGGGAGAAGCTGTATACGTGCGCAATGAAGAAGACAGTTGTATCGCTTATTCCCCCAGAGGGTGGTGACAAGGTAGCCTGCTTTATGTATTGCATGCTGCCAGCGTAAGCGAACCATAGGAAAAAGAAAGTTCCAACAAACTCCCCAGCTGATGCAATGAGATGCTTCTGTATTGTGCTAGGGTGAAAGCGATCACGGTTGCGGTTATTGTCGCCAGACACTGAGCGCTGCTTGAAAATCCTTAAAGAGTCCATCTTGTTCTTTGCCATGTAGTATATGCTAATAGCCAAGGGGACTATGTGACGGCAACTGTAAATGAGAGAGTCAATTAACGTTCTGACTGACCAAATGAGCGGGCACTCTTTAAGTACCCTAAAGAGCTGGAGAGGTACATGGCTTATGTTTGGCATCGTGCGTCAGGCGAGGAGTGGCGAGCGGCGGACAATATGTTCCGATAACACCAAGCTGTTGTAACACGCCATTTAACATAGGGGCTGATAGATGGTGTCGTCATACAGTTTTGCTATACCTGTATCGCACTAAACTCCAGTGAATTCACCAATGCGGCTCGCTTAGGAAATGCATCCTTGAGACTATGGGTAAAACACATTAACAAGCTAAAGACAATACCAGTGGCCCTGAATTGGTAAGTTAAGCAAGTTGTCTGTAAAAGGAAAGACTAACCGATTCATGTATAAGGACTACAATACAACATGGCTCTATGGACTATTACAGACAAATAATGGGGTTTAACATTAAACAATGGAGCTATTTCGAGCTCGCTTGATAAGAAACCCAGCCTGAAAAAAAGGAGCAAACTGAAGGCTATATCTCAGAGATTATTCTGCTCAAAATCAATAGACAACATAAACACAGTTAACAAGATAACACAAGTTACCAGCATACAGTTCCGTCTCTTACTATCTTCAATCCTGAAACTTCTAGTCTCTATCGGAGAATGCAAAGAGGTTTGTTTTAGCAAAGAAGTCACAGTGCATTCTTACTATCCTTCACAATGATTCACGTATGGGACAAGCAATATTGGGTGCCCCAGGTACCTTAGCCAAAGACACATTGATGCGGTAACTCGCATTTATTAATCCGAGTCCTTTATTGGGTAGCAGAGCGTTAAGGCGGATCTCCCTTCTAGATGCATCAAGGGCTTTACACAATACCTTAGGGCAGAAATAATTGTTTTCATAAATGTAGAAGATCCATAATTAAGGAAATAAACAAATTGCGCAATTAAAGTTCGGATCGAGGGCAAAAAAATAGGAAGAGTAAGCTATGTGAGAGGTAGTTATATAATTATAGCGGGTGCTTTGAGTATATATTCTAAGCGAGCTTAAGATATATAGTAGCTGCTGTAAGCAAATTAGTTGGGAATAGAGTATATATAACGCTTTGAAGTTGAAAAAGTAGGATTAAGGAAGCTAAAACAGGGTTGTCTAGCTGCAACGTGAGCTGGGGGGGGGATGGTTTAAGGGATGCGTCGAGCGTCGAGCTGGAGGGTGAGGATATAGAGAAGCTGTTAGCTTTTTATGCGTGAGTCTGGAGATGCAAGTTTCAACAACATAGGGTCAATAAACAACAGTAATATCAAGCTTTACATAAAAGACACAGGATGGTCAATGAGGCCCACAGGAGGGCTAACAACAAAGGCATTAACGAAGACAACGAAACGTCAAGACGGTAACTGCTCAGCGACATAGTGCATTTACTTCACTGCTGTTGCACCAACACTGGCCATCTTCCTCCAATGCCACAACATCGGAATGCTCAATTCATCCGCGTCAACAGTCCGGAAAGAATTGCGCAGCTAGTTGCCCGCGAAACCCCGAGACAGCATTCCACAACCCTGCCTCAAGGGTTCACAAAGATTCCACGAGCTTAGCAACGCTGAATCCTGGCACCACGACTACATACCATTATCCGCATCCTGCGCATAAGTAGGCAGCTTGTACTGGAATCCTGATTGTGAAACATAACAGTCTCCTTGCGCAGCTATATAATATTCCTTTTATACCACATTCCTCTTATATAGCATTCCTCCTATATAATACTCCTTTTATACAGCATTCTTCCCATATAGTATTCCTTATGTATATTACTAATAAAGCATTCTTAATATAAGATAATAATAATAGTACTATTAAATAAATTAGTACTGTAGAATTTTGTTATATTAAGGGAGAAAAAAATAAAACTCCTAGTGTAGGGCTTATTGTATTATTTATGCTAATTTATTATTAGCTAGAAAAATAATTCAAGAAGGAACTTAATTAATATTAAAAATATTCTTTTAGTATACTTAATAGTAGGCTTGATTGATAATATTATAAAATACTACTTCATACCAAGGTATATAAGATATTAAAGTACTATACTACAAGTTACCTATAGCTTAGCATTCCTTTTATTATTAATATCAAGTCCAGAATCAGTCCAAGAATAATTAAATATAAAGTATTTAACCTACCTGGAGAATATAATACTCGCCTAGTGGGATTGTTTATCCCTATTACACTCCTTCAGTTTTATTAACTTCTTGAAACTTGTTATTTGCTGTTACCACATTCGTTTATTATAGCCTTTAGCAAAATGCTCTATTTACGCTTGCTCGGATCCGCGATTGCCTTCACTGGCGTTGTCAAAGCCCAAGTTAATCTAGGGACCGCCTTGTCATTTGCAGTCCTGGGTGGATCCGCCGTAACCAACACCGGTCCCTCGATAATCAGTGGCAACGTTGGTGTCTATCCTGGGTCAGCCATATCAGGCTTTCCTCCCGGCGTAGTCGTCAACGGAGTAATCCATATGACAGATGCAGTTGCAGCGCAGGCACAGGCAGATGTGACAACTGCTTACAATGTAGCGGCTGGTTTACCGCCTGACACTGACCTGACTGGCCAGGACCTGGGCGGTATGACGCTTGTTGCAGGTGTCTATTCCTTCTCTACCAGTGCGCAGCTTACTGGTGCTCTCGTACTTGACGGCCAAGGCGACTCAAGTAGTGTCTGGGTTTTCCAAATAGGCACAACGCTGACCACGGCAACCGCTTCTTCTGTGATTCTTATCGGCGGCGCCTCGCCCTGCAACGTCTTCTGGCAGGTGGGCAGCTCAGCTACTATTGGTACTACGACTACTTTTGTTGGCAACGTGCTGGCGCTCCAATCTATCACTTTGGTCACTGGTGCAAGTTCTAATGGAGGGCTATACGCCAGGAATGGCGCTGTGACTTTGGATACCAATAACGTTAACGCCGGGCTTGCCTGTCCAGCTGTGCCACCAACGACAACAACAACAACAATAACTACTACAACTACTGCAACAGCCACAGATACTACTACTACAACAACCACAGCTACTACTACTACAACAGCCACAGATTCTACAACAACTACAGCTACTACTACTACAACAGCCACAGATTCTACTACAGCTACTACAACAGCTACAGATACAACTACTACAACAGCCACAGATTCTACTACAACAACAGCTACTACAACAGCTACTACAACAGCCATAGATTCTACTACAACAACAGCTACTACAACAGCCACAGATACAACTACTACAACAGCTACAGATACTACAACTACTACAACAATTAAAACAGGGACAAGAACTTCAAGAACCTACAATACTGCAGTTATAAAGACGGGTTCGAGAACTGCGAAAATTTATAATACTACTGCAATTAAAACAAGTTTAAGAACTGCAGGAGTTTATAATGCTACAACAATAAAAACGGGTTCAAAAACAGCAAATATTTATAATACTGCAGCAATTAAAACAGGTTCAAGAACGACGGAAATTTATAATGCTGCAGCAATGAAAACAGGTTCGAAAACTATAAGAATTTATAATACTGCAGCCCTTGAAACAAGTTCAAGGACTGCAAGAATTTATACTACTATGGAAGATATAAACACTGCATCAGTTAAGACAGTAAGGTTTAGTACAGCTGTTACAACAACAAGGGGCAAGCCAACCAAGATGACAGCTACTATACTAAATATGGCTACCACTACTCCAACAAGTGTCCCCGCCATAACATTCACTGCAACATGCTCTATAGCTCCAACAATTATAACGTCCTACGGCCAACACTTCTCTATTGAAACTCCCTGTACTACAGTCTTAACAGCTACAGTGAGCGCTGCTTTTGAAAAGCCAGCGCTTTGCAAGGACTGTGGTACTCTTACTGCTGATGACGGTGCGCATACGAAGTTTTCCAGTAAGCTGTGTCCGACCTATTCTCACGAGGCAATCCCAATATCACAGGTGGACGAACCAGCGTCGGAAAACACGGCCTACTTTCAGCAGAACGAGCCGCTTATATCTATACCAGCAGTTTCTAAAAGCCCAGTAATTGTAACTGCTGGTATTAGTATGAATTGGCTAAATCTTGCTGTTGTTGCAGCTGCTTTATTTTTCTTATTGTAATTAACTTACTCTAAGATATATAAAACTTAGTAGAGATTATAATTTAATATCTTATAGTTTTATTACAACTAAGTAAGCAGTAAAAGGTTATATTTTAATGCTATAAATAATATTTTTTTTTAGCTTAGTATTTTTGTGTATTTTAGAATTACTATTACTTAATATTGTTTTATGTTTCTTAAAGATAAATATTATTATCTATTTACTTTTGTAAACTAACAGCTTAATATAAACTAAATATTATTACTTGACTCTTAAAAACTTTAATATAATATATACCCTAGAAGAACCTTGGAATAAATAACTAATAAGAATAATTTTATATATTAAACTAATATATATAAGTAATTAATAAAAAAAAAACTAAAAGGTTATAATAATTCTAATTACTATTTATAAAAAAGCTTATATAAAAATATTATAACTTAACTTTTGTAGAGTTCCGAGGACGGGATGAGCGGGAGCGGTAGAGCGGAAGAACAAGCGGAAGAACAAGCGGAAGAGCATTAATATGACATCGTTTTCAAGGCCCGGTATACAACCACGGGAGTCACAGATCGGTCTGGGTTAGGTATCATCTTTGTTGACTGCCGATGATTCCTTGAATGTCTGTGACGTTGTGCATGTCCCTGGGCGCCAACAAGTAAAGGCATCAACCTCTGGAGAATAACTGGAACACGCGTCGACGAGGGCAGAATTATCATCTCAACAATTCAGAGTTTATTGATCATAGTATACATAAAGCTATGCGACCTAGGCAGAAGACCTGCGGCTGAGGTACTGATACACGACCGAAAAGTCCTGACCTTGGTACTCCCCGTCCACTTTATTGTAAGCCTCGCGAGCCGTCTCAGCCAGCAACAGCGGAGTCTTTGCGTCCGACGCCCCAGACATGGCAAGCCCCAGGTCCTTGTTAATCATGCTCACCGGGCAGCCCGGCGTATACTCTTTGGAGGCTGGAGAGCCTTGCACCACGCCGGGGACGGAGTTGTTGACCTCTACGGGCCAGCAATGTCCCCTGGAAGAGTTGATCAGCTCCGTCAGCTTGTGGAGGTCGAGCCCCCACTCGCGGCCCATGTTCAACGCCTCGCTCACGGCAATGTTGTTGATGGCCAGGATATAGTTGTTAGCTAACTTTGCAGATACGCCGCACCCTTGCCCTCCCATGTGCCAAGCCTTGGTGCCCATCAGTAAGAGGACGGACTTGAGATAATCGACTAAGCCTTCAGAGTCTACATCCGTCCCAAACATGAACGACAGCTTCCCGGCCTGGGCGCCAACGGCCCCCCCTGAGACTGGGGCGTCTACGAAACGGCTCTGTAGCGTCTCCCTCACGGACTTTGCTAGCTCTCGGGATGATGGTGGGTCGATGGTAGAACAGTCGATGAAGCATCTGTTATGTTTGCGTCACGGTAGAGAACCCTCCTTGATCATGGGAGCGAATGTGTCTTTGACCATTTTGACGGTAGGAAGGCAGGTAATGATAATGTCCTGGCACCGTTAGTATGAGCAGATGATTTCTCTCTGATACCGATGAGTGTCTTACTGCTTTCTCTGCAACCTCTCTGGCATTCTTGGCAACTTGTACTTGGCAAGCGCCCTCCTCCACGCCTGCGCTTGCTGCATCTTGTCCAGTCTCCTCAACAAACTTGTCCAACGTAGCTTGACTGATATCAAGAACGAAGAGAGGGTCGGCGCGAGGCATCTTGGAGCGAAGGTTCCTGGCCATGGGGTACCCTGCGATCATTCAGCCACTATGTCTTGCATCTCATGAAATAGTACATACCCATTTGCCCAAGTCCAATGAAACCCAAGTCATCTTCATTGATGAAAGAGTAGACATGTTGATATTGGTTGTTTTAATTGAGATAGGTTTTGTTTTGAGACAATATAGTCTTGAGGAAAGTTGACTGAAGAGTGTTTGCACAGATTTGACAGCACAACTAATAAATGGAGAGACAACCAGTCTGACGTCAATGAGATATATTTCTAGATCGGTGCAAAACTTCTCCAGGCACCGACGTAAACTTAGAAGCGGGTTCCTTCGATCTCATAATGGAAGAGGTAAGGTTCGAGGCTTAACTCCGCTCCCGCTCCCGTTCCGCTCTCTCCTCTCCTACAAACAATCGTACTCATCTACTAGTCGAGTGGAATTATGCGGAATGCGGGTTTTCTTACAAAGTGGCGTGTAAGTCACCATCGGCAAGTACGACCAGCAAGTCGAAATAGGCCATAAAACAGATTGTCTCCTTTATACGAGACTTGAGTAGCCTTGCTCCCTTTTTGCCATTCCGAGTGCCGAGTCAACCAAGCTCAAGATATTTATAAACACATTTACCATTTCATTCACATCTCATAACATGATTTTCAGCGATTCCAAGTGGGCTGAGCTCTGTAAGAATACACAGGGCTTAGTCCCAGCGAAGATAGGGGATGACGCTTGGATCTTAATTACCGTAAGTATCTCGAGATCAACGCATATCTGCCCCAACTTTGCTAACATAATCTTCATCAAGGCAGCAACAGTAGCGGCTTCCCCGTCTACCGAGCCCCTGGATGAGTTCTATGGGTATCTGACCAAGCACGAGCCGGCATTCGCAACAGATGCATCCCGGAACCAGCTCTCTGTACGGTTTCGTGATATCCTGCTTAAGCTCATCACCCTCGTGGGGGCTCCCCAGGTTCTGTGCGTGGTGATGTCGCTAGCTGCGGCGGAAGGACACGCAGCAGCCAGGTCGGAGAAGAGCTCACTTAACGATAAGTGGTACGTGCTCCCCTTTGAGCAAAAGAATCGAGTCTTGCAAGCCTGTCTGACCCTTTTCTCCCATAGGAAGCCTGGCAACCTCGATGTAGAAGCTCTCTGTAAGCGTGGAGAGAATACCATGAAGGTCATCTACGGTCCATATCTCCTACCCAAGATATTCAACACCTGGGGCAGCCACAAGGAGGACGTCAATCTTGACGAGACCTTCGCCGTGTATGGCCTTTACCTCTCCGACTTTGAGATACTGACACCTCTCGAGGCCGAGGCCGTAGTGTACGCTACCATCTCCTGTCTGGGGCTGGGCGGGCCCGGCAACTGGCACCTACGCGGCATGGGACGGATGCTCGGTGCACGGGGCAGTGATGGCGACAGCGCCGAGGAGAGGGAAGTAAAATGTCAACTGAACAACCTGAGGGAGGCAGTCATGTCTGTTGTCCGTTTTGTCGGTGATGAATTTGCTGAAAGGGCAAGGCTCGAGAAGTGGGCTACTGTGGAGAGCATGCTGGATCAGTTCGGCGGCTGGGGAGAAGATGCGTGGACAAGAAATGATTTGCCCCAAAAAATAAGCCTGAATTGATAGAATAGGCGATATATCGACTCTATACGCTCAGCAATACGAGAACAAAGTGACTGCATGGTTATATGTAGCCATTGCCATTCCGCGCTACATTTTTCTACAGTAAGGTTTGGCGTCAGGTGACTTTCTTTCATGATCCAGCCATGACACATCAGATCGATCCTTTCTCGTCCTTTCCCTGTTTCCCCCCCAGTAGCAAGAAACAATGATTCTAGAAGGCTGCGCAAATTCTCTTTGCTCCTTGATCCAAGGTTAAATCTTGTCTCTTCGGCCTGAAGACTATCTTAAGAAATGCTTGAACCCCGGGGCATGGCCAGAAACGGGTTACGCCAGCGACGGAGTCGAACCCGCCTACCTACATCCCCTGCCAGATCAGGAAGCGCAAATGCTCCGGCACGCAGCCCTGCTCGATCTGCGCCCACCTGAAATCAGACTGCCAGTATGGCCACCGTCGCCGGGAGAGACACAGTGAGCCATCGGCAGTACTTCCAGGGGCCAACAAGTCCTCGGCTGCTTCTGGTGATGGTGCTACCACTGCCATCACGCTTGATGTCGATCACGCCGGCGCAAGTAGCAACCCGGGCCAGCAGCAGCCGAGTCCCGTCGAGGTCAACTCGGGTGCCGTGTATGCTAAAAAGCTGGGCCTACAGAGCGATCTCAACCTGGCGCCCACGCTGAGCATTTTCGCGTGGAATTTGGGTCTGAGGCGGTCTGCGCCATCCGAGCCCTCTCTGGCCTCTGCCAGCGGAAACCTTCCCATGTCTTTAGCAAGCATCATATCTCGCGACGAGATGCGTTTCCTGACAGAAGTTTACTTTGAAAAGATAGATCTGTACTACCCATTCTTGGACCGAACCCATCTTACCCGGCAAATGGAAATGGTATGGCCACCTGGTCTTGCTGGAGCCAACACACTCGGCCTCCCTGAAGCTATTCTGTGCGGAGTAGCTGCTCTGGGGTGTCTGTTCTCTGACAAGCAGCCCAGTATGAAGGAGAGCCAACTACTAGAAACCGCGCGCGTCATCTTGGACCATCACAATCAGGTGTATACTCCATCCATCGAGCTCATCACGGCTTGAGTGTTGCGAGTCTCCTATCTACGCATCGCCGGCACCCCACACCCCACGTGGCTGGCGAGCTGTCACCTCATGCACCTGCTTGAGGCAGCCGGGCTGCATCTAGAGGGGTGCTCAGCGGAACAACCTCCTCCTCCATCTGGCGACAGGACTTTGGTAGTCAGGCGGAAACTATACGCCATTGGCTGCCACTTTAACCTGTGGATGTCTTTCGAACTCGGCCGCACGCGCGTCAAGCTGCCAACAGCGACGACCAAGCTGCCACTTGCCGACTTGTCAAATGAGCAAGGAAAAAGGGACATTTTCAGCTTCTTGGCGCTTTCTGAGAGCCTAGACTACGAGCACAGGCAGAGCGTCCCGGAGCTGGAGCAAACCCTCCTCGACATCATGAGCATTCAAGACCTGGCGGCGCCCATGGTACTAACGCAGTGTAACCTGATGCTCTGCGTAATCCGGCGTCTGCAGTACTTGGGGCTCGTCCTCTCGGGTAGCGTGCTGGACGGCTTTGCCCAGGTCGCACGGCAGGGGCTTCGCGCCACGCGCCAGAACGTGGTCGGCCACTCGCCCTGGCACCAGGTAGCCAACGTGCCCTTCCAGATCATTTGCACGCTGCTGTCTATGGACAATCAGGTTGCCATGGGGCTGCTGCCAGATGCGGTCCAGACGTTGCGCGAGGTGGCGACGGCGTATAACACGGATGTCATGCGAGAAGCTTCCAGCACGGCCATACTGCTCGTCAAGATGCACCAGCGGCGGAAGGAACAAGATGCCAAGGCGTTGAATGATATCGTCATGGCGGCGGCGGCGGCGGCGGCGGCGGCGGCGGACGACGCAGAGTCGAGAAACACGCAGATCACCAACGAAGCGGCGTCAGCGGCCCTCCTGCAGAATGACTCGCTGGCATCAGACTCATCCGCTCAGTGGTGGCCCCAGGACTCTTTCCTCGGTCTAGGGCTAGAGGGTCTGCCGCTGGATCCGCTGCTCATGATGCAGGACTCGTGGCCAGCGCCGACATTTGGATAGGCCGGAGAGATGCGTCGGGAGTCAAAGAGTCTCTATTGGCAAGCTAGCTGTTAGCCCGTTGATATCATCCAAGGCTCCCGTTTAACTACATCTTTACTCTCGAGAGATTTGTTTTCTCTGGACTTCCTAGCATCAAATTGGCCACAGATGGAAAATATCCCCATGCTTATTATATAACACTCTTAAACATGATCCGCTGCCCTATACCTCGACTTGTATTCAACAGCAAGAGGACGGGTCGTATGCCTTTCTGGTACCAGACAATAAAGATATACCAATGCCCCTTCAACCATATACACAACGCGTCAAGCAGCCTGCAAATTTACCCTTATACAAGTACGCTCTTGAACTTAACCACTCCACGTTGAGCCTATTGACCAGGTAGGACAATGATCTCTCCATATCTGGCATTTTCATTGAACGTTTCTAGTCTGGAGATAGCGCTAAGGGAGCTCTCAAGATGAGTCCAGAAAAGAACAATGCCGGCAAGATTTTCTCGGAATCTCAGAGGCCCCTACAGAGCAGTACCATTGAGTGCGGAGATACAGTGAAAGCGAGCGACGAATCTTTTGTGGCCACTGTCAACAGCATGGTCACAGTATTGAGAACAAGATCAAACTATCTCTGAGTTGTAAGAAATAGTGTTCAGGGCCTTTGGCAATGTCATTATTCTTCTAGTCTAACCCATGACGGTTATTAATCCAGGCCACTACATCAGATGCAGTCTGCTTTTGCTGAGTCGATGCAAATCTGGCCTTGTGTACTACCCACATTGAGAACAGGGCGAAGAGTCGTCCAACCATTCTTCCCTGTAAAGATATTTGCGGCTGTCCAGACTTTCTATACTTGTACGTGAACCCCAGAAGCTGGGGGAATGATTCCAGAATTGTAGCAGCTAAATTGTCCACTTGTTCTCGCTGCTTCTGTATCACGGACTTGTCATCTTCATCCAGCTCGTCTTTGCCTTGTAGTACAGAGGCACTCTCAATGGTTTCTACCAATGACTCTCGCAATACAATCTGACTTGATGCATGGAAATTCCAGATATAAGCCTTGATTTATAGTTAGTCCCATCGTATGTACTGTACTTTGTATGCGTCTCCTACCAGCCAAATATCATCGTAGCTAAGAATCTGCGAGTATTGCAGACGTGGGATTGGATAGCCATGAACTTCGTCAACGTCCCCAAAAACTACAATGTTTTGGGATTCGTGTTTTTTCGCTCTCCAAGGCTCGGACATTTCCGACATCCACTGCTCGATGGCCGAAATAAGCTCTTGCATCTCCTTGGCCAATTGGTTTATCCGGTGTAGCTTTTCCGTTCGCATCGTCTCATCATTCTCGTTCGTTTGCGTGAGAGATTTTGACAGCGCAGTAAGAATATTCATATGCAAAACATACGAGCAGATGCGCAAGTCTGGCTGCTCCATGTTCAATTTGCTCACCCATGCGATTTGCTGAGCATCAGGGTGTTCAAAAAACAACGTTTGCCAAAACTGGAGTCGATAATGAGTCAAACGCCAAAGCGAAAAGCGGCTCGGGCTGTACAACTGTCCATCATCCCTAGAGCGTAAGATATGTTTGATAGCTTCGCCATGTGGACTGAAAGGATCATTTCGACCTAGATACATCAACTGTTGTATTATCCCAAACTTGTTAGCGGAGTTATGCAACTATTTGGAGAATACAATACCTCAAAGTTGTCAATTAACAGCATAGAAAACAGAATCCTGTCGTCCCCAAGATTTTGCTGGTCGTTGATGACGGTTCTCATGCGATTCAACGCGGCACCGTAATGCTGTCGTGACTTGGTGTGAAACGAGACACTCCCGGTATTCTCATTTCTAATATCTGCAAAAGCCACAGCACGGACCGCAAGCCAAAGGACTGAATCTTGCTGTGCACTTTCAAAAAGCATAGGAAGCTCATGCATATAACCTAAGTATATCATGGTGAGCAGAATGAGGAAGACCACTGGCCTAACAAACTAAACTCACCTGGCGATCCTCCGTGGTTACTAGGATGTAGCGTCCAGTTAACAAAAAATCGCTCCACGGCTCTTGTCTCAACATCCCTTCTTAACGGCTCAGGTACTGTTGCAAGTGCATGATCACTAAGCCACGAATATTGTTGTTGCAGACGTGATGAACCGATTGTTCCAGCAGCCGCTTGATATGGCCAGCCCTGGGAGACGGAATTAGAAGAGTCTGAAGCGTCCCATTGTGTGATGAAACTCTCTCCTAGTTGCCTCCTTGCACGCTGAGAGTTTCTCCTGGCTACCTCATTCTCATCGCGAAATACGAAGAGAGCACCTAGTGGAAGGCCAGAGCAAATGAGTCCCTCCTGAGTACAGCGTCCGCAGGTGGGACGGTTAAGATCGCACTGTCATACTGTGTCACTATGTGCGCTTGACAAGCGCGGAATTAGCCACGCACCTTGGTGTTTGCAGCTTTGCATGCCAGGCAACCACGGCCTCTGTTCATGGTGGCTAAGCATTGAGTTCAGAACATGAACTACGCTTGACACTGCAAAAATTGAGTTTTGATCCTATGATTTGACCGCTGTATATAGCTGTGGGAAAGACTGACGTCAGCGGTTCTGCGGCTTAGCCCTGTTCGCTGATTACAGCGGGCTTGGGGCAATTATGCTTTGAATGCCATCAAGCTAAACCCATCCACACGCGTCAGATGCCCATGCAAGGTTTTATGGACTAGAAAGCACTCGGTAGAAAAGAAACATCATGCGTGAATAAGTTCACTCGTGTGGATAATCGTTTGCGTGTCCTAATTTCGGGATTCTCCAGTAGTTGGTCAAATCCCTTCATCTGTTGTTTCTTCCAGGTAGGGCCCCCAACATAGTAGCTTACGAAAATGTTGACATAGGGCAATCTGCCTCAGGTAGGCACTTATAGTATAATCTTCAATAACTAGGTAGTTGCGGAGATTGAGAAAATGAGTACAATTTCAGCTCTCTTCAAACGTGAGCCGCGGGAATAGGGCTTTAGTTATCGACCAGAACACAAGTTGCCATCAAAGCTATAGCTACCTAGCTATTCAAATAGAGCACAAGTCTCCGCACAGCCTAGAATCCAGACTTCGCGTGATGTGGTATTCCCTCAATCTGTACCCCGGCCAGCCAGTTGGCTCTGTTGTCTATAAACTGCTCAAACTGTGGCTTCAGCTTCGATTCATGTAAGTTGAAGTCGTCTACAGTCCCAATTCTCAGGATGCTCATTCCCGGGAATCTGCTACTCCTCCTGTACAGCAAATTGCCACAGACAGAACAGAAACTGTCTTCCATTGTAGCTCCAGATGCAATAGTTTTGTTTTGAGCCCACCTGGTCAATTTGTCTTCGCCTCTAACATGCTTGAGGCTCTTGTCGCTGACAGTAAAGTTTGAACAAAACATGGAGGCACTGAGTTTGTGGCAATCACTGCAGTTACAGACGAAAGTGTTGATCAGATCTTCGCCTTCAACAGGCTATTATGTAGAAGTCAATAATATATACAGCAACTTCATAGAGACAACTTACAAACGACAACTGGACAGTGCCACAGAGACATGTCGCTGTTGCCGTCCCATCTGCTTTGACGCCAGAAGCGCCGTCCGACGGAAGGAGGATGTTAGGCTCAGTCATGTTTAATAATTTGAACAGTGTTCCTGGAAACTTTTTATTGAAATGCCTGAGTTATGAGTAGTATATGAAACTCGACGGCTTCACTGTATAGCCAAGATGCCTTTTATAAACATCCAGAGCCTGGAAGATGAGGTAACCATCTGCACCTTCTCCACGTCCGGTTGACGCTAGCTGAGCCCGAGTCTAGACCTAAAAAGGCGATGCGTTTACCTATTCGGGATACCATGATATCACGCCCAAGATAAGCTGCGACGAATACCGAGCACAAGAAAGTTCGGGCCGATGTGCAGACACCGATCTCTGACTCCTCGGTTAGAGAGTACTTTAGGAATGGCATACGCACTACGATTAGTTTTAAGTGCAATTGTTATGTCAAGAATCTCATGACTGTATCTCCGAGCACCTGAGAATTATGGCTTTGATGGCGCAGGGAACAATGAATTGTTTTCCTAAAGCTGTTTCAATCGGAGACACAACGTAAACTAAACGCAAAGAAGAATACGGATCGCCAAGAAGGGGTTACTTGGGTCCATATACCCAAACGTATTCTCGCAATCTGATTACAGTTACTCAGATAGGTAGGCATAAGAATTTGTTTCAAGCGGGCAACAATATCATGAGCTAAGCCAATGTCTTTTTTCTTTTATATGATGACAGGAGATATGTTGGGAAAGCTGTATGTTAGTGTTAGGCTAATTCATTGTGCTATTTGAGAAGTTTACAAAAGTTGTCTTCCGCGTCGATTTTGTATGTGTGGAATGCAGAGTGTCGAGCTGTTTTGTATCAATTATACCTTTCGTTTGTTTTGAGATAGCATCCTTCCCGTCAATGATGTTTTCGGCTGTGCAAAGCAGCTCTTCCCCGATTGCGATTTGCTAGAAAAAGTTCCGCGTTGAGATTCGAGATGATAAGTGATGACTGGTATCATATAATTATCCAAAAAGGGAGTGATTGCCAATCATATCCCTAGCAAGCGGCGGTCCATTATTATAACAAGCCACTGTAAAAGAGAATTTTACTCTTTCAATCTTCTGGATCTCATAGATATTGCGCGTACCTAAGGCTTGTCCCTAATCCTGTAGCTGGGGAGCCAAGATTTTACATCACTAGTGAAAATATCACGCGATTATACAAGCGTGATTGAAGACTGAGAGACTTACATGTTAGAGAACGAAACCAAGATTACCTGAATTGTTATCCAGGAAGAAAAGATGACTTAAAAATGAAAGGGATCTGGATTCACACCAGAAGCCCTGTTTCTTACTTATTCCCTTTCCAACAGGTTCTTTCAGCCTTGTCCTTCTTTTTAAGCTCGATAAAAACAGCAGTGCCCTTGGTTTCGTATACTATTATCTTTGTTAGAGCCAAATTTACCTGATTCAAAGCCAACTCTCACTTTGTGCACAAACACCCCTGTTATATCCTAAGCTACCAGCCGCTAAACTTGCGTATTTGAATACGCATCTCAAATCTGAGGTAGCCGCCTCAAGCGAATAGATGTAGGACAGATTGAAATTGGAGCAGCCGTAATTGCTGTGACAGTGTATGAACCACGTGCAGGATGCGCCATATATTTAATTCAGTAAGTGAATTACCATGCGTCTTTTTATAACCATCCACCCATACCCCGCCTACATATGTTGAAGCAAGAGTAGATTATGGGGTGAAGTATTATTGGTATGTGCATTTGGCTGAATCACATAAGTGGTTTGTAGAGAATTTAGAACTATGAGATAGCCTCAATTACATATCAGCAGCATGTTCGCGTGCCACGAACTGGAATAAGGAAAATGATGCGGTGGGGAGAGAGGGGCCCCAAAGGCAGTCTATTATCCCTTAATATACAATCTTGTTCTGGGAACATTTTTATAAGTCTTTTTCACTGTAATAAGGTTATTAATAAAAGTAGCAATGCAAGAGTAAGTAAGAATTTATTGTTCAATATCGTATCAGAACTGTGCTTTGAGAGTAGAGTCAGGGGCATTTATAAGAGGGGATTACCCTCGCGCTGCGTTGGATGCCTAGAACAAAACCCTAGTCACCACAGAGTACAGCCCCTCATTTAAAAAGGGTCCCCACATACCTTAATTGGTAGCTAGGAATCTTGTCTCTTATAGATTCTGTTCCTCCTTCCTTAAAACCCATCGTCGCTACATGGACAACGATACGAATGCATCTTTCGAACATGGCAACTAATACTGTTTACATCGTAACCGGTGGGAATCGCGGTCTCGGTCTTGGAATTGTCACGTCCCTCCTTGCACGCCCCAACACGATTGTCATTGCAACAGTTCGAAATGAAGACGGGATTTCTACTCTTACACGGGAGACGACGGCAGCTCCAAAAGGGTTAGGTAGCAGCCTACAAATCTTGAAGCTGGATTTATCGACGATTCGATCCACGGCCGAAGTCAAGGAGGCTTTCAAACTCGATATAGATCACATTGATGTCCTGATCAATAATGCCGGACGAACGTCGCCCATGGTACCGGCCACCGAGACGACAGCGGAAGAACTTCGCGAGGCCTTTGAAGTCAATACCATTGCACCTCTACTAGTTTTCCAAGCTCTATGGCCGCTTTTACAAAAATCACTGTCGCCAAAGCTCGTTATGGTTACTTCTTCAGTCGGAAGCATTGCAGAGATGGAGCCAGTGCCCGGTGGCGCGTATGGCCCAAGCAAGGCGGCTCAAAATTGGCTGACAAAAGCCTTGCATCTGGAAAATAAAGATCGCGGCCTCATCACGATTGCACTTCATCCTGGCTGGGTACAGACGCGCGCAGGCCAATTTGTTGCTGATCAATGGGGCTTTGCTTCGGGACCTCCAGACACGATAGAGTCCAGCGTGGAGGGGATGTTGAAAATTATCGACGAAGCATCTAGTGAGAATTCAGGGGTCTTTATTACACAAACAGGTCAAATTTTGGGCTGGTAATGCGCTTAGAAATGCAGTGGGCGTATCTCCTTCCGTAAGGCGAGGCATAAGTAGAAACAGCGAAAACGAGCAAAGTGTGAACATCAACACTATTTTATGTCAGGTCAAGCAGCTTGCGCCTTAAATTTTACACGTGGCCCGTGATATACATGGTCCTTCGAATCCAAATACACTCACTACAAAGCATTGGCGCTGAGCATGGCGTTGACGCGCAAGCCACTTGAACTCTCAGCTCCTCTTCCGAGTAGTGTATTTTCTGCGCTCAATCGGTAACAAAAGTAGCAAGCTGAAGAAAGAGACACACTTCATAAAATCGGCTTTTAATGATCCTCATTTAATTACATAATTACAAACTTCAATTCCGGGAAATTTCAGCTGGGTTGTAGCATAGCTGAGCTGGCCTCTGGGCTGGCTATGAGACACACCAAGACCCGGATGCCCAGCTGTTCAATGAAACTCGTGGGTGTGACAATTTACAGTAGCCGCAAATATTTACATCGTACTGGAGATATCGACTATTAATAGGCACCATGTCTAGCATGACCCAACTTAGAAAACGGTATTTTGAATCCAAGCTTTATGAAATCTTTTTCTCAGGGCTTTGCTTCCCTTTTGTGCGTCATTTCTAAGGGCCCTCCAGCAGATCTTTTACCGCGAAACCAGAATTCTACAGTATCCGGATAGCCAAACGCTTCAAAGTTACATTTCTAATATTAAATTGACCATATCTCACAAGAGATTTATAAATTGAACATCGAGCAATACAATGTCAAACAAAGCGAGTTCTAACGTCGCTTTTCCGGTTGCAGCCGGCGATGATACCATGTCCTCTGCTGTTGTGCCTGCGGTTCCCAGCGAGAATCTTGAGCTTGTGAAACCAACAACCCACGGCCGAGGCGCCCTCAGCATGGTGACTACAGTAGCCACTACCATTAGAGAAGCCATCAGCTCGTCATTCACCGCGTCTTCCACACAACTGATGACCGTTCAAGTTCCGGCAACTATTATTGATCCAAGGTGTGCTCGTATTACAGGCCAACGTCTACTCTATATATGCTAATTATACTACAGTGAATTTTACTGGAATGAACCCAAAGATTCGATCAAACCGTTAGGCGTTAGAATTGCAGAAGCTCAATTGGTTGACAACCAAATACCAGTGAGCAAAGTAATGGTGAGTTAACCTTGCTCAAATTGTAAGGATCAAAAGGCTTATGTAGTTAGATCGACCGCACTAGGAAAAGTGTTGCGAGAAGTTACCTTGCTGCCTTGGACTGCTTGGTCTCCGTCGAAACGTCCGTTTCATCTAGCGAAGATGAGAGGCTGCTGACTGGGCGCCAATCCGAAATTCGCGATAGATATACCAAAGCCATGGACTACTTGACGACAAGCGATTATGGCGAGTCTGGAAAATCGAGACTCCAGACCTATGTGGAGAAACAGGAGTCTTGGAACCAAGCCGTTGAACGTTATAATGAAGCTCAAACGCGACACCAGCAGACCATCAAAGAAAAGGGATTGACCGCAGAACAACAGGAGTATTCCTTTCTGGAGTGGCTGCAGTCAAATGGTCGTGATTACAAGGCAGCCATTCAAGCCAAGTACATGGACTGGGTTGTGTATGGGAATAAATTCCCAGTTGAGTTCCATTTTGGACTAGTTGATCTCGCTTCTGCCATGAAACGGGTTGAAAGTAGCAAAGAGGCGTTCCGGAATCTTACTCTGCTGGCAGCCGATGGCGTTACTGAATACAACAGTGTCAATCTTATGCCTCCAAATTGGGCCAGCCTGGTACAACAAAAGATGGACGAGTGGCAAAAGCTCAACAATAGCCCATCCATAATAGAGCTTCACGCAGAGATCAAGCGCCTTCATCATCTTTTGATCTCACATCAGGGTCTCTACGATGCTATTAGCAATGGCAAATTTATCCCGCATCAATTCAGTGAGACTGAAGACGAAGCCAGCACAGCACTACGGGGCCATTATGAACAAGCTTATGCGGATGCCGACGCCAAAAAGTGGGCTACAGGACAGACTTCTGCGAAAGATGTTGAAGAAATTATAGCGGAAGGCGCCAAAATACTTACCGGAGAGAACAAAGTATCTACGGGGAAAGACAGTAAAACAGCTGTACAAAAAGAAGACAATGCACCGTCAACATTGGCCGGTGATGTTGAGCACAACGTGGAAGCGTTTATCAATCCTTTTGACGCTATAAATGCCGCAGCGGATACCTGGAACAAAGCATTCACAGCTCAGAAAGCTGGAGTTATGCAGGCCGCCGACGACGCAGGTAAAGAAGAAGCTCAAAGCTATGTTAGAGATCGGATTGAAACCATCACACGGCAGATTGAAAAGCTTGAATCTAAACTCAAGAGTGTGAGCTCTGAATTGGTGCCTCTGCCCAACACTATTGTTGCACCAGAGGTTTACGCCAATGGCAAAGTCGTCAACGATCATGAACTTGTCGCCAATAAAAAACTTCTGGAAAATTCAATGGTTAAAGATTCATCGCCATGGACTCGCATTACAATGAAGGTGGCCGTATCAGAACATGACTCGCTCAAAGCGGCGAGCCATTCCGCTGTGAGTGAAAACTTTGGCGTTGGATGGGGATTTTGGTCAATGGGAGTCGGCGAGCCCAGCTCATATCCTAAAGAGGGGCCAGATTCAACTATGGATGATCTCGAAGTCGAAGTTTCAATGGAGTGTATGGTCGTCGACATTGAGCGCCCTTGGCTGCATGCGGAGCTCTTTGCTGATCACCAACTTGACGCCGCTCCGGGATTCATGATTTCGCCTGGGCGTGAGTTCTTACAACATGCTGTGGAACAGGACCTACCCGTGGAGATATCTCATGCACAATTTTCTAGTTATCCAAATGCCTTTATTGTTGCCTCTAATGTGGAGCTGGAGTTCCATGGCAATACCGCGTGGTTAGAGAGCAGTTTGGAGGCATCAGCAACGGAGGCCAGGGCATCAATTGGCTGGGGACCTTTTATACTTGGTTCTAGCTCTTATAAGAGCTCCAAATCGGGTTCAAAATCACGGATCCAAAGTACAGAGGCGGGTGTGCGAGTCAGTCTACAGACGCCGCAGATTATTGCTTGGACACAAGAGCTATTGCCAGCGCTGCCGAAACGCATGGGAGGAGATTTGGGCTTATCTGAAATGTCGATAGCCGGATTCTCCGTTTAGTTTCATTGACGTTGAAGTGCTATAGCAAAAGTAAACTGAGTCGACAATTCAGAAATGGGTACTTAGATGAAGAAGATATACTCTCGCCAATATGGCATTAATTAATATACAGACCCGCGACGTAAACCGCTTCCCGCCCCACAAGGCCTATGATGCATAAGCTGGTAGCTGGATATCGACAATCCAGGGAAATTGAACCAGGTTATCGTGGCCTTTAATTGATGCATTGATGAATAAAGTTTTTCCATTCCCTATAGACAACGTCCCATCGGTAGAAGGGCTAACTTGGCAGTAGCCACGTAAATGATATTCCGCAACTTTTCTCTCTCTTATTTCCTTTTGATCTGGCGACTCGAATCTTGATCCGTTTATACTCGATAGCGTCTCAATAGTCGTTGATCTGTCGTTATCTATATCGGTAAAATGAGAGGGATTACTTGAGATTTGGGATCTCCAAGTAACCAATCTTGCACCCCATCCCTCGTGGACGTGCCCAAAACAATGAATCCTAGGCTGGGCTTTTGCTACAGCTGCAAAGAGCTGCGGGCATCCGATTCTCTTTCTTTCTACAGACATGTCCAGCATCCCATGCGGTGGTCCATGAGTAATGGCAATATCGATTTCGCTGTCGATGCTAAAACTGTGGTTGCCGCTGTACTGAAACCCCCACTCATTAGATGATATTGTCGATGGCGTATAAGGGCTTGCGTAAACTTTTAGATGAGCGCCGTTTTGGAGAGAAAACCGATGCGATCCTTCGTCCAGAAAAATTATGCCCTTTTCTTTCGCTTCGTTCATGAGTTCTTGAGCTGCGCCATAGTCACCATATTCTTTCCTGACCAGCGCATCATCCAGAGCTTGCAATCTAGATGCCTCAGATATCTTCTGCCTGAAAATCGGTATATCGAGCGCAAAGTCATGATTTCCGGCGATTGCGAGTTTGAGAGGCGCATTAATCGCTTCCATTTGACTGATACCTGCGCGGAACTCGTCTAGTTTGGAATGCTGGGTGAGATCGCCACAGTGGATTGCCACATCTACGTGTACGCTAACGCCGACTGGGAATTGCATTCCATGAGTATCTGAAATGATGAGAAGCCGTGTGTTAATACCACGGTCCGGTTGTTTGGGGTTAGAATCCATAGCTCGGTCTGAAATTAAGAAGATATAGAAGTCTTGTCGATGTGAGGCTCTGGCTCTGGCATTGCTAACTTGAAAGTTGATGGAATGAAGTTGATTTCTTGCAGTACTTTACTCTTGCACGTTACCTAGGTGATTAGAGTACCAGAACGCAACTTCATTGCTTGCTGCACCTTGAGAGAGAGAAAAAAAAAAGTGAGGCTTTTAGAGTTTTAGCAGATGCTTTCCAGTGGCTTTCGGCATAAGCCCTGTGACACAAAGAAACATGAAGGTAAACAGAAAGTGTACATATGCCATGGCGGAGCTCGCAACCTTATGAATAATGGATTTTTCAGGAACCAGTGATGTACAATCAAGAGAATCGTATACATTTTATTTCTCTTTGCAGAAAAAAACCCCATAGTGGGTTTTAAAAAGACCTGATGAATTTTGAGCTTTTGAGGTGGCTGCCACATGTTTATTGTCTTACGACTTTTTGGCTTAGTGCCGCCTGTGAACGAAAGAGTGCCTGCTGAATAGCCATTTACTTGCCGTTTCCATTGAGGATTGCAGCTCCAATCCTAATGATCAAATGGCTCAATTTTCCTCGTATGATGCAAAGCTAGATGCAGCAGATGGTAATAGACTGGGGGCAATGTAGGAATTACATCAACGAAGATTAATAACTTAACTAAAGAACGGCCACCTATCTATGATGTGAATAATATCGGTTGACTAGTTACAGTTATCGCAATACACGTCTAGGTGGATGAAATGAAGCCCTACTAACAAGATAGGTACACGACGTAATTGCGACACGGTACAATGGCATCCGTCAAATTGGCTATTTCTTTTCCCCCAGGCACAGCAACATGGCATTGCTTCACATTCGCATTCCTGGAGATGAAATAGATGACCGCATCGGCTTTGAGGCGCCGCTAGCTCGCGGGAAACCGGCAGCTTAGCGGCTGACGATCGCGTATAACGGAGCTTGATGCACTTGTTTTAAGAAGCAAGCTGAATCTCAATATTGCCATTGGGCGGCGTTCACATCACCATTGCATCATTACACTATTAGCGAAATCGCGCAGCCACGCAGAATGGACTGATGGAGCTACTGTGATCTGGCCACCGCACGTCATGCTTTGCATATTTACAGAGCATATAAAGAATAGCTCAAACCTCATAAAATAAACACATAGGTTATAGGTAGCTCTTCAAGTACATCACTTTATTCAGCTTACTCGTATAGCATCTACTTCTCTTGTTCACTGGTCCTTCATCCACAATGGTCTGGCAACACGGCGATCACCATGATATTCCTAGCGAATTTCGCATCCACAAGTATGAACACTTTGGTTTCTTGTTATCCTTTGTAATGAATTTAGGGAGCTGACCTTTTCTTTTTGTAATCGTCGTCTAGGCCGGGCGCGTGGCTCCCAGCAGATCATCGTGTCCATCGGGAATTTCTTCGCCGCGTAACCCATCACGTCGACAAGCATCCTGACGAAAAGTTAACCCCGGCGTTGCAAGAATTCAAAGAACTCATTGAAGGCAACAGCCGAATCTACATGTACTTTATTCAGATGTTTGAGGAGATTCCGAACAAACGGCCGTACTGGCGGGATCCCACAGGCACAAAGCAAATTCGCGACTACAAGCATATGCTACAGGTGCTCAATCACATTGTCTCAAGGGCGCCAGAGTGGACAGATGCAGCCGAAAGTGCTGGCGTGGTTGGGGTTCCCTTTTGCGCGATCCTCGATTATCCCATGGGTACACCAAGGTAAGAATTCCGGCATGTTTAACGCCACGGGCGAGATGGCTTATTAACTCGGCTTCGCAGTGGCTATGCTGCATTCTTGGACCCGGACGTGAACAAGGCACTCAAAAAGGTTTTGAATGAATGGGGCAAATTTCTAGAGGTAATGCTACACAATCCAGTTTCCGTTTTAGACAGCATTTCGTTTTTACCAAACGATAACAGGCATTGGCAATCGGCTAACATGAGCGTGACTACAGACGCCAAAATCAGCAGAGGTCTTGGGTAACCAAAAGCTAGGCTGGTTCGGCGAAACTGGCCTAACTGATGTGATGCAAGTTGCGAATGCTCCTTTGAAGTCATCCATGAAATTTGAAGAAATGTTTGTATGCGAGCCATCAGCAAAATATCACGGTTACAAATCTTGGGACGGTACGTGTATCATGAATTGTAACCTAGCAGCTGGCTACCTCAAGCATGATGACCTAAACGAGGATAGAAATACTAATCAAGATATGCAGACTTCTTTACACGTCAAGTACACGACGAGGCAAGGCCTGTGGCATCTCCAGATGATGACAACGTCATTGCGAATGCATGCGAATCCAAGGTTTTCAACGTTCAACGCAATGCGCAACTACGAGATAGGTTTTTTGCCAAGGGCCAGCCTTACTCAGTGCTTGATATGCTAGCCCACGATCCACTGGCCAAACAATTCGCGGGAGCAACAGTTTATCAGGCATTTCTGTCCGCCCTGTCTTACCACCGCTGGCACTCTCCGGTTTCCGGAACGATTCGGCGTGCGTTTGTCCAGGATGGCACATACTTCAGTGAACCTCTATTTGAGAACGTTGCAGATCCTACCAATCATGGAGAAATCGACACGAAGGGCATTACAGTTGGTCAGGGTTACCTCTCCGCGATGGCAACCAGAGGCATCATCTTCATTGAAGCAGATAATCCGGCCATTGGCTTGATGGCATTTATCGCTATTGGTATGGATGAAGTCAGCTCGGTCGATATTACCGTGAAGGAGGGGCAACATGTGAAGAAGGGCGAACAGACCGGCATGTTCCACTTTGGCGGTTCGACGCATTGTTTGCTATTCCGCAAAGGGGTTAAGGTATCTGATTTCCCTGAGGTCGGAAGGAACGAAAATGTTCCTGTGCGTAGCAAAGTCGCTGTTGTTACACCCTAAATGGTGTCTAGATAGGTTTGCAGCTCTATCCACGTCTTTTGAAGATTTAGAGAGGAGTTACGCATAGGAACGAGACTAATAAATGATTAAAAGTTTCATGACGGGCTATCTCTTTCAGATGTGGAGCATTTCCATATCGGATAGATGCTTAAATTTGAATGTCTAATACAATATACCGTTGAAGTATCAATCCGCCAAACATTGAGTGTTGGTCTATTAGTGTTGATCCAGCCTATGAGCTATATAACGGCCTGGCCTTTCTAAATCCACGTCAAGCGATCTGCTCTAATTGCTGGCAATTCGTTGCTGGCGCTGAAGCCAATCCTTCCAGTCTGCATCCTGAGTAATGAACCTGACTCTGGCTTCTAACCATTCTGTATTTCCCCAAAACCCCCACGAGGCCTGAAATCGACACCAATCTACAAGTGCGGTTTCCCAATGTCGAAGAAAATCGTCCCAATTATATGCAGGCATATCGCGCCGAGGTCGATTGCTCATGAGGATAGACCAGTAGTGCTTGAGTAAAATCATCTCGTTTTCGTCCATTTTTAACGAAGAAGGGATCGGTTTATAACTCGTGAGCAAGCTGAGCGGCACAGAGCAAGTAAAAAGCTTCGCGAGGTCACACACACCCAGCCCAATGCCCGCATATTGAAAGTCAAAAAACACAACGTCGTCGCCGGATTCTGTTGAGAAGAGATTTTCGGACTTTACATCGCCATGGATATATGTCTCAAAGTGTCTACCGCGTGGGATCAGAAAGTCAGCGGCAGCTTCACCCAGCGATGGCAAACCATCTACTGAGCTGCAAAATATATCAGACCATTCCGAGAAATGATCATGCGCGAGCAATTTATATTCCTCCTGCCTAGTGGCGAGGTATGTATAACCGCCATTCAGCCAGAGATTTGTGCCACCGCATTTGTCGTCTTTTTGGCGCCTCGCAGCTTCTTCGAGTGGTGGCAGAAGAAAATCGCTCAGATCTTGAGGCAAATGAGCCCAAGAGCTGCTATGGAATTTGGCTAGCCATGCCAGCGCTGCATATACCTGATTGCTCGATAGAATTGCCCTCTTTTCACCTGCAACCGGGAACTCGGGCCTTAGATCGTTCAATAGTGTAGCCATTACGTGGTCAATCCCGTCATCAATGGCTTTTTGCCGCATGCTCCGCGTTGACGCAAAGCACTGGGCCACGGGGATACTACTGGCGAGGCGAGGCGCAACTTCATCATAGAAATACTGCTCAACCTCGTAACTGAACATCTTGCGGAGATGCCCTTCGTCTCCCGTCTTAGTGGGGGGGTGGACTATTTTCAGGACAAGGCGGATGGCACTGTCTTTGTCGTTTCCCTGAGCCTTGGATAGTCGATGCCACTTTTCGGACGCGCTATTCGCAACTGGTTTGGCCGTGATAGCACAAATGTGGCCATAGCCCGCCCACAGGCCTTGAATGACTGTGCATGAAATCAGTTCGAGATCTAGCCAAGAGAGCATTATGGCGGCAATGCGTTTTGGCTCATTATGTTGGCTCATGGTGATAGTGATTTGGGTCCGCAATAGTTATTCAAGCGACAGGTAGTGTGAAGATTCATGAGATGTAGGCGCTTTCCTTTCTTTTCCACTCCATATGAACGAAAATATTATCGTGGATTATGTAATCAATGATCTACTCAGAGCACCTGTTTAGGTACCGCAAGCAGCATGGGCTCTCGGCAGAGGCTTATGTACTCTGCAGGTAGAGCTTCGCAGCCGAATAGCGTCTCCAGCAGCTTCAGACAGCAACCTTAGTCAACATGTTCAAGTAATTTATTAAAAGCAAACACCTCCTTTCATATAAACTGCTCGAATTCATCCAAGACTATCAAGCTATTTACTTATATACATAGACTAAATAGTCAGTCCAACTATATACTGCTAAAAGGTGTATCATACATCGTGCAAACATGGTATCTCTCCGGAATAAAGTCAAGATATATACTGACTTAAATGCAAACTCTTCCTCCTTTATTCTATTTCTAACCAATGCGAGTAAGCAAGTTGTCGCCAAAGGTCCAGTTACCCGCTCCATCCCAATTGATTGACCACGTCATCAAGCCTTTCAGAGCACCGTTGTAGTGGTCCCATGCTTGTCCTACTAAGCTTGGGTTCATATAGCCCCCGCCAGCTCCATTTTGTGCAGGTAGGCCGGGTACTTGCATGTCGTATGGGATCTTGATTGTGGTGCCTTGGACAGTAAGTCCTGCATTCAAGCAATCAGTCTGAGCAATAAATCCCGCGACAGTGCCGGCTGCGTATGAGTCGCCTGAGCAACCGTAGTAGTCGTCGTTGTAGTATTGCATGTTGAGCCACCACAGTCGGCCGTTTTGGATATATTTTTGAATGATTGGCAGGTATGATCCCCAAATAGAGCCATACGTGACGCTACCGCCTGTAACATATGGTGTCTCCGGTGCCATAGTCAAGCCAAAGTTTGAAGGCATCGCAGCAAGAACACCATCAATGATGCGAATCAAGTTGGCCTGGGATGTGGAAAGCGTGTTGATATTGCCGCTGCCGGTCAAACCAGTCTCAATGTCGATATCAATACCGTCAAAGTTGTACTGCTTCAAGATTGGTACAATGGTCGCGACAAACTTGTCGGCGACTGTACTAGAGCTGAGGTCTATGCCAGCAGAAGCACCTCCGATTGACAAAAGAATTGTTGCTCCAGCTGCTTTAGCCTCACACATCTCGGCCGGTGTTGCAATCGTAGTATCAGGAGCCATGTCGTTTTCCCACAGCACTGTGCCATCTGACAGAATAACGGGGAAAGCAGCGTTGATCACATTGTAGCCATTCTGTTTAATAATAGGGTTTTCGATTGGTGTCCAGCCGAATCCGGGGTGAACGCCGTTGGATGCTCCGTCCCAGTTCTCCCAATATCCCATCAGGACTTTGCCGGCCGGTTTTCCCTTGAGTGCACATGTTGCATTTTGTGCAGAAGCGGTGCCAATTAACGTCGATGCGATGGCAGGCAGCAGCAGAAATCTGGCGTCAAGAAGGCGTGTCATGACTGAATGCCTGATAAGATATGAAATGAAGTAAAAATGGTAAATTAGGTATTGGAAAAATAAGAGAAAGTATAGATCAGATCATAGACTTATGAAGCAGAAGATGTGAGCTTAAACCATTTCATTGATAGGCATATGCGGTGCTTTTATAGAAGATATCCCAATGATTTCTTGGCTTCCTATTACTCTCTCTTTGCTTGCCTATTCTAAGAAGGTAGTATCATGACTTAGTCTGGTGAGCTAAATTCCCTTGATGGATCATCCATTTCGTCGAATGATAACCTTACATTCCAGAGACAACTTTGTTAGCTAAATAAATGGATTGAAGTGAGTTGCTCATCTGCTTTGAAATACGTATCACATCAACTGCTGTTCAGCTCAATGCAAGGAAGCACAATGGACGCATCATGATATTGAAGTCATGCAAAGGGTCTTTTTTTGCCCTGCCTCTGATGCCTACCTAGTACAAGGAATCAAGAGCTTGGCGCATGTTTCTCATTTCTCACACTCAGTGTTCGGCGCGTACAATCCGGATAACGGAACAAACAAAAGCACTTATCTTATCTTGATAATAAATTTTATGCATTAATAGGAAGGTGAAATAGAAAGCTGCCCCCCTCGTAGGCGCGTAACGTAGGATTCTGTTGCGGCATAGAGCAATCTGGGGCAGTGGTTAATAAACGCTGCTCCAGCGCCTGAAGATGGAAGTTAGCAGTGTAAGGGGCTGTAAAGGCAAACGCGGAGGCCCCCGCCTTCCTTGGTAAACGTACAATAACTCGCACTAGTATGGGTTTGAAACTTGTGACTTAGTCATGGGTTACATTCCTGGGCGACTAGAGAGGCATGTAACATCGGCGTGAGGCATCTCTGCACAGGAGGTCTTGCACTGCTCTTGTAGCACGTGCCTTTATTCCGATCAGAAGAGAACATGAAGTTACAATGGCTATATAAAATACCGTATTTTTTTTTGTCTTAATAAAAAGAGAGATTTAAAACTTGCAAGTGAATGAGTGAATAAATGAATGCAACTGACGCTGACGCCTACGAATCTATCCTGTAATCTATGGGCCGTCGATCACTACCTATGTCAGTAATTTCTCCCACTACGCCTACCATCTTGGGCTTCCAAGCCGGGGTCCACAGCATACAAAATCGGTCTTTCGTTGTTACTATTACCAGCAGCTGTACTTTCCTTTCCTGGATAAGCATCAAGTTATTGTATACTCACTTGAGGCTTTCCTTTAGCCATTAATCTCTACTTTAACCGCACGGAATTATCTGCAGCGACTTGCTTGGTGCCGTAAGCGTGGGGACGGGCTGTAACGTTGGCACTCTATCTACGAAACAGAGCTTTCTTGGAAATCAAGACTTTTTAATCTATTCGTCCTCCCGCTTTATCATTTTTTTTTTCCTGTTATTCAGGTTATTCTAAAGGAGCAAACCGTTACATTGTGACTCCAAAACGATTGCAGATAAACGCTAAATGCAAAGTACGCCCGCCGCTACTGCACAGCAAAGCACAATTGAGGGGCTTCTCAATATAGAGGGTTGTAAAAAGAGAAGCAAAGGGCAACAATCATCACGAAGAGCTCTTCGACTAGCTATCTAGTGCTCTCACAAGTAGACATTCTCTACACTCAGTGCTACGATTGTGTCTCAGTGCATGGTCATAAGTCGTCAAAGATAATTCACAATATGCCTACTTAGGGGTTTCGATAAAACTAAAACTGCTTTCCATGCTTTCCAGGATAAAGTGACCCTTCACAGATGGCAAAAAACGCACTAACCCCGTGGCCGCCATACCCTTTGTCCTTCCGTCACTGATTCATTCCCAGGTAATATTTCCCTCAGCATCTCATTGACCCCCTTCCTTTCATCCCGTGCCATTTCCCAGTGCCTGGGATATCCCAAGCTGACCTCTTCATACCTCACGCCTTCCTTTACGTCAGTACGTCTAACATGCAGATGTCCTGATACGACCACTTGCGCCCCTCCGTAATCAGCACCGAAACGCCCAGCTTCCGCCCAATCTTGAGTCCTTTTCGTCCCGCACCAGAGGGAAAATCGTGGAATCTTCGGAATGTATACCAAGTCCTCTCGCAATGGCCAGTGATTCACAATCACAAACTTAGTGTTTGGATACCGTGCTGAATATTCGGAAAACTTTTGCTCCCATCTCTCACATAGTGCTGTACACCATTCGTCCCGTGACTCGTAGGGGTCTGGATGCAATAAGGCTTCGTCCGTGGCCCAAACATTGTCTTCCATCGCCCAATCCAGCGCGCCTTCTCGAGAAACATCGTCTGGTCGGAAAGAATAGTCGTATAGCGTAAATATAAGTGCAATCACGACGTTGACTCCATCCGATCTCCGCCATAGCATCCAATCATCCTCGGGAGTAAGAACACCGTACTGCCGGGCTAGCTCTACCAAGGCGTTGTACTTTGCCTCTCCTCGAAGATTATCAGCAGGGTGCTTTGCCACGGAAGGAGAGACGGAGTAGAGCTCATGGTTTCCTGGGACCCAGAACACGTGCGTGAAACAAGCTTTGGCGCGCTCAAACACATTAATCAAGTGTGTAGCTGATTCACCAATATCACCCGCAAGGATCAATCCTGTGCCAGGCGGTTTGGGCTGTAGGAGATCCCACTGAGTGGCATTTAGAGGATATGCAACGTGCAAATCGGAGATACCATATAGCTTCGCCATCGTAGCTTTGCTGTGTCAAGAAGAGGCTGGACAGAGTGGGGTTAAGAGCTGCCGAAGCGATAACGTCTGCTTACTAAAATGAGATTTTAATCCTATCCGTTGTATTACAAGAATTCATGTATAACTCAATACTATCATATAGATACATATAAGATACATATATCGGACTAAGGAAGAGGTGTCACAACATGAATACTTGTTGAATGAAAAATGAGCCCCGCTCTCATCGGATGAGGTTCCTATCCTTATAAATGATATCTATTCCAAGGACATTCTCATGCTATCAATCAGCTACCCATGAAATATAACTGGGCAATCATCTTTTAAATAAGTCATGGCCTTATTTGGTATTGTTTAAGCCAGTTGTCTCTGCGCTGAGACGCCATGAATACAAGTTGTACTCTAGGTTATTGAGAATTAAGAGGTGTTGGAAGCATTGAAGCTAGCTTCGCCATAGTGCTATCGTGTCCATCCTCAAGCTTAGTCAGAATACTGGTCGCGCTTCCGCTCATAGCTCTTCGACAGAGCACCAGCATCACTATCCTTGAAAAAATTTGGAAAATAAGAAAACGATTTAGACTGACATTGTATCATTCGGCATGCACAGCTACACAGAATATACTCCGTATTCCCAAACTATATCGAACACAATATCTACAAGAAGGTACGCTAATGATGGGCGAATGTCTGAGAACGAGAGTTGCTCTGTCATTCAGATCGCAAAGTATCGTTAAGCAGTGCTAAAGTTGAACCGCCTTGTGTCTTTATCTACCCAGTACTGCTTGCTCGGGCTGAAGTTACGCGTTATATAATGATTAGGCTGTGTGATTTCTTTTTTCTTTTGCCGCGGATGGGCGTATTTGTGTGTATATGTTTCAGAAAAAGAGAAGAATAAGGCGCCACTTCGCTGGTAGCGAAATGGCTCATTTGCCTGTTTTAGTCAGGCAATCAGAATCTTTGGCAGTCTGTATCGAAGCAAGTTGCGAAGCGCAGCAGAGTGATACTAACGTGGAGGAGGTAACCAAGAGTGCAGCGCTCACTCTATCTACCTATGCAATAACCTACAATGAAGAGCTTAAATAGAGCCGGCATCGCAAAAATCATATGCTTAGCATTATGCCCGATGTTTGTCAATAGAGCTAGCCTTGCCTCTTAACTAACCCTTTTACTAAAGACTATCCAATATTTTGATTCAATTTTTACTCATTGTATATTGCTGTTACCCTATGGGACTCTGAGTGATCATTATGAGGCTGCTCTTACACTGCTTTATTATTGCTATTACCTTAGATAGAGCTTAAAATGATCACTCTGACGTAATTGACTACATAGTAGATTTCTTGGGTAGGAGCTTCAAAAAATCATTTTGTGTTTGGAGACAATTATACTGATGAATTGGGATTGGACTTTCTCACAACTTACAATAACGCGCCCTGCCAGTTGGATAGCACTCGCAGAGTCGTCATATGCCACCAATAGAGGTCGCGTTTGACCAAGATGTATTTATGTCTAGATCACTTATGTCTAGATCACTTATGTTCCTGGAAATGCAATCTACAATTTTGGCCACCCGAGAATAGTCTGGGTACCTCATCAAGAAGAAATATAGGTTAAGTGCCTCTTGTCGCTGATTACCCTCGATTATTTTTACCCCGCTATGTAGCACAGCGATAAATGGTATCTTGACGGCTGTGCAAATACAATGGCCAACCACTTGGCAGAAGCCGCTGATGATTGCGCATGATACAGCTTCGCATATATTTCTTTGAGGCTCTTTCACAGGCTGTAATGCGCTTGTCATCTAATCGCCGGCGAAGTACGCGCATCACAACCGCAATCCATGCTGCTACTAATGATGAGCTGACCGCTTAGTCAATTGTCTCTTGCGGCTCAACCTGCAGCATTCAAAACATGTAAGTGTACTATGTACTCCTTTTGCATCCTCAAGCGCCTACATTACCAATCAATTGGGCGGTTAATTTCTCAACAAGTCGACGCCTGTCTCCAAATGTTGCTAGCAAACTGATTATTGCGTTACCCGCGCGGGAATTATCTAATGGTCTTGCTCGCCGCTTTTTGTACTGAAAACCGCGCGCTCTTTGGAAACTGACTAGCAATGTGTACTAGCCAAATTACAAACTATGTGTCAGCAGCCAAAAGCCACTCAGTAATGCCAGCACAAGCCATTTCTAAGCTTGACCAATGCAGAGGAGGTTGTAATAAATTAGCCAAAAGGCAAAACTAGAGACTTTGTATATATTGTGCTGCAGCCGCTTTCCAAAGTCGTCCATCAATCAGATTTCGCATTACATTCAGATACATCCTTCATAGCAACTTGCATCTTTTCATAGCCACTTTAACATCCAATCGCCGATATGTCTTCCACCGTGTCCGCTGATCAATTCCTCGCTGCCGCCAAGTACCGCCGCACCGTCTACGGCCTCAAAGGTACCTCTGCTGTCTCTGATAAGCGAGTTGAGCAAATCGTCGGAGAGGTTCTCTCTTTCTCGCCCTCTTCATACAACACCCAGCCAGTTCGCGTTACCATTGTGACTGGCGAGAAGCACAAGCAGCTGTGGGACACCATCATCAAGACAGCCGAGCCCATCCTGAAGGGCGCCGGCGAGGCAGTATGGACGGCCATGAGCGGTATCTTTGAGTCGCACAAGGCATCATATGGATCGGTAGGCATTACTCCTCCTGATGAGACTATTTTATATAAATCATTCTTTCCATACTGACAAAACGGCAGGTTGTTTTCTGGGAGAGTGGTGACAGCATCAAGGCAGCAGGAGAGACACACAAGTCGGGCGCACACATGTTCGGCCAATTTGCGGAGCACTCGACCGGTATGGCTCAGCTCCTCGTCTGGACCGCTCTTGAGCTGGAAGGATTGGGTGCCAACCTCCAGCACTTGCAAGCCATTCCTCCTGTTGAGGCAGAGATCAAGAAGTTCCTCCAGGTGCCCGCCGACTACTCACTGAAGGCCCACTTGAACTATGGTGATGAGCCCGGCCCCCACAGCACCACCGTCCCTGAGAAGCTTCCCCTCAGCGAGACCCTGAAGATTGTCAACTAAATACATGTCTGCGAGCTACATATTCTCAGCGCGTCTTAGAACTATAGATTGCGGATGAGTTCAAAAGTATAGAGAGCTGCTTTAGCGTTACTTTCGAAATTGAAATGAAAATTTACATATGATATGCAATGCCCTTGACTACCTATACATTGAAACGCAGAAATTTAGTGATTTGTAGAATTGAACCACTAGTGAGTGCACAGCGTTTATAACTTTATATGCGGGAAATAAAACCCTCCGACTGTACAGCCATCAAAAGGGAATCATTATATTCTAATTTTCAGCAATAATAATCCGAATCCGAATCCTAATCCTAATCCTGATAGGACATATATGTCATACAGTTACAATACTACAAGATTCGCCGTTTTGGAACGAACTACACAGTGTCAGGAAACATTAAAGCACAGGTATCTGTCATATCTTTTTGTTTTAGCGATCTATAGAGGGTCATCTAGCTAAGTTGAAAACGCTGTAGAAGCTTATATACCCATCGCACTCCATCATGGTGATTAGCTTCTTAAATGAGCTAAGCAAGCCAAGCAACAGCTGTGCTGCCCTTCCATGAACATTTCACTTCATCCTTCGCTCCATCAACGATTTAAGAACTGTTTCCGTTGAAGATGATAACGTTGGGGCTGCCGTTGAGGCTTCCGGTTACACGACCAGATGTAGCCAGAGCTTTAATTCGGTTAGTGACAGCGGTCGGAGAGGTGAGACCCTCGAGAGATTGAAGATAGAGGGCCAGGCCAACAACGTGAGGTGTAGCCATGGAAGTACCGCTGATTGTGTTGGTAGCAGTGTTGGATCCAATCCATGACGACAGAATGTTGACGCCAGGGGCAAAAACATCAACGCCAGCACCATAGTTGGTGAAGGAAGCAGTGCGCCAGTTGATGTCCAATGCGGCAACGGTTATGGCGTTAGGAACGTTAGCAGGAGAAGTGCCGGAGACTGGCTGGGGGTTTCCCAGAGAGTCGCCATTACCAGCGGCGACAATGGTAAGCACGCCCTGGTTAAAGGCTGCGTTAATGGCGGTCGTCCAGGTAGATGAGGCAGGTCCTCCAAGCGACATGTTAATAGCAGACTTGCTAGCACGGCTTTTCGAGACGATGTCGTTTACAGCCCAGTTATAGCCGTCAAGGATAACAGAGGTGGAAGCACTTTCACCAGCAAAGACCTTGACAGAGATTAGGCTCGCCTATGAGCAGTACCGAGTTAGTCTTGAATGCATTCATGTATTCACAACAAAAAGTCGACAAAGGGTAGCTCACCTGCTTAGCAACACCGTATGTAGATCCACCAATTGTTCCGGAAACATGAGTACCATGGCCAAGAGTATCGACATGCTGTCCTCCTGCAGCATTGTAGCCAAGGCTGGCACGCCCGCCGAATTGCTGATGAGAAGTGTTGATACCAGAGTCAACCACATAGGCAAAGGTGCCGGCGCCGGCTGAGCTATCATAAATGTAGCTTGTGGATCCAGATGTGCGATGGGACACAGTGCCGAGACCCCAAGGAGCACCAGATTGTGTGGTCAGAGCACGCTTGTCTTCAACAATGTCCGACAGATGCATGATGTAGTCTGGCTCAACAGACGCAACCTATAGTGTGATTAGCTTCTTTTTGTTCTTTTATCTTCACAATACAGCGGACACGTACATCGGGGTTGGACTTGATCTGCTCAATTGTCTCCTCGTCAAACTCGCCCGCATAAGCATTCCAAGTATGAATGTTATAAGTCTTTTCAACACCAGCAGTGCTACGCTTGGTCAACGAACGGGTGTGGATGTCCGTTACCCAGGCGAGATGAGAGTCGGTATCAATAGAAGCACCCTCTTTAAGAGTGACGATGAACTTGTTGGGTACGGCTTCAGGCTTCTTGTGAAGAGCTGCAGGAGCAGCGAGGACAGCCGGGAGCAAAGCTCCAAGATAGAGAGCGAGACGACGAATGCTGGTCATGGCTGTGATGTGCTTTGTATAGTGGAGGAGAAAAGATAGGAAGTCGATGGCTGTTCCAACTTACCAGATATTCTTGCGAATACAGCCAACTTAAATAGTTTTCATTGTCACTGCGGATGATATGCTCGATTTCGCTATCTGAAGCCTCCATCACGTCTGCCAGAATCACTCCATTGTAATTGCTTGCCAAGCCGCTGAGTATAGATATCCAAGCTGCCTAAAAAGAACTAGAACGAATAGATCACACCAAGACTATAGGTTTGTGTTACGGCAGCCACGGTGCCCAGATCTTGGCAGCTAGTTTGAATGCGGAAAGAAGCATGATGAAGAAGCAGTATCTCCAAGGCATCAACTTGGATATCGATGAAGATGGTTTAATACATGGTCTATTTCTATGAATAGCCGTCTTGCTTTTCATCATTCCCACTCCAAATGCGCTGTCTCCAATCTCCTCATCACTACCGGACAAATAATACAAATAGCGAACCCATACAATTTAAGATTCATTTAAGGTTATTTGACGCCTATAGACTAAGATTCGCTAATATTTACGCTTAAAATCGAACTCTCGATGGGTTGTTTGTATCACAGGTAAAAATGCCGAATGCCGTGCGGACTAAAATCGCGCCAATAGCTGTGCACCTGCTTTTTAAGTTATCATGTCCGAGAATCAAGGAACCTTTGAATAGAACGCACGGCAAGGCTCTAATAGCGCAATCATAGCCGGCGCCTTATCAAGATTTAAGAAGGAGGGGTGGCCGAATAGCGGAACTTTTTATATTGCCCGAATGGGAAGGTGATTCTGCCACCTCGCTGAGTAACCAAAGTTTTCAATATTACGGATTGTACGTTATGGGGAATCCGCTATTATAGAGCGCTGGGATCTCGGATTATTATCCATGCTGCTCCTACAAGGCGGCTGAAGATTGTGAGCGATAAGAGATGGTAAACGACATGTGATATTTTTGATCGTGAAAGATGTACTACTAGACAGTGCTCCGCAAGTGGAAACCAATACCCGAAAAAGTAATTGCATCAATATTTTCAATCTTTGCTCATAAAATCCCCACATTGAACTCATCGTAAGGCGTATTGCCAAGTAAGGTACCTAGGTATTACTACGTCTAATAAGAATTGTGTTGGTTCTTATAGCCCATGATTTATGTAGCAGCGAATGGCTTGGGATGTAATTTTGCAGCCACTGAACAAATATTAACAAATACAGTAGCTCTAAGCTAGAAGTCGACAAAAAACGTTGTGAATAAAGTTGAATTCATTAGTTCATAGTTTATCTTATATGCCTGTGGCGGTTATATTATGATAGTACCATCTATTGTGTATACTGCTGGTAGCTGGCGTAAACGAACTCAAACATAATTCTTTAGAAACGCAATCTGAACCGCAATATTCTCCTTGAAAATATCACCTCGATATTGGTCAAAATGACCGCAGCCTTTTAGCAGATGGAGCTGCTTGGGTCCTTGAGCTAATCCAAATGCCTGCAGCTGAAGCGACAGCAAGCTATCATCTTTTTCTCCCACAACCATCAACAGAGGCGTGGGCGCAATACGGTGAATATATCGGATAGGTTCGAACCTAAGTAATCTGAAAAGAGACATTGTAGTTAATTTATTTTCCCAATTGCCGCCTTGCGCGGCGGCGTCTTGGAAAAAGCGGAAGCTGGCCGTATCTCGGAGCATAACGGCTGCAGTGCCAGCCTCAGCCTCGTCAAGCGTGGAAGCAACAACACGAGTGAGAGGCCATTCTTCTCCGCTGCGAATCTTGGCGCGGTCTTGCTGTACCATGTCGAGAAAAGGTTGCCCAGTGCCTACTAATAGCTCCCCCGACACGAATGGCACCTGAGCAATGACAGCTTTGACTCGGCGATCAATTGCCGCAGCAGTGATGGCAACTCCTCCCGAGTAACTTGTTCCCCAAAAAACAATCCGTTCCGAGTCAACTTGTGGAAGAGACGCGGCGTAGTCAAAGGCTTCGATATAGTCATCCTGGAATTTGACAGGATCGGCATCGTATCTGCGACCACCGCTTTCTCCGAAGCCGCGATTATCGAAGACCAAGACACTGAAACCCGCTTTCTGGAATTCGAGTGCAAAGTTATCAAGAAAGTGTTCTTTGAGGGCCGTAATCTAACATTGAGCCTTATTAGTCATAGTTCAAGACTTCAAGCATTTCTTCCCAACATCATCCATCAAACATACCCCGTGGGTCATGATAATACATGGACTTTTTTCTGCGCTTGCTTGAAAGAACCAGCCTTTCAGGGTCACTCCATCAAACGTTTGGAAAGATACATCTTGATGTGAAGTAGACATTTTGAAGCAAAGATAATAGCCGAGATTCTAGAAGATGACTAATATTGGCAGAGATGATAAAGAAGAAGCAAAAGCAACAATGAACTCTCCTTAATCTTTATATCTGACTCTATCAAGGATGAAATCAGTAATTTTACAAGGGCATGGACATAGCAATTGGTAATTACTGATCAGTAAGCTTATAGACAGTATTTATTTACTGATACAGTGTATAGCTGAGCTTCGACAAAGTTTATATGACCGTATTGCCCCAGCAAACTGACACAATAACATTAATTAAAAAAAAAAAAAAAAGAGCAAAGCGAGTGTGCCTAATCCAGATTTGAGGCTGTTTAAGCGATTAATAAACATACCTATGCAGAGTTATGTGGTTCTATTGAAAGAGACTAACCTATGCTTGGATAGCACCATCGAATTGAATGATGCTTAATATCTCGCAAATTACGCTGAAGTTCTTTCGTCCGGTAAGCTGAGTAAGATGTAAACACGTCGAACTGTAGGCTATTCCTGAGACTATACAGAGAGCTGGCAGCGGAGGGTCCTGCAGTCGATTCGAAGACAGTTCAATGAACACTGAATTATTCTATATCAAGTCTGCAGTGATATCTAAGAAACCCAACCTCAAATGAAGTCTCGCATATGGTAATTCAAGACGAGAGTTTTTATTCAAGATTATTCTATCACTAACCTCCACCACTAGTCCCTTATAGGAAATTGGTAGCTATTTCGGATCTGAAGCTTATTAAAAACCATTCATTTTGGACAGAGCACTCTGATTATACGAGTGCTTAGGTCAATACACTAATCTGCATGCACCTAAATTTTAATATCTTACTTTTATAGCGCCTATATAGCTACTATGGCTCTGATTCGGACGAGTTGGGCTCGTCCTCCTACTGGCGGCCGGACGAGCTCGGAAGAGTTAGTGGACACGCCATTTCGCTGGTAGTGCCTCGTATCTCGAGCCAATATACTCTGCAGAGAGGGGTGGAGGAAAGGAGCTTGGTTCCGGACCTCGGAGTCGTAGCCTAAATCCCATTTCTATTGCTTACTTATAGGCTGGGCTGCCTTGTGCTGCGCCACTCAATTCCAAACTTGGCTGATGCTCTGGCGGGCAGCCTAGCACGTTAATACATTGCATCAGAAAACTGCCAAATAACTACTGGGTAAATATTGGCTCTGGTTGATTTTATAAGCCAATTGTTGAAGTCTCATAATAATGCTAGATGTGGGCTTTCTGCCGCCCAATATCTGCTCTTTGCAATAGCTTGTAAAATATTGCTACTCTTGGTTTTGATGTGGAGACGAATCCACAAAAAAAATGCTAGGGGAAGCCTGGAGATGGCAGATCCAAAAACGCATATTTGTAGTACAATAGCAACACACCGTGATATCCTTGATATCTCGTTGTAGATGTACGTTTATAGAGGCATTTGTACGCATGGATAGAGAGGAAACTGCGCGACAGCTAGTCTTCAAAGCATTCGTTGACATTGGCGTTTGACACCTGCTTGCCGCTTGAGGCCTGTTTCAAGCATGCCTCTTCCACGCTATTGAAAGAAACTATTACAGCGCGTGCATATATTCGATGCTCTATCGGCCCCCACAGGTTGGTACTAACGAATACCAAAATTCGCTATTTTCGAAATCCCAACAAATGCTGTCTTCTCGGTACTTCATCGTCTCTGTTCGCGCTCGCTGAGGCCATTGTTTCTCGCTTTAGAAATATCACCATCAGATCCGAACTAGAAATGGGCGACGTGCGGCAGACAGTAAAGCAATCGGTACCAGTGGACGTCAACAAACCATATGATCCCTCAACACTCAAAGATAAGACGATTCTTATCACCGGTGGCGCCAATGGCTTAGGCGCACATATGGTTCGCCATTGGGCCGCTCATGGAGCAAATATCATCGTTGGAGATGTTGCAGACCGGGCTGGCGAAGAGCTTGTGGCCTCGCTTCGGATGGCTTATCCCAAGGGAGTTTTCGAGTTCCGGCACTGCGATGTCACAAACTGGGAGTCTCAAGTCGGCCTTTTTGAGGCCGCCATCCAAATCAGTCCATACGGCTCTGTAGACATCGTGGTTCCCAACGCCGGAATCATCCTCCCCGCAGAGGCTACCAAATTCGAGAATCCCGATTTTGTGAACGGGAAAATCCCGGAGCCTAATACAGCAACACTGGATGTGAACGTGAGAGGCGTCATTTACACGTCTCATCTTGCGCTGTACTACCTTCCGCGAAACAAGAGACCTGACAGATGCCTTCTTTTCGTGGGTTCCGTGGCCTCTATCATTCCACTTCCCGGCCAGAGCCAATACAGCATGAGCAAACATGCTATTCTGGGTCTCTTCCGCTCGCTGCGCGGCACAGCCTTCCTGAAGGATATTCGCATCAATATGATTGCACCCTACTACACTGCACAGACCAAGATGCTACAAGCAACAACAGAGGCCCTTTTGCTCGCTGGCTCTGCTGGACCAGGACAGGTTCCTGATGTCATTGATGCGGCAACACGACTGATTGCTGATGAAACAGTAGCTGGTCGCGCTCTCGTCATCGGCCCACGATTGAAGCCTTATGATGCCGAAAATCTCGACTTGGTAAATGGAGGGGAGGCTGTTGAAGGTCAGGCAGTTTGGGAATGCTACGCGCACGATTATGACCAGGTGGAAACGTTTGTAAAGAGGTATCTATGGTTGTTGAACGCTGCGGCAAAAGCTCGGGGGATGTTGGCCTGGATTCGCGATATTTTGGCCATCTGGAAGAGAAGCTGAGTATTAAACGGCTTTCGCATTGAATAGCTGGTAATAAATAACATGATGATTGCCAATTTTTCATTACATGCTAATGGTGAACGGAAAGGCTGGTTTTATTGGCGGTGGTCGCTGGCCAGCTCGAGTCGCAGACTCCTCGACGGCATTGGGCTGGGTATGTTGTACATGTCGCAAATCACTCTCTAAAGCCCAGAAATGAATGGAGTTCAATGTGAAAAGAGTGGACAGACCTTTTAGTACAATGGTAGGATAACAGCCTACATACGCGGCCCATGAATGTTGTCACAGCTGTAACTAGAGATTACATGTGGCGAACAGCTGTCCAATGCTGACAAAACCGTATACCTATTGGGCGCCGCCCATTAGTGCTCTTATCTAAGAGCTCCGCAACGTTAACCTTTGGATGATATGAATGAAGATCCACGCCCACAGCTGTGTCGGCCGATGCATCTTCAGCATCAAATTGATGAATCGGATTTGTTCCCATGTCTGCGCAAGTTCCGCTAACCCTCAAGGCTCAACGGTCTTGTCAATTCTGTGCAAGTCGCAAACAAGGCTGCGATAGGTTGCTGCCCAACTGTTCTCGCTGCACGTCGTAAGTCCTTCCTCATTCGCACGTATGGACTAATTCGACATCATCTTTGTTCTGACGGAATCTGATTGTCACAGAAAATTTCTTAGGTGCGATTACATCGCTCATAGAGATAGACATGCCGTGAATCGCCAGAATGAAGCTCCTGCGCCAAGTAATGACCTGGTGGAATCACGCGGTTCTTGTTCTCTTGACCTCTCCGCCAAGGCCGAATCGTTATTGCTTCGCTTAGCGTGTGATAGCGGCAGTTCGGCGGCAGAGTATGGTGGACATGGCCTATCTGAGCTATTGTTCAAAGTACTTGACGCTTTCGAGGTTGACATTCCGAATTTGCTGGACAGCTACTTTGCGAGCGTTCATCGATGGCTCCCCATAATTGAAGAGGAACATATCCGTCACAAATTTGCAGACTTAGAGAACCATAGTCATGGCGACGATGCACGTTTGCTACTGGCTTTCTATGTTGTCATCCAATTTCCATGCAATCATGCAGATCATTCCATGAATACTCGGCTTTACCGTACCATAAGACGGCTATTCATCATCGCTCAGTCATCACTTGGTGTCAAGGATCTTGATCTATTGCAGTACGGGTTATTGCTTGTGGCTTATGAATGTTCACAAGGCCTGGAATCTGTTTATACTACATTGAGTGCATGCGTATCACTGGCCCGGATAATCGAAACCCAAAGCTACGAATCCAGTGACCTGAATTCAAGACACTTGGAAGAAAGGACATTATGCGGTTACGCACTGGTAACCTTGGATCGGTAAGTTGGAATTCTCTAGATGAGGGCGGGAAGGTCCGCCGCTGATCAAGAACCTAGCCTCATCGCACTCTCTGGTATGGACTGTTCTCTGCCATTGCTGCTACCGGATAAGCACTCCTTCCCCCTGATAGAGGAGCATGACCTTGAATTAGACGAAGGGCTTAAAGTATACGGCTACACTGGAAGGATGAGAATCACAGCCACTGTGTCACAATCAGTTAGCGCTGCTCTGGTGCATTTGCGCTGTTGTCGGCTTGGAAGAACTCCACCAGTTGATTACTTTACTGTGGACAGCTCTACGCAGGCTTCACTATTGACGCTTTTGCGACTTTCTGAAGAGAAAGCATTCCTCAATTGTGAACCAACGTCGATGACAATTAGGTAAAAAGATCAATGCCCAAACCTGTGAGATCTGGAGACTTGAACGTACAACTCATATATGTCTTTAGTACCCTCATGATACTTCGAAGCAGCCATGATAGGAGCAGGAGCGGCCCCAGGGACCCCAAAGACGCCAATGCATTGTGGTCCATAGCACGCATGAGTCTAGAGATGTGTCTCTCTGCTTCTGACTTCATAAGATACAACGGCATTGAGAACTTGTCATTTGTTGGCCTTTGCTGTGTATGGCGAGCAGTTTTACCCTTAGTGGGCCTCAAGGAGTTTCAAATTTCAGCCCAAGAGCTGGAGACTCTTAGAAGTGAGCTGGAGCGCTTTAGTAGCTGTTGGGCAATAGGCGGTATGTGACAGCCATGTAACTTTCGTGATGAATTCCCAAGTCGGTGTTAACCATTCTCAGCCACCTTTTTACAACACTTTGATCAACTAGCTCGCCCAAGAAGCCTTTGAATACCAAAGCCAATGGCAGCTGGCGTAGGAGCGACCCGTCTCAGGTGCCTTGACGAAAAAAGAGGCTTCTTTTCGTATGATCTTTTGAGCCTTCGTCAGAACAAGCCAACTAACCATCTTTGCTCGGTATGACGGACTAGTAGAAATCTTGGTATGAAAAGACCCTATCACAGAGAGTGTGCCATTGAAACTCTTCTTTGGACTGTTCTGTATTAAAGACTGTTATTTTAGTTATCTAAAGAACGAGCCTATTCATAACTTATACACCCGAACCATTCTTCCTAAATTATGGGATATTATATTTACTTAGTTGGCGCCTTAATATCCCGTTTTGTCCCTGTTCATCCTTCTGTTCATGTGATTGTTCATAAATCCTATAAATATGGTGGCGCCTGGCTTTCTTTTAGAAATTCTTCGCTGGCGGGATAATCAATGTACCCTTCAGCAGTTTTCTTAGCATAAAAGCTATCCCGCTTGTAGGGACTTAGCTCAATACCGGCTTGGATGCGGAATACCAGGTCTGGATTAGAGATAAAATATCGTCCAAATGCAACGGCGATATCCCATTTAGCGTAAAGGCCATCTACAGCTGGGAAGACATTCTCCGCAGTATACCCACCAGCGATGATGACTGGTGACCAGTTGTCCCATTCTTCCAGCAGATACTCGAGTGTGTTACGCCTGTATGTCTTGTGCTGGTCAAGTTCCTCTTCCTTCTCGTACAGCCAAGTGACAGGGTCACCGGTCGCTTCTACCAGGTGGATATATCCAAGGTTCAATTCCAGCCGTTTGAACTCGTGCAGCATATATAGAAACTGGGCCTGTGGATCAGGGGATGTGGCGCCTTGGAAAGTCGCCCAAGGGCTGAGACGAATGGCCGTGCGCTCTGCCCCTATAGCAGCGGCAACGGCCTTGACGGTTTCGATGGCAAAGCGCGCCCTGTTCTCAACGGAGCCACCCCATTCATCAGTTCTCTTGTTGATAGACTCTCGAGTGAACTGGTCGATCAAGTAGCCGTGGGCGCCGTGCAGCTCAACGCCATCCGCCCCTGCGGCAATGGCTGTTTTCGCGGCTTGGGCAAACCCGTCGATTTTGGCCCAGATCTCCTCCTCAGCGAGCTCCTCGGGTATCGTATCATATCCCTCCATGGGACTTGGGCTGCTAGATGCGTATTTGGTGCCTTTGGATCTCGCAAATTGCGCGTCACCTGCGCGGCCTAGGCTCCAGATCTGTTGTACAAAAAAGCTACCCCTGGCATGTACAGCGCTGATGATACGCTTCCATTGGGCAATCTCGTCATCACTCCAGATACCAGGGCCATTTGGATCAGTCTCATCGCTTCGAGATATGGCTGTTGCTTCGCTGATAATGAGCGTTCCGGGAACGGCCGCTCGGGCGGAGTAATACTCGACTGCCATATCCAGAGGCACATGGTCATCTGTGTTGCGATATCGTGAAAGTGGTGCCATCACTATGCGATGAGGCAAGACGTTTCTACCAACCTTTAGAGGCTGGAAAAGCTTGGACATTGCTGGTGGTCTCTGCGATGACATGGTTGAGTTTCTTGACGAAAATCTATCTTTGGCGACGGTTCATGTAAGCCAGGAGTCGTCTGATGGCTGTTAATCCAGAGGTAATGATAATCAGGTCTCAAATTGACGGGGTTGAATTGTTACTTTATATACTACATTCACCTCTGCAAGGACTTAGCTCAATTGCAAATTTAGTCATAAATGCGGCCGACCATATTTGCAGCTGCGTATTATTGTCATGGAATTAATAATTAACAAATAGTGATCATCCATTAGATTGTAAATCAGGACGGCCTCAATCAGCCTTATCTCTTCAAGCATCTAGATAGTTCCGTAATATTACGTTGCTCGCCGGTCAACTTTAACGGTACATCCCGCTCTTCAATGCAAGATTTATGACAGAGGACATGAGAATACACTCTTGTTAAACCTCATTGATTATTCATTCTGCGCAATTGTAATTCTAAGCCAAGGGGGTTTCGCACCTCGGCATTATAACATGATTTCCCACAAAAGGATTCTTAGTGCTTCTCTTGATTGACTCGCATTGGTATCTGTGCCACAGGTAGATTGTGGAGTATTGGCACTTGCGAATCGGCACCCGCATGGCGGATCTTATATGTCGGAACTTGCATATCGGCAGCTGCATTAGCTTGAAGCCCTACAACTAAGGAGTCCCACAACAAAAGTTACGCAAAGCATCTATGGTCGCGGAAGAGTTGATATCTATGGATAGTATAAGCGACTAGAAAACTGTTATATGGTTAGCGTGGCGATGCTTAAAAGAAGCCTAGCGAGTAAGCATTCTATGTCTATTAGTGATCGAATACTGCCAACTTTTCCACGAAGAGTCTAGACAACAGAATGCCAAGGAAATCTAACAACTACTGGATAAATTCGAAAAATTGGCCAGTGGGCCTCTGCAGATGCTTACTGTTACAAGTTCGCTGGCTACTCTTCTAAGTAAATGATGGGGCCATTCGATCAGATTGTGACAAACCCCACTGGTCAATTTTTCGAGGTAATACGGTAATCCAGCGGCTAGGCGAAGCAGCTTCTGCCCTCTCTTGCGACTCAATTTGGTGCTCTGTAATTGGCTTTACCAAGTCTCTTGCATCCGCTTGTGCAATACTTAAAGGCCGTTGTTTCGTCTTCTAAAGTATATGGATATCACAAATAGAACACAATCCAAAGAGAGTAGAGTGCCCAAGCAAACCATTAAAATACAACGGCTACATCGACAGTGTGTATAACGCATATACTCCTTACTAGATTCATATTATTCAACTGAAAAAGTCTCGTTGAACCTTTACTATGTCAACGTTCAAAAACATCATCCTCATTGGCGCCATGGGCTCCATCGGCAGCGTCGTCCTGGCTGCCCTGGAGAAGGAGCCCAGTTTCACTATCACTTTAGTACAACGTGCCTCTTCCAAAGCCACGATGCCTGCGCACCTCAAGACAATCACCGTTTCTAACTCGTACCCTACGAACGAGCTGATTCCTGTATTTCGGGGTCAGGATGTTGTCATCAACTGTATGACCTCGCTGTCGGTGGCCGATCAGTTTCGCATCATTGACGCTGCCATCGCGGCCGGTGTGCGCCGTTATGTACCCAGCGAGTATGGCCTCAACAATACGAGGCGCGATGCCCAGGCTCTGAACCTTGTCTTTCATGACAAAGGTAAGATTCAGGAGTACCTCCGAGCTAAGGCCCAGTCAGGAGTCATTGAATGGATGAGCATATCGTGCGGCATGTGGCTTCGCTGGTCTATGGCAAATGACTTCCTCGGCATGCACATTGGCGAGCGACGATTTGTCTTTTGGGATGATGGCGAGGGCTATTTCTCTTGCACCACCGAGGAGAATTCGGCTCAGGGCTTAGTCAACGCCCTGCTTGCCGCTGGGACTGATCGCGACGACTGGAAGAATACCAACATCTATCTGAGTGACTTTGCCATCACCCAAAAGCAATTACTCGAGGCCATTGAGCGCATCCAGGGTGTCAAGTACACGACGGAAACTATTGACAGCTACAGCTTCATTAAAGAGAAACAGGCTGCCGTAGCTGCTGGCGACGTCGTGGGTACCTTTGCCCTCATAGAGACTGGATTTGTTACCGGACGTTACGGTGGCCACCTTGAGAAAGAAGGCGAGATCCAGAATGACAAGCTCGGTTTGCCAAAAAAGTCACTGGATGAAGTAGTCGAGGCTGCCTTGAAGGCCTATGGGGATATTTAAGAGAGGTATAAACTGGGTAGTAAGCATGGAAGTTAAGTTTAAGGGCATTGGAAAATAGACGAATATAGATAGATGTATAAATCTTAAAGCCATCCAACTGGCATTCTGTATTATTACAACATTCACTAATACAACGCTAATTAGTACTTCGTTTCAAAATCTAGACACTCTGCTGAAGATGGCAATTATAATGTTGGTAACATGTCTCATATAACTAAAACATTTTATTTAACCAAGTACCATTTTATCTATAGATTAAGCGGCGAGCGAGCGGACATGTCCATGGGTCGTTCGCTGAGCATCAGGGCGAGTGAGATGCTAGTGGTGCGGATGGATCGGCGTGCTTGGAGATATAGCGGGGTTGTCGTGGGGTCAGGGTGACAGTCGCCCGTAATCAAAGCAATGACTCGGTAGAAAGCGCGAAGAAAGTGGATATGGTGGCCACTGAAGAGTCTTAAATGGGAGACTTGACGGGATGCTACGTCCGCATCGCTATACAGAGTCGTTATATGAAGTCGGCATTCGATTTTCTGTGTCAACTATAATTTGTACAGAAAAATGGATCGAACATATAGGTTACTTGTGGACTACATCCTCGACAAGTGGGAGGAACGGAAAGCAAAAGCGACAACTGCTAGCGGCATAGAGCATCCGATTCCACGCCTCATAGTTGCAATAGCTGGTCCTCCTGGCTCTGGAAAGACAACAATAGCCAACCAAGTTGCCAATATCATCAACTCTTTACCGTCAAAGAGCCCAAAAACAATTGTTATATCCGCCGACGGCTTTCATCTACCACTCGCTACGCTTCGAAAGCTTCCCAATGCATCCGAGGCTCTTGCTCGCCGCGGCGCGCCCTGGACTTTTGACGGACATGCAGCAGTGAGCTTCATTCGAAAGCTCAAGACCAATTCTCGCCGTCAGCTTGTCCTCGCTCCTACTTTTGACCACGCAATCAAAGACCCAGTAGCCGATGGACTACTGATAGAAGCTGATGTGGACGTATGCATACTGGAAGGCAACTATCTTCTCTGCGACGAGCCTCCATGGGATGAAATTGCAAATCTCGTCGATGACAAGTGGTTCGTTCATGTGGAACCAGATCTCGCTTGCGTGCGAGTTGCGTCTCGGCATCTGGCTGCCGGCATTGAAACAACGATGGAGGGGGCAGTCTACCGAGCAAAGACAAACGACTTGGTTAACGGCGAATTTATTCTGTCAAAAAGTCGGGGCAGATACGATGTAATGATAGAAAGTATAGAAATAAAGACTTAGAGGGCGTTAAGTTTGGCAATTGTACATAATATATTATATGAAGCTTTACATCAAAGCTCCGAGTACCCCATGTTTAACCACTAAATCGAGTAAGGTATCATAGCTTGCTTTAAATGGTATATGTATGAAACTCATAAAGGGTGGATAGTTTATTCAATGGGATTTTTGTATCAAAGCAAAATGCGACGTTTATTTAGAGATTGTTATGCTCCTACATCCCGTTGAGAAAATCCATCCAGGAATCATCTTGCTCTTGGCCACCATCAAGCAGTGCATTTGGCCACATCATCGAAAATACTGCATCCATTTGGTCATTAGAAGCATCTGCGGCGACCATCGATCTGTCACCGTCAACGTCGGATGATTGGTGGTGCGCGCCGCCGTATATACCACTGGAATCTTCTCCGCGATTCGGATCCTGTGCGTCGACATCTTCCAAAAGAGGTATTGCCGAGGCCAGATGAGTGCCGCAGAGGCTGACAATTACTTGGTGGCATCTTCTAGCGCTTGGATTCACTGCCACCAATGATGCAAGAACTTTGAGGGAAGTATCGATTTGATCCCGCCAGTCAGGCGCCTGTGGAGAATTGATGCTGTGTCGAAGACAAATACACGGGATTAAAGCAGCTTGGAAGAGGAAGTATCTTCATTATGATTAGTTTCCGAGTTACCATCAGCCCAAAAGTCGAATACTCACAATGCATACCACGCAAATAGGCGGATATGATTGCACGATGCCCAAAAATCGCTTATAGATATTATGGTTTGCTTGGCATCCTCCAAGCATCGATCGTAAGCCTGGAGCGACTCTGCACTCAAGTTGTCTTTACGGCCGTTACGCGCAAGCAAAGCGCGTCGGATGACAAAAGGTCGATACATAATCATGCGAAAGTTTCGCCACCTCCACTGTATAACAGAATGAGCAAAGGCGTATTTTGCCGGTACGGACGCCGCCTCTGAGAAATATTCGGGCGTGTTTTTTGCCCATGGTTCAAGACAGCGAGCCTCCAATTGAAGCAGCTCCTTTGCACTGGGTAAAGGTTTGGAAATTATTCGAATGTAGATTGGGTTTGTAGCGATGGCAAATTGTGCTTGTGTTCGAACTGCTGTATAAACAGTGATTTCGTGCGGATCAGAAGGGTATGATTTGGACATGGCGGTTAGATCCTATAGAGGTCAGTTTCATGCTAAGACGACGATTGAGAGCAAAGTAACCTTGTCGTGAATATTCATTGGTAATGATGTATCGACACCATCAAGCGGGCACACTTGGGGCCGTCCAAAGGTGATATTTGCACCAATGTCAAATATGCTTAATGTCCACCACACTCTGCGTCGGATTTCCATGCTCAAAGGCGATATCTTCCACCCTTGGAAGTCTTTATGCAGCCCTAGCGCCATAGCCATCCTAGCGGCCAATCCCGAGTAGCTGTACGCAGAATTGGGCTTGTCTCTCTTTTGCTGATAATTGGAAATTAAAGTCAGAGCCTGAACCAATGCCAAGCTGCCGATTTCCAGCAAGTCAAAAGACAGTAAACCCTTGATATGATTGAAGAGATCAAGGTCTAGACTGTTCACTGTAGTAGCAGTGGTATACACCCCAAGAGCTGCCATAGTATAAGCCAGAATAAACCAAGATCCTCCGCTAGGTCTTGGAATAACTTCAGAGTACTGAGCTCGGAAGGTCGGTTCATGGACGATAGGATAGCTGACATGATATATTCTGAAGTAGGCATCAATCATGCTGTCGGCTATGTGTTTATTCATGTTAGGCAGCGTTATGAGTGAAAAGTGTCTGTCCGCTTCAGTTTGCGTATAGCCGTATGTGTTCTTAGCTTGGGCGGGCTCTAAAAGGCGTAAGAAAGCGGCGCCCGATGCGATTCCAAGATAACCGCTTTGTTGTTCGGAAACGGTCAAAGAGGCCATGCCGTCTAATATCTGTCTTGTTTCGTTGAAATCGCTCGTTGGGAGCTCTCCTGGTGATGCCGGATGGGCAGCCCTGTGCTCATCCCATCCAAATTCACCTGTTGATGGCGGACTCTCAAAGTCATCTTCGTGGGATTTTTCCGAACTTTCTGCATGCTCTGACGTTTCTGCTTCTTGGCGCGATACTGGCACATCGCTTTGGCCCAGCTTTCCAATGGTTGTGAGATATGAAGCGCTAGGGGCCAAATCTTCAACGACGGGGTGTGTTGCTTCAGGTTGAATGCGTGGCTTATCCTCGTGTATTTGGTCTCCCTGACTGCCAGAACCAACAACAACAATTCCATCCGTATCTACACCTAAATGACAGTATACTTGGTTAGCCGGCATGTAGAACCAGGGAGCTGATGAAGCAAGGCAATCGCACTATTAGGGCTCTTTTTTGCAAGAGCCTGGTGAGGGAGGGCTACTCTCAGTTGCCGGATTAGAGCTTCCGCTTGTTCTAGTCTTTCTTCGACTTCAGTGAGATGTCTATATCGGCGAAATTTAGTACTACTCAGAGTTAATAATGAGCTATTGCAACTCACTTCCTCGTAAGTGGTGTGCGCGAGTATTTTTCGTAAAGGCAATGCCTTCTATATCTCAGGCACATGTTACACGTGGGGATCCCCTTGTCACATTTTGACTTCCTCCGTCGGCATTCTTTGCACGCCTGATCAGAGTATCCAAGAGGGCTGGGATGCCCCAGGGGAGTCGAGCTAGGGGTATCCATTCATAGATATTACCATTATGCTGCGGCCAGATGGAAACCGATGAAACGTCACACCATTATGCGGTACACCTTTATGGCAGATACTCCAGATGCTCAGTTGCTCAGTTGCTCGAATAAGCAGCACGACAGTTATGGGGCAACAATCTCCACATTATTTGACGCTCCTTGGGAACAACAATGTCCCGGGACTTTAACCCAGCAGATGCCACTAACGGCTTCCACTGAAATTTGCCACGCAACTCGTCTCTGAATGGTGATTTAAGTCGGGGACCAGCTAATGCTACGTCGTCAACATCGATGATCGCAGTCTGTGTTCAGCGATATGCGTGCTCATATATTCGTTGATCGATAACTCCAAGGCGATATACCATATTCTTTTATTTCTCTATTTCCCCCCCGCAAAACTTACGATATAGTACCTATGTTTGTATCAAGTCTTTCACTTGAGTTAGCTGAAGCGCGCGAATGTGTATTAAATTATGTTTAGCCAGCGATCGCTCCAACTTATTCTTGTTCAATTGCCATGCTAACTTATAATTATGTGTCCAACCTAAATGATTGTTAATATAGGGAAATAATAAATTTTATGCTTATATATCTCTCTCAGTCTAGCAGCATGACATTGTCGCATCCGCTTGATAAAGAGCTACGAGCACTACTTTCAATACTTGCAAAACAGTGTCGAATGTTTTCGCTCAGTAAACTTCTAAGTTACCAAACACGCTTTTGTAAGATTCGCGGCCGGTTATCTTCTTCCACCACGCGCTCAGATGAGGCCGAGAATTCATCATTGTCGGATACACACTCTTATCTAAATGATGCATGTAAGGGACAAAGAAAAGATCCGCTACAGTCAATTTCTGCTTGGATTAGTTTTGACTCTTCTACATGTTTCTTAAGCCTGCCACTCACATCTCCTGCCATGAAATTTTGGCTTGCAAGTCTTTTGTCTAATAGGTCGACGACTTGCGCAAGCCTTTCTCTGAGAAGCTTGCATTTCTCAACATCCGTCTCGCCGTGAAACCAGTTACTGTTTACATCGTTAGCTGTTAAACATGTTTAGCGGTTACATATCAAAGGACGCACGGTTTAAACAGTTCTTCGAAGACGAGCTGATTGGCAGCAGCGTCAAAAGAAGTGAGCTCGATTGATGCTGCCTCTTCAAACTTGCCTATCGCGACAACATCGTTTGAATCCGGAAGCAGTGAAGCTGATGCATCGTTGCTACCATATGCATGCGCCAAATATCTTGCAATGGCGCGTGACTCGGCCAACATCAACGGCGGGTTATGGGCCTCATCTCGAATGAATGGTACAGCACCATAAGGGTTGAGTGCCAAGATATCTGGTTGCTAAAAGGGAATCAGTAAAAGATGGTGTCAGGGAGACTGCCATGTGCTCCAAGTTACCTTGTGTTCAAATTTAGAAATGTCAACCTCTCTAACATCATTGATCTGGAGCCCAATTTCATGGATAGTGAGTAGCAGTCTCTGAGGGCAGGGCAGCCGAGAATCAGTGAAAAGAGTAATTTGAGACATGGTAGATATTTTTCTACAAGTCCATAAATGCTAATGCTATCTATACAGAACAACAGAGTCTATAGAGGTAAACATGCCTGTTTTTAAGCTCCAAAAGAGGATACACGTAATTTGCAGGCGCCTAAAGCGAAGGGCGTGGATTGCCATACAGCTAGTCTATTCGCCGTGTTCGCGCAGGCAGATCAAGTTGACGTAAAGTCGCTATCCCCGAATAGCCTCGCCGAATAATTTACCCCCACTAAGATGAATAATTTGAACTGGCATTCAGACAGGGGAGGATGCAATATACTATTTTATCCACGTTAATGGGCAATTTATTGTGTGTGAAGAGAAAAGAAGATATATGGCAGTGGGAAACCGTGGCCGGCGAAATTAATAGGTGCTGCAAGTATAACATAGGGATGTTAACTATGCATTAATACATGGTCAACTTCATAGAATCATCAACAATTCTATGTGAAGAATAGAGTCAATCAGCTTAGTATTTGCACTGTTGGTTATCCCAGTAGTAGCAGTCTTTTCGGCAACAAGCTCTTTGGAGATTGGCTGTATGGCTACGACGCGTTTCTCGAAACGCGCAAGAAGTGGGAGCAGAGGAATTCTAATATCATTAGTCACTTATGAATGCGATAGTAGAGAAAAAACTCGTATTGATTGGCAGTATTCTAAAATATGTACTCGCTATTTAGAACAAATCCATCATTGTACAACAAATTGCTGCTGGTGGGACTTGAAGAGCTTGGAGCTATCCAAAAGAGTTCCCGTCGACGATTGGTAAAAGTCAACTTGCAGATTCTGTTCATCCAGAAATCGGATTGTCGCATAGCTAAAGTCATCTGCATAAGCAAATGCCGTGTAAGATGGCTCTGATCCAACGCTGCTGAGGCCCTCAATGTTGCCTGCGCCGCCGGCGACAATGTACATTGGCGCTTTCGGATCAGTCATTCCTGCGGGGTCGGCAGTTCCGTTGAAGACTGGGTTGAATCGCTGAGAATTGTGGACATGTCCAAAGACTCCTAAATCGACGCCGTACTTGTAGAAGAGGCCTTCAAAAGCGACCTGGCAAGGCGCGCAGCCCGATCCTCCCGTGGAATACCAGGGTCGGTGTCCTCCAACGATCAGCCAAGGCGTGACAGAACGATCAACAGATGACAGGTCCGCTTCAAGAAACTGGAGCTGCTGATTGAGAGCTCCAAAAGGTCCGCCGTTGAGGCCTTCAGAGCCATCGGGTCCGTCGGGAGCATTGGCAAAGTCAGTCTCAGTGTCAATCATGACAATATGGGCCATTCCATATTCAAAAGAGAACCAGAAGGGAGGATTGGCGAGTTGCTGCGCCTTGTTTGCATTAACCTTTGCACTGTTGTTCGCTGAAGTAGAAGTAAACGCCGTCGGCATGGTTTGGCCGAATCGATTTATAAAGTCGGTGAAGTTCTTCTGTCCAGCGGGGCACAGTCCTGTGGTATGGGGGATTTCCTGGCATGCCGCTTCATGATTGCCAGGACTGGCCATATACGGCTTGCGGCCAGCGATGGGAGCCAGTTGGTCGTAGAATTGCTCTAGGATGGCTTGGTATGCGTTTGTCCCATCAAAGATATTCTTTGGTGTCTCGATCCAGTCGTCAGCATATGCCAAGTCGCCCGGGTGTATAACGAATTCATAGTCATTAACGGTAGTAGCGAGACGCGCGATAGTTGTATGGTTCAATGACGGGTCAATGGTTGGAATTGTGTCACGCTTCGTCTGATCATTTTGAATGGTATAGCCGTCAGGGCCCACGACTCCCAAATCGATGATGGCGTTGATGGCAAATGGGGTTTTGTCTCCGGCGGTGCGGGGACTCAAAAAGTGATCCACGCTTGAGTTGGTTGAGACAATCTTGTAGTAGTACGTAGTGGCCGGCGACAGGTTATTGAGAGTCACTGAGTTTGACCATGTGCGCGAGGTTGGATATGTGACAGAGTTCTTAGAACATGCTTGTTGTGTCAGAGAGGTGGCAGAGCTGCCGTACGCAACACAAGGCTGGCTGAGTTGCTGATAGGTGTTCCACCCAATCGAAACACCTGTTGTCTAACATTAGTATACTTCGATGCACTTTTTTCATGGCTGTAGTCACATGAACGTACTGTTGGGGCCGTTTACTGCAATGCGTTGCTGAACTGGAGTTGTTAAATCGACAGGGATAGGCGGGTAGCTGGCAGCAGCAAAAGCACCCGCGGCCAGCACTGGAAGAGCTTTGACAGAGGTAAAAGCTGACACCATCTTGATTAGCGCAAGATCTCGAGCTTAGAACAATGAATCTTCAATGAAGCTGTTTGTGCAAGCAAACGAGAGCTTGGCGGCTTGACTCGCGTATATATACAAGTAATCATATGCCATATTTACCCATGAGTTTCCATGTGACAGCTCCGACTCCGTCTGCCAGCATTCAATACACAATACATACATCATTATTAATTCCTCGACTCTCATAGGAGGCTATACAAACGTGCTACAATTGGACATCTGAGCTGCTATATCTGGGAATATGTCCGTCGATCTCTCCACCGCATCTGCATTTTGTTGAGGTTCGTTTGTACGCTATGAAACAAGATCTCGCTACTCGTGCGGAGATCATGTAATATCATTGGTGAAGATGTTCAATTGGATCTGGACAGTTGCTTTACGTACGGCTTTGTTTTAGCTGCTTGGTCGGTGATTGATTAGGCTAGACTTCGCTTAGTAAATAGCGCAATGCATCTGTCAGAATATCTCGTGCCGAGGCCCGAAGTACAATACAGGCCTCAACTTCCAACATCGCTTATGAACAACTGACAAGCAATAATCGTTGTTTTCACTATATCGTATTTGTGCAATTGGTTTCCTTATCTATAGAGAACCCTGCAGCCTGATGAGAAAATTTCTTCAATGTTGTGCAACTTGAACAGGTCTTGCAGTTACCATGACAGCTACTCGCATGTTCTTTGAGTGGATAAACCGCCAGCAACTTTCCAATTACAACTGCCGCATATACATGCATGTTATCAATTGCACTGAGGTCTAGAGTTCTTCTCAAGAAACGCCAATTGAATAACAGGAAGGGGTCACAATTATTCCATCTCAGTACCTAGGTATAGATAGGTTCGAACTTCTAAGCATCAATGGGTAAAACTTGACTGGCTGCCGCAGAAGGTTGAGCAAATTTGTTTTGGGGGAAAACTTAATAGTGTACCTACTATGAGATACAAAGGCTATAGCTATCCGCAAAAGGGGTCGATATTCCCTTTGATTACTCCTATATTGACAAAAGTCAAGTCCTTTACATCCCTCCATTGTGTGTAGATGATCCCCTTTCTGCCCTTTACATGCTCAAAAAGGTGCTAGTCGAGGACTATGTGTTCCGGTGCCCATCTGTCTCACCTCTATGTCCAACGCGGCCATTCTGTCTCAAACCAACCAGCCACCTTAGGCGCCGTCAGACTAGCATTTTCTTCTCACATAACTACAAAATAGTATTCGGAGTTGGTTGAAATAGTCAGCTAAGCAAATTCCTGATCTCATATTACTAACTAGACACTAGACACGCGACACATGAACACTGGAATTCTGAGAACGGATCTCCCCGCGGAGTACGTGAAGATTCAGGATGATCTACTTGAGGAAAATATGCACGCGACACAGTATCCCTTGCACCAACAGATGCCGCTGCCAAGGGTTGTCTGAAAGGAGATTCCCTTCTAAGAATAAAATTGGCTTTTCCCTCGGCTAGATATATATTCCAACAGCCTGCTGGCTATACTACCTCCACGCTTCATGCTTTTGATATCTCCCAAGATTCTTCAAATCGCAACATCAAGGCCCTCCATGCTTCTATTTCAGCCTTGGCTACCAATATCTTGACCATGAGTGGTGCCCAATTCCTCTCCCGGCGTATTTTGAGAGCGACAGCTCTTCGCCTCCTAAACCGTCGATTCGCTTTTGCAATAGCAGCAACAGCTACACTCAGCGCCAAGTCAGTCCACATATACGCTCATCTGAATGCGTTGCAGAAGAGAGATATCCTGTTTTGGGGGTTCTCCTTCTTTACACAAGACACAGCATGTCTACTGGCGATTCGCATGCTCGTCGACCAGTCCCTGGGCACCGCGTTATCAATATTGGTCACAGTTGTGGTATTTTTTCTGGTTGTAACAGCTGCAATATCGGAGTCCTTTTTCTTCACCACAGGGACAGAACTCCAGTGGCGCAATGTTGCTCTGGCTAGCGATTCGTCTTCATGGTCGACACTATCAGCAGGGTGGTTATATTGCTTACTATCATTCGCCGCACTGTTTATGATCGCAGTGATATTCCAACATCCCTTTGATCAAGTATCCAGATGCGCAGTGGAAATTTTTAAGTGGCCGGTCTCACTCATATCTAATAAGCTGCCAGTCTTGAATCACTGCAGCTACTCGAGAGAGACGTATAAGCATCTACCTCAACACGATGTTGAATACATCGAAGATGTTTACAAGCATGGCGAACTTGAGGAACAAAGACTGGAAAAGGATAATATGCAGCCAACCAGGTGCACATCTTATTTGCGACTACTTGTTGGCCTCGTATTGGCAGCCCAAGCCATCTGTACGATTACACGGCCAACGGATCACTCGCTCATCTTCATGTCATGGACATTACCGCTCATGCCATTTGTGGATTTCATGTTCTCGACGCCTTCTCTGGCTAAGCTCCTTGAGATGTCAGGCAATGTCAATGATGCGCTGCAAAATGCCACGGCTTTAGGCGAACCGATCCCCTGGGCTTGGTTGCCAAACAACGCGTCGCTTCAAGGATTTCAAGATTGGTATGAACCGGACAAAGAACACTACAACGCTTTAGATGATCCACTGAAGCTTTCAAATCTTGATGAAGATTTGCTACTGCCTCTGCGAGCCAATCTGGACGATGTTCCCATCCGACATATTTTGCTACTTAAACTTGAGAGCACACGCAAAGACGTCTTTCCAATCAAAAAGGACAGCTATATATGGAATCGTCTCGCCCAATCATTTCGGAATTCATCGCTACCTACAGAAGCGCAAGAAAAGCTAGCTTCCCTAACTTCGACTGCAAAGTACCTTACCGGAGACTTTGACGATGGTTTTGGTGAAAAAGCTGGCACCCCGCGCGGTGGCATCAATGCGAACAACGCTTTTACTACCAGTACTTACACGTTGAAGAGCTTAGTCGGGACGCATTGCGGCATAAGTCCACTAGCTGCTGATTTCAACGTTGAGACAGACCATCATATCTACCAGCCATGCTTGCCTCATATCTTTGAAGCACTGAACCAGCTCAATCACAGCCACGATGAGGTATCGGACGAACATTTTACTTCGTATAAGTGGAAAACTGCGTTCATGCAGTCAGTGACATTACGATATGACAAACAAGACCACCTCATGCCGAAGATGGGATTCACTGATCCGCTAGGTTGGTGGGAATTGAAGGATGAGGCGGCCAGGCTCGGACCAGTCGATCTCCCGGATATCAACTACTACGGCATGTCAGAGCGTGCCGTAGAAGACTACTTGCGGGATACTTTTGCTTCAGCTAAGAAAAATAATGAAAGAGTCTTCTTGTCCCACCTGACAAGCTCGACGCATCACGACTTTGGCTTGCCAGAAGACGAGAAATATGTACCAATGGCTGGCGACCCGGATCTCGATGATCTTTCACATTATCTGAACACAGTGGGCTACGTTGACCGCTGGCTGTATAGAATTCTTCAAATATTGGATGAAGAAGGCGTTGCAGATGAGACTCTACTCGTCGCTGTTGGAGACCATGGTCTCTCCATCGCAGAGCGAGGAACCATCACTCCGTATAGCAACCCACACGCTGCAAACTACCACGTGCCGCTGGTCCTATCGCACCCCAAGCTGCCAAGCATCAAAGTTGATGATCCGGTTTCCTCCATACAGATTCTCCCAACTATTCTTGACCTTCTCCTTGAGACTAAATCTCTCTCTAAATCCGAGGCAGAGGCGGTGCGCGACATGATCCAAAACTACGAGGGTCAATCCCTCATACGGCCAATGCAAAGTTTCTCTGAAACAAACGGACAGGGAGGCTGGCAGCACACGGTTATGAATCCCGGCGGATCAACCATCGCTGTTCGAGATGGTCGCCAGCCCAACTGGCGCCTGATTGTGCCCGTCTTCGGTAACTACGAATGGAGATTTACAGACCTAGAAACAGATCCGCATGAGGATACTCCATTAGTGTCGTATGACTATAGAGCCATCTTGCGTATCGTGGAGGAAGCATTTGGGGCTGAAGCCGCCACGTGGGTGGAAGAGGCCGCCACGGTCACTCGGTGGTGGACAGACGAGAATTATAAGCGCTGGCGCTACAATGCATGAAGGAAGCGTACATGTAAATTTACAGGAATTCATTTTTTGGGTAATACTACGTAGATAGATTATAGAGCAATTGAGACTTGAATAATAAAAGACATTATTACGAAGCAAAGACCTTGGGCTATAATGTCACATGTTTCCAAACGTACTATTTCCAGATGCTAAATCTATCTATACGTAGCCTGCATGCTAATGGTTCTATTGCAGCTCTTAACAACTCGCCATTTAGTAGAACTGAAAACCCGACCACGTAAAAAGACACCAATCTCTAGGAAAATAACCATTCAAATAGAGTTTATCCTTACCTTGAAGCTAAGCCTTTTCTCTCCATTGATGCCTACAAACGCGCTTATTCCTTCTCCAACACAGCCGAAAGGATTCAGGCCCCAAGTTCTTTGATGTCACAATGATGCCACTTGCGACGTCGTCCATCTGAGATCTCATCGTACCATTTGCCAGTGGTTTGCTGTGGCACCACGCCACCACATTCAATCAAGCCATATTCTTTCAGTTAATTGTTCTTCCCTCTGTTGGTTGGGAGTATAAATACGCCTTGATTACCAGACAATAGCTTATTCATTTTTTTCTTCTCCAAATTGATTGCATAACTACTTTCTAAGAACAGATAAATTTAAACTTCAATGCGTTGCTAAGCTTGCACTGGAGAGCGAGGCATATGCGTCTACATCCATACCGTACGGACAATTTTGATCAGCAAATCCTATCTCTCATCTGAAAAAAACTGAACAACTTGAGTCCTTGATTTCCAAAATGGGCGATGATCCTAGCCAAGAATTTCACGTCTGCGCTTCCCTTCGTCGGAAGTCGCAGGCTGAAAAAGTTGTCGAGAAAGAAGGCTGTTTTGGCCTTAGTCTGACGGTTAGTCTTTACCGCAACGCTCATGTTCTGCATCACAATGGCTCTATGCAAGCCACAGTCATTCAGCACGGGGAAAATAATAAAATAGCAATTGAACTCTCCATAAGCTAATGGCGATTGCGTAGCCTATATTCATCGGCATCTCGGCCACATTGTCTGGATATAAGACGTACCTTGTTGCTTTTGCCGTTCGCGATTCCACGTATTTAATTGATTTTGCCATTAAAACAGTTTCTGCAGCTGAACAAGGCTCTACAAACGATCATGACTTCCTGGCGGACTACATCATCAAAGCCATCCGAGGATACGAACATCGAACTTTTACCAAAGTCATTGGTGCCGGACTTCCCCATGCGCTACAGTCGCTCAGCCCAATGCTGTGTTCCCGCCTGTGGCTCGAACTGGACATTGTGCCCCTTGTGATTCAGCAGCCCCATGAGCACAAGGAGAGGATAAGTCTCTGGCTCAGCAAACGTGTGGACGAACAAGCTGACTCGATGGCGCGAAAATGCATCATGTAAGTGGTGTTCCAATGCAAGACAAAACAGGTCATCAAACCATGTATACGAATGACGCATAAATACTAGGAACTTTGGTCCCTCCTTGATTCCTCTCTTGCACGTCGCATGGAGTGGTGTTGTCGAAGTCGATGCTGGATTTCAAGCGCCGCTCTTAACCGTCGAAAATTACAAGACCACCTGCGGTCCTGCGTCTTGGGAGGCGGTGATGCACTATGCAAAGACTCTGCGAAAGCACAAGACCAAAATAGCATTCTTCAGCAGCACTCCCCAGGGCGGCGGCGTTGCCCTGATGAGACATGCACTTGTGCGATTCTCACGCGCATTGGGGGTAGATCTGCGCTGGTACGGTATGTTTTCAGCTTCATCCCTAGCATCTTGCTACACTGGTCCTAGTATAAGCTGACAAGTACAGTGCCAAAACCTCATCCGGGCGTCTTCCGCATCACCAAAAACATCCACAATACGCTTCAAGGTGTGAACCCTGAGGGTGAGCACATCTCTGCAGAAGAAAAGAATTCAATTGTCGACTGGATTAGCGACAACGCCGATCGTTACTGGTTCTCTGATGGCGGCCCATTGTGTCGACCAGAAAAAGGCGGTGCCGATGTTGTTATTGTGAGTCTCGCCACTACACAAACGGGCTGTACTCTACATCGCTAGAGTTCGCCCGATATTTTTCTACTACATAACTACTCCATTGTTCTTTATCATGTTTGCATTAGTAACTGAATAACTAGATCGATGACCCCCAAATGCCATGTCTCATCCCGCTAATCAAGAAACTCACCCCATCACGGCCGGTCTTCTACAGATCGCATATCCAAATTAGAACGGATCTAATTGATGTAGTGGGCTCTCCTCAGGCAGATATTTGGGATTTTCTCTGGAAAAATATTAAACAAGCCGATCTGTTTATTAGTCACCCGATTCCTTCATTTGTGCCTCACAATGTGCCTCGAGAGAAAGTCCTCTATTTACCTGCAACAACTGATTGGTATGTATAGGCTTCTGCAATCCACAGAGGGATTAATCTTTACTAAAGGATATATAGGCTTGATGGCCTGAATAAGCCAATGGAGATCTGGGATGTCGGCTATTATGGCCATCTATATAACATCAACTGTCGCTCGCAGCGTATGACAGAGCTGCAGTGGCCAACGAGTACGTGGAGAGTGGATGAAGCGATCGATTACTCCCCAACTGATACTGATTCCCAATAGGAAAATATTTTATCCAAGTATCTCGATTCGATCCCGCCAAGGGTATGCCGACTGTGGTGGATGCGTATGCGTGTTTTCGGGAGCAGCTTGAAAAATACCATGCTACCGATATTCCTCAGCTTGTCATGTAAGTTTTCTCTCATTTTCTCAGTTACTTTTGTCTCAAGCTATTTTTGCTAACAAAACAAGCTGTGGGAATGCCTCTGTCGATGATCCCGATGGCACCATTATTTACGAACAAGTCATGACACAGCTAGAAACGCGATATCCTCACCTTATGAGCGACGTTAGCGTAATGCGCCTTGATCCTTGCGACCAGCTCCTAAATTGTCTCATGGCCAACGCCCACGTCGTTTTGCAGCTTTCAACCTACGAGGGCTTCGAGATAAAAGTTTCTGAGGCACTGCACGCTGGCCGTCCCGTCATCGCTACAAACGCTGGTGGCATACCTCTTCAGGTGAAGGACAAGGTCAATGGATATCTTGTTCAGCCGGGAGATTGGAAAACCGTTGCTGAGCACTTGTTGGAATTATTTACGGATCACAAGCTGCACGATCGAATGTCATATGCCGCAAGAACAGGTGTTAGTGACGAGGTAGGAACGGTAGGAAACGCCATTTCGTGGTATTATTTGGCGACAAAGTGGTCGCACAGAGGCCCAAAGCTTGAATTGCTGGGAAATGCGCAGTGGGTTAATGACATGGCCCGAAATGAAGCTGGTCAGCCATATGCAGAGGGCGAAAATCGCTTGCCGCGTAACTTTGCCGTTGCTGGAAAATAGCTTTATTTATGCAGTTGCTGTTTAAAGTCGAAATGGCGAAATTGAGGAAAATGCATGCATATCGAGATTTCCAAGTCTTGTACGGCTTAGCGTGGGCTGTTTGCTCCTAATCAATCTTTGGTAGGCCAAAGTCAGAAAACGATGCCTCAGCCATGATTATTTTTTTCGTTGCTCATGAATTGCGCTCTTCAGTGGCCACGTCAGCAGATCTCATCAACTTGTTTAGACGAGTTGAGCACAGACAGAGTTTGAGATCTCTGCTGCCAATCCAATTTAGGTAGAATATCGTCTGACTCTCCGCACCCAATGATCCACCTACAACAGCCTATTAAGACTGTTACATCTTCCGTAGTATAGTGGTCAGTATGCAAGCTTGTCACGCTTGAGACCCGGGTTCAATTCCCGGCGGGAGAGATCCGCCAGGCCTCCAAGAGGCTCTTCTTTTTTGGGCAGTTCTTTGGACACCTTTTTTGCCCCAAGCTGCTGCTCCACGCCGCTCGCTACTTTTGCTAGAGAGAAATGCGCCTATAGAAAGTATATGCATCGATCATGCAGGTCATCTCCGCGGCAGTGTTAATATTAAACTGTGGGCCGCTGCAAGAATGGCGAATGAATGTGGAGGCGCCGCGACGGCTCAAGTGCGTATAACGACGGCGATTTATATCTGCGGGGGCGGCCATTGTGCAATTAACGGCCCATAGTAGTAGTTGAAATCTGATAATCAGAGCCAGCTTGATTGGCCCGTCTATACTCCATCATTCTGTGACAAGCAGCGGCTGGAGAAGCTACGCTGGATTGCGAGTCTCTGGCTAGAGATGGCGACATGAGAGCAGCTGATTTCCGGCTTAGGTAACACGTCCAGCATCCTATCAGATGGGCCGGACTCATCCAACATTCATGACGACATGCCGAGTATAAGAGCTTCTTGTATTATTTAGCCGATGGCGGAGTAGTGATTTGTCAAGCGAAACGATCTGCCGATAGAAGCAAGCAAACAAATAAATTCGCTGTCACCGGCGGTTACACACCCGCGTACACCAAACCATCATATCCAGCGTAAACCCCTACACCAAGGCATCCCTGCTATCGGGCTGATTCTCTGTTATCGCAAAAGCCAATCCAACTTCAAGATGGCCGCCGCCGCTGTTCAAATCCCCAGACAGCCGGACATTTCATATGCCCCCGATTACGACAACTATCTCAGCCGCGTGAAACGCCGTCAGGAGAATGAGAAGCTGGCAAATACCCTGCCGGAAGGCTTTCCCACCAAGCTTGAATCCGACCTGGTCTGGGATGGAAGGAATTTGGCCGAGACATATGACTGGAACTACGTCTTGACTGAGAGTGACATTGCTGAGATTGACGAGGCTCTTCGCCACTTCAAATGTGAGCCTCTTACTAGATCAAAAAAGTTTGTTGAACAGAAGCGATGCTAAAACCGCCATTAATAGCACTGAATTTGGGCCTGGGCTACATTACTCAAGAGACCTTCCCCCTGCCAAAGCTGCATGCCACTCTACGAGAAATCTCCAAAGAGGTTCATCTAGGCCATGGCTTCAAGGTCGTCAAGGGCGTACCTGTTGACAATTACAGCCGTGAAGACAACGTGGCAATTTATGCTGGCATTGCCTCTCATATTGCACCTATCCGAGGCCGCCAAGATTACCAATATGATGGAAAGCCAGCCGACGTGGTTCTTGCGCACATCAAAGATCTCAGCCAGGAGATTGATCCTCACAAGATAGGTGCCCCAGCTTACACCACAGACAAGCAAGTTTTCCACACAGATTCTGGAGATGTAATTGCTCTCTTTGCTTTGGGAGAGCCAGAAGAAGGTGGACAGAGCTTTCTCTCCAGCAGCTGGCATGTATACAACGAGCTCGCGGCCAACCGCCCCGATCTTATTCGCACCCTGTCTGAGCCTTGGGCAGTCGATGAGTAAGTAAAGCACGATGCCAACAAGACTTCGCAACAAATAAATCCATGTAGATACTGCTGCTAACTCGGCTGCCCATAAAGATTCGGAAAGCGTGGCAGGACACATACGCTGAGACCGCTTCTATATTTCCAGCCAGCCACCGACGATGCCCCTGAGCGATTGATCATTCAATACGCGCGACGAAGCTTTACAGGATACTGGGGTCTCCCTCGATCGACTGAAATTCCTCCCATTACTGAGGCCCAGGCCGAGGCACTGGACGCCTTGCACTTCACAGCCGAAAAATACCGCGCCTCGCTCGACTTCCACAAGGGTGACATTCAGTTTGCCAATAATTTGAGCATTTTCCATGCTCGCGAGAAATTCCGAGACTCGGCAGACAAGAAGTGAGTGGTTGAGATGGGAGTTGCGAAGTTTTAACGTTTCATATCACGCATCTCTGCTAACAGTGTAATACTTATAGACGCCATCTCATCCGTCTTTGGCTGCGTGACCCCGAGCTGGCGTGGAAGACACCCGAGCCGCTGACTGACAACTGGAACAGAGTTTACAAGGATGTTAAGCCAGAGAATACTGTTTTCCCTCTAGAACCAACAGTCCGCAGCGCCAGTGACGGCAAACCTGGAAAGTATGAGTAGAGGAGAGATGGAGATTCTAGAACTGGTTGTCAGCCCACAATACCCCACGGCGGGCGGGCAGCCCTTTCACTCCCATGTCAAAGATGGTTCCTAAGGATGGATATTTATTACTACATAATATTTCAGCTTTAGATAGCTCCATGCAATCATGTTTAGCCTCTCTAGATCGTCATTCGTAAAGATTAAGCCCATGTCGTCTTGCATCTTCCTAAAATGGCATGAAGTTTATATTCCCAACTAGTACAAGTCTCAGATCGTAGCATCCAGACTAGGTCATCGGTCGATCGTTCCCACAATTTAGTTACACATCCGTTATCAGCCCGCATAATCGTCCACCAACACAGTAAGTCAAGGGTTGTAACAAGATCCTGGTACCACATCACATCACAATTGCGAATATGGCGACATAGTACGCAAATCTCTCAGAAAACGCTGTCCATTGTCGAATTTAGGGTATTTTCGGGCATGGCAGCCAGCCTCCAAAGAAAGCTTCCTATTGTGCCCTCCACGCTGAATGAGCCTATTCCCCCACACATCTCCCTGGTCGTGGAAGTCGTGCGTAGCTAAGAGTCTAGTGTAATGTCAGGCAAGGCACAATAAAGGGCTTGCATGCATGTCCAACATCTCGTGTGTTCGGTAGCACATGCAGGCGAGGGTTCAGCGCAGAGGAGACGTCGAGTCTAGAAGCGAGTTCAGACGCGGCTTAAGCGAAATAGGGTGAGTTGATAGGGACGTCAATTGCGTTATCGGGGCCTTGTATCATCGCCATCAATGGTATCACATCCGCTAGTCATGGATCTGGAGTGCCAAGGTTCTTCGCTACAGCACACAGTGGGTGACGATCACCTGTTTGTAGTAATTTATGGAGTGAGCTGAAAGGAGATGGCACTGCGCAAAAGAAAAACCAACAATGACCCGCGGAGACCCAGCTTAAATTATTGAACTGTTACCCAGCTGTACCATGTCACTTATCAATATATAGCAAGCTCATCGACAAGGCTTTGTAGCCAAATATCTCTTGCTGAAAACATCCTTTGGTAATAGGTATATGCTTCCTAGCTTACGTTCGATTACTTCAGGTACATCTAGACGCAATGCCGTTCTCCTGGCGGCGTCCTTTCCAGAGTAGCGAAGAGTCTCAATCTACGGAAGTAGAAGAGAGAGGGTCGTCATCGGACAGTGATCCATCCGAGCTCGTTGCCGGAGGCACGTATTATGTCGCAGGGAAAGCAGCCAACAATACAGAGGTATCTTATCAAGATGCCGCCGGTGCGCCTGTTGAAGAGTCTTCACCCTTGGGATATAATGTTGGGCCCATGACAATTCTATTTCTGAATGTGAGTAAGATGATCGGCACAGGCATCTTCTCAACTCGTGAGCAAACCTTTCTCTCCACTCTTCCTTGTAGAGGCTAAAAAAATACTGGCAGCCTCAAGCATTCTCTCTGGAACCGGCAGCATTGGTCTAAGTCTGATATGGTGGGCTCTTGGATTTTTAACTTCAACATGCGCGTTTTCTGTCTATCTCGAGTTCACGTCTTACTTTCCGTCGCGGTCTGGAGCCGAGGTGGTTTACCTTGAGCAGGCATTTCCACGGCCACGTTGGCTGATGTCAACGGCATTTGCTTTTCAGACTGTGATTTTGTCGTTTAGCAGCGGAAACTGTTATGGTACGTTGCCAGTTTATTTTTGAGGATTGGGTAGATCAAAATAGCTGACTTTAAATCTACAAATAGTTCTGGCCGAGTACATCTTCAAAATGTCAGATCACAACCCAACCGATTGGCAGTTAAAGGGAGTAGCCGTGGCTGGCTACACTGTCGCAGTCCTTGGTAAGTTTTTGTAAATAATGAAAAGACAAATGCGAAAAGAAGCTTATACAGTACAACAGCTGTGGTCTTGCACAACAAACATGCGTATCACTTTGCCAACGTAGTTGGTTTCATCAAGCTTTCTACACTGCTCTTCATCTCTATCACTGGTTTTGTAGTCCTTGGAGGACATACTCGAATTAAGAACCCGACGGCCAATTTCCACAATTCGTTCGAGGGTAAAGCTACTGCCTATGGAACGACAAACAGTTTATACAAGATTATTTTCTCCTATGCCGGATTCGAAAATTCCTTCAACGTTGCGAATGAAGTCAAGGTATGCTTTAAATCTCATCTCACGGACGGCCATCATTTATTTGTTCTTCTTCTGATGCTTTTTCGTAGAATCCCGTCAAGAAAATTCGACGCAATGGCTTCATTGCCATATGTACCGTTACAGTCCTTTACATTCTGACGGTTGTTGCCTATTATTCGGCCGGTAAGTCATCCAAACTTGATGTGGACATATTCCATCTCTAATTTGAGGCCTTTTAGTTCCGAAGGAAGACATTGTCGGCGGCAAGCTTACTGTTGCCAATCTATTCTTCGTGAATGTTTTTGGAGACAGCAAGGGTATCAGAGCGCTCAACTTTCTGATTGCAATCAGTGCTTTTGGTAATCTAGTAGCAGTGTTGATTGGAAGCTCGAGGGTTATTCGTGAATGCGGTCGACAAGGTGTCCTCCCTTTCACCAATTTCTGGGTCTCGACTTATCCTTTTGGCACCGCTCTTGGACCATACCTGTTCAAATATGTCATTACTCTCATCATGATCTTAGCACCCCCTGCTGGAGATGCCTTCAACTTTGGTACGTGATCAAATAGCTCTATCTTGGCTTGTTCGTTTTCTTGTCAGTGCTAACTCAGCTTGCAGTTACTGACCTTGGTGTTTATCCCGGCTCTTTCTTTGACTTTCTGATGAGTGTTGGTCTTCTTATTGTGAGGCATAAGCGAAAAGCTCTCAATTTGCCAAGACCCGTGTTCAAGGCCTGGGATATCGCTATCTACTTCAGCATTCTCAAGAACCTCTACCTACTCATCATGCCGTGGTACCCTCCTGCAGGAGGAGCAACTGGTGGCGACGTTAGTTTCTGGTACGCTACGTATGTAGTTACCTCTGTTGGCATGTAAGTTGCAATCCAGAATGTAGTAGCAATTTCTCTTAGCTCAAGTGCTAATATTCTTCTAGCCTCGTGGGCTGTGCGGCCTACTTTTGGCTGTGGGTTCACGGCATTCCTCGTCTCCGAGGCTACAAAATCCGCGAAGAAGTGGTTACTCTCGACGATGGCGCGAAGAGTCATAAGCTGGTCAAAGTGCCAAACGCTGAAGTTGAGGAGTGGGATAAGAGGCACGACCATGCTGGACGCATCATCACAGAGGCCGTGGATCCAGTTGACGAGGCACAGAGCAAGATTTTGATAGCAGGAAAGGATGGCACATTGTCCACCACCCAATAAGTCACTCGCTATGTAGAAATAACGACTGGTTTGTCAACTTCAATCTAACAGCGTTTCATCAGCTCCATGATCCTTCAAGGCCACTATTTGCTTCAGAGATAGGTTCCGGGTACCCGGCAGTAAAACTACATGTAGCCGTCACTTGACGAAAATGTGGGCCAAATCTTTCGAGATATCTCGGCTGCACCCGTCCTTGGTATTATCCCACAGATCAGATCTATACTAATATTGAGTCAATCCTTAGATAGCTGGAATCAGAATCTTGAGCTCAGACCAGCATACGTGGCAACGCTGGTGCCCCTTTGCCGCAAATGCACACCGCTTTTGCAGCCAAGATTCTCCCTGCTGCAGGAAGCCAAAATAAAATCCGAGACAATCAAGTCTTGGCACCAGTTGGCCCATGGGCGCGCAAGCCTTTTGCTTGAGTTGGGAGTTATATTCACCTCCTCTTGAGGCTTGGAACTATTGATAGAGGTAATTGCATCTATCAAGTTCCAGAACATTGCACTACCCAACGCAATATTTTGTCAAGACCGCTCACCGTTTTAATAGCCTCCTAAAAGTTGCATTTCAACGTTGAATCCCATCGCTTACAACGTTACCAGGCTCTGTGGCTGTGCTATAGATAGTGGCAAACATTATCTATCTCGAGGATATGCCAAGACTTGCCGCCATCCTAAGTGTGTAAATGACCCCATTGGTCTTTGCTTGCAGCCTAAAACTTGGCAGAGTACTCAACTGACATCCTTTGATCCGCCCAAACAAGTCGCTTAGGTGTTATTCTTGCTCCGCATAGAAGGGGCGGGAGAGTAGAGTTGATCAATACTTTCAGGGATGATAATTCTATTATAACAGAGAAGAGATACAAGGGTTTTTAAATAGGAGTACTCAACCTTGAAAGATGCGGGCGTAACGCGGCTGGACTTGTCTCATTCAGTTCAGGCCTTGCGAAACATGAATCACATGGCCAGGCGGATCATAAGGTATGCATGGCAAATAAGCTTAAAACGTAGATCAGACAAATATAGGTCAGATCTAAATACGACACAGCGAAGAGGAATGGACGCTATCTGCGGGCACGCCTTGGCGCTTATGTTCGGATACCTGGTAACCAATCTCATCTCGGTTCAATCTATGCCAAGGCTGCCGCGCGGTGAATCATTGGCTACATGTACGTTATCTCCCGTGATATTTTCGGATTTGCGTCGAAACCGAGGATATCACTTTGTTTCACATCTCAGCTGAAGGCCGAGAGGCATGTCGGCTGGTCATTTACACATTGCTACTTGGCGCCAATGTTAGCTGAAAAAGCTGAAACGACGTAGATATGAATAGTGCCTCTTATCGCTAGCTCATCCTCCTAACCTGAATACCCATGTAAGAAACGCTTGGCGTGCAAACAACTGCAAACTAAGGAACATTAAATCTAGATTAGATATAGGATATCCAATACTCGGTTACTACATGTTCAACATCTACTACTCCTATTTTGAAGCATATACTACTATCCTTGGATCGTGTATTGTCATCTTAACATTCCGCAAAGGATAAAGCTGAAAGTATAGAGGTTTCTAGGACTCGTTGAGATATGCCAATAATGGCAGAATACTTCAACGCTACGGCAGTGAAACATCAGCTGAGAGTGGGACAATCTTCTAGTATTACTAACCGTCACTCTCTCTGGCTTCAGATCGGACAAGAGAAGGAGAGGCGGAGAGGTGGAGAGCGTGTAACTTCAGAAGATGTCAGTGCGTTGACCAGCTGCTTGTCTGACGCTCCGGCTGAATAGCGTTCTTCATCAGCGTTCTAGATGGCTCATAACTTTTCAGTATAGCGAGCATAGCCTAACTAGCCGTTATCACTTCCTTACGAAAGCCCATCTTACCAGCTAAACCGCGGTCTACATGCTCGTAGCTACCTTTGCTTGCTCACTTCACTCTTTCCTCTTGGCTATACGGTCATGGCCGTAAATAGTCAATGCGCAGTTACCTAGGCATATGCGCCTCGCCGAAGATTTGTCTTCTTCTGCCCGATTCTGGCCGCCGGCAGCGCTCGCCACACGGATAAACGCATCCAAAGTGACGAATCAAGTATTCCGAAAACGCCATACGTCGATTCTCGATGCTGTTGCGGGCCTGGAGAAGTTGGGGGCGCGAGCTAAACTCGGATCTCCCGCTGTCACTGCCTTGTAGCGATAAATGATTGGACTCGAATACGCACACTTGTTTGTACCAAGTCTCCTTCTTATCCCCTTTTTGATATACATGATGCTACCATTGCTTGTTGTGGAGGGTCTGTGTGACTAATGACCAACTCCCGATGGCTCTGGCTGAGGAAAAGTGCTGTATGCATGAAGTTGGAAGCGGGCAAATCCCAACCAAGAAGTATATGCAAGGAGGGCAGTGATCAAGGGCAGGATTTATATATAAATGAAGAATGCCAGACTTGATTGCGTCCATGTGTGCATCAGCCAAGTCTTGTTTTGTCAGTGACTAGCACAGCCTCAACACTGGTCAATATAGCTGCTATTATTCACCTACATAGCCCCTTCTTCTACTTTTTTCATCTTTTTATTCTCATTCTCTTAGCCTACTCCCAGGTGCACCATACCTGAGCGGACTTTCAGATATGATGGATGTTATGGTCCAGACGTTCGTGAAGGATGATAAATTGTGCAAGCGATATGCGCAATTTGCATCCGATTTAGATCGATGGCATTTCAGAATCATCTACTGGTTCATGTTTGTGCTGAATCTCATGATTCTATTCGTTGCATCATGGACATATACAAAGTACGTCGTCTCCATTTCTCTCATTGGCTTGCTGAGAGCTCGCGTCAAGATACATGCACAAGACTATATGGAAACTAATATATCGTGCCAACAACAGGGGCCAAGAAGCCATCGCGCTATACAGCCATGACCCACGAAAGCGTTCAAGAAAGCTAGTCAAGTACATGTTGATGTGCCTCGCCTGCGTAATCGTGTCGGCTGGCGTCGTCATCATGGAAGCCTTTGCTCTCCTGGCCCTGCAGTTCTGCGATGGCGAGAATCTGATATCCCTGTACTGGTCCACGTGGACCATGACTCAGGTCGGGTCGCTAATAGCGATGATGGGTATCATTCTCGCCATGGCACACTCATTGAGAAACAGAAGGCACCCGTAAGCTTTCCACTCATAATTAGACGCAGATGCAACATACTGATTTTGATTCCAAGGCCATGGGCCCTTGCTTTAGGAACACCAGTTCTCGTTATCGCCGGGCTGCTGCACCTCCTTCACGACTGCGTAAAGAAGCGAATCAACAAGTTCATGCAAGGCCCTACAAGGAGGAATAGCGTTCTTTCTGTAAGCGAAGTGTAAGAATGCCTGCATGTACCTATCCTTGTTACAGCTTCCACTCGCTAACAGCCGGCGGTGTTTTAGGAACACCATTCAGGGAAACGTTGAAGACGACTTTGAGAATTCGACCTCTGTTCTGGGCGAATTTATTGGATTTACAGTGGATGGTGGCCCCATTGTCCGCTTCAGCGCTCCCATTCCCCTGAATCTCGACTCTGATGGTGGAGCCGAGTTACTAGGATATTTTGATGGCACTCGGCCTGTGATAGCGTACCAGAAAGGATCCATACAGTTTGTGCCTGCGCCATCAAAGGGAAAAGCACCTGAGCAGAATGATCCTCAGCAGCCAGAAGAGGAGAAATGTGAGGACAGGATACAGGTAGTCCTATCGGAGACAGTGTAGGGAGCATGGGGCGATGAGATTATGTACTTCTTGTTAATGCTTTGACACACATATGCATGTACACATGTAAGGGAGGTATTATATAGTGGAATTTCGAAATCATTTTACAGCTCATACCCTTCTTCCACCCAAAGTTTACGTGGCATATGTGCTAGTTGTATTACCAAGCCGTGATTCTAGCGGACAAAGATACTATATGCCCAAGATTCTGGGGTTATTCCACCTAAACGCTAATCTAGCAAACTATTGTAAAATGCATCTGCTGATGGCTCACGGCCTAGGAAGTCGACTAGATTCTGGAAGCCATCTCTACTTCCACCACTTTCAAGTACGCATTTGCGATAACGCTGCACTCTCTCAGTGTCCAGAGTATGGTTCTGGAATTCACTGTAAAATAAATCCGCAGCGTACACCTTGGAGCTGTCAACCAAACGTTAGGCCGTGGTCCGTCATAAATCACCACCATACAGTTTGACTTACTAAAGATAGGCGTAATAGCCAGCAGTATAATCATTTATCATCAGGTGTGGGAATGTAGTGTAGTCATGACCCTGTGCGTAATGCCCATCAAAAACCTCTTGTCCATCAATAAGTCCTATTTCTTTCCGCGATTTGTTCCATAACATCGTAAGATCCACGGATTCCACCTCTTCATCACTACAGAGCTGATGTATGGTCATGTCAAAATAGGCGCGATGAAGCTGATCAAGTTGGGATAGCGGTCCAAATGAGACCCGGCTAGCCTTTATCAGTGCCTCAATAAGCTCGTCTGGCATTTGGAGCTCAGGCTGTATCTTGCCTTTATTTTGTTGCTTCCACAAAGCAAGCATCTCTGGGTTGATGTATGAGTAATGGGAGCTGAGAGACTTGATCTGGGACGGTGTCCAGCACCAATACTCGAGCATCTGGCTTGGCATCTCGCCAAAGTCAACTGGCACGCCTTCTGGCCCGTGGAAATGTGAGTGCTGAGTCTTGGACACCAGGTCGTGAATGCCATGGCCCAGTTCATGAAGCATTGTTACTACCTGAAAATGGCTCAGCAAAGTTGGTTTGCTCGGTGTCGGTTTAGAAAACGCGCACAGTAATGCAGTCGACGGGTAATGGCGTTTTCCATCTATTCGTATAAACCCCTGTAGAGTGGTTAAATTAATCAGGCAATGTTCTGCGTTCTGCCAGCCATATCGCTGCTCCTACTGAGGAAAAATATACTTACAGGTTGTAAATTGAAGCATGATGCCCCTGGATACTTGCCATCTCGGCGAAAGAGGTCAAGATACAAGTAACCAAGGAATCCACCCCCATGAGTTTCATCGTCATGAACTGCAAACATCTGGACATCTGTGTGCCATACCATGCTGTCGGTAGCCTTGATCTCATCGAACAATAGGCCAAACAGTTGGGCCAAAAGATTCAAGAGGGCTGTTGTCGTAGTCTGTAAAGGGAAATATTCCTTGATTCGTGTTCTGTCAATAGATATCCGGGACTTCAACATTCGATTGCGGTAAAAGTCATCATCCCAAAGGAAGAACTCGCCATTCCCATCATTCTTCACATCACTCTTCTTGAAATCTTGCAATATCCGTAATGATGCGACTCCATAGGGTGTCAGCTTAGATCGCAAATCTGCCAGGAACTCATTTACGCGGTCCGGAGTCTTGGCCATCCTTGACTGTAGTTGAAAAGCGGCATAGTTGGCAAATCCCAGCATCTTTGCCATTTCATACCTGAGTCGTACAGCTTCTTGAACGAGGGGTGCATTTCCCTTGCATCTGTTTTGGATAGCAAAGTACAGCTTTTTCCGCGTCTCGCCCTTTTCAGCGGACGAGAGAATGCCCCTGTGCACAGGATTAGACAAATCTATCCGAAGCTTGTTGCTGGAGTTGATTTCAAGCTGCTTGACGATAGATTCAGGAACACCATCCAGCTCAGCCAATGTAAAGAATACTTCATCTGTCTGACAGCCAAGATTCTCGCGGAATTCTGCATGGATCTGGCTGAGACGGCCTTTGATTTCCTTGAACTGTTCTCTGGACACAGTATCCCGTATTCCCAAGCCCGACTGAGCAAATTTGTCATAAACCGTCTCCAAAAACAAGGACGACTCTTTCGTGATTTCCTCGGTATTATGATTATGATATATAGCATCGACAAGTTTAAAAATGTCCTCTCTCATCCAGCATTCAGTATGAAACCTGTCAAAGAGGGTCTGCGCTTTCGCCGACGCTGTGCGGATGTCGGCATTTGCAGAAACGTGTCGATAAAAGCAAAGTACATTGGCCTCGATGGCGAAATCATTCTGCATTTGCGCAAGAGGAAGCATCACCTTGGCAAAGGTTGCTTGCTCTGGTGCGATATTTCGAACCAATTCATCTCTTTGATGCCTTGATTGTCTTACTAACCGCTCGGCATCTGCTGTGATGGAAGCAGGTGTGGCGGAAAAACTGAGGGAGGGCTGAATCATCTTGCCCCCTAAGATGATGTTGATTGACTTTTGAAATGCAAGTAATTGACAAAACTTGATTATACAATGCAACTTGCATGGAAAGAAAGCGCCCTTGGCTCTGACCCCGCGACCTTTACCCCAGCCATTTAACTGTACTACCCCGCTTCGTGCTGCTTTGAGCTACATGTCCTACCTATATTTAGATAAACATGAAGTCGAAGGATACCAGATAGACCGTCCCTAAAGATATGTATTCACTAATCCGCCGTGCCAAAGTGGCATCTAGTGCTCTTCCAGAGATGGTTGCCTTTAAGAGATGAAGTTTACACACACCCATGACCCTGAGATTGATGGTAAACTCTAGTGGCCGTTCCCCTACATCGCAGGAAAACCCGGTATGCAAAGCGCAATATGCCGGAACTAGAGTGCTGCTGCCGTAAAAGTAGGCCCCTACATGATTGAGGCTGGCCGTCCCAAAAGGCGGGGAGAATGTAAGGCACGTATCCTCGGGGGAATTAAGATCCGCGTCAAGGTAAGGCCAGGCATGATCGGACTCTCCTATATACTTTGTACACTTGGAGTCAGAGTAGAAGTTGGGCTGTATGGCTTCGTTGGTCGAGTAAGCAGCGGTGGAAGCTGTAAGACTGGCAACAGCTGCGAGAAAATAGATTGAGAAATTTTTATTTTAGCGGAAGATTAATGTAATGCTTCGAACTGGATTTTCCAGTAGTTGAAAAGACGTCGTATCCTCTCACTGACTTGTAAGAACTTGCTAACAATTACTTCAGATGTATCACCGAATAGCTTGCGACACCGTTTAGTATCATTTGGCAATGGAAAGAAGGTGACAGGTTTTCTATTTATATATATATCTTGAAGGCATCGTAAGGATTTAGCAGCCCGGACACCGACATACGGAGATCGACTTGGTGTTGTCACTCAATTTAATTGCCCAAGGCCAAAAATAACCCAGGCTACAGGACGTTCCTGTTGATGGTAATGTTTTGAAAAGGAATTTTGGCGGGACTTGGTGGAAGCGGAGGCAATACTGGCTAGAAAAAGGAAGAAAAGTCACGCATATGGCGAAATGGTCTGGCGTTCGAGGTGGGCATAACGAGTGGTTCAATCACAGCCGCCTAGAACATCGCATTACGCCTAGAAACGGTATTTTACTCGCTCAGGTTGAAGTTGGTAGCCTGAGACAGGTAGTTGTGAATGTCAAGCATGATTACTGGGTAAGTAGGGGCATTCAGCAATACAACTGGGCAATTGCTTCAGCAATAAGAGGACAAGAGCTCACCATGCTTGTTCAACGAGAGAAGAAGGATTGTAGTTGAGATTAATAGGCACGTTCCAAATACGAGCAATTATCCGAACTACAGGTAATGTGGACTCGTATCATTGAACATGTCTAAAGCCTCATGCCGTTGATGATTCGTGATAGTGTACTGTATTAACTATAGGTATGTACCTATCGTGCGAGCAGGCTATCGGTTCATCAGAAGTCGGCCAATTAGACTTGGTCTCGTCAATAGTTAAACACACCACCATGAACCAAATAAATACAATTCTCGCGATTGTCTCGTACAAGTGCATCTTTACAAAAGCCTGGGTGCAGCACATCAGATGTGCCATCGACAAGCTGCTCTTAGTGAGGGGCAGGTAAAGAGAGGTAGCATCGACATGTGATATGGCGGGGCCAAATCTCCGGCCAAAGCCGCGCTCCGCGAATCGGCGCTTCTGCTGGAAACTTGCTCGCAACATTTCCATCTCCATGTCCATCTTACAAATCAGCCGCCGAGAGCCATTCGCAAATACGTCCTCCTGGCCACTTTGGCAGCGCTTCTGATGCGCTTTACTGCGCCATCTACGCATTAGATTCAGCAGAGCAGCAGAATCATCATGGGCCTGGAAAAGGTCAAGCACGTTGTGCTGGTGCGTCCAACACCCCGCCAAATGATGACGATTCAGCAGTTCACCGGCAATACTGGCGGCGCATCAATCAACTAACCTGTGTTTTAGGTGCTCTCCGGCAAAGGAGGCGTGGGCAAGTCGTCGGTGACAACGCAGCTGGCCCTGTCTCTGACGCTCGCCGGCCATTCGGTGGGAATCCTCGACGTCGATCTGACCGGCCCGTCCATCCCGCGCATGCTCTCGATCGAAGCGTCCAAGGTCACGCAGGTGCCAGGAGGATGGGCGCCGGTCACTGTCCACGAGGCCGATCCGGAGAATGGGCTGGGCAGCCTGCACGCCATGAGCCTGGGGTTCCTGCTGCCCAAGCGAGGCGACGCCGTGGTCTGGAGAGGCCCGAAAAAGACGGCCATGGTCCGACAGTTCCTCAAGGACGTGCTCTGGGACGAGACGGATTACCTGCTCATCGACACGCCGCCGGGGACCAGCGATGAGCACATTTCGCTGGCCGAGTCGCTACAAAAGGATGCCCGGCCGGGGCAGGTGGCGGGCGCAGTGGTCGTGACGACGCCGCAGGCAGTAGCGACGGCGGACGTGCGCAAGGAGCTCAACTTTTGCGTCAAGACGGGCATCCGCGTGTTGGGAGTGGTGGAGAACATGAGCGGCTTCGTGTGCCCGCACTGCTCGGAGTGCACCGACATCTTTGGGTCCGGGGGCGGACGGTCCATGGCAGAGGAGTTCAAGGTGCCCTTTCTGGGCTCGGTACCGATCGATACACAGTTTATTACGCTCGTGGAAGAGGGCAAGCGGCCGTTTTATCCGGTGGGCACGGTGATGAATGGGCGGGACATTTCAACGGTGCCGTCAGAGCAGCAAGGCAGAGATGATGGGACGCTTGTGGACAAGTACAAGGACTGTTCGCTGTTTCACGTATTCGCCGGCATCACCGCACAGGTTGGTGAAAAGGTTGCCAGGATAGAGAATACATGAATGTGGCGCCTATATCCGTTGGCCAGCCCCTGGTGATGTGTGAGTGCAATATGCAGTGACGGAGCTGCAGCTCGCCGTGAGTCCTGTGAGACATTGACAAAGTCTCCCCGGGGAGAGCGGGCTGCCGCAATGTTTGCTGCCTGCCTACATATAGACTTTACGGGTGCTGCAATAAGCCATGGTAGCACCTCATACATGTAGTCAGCCCTAGAGATGATGCTCGTAGTTGCTATGCCAGATGTGACTTTGCCAACGGAGACTCGAATCGCTACCTGGGTATGCAATGCTCGATGAGATGGCATGACATGCAGCATTTCTATCGTGATATAGCGTCAGCATTCGACCTGCAGCAGCTGCCCCTTGCCTTGGCACTGCTGCGGATAGTAATACGAGCCGGTGAATACAGTAGTACAATGAGTATTACACGTGTTTGTGCAGCTTATCAACCCTTTCTTGCCAGGCGCATCATGTCTGCAATGCAAGGTTTCGTGCACTGGCTCCTCTAGCGCACCGCAGATAAGTCTCAAACTCAATTGCTCGGTTCTAGGTGGTGCAAACACCGACTGTGATGAAAGAGTCGGCCCAGCTTCTCTCCACAAAGTGTCATCTTGCTAGACGGCATCGAAGCCTGGGAGTCTCTCTAGCAAGATTCACAGCTCCAGCCATAACACAGCATATTGGAGATATTCACCTGCATCAGCAATTTCGTCATCCGAAAGCACTTGAGGCGTTGCAGCCTGTTTCTTGATCCGGCCAGCCCCGCCGTCCCGCCCAGCCAAAAATGCTAAAAAGAGTTTGTACACATTACGTATCGTGCCATGTCCCTGGCCATCAATTGTGGGGACCTTGAAGAAAATTCCAGATGGGAGCTGCAGCTGTTATTGAGTGCAGCAGCCGTAATATGAGGATGATTTACAGAGACTTCAGTATCGGCCTGGCAAATCGTGTCTTGTCACGTCTTCTGTCTCACTCGCTCAGCTTACTTATAGTAATACAATATTATGTCGTAGTCAATGTAGGGAGAGAAAGAGACCTTCCACGTCTTGCAGCTCTCGTCTCAGCCATCTTTGCCCATCGACTCCTTGCGTGTTAGTGGGGACCTGCACCCAAAATGTACCTGCCGGTACCTGCGCACACCAGCTGGCCCGGCCCTGTAGCAGCGCGGCCAGGTACTGCAGCGTACCCATCACCGCCCCGATTGGGCTGCGTCGAGCATCACACAAACACAGCACAACCCTCGCAGCCAAAACAAAACCGCAGCGCACAAACAAACAACTGCAAAACTCTGTTGTCGCACTGCTGTCCAATTTTTGCCATCCAGCCTGAGCCATCTCTGAGGCATCCACAGCAGCTTCTCCTCCCGCCGCCGGCCAACGAGCGACACGCCTTATCTCGTCCCCGCGGGGAGATACTGAGAAAAAAAAAAAAAAAAACACTAGGGGAAAATATCGCCCTACTGCTTGCGCCTCCAATTTGCGCCTCTCCTACTCTATCCGCACCGTCACACGACCGCCTGTTTGTCTGGGGAAAGCCTCCTGTAGCTCTTCTCTGCCCATCTTCACTTTGCTGGATATGAGGAGCTAGACGTTCTGCTGTCCGCGAAAGACACTCAACCGGCCGCTTCTTGCAGTGGCCTGCCTGACCCTTCTCTGGTTCTTCCCTTGGCCTTCTATGCGATCAACTGATCTCCTGCGATTCCTCTTCTCGCGACCTTCCAAGTATGTTCTTTGTTTACTTTGCGTCCCAGCTTCTCCATCTTGAGCTGCCCGCAGAGCTCCATCTATAACTCATGGCCATGTGTGCATTGAAGAGCTAACCATCTTCCCATCCAGGCCTCGATAGCACCCCTTCAAGCAACACAGATACTGAATAGCTTCCAAATTACGCCCCGTCTATACCAATCCAACCTCCACTCTCGGTATTCCATAGATATCGGGAAACACAGCTCTCCGCGCAACATTTCGCCACAGAATCGGTTCTTCTACCCTCTCTGTCCCCAGCCTCCTTGACGTCTTTCCACAGACGTTGGGCTTTTCATAATCCCCCATTGCTGCTGGCTTCCGCCAGCGTCGTTGGACTCGCCACATTCCTGTGGGCCTACTCGCTCAAGCAGACGCCGCAAAGTCTGTTTGAGTGGCAGCTAGTGCTCCGCGGACTCGTCGTCAGGGGCATCACTGCGTTTTCTTTATCCCGTCGTGCTTTGGGTTAAGTCATCAGCAAAAATGGCCAATCTCTCAGTCCCCAACAATTACACCTTTTCCCCTTCGTCGGCAACCCACTTGACAATCAACCACGATGTGGCTGCCGAGTTGGACTCCACCTATGCCTTTGAAGGTACGTATCTTCCATCAGCATTCACTTATACCTTTTCTATCCAGGAATATCTTGACTAACACGCACATCATCAGGTCCTGAAAAGCTGCTAGAGGTGTGGTTTGCGCCCAGTGCTTCGGCACTGCCCACTGGTGCCCGGCCCAATGGTCTCAAGGCTGTGGCTGCTGATACTTGGGTGTCCATGCTTGACATGGTCAACTGCAAGATTCTCTCGGTTCTCGAGTCCGAGACTGTGGATGCCTATCTTCTCTCCGAGTCCAGCATGTTCGTCTTCCCCCACAAGCTCATCCTCAAGACTTGCGGCACCACCACCCTTCTCCTGGGACTCCAGCGCATGCTCCACATTGCTGCTGAACATGCAGGCTTCACCTTTGACAACGCTGCGTCTGCCACCGAAATCAAGGCCATCGCCACTCCCTACCGCGTGTTTTACAGTCGCAAGAACTTTCTCTTCCCCGACAAGCAGCATGGCCCTCACCGCAGCTGGAAGCAGGAGGTCAAGTACTTGGACGACATGTTTGACGGCGGCAGTGCCTACATGGTTGGAAAGATGAACGGCGACCACTGGTATCTCTACATCACGACCCCGAACAAATTGTTCACACCTCCTTTGACTCCTGACTCGGAGAGCAACGAGGTGGCTCCCACCAGCTTCTCAATTCCCGCCAGCTTTGGCAAGATGGGATCCGTGGCAAATGCCTCTGACGAGACGCTCGAGATCTTGATGACGGATCTCGACCCGGAGAATGCCAAGCAGTTTTACCTGTCACACGCGAGTGCGGTCGCGTGTGATAAAATGTCCGCCGAGGCCAAAAAGGCTCGCCAGGACGCTGCCGACAGCCTTGGCGGACTCTCGACTCCGCTCGAGGAGGTGGACGTCTTTGCCGATGGCATCGAGTCCGACTTGCACGAGCCGAGCGAGAAGCTCCACGAGATTGAGGCCCTGACCACCGAGGGACACGCCCTGGGCACAGTCGTGACGGAGCAGTGCGGCCTCGCCGACGTGTACCCTACCTCGGTCTATCCCGATGCCCGCATCGACTCGTACCTCTTCAGCCCATGCGGCTTCTCGGCCAACGCCATCATCCCTCCCCCCTCTGCTCAGGACGAGACCCAGGGCGGCAACAACGCCGGGCACTACTTCAGCGTCCACGTCACCCCCGAGACGGGCTTCTCGTTTGCCTCGTTTGAGACAAACGTCCCAGGCGGCCAGAGCGGACGCACCACCGCCGAGATCATCGAGCACGTTGTCGAAATCTTCAAGCCGGGCCGCTTCAGCGTCACCTTGTTCGAGGCCAAGGGCCGTGGCGACAACCCTTACGGCTTGGCCAACCCCGATTCAAAGGGCGCTATGGCGCTGCGAATTGTTGATTCCGTGCGCGGATATCGCCGCATTGATCGCATCGTGCATGATTTCGAGGACTATGATCTTGTTTTCCGCTTTTATGAGCGCGAGGGATGGGCTGGAGACAAAAAGGCCCGTGTTGGCGAGGAGATGTAAGGGATGCCGGTTTGTGTGTTGGATATGGATACAGCTGGATGTTGAAAAGATGTGTTGGATTTGGGCTGGGTCTTGAGGAGATGCTCTCTCAGTTTCATTCTGGACATTCCTTTTTGGGCGAAATTCTCTTCACCCTTCATCTTGGATATATGATTTGAGTTTTGGCACCGTTGGCCAGTGTTTTTTGTAGATTTGCATAGTTTATTGCTTCTTGCTGATGAAAACATATCAACGTCTCATCTTGATGATTTGCAAGTTTTTCATTCTTCTATTGAAAGTGATCGGATTAACCATACGAAGGAATGTAATTCGTCTTGGACTCGAAGTTTGGACGAATTAATCACAATTGGCTGTACTTGTACTAGCGCGCATGCTTATCGATAACGCCAGCGCTCCACTCACCAATTTTTTCCGCCCAGGGCCAAAGGCGCATCACCAAAAACTTCATCCTCGCTCCTCGCCAGACCTGCAAATCCAGTGACCAATTGCCACGCCAATCACATCTCGTGCCCTCATTCTTCCTCTCCCAACTACACACTCACTCCAAATTCTCAACCACAACCGCCCACCATGCATCTGATGTACACCCTCGACGCCAGCGGCAACCGCCTCTACACCCTCAAAAAGGTCGCCCACGGCCAGGTCACCAAGTCGGCGCACCCCGCGCGCTTCTCGCCCGACGACAAGTGGTCTCGCCAGCGTGTTACGCTGAAGCGCAGATTCACCCTGCTCCTGACCCAGCAGAGTGAGTAACAGCCTCGTTCCACCTGGGGTGTCTTGTGTCTAACGCTGTGATTTCCAGAGGCTGAGGCTATGTAAATTTGCGACATTGACATAGCACTGAGGCGATTCGGCAAGCCATCAGCAACTCGCTTGGGAGAGCCCATAATGCGCACATCTTCTTTTGCAATATCAACGACAAACTTCTTAACGGATATCACCAAGAGATGGTCAACGGGCTTTGATGGAAAGAATACGTGAGCGGGTACTGGAAGAGGGCAAACCGCACAACAGACTGCCCCGAGAGATGGTGGCAAGTCTGACAAGGAGCTCTTCGACTGAGCAGGGGAGAGGCAGTTGGAAAAAAAAGATTATCTGGAATTGGAAAAACTTCTTTTTTCTCCATGATTGATTGGGAACCTGAAAGGGAATTTGGCGTTTCTTAGGCGACTGGTAGTGGGAGATTCTATGTTTTCATATTAGCTGTTTACGAGTTTATTTGGGCACATTTGCATCTATGCAAGATTAAAAAAAAGCTCAAGCCTCGTCAAGAGGAACATACAAGCAATTACTGTCCTCTCTACTAAGATGTAACCTGAATCCGCCTTGATAGATCTCGCACCACTGTGACTTTGTAGAATTGCAATTGTTCTTTTCAGTCTATTTTATTCCATTTTCCAAAGGTCATTACTCGTTATATACAATTCCAGCCCAGCCAATTTCCACCGCTTTACCTCTTCCGCCTCGAGTTGACATTCCGTCCAGCTCCAACCTTGATCTTGCCCCCCGCGCCAGACCTGTGGCCCGTCAAAAGCCCCGGCAAGAAATCATCGTCCATGAGATCCTTCTTCCTCTGTCTCCGTTGCTCATCCAGCGCCTTGCTATGCTCCTTTTGATCCTCGGCCAAGATCAAATCCTTACCCCAGTTGTTCTTGCCGCCCACGTGCTTGGGCAGTCTGCCGTTGGCGCTGCCATGAACCGGCTTCGGCACGCTAAACACGTTTCCCCTGGTGTTCCACTGGAAGCCCTGCTTGAGGTGGATCTTGAAGTTTCCGTGTTGGTCCGTCGAGCAGCTTGTCCTGGTGAGGGTGCTTTGGCCGCACTTGGGGCAGAACTGCTTGTCCATGTCCTTTGTGATGTTGAAGCAGCCGTGGCAGCGCAGCACCCACGTCTTGAGATATGTGATGCGGGACAGGGACGGCGTGACGAGGTTGAGGTTGATGCGCAGTGCGACGTTTTGCATGGCGTAATCGGAGGTTAGGATGGCGGCCTGCAGAGTTTTGGGGGGAGCATTGTCGTTGGTGCCGTTGGCGCCAGAGTCTTGGGCTTGTTGCTTCTTGAGGTTCGAGGGGGTGATCCAGCCTTCATCATCTGAGTCTTCTGAAGCCTCTTCGGGCTGTTCTTCAGGCTGTTTTGCCAAAGAGGGCTCGGGAGCGCTCTCGACGGCTTCTGGTGTCGCCTCGCTTTTCTCTTCACTGCTGCCCGAGGCCTCTAGACTCAGACTCTGCACATCATTGCTGAGCTTTGTCTCGGTATCTGGCTGAGGCTGAGACTCTGTTTGGTCTGCGGCTTCTGCGCTCTGTTCAGAATCGGCCTGTTGAGCTTCCTCGACTTGCTCCGGCTTCTCCTTCTCTTCTGTTGACTGTTTAGCCTGCGGCCGTCCGTTGACACTTTTCTGGCCCGGCGCATTCCTCAGTCTCCAATCGCCGCCGTTCCTCTCAATCTCCAGCTCATATCCCAGCGCAAGCACCTCCATATCCGGCTTGCTGAGCACTCCATAGTCGCCAGTCTTCTTCGCAAAGTCGGCAATGAATTTGAGGCTCTCAGGCCTGGGGGATCGTATAGTGACAAATGGCAGCAGTGTCGTTTCGACTCGAGAACGGGTCGTGGCGTCGCGGATTTCGCTGATGATGTTGGGGAGGGTGTAGAGCTTTTCGGCTTTGGAGATGAGCACGCTGGCAGGAGGATCGTTCTTGATCAATGGACCGGTATCGAGGACCAGGCTGTGAATCGGTTTGAAGGCAGCGACAGCCGGAGCCGCTGATGGCTCGGATTGAGCCAGTGGGGTTGCCATGATGGCGTTTTGTATGGTGATTCAGCAAGAGGGTCTGAGTCTGGTGGAGATGGTTTTTTTAAGTCGCAAAGTATTTTTGAAACTATTGCAATGACAAGCTGCACAAAAGAGCAGAATCTGGGCTGGTATGGCTGAAAAATGGCCTTGGCGATGCCTGGATGTCGCTTTTTTGGAGGGGCAATATCGCTGCACACAAAATTTAGATGCCGATAAGATAAGAATTTTCAGATTGCCAAGCGCCAGTGGAAAGCACGTGCAAGATGAGCCGCTTAGACTCGTCATTGAAGCCTACCCTATACCTCTCGTCTACTTTTACATATTTTCGTATTTTCTTTGCAATCAACCTTGTGCACAATGGGAAAAAGGAATAGATCAATTTACGGCTAAATAGACATCCTTCTCGAACCAACATCTCCAATATCTGGTTAGTGCCGTCTACTTTGCGGGGGTTCGCATCGCGATGCGAGGTTGGAGACATGGGTCAAAGGGCGTGGAATACATGCGTCCAAGGCATCACTGTAACCCTCCAACTTCTGGGGTGTGTGAATTTCTAATGAACCAACGCATGTCCATGGAGTTTGAAATTAGCAAGTGGAAAACAGCAGATATGCAAGCAAGGGAGACTTCACAGGCTTGCTATCCCGATTACACGCATTGATCTTACTACTGGGTACATGCAAGATCGCATGATGATCAGATGATGGGACTGACCTGTATCAGAGCAGTTCCTGTAAGTGTGTCGAGCAGTCGCTTATCTCAAAATCCATGCAGACACGTCGACAGGCCTTGACAATGATCAGCACTTGGCTCGGGATATGCTTCCTGTTTACGGTTTACGGGAGACGTGGCGTGCTGCACTAGATGCATGATTCCATTCCAAAGCTGAGGTGGACGGCTCTGGTCTCGATGCAGCGCTAATCATGCTGGGTGTATCCAATCTAGTTTACTCTTTTTTTGAGATGTTACTGTATGTTTTCCCTCGTCTCTCTTATCTCTGATCTTCTCTGTCCATGGATTAGCTGTTGGTTCTTTGTTGGGAGGATTAAGCCGAGTATAAGCACCACTTGTTGCTAGGTAATGTATAAGACGTCCTTTCACTTATTGAATGATGAGAAGAAATTTCAAATTTCCTTGAGACGAGCCATCTTTAGCTGTGTTGCGTCTATGTACGCATAGTGGTCTATGCGTTGGTTATTGATGTCTGCCTGTTCTAGTGCTGCCATTACATGTCTGCAGCACCGGATATATCGGGCAGCTCCTTTGACGTAGCAAGGATCGACATCACTCGCTGCATTAGCTGGGAACTTTTCATTTGTTCGAGAATGTTTCTGCGCGTTGCTCGCCACTCGGAAGCACCCAGACCACCTGCAGCCTTTGTCCGTGTTGAGTAAGATGTTCGGCAAAAGGATGCATCGACCTCGACTGGTGCAACAGCCATTGTTATGGAGGCCAATGCATGACGTGGAACGACATGTGCTGCGTGCGTGGTATTCTGAAACAAAGTTGCTGCTATTAAGTAATGCCCATGGGGAAGAGAGCGGAGCTCCCTACTCTATCCAAAGGTCGACTCCATAAGCTCTCAACACAACGAATGATGGACGAAGCTATTACGAAACTTTGGATTCGCGTGTAAGCAGCCTCGAGGGTCTTTCTGGGGTTCCCCAACCCCAGAGTATCAATTGAATAATGTGCTGTCATTAGACTCATTACCCCAACTTGACTGGAGCCCTCATTGCGACTCATCCAATGGAAGCAACATAAAGTTGGAGCTGGAGTTTGGCGTCTTTGTGGTGGAGAGGGAAATTGCCTCGTTCCGTCGCTCCTCAGAGGCAATTTAGTATTTTGGCCTCCGCCACAGCATGCTTCCGTTTTTTTTTTTTTCTTGCCTCTTAGCTAACACAAGCCCCATGTAGAGGGCGTGGGGAAAATTGCGGTCTACAGCACCATGTTTACGCATCGTTATTACACGTATCTTGATGGTTCAGCAAAGCGACGGCTTACAGCGGCAGGGGGCAGCATATGTCACGGTGCTGGGCCGTGATGCTACGATAGGCCAGGGCATCTCGGGGCCTGTGCTCGATATGGGCGAATTGGCAGACATGGGACGGCGGCTGATGAAGACTGGAGCGTGCGACTGGGCGCCCAATGGCAAGAATGATGGCGGAATTAGGCGGCCTCGAGGGTTTCCCGCTGTTCCGCATCGCCCGCCCTTGCGCTGGGATGGAGGGAGGAGACGCGCGCTGCATGCACGAATTACAAAACATGAAGACCGCCACACCATATACTGTACTGTAGATCAGAGATGCAGGACGGGCACGGCAGTTGCTGGGCGGGCGCCTGTCAGCGACTCGACATGGCTTGAGCTGCTTGAAGCATTCTAAAAGAGTAAAAACAAATGCTGATTCATCTGCGAATAGCAACATGAACAGATTACGGCACAGTAATGGTAATCCAAAGCCCATGGTTGGAATAGCTCCGTTAGGCAGCTTTCGAGAAGGCGCGTGGAAGTGATCGCCGGCAGTAGCGTCGCCGCGCTAAGCCGCAAGGGGTAACTGGAGTGAGGCGCGCTACTGCAAGTGACTTTGGTGAGAAAAAAGTCGAGATCGCTGCCAAAGTGGCTGAAGATGGATGGGTTTGCACAGCGGCTCGGCCCCCGTAAGGTTCGCTACAAGGCCCCCGGGGTAGTGCTAGACCTGCTAGACCTGCTAGACCTGCTGGAAGCAGAGCGCTAGGCGAAGTCGCCTCAGGCCACCACTGGCGCGAGTCGCTGGTGCCTGCTAGCGGCCCTGCCAAGGTCTGCGGCATGTACCTGCGCGGACAATTTGGCCTCCGTTCCCACCGCAGCTGCCAGGCCGGTACAAGGCCAGACCGCGAGGCTTGCGCAAGGCACCAACTTGGCGGCCGGCACTCAGTGCCGCAAGGTGGTGTGCAGAAGGTCCTGCCGACGACTAAATCCGTTCCGCTCGGCAGTGTCAAAATGGAACGAATTTTTTTTCCCCCGAAACGAGCCAGAAGAGCCAGAAGCAACTCTGTCGACGCCACACGCGACACATTACTCGCATTGATCAACCCGCACGAATACTGTACAGGGCGAAACGAAAAACCAGAGTCAGACGCAGAGCCCCAGCAGCTTTGGTCCCTGGGTGGCCAAGCAGACCGGGTTTGTGCCACGCAGCTCGCCATTATCAGACTCGACGAGACCCTCACTTACTGGATACTGTCCGTGTCCGGGCACTCATACGAGAATCTCGCTTGGTCACAGCGTTCGCCTCCCTCGACGAGGCATTATTCGAGCAAAACCCGGTCTCTTGACACATCGAAACTGGCCCTGAGTCGCAGCGGGCTCCATCTCGCAGAGTCGCAGCGCACGCACAGTGGACGGTCAGAGGCCCCGGTGGACCTGCGATGGAACCTTCAGTGGGCTGCGTCAGTGGCTTCGGTGGGCCGCGGTGGGCCGTCTAGGGCAGGGGGCCCGCTATTACGGCGTCCTCTCAGCGGGCTGGGAACCGCAAGCGTCCTATCACAATGACGTTTGCGGGCTGCCAGCAAGAATGCGACGAGCAACGCAGCGCAACGGAGAGAAAATCTTGTCTTGGTCCACGGTCCACTTGGCAGAAACGAACCTTCGCTTCCAAGTCAGTCGCTCTTTGCGCTCGTCAGGGTTCGGGTCCGCATGGATCCGGCTGGCACGGCAGGGTCTTGCTGCCCTTGAGATCAGGGCAATGGGCGAGATTCACCTCTCACGATGGCTTCTTTTACGTACAAGATTGCGGAGAAGCGTCTTCTGACAGTCCATTGTCGTTTTGCGGGGGGTCTGGGGTAGGTCCCCAAAGCAGGAAATGGAAATATAGGGGACCGCGATGATGCAAGCAGTCCATGTACAAGTATGCAGTCGAGTCGGCATCGACAAGCTGAGAGGAGCTGAGCCGGACTGAGGCTGGACCGTGTGTCTGTGCCTGCTGCAGACCAAGGAGCTCTGCATATCATGGCCGGAGCGCGAGTTGGGCAAGAAGAGGGTCTGGCAGTCTAGATTGTCCGCCCATTGCAAACGCTCAGAATGGGCTCGCGGTTTCTCTCTTATCTATGGGGAATTCAGTGCTTGCAACACCGAACCTCGGAGCACCAGCCGGGCCTGGAATGATGGCAGCGCCTCTCGTTGAACGGGCAATCAATCGAATCGTACGAGAAACCGAACTCTGTGCGAGATCCGGTGGCCGGAGGATCTTGGAGACTCTGGCTAGCAGCGCAGTCTAAGAGGAGCCTATCTCGACGCCGGGAACCCTTGATACGCCCACGCCGTCCGTGGCGCTGCTGCTCCGACACCACGGCCACCCCGGTTTCGCCTCTTCTGGCGCTGCTCGCTCCAATGCAGCCTTTGGCAACTCTATGGCAGGAGCTTATTCGACGATTGCTGCTTGGCTGCTTGCCCTTGCTCCAGTTTCGGCCCTTTGTGGACTGGGCTGGCCATTGATAACGAGCCCTTAGCAACCTGGATGTGGACAAAAAAGGGCACGTAATGGATGAGTGACTGAGGATCGGCCTAGATCTGCACAAACCACCTGGGCTGGCTATTAAACTTCCTCGTCCGCCTCCACCTCCGCACTTTTTCATCTCGCTTCCTCTCTCTTCTCTCATCCTCAAGATAACGGACGGATTCGGCCTATATAGACCTGGGCATCGTCTGTTTCCCCTCCCTTGAGACAGAGTGTCAGCTTGAACTTCATTTCTTGCTCCTTTCTTTCTTACAGTATACCTGATACCCAATCACTGTCTTTACTCAAACTCTCATCTGCATCTTTGATACCCCCCACACATCCATCATGTCTGACACATCCATCTCCCCGTCGGGGTCTGAGAAGGACCGCCGCTACGATGACAAGAAGAACCCTACCTCCAACCTGTTCGACGATGCTCCCATCGCCGGCGAGACAAGCGATGAGTTCCGCGAGGATGTTGAGCGCGCCAAGGCCCAAGAGGGCGAGCAGAAGTTTCACCGTCTGGGATGGAGGCGTCTGACCGTTGTGCTCATCGTCGAGGCCATTGCCCTCGGCAGTCTGTCTCTGCCCAGTGCCTTTGCGACTCTCGGCATGGTTGCCGGTGTTATCTGCTCCGTTGGTCTTGGTTTCCTCGCCATCTACACAAGTGACCTTGTCGGCATGGTCAAGATCAAGTTTCCCGAGGTTGCCCACTACGCTGATGCTGGTAGACTGGTTGCTGGTCGCTTTGGATACGAGCTGGTGGGAGCCATGTTTGCCCTGCAACTGATTCTGCTTGTTGGTTCTCACTGCCTGACCGGTACCATTGCTTTCCTCAACATTACAGACAACGCCATCTGCTCCCTCGTCTTTGGTGTCATCTCTGCCATCATCCTCTTCGTCTTGGCCCTCCCTCCGTCCTTTACTGAGCTCGCCATTCTTGGTTACATCGACTTCGTCTCCATCATCCTTGCTATTGGTATCACCATGATTGCCACTGGTATCAAGGCCAACCAGTCCGCCGGTGGACTGTCTGCTGTTGACTGGTCGCCGTGGCCCAAGGAGGACCTGTCCTTTGCCGACGCCTTCATCGCCATTACCAACATTGTCTTCGCCTACAGCTTTTCCATCTGCCAGTTCTCCTTCATGGACGAGATGCACACCCCCACCGATTACAAAAAGTCCATCTGGGCTCTTGGCCTCATCGAGATTGCCATCTACACCATCACCGGTGGTGTTATCTACGCCTTTGTCGGAGTCGACGTCAAGTCTCCCGCTCTGCTCTCTGGCGGCCACCTCATCTCCAAGATTGCCTTTGGTATCGGTCTGCCCGTCATCTTCATTTCCGGATCCATCAACGGCACTGTCGTCGGACGCTTCATCCACGGTCGCGTTTACAAGAACTCCGTTATCCGATATGTCAACACCACCATGGGATGGGTTACATGGACTGTGCTCATCGCCATAATCACTCTCGTCGCTTGGATCATTGCCGAGGCCATTCCCTTCTTCTCGGATCTTCTGTCCATTTCATCGTCGCTCTTCATCTCCGGCTTCACCTACTACTTCCCCGCCATTTTCTGGTTCGTGCTGCTCAAGGAGGGAAGCGTCTGGGAGCGCAAGAACCTGGTCCACTTCGCCCTGAGCAGTCTTTCTATGGTTGTCGGACTTGTTGTGCTGGTTTGCGGAACATACGCCAGTGTTGTTGATATTGTAAGTGTTGATCCTCTCTTGTTGACATTTTTGCGCCACCGATCAAAGACTAATTCATGGCTACAGAATAACCAATACAAGGCCAAGACTGTCCGTGGTCCTTTCACTTGCGCGCCTCTTGCTTAAATGAAGATTTGTTTGCATGGCGTTACTTTTATGAATCTGTATATTTTATGAAGACATGTATTTTTTTTTTTTTTTTTCCTGTATGATGATTTCCATAGAGTAGAGTTACAATGGCTATAGCGCTTCTACTTGTTTACCATATCCGGGCCTCTGTAATCCACGCTTATAATTACGCTTATCTTCTGAAGTTTTAATCTATTCCGCGTAATCAAGGTCTAGAATCTCATTCTTCAGACGGCCTTTTCGTTGTGATTTTAACCTTTTGACGCTACCCCGTGTTTTCATGGCACAAAATGCCCGCAAGTTAATCGTACCGATGATACCCGCGGGTGGATATGAGCGGATCCCAGATCTCACACTCCCTAGATTGTAACGCTCAACTCCATCTTGCGCCCAGTTTAAGCAAAATGCGGAGGCTTATTAAGAGATAAGCGATGTGTCGTGCATGTATCGTTATCACGGGAAAAATAACATCGTGTAAGTGGTGGTGGTGGTGGTGGTGGTTGTGGTGATATTAAGCGGCCACACTTACGGGATGGCGTTGAAACATTTTTTTGTGGCGTCGAGCTAGTTGAATTGACTTTGTGCTCGACCATTGTCTACAATGCTTGGCAGGTCTAGAACAGGGAGAAGGCAATAGGGCTGAGAGGGGTTGATGGAAACGTTTCTGCACGGCTACCATGATGGACTTTGTGTGTCAGTTATACGCTTTCAGTGCGTGAGGATTATACAGTAAAGTACTCCGTAATGGGCTGGTATATTAGTGGGGAGAAATTAACCTTCGACAAGGTCGAAATATTCTGACAGGAACTTCTCAATTGGTCCTGGTTGCGGATTTTTTATAAGGTGTATACTGGATAATGCTGCTAAGACAATGCTAAGGCCAGTGAGAATGCTAAAGTCAACACATGCCTTGCCAGCAAAAGAGCCTAGCCCACTCAAGATAGAGCCTGCAATTGAGCAGAGGATCCATGTGGAAAAAGGCAATCTTTTCGTTCCTTTGGTAATACACCTGTCCATATTTTTCCAAGAGTAGGCTGATGAAGCTAAAAAGTAAAGGGTAATAAGTAGAAATAGGCCGCAAATGATCCGAAGAGATATTTAGGTTAGTAAAAATAGTCGAGTTTTAGTTGACGGTACAGTTGCTAGACAAAGTAAAGGACGTACTACGGAAGCGCTGATTACTATATCGCTGTTTCTATTTATTGAAGGTTTTGTACAATCGTTGGTTACTACAGCTATAGATACTGTTTCGTTGTGAATCATGAAAGGTTCCATTGAAGGCTGTTGATTATTCCTCTGGAGTGTTAAAGTGACTTTGAGTTCAACGTTGGCAATAGCAAAAAGCTTTTAATTGTATCGTTCAGCCATACCTTGCGTGGAGTTGGGCGTTACAATTTCCCAAGAATTTACGCAACATTTTGAGGCTCGTGGTACTGGATCTGTGCTTGTAGTTGATTAGCAGCCTGTTGTTAATGTGATCGTCCGAATAGTTGTCCGTATAACTGTCAATATGGTTGTCGACGTGGCTGTCAACGTGGGTGTTGGGCCGCATGTCGCTGAAGAAGTGCTAGAGGTTGTTATTGTAGTAGTACTAGAAATTGTCGTTGTACTAGAAGCTGTTGCACTAAAAGCTGTCGTTGTAATAAAAAAAAGGATATTATTTCCTCAATTGATTTACTTATAAAATAAAAAATTAAATAATTTTTATATATCCTTCAGACCTGTTACACCCTGATCACTCATGTCTTCGCATTAGTTAGTAGACGGTATGTACTCAGGAATTATTATAGACTGATAAACTAATCAGATGAAGATCACGGTTTATAGGCAACCCTGTTGGATTACAACGGTGAGCCATCGTTAGCCTATGCATCATGATCCACCCATAATCCAGATAAAACAACTTCTGTAACAACCTGTTATACCGTTAAGCCATGGGCAAAATATTAGGCCAATAATTACTATTGTAGCAATTATTGTAACAGAGCCAGCTGCTTATAGGGGATTCTATCTGTTACAGGGAACCACGTTGTAACACTTACCACATAGGACCTTTCATTACGCTCATGAAATAGAAGCTTAACTATAGCATTTATACAGGATCTGCTATAGAAAACAATCTCGGCACAAAAAGAATGTAATAAGCCTTAGATTTTCTTTGATCCACAATAACCCTTATTAGAGATGACCCTTTACATCATACACAAAAGATTAAAGCAATAGTTAAGAATTAGCAATCTTTTACAGGTAATATACTTTGTACCATGTACAGTTGATGCTCTATTAAAACTATTCATGCACTTATGAGCCAAGTCTTGAACTAATTACCCAGAAATTCTTTACTTTTGTAAACGAACTTTTGTCTGTTGCCGCAGACTATAATTTCGTTGTATCTCCTAGTTGAAACTAGCGCCACAGTCGGATATTCCGTAAAAATTACTCAGCAACTGAAACTCATTGCCGCTCCAATGAACTGCAGTAGCGTTTTGCAGTTACATGGGCTGCTCTTTACTTGCTACCATCCTGCGGAACAAGCCGTGAGGAAAAGGGGGTGATGACCTACGTTATACAACAGTTCAGGGGCCGGTTCCGGAAACGTCGATAGAACTATACTTGGGTGGGAACTCCCTCGGTCCAAGACCGAGCAATTGGTATATTTCCTATCGCATTCCAAAAATTGGCTGGGGGGACTCCTGTTTGCTAACTGTAGCAAGCTAGCTGGGCACTATTACTGGTAAATAACGGGGCAATTTCGATCAGATAGCGGCAAAACCCACCGGCTAATGTTTTAAGCAAGTACGGTACTACAGCCTTACCTGATACTTCAGCAGCTAGTTTATCAACTGCTTTACTACGGGGTGGTGGAGTCGAACGGGTGGTTCAACATGTGATTTCGAATACGATTCTCAGATTAAGTATCGGAGATTGTGGCAGTGCCGTCCTTTTATCTCGGGATGGACTATTATTTTACATCTTTTGAACATTCGGCTGTAAAGGCCGAAACAACAGGAATGTGGTGGGTTTTCTAGAATTCTTCGATTTCCCCCCTACTTTAGGAGTGTTCTAGTCTATTCGCACGATACGGTGTGCTCGATGCAAGGATGTCCTTACACGTGAAATAATTCTTATAAAGAGTGTCGGCCGTCGCGTGCCTTCAGACTTGAATATTTCGCAGAGCTCTATCGAATCTTCCATCGAAACTCTGACATTCATTTTTAACTGAGACACTCATTTACAATTGTGACGTTCTTTACGACCGTGACACTCAACACTCATTTACATCTTGGAATATTCGCCATCATGCCTTCCTTTGGATTCTTCCTCGCCATGTTGGTAGCTACGGCTGCTGCAAAGCCTGTGTCTATTGATCCCCGAGCAAGCTGCACCTTCACCGACGCTGCAACGGCAATCAAACAGAAGACGTCTTGCAGTACTATCACTTTGAATGGTGTTGCTGTTCCGGCTGGACAGACTCTGGATCTGACTGGCCTCAAAGACAATACCAATGTATGAATGTCATATTACTCTTGTGTCGGTTGCTAAAGGTCTAACTCGAAATTTAGGTCATCTTTGCCGGAAAGACCACCTTTGGTTACAAGGAATGGGATGGCCCTCTCATTTCAATCTCTGGCAAGGGGATTCAGGTCCAGGGTGCCTCTGGACACACTATTGACTGTGCTGGCCAACGATGGTGGGACGGTAAAGGTTCAAACGGCGGAAAGACAAAGCCCAAGTTTTTCAGTGCTCATAAACTCACAAACTCCAACATCAAGTCGCTCAATGTCTTGAATACACCAGTTCAAGCTTTTAGCATCAATTCGGTGACTGATCTCGGCTTGTACAATATCAACATGGACAACTCTCTCGGCGACACCGAGGGCGGCCACAACACGGATGCATTCGACGTTGGCTCTTCGACCGGCGTGTACATTTCCGGAGCTATAGTAAAGAACCAGGACGACTGCTTGGCTATCAACTCCGGTACCAACATTACTTTTACTGGCGGTAACTGCTCCGGTGGACATGGCCTGTCCATCGGGTCGGTTGGTGGCCGAAGCGACAACACGGTTAAAACTGTTCGCATTCTGGACTCAAAGATATCCAACTCGCAAAACGGCGTTCGTATCAAGACAGTTTCTGGAGCGACTGGTTCTGTTTCTGATATCGTCTACGACAACATCTCCTTGTCCAACATTGGATCCTATGGTATTGTAATTGAGCAGGATTATAAAAATGGTGGGCCAACTGGCACGCCTACTGCTGGCGTTCCCATCACTGGTCTTACTGTTAATAAAGTCGTCGGCACAGTTCAGAAAAGTGGCATAAATGCATACATTCTATGCGCTGCTTGTTCCAACTGGACCTGGACCAATAATGCAGTTACCGGAGGCACGAAGACTAAGACAAACAAGGGCATTCCCAAGGGAGTTTCTATTTAGAGGCTTCATTTGCCTTTCTCTTCTCTTTCTTTCTTATATACATATATATATATGTGTGTGTGTGTGTGTGTATAGCTTTTGATGGCATACGAGGTCATTTTAATATAGCTAAATACGACTGTAAAAGTCGGCTCATTGCACTTATATTAGCATTAAATACCTAATTATGATATGCTCTCGTTTTATCACTTCCTATCATCCACTGCCACGTTACGGCGCTTGAACCATTGTATGGGATGGATAAGCGCAGTAAAGGTTTCTCCAGTGAGAGTGCTTGAACTTTCCTAGAGAGGAAACAATTTATAGTGCTAGTTCCAGCCATTTTCTTACCCTGGCATCTCGACTGACCCACTTCGTGGCTGTTGTCTGCTCCCCGGGTGGACCCATCTCCGATTTGCCCTCTTGACAATGTTCTATAAAGATGTAGAGATGCAATTGTTAGAGCAGTAGAAGCTCGCTCTTCGAAGGCGGCAGGGACGTAGATAACGTAAGTGACCCAAGAAAGGCCGTGAAGACCATATTATGTATTATCATTATGCCAATTATATAGAGGTGTAAACCGCTCTCTAAGTATGTCATTTAAACCACTTATGGCTAGAAACAACAGAGCGGAGGGATTTGATCCCTGGGACAAAGCCCTTTACTTCTTATTTCACCTCTTCTCAACTTATATAGCAGCTTGGGTGAAATTATCCGATCCGATGCATGGCTGAAACTATAGATTGCCTTTACAAAGTTGCGGCAGCCGGATTCATACCTGTAGTGATTTGAGGCATCCTTCTTGAAGAAAGTCTATCTTATAAAAGTAAGATTATAGAAAATGACTAGTTGACAAAAATCCAATTGAACCAGCTGAAGGCAAGGATGAAGAGTAATACGAAGCCAATCGTCCACACCCCTTTGCTAATTGGGTAAAGCCGATTGGCATACGCAGGAAGAACTATCTGCACTTTTCGCAGATTGCAGAATCTATATTTCGAAACGCAGCCAAGGAACTCGCACTATTAAAGTTTCAACGCGTACACATTCATTTCATTTCCGGATGCCTCATTGCATGTGGTAGAATTGAAACCGGGGAAATTTGACATGGCGTACTGTTATCGCCACAATACATCCACCAGTTTAGTATCCGTAACTGTCTTCCAAATTTTCTTCCTCTCTTTCCATTGCAAATTGTTTAGATATAGCCATTCCATTCATTGCAATCACAAAGGCCATGTATTTAGCTGGAAAAAAAGGTATTCGCATTTACGAAGATTTGGAGTCCTACACTACAGAACTTACTGTAGACAGGCTACATGTTCGCAGAAACCCCACTTCACATCCCTCGGCAATTTAGAAAAAGGCGCCGTCCATGTTCTGTAATAGCCTACTTAACATCAGCCAGTACATACGACCAGCGCGGATATCTTAAATGCTAAATGTTATGTTAAATATTAAACTTGCTAATTAAGATATTATTGGTCCTATATTGACCCAATACCAACCTCAGCACTGCTTCTTCCAGCCGCACGCTGCATCTCGTTAAAATGTCGCTTTTGTACTCAAGGTTTGCCAGCCGCAAAGTCGCCCAAAAACACTTGAGATCATCCTACACATATCCCCATCGAATACTTGCATTAAAGCCTGATAATTCTCATTTGAAATCGAGCTCTCAATCTTCTCAATGGCGAAGTTTAGCTACCACACGAAGTAAAAGCCTACCTTTGGACGGTGTTACGGTAGTCTCTTTAGAGCAAGCCATCGCAGCGCCCTTTTGTACTCGCCAGCTGGCTGACTTGGGAGCTCGAGTCATAAAGGTCGAACGTCCTGAAGTTGGCGATTTCGCAAGGGGTTACGATACGCGTGTCAATGGAATGGCATCGCACTTTGTATGGACTAATCGTTCCAAGGAAAGCCTTGCACTCGACCTGAAAAACCCGTGCGACTTGCAGGCTTTGAAGAAAATCCTCTTCAAGGCGGATGTCATGGTACAAAATTTGGCACCAGGCGCAGCAGAGAGATTGGGCCTCTCGCACGAGGAGCTTCAGAAGACGAACCCAGGCATTATCGTGTGCGACATCTCTGGTTATGGATCACATGGGCCATATCGTGATAAGAAAGCCTACGATTTGTTGGTGCAGAGCGAAGCAGGTATGCTCGCCGTAACAGGCACTGAGGCAGAGCCAAGCAAAACGGGCATATCCATAGCTGATATAGCGGCTGGGATGTATGCCTACTCCAATATCCTGGCAGCATTGCTGGAGCGTGGGAAGACTGGAAGAGGCCGTCGAATTGACATTTCAATGCTAGAGAGTATGGCTGAATGGATGAGCTTTCCCATGTATTATGCGTTCGACGGACAACCGGGCCCCAGCCGAGCAGGAGCATCTCATGCGACCATTTATCCGTATGGGCCATTCGAAACAGGCGCCGATGGAGCTTCCGTTATGATGGGCGTGCAAAACGAACGCGAATGGGCCATCCTATGCCGAGATGTACTGGAAGATGCGAGTTTGGAAACAAATGAGCGGTTTGCAAACAACTCACTCAGAAGCCGGAACCGAGCAGAATTGAAGAAGATTATTACGGATCGTTTCTCTAAGCTTTCTGCAGACGAGGCTATCGCAAAGTTGGACAAGGCGGGTATTGCAAATGCCAACATGAATGATATGCAAGGCGTATGGAAGCATCCCCAGCTTCAAGCGCGGAATCGTTGGATCGAAGTAGAAACGCCCAGTGGCGTTGTGCCTGGGCTACTGCCCCCTGGTATAGACGATATCTCACAGGTCAATGTTGCAGAGGTTCCAGCTGTAGGACAGCACAATGAGGCGATATTTGCCGAATTTGGTGTCTCTGAAGAATAGCAGATAATAATAGTGATTAGTATACTGTGATTTACATACACGCCACCGATGAGTGCGGCAGTCCATGATCTGGCATGCCATCCATTTCTGACAGCATGGCGAGAATGTGTGTCAACGTCCGGTAGCCAGAACGAAGGCAAATGGATCTGTCCTTGTCTCTGCCCCATATCTCAGTGCACGTCTCCAACGTCTCGCGGATCGTCTGTCGAGGCGGTATGGCGAATCCATTGGCAAGTGGCGCGTCTCTCTGTAATAAATAAAGACTGGCTGTCAGTGCCGCGGCGAAGTAGTCAAGTTTGTATAGACGGCCTAATATATCCTGATGGACGGAATCACCACGGTGCTCGCAGAGATCTCGATGATGAACCAGTATGGCTAGACTGCACTCGAGAGAAGCCCAGTAACAGATGGGATATAATACCGGAGCATTGGGAAGCAGAGCATGGCAGCGGTGGAGTACCATCAGGACACGGCGAAAGAAGATGTCCAGGATGGCACGCAAAGGGTCGCTGCACTCGGGGTGATCCATAGCGGCAGCCATCAGCCGTCTGATGGTTGCATTGTAACCCAGTATTTCCTCGTATGGTACTTTTGTACCGGAATTGACCCTCGCAATGATTTTGCATATTGTTGGAAACGCATCGCTTACCGATATCCATGGGCCAACTCCCTCGACATGAGACAACGAAGCACCCTGTATATCTGCTCCCTCCAATATATCGTCCGAGGAGAGGAGAGTTGGCATACCGGTAACTGCTGCTGTTTGTATGCAAAGATAGACTATCGTAATCCACAAGATACGGCCAGATTGCCATTCAGAGTAAGTCACTGCGTTTGTCTCGGCAGGAGTTGAAGTCGGCGGCTTGTGAAGACCTATACAAACAGCGAGGCGAACAATCATACCCAACAGTGTCCAGCTTGCGTCATAAGACCAACATGTGCCGTTGGCCAGCTGTTTGACGACAACAATGAGACACAGGGTCCGCATCACCGACATGCTTGGCCGGACCAAGAATGCCGTTTTGGCCAGACAGGCTTCGGCCGCCAGGCAAAACTCGACAATTAACCTTGCATCTCGAGTCACTGTGAAGCTTCCAAGCGCCAAAACCATGAGATATGATGATAGCCAGGAGACATCAACCTGCGTCGGGTCCTCCCAGAAACAACTGATCTCGTCAGCGAAGAGAGCAGGGTCGATGATGGGATGCACGGGCTGGTACAAGGCAAGGTAGCCATCGACAAACGACTTGCAGTCTTCTCCATGGCTGTGAATGAGGCTGTAGACTTTATCGAGAGAGGAATATTTGGTCGCGCCCGGACTGTTGAAGGGGAAGTTGCAAGGAAGAGCAATGTCGAGATGACAGTCAGCATGAAGCACTGTCAAGTGATGGCCGTGCACAAATTCATGTCCAATATTGCGGGCGGAAGCCTCGATCTATAGCAGTTGTAGGGCCAACCATTGTTAGCGAATTCCGCCCTTCAATCATATGATGCTTTAAATCTCATGGAATCGAAACTTCTTACCCGTGACACAAGCGTTTTCCAATGAGTCGCGCCCCGACGTCTCGTATGCCACGATGTGTAAATGTGTTTGGGATCCTCATGTGCCGCTGCGCATAGAGCATCTTGACCTGCATCGCTAGCTGAAGGATCACTCTCAACTCTATGCGTATACGTGCATTGTTGCCCCCAGCCAGAGCTTCGACATCGCGAGCATGGCAGCTTTTTGTCGCAGCGGACTTTAAGTCGATGGCATCGCGTGCAGGAGAGATGTGCGCGATTCCTTCTCTTCACTGTTTTGAGGATTTGCTGAGCGGTGACGATATCAGACGAGGGTGCAGATTCATCGCTTGGAGATGATTGCTCCGAGCTTGAGCGCGTAGGATTCCTAATTGTGAGATGGTCTGCTTTCGCAACTGGTTGTGGCGATTGCTCATGGAGAAATGAACAACTGACTTCGGCCAGAACGCATCTTTCGCATGCGGGTTTGATTCTGTCGCAGCGGAGCTTTAGGAGGCGGCATCGACTGCACGTCTTGATCTGTCTGATATTGGGCATTTGAGAGTCGCCGTCAATGCCAGCGATTGCATGCGGCGTGTAGAGACGCTAAGAAATGAAAACGATTTAATCTCTAAACAATGACGAATCGAATATTTGCAATGGATTATTTGATGCTGGTTGCGCGTTCGTTTGGATGCGGTCGTTGTAGGATCCGAGATTTAGTTGTCGAGTCTGCTTAGAAGCTGTGCACAGCCTGGCTTCGGAGGATGCTCGGATTTAACTCTTAGACGCAAAGTTAAGTGATTCTGAGATGCGCCAATAGAAACAATCTTGAGCACCATTCAAATAAAAGATTAAACTCCCCTGATGATAAATCCGAAGTTGCCTCGAGCTGAATTCGCAATGAGAGGCTCTGTTGGATAAGTGGAGTTCAATGTTGTATCCTGCTCGGCCGAGGATACCACCCGCTAAACACCGACTTACTATAGACGCTAACAATGCTTTTTGTCCCAAGTCACTAAAGAGGGATGAATCAATTGGCGAAATTTAAAGAATAGACCCTGTATCTGATCTAGTGATGGGGATTATTTTGCTCGGGATTCAATGCCGCCTTGAACTCTAACCAGATGCAAGGTAGCTAATAACGGAGAAATGAACTGTTAATTTGGATTGGTGATGGCGGCGCTAAACTGCTAGATTGGATGGGGGTTTATTCGGTTTCTTATGAGATGTAAATGAATGATGATATTGAATAGTGTGTGATAAGATAGGTATAGACTCGTGTAGAAACTAAATACTTCTTATTTAGAGTACATTGGCCATTCAGGAAATGTTAAACATCGCACGCACGTTCGCTGGTAAATTGGCAATAAACTCGGCTTCTTGGCCTGGGGGACCCAAGATTTGTCCATATTCCGCCATTCTGGGGATATCGCAAAGGTAAACCCAAAACTTTGACTCCGAAACTCCAGTCACTTGGCTACCCTCCTTGACTATGCGTTCAATAATTCGCGTCTTTTGCTCCTCTGAGCGGCCGGCCCTCACATCGCCACGGATCCAAATTTGGTCGACGGTTACTGGTTCCGCGTTCAGAAATTGCTGGGTGGGTTCAACATCTTGGAACACGACCTGGCATAGATAAAAGGGAATGTTGGAATCTTCGCAGTGGGTAGCGGTGATAACTCGAGCCAGCGCCTGTTTTGCCTCTGGCGACAGGGCATTTTTCGAAGCCGTTACGACGTATGTTGGCATTGTGAAGTTCGGAGATTGGCTTTATAAAATTGCTGATGGTAGACTGCTATTTGATGTATAGGTAATTGTTTCTGGGTGATGAAATCTGTGATGAAGTAATTTAACATGACAGCGATCACCGCTTTTATATATTTCCATTTGCTTTATTGAGTTCTAAACGCAGTTCCGCAAGGCGAATGTGTTGTAAAATTGATTCCAAATCGAAGGTTTTAGTAAACTACGCCTCCAATTAGACCTTAATAATATATGCCCATCTCTGTGGTTGGAGAAATGCCAAACTGCAGCGTTTAGGTTAGTATGACATCGGGTTGTTCCGCACTTCATCGAAACCGAGGCTATTGAGCTCGGCGCAACGGAAGGGCACAAATGCTACTTGTAAGTAGGCAGAAAGCGACAAAATGGCAATGAAGGCGTGTGTCGATCACGATGAGAATGCCTCGAGTAATGGCGTTGAAGATATTTCGAATATTACAAATAGACAGACTGACAGTATTTCTCTGTTACCGCGGAAAGAGGTTTTCCAACAGCCGTGTCAGAGCAGTAATTTTTAAATTATTTAACTAACCGAAATAGCTAGTTTTTAATATTAATAAAAAATACTTTCGAATTTATTAATCATTAATATTTGTTTTGGCATATGTAATGTATTGCTTAGGAAAAGTTCTTGACCTACTCACTAACATAAAACTTGAAAACATTGAACTTGTTATACGTTCTGTCTTAAAAGTTTTCCCTACCAGCTTCGCTATTATTGTATCGCCAAGTCATTCATTGTGAGGGATCACGATGAATAGAGGATCACGAACTAGAGCAAAGCGAATGAAACAAACACAACAACCAAAGGCACTGACGCTCAGGGAGCAGAGAAGTGACTGTGACTGAAAACTGTGATGATGAAGAGAAGAACTACGCTATTAGTGACAAGCAGAGGAGGGAACCATAAGGCGTGCCGCAGTGGGTCACGTGACATCCATGACCCTCCGACCGACAACTCAGAGCGATTCTTTGCCTATATCAATATTTTCCATCTTGTCCAGGAGCTGATTATATGGTGCATTTATGTCGGAATATACAATTACGAGCACCTCACGTAGATATGCTCCTGTAGCCAGTCCGTCATGTTGAAACTGGATAAAAACGAGGGATCCACCATCGCGGGAGAAGTTGCCAGTGTCTCTTGAATGTCCGCATAATTGCGACTCGACACAAGCCATTTCAATCGAGAAGATGAAGCTGAGCTTTGCGTTATAACTTTAACAAATTGTACCAAATATGAGACACACTCATCCAGTGCATCGATAATGAAGATTGGCTCCTTTAGACAGTCATCTCTGAGCATCTGCTCAAATATCCGAGAAAGAACGACCCAAGAATTGGTCCCTTCAAAAGCAGATTTTCCAGATTTGTCAAATTCGTGTCTCAGGTAAACGATGAGATAGGGTTGCTGTGAGACTATCATATGCAGCAATCCTCGTAGTATCGCCGCAGCATTGTTGAGGCGAATATCTGTTGCTTGACAGAGAAAATAATAGATTTCGCGTCCAATTTTTCTCGGTTTCAACTCATTTATAATGCCACATAGCAGCATAGTCTTTCCTTTGCCGGGATCGCCCTTGACCCAAAGTAAGCGAATACCAGGGACTTCAAGCCACTGTACGAACTCGTCACTTTTCGTGATCCAGATATACGCATCCCGAAGCAGTCCCCCCTTTGTCTCCCCAATACGAATCTTATCATCCTCAGGGTTTGTAATAAACAAGGCATTCAAACAGGCTTTATTCTCCTGAAGCTTGAGAACTGCGGTGGGTGATTTATTGGTTTGGGGGTAACGCTCAACTAAAGCTCTTGCAGCCGACGCATCAGCTGCAGCTGCAAATTTTGCTATTCTGCCCAGCATTTCGTCTTGTGGCCGTCTCCATAATCGCTCACGCATTTAACGATGATGCAGGGCAATTCGTCTCAGACTCTAGAACCCTTCATCTCAAAGGCGATGATATTGTGCTTCTGAGCTAGGGAGTCGCGATGAGGGTCGGGTCTAAACGCCGTGTCACCGGATCCAAAGCGTCCAAGAAAGATGTGTGGGATTCGCAGACATGGAATTCTCGTCATTCTCTAGCTTATTCTTCTGGCGTAGGCGAGTTCGGGTTTTCATAGATTTGAGTTCGCAGCCAGTCTGCTCGCAGTTCAAATCCACTGACTGGTCACATACCGCATAGGAATCCTCATCCGGGTTGTAGCCGGCACACACGCATTGTGACGAGTTGTAATGCCTGTAGCGATAGGTTAGCTCGAAGAGAATATCGTGGGCAGAGCCGGGGTACATGTAAGTTGTGGCCTTGTGCCTCTGCCGATACTTTAGCTCTGACGCATGGTCCTGAATCTGCTGTAGAAAAAACGCAACCTTGCCCTCCAAAAGCTCATATCCCCTTTCGGGTTTAATATTTGTAGTAAAACTTCGCATGTTTTTGTTTGCATGCCCATGCATCTTCTCTATAGTGTTCTTTGACTGAGTGCCAAGATCATACTCGATGACTGTTTCACTGATGACTACATCGCCAAGCAGTAGTTCTTCTCCCTTTGCATCAGGAATGCCCTCGCATATTCCCGCAAGAAGAAGGAGTTTAATGGAATTGTAGCTTGATCGAAGACTGGCTGTTGCACTTGCTGCGGGTGCTCTGCCAGAGCTGCAGAGGAGCACCACAACAACATTAAAATGTCCCATGCAGATGGGCACATGCTTTGACTGATTCGGCCAAGAGCTCTCCCCATGTGTCAAGTTTGTAGCAGCAAAGGCTTCCTAGGAGGAGAAGATAGTATTTGATTTAATGATATAACGATGTCGATATACCTGATACCTGACACCCTGAACATACATGTAACTCTGGGTCGCCAAGCAAGGCCAATCTTGAGGACTGCTCTTTTGGAGACTAGTGGAATCTCGTCTCGAGTAACTAAAACTTCATGATATTGTGAAAAGCGACTCTTGTTAGTAATAACATGCGTATAGTTGAAGTCACAATGCCAGAGGACGTCAAGTTTCCATAAGTGGAAGAATCCCGTTAGAACCAGCCACTTTCTAGAAGTGAATGTTGCATGCATGGATACTAAATCATTATTTAAGATGTATGGTAAATGAAGGTTTCAGAAGAAGGACAAGCACAATTAAATAGTAATGCAACAAACACTGCAGATGAGGATACTGTCGCAAGAGATTGATGGAAATGGAATTGAATATAAAGGTACCGCCTGAGCATCTATGTAAAACCCTAAGAAGAGCGAGCAAATAGAGTAAAATCCAGAGGTAGCTTCTCGCCCATCCAGATGGCCCGCTGCGAGTGGTCGCGGTATTCATTCTCGGACGATGGCACTCCCTCCTCTGCAATCGTGTTGGGGTGGATAAGAGCCGAGAGGGGCCCCCGCCAAACGGCTAGCCAAGCAATAAAGGCGCCGAACTGAGCAGGAGTAAAGACGTTGACTTCAAACATGGCCACCGGGTGTGGGCCGATTGGCCGATCCCAAAAGGTGTAGATTCTCAGCTCCGGGACTTTGGACGGTACATTCGGTTAGTACGGTTATTGAGTAAAAATGCATCGTATTGTAGTATGGCAGTCTAGTAACTTACACTCTCTTCGGATGCGTTCCCATAGCTCGCGTGCATATTTGGTTTGCTCCTTGTTTTGCTGGAAATAGTAGATGTGGATATCACTTGTTGGTTATAAATCAGCGGTTGATCACCAATGATCCGAGCATCGCAGTACGGAAAGCGAATGATGGGAAACTCACAAGCCTCCTCTTCGGCCGTTATCCAATGGCTCAGTGAAGGTATTATAGGCCTCGCTCAGGCCCTCACGTTTGGGATTTACATAGCTCTTTCCATCTTCATTTCTCTCGTCTGAGAGCGGGGGAGCATTCTCAAAGCCAGCCAGTGGCGAAGTATACTTGTATTTCAACGGATTGGCCATTGCTAATGTTGAAGCTCGTTGCAAAACTAAAGAACAGCTGATGGATGGGAATAGATCTGCTGCGATGCAATTGGTGTCGTTGGAAGCTTTGTGAGGAGCTAGATGGCGTGCTTAGCTGCCGCAAAGTGAAAGTGCACTTCGGAGCACGGCGTAATACCGAATACGCGGGTAGTATCGGGCTCACTGAACACGCTCGATCGTGGGTATAGAGTTAATAGTCGACAGGTATTGCTTAATGTTCTGGATTCAAGAGTATATGAATCAGCGATTGGAAACCGTATTGAGGACTGACTTATACCTTTTCCACAAGGCCGCGGTATGATCAGCTTTATATACAAGTCATTCTACCAAAATCCCTGCCGTTGAGCCTCTAAGTCAGAGTGTTGTTATAAATCAGCATCGGTATACGTATGACCAAAATTGTGGCGTTCCCATTATCTGTGTCATGATTTACTGAGGGATTGTTATTAATCAACAGAGATTGATAACTGAGATCTTGTCTTATCAATCTCATTGCTCCTCAATGACAGAACGAACGAGATTACTGCTGCTGGTGATCCCACTTTAGCGCTCTGGCCTAAGTGGGATGGGCGAGACGCTCGTTAGTAATGACGGGATGACTAATTGGAATCTTTGCTGAGATTGAGTTGAATTGTCTTAGGCGCCGGTTAAGAAACTGCGAAAGGGTGCGAATTGCTCTGTTCTTCATTTTTACAAGACTTCTTCGCTGCATATTTACATGCGTATTACCTCCAGTAAGATGTGCGTTAAACTGGCCTTTCTCAATGGTTAGATCACGAATCCTAGGCATGGCGATAGAAAATGCGACTTTGCCATGCGCTTCCTTATTTTGGCTTTCATGCAGCAGAGAGGATGTCCATCTCTCTCAAATATTTGCTATGGAATTAGTCCTAGATACATGGAAATATAGCCAGTGTGCATTTTGGCGGATTTTAAATTTTAAGCATTTTGGGCTTTAGACATTTTACCATATATTATAAACGTATTCAAGCAATAATGAGAATCATACCCCGAATACCGAAAGACGAACGGGCGCAAACACATATTTAGGCCTATGGAGTTAGTGATCTTGTGGCTATACGAGCCCACCATTCGCAGCAATACAGCTACCGAGACACAAGCCGTGGCCGTCGCTTAATACATATACCTAGGCTGATTAGGAACTTACAAGGTAGCCTAGCGGACGGAATGTCACCGAGTGATGTAAAGCAAAGTGCCGCAAAGGCTGGTTGGCGAGACGTACGACATACCAAGATGTTATCCACTTGCAGGTGAATTAGAGATCATAGTCAATGCTCCGTTGAGGTATCTGTACTCCTACGAACAGAAGAGATAGCTCAGGCACGTTTTCATCTATTACAGCACAATGGCCTTCAGCATGCTTTATGGCGACTATATGGCATGACTAGCTAAGCATTAAGGTAGTGGACCCGGGAATGTTATCCCATTTCTTGGGGATGGCATTTGGGGCACACCGGATGCTTGCCGCATCCGCAAAAACGTGGCAATAAACAGATAGACAGACATATACGCTCTGCCTTGGACTTTGCAGGTGTCAAATTTCGGAAATTTTAGTATTTCTGGGGAAGTGCATCGTTAAACTAGTTTTGCATGCGAGCTAGATGCTAGAAAGTTAAGAACGGGATACTGAGACAGGCGTGCTTGTTCCAGAAACGAGAAAAAACGTTTCTGTTCCTGGATACGCAGGTTCAGGGAATGTCGACAAGTCACAAGTTACAGGGACAATGCTGAAGACCGTCACGGGGAGGCTCCGCGATTGCCAATATTTCGGCTATTGCGTTAAAAATTCTTCATTTGCCGGACGCCAGCGAGTCAGCTGAATAGCCGCGTCCAAGCTCTCGCTTGTAGCAGCTAATATTTTAGCGCATGGAGATTAGGAAGCAGCATTAGCCGTTACAAGGTCAAGGTTAATGGATTGTGGCCATTCATCTGGTGATAATTCACCTAATTCAGTGGAGATATTGGCCTAGCATAATAGGCTAAATGGGCAAATGCGGAGAGTCCATAGTTGGTATATACATGACCCTTTTCTCGTTTGCGAGTCAACGGGTTTGTTGCCAAAACTTTGGTCCAGAGACGCTCAGCTCCATCGCCGGCATTCCATCGGCGAAATGGCGACCATGACGCCAGTGCCGGCTTTCCGACCAAGCTAGGAACTGCATCCGCGGCTCTGGTTTGCTCTTAGTGGCAGGGATCCATGACCAAGTCAGCGTGGGGGGTTGTGATGCTCCCCAAATGAGGACCTTGGACCGACTCATCACCAATCATGCGGAGGGAACCAGCACACATGGCCCGACTCGCTCGCTTCTGAGCCGACAACAGGCGAAGACTGAGGACAGTGGTTCGAGTCTGTTTGCCGTTGGCAGCTGTCCGCGTAGCCTTCGAAAGCCTGTCTTTATAGAGTAGGCAAGATATCTGGCTTACAGGTAACACGGGGAAAACATCCGGGGAAATAAGAAGGATCATCAAAGCTGGTCGGAATAAATGTGGGCTACTGACTCAATAACCGTTTCTACACGTATTTTCTAGTGCGGAGAAGACAGCACAGAACGCCTCATACACCTGATGGCGTCGGTGTGCCATCCGGTCTCCAACTTTTTTCTCTCCTTGTTTACTGTCCCCCGCCTAAGGGAAAAAAAAGTTGGCACTCGTAAAAGAAAGTGACAAGGGTGATCTGCAATCTAGAAGGCAGAGAAGAGAAAAGGGCAGAAAAGGCGTCCCCACATGGGGCGGCGGCTCTTGTGGTTTGGAGAGAAAATGCCGCCAAAAGTGGCGTTATCCCCATTCGACGAAATTTCTATACTTTGCGTGATCTATAGAATGAAGAGAGAAGAAAAATTGCATCGTATGTTGGCTGTAAATAAACGTAATAAGAAATTAGAGTAGAAGAAAAAACTTCTCTAGCATCTCCATCAGCTCTTCCAATTCCCAGGGCACCGCCAATAGCTGCCGACCTTGACTCAGCTTCCCTTGACGACTCCACCATCGTGATGCATCCAGTCAATCGTTTCTCGCAAGACAGGCTGGGGGGATCCCCTTTCTGGATGGCCTAAGCTTGAACTAGGCTGCCTGAAAACGGGGATCTCTTCTCCATGTCTCTCCATACCTCCATACCGCCGGGGAAAAGTTTGGGGAGAACAAGGACCATCGGCTCTCAGTTTAAGCGGGGGTTGGGGTTTGGATACAACGCTGCTGCTTGTCTAGATCGCTGTCTGGCCATGTACTCCCCTTGTCCGGGCCGGCCATGTGACACTATGAAGAAGCAACTGTGCTACTTCGAGTACATACGGCATGTGTCTGTCTGTCTTATAAAAGACACTTCCCGCGTTGCATTTCACAGGGACCTACTGGCCGTCTAGGAGTCGTCGTTTTGATACCCCCAAAGCTCGTTGCCGCACGCTCACAATGACGGACGATATTTCCCGGGCCAACGAGCCGGCCTTCGACGCCGAGAAGCAGAACATCCAGAGTCTCGAGCACATGGCGTCCAATGACTTCCCCGTGCCTCACCCAGCGGCCGGCATGGACCCTGCGCGGCGAGCCCAGGTCGAGAAGAGCCTCAAGCGCAAGCTGGATTTGCGATGCTCGCTCTTCATCCTCATCTACATCATGAACTACCTGGACCGCAATAACATTGGTGCCGCCCGTCTCAAGGGCCTGCAAAAGGACCTCAACCTCAACGACACGCAGTATGCGACGTGTCTCAGCATTCTCTATGTCGGATACATTCTCATGCAGGTCCCCTCCAACATGTTCATCAACCGCATCCAGCGCCCGTCTCTGTACATTGCCTGCGCCATGACTGTCTGGGGTCTCATCTCAACCCTGTCCGGCATTGCAAAGGACTTCAAGGACTTGGTCGTCATTCGATTCTTCCTGGGCTTCGTCGAGGCTGCTTTCTTGCCCGGCGCCCTGCTTATTCTGTCCAAGTGGTACACTCGCCGCGAGCTGACCACCCGCAACGCTCTCCTTTTCTGCGGTAACCTCATCTCCAACGCCTTCTCGTCGCTTGTTGCCGCCGGAGTCTTGTCCAACATGCAAGGCGTTTTGGGCCATGCCGCGTGGCGATGGCTGTTCTTCATCGAGGGCGCTGCTACCATGTTCATTGCCATTTCAGCAGCCTTCATCCTGCCTGACCTGCCCACCAATGCGCGTGGCTTCACTGAGGAGGAGAAGCAGGTTGCCCAGCTCCGTATGCTTGAGGATGTTGGTGAGGCAGACACCGATTCCAGCGGACAGGGCGCTTTCGACGGTCTCATCATGTGCGGCAAGGACATCAAGGTGTACCTCATGATGCTTACACTGACTGCCTATGTCGTTGGTCTTTCTTTCAACGCCTTTTTCGTAAGTCCATCTCAATTTCGCGCCTGACAGCTACATGAAGACATGCTAACCATTTCCACAGCCAACCTTGACTGGTACCCTCGGCTTCGCCTATGTTCCCACCCTTCTCATGAGCGCCCCTCCTTGGGTCTTTGCCTGTCTCATCTCCCTCGTTATTTCGTGGAATGCCGATCGTACGCAGGAAAAGGTGAGTCGCAATTATTTCATACACCTATGCATGCATTTTGAGTCTAACATCCATCTTTTCAGTTCTTCCACATCATCTCTCCCATCATCATGGGCGTCATCGGTTTCGTCATCTCCATGTCCACCCTCAACACCGCCGCTCGATACTTTGCCCTCTTCCTCCAAGCCGGTTCCTACGCCGGATTCATCGTCTTTTACAGCTGGATCAGCTCCTCGTTCCCCCGTCCTCCAGCCAAGCGTGCCGTTGCCATTGCCATGGTCAACGCTTTCAGCCAGCTTGGTAACGTGGCTGGTTCATACGTCTGGGCCTTGCCTGAGAACGGATACCGTAAGAGTTATGGTATCGTTCTGTCAATGTTTGGCGTCACCATCTTTGGCTGCTTCTTGTTCAGAATGATCCTCCAGAACCTGAACAAGAAGCTTGAGGCCACTGAGGTCGCCGTAGATTCGGAGAAGACTACACAGACCGAGCTTGAGGATCTGGATGAAGCTTTGAGGATGAGGAAGGGATTCCGCTACCTCGTATAAGTTGCACGAGACGGACGGTATACATCATGATAATGAAAACAACTTTGTAATATTAGAAAACACAAACACTATATTCTGTCTGACACTGAGATGGACAAACTATCCAGGATAGATCAACAGAAAATGAACAATTAACATAACATAACTTCATTATTCATTACTTGCTAATTCTGTAGACAGCTACTCTAGTGAAACTCCCCATTATAGCTTCACGGTGGTAGCCTTAACATTCTTACCGCTGACCTGGATGCTGGCGCCACTTCCATCCCATCCTCCTACTTCAAGCTGCAGCTTCTCCTTTGGCCAAAGCGTGACATAGTTGTCAGACCATGAAACAGGGTTTACATCGTTGCCGCTCTTATCAACAAGAGTTAGGCGAATAAAGACAGCCGGTACAGACGACTTGTTCTCGAGCGTCACAATACGGGTCTGCGTGCCCGGAACCCCAGGCGCAGGCTTACCAGGGCCAGTGGTGACGGAGACCTGAGCTGTAGACAGCTTGCTGAGAGGCGTGTAGTCGACAAACTTGGTGACTTGAGTGTAGTACCAAGTCGAGTTGTTCCAATCGAGCTTATCAATGGAGTTGGTGACCCAGTACACATTGCGACTCAAGACATTGCCGTTGTTATCAGACAGGACCAAGCGCAAAAAGGCAACGCTTGAAAGTGTGCCGATTTGGCTCGAGAAATCAACGACTTTAAAGCCTGAGTTGGCCTTTGTGTTGAAGTTGACAGACTTTTTAGCAAGTTGCTTGCCGCTGGTGTTAATAAGCTCAATGTCAACCTTGCGTGGGCCGTTCTTGTCTAGGGAGTGGTTGATGCCCCAAACTTCCTTGGTTTGGTAGTTGTATGCGACATGCTCAATACGGGAGCCAACTTTGGTGCCAAAGTAAGAGCCTGCAGGGTGAAGATAGTAGTCGAACTGGTTCCAGTGGAGACTCGGCCAAGCGTTGTTGAGCATCCAGTAGATAAGGCCGGTGGCAGGGCGATCGGCATTCCACAGAGCCCCAAAGCCTTCGTATTGAGATCGCGTCGCTTCATAGTCCATCATCTGGGCCTTGATGAGGTAGTCATCCAGAGAGCTTGGGGCGCCGTAGCGCTTCCAGAGGCCTTCGTTGTAAATTTGTCTGTTGTAGAACGAAGAGAGGTTGGTTGACATGTGGAATAGATTCTTGTTGGGCTGCTTCCACAAATCGTCCAGATCGCCCTGGGTGAGAAATCTCTTCAATGAGCCCATTTCAGGAGTACCAACGCCAGAGCCCAGCTCGGAGCCGAAACCAAAAGCAGCACCTAACCGATCGGCAGAGGGCTCAGTGTCGTACCAGTAATTGGGAGGCACCCAGTCGTATGGGCCGTCCATCTTCATGCCAGAAGGACCCAGAATTGCCGGATATCCACGCTTAGCCGCAGAAGCAATAATGGGCGTCTGCCAACCAGCGTTCTTCAAGTCATTGACATACATCGCAGCCGCCTCGTCATTCGGCCAGAAGTCGCTTCCAACAAGGAATGTCAGCACGCTGGGGTGCGGCTGAAGCACAGAAGCCTCATGGATCATGCTATAGTTGGCCGTTTCATAGTCTCCATCATCCCAAACAGGCGGCGGGAAAATTGCCAGTTCGTCATTATAAGCCCATGCCTCCCACTTGTCGCAGCACTCCCAGCCTGGCATGATCATTAAACCGTATTTGTCACAGATTTCGTAGAATTCGGGCTGTTCCATCTTTCCCTCGAGACGAACGGTATTCTGGTGCATGTCCAGCATATACTCAACAATGCGGGTAAAGCGGGCGCTGTCCCATCGCAGGAACATATCAGCGCCATAACCACCACCAACCACTTGGAAAGGGTGGCCGTTGACACTGTACTGTGTGTCGTTGTGCGAGTTGACAACAGAGGTAACTTTACGGACACCAAAGTTTGTCTGGGCCGTATCTGAGACCGCATTGTTGACCGAAAAGGTAACCTTGGCGTTGTAAAGAGGCTGGCCACCCCACTGCTTGGGCCACCAAATCTCTGGCTTCTTGAGAGTCTTCTTGAACTCGACCAGCTTCTTTTCGCCAGGACCAAGCTTGACGCTTTGCTTGATGGCATCTCCAGCGCATGAAGCATCGCCAGTCACAACAGCTGCGGCATCAACAGTAACTGCAAAGGTCTCCAGATTCTGGGCTTCAGCGCGGATGGTAACCTCTGCAGGGCTACTCTCAACCGGAACATCGATATCCACCACCACCGAGATGGGGCCCATGGAGACAGAGCCCGTCTGCTTGATTGTAATATCTCGCCAAATGCCACTTCCATTGTCGCTCGGGTAAGGGTTCCAGTCGACAAATCCGAGTCCAAAGTCATAAAGGTAGTCGGTCGGGTAGACTTGGACGACGAAGGCGTTTTTTTCGGCAGCGAGGTTGGTGATGTCGTAGGTGCGACCGCCATAAGCACCAGATTGGTAGTTGGAGTCGGCAATCTGTTTGCCATTGAGAAAGAGGTCGGCTTTGGAAGTAATTCCGTTTGTCTGGAGGATGAAATGCTTGCCCTTGGCCGGAGACAGCGCGAATTCCTGGCGGTATATCCAAGGAACGAGGAATTGGCCCCAGTTGACATGATTGAGGTTGTCAGAGTACCACAAGTCTTCGTCATTGTAAACTCCAGCGTTGATCAGGCATGCCATGATGGTGCATTTCGAAGTGCCTGCGTGGTACCACGATGAGGTGTCAACACCGGGTTTTGAAAGCCCCTTGAGATCTTTGCTAACGTCGGAAGATGACTTGAGGTCCCAATCTGGGATTGCAACTTGATCACCAGCTTTGGATGTTAAAGGAGCAGCTGCAGAGGCAAGGCCACTGCCCAGCAATAGGGCGGCGACAGCGTGGCCGATCATGTTTGCGGCCGAGGTACTGCGTAGACGCCACGAGAGCTGCGATGCTCACTTGCCTTTGGCCTTGGACGTCTTTCTCTCTGTCTCTAATCCCGGACTGTCGGCCCTCTTTATAAAGACGAGGACGTCAATTCTTCCTTCCCCACGGCACCAATTGCATAACTGGCCCAGCAACAGTATAGCCTTGCCAACAAGGCGGTCCTACCTTCCAACATTTCCAATTCGCCCCATGTCTAGCAAATTGGACCTTTGCCACAGACTTGTAAGCGGTAAAGATTGCTGGGACGTGATACAACGTTACCTTACTAACTGGGCAAAGTACACGAAACCTCGGCTGCCCGCCGAGCGGGCGAGGTTGCAGCAACTTTTAACTTGAGAGATTCTGCAGCTTGCTTGTTCCTGGTTGAAGCGGGGAAGCAATACAGCAGCACAGCCAGGGGCAGGGGTCGGTCATTATCGTACCGGTATTGGGGTAGCTGTTTACCGCAAGCGTGCTCTGAGCTCATCTTCATGTAAGTAAGCATATCAGACAATGTGGGTTGACAGGGTATCTTGCGTTGGAAATATCACATCCTCTAACAGGCAATTGGTTTGCTTCTTAAGAGAATAGGCACCATCACTCTCATAAGGTGCAGTAAAGGAATTCGCGATGCCCAGGCTTGTCAAAGTTACCACTCTCTTTGTTCGTAGATCAGTAAATCCAGCCATATCTGCTATACTCCGCAGTGGATCTTTTTGATAGCAAAAGTGCGGAGTAGCCTGAGCTTCCAATTTTCCACCACTGGATAAGCTTAGTTCGGCAAACTATCGGCCGACAAGGATCGCACGTCGCACGGATACGAAGCTGCAAAGCCTGGGGTGATGCCCAGAATGGCATGGATACAGTGCTCGAAAACCCGCTTAGAGGCCTGCGCAATGAAGCAAATGCTAGGCTGTTACCCCAAAGAGAGCAAGTAGAGAAATACCAAGAGGCAAATAGCACTTCCAATAGACACTGTTTAGTCATCAGGCCGTCGGTACGACTCAGCCCCCACCTGTTGGAATCCCCCTGTGATGCTTGCCTTTGAAGTTTAAGCTTCTTCTCAGCTTGATCGTTGATGTCAGATCCCGCCGCGTTGATGGCTTTATCGTTATGACAAGCATTTTCTGTGTCTAATGTTGCATCAGCCATACAATCTACCCCTGACCGCCTTCTAGCTTTCATTATGTAGGGTGCAATGGACAAGATTGTGTCTCCAGTCTCCCGCCCTATCTCAACGACCCACGATTCGCCGATCGTAACGACAGACTCAAGGCCAGCCGATACCCCACGTATCCGCAAGAAAAGGACTCCGGTAAGCATCTTCCGCATTAGCACTGCATATCTGCGTGGAAGGCTTCGGCCCGCCGCCATGTCACGTTGATGTCTGGCTCGGAATGCTCCGTAACTGACACATAGCTAATAGAAATCGTGCGGTGCATGTCGCCGCGCCAAGGTAGACGCGACTTCAAGTTTACACTGTAATAGAAAACGTTAGCTGATGGTGATCTCAGGCCAAGTGTGATGGCCAAAGGCCGTGCTCGCGGTAAGTTCGCTGAACTTCGACGACAAGAGAGGGTGAATTCTTGTCTGCTGGACTCTCGCTGATAGGTAGCATTAGATGCTGCTACTTGAAGAAGACTTGTGCTTTTACCGATCCTCCGAAAGAGGCTCACCAGCTGTACGTGCTACCCAAGGATTAGCCCCCAGTCACTTTTAATACCAGTCCCATGAATCGCTGACCATCTCATCAACTTGCACAGCCGGATAGAGGAACTTGAGCAGCAGGTTGCAGCCCTAAAGGATCAGCTCCGAAACTCACCAACAGCCCAGATTGGCTCTCATCTTGAGCCTAGTCATGCAGACATCGGAACAGCCTTACAGAACAGCCAATCGGGTGTTGGCCCAGCTCTCCATACTTTGGAGCATTCGGCAACATCCCACGATGTTGTCCAACTGGCACAACCATGTTCCACACCGAGAACTACAATAGACCACATCCACTCCAATGGACTCACGTCATTCATGCGTCCATCAAACACGCAGTCTCCTACGGATACCACGTTGTCCAATAAGCACGGAAAATCACATTTTGAGGTCGGATCTGTTACGTTGCCCGATTGCGTTGATGCAGGACTGCTTAGCCTTGAGCAGGCCAATCGGTACTTTGCCATCTTTTTTCAAGGATGCGATCATTATGTCCCAATCTTCGACCCTCAATATGACTCGTTTCACGGTATTCGCGAAAGAAGCAGCCTGCTTTTCAGCGCCATATGCACAGTCGGCTGCCGTGTCGTAATAGGGACTGACACGCAACAATGGCATATGTTGGATTTTCATGTTAAGAGAATGCTGAACTGTGCTTTGGCGAGGCCTGCTATGGCTTCGCTAGAGACCATTCAAGCATTATTGGTCCGCAGTTGTTATGCTTCGGAGCGATCTCTTCTTGTTGCGGCTGCAACTCGCATGGCGCTTGATCTCAACTTTCCAGATTCATACGATGCGATGATTAATCGATCCGTAGTACCGACAACGCATGGAAAGAATTTGACAAGTGTCGATGAAGATACACTCATTCTAATGCGAAGAGCAAGAACGTGGCTTCATCTCTTTGTCTTGGGGCACATTCTCCACGTCGATGCTGCGGACCTGCCAACGTTTAAATTCGTGGGAGATTCTCGAAGGTCCCGAATCATTTTAAAAAACCCTGCCGCGACTGAACTCGATTTGTTTCTCTTCTCCCAAGTCGAGCTAAATACCATTCGTGGAAGAGTTTACGACTCATTAGCCAGTCACACTGACTTGGATGACGAAAGCATGATGGACGTAGTCCGCGAGGCTAAAATCGACATCTCCATATGGTTTGACGATTGGGCACACATCTTTGACAAGCACAAGGTACAATCTCCGTGGCTCAGCGTTAATTTACGAGTTCAAAAGTGCTGGGCTGAAAACATGGCGCTTTGCCGCGCCGTGCGAGCGTCTGGAGTCGAAAATGTCGACTTCATGTCACCCGCTCAACGATCGGTCGTTGCCATGGCAAAAGACGCCTTGGAAGAGCATCTAGACATAATGATTGAGGAATCGAGACTATATATCCGCAATCTCCAATTCGCAATGGACTTTGTCTGGGCGAAATGCGCTTTTTGCTATTTACTTCTTCTCAAGCTCTCTATTCTTTTGCCCGAGAGCAAAGGACGCTCCAGTAAAGAGCTGGTGGCACACGGTAATATCCTTCTCACTGAACTTAGTGAAGCCAGCGGTGGTAGTCATAACGGGAGTCGAAGCAATACCGGAAAGCAATACCTGCAGCTGCTTCAAAGCGGCATTGAAAAGTTTAGCAGCGTCACGTACGAGACTCACGATGCGGCTTTGGGCGCTGTAAATGACGAAATCTATTCATCTCGACGAACGCCGGGTTTTGGAATACAGAATCGTGTGGAATTGGATTCATTTGTACCCGAGCAATTCATATTTGAGTGGGACTTTCCTGGGCTCACCTTGTTTTCCTCGTCGGCCACTGGTGTTGCCTGGCTTGACGATATTCTTGTAGAGGCGCTTAATGGAGGAGAAGACATCTTTGGGTGGTTATCAGCAGATGTTGAGGGATGAATTTTCGTAGAAATAGTAATTCCTATCAAACCGTAATGTAATCTATCTGTTTTCTTTTCTAAACTAACCAAGCTGGAATCTCTTCTTTCCCTCGTTATCCGCGCCCAGTCCATGAACCTGTAAACCTTCGCTTGAAATAACCACTCGCGAGTCTCCAGGAGGGAGCACAATAACAGGTGCTTTCCATGGCGCCACATATCCTGACGTCTCATCCCTAGAAAATTGAACCTTGATTGTCGATCCTTCAACGGAGTATTCGATGCTATATTTGGAGACCTTGTTCTTTGCCACAGCCGATACACCATCATCTTCATACCAAACCGTCTTATACTTCTTCGTACTACTGGACCCTTCACGAGGAGGAAAGATCTCGACTGCACGATAATCGTCCAGCGGAAGGTCTGCGACATTTTCCTTTTCGCCAGGAGACAGAACTTGCACGTCTTTACCAACCGGGATGGCCGTTCCAACCTTGGCGAGAACTGGAATGCCGGCGCCGTGCCACTCGGCATCTATCGTGGCCCATTGTCCCGCTTCGAGGTATTGATAGAGAGCCTTGAGATTAATGTAGCCTTCATCGTCGTCGGAGGCCTTGGGGAGATATACGCGTGCTTGGGTTGCACCAGGTTCATATACGCCACCGATCAAAAGCGAGTCTCCAAGCCAGTATTGCGTCTCTCCCTCTGTAATTGGCCCCGTCCATACTTCTGGGTCCTTCTCATAGCCCCAACCTGTCCATCTTTGTGGCGGAATAGCCGTTTGGTGGCTCTCTAGCATCAGAGAATAGATGTATGGAATCATGGCATATCTTCGCTTAATCGCTTTCCGGACCAGATGTGTAATTTCAGGGTACATCCATGGCTCGATGACATCTCCAATACTGTTCTCATTTATGGTCTTGAAACAGTTGATGGCAAAGCGCTGTGAGTAGGTGCCCAGCTGCACCCATCGAAGAAGCAGCTCAGGAGATGGCTGAGGGCCCTCAAACCCTCCAATATCATGACCATAGCACTGCAGCAAAGACATGCCCGCATTAAGAGCAAGGGCATTGGAGCCCTTCATGCTGGCCCAGCTAGTGGTGTTATCTCCGCTCCACGAGCTGCAGGCATATCGCATAGTACCAGTTGTAGCGCTACGAGTAAGCACGAATGGCCGCACATCAGGATTAACATCCACAAGGGCATCGTGAGATGCTTTGCCATGAAGCTCCGTGTGCAGACTCCGGCCCCATAGACCAATCTGAGGCCTGTCTTTAACTTCGTCTCTCAACGTTAGAGAAGGCTGATCTAGCGCACAGATCCATCCGTCATCAGTGACTGTGTACTCGTTGTTGTCGTTCCAGATGCAGTCAATGCCTTCCTGACTCAGCTTCTTGACGCCTTCATACCACCACTTGAATCCAGCAGCAGAAGTGAAATCAATGTGTCCGCCCTCGGCGCTTTCGCCACCGCCAGCACTCCAAAGCCGGGTTACCGCCGTCTTTTTGGTATGAGGATCGATGAATAATGCATTTGCTGCTTTGAGCTTCTCATACTCTGGGTGAGTGGCGATGACATATGGCTTGACGTTGGCTATGAGTCTCATGCCGAGTTTGTGATACTCCTTGATAAAGCCTTCTGGGTCTGAGAATCGATGGCGATTCCAGGTAAACACGTTGCGTGTTTTCGGAGGCTGTTCCGCCACTGTGTAGCCAGACGACATTTGGTATGCCGAGCAGGGAATATCGTGCTCCTTCATCTTCCGTGCAAGGTCAAGCAGTGCCTCGGACGCTGGCGGGTCATCAAGCATGGAGTACTTCATGCCACCCGAGAGGTAGCCAAATGCCCATCTCGGCACAAGCAGAGGATATCCAGCCAGAGCAGCGTATGTCGTGACAATGTCCTTGAGGGTTTTGCCAACAATGATGTACTCTTCCAATCCGCCGTAATCTTGTCGATACACCTTGTAACGACCCCACATGCCGTCCATCTCAGCTCCAATGGAATATGAGCCCCGCGCATGAGAGGTTGAGAATAGAGCCACGCAGCCACTGGGCGTCGCGTTTATGAGCAGCGGAATGTTTTTGTACAGAGGATCAGTGCGATAAACGTCGTATCCAAAACTGTCTGTTGCCGAAAGCTCAAACTTTCTCCCAGCCAAGTTCATTGGCGCTGCCTTTTCGCCCAGGCCAACGTACAGGGTATCTCTGTTGTAGCGCGAGTAATGGGCAATGCCTTCACCGTCGACAACGTATGAGCGATTTGGCAGATCTTCATGGAGAGGCCCGTTCTCGTGGCCTTCCAAAAAAACGGATACCAGGGGAGAGGATTCGGTCCAGTCAACTGTAACCGTAATTGGGCCGATTTTGATCTCCTTTTTGGTGCTGGTAGATGATGCTTTCACAGCGGCGTCTATTTGCTTTTCAGGCAGAGGCACGCTCGGATGAGGAGGCAGAGGATGCGTCTTGGACGTGAATGTCGTTCGAAATACATTGTGGTGTAGAGCATCGATTGTGAACTGGAACGGAAGCTGAGAATCTGTAGAATCAAGCTGCAGCAGCTTGCCTGAGCCAGCTGTGCTCTCGACCCATGTCGACGGGACACGCTCTTGTTGGGGCATCGTTACGATAGACAATAGCAGAGATCTTTGATAAAACAAATTGATGTATGAGAAAAGAATGAGAGGAGACAAAAACGAGTAGTATCTGCAAAGTCAAGGACGACGGGCTGGAAGCTGTTTATATGCTGGTGTTACACGTGTATGTATCTGGAGATTACTACTGGTAGTCCCTCTGATGTGGATCAAGCTGTATGGGAATAAAGGCCGATTTCGGTTCTTATTTCCTGCCTTCTTACAGCCTTCTTCATCCACCGATTATTAGCATACGTTTCAATACCTATATTCACTTTTCTTAGAATCCTCATTACGTGTAAGAAATGTATCAAGCGGGAAAACGTAAAAATGTCCGCTGAGGGGCAACTCAACCCGGAGAAAGCCTGGTCAATCCCGACGGACAAAACTCGCCAAGTCCGGCCAACCTATCAAGTAACACGAATCCTTCCCCGCATTCTACCCTCCCAGGACCCTTTGCTTCCCCCATGGGGTTGGGTGGCGCTTCAAACGGCTGATGCCTTTCCCTTTTCATGTAGTCTGGGGAAAGAAACGCGTGAGATGTGAGCATTTATAAATATCATAGAGCATGACCTTCAGCTGGAGCGGTGAAAGTATGAATGATTGCAGCCGCATCCGCACTCATAGGCTTCTATAACGTTGTACTGTATTGATCAGAAAGGGGCCATTACGATGGCTACTCAAAAGGACAACCCCGATATCATCCATCTCGAAACTCCACACACACAAGACGCCTCCAAGAACATCGCCAGCGAAATCACTCCTGTCCCCAAACCCACTAATCTCCCCGTCACAGGCAGAGACAAAGCTGCCCAGTTCCTCAAACAAGCCAACCACTCCGCCATCGTCGTCACCCCCAGCGAAAATGCCCGCATCCTCCGCAAGATCGACCTCCACATCCTCCCCATCGTCCTCTTCGTCTACTGCCTCCAGTCCCTAGACAAGACCACCCTCTCGTACGCCTCCGTCTTTGGCCTCATCGACGACACGCACCTCGAGGGCGAGCAGTTTTCATGGCTGGGCTCCGTGGTGTACGTCGCCCAGCTGGTCTTCCAGCCGCTGGTGGCGTACGCGCTGGTCAAGTTGCCAGTGGGCAAGTTTTGCGCAACAATGGTGTTTTGCTGGGGGGCGGTGCTGTGTGGGATGACGGCGGCAAAGAGCTTTGGGGGGTTGATGGCGGCGAGGCTGTTGTTGGGGGCGTTTGAGGCATCTGTTGGTAAGTCTGAAGATATGATGGTTTCTGATTGTTCTCGGACTAATATTTCGAATTAGCTCCGACGTTTATTGCTGTCGTGCAAATGTGGTACCGACGAAAGGAGCAGACAACCCGTAACGCATCTTGGTATGCTATGCTCGGAGTTGTCAATATGGTAAGATACGAATCTTCAAACTATTAGACTTTGAATCTTTTCTAACGAGGTACAGCTCGGAAGTCTTCTCACATACGGCCTCGGCCACATAAAATCAACTCTCCACCCATACCAAATCATCTTCCTCTTCTGCGGCTGCATCACCGTTGCCTTTTCAGTAGTCATGTAGTACGTTGATACAAACCTCCTCCCTACGTTTTCCTTTCTCACGCAAAGCTTACTTACACCCACACAGCTTCTTCATGCCTGATTCCCCAATGGAGGCCAAGTTCCTCAAAGAAGACGAAAAAGTCATTGCCATTGAGCGTCTCCGCATGAACCAAATGGGCATTGGCTCCGGCGTCTGGAAATGGGACCATGTCCGCGAAGCCATGCTCGATCCAAAGACGTGGCTCTGGTTCTGCCTCATGCTCACCATTTCGTAAGTCCCCCCAAACATCTACTCTCATGCTATCAACGCCACTAACAACTGTATTTCCAACAGCATCCCTAGTGGTGGCATTTCCACCTTTGGCCCTCTCATCATCCAGTCCTTCGGCTTCGACTCCTTCACCACGATCCTCTTCAACATCCCCTTTGGCGCCGTGCAGATGATTTCCACCCTCGGCGGCGCCTGGGTCTCGGACAAGATACACATGAAGTCCGCCGTCCTCCTGTTCCTCTGCCTCCCCCCCATCGCAGGCTGCGTCATCCTCCTCGTCACAGGCCGAGCGCCCTCCGACCGAGCCGTGCTCCTCGTCGGATACTACATCATCTCTGTATACCCCGGCATTTCTCCTCTCATCTACTCGTGGTCCGGGCAGAATACTGCTGGCGACACGAAGCGAAAAGTAACCACCGCCATGCTCTTCATCGGAGCGAGCGTCGGCAACATTATAGGTCCGCAGCTGTTCAAGCCTAATGAGAAGCCACGCTACGATCGCGGCCTACGATCAAACCTAGCACTTTTTGTGGTGCTGGCAGTTTTGATCGTCATAGGCATGCTTTGGATCAAGATCCTCAACAGACGACAAGCGGCGAGACGGCGAGAGCTGGGCAAGTCAGAAGTGATTCAAGATCTGAGCATGATGGATAGGAAGAAGGATGGCAGTGAGTATGCCGAGGAAGGTCTCAACATGGGAGATGAGAATGTTGGAGACAAGGCGTTTGAAGATGTGACGGATTTGCAGAATGAAGATTTCATCTATGTTTATTAATTTGCACTAATGAGTGGGTATATGTATATAAGAATGACTCCAATAATTTCCCAAGTTCTATATGACATGATGTGAGTGAATATGTGAATTACTTATGCAAGGTAGAAGATGGCTAAATGTCAAGGTTTAGAGAAGATTCTTTGTACCAATTTGAGCCACGTTGAAATTCCCAAGTGAATGTCAAGTTTTCGTATTTGCAAATAGGGGCAATGGAGGATCACTCTCATCACTGAGAGGTGTAATGGGACCGCTGTGCGACAGCAGCCCACGGCCACCATCTCCGCTGCTCATGTTGGCATCGCTGCTGGCCTTCCATTCTGCCATGGTCACGCCACGCCGAAAGTGGGATGTCAAGTGCTGGACTCTTTCGTCCCAGCTGTGCGTCTTGAGCTGGCAGAAACCGCAAACGCTCTCAAACTTGTCTTGCCGATGCTGCAAGAGATGGAGGTCAGGCTTCCAACCTTCCCACTTCCGGCAGCGGTGGAATTTGTGCAGATGCTGCCACAGGTGATCTTTGCGAGTAAAGGTTCGCTCGGACACGGGGCGTTCTGCACACGACTGAAACTCGTGAGATTGGACGTGTTCATCTGATGGCGACTTTTGCCCACAAAAGATGCATTCTGGCTCGCCATGGTTGACGCGCCAAACAAGTAATGACTGGTCTTTGGGGACAGGCACTTTGCAGATCCAGGAATCGAGACCAGGCAGGTGAATGGATCTCTCATGGCGGACCCAGTCGTACTTTTTCTTGAAGCCCTGGAGACAAAAGGTGCACTGAAACATGAGCGCTTTGCCTCGCTCTGCTGCCGCTCCTGTATGAACCGCGGTCGATGATGGGCCGGATATAAAATCGCCGCCATCGCCGCCATGGAGGGAGCTTTGTGCGGATAGGGAGAATATGCCTGCATCATCGGAATGATAAAAGGAGAAAGCGGACGAGCCTGAATTGGACGACGCCTCGTAGCCGTTGACGACGTTGTTGTGGTTGAAAATTGCAGACTCGCTGCTGGCCGAGGAAGGGGCGCCATCAGTGCCATAGTTGCCATCAGAGTTGTAATTGTGTGCGTTTCCGCCGTCAAGCTGACTATTGGAGATGGCCTTTTCGATATCTGAAGCCGAGACGGGTTCCTCGTTTGGGGGCGAATGTCTCCATCGTTCCATCGGAGACATGCCAGTCAGCAGCGTCTGGGGCATGGGAGATCCTTGCAGGAAGACTTTGGTACTGTTGTTCTGGTGCGACTGCGCAGTCAGCCGATGTCGACGTCTAGCATTGGCGAACCAATTAATAACCTGAGTCTTGCTCAGGCCGCTCTGCTCGGCAAGGACGGATTTTTCGTCTTCGGATGGGTACGGGTGCTCCTGATGCGTGGCGAACCAGTTCCTCAGCACGCGAGTCTTCTTGACGGACCGAGTGCTGTTTCTCTTGTACGAGACAATGGACGAAGAGCGAGTAGCAACCGGGCCAGCGCCTCGCTCGATTCGCCATTGTCTCGTCCCATCGACGGCAGTAGCACCGTCTCCCTCTTCGTTGACCCCATGTAGATGGCCAATGACGGGGAGTGTAGTCTCGTAAGCGGAGGCTTCTCTTTTGCCGCGCTCAGCAAGACTGCAGTCACGGTAGAGGGCCACGCAGGCGGAGCACGAGCTGATGGGATTTGGATTTGCAGACGTGGTTTGGAGGATGAGGCACTGGAGCCGCAGTCGTCGGCAGTAGTTGCAGGGAACGGGAGGGCGATGAGCGCCGTTTTTGATGAAGAACTCGTCGATGGCGTTGATGTGGAGGCTCTTGGCGATATCGTCCCCCTGCGATGTCTGTTGCAGCAGCTGGTGCGTATCAGCTCCCTGCTGGCCGGATCCCCAGAAGCCGTCGGTGACGCTATTCACAGTGTCTTCAACGGCAAACTGCAGCGGTGCGGTGCCGTCAAAGGGAGAGCTGGAGCCATCGCCGAGGAGGAGCCCATGGCCATGGCCGGGGCCGATTGCGGGACCGAGCTCATACTGGTAGTCGGCGGGGAATCCGGGGCCTCTCCCGACAGGGCTGTAGGGGCTGCCGGCGTAGGGATCGGAGACGGCGAAGAAGGAGGGCCCAAACTGGTCCATGGACTCGGCCGTCTGCAGCTGGCGCGGGTGCTGGGCTGAGGCCTGTGGTGGATGCTGCTGAAGCTGAAGCTGATGCTGATGCTGGAACGGCAGCGGCTCCGAGTCTGGCTGGAGCGGCAAGGCGGCGTGAGGCTGAGGCTGGGGCTGGGGCTGGAAATGAGGCTGGAGATGAGGCTGGTGAAAGGCGTCCATCGGCGCGACATTGCCGGCGTTACTCCGGCCTCCGATCTCGTCGGCCGCAAAAACCAGCACGCCATCGTCCACGCCAAAATCCATCTCGCTGCCCACAGCCAGCGCACTCTCGGAATTTGCAGCAGTTGCTGGCCCCAGATCAGCGCACAGTGCTCCGTCAGCGCCCTTGACTCGCCTCCTCGATGTCTCACGACGGCAAACGCGCCTTGGGTCTGCGGCGAGTCGATGCGTCAATTGCGCTTACACGATGGCGAATCCGCGTCGGTCGACGCAGCTGCTGCCCTTGCAGGATCTGGAACAGGCTCTGCAACAGGCTCTCGTGCCACGGCCAGCGCCCAATCGCCACGCCGGGACATGGATCGACGGCCAGCTTCACAGCGCCTTTGGTGCGCCAGCAGCACGGCGTCAGGCGGTGTCTCGGCGCTTCGGTGCGGGCCCTTCTGGAGCTGCTGTTGGGGTCTCCGTTTGGGGGTCCTTTTTTTCTCTCTCGTCTGTCCGAGCACAGAACTGCGGTTGGCGCGTGGAGAAGGCGCACGCTTGGAGGGTGAAGAATGCCCAATGGCTCAGGCTGGGTCGTAGCAGGAGGGCGCTTTTTGGCAGATGCAGCGCTCGGGGTACATTCTGCTATGTAAGTAAGCGGGGGTCCAGCACGTGCGCCCTCTGATATAGGCCCATATGCCCATCTGTAGTGCGACTATTGCGATATGGACTGTACGACTCGCCGTACTATCGGCGCCTTCTATCAACAGCTAATTGGGGCAGATTTGTAACATCAGTGTAGATGGCCTAGATGCTACGTACAACCTCTATTCTTCGTCCGTCTTTTCGAGCTCTGGCATTTATTGAATACTAATCCATATGGCGACATGATGACTGAGCATGATGAATAACACATTGCGCTGCGAGAGCATGCGCCTACAAGATACATGCACGCCTTCTTCTACATGCTCTGCTACGTCAAAAGTACAGACACGGTGGTTGAAATCAACCGCAACAGCGCCCTCCAAAAACAAAATAAGACTAAGGAGATGGAGGCAATTTCAATTTCCAATCAAGACATCTCAAGAGATTCCATACGAGCTGCGTATTGTTTGTTTGGTACAGAATTAGTCAGCTACTGTCCAGATTCAAGCTGAGAGGGCGCTCTGCAGCATCGTGCATGTATCAACACGAAATCGAGAGGCCTCAAGCGTGCTCCGTATCAGTGCATTATAGCGTCCATCTTACAGCGCCTTACAGTGGGCATATCCAAGGAAAAGCGCCTTCTGCCGCAGCCAAAGAGGGGCAGCCCAAGATTATCAGCGCATATGCACAGTACATGTACCCGGTACATGATGCAGATGATGAGGCATAGACCCGCCCAAAGAGGAAAGAATCACAGCAGCATCAGCAAACAACAGGAGGAGAAACAAGGCCAGGAGGAGAAGCAAAAATCGACCAATGCACCGGATGCTTTCCCGCCCGCTCACAGCGTCTCCAGCACTTACCGTCTTGGGCGAATCTTGCAGATTTGCGTGGTGGCTGGCATCAAACCGGCCGCTCATTGGCTTCGCACCAAGCCTCGCACCAAAAGCTTCTTGGATAGAAGCAGAGGCCAGCGCAAAAAATAGTCCGGGTATTGGCTATGGAGATGGGATGCAAATGGAGATTGGCTTTCTGCGCCATACATGCCCCTAGAGATCGCTCCAGGGATGGCAAACCACACAAACCGGCGAGTCAAGCACGATAGGACCTACTATATGCCTACAAGTTAAAAGGGAGGCGGCTCCCCTCGGCCTCTTCTCCCCATCCGCTAATCAGCTTCTCTTTCGTTGCTTTTTCTATTACCCTGTTTCGAATTGCACGCCATCATCACATCATCTCCCTCTTCATTCCTACCTCTCCCTCGCTCTCTTTCTCCCTTTGGAAATCGTACCACTCTCACTCTCTGCATCAGCCATGACTCGTGCTGAACGCCGTCCCGTCTTCTTCAATCCCGCTGCCAAATCATGGACGGCACCGGTGACGGATTCCCCAGATCTGGCCTATCAATTCCACCAGCAGCTGCCGCAATATAAGCCAACCAAGCTAATTTCTCTTGAGGACCTGGCCAAGGAACTCGGCGTCCGTGCCATCCACCTCAAGGACGAGACTTGCAGACTTGGACTCCCTTCCTTCAAGATCCTGGGAGCTTCATGGGGCACATTTCGAGCCATCGCCCAGAAACTCAACCTTCCTCTAGACTCCCCCCTGGACTCCGTGAAACAAGCTCTGTCAACCACCAGCGTCTCCTTATACGCAGCCACCGATGGAAACCATGGACGGGCTGTGGCTCGCATGGCGTCCATCCTGGGTGTCCCGGCCCAGATCCACGTACCCGGGTGCATGCACAAGGCTACCATTGAGCTGATCAAGTCAGAAGGCGCTCGCGTTGTCGTTTCGGATAGCTTCTACGATAAAGCTGTTGTTGATGCACGCGAGGCAGCTGCGCAAGATGGCACCGCCATCGTTATTCAGGACTATGCCTCGGGGGACTATGTTCAGATTCCGCAGGCAAGTATACCAGTTTTTAAATATGAAACCCGCTCTAACATCTGTTAGTGGATTGTTGACGGCTACCGCACCATGATGCTGGAAATTGATAGCCAGCTGGGAGCTACTACCCCTGACCTCGTCGTGGTCCCGGTGGGAGTTGGTTCTTTTGCCCAGGCCGTTGTCATGCACTATAAACAGGGGAAACAGACCGCAGTTTTGGCAGTCGAGCCAGATACATCAGCTAGCCTCTGGAAGAGTCTCACGCACGGAGACTCCTTAACGATATCGGAAAAAGCGCCTAGTATCATGTCCGGTCTGGATTGCGGGACTCCTTCATCGATTTCCTGGTCAGTTCTTCGGCACGGAGTCGATGCCAGCCTCTCTATTTCGGACTTTGAAGCTCATCAAGCCTGCGGATATTTGGCTTCTCAAAACATACCCGTTGGGCCTTGTGGTGCTGCCCCTGTTGCCGCTTTGAGGAGACTGGAGACCTCTGACAGAGAGAAACTGGGCCTCACCAAGGACTCGGTTATCGTTATCCTTTGCACAGAAGGTGTGAGAGATTATGCTATCCCGCATAACGTGGCAAGCAATGACCCTATAGAGTTGACGCAAACCTTGGTCAGGATTAACTCGGCCAGCCCCTCCTTAGGATCTATCCCTGGCCCTGGAGAGACAGCAATCGCCCGCTACATTACCGCCTGGATGGAGCATCGGGACATTGAGACCCACTGGATCGAGCCAACACCGGGGCGACCTTCTGTGGTGGGCGTCGTTCGAGGATCTGGCGGCGGTAAGAGTCTGATGCTCAACGGCCACACTGACACCGTAACCATCACGGAGTATGAAGGCGATCCCCTCAGCGGCGAGATCCGAGATGGCAAGCTCTATGGCCGTGGAGCTGCCGATATGAAGTGTGGTGTTGCGGCCGCAATGGTCTCACTCGCCAATGCGAAGAATCAAGGCTTAAAGGGAGACGTCATCTTTGCGGGAGTAGCAGACGAGGAGTTTGCTAGTATCGGCACGCAGCAGGTGTTGGAGGCAGGCTGGACCGCTGATGCTGCTCTCGTCAATGAGCCGACCGGCTTGGAAATCTTGTACGCGCACAAAGGTTTCGTCTGGTTTGAAATCGACATCCATGGCCTTGCCTCTCATGGATCGAGATATGACCTTGGCATCGACGCCATCTGTAAAGCAGGATACTTCCTCGTTGAGCTGGATAAGCATGCAGCTCATCTTACGCAGCAGGCCGGCGATCCCATTCTCGGACCGGGAAGTATACATGCCTCCATCATCAAGGGCGGGGAGGAGATCTCATCCTACCCCTCCTTTACGCAAGTTCAGCTCGAACGGCGAATTATCCCCGGCGAAACGAAAGAGTCTGTTGAAAAGCAACTGCGAGAAATTCTCGACGGCCTGGTTGAAAGAATTCCCAACTTCAAATACGACATTCGGGCAACCTTTGAACGCTCACCGTTCAAAGCCTCTCTCGACCATCCATTCACCAAACTCGTTTGCAAACATGTCACAAACACCCTGGGCGAAGAGGCAGTGGTCATTGGAACTCCACACTGGACTGATTGTGCGTTGTTGGCTGATCACGGTATTCCCGTGCTGCTTTGGGGGCCCAAGGGCGTTGGACTACACGGAAAGTTGGAATATGTTGAAGTTGACTCGATAAAACAGGTTGCAGATACACTGACGGCAATTGCGGCAGAGTTCTGCAGCTAAAGTATCAAGTAAATAAAAACGTAAAATATTAATATATAGATCATCTGCATCATTGCAATTTTAACATTCATGTTTTAAACAGATGCACATTGAGCCTACTGCTCACTAAACTTCTTCCCAGTCACCAACTCAATCCATTCCCCTAAACGTATTCCTTAGCTTCAGCTGTCATCGCCTCGGCCTTTTCTGACGGAATCGTTGTTGTCAGACCCAGAGAGGCCGCAATTTGGAACAACCTTTCCTTTTCTTGTGTAGCAGCATCGTCACCAAACACGCGATCCATGTCCTCCAAGCTTCGTCCTTTGGTCTCGGGCACGCAAAAGTACGTAAACACCAGACCGATCAAGCAAAAGGCCGCAAAGAAGATGTAAGTGCCCCATTTGAGGGTTTCGAGCATATCGGGCGTCACCAAGCCGATGATGAAGTTGCACATCCATGTCGCGCTGGTGGTGATGGCCATGGCCTTGGATCGACTGCCCAGGTTGAAGATTTCCGACGGGTAAACCCATCCGATGGGGGCGAACGAGTATGAGAAGTTGATGTCGTAGATGTAGATGAAGGCGATGCCAACCCATCCAGCCGACGGATGATCGGCGAGAGCAGAGCCGTATTTGCCGACGATGGAACCGACGATGATGAGCGAGATGAATGTGCCCGTGGCACCGCACATGAGCAATGGCCGTCTTCCGACTCGATCGATGAGGAAGAGGGCAGGCAGGGTGCTCAAAGTATTTACAATGCCGTATACACCGGTTGCGAGAAGAGAGGTGGTGTTTCCCGAGAGTCCCAGCTGTGCAAAGATGGTCGGGGCATAGTAGATCAGGGCGTTGCATCCCTGGAATTGCTGCAAGAACATGATGGCGCTGCCGATAAAGACACGCTTGAAGCTGGGCCAGCTGGACAGTAGACCGTAGTATTCAGCAAAGTAGAGGCTGACACCGCTCTTGCCAGGGTACTTTGCCTTGGAATGAGCTTCATCGAACAGGACTTCAGCCTTGATGGAGAGATACTCGTCTCTCAGCGACTCGGAATCGGGATGAACGCGGCGGAGACGAGCCAACGAGCGAAGAGCTGCTTCTTCATTCTTTCGCATGAGATGGAAACGAGGCGACTCTGGATAAAAGATCATGCCGATGCCGAGAACGAGGGCCGGGACAATCTGCAGGGCGAATGGGATTCTCCAGGCGGCCTGGCTCTGCCCAGTGCAGCCATTGGGGCCGACGTCGTGGGCGGGATCGAAAGTCGGCTTATCAGACGTGCCTCCTGTGTACGGGATATCGGGGGCGCAACGGGTGCCGCCGATGTACTGGGTGCCGTATTCGAGCCAGTAGCTGACGAGGATACCGAGAGTAATGCTCACTATAGGAGATTTGATGTTTAGTAAGATGGTTGTGTGAGCTGGGCACACTGCAGATTATGACTTACACTGCTGCAGCACCACGAGGGTTCCTCGAATGCCTGCGGTAGAGACCTCGGACATGTACATGGGGACAATCATCGTGAGCATACCAACAGCCAGACCGGCAACAGCTCGTCCTATTCAAGTGTTACCAATCACAACCTTGAGCGAAGAAAGCAACGAGTTTTTGAGACTTACCACCAAACAGCATACCAATGGTACTTGCGCCAGCTTGCAGAGAGGATCCAAGAAGGAAGACGACGACAGCAGCCAGCATCGAGCCCTTTCTGCCAAAGCGGTCCGCAATCGGTCCATTCGCCAACGAGCCAAACCATGCCGTCAGGAGCAGCGTAGAGACGAACCAGCCCTTGAAACCGCTGTCGAGATAGATTCTGGGGAAGAGTGCGCCAAAGTTTTCCATCCCCAGGACGCCTGAGACGACGCCCTGGTCATATCCAAAGAGAAAGCCACCAAGAGATGCAAACTAGAACGCGTGTTAGCGGATGTTGCCATCGTTCCTTTCAAAATGTTTCCAACTTACGGCTGAAAGGCCAAATACATAGGGATTATCGCGAAGTTGGCGAAACACGCCCTTTGTGGGCTGCAACGCAGCACCGTCTGCTGGATTTGACGACATCGTGAGTCTTGTTTCTCGTAATGTGCTGCAGAAAAATCCGTCAAGAATACCCCAGGAAGAAACACTTTTAAGACATGTCGTTCAGAACCCGCAAACCGCAGTGGATCGGCAGACCTTTATACCTGATCCTCTTCCCCAGCTCCTTGTTGCCCTTCTTCCTTGCTACGATTCCATAATAACGGGTCTCCCCAACTTTGACCGCACTCAGGGTGACAGTCGCCCTGGGACCCGGCACTCGCTCTCCGCATTTTCCCCCTCCTTTTCCTTGTGCAAGGCTACCAAAAGCCTAGCCGTGAAGCTATTTCGTCGCGCCGACAAGCGCCTTAGCCCCAGCCCAAACAACATTCTATGTGGGGGAAGATCGTCATCGCGCCCAATGAGTGGCTTTAACATGGGGATACCGCCGGAGAAGCGTCTTACGCATCAGAACTGTAGCGCACGCTATTACTCGAGGACCGCGTAAAGACGGATGCCCGCCCTTTTCACTGTACAACTACTAGCTGCTTTTCCTTATTGCAAAGGGCTCACATGTGCCCTATGTGGGGGCTGGTCTCAGGCGATTCAAGTCAAGGAATCGGAAGTTGCACGAGCGTTTGTTTCTCCACATTGATGGCCACGGCAGTGGGGTTTTAGTGCCCGCCATAAGCAAGGATCCAAGTTTGCCGTCACCAAGAGAGAGAGAGAAGCGCTCAAGTGACGTGAGGGTCACAGCCATGCGGTGGACTCTTGGTTCGGTTGTTTTACGGTTGATGCACACGAGTCATGGGGGCGGGTTTTCCCCTCTATTTGGGCAGACGAAAACGTGCATGATTCCAACCAGGAAATGATGGACTTTTCTCCGAGAAGCAGCCAGGAACGGACTGCCCTAGTGATGATAATGTTGGGGAAATTGCGGAGAAGAAAGACGTGCGTTTCCCCGATTTGGGATCTTGGCTTGTGCGCAGGCAAGTTTGGCCGCAACACGATCTTGAGAGTATCAAGGTGCCATGCTGGCTGGAGGCATGGGCATGAAGAAGATGTAAATAAATGAGAGAAGAATGTGATGGATTTCGATCCAGGGATATAGGTTTATAAGAGGATATATTGAAAGATGCATGCAGAGATGACAAAGGCTTGAAATTGGCTACAAATGTAGAATTGGACAAGCAATCGTCATTTCCGATGGAGAAGTGCCGACCAATTTTGACCAGTGTTGGTATCTGCCGGTTCCTATGTTCACAACCACCCTCTCCAACGGTGCCGATGATAGATGTAGACAATTTATGCCAAATATAGCCAGCTACTCGAAAACGCCAACTGTGTAGTCTAAGACACAGGCTTTCTCAATAGTAGGCCCGTTGTTCGTCTTGAATGCTTCATGTATAGGATCCTTATCAACATAATAATCTCTGTCTTCGACAGACGCGAATTCGACAACAAAGGCGTGTGTAAAACCGTTCTAAAGACCACATTAGCTAAAGCTCCGCGCAACCTTAAAGTCTACCACTCACTTGAAGATTCTCAGGCGAATTATTTATGCCGCCCGTCAAAGCCTTGATATAAGTCGTCTGCGTCGTCGGATGCAAGCAACCGCTCTTTAAAGCCAACATTTCTGAGACAGCCTATGAAAAGAATTCTTGGGTTAGCGACCGTGATAAACGCTAATGACTCGCGAATACGCACATTTTGAACAGCTTCGGCGGTGGCGGAAGATTTGTATTTGAACAGAACAATGTGAATGACGCTCATTTTGTGTGTTTGGACGGATATAGGCTCTTGACGGTGATTGAATTGTGATGTTCGGCTTGTGAGATTCTCGAGAGGCGCAAGCACGGACTGAGGAGTAGTGAAAGTTGCGGGGCAGGATTAGGTAAATGACGAGTTAGTCGGAAGCTGTGTTACTATGTTCTATAAGAAAAAGAATTTCCACTCCTTTTCAACAAACTAGAATTAACTTTGGTGTTTATGAATGGACAGGTGCTTGTATACCTGTAAGGGTTATATAAACAATTACATACAACTTCCTCTCAGCTTTACTGCAACAAGCAAAATTGAAGTCACTGTAGAAGAATTCAATTTAAACCGTAGTGGCCCGTGCGCCAGTGTTTTTCCACCAAGATTTTGGTAAGAAAATGTTACAAAGTAAAATAGTAACAATTTCTAGGATAACTTTATCTAATTCAGATCGTAAGGTTATTTATAATTATATGATTTCTCAACTGCCTTTGGTGGAGTTTCAAGAATTGTTGTCCAAGGAGCATTTCGCAAAGTCTATATGAGCAAAGGCGTAATGTTGAGTCTAGGTTATTATTGGATTGGTATTAATCCTCATCTATGCGATCTGCTTTAAGTAGATCAATGTATTCTAAAATCGGCCCAAGGTATCACAAATCACGCTCTATCACGACGCCACACTCTATCACGACGCCACTCTCTCATAAGACTGACTCCCATTTGTATACCTCATAAGCCCGGCTGTATCGGTTCCATCTGGATATCGCTAAATGACTCCCAAAAATTAAAGCAAGACGACTCGTCCAACAATGCGGTCAGAATGTCATCGTTGATCAAAGGCACCATCATCGCATCGTTCGAAAAAGACGCGCGGGGTTGAGAAAAATCCGTCGAGTTTGAATCGCTCATCGTTGAGCTGGCAGAATAGTTTGGGTGTAGTTGTCGGATCGCTTCTAAGAAAACGCCTCGGTAAACAGAAGCTGATGTATACATCTCTTCCAACTCTTCCATGACCATCATGCAGAGCTCAAGCTTATTAAGGCTAAGACGCCGAGATAGTGCATCTTCAGATTTGCAGTTGAGGAGATGCACATGCATGGCCGATACTAGAAGCGGAGCACTACCAAAGGTTAGCTGTTATGGAGGCAATTCAAGTGAATGAGATGGATACTCACGTCATAGGGCTGGAAAACGGGAGAAGCTTGTCCCGTACAATATTGTCGACGACAGCGTTTGAGCGTAGAGCTGCAGAGTCCATTTTACTCCGTATTTCAGCTTGCCATGTTTCCTTATTCTCAAGAGGCAAGTCTGATGGAGCGTTGGCAATGAAAGGGCAATAGAGAGTAATTAAAACGGCGCTGCGCCATGTAAGCAAATAGCATCGTGGCAGTAGTACAGGGAAGGAGGCTCACTAATAGTTCATCTGTAGATGGTATAGATAGAACGATGAGAGACGGCTCTGTGTTTTCCCATGTCTCTCTGGAATGTAAAACTGCAATATCTCTTCTTCGAGAGATTGTATCTGTTGAAGCATGGGACTAGGGCCGAAAGGCTGATAACATAAAGTGAGAACATCACCCAACAGCTTGTTTAGCTGGATTAAGAGAACCCAATACTCAGCTAGCTGAGGCAAGTCATCCGGGATATATGCCTTGGCGACTGAATGTGGTATTTGGCCTATATCACTGATGACATCGGCCGCTGAAGCCATCGGCATATTGCAGTCGTTCAGGTTGATTCTCAGTGGTCGCCCAAGTGTGAGGCTTAGTGATCGATCTCGGAAGAAACAACACCACCAGAGACGGCGCCAGAGACGGCGCCGATGGCTAGGGAAAGAGGTATTGAACTTGAACGAGTCTGGATCTCGATGTAAGCCCAAGATTTGGGCGAGGCTAATGGCGACGCCGGTCCAATACCACGGCTGTGAGTGTCCATCCCGATTCGAATGCCAGAACCCCATGAGGAGAGCTGACTGTAGTAGAACTACTTTATCCGTCTCGCCACCATTGTCGTACATGCACTGTAATGCAAATATGTTTAGCGCCATTATCAATGGAATAGGGCCGCAAGTGTCAGATGATGATGGTCTACCTTTGCACGCGAATACATGGCCAGTTTCATCTCATTGCGCGATGAGTAGCCCTCATGGGTCCACACATTGGCCTCAACAAACTGTGAGCCATGATTAAGAAATGAACGTTGTATAAGGAACATTATCAGGTTACATGTACTTACATTTGCTGCGACGAAGAACATACTCCATAGTAACAGCAAGTTCCACTCACTGGCCTTGCCCGTTTGATGCAATTTGAGGAGCACCGAGGCATCGACAACTGGCATGATTGGGTGTACATGATGGAAATATGCGCGTAAGAGTTCATTGCATGTACTCTTTTGAGGTAGAGTGAAGACCCCCTTGTATCGGAGATACTCGCGGTCCTCGTCCGATAATGAGATGGGCACTTCAGATATCAGAATATGTCGTGCAGCAGGCTGCTGTGACGGCGAACACGCATCTAGAATAGACGTGAACCCTGGGGCTTCCCCTAATTCAAGCATAAGTATAATCAACTGATAAGGTTGCAGCATCATGGCATACCTGTATAAAACGGAGCCCCGGCAATCTGGTTATTTTGGCCTAATGCCGCGGAAGATATCTCAGTTCCGGCACGCTGCTCGTCCTGATTGCCGCGCAATTCAGTGCCGGAGCGAGAGCTTCGGGCGTCTCCAGCTCTCTTGGACCCATCATTGGGAGAGGCATAACTTGCAGCCGAGCTGAGCCCCTGGTCCACAGAAGCCGGAGATAGTGGTTGCAGCGCCCTCCTGGCTTCGGCCGCTGGAAGACCTAGATCGAGCTCAAGAGGCCCATGAAAGGAGTCATGTTGACCAAATGTCTCCTTTGGCTGCTGCCGTCTAGAATCGTGTAAAACAACATCAGCAAGAGTCTTTCCGAAAGCAGGCTCCACATGCCGAATCTCACTTGAGGCCTTGAGTCTGATGGACAATGCAGTCGATGCTGTCTTGGGTGCAGCCGACACACGGGATGCCGGTTACTGAGACGCTGCAGCGCACCTTGCGGCGGCGACAGTTCTGGCAAGCAAATGCCGAGCGATGGCGGCGAGGAGTAGACATGGCGATATAGCCAGTTAGATCAAGGAAAGGCGAGTACATCGTATAAGACAGGCCACCAGGCGCTTTTTACTCGGATCGCTTGGATTCTGGTTCCGAGGTTCTCGGGAAAGATCACGTGATTTACCGAGCTTTATATCCAGTGTACATGTAAGTATCCACGACCCTACCGAGGCAAAAGGAAACCGACTGGAGCTGGCGGGCTGCAGGCCTGTTTATAGCCTTGGAGCTGGAATATGACAAAGGGGGTTTCTGGCTGTGGTAGACAAGTTCTATGGATACCTTCCATATTGAGAACTAAGCTTCGCCCTGCTTCAGGGGGACAAGAGTCCAATTGTGAAAATCCGTCAGATGTGACTAACACTGACCAAGATGTTGCATGGACTATCAAACTGTAAGATTCTCTTGAACCATTATACAATTATGGTAAGGCTTTAATCTTGGTCTTGGCATTAAAAGAAGAGGTATAACGGATATGTTGGTAAACCAAAACGATGCCCGACTTGGCTCCATTGCCCCTTGTATCGGAATTTTCGACTATGGGTTTCGCAATTGGCCATAAATGGCCTCACACGAGTTCGTAAACCGCCAAATATACCCTGTTCCAATTAACTCTTTTTTTCGGGTTATGCAACATGAGTCAATATCCTGTGGCTCTTTGATTTAATGCCTCACTGGTACGTCTAGCCATGTTTTTGCTGCTTCAATGGTATAGGCCGCCACTTGATCAACGCCGTACTCCATTTATATCTCTCAGTGTCTTAGGTTGGGTTTCAGTGTCATTAAATATTCTTCTAATAAAACTTTGCTGTCTATACAGTCTCTATCTCAATATGATGCCCCAACAGAGCCCTGTGTTACCTCCCCCATTATGATTTCACTAGGGTCATCCAGATCACATAATATGAAATAGAATCGACGGAGATAAGTTCCTCGTCTTCCTATCGCCTGAACTATGTAAGCTCACTACTAGTAGGTACGTAACGTTATCATTGGACGTTAAAGAGCCTAAGCGAAGCGTGACGCTAGTAAGCAATGGCAAAGTTCCCAATGCTGCCCACTCCCTAGTCACGTTTATTCAGGCAATATAAGATACCTTCTGGAAGCTGTTACGTTTATGGCTGCGCAACATACAATCACAAGTGTGAAAATCAATGGAGAGCTTGTTGTTAGAAAGCGAGAAAATTGAACCCTGACGAATGTATCATTCAAAAACACAATTTCGCAAGTTCAACGCTATTATGGAAATATCTTCGCCTGAACCCCTCCAGAACTACAGTAATAGTAAGAGATCACTAATCTTAGCTAGTTTGATCTCTCTCGAATAAAGCCAGAGATATTATAATCACGGGCCTTCTTTGTGGTTAATCTCAACAATTGCAACACCACCTCGCGTCTAGCTAGTTCTAGTGCTGATCGGAAAGAAAGCCGGCGCTATACCATGAGATCAGATACGCGTTCAGCAACTAATACAAAGTGAAAGATCTCCGGTCGGACGCCGGAGCAATGAACTTCGAGTCGTCTCATAGCTAGTGGATAGCATGACCCATGCCACAGAGGAAATATGCTTAGACCGCGGAAGATACTACAACCTAGGACACTTGTTCAAATGCAGTGCGCCCTGGTTATATGGAAATGCTGCAGCTGGATTACTTGTAAGAGGTTAGCACTCCGTGAGCTAAGCGATCATTTGCAAGCTCACGATGTACAGCCTATATTATACGTATATACGAGCCGTGCATAGATACGGATTGTCGGGAGATTAGAGCTTTCTAAATTTAGCATGCAGTCCACTTGCCGGCTCCAGAAGACATGGAAACTAAGTCTCACTGAAGCCTTGATGCCTTGATTAAACAATTACAGCAATCCACCAGGATGATATCATAATATTTGTTAGTCTTGCATTGCTCTGTAAAACATAGTGGCGTTGAACGTATTTACGTGAGCATATGTACATTTAAGCTTATAGATCTAGCTTTTCCCTCATATACATATGATGTGCATGGAATGAAAAATAAACTTGTTCACTCAAAAGCCTCTTTATGTGAGAAAAGGGAAGACTGGTAAACAGTCTATTTCACCCTGTCATCTGCTCCCATACCTTGACTATGGACATCTGTTACCTATTCTTAGCGTCCACAACGAGTGATGGTTGCACGATTGGACCAATCTGTTACCCAGTATGGCTCAGTGCGAACTGCTATCAACCATATGCGTACATTTTCCATAACCTAGGCTTGTGGATAGTTGGGCTGTGTGCGACCTTTGGAAATCAGTCGTCACCTACAGAGGACATTGTCAGCGATGATCAATTGATTTCCGAGGAGCTGGGTGAACAGCACTTTGCCAATTCTGACAAAGTTCAATCCTCAAAAATATCTTAGCGAAGCTATACACAGACACGAAAATGACCGACTATTGGCCCATCTGCCGTTATTTGGCTACCGTGCATCGCGGCCTAGCATCTGCCAAGACATACGACCAGATCGGGCGTAATACTCGCGGCCGACGCGAAGCGATGTAAGAAAAGGCAGGGAGTTCCTCGAGGTGGGTACTCTTGGCACAGAGACACAAATAAAGAGGCTGTGCCATGTATTACTCCACCGTTGAGGCATCTACTACTAATATTTGAGAAGCCATCTACTAATACTCGAGGGCATCTCGGATGACTGTATTACCAGTGAACTCCGATGGCCATTTCTGCCAGATGACTATGTCTGATTTATTTGATGCTGCTAAACGCAGTCCCTATATTTGTCTCGGGCAGCACGGGCTGATGGTGCTTACATTCAACGCAAGGGAATATTTCCAGTTGGTCTGACAACGTACATAAAGTAGCAGCATCAATATCTTTTAGTCATCTTCATTATGCATTTATTATCTACAAACATTGAGCTATTTGACAGTATATCACAATCCGGCATCATGTCTGATAATCCATCCACTGAGCCGCCTATTGGCCCGAGATGCGCTGCTTTTCGGCAATAGATGCTCACGGTAGATTAGAGACTCCCTGCTACCGTGGAGCAGTTGCGCATGGCTGGCCGCCTCCTCTACGGGGAAGAATCGTTGTTCAAACTCTACGGCCTCTCCATCGAAGAGCTGGTGGCGCGCAATCTCATCATTTCGCCGCGGACCACGACAGGATGCATGATTGACGCCCATATTAAATGCCTTCTTCGCGGCGTTACCGACATTTTAGGACCAGACAATGAATCCTCCGGATTTGATGGTGCCCTCTCCCGCTGTATATAATCCCTTCTGCAGCTCTAGCAACATATCCTACCATATCGGCCAGCATCTCAGCCGCCTGATCTGGATCCGGGCGTCTACAAGTCCACGAAGCATAATCTTGCATTGCTTGGAGTATCCTCTCAGGCTACTAGTGCAGGATTCAGCTTTACTCTGTCGTTGACCGATTACTGCAATCTCCTCGCCTCACGGTCGCTTATGAATCACCCGAGTGATCTATACATTATTAAGCTACCTTGGGGATCGGCAGCATCGCCTGAGCGACTTGACCTGACCAAGACTTGCCCTCCGGTTCAGGAGATTATGGCTGAGATTAAGCATCAACGTGCGGGAGTGCCGTGCTATTTTGCTCTTCAAGCGCTGCGAAACATTATTAACAACTCTTTGGAGGTAGCAATGGCTAGAGCAACGCCGGTTCAAGTCATTCAATGCTCGCCAGTGTATGGCTATGGAGTTGACTTTCATATATATCGGCTTGAGTGCAATGGAAGATATCCTATTTCCGACCATGCCGAACCTCGAATCTTCTTTTGCTTTAATTTGAACTACGAGAGCAGTTTTGGAGGCGGTTCTCACCGTGATCAGTACGGTGTTTATTTTCAAGTTGGGTGGGACTAGTTGGGGCAGTGCCATATCTAGATATGAAATGGTTATTCAGCGTGAAACAAACAATATATCTATTTGACCAAATGGCCATATTTATTTCCTATTACCTGATTTACTTTGTAACATAGTGCTCAGTAACATTTCTCGTGATATACAGCAAGTCTTCCCTTCCATATTCACCTATATAGAAATTCATCCTTCACTATCAGTGGCTACACACCACCCACCGTCTGCCTACCCAAAGAGGAGCAAATCGAATCCAAATTCAACTTGATCTGGGCCGCGTACTTCTCCATCAGGTTTCGCGCGAAAACACTGGTGTGGTAATCGCAACGCAATCGTAACTGGCCCCGAAATGTATTTATAGAGATCCAGGGATTTGCGCCAGTCGAACGGCCAGCAATGTGATAGCCATGGGTCTTTATGACATGTTCTCTAGACCTGAATTCAGGCTCCATGTGGATAATGCCCTGAGAGCTCACACTGACACTGAAGGATGCCGCCGTACGGTTATCTCTAGGCGCAGCCATCATCGCAGCCAGCCTCGGCTTGACCACATAGTCGATTGCTGCTATATAATGTGGCGATTCCAGGTACGGCTGCAACTCGGTCTTGATGCGCCGACCAACTTCCAGTACGACCTCGCGTGTTGGTTCGCCTTGTAGCCAATGCTGCGCAAACGGGACCCAGAGAGGAACAGAGTCGATGGCGAGAGGAGCCAGGCTGGTGTCGATCCATCGCCGGGCATGACGGGAGATGGCAAGAGTGGCGCCAGCATTGCCGTTGCGTCCATATAGTTGCTGTATGGCAAGCGTTGCTGCTGCGGAGACGGCGTATGTTATACTGAGGTTCTCACGACGGAACTCATCTAACAGATCCTGGGTCTGCTGGACAGACAATTCTAAGCGCCAGCAAGTCGCCTCGCCTTTATCGCCACCATATTGCTCAAAAGGCAGATGGATGGCTTCGGGCATCTGTGTTTCGAGTTAGATCGGCACGGTTGAAAAGGCGGCGAAGAGAAAGAAACTGTCAGACAAACCTTGGAGCGAGCCAAATGTGAGCTGGTGAGGATTTCCTTGAGCCCCTGCTGTCGCTGCTCTTCAGTTGGCTTTAGCTGTGCCTCGTATGCACTGGCGATGGGTACTGGAAGCCGATCAAACACGTTGGAGTAGTCGAGGCTATCCATGCTCGGCTTACCGCTACGGCCCGCTACTACTTTTCTAAACAACTTGTCAAAAAGCTGCTGCCTACTAAATGCGTCGATAATGACATGGCTGCTATGCCATAGCAGCGCGTAATGAGAAGCATTTCCAGAGTCTGTCTTTGAGGCTACGACAAGATACAGCTTAGATCGACGGCCCCGAGTCGCCAGGGGTTTCTGGCAAAGAGCGTGCTGCAAGTCGGCGGCGCTCTTATCTCTCACCACGCTGAACGTGTCTTGCAGCCACTCTTGGGCATTAGCCTCAGAGCGAAGCATGGTATATGTCATTGAAGACACCTCTGATACCTCTGCTTCATGATTCGGATCCGAAATGGCAACAGCCACGTGTGGCATGGACGCATGGCAGCTGAGCCAGGCGTTGCGGACGCGCTCGACCAGCTCTGCCTCAACAATGTTTGTGTCGAAAGTAACGAATACAGGCATTTGTCCTGTTCCATCGGCGACGACCTCAAAAAGCGAGAAGAATGATTCGGCAGAGAAGCACTGACGGGTCCAGCTCGATGAATCAAGCTGGCGCCATGGCTGGAGCGGCGTCGCAGTAAGAGCAGTGTTGACGAGGTCGGACATTTTTCTATAATGAAATTTGCATAAAAGCTTCTTCAAGTCAGCTATGTGCTGTCGGGGAAAGATTTCCATTACTTATGAGAAATTTAGGATATGAGACGGTTAAAATACAGGCAATCATGCGCCGGAGACAAAGGTAGGACGAGGAGCATTGTCATACACGTTCAGGATATTACTGTCCATTTCTCATATTATGTAGATGAGTAGAGATAGACTCTTTGTAACTTGGGCTCAAAACAGTTGGACCTTTGGACGTCAGCATCATGATTTAGCTGACTCATGCTTTCTGATGCTATTCACGATACTCCATTACTTGTAGCGCGATTCGTGGCCGTCACACGGCATGCCAATGCCAGGCACAGTGAAGCAGCCATGACATTTTGAGCAGTCAATAAAAGATATTGCCCGTTAAGTCATTCAAAGAATTTGTAGTTCGCAACGTCATTAAATGCTACATATGCTCTCTTGCGCCAAAATCGGGTTTCCAAGCCCATGATAACAGTTTTCCCAGTTCGAATGCGATAAAATCAGAACAGATGCACTCCATGCAGTCGACTATGAGTGCCCGTGATTATCTGAATTGCTAGTACGGCCCCTGCGTTGACCTTCCCGCGACTTTCGACCTGATGTGAACCACCTACACATCTTCTACCTGCGGCTTGTCACTTCTCACAACTACATCAACATGTGTGTACTCGTCTCTTCCAGGTCGAAGAAGGTGACCTGATGCTGAATACGAATCCCACTGCGGACCTTCTAAATGCCATTGCAGCCGGTCATGCGGGAAAATCTGTCGTAACACCTCTCCAGCGACGATTGTAGTTAAACGAATAGAGAACCCCCCAGCTGACGGGCACTTCATCCCTCCAGCGGCAAATGGTATCCACCCCATGCTTGGGCATAGTATCGAGTTGTCGATTTCTCCATCTATGCTAAGGAATCTAGATGGATTCCATTCAGCGGCGGCCGAGCCCCAGTATCTCGAGTCTCGAAGGATGGCCTCAGCATCAATGGTTCGGTCCACATCAGAGATGCCGCCGGTGCTGAATACCTGCAGGTGCTTGGCCTTTTGACTAACCCGCATTCTTCGAACAGGCGGATAGAGGCGCAGAGACTCATACACAACCGCCTTGGCCAGCGGTGAGGGCCGCTGACGGGCTGGGCAGTCGCGGAGAGACAGCAGCTCATCGGCTCCTGATGGACGGTTCTGCAGTACAGCCAGCAACGTATAAAAGACTGCCCGCCAGGGAGACTCAAAGGCGGGAATGATCAGGTCAAGAGGGTTAAACGCCTCAGAAGTCCCAGATACGGAGCAGAGTAGCAGCCGTGCCAAGTCGTTTTTCTCTTTGGCCTCTGAGAAGACGCCGCATAGGCAGCTTATCAGGCGGTTCATATTCTGCACAAAGATGTGGGGAACTGCTGGGTTGGATGAGGCCAAATCCATGTTCTTTTTCCATGCACCGAGCCGGTGGATCTCGGAACAGATGTATGCAAGCGTGGTTACTGGGACGTCATCAATGTCGAACAGTCCTTTGAGCACGGCCACCATGCTCGCAGTGCGGCTGATCTCCATGATGTTAGCCCTTGAGATGGTACTCCCATCAGGACCCTTTTCAGATAGCATGATATTCTGGACTGAGATAGATACGGCGCGCGCAATGGCATCCCAGGCGTCGCCGTCCGTTTTGGCAAAGGCCTTGGTGAGGGCTTGACGGTACGTCTTGCGCAAGTCCTCCGAGCCGTTTGAGAAAGGGTTGTTGATCCGAAAGACCGTCCTTAGAGTCGCAGCCCCGGCTGTGGAAGCCCTGGCGGCAGCTGAAAAGTTGTTCATGGCGTCCAGTGCCTCGCCAAGAGGATCAACATCGACATCTAAGCGACCGTCCACATGTTTCTGCGACTTGTGCGCTGCAATCGCTCCAAATCTTCACAAGAGAAATGAGAAGAAAATGTCTTGGTTAGCAGTGCTCTCAACATCACCTTCTAACACGGCATCAACAAGCAACTCACGAAAAACGTAGAAGCAACCAAGCGAAGGCTCCAAGTAAGAGCAGCCACGTGGAATACTTCTCAATCATGTTTAGAGGTAATGAGAGAACTTTGAGACTTGCGTTGTCTGCGTCAAAACATCAACATTTCTCTTCACTTCTGGACCTGGTAAGCTGACCGGGAACATAGATGGACATTTATAGACGACTGTGTGTGTCGTTGCATGGCCCAATATATTACTAAACTGCCAAGATAGACTCATTCGGATCCTTGCTTTTCTCCAGTCGCACGGTCTGACGTCTCTCAATACTTGGTCATGGTTAGACATCTCTTACTCCAAGCTTAGTCGATCCTACTATGAAAACTGAGGACGCCTTGTCGATAGCCAGTGGAGATGATATGTGTGCTGTATAGTGCTTCTCTCATCTCTTTAGATCCGTATACGTTGTGCAAGTCGATATTAACTTGTTACCTAGGTAATTATCTATACCTAGCTGAGAAAATGTCATCCAATGGAATAATAAAAATTACATTGTAATACCCCAATGATACAGTATTACTCATTACCATGTTACACCAAGAAATCTAGTCATACTACACTAGCGATGCCTAGTCAGGACAGGAGTGTCTCAGTTCAACTTCACTCTCTGCTCAGCTCTTGCGTTCAGCCAGCCACTAGTAGTTTTTTATGTTTTATTTTTTCATGGGGCCTTACTGTTAGATGGATCTGTGAATGCCAGTTCCAAGAAATTGTCCGGTACGTAGAGGGCAACCTGCATCTTCTCTCCCGTTTGCCGACTTTACCTTGATATGTCTTAAAATCTAATCTCGTCAACGCATTCAAGCACAGACAAAGAGACATCATAGACTGAGGAGACATTAATCCGCTCTCCGTAACGTAAGACGCTGGAAAGGCTACAGCATGACAGGGCACAGCAGGGCACGGCACAACGAGACACGGCACAGTGAGACATTGGCAATACTCCTGTCCAAATTTGGAATACTCGGATCATTAATCTCGCTTACCGAAAACAAGATCGATGCTCGTTTGACGTTGTTCGTACTCAACCACAGGTGTTGCATTGCATGTATATTTTCGAAACTGTGGAACACTCAGGTAAGCTGTTTCGCGGAATGCGCTGTTATACAGTACAAAGGACTTTCAAGGAAAAGGCGCCTGTCTTTCTCATTAGGTCCATGACGGAAAGACCATCTTCTACGTGTGCTGAGTTAGTGACTATACTTGAAACCAATGAGGCCACAAGTTGCACCCTGCTAAATGCAGATTTCCGCTGTTCATCTACCACTGCAATCCAAGCCACGTTCTCCTGCAAGAGTCGGTCCTTGAGTGGATTGAGCATGGACAGTTGCATAGTATAGGTTGCCTCACGTCATAATTGTCAATTAATTCACTATACATAATACAATGTCTTGGACCTAGCTGGCAGGCTACGCAACGTCGTATCAGAGCAATATCTCTGCCACTTGCCGCTGTTGCAAATGAGTGCAGCTGGATTGACATCAATATAGCACGGGCAGGCACTGGTCCGATTTCAAGACCAGGAGACAAATTAACACTACCTTGTTATTGTAGCGTCCCTATCCACTACTACATGTCTCGATCATCGGTGACGATGGCACAGCTAATCTGTATCCACTTCTAAGCGCCCGCCGATCTGATCAGAGGCCATGATCACAGATGGAGGCCAATGCGGCGTGAAGGGTCGATCGTATTCATAGCGTACATCTACTATGAGTGTACAGATGGTCCCAGCCAGGAAGATCAAGTCTCATGCACTCAATCTGCAGGTCTAGTATTAGTGAAAGTCTCGGCCAGCTCGACTTCTATATTAAAAAAGCGGTCTGTAAAAACAACCGAGACTGAAGAAAAATCGGCACACAGAAAGACACAGCGCGTACACTGCAAACTGCGCTAGGCTTCTTGCATTACTAAATACATGCACGTATTATTTGTACCATACATGCGCATATCCATTGTGCGACCTCGGCTCTTTTTCCCGACGGCTTTACTCTCAGATACTCAGAAGCTAAAGAAGATACTTCCACTTTTGGTAATATCGTGAAGCATACTGACTCACTTAATAATCCGAAGCCCAGGAGGTTGGATAAGACGCATGAGCCCTCGCACAAATAGACATGTATATATTACAAGGCACTGTCTTAGTAGAAACGTAGGAACAAGCTACGTATAGCTACTTCACTTTGCCGTCATCGTTCTCAAATCAATGTACGCCGTACTAGGTTAGGAATTGATTGTTGAAGTCACCGAAATTAGCAAAGTTCCCGCCTTACAGGGGCAAACAATACAGCTCCACGAACTCGGTGTAAAACACAAAGAGGCTAGAGAAATATACGATATATGGTTTGTCTAAACTCTAATACGTGTAACTAAGTACAATAATTCTAAGATGAAACAACGGGTTTTCCCTTATGATTCTCCAATCTAAGCCTTCTAAAATATGTAGCTAAAACAAAGATACTGAGAGAAGTGGTAGAAAATGGGCAGGCAACTGTCCAAATTCGTAATCCATCTCTTCCTTATAGGATATCAGACCCTATTCGAATATGCATGGCAGGTTCCTGGATTCAAGAGGAGGCGCTAGGAGCGGCGGTGTTCGATTTTGGCGGCCACTTGACACGCCTTTCGGCACGAACGTACAAGTTGTTCGGTCGGATTAGCTGAAACATTGGGTCGTATTCCACGGCTGCGTCTCCTTCTTGAGTGAATTTGTATCGGTAAATCAGCTTTGGCAAGAAGACTTTGATCTCTTGCAGTGCAAAGTTGAACCCAATGCACATTCGCGGTCCTGCGGCAAACGGCATATATGCTCCCTTGGGCCTATTCTTCACCTCCTCTGTGTCCCACCTGTCGGGGTCAAACTTGGCGGGATCGCTCCATAGCTTGGGATTGTTGTGGATATGGTGCAATGCAGGTATTACGACAGAGTCTTTGGGCAACTTATAACCACCCGGCAGAATAAGATCGGTCTTTGCTGTGCGTCCTGGTTGGTAAGATGGGTTGTGTTTGCGCTGCATCTCCTTGATGTATTTATCCTGGAAGACTAAGCGGTCGGTGTAGTCAGAAGTAAGTAATGCGTCCTCGTCAAAGTCGTTGTCAACCAGCTCCTGGAGAAGTCTCTCCTGCATTCCTGGATAGGTGACCAGCCCATAGATGAGCCAAGAGAGCAGCGAGCTGGTAGTTGTGAAACCAGCGCCAGTGGCGACAATAAGAGCCCAGACAATACTAGACTTTGGTAGCTTTTCGCCCTTGTTGTCGGTAGCACGAATTGCATAGTCTAGATAATTTCCTGCATTAGCGCGATGTTGTAATAGAGGGGCACGTGGTGTTTACTTACCAACCATGTTTGATGCCTTCAGAGCGGCGTCTTGGAGTGGGAGATCCTCCACACCACCTCGGGCGGCTGCTTGAATAGACTCTTCAATCATTTCCTCAATGCGAAGCTTTACATCTTTTAGGCGCTTTGGGTCGCCAAAAGGTAGGTTGCTATACCAGCTGCCTTTGGACGAAACTTTCTTGTTCAAGGACAATACCTCTGCGATCAAAAGGATCATCTCGTGCAAATGTGTATCAGGCGAGGCAAAGTGGTTAAAGTCAATGCCCAAAGTGAGCTTTCCAACAGCTTGCGAACCAAGCTTGATCATGTATTGGTAGACATTCCAAGCTTCACCCTGCTTATCGAGCTCGTCAAACACTTTGGTAGCGTCTTCGACTGTTTTCTGCATTGTAGGTGCATAGTGGCGGACCGCTTTGGGGCCAAGGGCAGGAGGAAGGAATTTATGAGCAATCTTCCATTCCTCTGTTTCGGTGTCACCCAGAAAGACACCAGCAGCCGGGGTCTTCAATGCGTAAAGAGGATGATCTTCGTTAATCTTCTTCGTGAAGAAGTCAGACTCAGCAAAAGCAATGGTAGCAATTTCTGGGTCGTTTGTCTGGTAAACGGCTCGGCCCATGTTGACCGTCTTGATGATGGGACCATAATGTTCAAATAATCGTTGGTGGTTGCCAAGGTGATCAGGATATATCTCAAGGAAGTTTCCGAGATAAGGCAAGCCCTTGGGGCCAGGCACCTCACGGACAGCATGCCCATCGATAGAGATAGCTACCGGGCCCGCAGCAGAAGAGACGTCTGAGACTTCTTGAAGAGCATTTTCTTGAAACTGAAATCCAACTCCTGTTCAATTATTAGCCGCTGGCTACATGGTAAAGTATGAAAAGAAATGTCTCCAAGTTGCACTTACCATTGGGCTCAACAATAGCAAAATAGGATGCAACCAAGTGTCTAAGTCCATCAAAGTCCAAATTTGAATCGATGTCAATAGCTGTGGTAGCTGTTTCTGACTCTCCGAGGAGATAAAACTGTTGTATCGCCATGATGTTCGAATGTGCAGTTCACTTTTGGTGTGTGTCCGTTTCTATTGCTTCAATTTGTGCGAACTCTCATCCTTATAACTAAAACTCTCCACAGAACTGCTATACAGTTCAGGTATCATCTCTACATGCCCCGTCGCGATATTTTCGTATCTGTAAATGACGATATACCCGCAGCTCAGAGTCGCATCCCACTCTCGGCATTGCCATCATACAGCTTTCCGAGGAATCGGTTTCTCCGAAGCCATTTCATTGGTTCGGTAAGCCCAAATCAGAGCTATCAGCTTCGGCAAGAGACCCCTGACTAAAGTTGCCGCGGAAACTAGCCATTTTCGGACAGCTACCCATTTCACTATCTGGACAATCCTGCATGATGATGATTGATGTAGCAAGTACTCGGGCGTTTTCGCATACATATGGAACAAGAAATTTGTGAGTAAAGGGGTTTCCGTAAGATCCATCCATAAGAGACAGTCTCTCTTTTTTGATATAATAACTCAATAATTATCCTTTGGTTTTTCCATTCTCCAACTTTGGCTCATCAATTGCCTCGGTCATTTTCTGCCCGCCTTTCTACATAATAAGATCAAACCCATCCCGCTTCATAACCATGCCAGAGTACACATTAGCAGATGTTGCTGCGCATAATAAAAGAGAAGACTTGTGGATTGTAATCCACGGAAAAGGTATTGAATACCCGAATGAATATTCTGCCGTTCGTTGTTTGCATTTTTCTAACAAGACACTTAGTCTACGATGTCTCGAAATATGTGCGGGATCATCCTGGTGGAGTTGACGTCCTTATTGAAGTTGCCGGCACAGACGCAACTGCTGCATATAATGAGGCCGGACATTCAGAAGATGCAGACGAGGTCTTGAGTACTTTGTTGGTTGGCACTGTCCAGGGTTACGTCCAAAACAGCAAGCCCACCAAAACTGTTCGGCTGGTCCAGAAGCCTGTAGAGGAAACGAAATCCACCAAAACCTCATCCTCCGCCATCAGCATACTTACAATGGCGGCTATTCCACTAGCAGGCGGTCTTGGTCTTTCTCTGCTTGCCTCGGATAGACGTCTCAACCTTCCTGCTGCCTTGACCAACCTTTCTCACCTCCCTCAGCTATCATCACACTGGCTGCAGGCCGTTCATCTGCCACAAGGAGGGTTTGCAAACGGCTTCATTGCTGCTTCCCTTTTTTGCGCCACTGTTGGGGGTGTTATTGGATCTCAATTGTCCAAGTTTACTGAGATTGAGTCGGGCTTCACCAAGTATCCCCCGCACATCAAGAGCAAGAACAGGATAAAGCCCAACCCAAACCTGGCCAGAGGCTGGTTGGAGCCCAAGTCATACAAAGACCTTCCTCTTATTAGAAAGGACGTGTTATCGCCAAACGTCTTTCTCTTTGTCTTCCAACTGCCCAAACCAAGCGATGTTATTGGCATTCCCATCGGCCAGCACGTTGCTATTAAAGCGGCTATTGATGGAACAGATGTCTCGAGGTCATACACCCCAGTTTCAAATAACACCGACCTAGGCAAACTGGAGTTGGTCATCAAGTGCTACCCAGACGGCCAGCTGACCGGAAAATACCTTGCAAATCTCAAAGTTGGCGACAAAGTCCTCTTCCGCGGCCCAAAGGGCCCAATGAGATATAGAAAGGGCCTTTGCAAGAAGATAGGAATGATTGCGGGAGGGACTGGAATCACACCCATGTATCAGCTCATTCGCGCAATCTGCGAAGACGACACCGATACAACCGAGATCAGCTTGGTCTATGCCAACCGCACCGAAGACGACATTCTTCTTCGAAAAGAGCTCGATGCCTTTGCCAAGAACTACCCACAAAACCTCAAGATCTGGTACATGCTAGACCAGCCTCCACAGAAGTGGCCCTACGGCAAAGGTTTCGTCACACAAACTGTTATGGCTTCCAAGCTACCTAAAGCATCTCCCGACACAAAGGTCATGCTGTGCGGGCCTCCTGGAATGGTGAATGCTTCTCAAAAAGCGTTGGTGGCGATGGGCTTTGAAGCACCAGGCGCTGTTGCAAAGATTACAGATCAGATATTCCTCTTCTAAAAGTACATGTGAACGCATGTTTATGCTATTGATACTATAGACTTTATTTCCTTTTACATATATATAGGTAGATATATATTTATAGACATTTCTTTGCGGAAGCACCGGAAATTCGTTTTCTCATAGTACTGCGTGTTCACGTTTAGAAAGCTTCACTTTCCCAACCAAAACTAACTAATACCCAAGAAAAGAATTCATGCATGCTATAAAATGCAATTATTAAAAAAAAAAAGACATCCCAAGTTCATTCACCAAGGCTTCTCATAATCTTCGATAAACACATCGCGAAGGACTCCCACGCCTTGTTGTACCCGATTCAAGCCCAGTCTCGCATCAAACGGATTAGCACCATTTCCGTATAAAAATTCGTCAACCTCCTCCTCGATCCAGACAGACTGCCCATCTCTATAATATGGTTTGCGAGGCAAGGCAATCTTGACTCTGGGTCGGATCCCCCGCTCATGCCAGCGGAGAATGAGGCGCATATCATAAAGCAGGCTGCGATAATCTCCGTTATCTGAAAATATTAAATGGCCGAGTTCAAGTGTGGATAGCGTTGGAGGAATTCTAGTTAGTATTGAGATGACTTCGGCTTTTTTGACAGACAGATTCCACAGCCTCAGATGCTGAAGCCGAGGCCAGCGATTAAGGGGAAGATACGTCTCCAGCGACGGAGGCGACTCTCCATCGACAATATCAGGGTCTGTGTCAGCGGCCAAGGAGAAATGCTCCAAATCCTCAGCCTTGGCTAGAGCATGGCGCAAAAGACCGCTGCGAAAGGCTGGCCAGCCCAGTCGCTGCTGTCCGTCAATGTGAAGTGAAAGCTCAAAGCGCCGAAGGCCAGGATGCTCAAGTATCGATACTATATCATCGTACGCCTTGCATTGCTGTTCAAAGAGGCGGCAGTTGAGCCCAGTAAGAAGTTGCTTGGAGTCAATGAGAAACTCAGACACGTGGTGGTGTCGCCGCTCTTCTGCGAGAGCACGGGTGACAATCTGGCAGCCTCGCCATTGAGCTCTAGCCTTTTCTGCCCAGACGGCATCTTCTTCATTAACCCATGCAGCGGCTGCAAAAGAAGATTGTCCCTCGTGGCGTGCAGGCCAGCCCCGTGGGATAGGATAATTGAAGCCGAGGGGAAACGCTCGAATCATTGGCGTCTTGTAGAGCGGACTGAACAGTAAGCCGTGAGCAGCTGGCGTAACAATAACGGTTTGTAACGATGAGAACCGCCGCAGCCCATATCGTAAAGCCTCTAAATCAGAGTTGTCTGCAATCACTTCATCTTGCTGACGGACTAGATCTTGATAATATGCCCACGACGCCTGCATTGGCATCTCAGCTGCTGCTTGCTGCGTCCTAGCAGGACTATCCCACTGGCCTGCAGTGTGGAACTCGTGACGGTCAATCTCTCTCATGTTCTGCTGCCGCTCGTTGTTAAACCAGTTTTCATCAGTCTGCACGCCTATCTGCCGAGACTCGCTACAACGCAGCAAGTCGGGCCTTCGAGCCGATGCCTCCTCATACGCAGACCGTGGAAGCCGAGCATCGTCGTAGATGACTTCGATGACGCCATGGCGAAACACCTCGTGGTCGGCAATGGCGCGGAAGACTTTGACGTTGAGGGGATTCGCAGACAGGAAGACGCGGCTGAGGCGCAGCGCTGATGTTCTGGCGAGAAGCTTGCACGCCAGACGAAGGTTCTTGATATCGCTGTTCTCAAGCCGATTCGCGATGTCTGCCAGAAGCTCGATAGGGAGCTCCGTCAGCTGTGGAGAAGGCGGATTAGAGTAACATGGCGCGAGTTTGCGCTGTGGAGAGAGCGTGCTGACGTGGGATCCCACTGAGAGTAGTTCATCCATCTCAACGGATACACTCTGTGTGCCACTTACACCAGCTCTGACGCTTCGATTCAGCGAGTTTGCCTCCATGATATCACAGATGGTAGCAGATGGCGGTGAAGGGTTTCAGGTCTACGTTCAAAGATGTACGGCACATATATGCGTAGATAACGCGTCGGGGAAATGGGGGCTGGTAACGGGCCAGCTGAGCAGTGCTATCAGTAAGCACCCTTGCAGCGTCCGTAATAGCACAGTAAATTGCTTTTTGCTGCATGTCTCAGCTCTACGCATGCAGCTTAGCAGTAATATCGCTGTAATATCGCTGTAATAATGTCCCTCCCTTGCGTCGTATTACTCAGTCTCTCTAACCAGCAAAGCAAAACGACAAGAGGAGAAGACAAAAACGGATCATTGCTTCAATGGCAGCAATGTGATGTATCAATTATGAAATCTATACGAATCTAAAAGTATGAAATCTTTTCTTCTATGCCTATACACAACAGAAACTCCCATCCACCACTTATAAGAGGTTAATGCCTGTAAAGGCCCGGTAGTCGTCTGAATGAATAACCTTCTTATTCTTGCCATCGAGATCGCACTGGTAAATGAAGCCGCCCAAATCAGCCACATAAATGTGACCGTTCTTAGTGTCCAGCTTGAGGCCAATTGCTTCCTTGAAATGTTTTGTGAGAATCTCATATCCCCTGGGAGAAGCAGACTTCGCCAAAAGCCCAGCGCCATCCAACTGAGCCTTGTTCAACGTGTTTCCGAAAGGCAATTCGCCACGATCAGTCCAATAGAGGGTATTCGTCTCTTCTTCCACCTCCAGGTCAATTGGCTCGGGAAGACCACCCAAGAGACACACAATGTCGTCTCTTGATTGGGCAGATTGGCCTGCGGGGGTTGCTATATTGGCGGAGAAGATGCGACCTTTGTTGCCCTTGGAGGGGCCCTTTTGGGTCCAGTAGAATTTGCCCAGTTTGGGGACCACAGCGATACCAACGCACCACTTTGTGTTATCTTCTTTCTCCTCTGGATTCTCAGCGTCCCCAGTCTTGATCAGCAGTTCTAGATCGGAGCCGTCGAAATTGCATCGGTAAACAGAGAGGCCCTCACGATCAGAAAAGTAAATTTTCTTTGACTCGCGGTCAAGGGCCAGCTGCTTGGGAGTGTTGACAGAACCAGGAGCAAGGACGGTGCGGATATCGGTGCCATCAACATTAGCGGAGTAGATGGCGCCATCATCAGTGTTTCCCGGAACACCCATACAGGTCCAGAACATGCGGCCGCTTTCTTGATCTATATCAAGGCCATCGGGCATTGACGTGCCACCGACCAAAACTTTTTCAATCTTTCCGTCTAGGCCTAGTTGGAGAATTTGGCCTCCTGAGCGTAGGTTTGGCGCATCGGCAGCCAGACCAACATCCAAGACAATAATTTTGGGCTCATTCGAGTGGCCGTTGGTCGTAGCAGACTTGGCCTCTGAGGAAGGGTAGAAGCCACCTTTCTCGGATTTAGTTCCCAGTTTGCCCTGGTCCAGGTATTGTGCTTGCAAGAAGTCGACAGTCTTCTCAGAAGAGAGTCCACGCTCTGCGATGTAATGGCTTTCGATAAAAGCCACTGTATCAAGTCCGACGTCTAATATCTGCGTTAGCTGGGAGTCAGGATTCAGCTGCGTAATACATGACTTACTGTCCATCATCTTGCAAGGTGTTGCGCCGCCATTTATAAACATTTCTGTCCACAGGGAGTCGATTTCCTCTGGGACGGATACTCCCTCGGCTAGAATCGTCAAAGACTCGCGCTTGATAGCGGCCCAAAGGCGGTTGAAGATGAAGCCTGTTGATTGCTTTCTCGCGACATATGGCAATGTGGCAGCTTCCTTTGATCGCTCAACCATGAATGGAAAAATATCTTGCGTCGTGAAACCGTCCGTCATGAGTTCCACAATCATGCACGCCGGAGGCATATAGTAGTGCATGTTCAAGATCTGTGACTTTCTCGCAGCGGACACCTTCTCAATCATTTCGGAAGACTTGTATGAGGATGAATTCGAGGCCAGGATGCAGTCGGCCGGTGTAAGCGCGTCCAGCTCGGCAAAGGTATCAATCTTGAGCTGAATCTTTTCCGGAACAGCTTCTATAACAAGCCAAGCATTTTCAACAGCTTCTTGAATATTATCGAAAGCCTGTGCCTTGCCTGGTGTCTTTCCGGTCTTCTGAGAGTATGCGGCTACATTTTCCTCGACATAGGTAATGCCGTCGCTTCGCTGCTGCGCACTAGGATCTCGTATCCGCACGTCGTATCCTGCTGATGCCCAGATGCAAGCTACGAGAAGCTATTAGCGTTTGCCTTTGAGATGGATGAATCTCGCATACCTATTCTACGGCCCAGAACGCCCGCACCCAAGACTGCAACAGGTCTGTTCCTGTAATCCAAAGGGGGTTGCCACGTGATGGCCATTGTTTGTATTGCTGTATAATGATTTGTGTTGATGATGTGATGCAAGTATTGCAGTTGATGTATAGAGCAGCTTGGTGAATTTGGAGAACAACAAGGAGATACTCGGGCTTATAAGGAAGCTGCTGAGGCCTATTTCGCTTTAATCCCTCTCTACAGATCCTTATCATACGAACTGATTGCAACATCAGTAAGGCTACTGTTATTAGTCGTAAAACACGCTGATTGGCGATTACAACGTCATGCTCGCAGACGAATTGGGAGTGCTCGAGGCTCTCAGAATACGTATCTCGTACCAATTAGGAAATTCACTACGGGGAATCCGTTTCCGAGCCTCGCTATGTGGATCTTTGCGGAAGTTTCTATAGCGGCTTCGATTGACGTAGCTGTGCGAATACTGAACTTTGATTGGCTAATAAGCTGCTGCCGAGGTTTGTGTTAGCGTCCCGGCATTCGCATGAGCCACTTTGCCCTCCGGCTATCATGTAAATGAGATGATAGAATATTCGGCAAGTTGATGATGTAGGAAGCGTCGAGTTGTTTTGCAAGAGTTTGTTCATTTGATATAGCCCTCGGAGCAGGCCTTGTGTGAGCCGGACGATCCGAAGTGAAGAGGACTTGGTCGAGCGGGCATACTTCATCTTACATGAGACTACGCAACGTCTCTGACACGACTCACTAAGACAAGAAATAGGAATGCATGTGCAATATGAAAGATTGAACTCAAGATTTCAACAATAATATCTTAGCATATAACGCTCAGCTGACGTTACGCCATTTCACATGCCATCACATCTGTGTGGAGATTGACGTAAGAACTATTTTGTCTTTGCACAATAGTGATCTTGGGTACGTTTGATACACTATCCCACCTATATCTACCTCAAACGCTGAGATTCCGGATAAAGCTATCCGCATGTCTCTCAATTCTCCTCTAGGCATTATAGCGGCTGGGCTTGAATTCTCCTATTTTAAATGGATCGCTGGACTATGTGGTTTGTTTGATCTTGGTGGATTCACTACAGCTTCGGGTGGTGGGTATAACAAGTTGTGCGTCATCTTCCGATAAAGACCGCTGCAGCATAAACCCATTCACTGCCGAGTTTTGCCTATCATCTGGAGTATAATCCACATTTGAACTTGTTACTTGCACCGAGGCACGGAATCGTGTAAAGTCCCCTTTTTGAGCCCAGTGCGTGGCCGCCTCATCCGAGCATGCTAGCAACCGGAGCTCAAAGCTATAGACAGCATAGCACAAGGTAGAAGTACCCCCCGTTCTATGGTAACGCAGGTCAAATCTGGATACGCGTATTATTTCCTTTTAGCCGAGAGAAAGCAACAACATGCAGTACTAATTCGGACTGAACTGCACTCCGTACGTCTCACAGACGTAGCTCGGAACCCCTAACATGGGCTTTTCTCTTCCGAAAGATGTAGCAATCCCCTGATGCAGACCGCAAGATAGAGTTCCGAGGAGTCATGATCCATAACGGCGAATGAAACATGTACAGAAGAAAGCTAGATAGGAGATATGCAAGGCATCGGCTAATTTCCAGCTACAATGCGTTACGCGCATTGAATGAGTACAGCGAGATAGGGTTATGCTCTACTGTTTGAATAAAAGCTGAGCGGAATTCAAAGAACTCATAAAATAAATCGCATACTCTCCCTCTCTTTCTAAAGACACCCCGTATACATATATCTATACATCATTGCTGCAGTCCTACCATCCCATATGTACAAAGCAATAACTAAACAAGGCCAAATATCGAACGCCTCACGGCATCCCGCTCAAAATCCTCAAAACTCCACCGTCGGCAAATCCGCCATGTGCACCTTTGCGCCTCCATACGGCACCAGCCTAAACGTCTTCTTCGGCCCCACGCACGTCCTCTGCAGCGGCGGCACATCCGGCGTGACGCCGAGATACAGCGGCCAGTTGATCTGGCAGCCAGAGACCGTCATGTAGTTTGGCGGCGCGCCCATCTCGAAGACCGGGTCCGGCAGGGTCGCACTACTACTAACGCCGTGGTATTTAATCGTCGACGGGTCAATGGCCACGTTCCACGGCTTGGTGCTCTCAATGTACCAGTCGCGCAGCTGCGAAAAGGGCAGGCCCGAGATGCCGGGGCCGTTGGGGTCGTAGTAGGCGTGCGGCAGCGTCGAGTTCTCGGCGTAGCCAACGTCCAGCGCGTAGAGCAGGTTGCCGAAGAAGACGGCCACGCTGTTGTTGGGCCGCTCCTCGGTCCTGACGCCGGCGATGATGACGTACGTGATTGTGGTCTTGCCGGCGTTCAGGTTGATCCTGGTCATGCCGGTGGCCTCGTCGGCGTCGACAGTCAGGCGAGACGAAGACGCGCCGGACTGGGTCAGGGTCGACATTTGGCCGTCCGCCCACTCTGGCATGCGCAGGTACAGAGTGAAGGGCTTGTCGGCATCAACAGAGTATGTGAGGACGTTGCTAAAGGGATAGTTGGTGTCACACTCGACCGTTACCGAGCCTCCGTTGACAATAGTCGTCACAGTCGAGGGACTCAGCAAAGCGTGTGCCAAGCCGCCGTTGTGCAGCACCCAGCTGTTGGCCACAAACTTGGGATATCCCTGGGGATGGTTCACGGTGCAGCACGGATACAGCGGCTCCATGCCAAACGTCGTGGCCACGCCGCTGTTTGCCGTCGTAAACACCTGCGGCACGCTGCCGTCGGGCCGGATGGTGCTGAGGGCAAACGGCTGGTTCGGGCTGTCCATGTACTGGTGAGCCCATTTGTCGCCGGTCAGCATGACGGGGAGAGCGTTGAAGATGGTTCTCTCGGCACGATCAGCGTAGCCGTTGTCACCGAGAACCTGGTACATGTAGGCCAGCGAGTAGGCCGTCTCTACGGCTGTGCAGAGCTCGCTGCCCATGTAAGACGACAGGTCACGCTCTCTCTCGTCTGCGAGGATGGACCCAGAGGCCGAGCCGTGGTACTGGAAGCTCCAGTCCACGGCGTTCTGGCTCTTGGCGACCATCTCGTCGTCTCCAGTCATTCTGTAGATGACAGAGGACGCCTTGAGGCCTATTATACCGCCATGAGTAAGTCATCTTCACCCTGACACAAGAAACGGAAACATACCTTGGCCAACATTGACGCCGTGGATCCAAACAAAGTTGGAGGAATTCGTAGGGTCCACTTCCTCCTCAAACACGCCTTCGGTGTACCAATCCGCCCACTTGTAATTCGTCTGCGAGTAAAACAGATTCATGTTGTCCCACAGCAGGGAGTCCTGGTCAGAGGGATACTTCTCCAGCAGCCACTGGATGGTGATGATCAGATCATGCACGCGCGCCTGTCCCCACGTGCAGTCCACGTTGCTGGCGCAGTTGACGAAGCCCTGGCTGTTGTTGTGCAGCATCTTGTTCGCCAGCGTCATGAAGCGGCGAAGCGCCGTGACAACCTGCTCTTCCCACGAGCTGTCCGCCTCGACGAGCTGCGTCAGCCCGAGAAAGAAGGGCGTCCGCGCCCAAAAGTTTCTCGCACCGCCAACCTCTGGCCCGATCCAGCCGTCGGTGGCCTGGAATCCCAGCACGGTGTTGGCCACGTCCTGGACCTGCGCCTTGAGCCTCTCGTCGTCGAGCTGGTACGCCAGCGGCACGAGGCCGTTGAACCAGTACGGCAGGCCCTCGTTGAGAGAGCTGTACTCGGTCCCGCCGCTGCCAGGCGTGTTCAGCCAGCTGGACTCGCTGACGTAGACGTAAAAGTCGTGCTCATGGCCCGCGAGCCCATTCGCCATGGCCGTCATCTCACCGAGCATCCATCCGCCAGGCTTGACCGAGCCGAGGGGCAGCGGGGAGAACTTCCATGGCCGGACTGTGTAGTCAGAATAAGCATGGGTTCCATACAGGAGTGAATCGCCATTGCAAAATCTCAGCAGGCAAGGCTGCAACAATGCGAGGCAATGCTGATGGAAAGGCTCACTCACGAGTTGCGGTGGCAGCACCGCTAAGCGGTATCTGTGCTACAGCTAAAGCAAGAGTCAACTTGATGTCTGATATCATCTTGAATACGCCCTTGTTCCCTTTCTCCCAACGCTGTGATGGCCGCCAAAAGGGATACAACGGGCTGAAAGAAGGGGGACAAGAGAAGGGGGATCGGGTTCTTTTTCTTACAGTCCCATGCAGAGCCGAGGCGTATCTCCATCGTCTCTGTAGTTAGCTTTATCCTTTCTTGTCCTATGCCCGCTCTCCCTCACGTTCTACAGACATCTGCCGTCTGGAATCTAGGTAATTTAATTTGCAAAAAACCTCCACTTTGACGGTAACCGAGTTATCTGTTGGATCGGATCCCTGCGCTCTTTTCTCGTTCTTTGCACCGCACCTCTTCTTTCTAGCTCTCTCTCTCTCTCTCTCGTCTTGTCTAGGTATTTCACTCTCTCTTTGTGTCTCTGGCTCAGTCCTTTTTCCCCTCCTTTGGCACGCGCCTTTGAGACAGCAATCCAAGGGATAGAATGACTTCCGTTGGCCTCTCTCGTCACCAGGCTGCGGCCGCGTGACTTTCCGTTCTTCTGGCCAAGTCGCGGATGGAGGCTGCTGTGACTGGCAACCGAGTCTCGAGATGTAGAGGGCAGAGGTCACATCGCGGCTCCGGTACGACTCTCCAGCGGGGTTTCTGGGGCCGAGACGCCTAATACGCCTTAAAGCAGGGGGCTGGGCGCTGGGACCCAATAGCGTGCGGGATGCTCTTAGCAGGCGCCAGTTTAGTCAAGTTGTAGAGATGAAATGGTTGGTGAATTTGCTTGTGCGCGATGATCTGCATCTGCGGACATGACGGCCTCATCACATGGCTAAATGAAGACAACGTGGTGCTCGTGCCATGAGTATCACACGAGGCTGCTGCTGGTTGTCTGGGACAGGCAGCTGACAACGAATGGTAGCATTTCCATTCCACAAGTGCCATCCAGCTGCTGTAATAGACCTGCTATAATAGACGTGCAATTTGTCTTTAGAGCAATAGGCAGAATTAAAAACATCGAGACACTGTAATAGGTGCCGTTATCCGAAACAGCCGGCCATTGTTATTAACCGAGAGTAATGGACCGTTATTACCGTTACTGAGGCTACAACCATTAACAGGAATTTATTGCCGATGGACCGTATGGCTTTGAAACAAGATCAACCGTCTATCGCTACGTCATACCATGAGCAAACTTGCATCAGCCTACCTACCCTAGAAGAGATGGAAACTCTCATCCGCAGTGCTCATAAACACCGTCGTCTTCTCATACATAATCCATCTGTATACAATATGCACAAGTCTTCACTACGCACCACTATCTAGATCCATTTGCATCAACTGCTCATTCCGTCCTCACCTCATTCTAGAATGGCGCGCGCTCCTACAGAAACAAGCATCAGATCAGCCCAACCACCAGCTTAAAAGCCAAGATGCGGGGAAAGCGGAGCAGCAGACAAAATCACAGCATGGAGCCGAGCTGCCTCCGTCCAGTCTCCAGTTCCCATTTCATCTTCATAGATCCAACGGCAAAAAAAAAAAAAAAAAAAAAGATCTCGTGCCTCTTCAAGACCCAACAGCCAGCCATATCTTATTCCCGCTCCAATCCCAACCAAGCTTGGCCCGAAATCCTGCCTTCTTATACATGTAACCAGTCACAAAAATCCTCACCTTTTCTCTTTTCCTTCCACATTCCACCTAGCCTAGCAAAAAGCCAGTGCGTGTTTTTGTGTCTCTCCATTAGTCAGAAGCGTTGACGGATATGGAAGGTGGCCCAGCCCAGCTCACAACGAGCCCAACGACCGCCGCATTCTTTTGCTAGGAACCGCCCGGTTTTGATGCTGGCCTGGCACGATGTCAATCACTCTGCTGCTTGTAAGACCGCAACGGCGGTGAGTCGGTGACCCGGAGGAAAACCGGTACATGTACATGTCTGATCCATCTTTGGTCCCGAGTTGGACTTATACGGGCCGAAGTACCTACTGGGTTCATGCCCTGTTTAGGATGTTGTAGCTTGTCCACCCATAGCCGCGCAATCCGTTTCAAAATACGGAACATACATGCACACTCGCAATCAATTACCTGCTTACCAGAAGCAACAAAAAACCCCATCCAGACAGAAATAACACCGTATAGAAAACACAACACAGCCTCCCCCTTCCATCTCCCTTGCCTTTCCAAAATCTACGACAAAGAGTACCTATACATACCAGCCACAGGCAATTTTCAAAGTTCACACCCCCCCTCACTTTACTACCCATTGCCGAAAACGGTACAAAAAAACCAGCGAGCCATGCAAGGCTTGCGGCAAGGTTCTGGAATCGAACTCAAACAATACCTACAAGTACCTGTATAAATGCAAATAAGTATCTTTTCTCACCTCTCATGTCTCAATTACCTTGCCTACCTTACCTGCAGGTCCATAATCTATTTCCAGCAGCCTTCATCTCCCTTATCAACATAGCCCCCTATTTCTCACAGCCAATTCGTACCAGCACATATTCGTATCGTCTTAGTAACTTCCACGTAAGAAATAGGCCCCGTAAGTGATTACAAACAAATAAAACGGAGCTGCGCCGTTTTAAAAATACAAAGTACTAACAAGTGGCGCGCTCAACTCCGCGAATCCACCACCACGAACGTCAGCATGAAAGGAGAGACAAGAAAAAGGAAAATAAGGTTCCGTCCATCCAGCTTGACCCAGCGCCATGCTCTGCACATGGAGATCTGACAGGATCTGGGCCTACTTCCACCAGTAGTACGCAGTAGGTACACTACCAACTTCATTTAATCTTCTCTCGTAATGCCCTGCCGTGAGGCTCATCCCATCTCCAAGTCCCATCTAGCCCGTATCCAGGAACTTACTCTGCTGCAGCACATGTGCCATTGATCAATCATGTGGCTATGTAGAGCTTCGTGGAAGCAAGGGAAAATCACGTTTTCGCCGTTTTTCTCTCCTTGGAGCTAGTAGGATGACATGTGCCGAGACAAAAGTATAACGACGCCATGTTCCGAGCCGAAATTTCCGTGTCTTGGGACATCGACGAATGTCTCACCTTTGAATCATCAAGACTCCTTGCTGCTTTCGCGTAGTAGACGTACAACATCACTGCATTCAAACAAGGCCCTTTGTGATACATGTACTCATTTGATCGCTAGATACATGGCGAATCGCCGTATTAATCTATAACTGCAATGTCGTCGATCACGCCGAACATGCTGCTTAATTAGTTTAAATGTCAAGTCGAAACCATTCACGAGTTCCGCCCCGTCTATGTTCATACATATCCCATGCGCCTTTTACCATTGAAAACAAATAAGACAAATATTCCCTCGTTAGAACCCACTCGATCGGTTCGTATGCTACCGCTTCCAGATTCTCCTTCATGCCTGCTCAGACTATAAACCACACACGTACTGCAACGTTGCAGAGGGTTAAGAGACACGGTTGAATGTGCATTTGTATCTCCAAGTTCCTCCAAAATGCTTTAGAAAAGGAAAGATAGGACAAATATAAGACAAGTGTACAAGGTTGAGAACGTGTATTCGAACTCGAACCAGGCGGCCTGACCGCCGAATGCAATCTTCTTGCTCTGGGTGGTGGGGTGCGCAACCTTGGTCTCGGCATCGCGGATGAGGAGATCTTCTCGTTCGGGCATTCGAGGGGGGTCAATGGCGTAGGCGACGGGAGTCCAGAGGGAGCTGCAGATGAAGATGAAGGTGAGAGGCGGCCAGAAAGCGTGTGTCACCAGGGCAATGAGGATGTCTCTGGTGGAGTGGCTCTGCTGGAAAAAGCAGCGGTACGTGACGAGGGTGACGGCAACGAGCGTCAGGTAGACAAAGGCGAGGTGGAATCCGGCCATGTAGTTGACAAGGATGACCCATAGGCGGCGGAACATGTTCTTCTTCAGCTTGGGGTCGCGCTCGTTGAGGGCTGAGGAGATGGAACCGGTGGGCTTGAAAGCTTGGGATTGTCCTCCGAGCCACTTGGGCAGGATGAAGGCTCGGATAAGACAGAGAGCAATGTATGGCGACATCCAGAGCTGGTAGCGAGAACCACGCTGGCCAGTGTGGTAGCCGGCAGGAATGAAGAGGACAAATTCGCAAAGACGGTTGACAATGGTGTTGGCAAAGCACGCGCGGATGAGCCATCGCAGCTGGGTATCGTTGGCGTATGCGACCAGAGGCTTGCCCATGATCAGAATGATGGGGATGGCGAAAAGCGAGATGGAGAGCAGGACGGTGTAGACACTGAGAGCGGCGTAGAGGAAACCAGAGAAGCGCTGGGCAAAAGTCATTTGGCGGACCTTTTCACCCCAAAGACAAAAGTTGAGCTTGAAAGACGTGTCCACAGTACCAATGGCCCATCGAGTACGCTGCTTCAAGTGGCTGCCGTAATCTTCGGGAACGGTTCCAAACTGGAGGGGTTCGTGGACATAGGCCGTCTTCCATCCCTTGCCGAGCATGAGGGTCGATGTAGCGACGTCTTCAGCCAGTGAACCAAGAGGAAAGTTGCCGATTTGCTCCAAAGCCTCCCGTCTAGCCACGTAACCAGATCCAGTGCACCAGGCGACGCCCATGGCGTCCTTGATGGGCTCGATAACGTGAACAAAGAAATCCAGGGACTGCGCCAAGGGATCGGATGGGGGCGTGTTGTAGAAGAGCTGAGGAGGACAAACCAGGGCCATTTTGGGATCCATGACAGCATGAGGAAGCAGAGCACGAAGCCAGTCTCTCTCGGGGATCTGCGACGTCGGTTAGCGAAAATTGAGCAATAAAATTACGATTGTAGCGAAAAAAAACATCTTTTTTTTTTTAACTCTCCCGCCCATTTTTCAAACTTACCATATCAGCGTCCAGGGCCGCCATAAATTGGCCAGCGCCACCAGGCAACAAAGTAGTCTGCTCCAAGCCGTAATTGAGGTTTCCTGCCTTGAAATGATGGGGCTGTCCGGGAATCTTGGTGCGGGCCATGTAGTAGAGGTTTGGATAGGTGTGCGAGAGAATAGCGCAAGACCGCTCCAAACCAGCCGATTTGCCGTCGTCCAAGACAATGACTCGAAACTTGTCAATGGGATAATCCTGATCACAGGCACCGCGAACGGTATCCATGACCAGCTCGTCATCTTCGCCGCAGCAGGTGATGAAAGCGTCGACGGTAGGCACATCGTTTCCCGTCAGCCTCATCTTGGGCCTGTTTCGCTTCTTGAGGGACCACATGGTCCAGGTGTTGTGCATGAGTGATGGAATGGCAACTGCTAGCTCTACGGCAATGAAAACCCAAGCGGCGGCAAAAGTGAGGCCAGACGCCTTTTGCGCCAAAATAACACAGGCGATACGAAGGCCCAGGTACGTCAAGTAGATTCCGGTGTTGAGCACGGTGAGAAGAGGCGTGAGGGTGTAGAGGTGCCTCTTCCAGCCCTTCCAGATGTCGGCATCGTCGCGGTCGTGCAGAATGGCGATTCCACTCTGATCATCACTGTCGCTACTGCTAACCTCTTTGCTCGGAGAGCGGCCGGTCTGTGGCAGAAGCTCTGTTAGGCTTATATGACTTTGAATCTGCAGTTTCAACGAAAATACGAGGAGGGACGTCAGCGGCGACTTCGCGGCAAGAGTCATGGGTCAAGAGCATGCGCATGCAATACAAACCCATTGTAGAGTTGACGGCTGGAGGTATAAGTGGAATCTGGGGAAATAAGTACCATTGGAGTAGACGATCTTGAATCGGCGAAAATCAAGTGTTTAGACGAAGACATGTGGTCATACGGCGTCGTGGCACCGCTTCTTAGCGTCAGGGAAGGAGAACTGCCAGTTCCTGCAATTGACGGCGGCCACTGAGGCGAGGCGAAGTCGTCAGGATTGACCCGACTGGAGCGGTTGGACCTCATGTTGTCGTTGAGCAGGCGAGGATGCGAGTCGTCGGACGCGGTGTGCTGATGCTGCCGGAAGCCACCGATCTCGACCATCTCCTCATACTCCTCCTGGTGGCTTTGCATCATGGCGGGCAGGCTCGTGGTTTATGTGGCTCGGCCACAAGCGAGAGAAGAATGGCTGCAGTTGAGCTGTCGAGGGCCTTGTGCGGGGCTTTAGCGAGGCAAACACCGTCAAGGCCGGGCTGATTGGGCTTTCTGGGGCACAATGGTGAATGGCGTTTGGATGCGCGTGCGGCACTCCGTATTAGATTTGCTAGGAAAAGTGTATCTCGGCCAAATAAACGAAGGTTGGCTGCTGGCCACGCGGGTCCTGGTGTAAACGGGCTGCTGGTGGAGGAGACGCTGCGCAGGATTTCCCCCGCAGAAATCGGTATGTACTAAACGAATGTAAGCAGTGAAGCAATTCACCGCAGATGATGATGTGGGAGGAGGGAAATAGCAGAGGTTGAGGAGCAGAAAAGAGAGAGGAGAGCGAGGTGAAAAAGGAAGCGGCCGGTTGGGAAGGAGACAGGACGTCGGATACTAGCAGATGGAGGGCGTGAGGTGTGGCACAAGTAGCGGTACAAGGACCCTCTGAGGCACCGATCTGGGTACAAGGAGCTACCGCTAGTGCGTGGTACGAGGTTGGGACTGCGACAAGGTGTGCGGTACGAGGTACATGCGCTTCAATATCGACTGTGTGCGTGTGCCGTTTGATGCAATGCACAGCAGCACACAGAGTTTGAACAAGGGTAGACGGTGCTCGGAAGACACTGCATTCAGTGCAAGAGTCTTGCTTTTTGCTCTCCAGCCCCCGGAGCTCAACAAGGTTGGCCATGTAGATGCGCCATCTCATGCCGCGCTGCAAGTATCGAGACAAACTCGCTGTTACATCCACTGCGAGAGCTCAGCGGGAACAGCGGGTGCCAGTGGGCGCCAGTGGGCTGTCAGTGGCTCGCGCTAGCACCACAGCTCCCAGTCAGTGCTAGCAGCGCCAGCTAGGCCCGGGCAGGTGTCAACATGAGGAGCGCCTCTTTGTGCGATTCTTTGATTGACGGGAATCCCATTCGCATTCGATGCCATAGGCGGCGGTGCGGCTTACAGTAGCCTGTAGGCACCAGTAGCGCTGGCCAGTAGCGCTGTCCACCAGAGGCTAGCGGGAGCCTCAGCACCAGACGCAGGTACACAGTACTTGGGGCCGCGGGCGTGCACAAGCGCTGCCTGGGCCGTGCGCAGCCCCGGTTTTCGCATCGTATCGTGTACTGGATACGCGCACGGCCGACCGGGGTGCGCAGCGTCGCAGCATTTTTTTTCTCGTGTTCTGGCGCTGGCGCTGCGGCTTGGGCGGATAAGGCAGAGCAGCTCCAGGCCTGGGCCTATGACGACGCTGGGCTGGGCCGGGGGGTCGAAACGGGCTGGTGGCAGGCTCGGAAACTGACCAGATGCAGCGCAACGCAAGCAACGTTGACACCGGCTCTGAATAAGACACCAGACACCATCAGTCAGCACCCTCTTTTTTTGCTGTTCTTTGTTGTGTATACATGTACTCCGTGCATTGCCCTTTTGCTCCTCCAATACGAGGCCGGAGTGGCGTGATGTGGGCCTGGAGGAAGGGGGTGAATCATGTACTCACACGCTGTATGCGGTACAAGTACATTCAACACATTTGACTCTGGACGATTCATTGCGACTCGCATTCGTACATGTACTCTCACTTCTGGAAAGCTACAGCTACAGCTACAGTAGACTCCTGGTAGCAAAGAGGAGCACGTTGCTAATTTTGGCTCGCACGCCAAGCCGGGGCATCGTCAGTTTACACTTTACGTCAACCGGCTTGACGGCGACTTTGACATGCAGCAACGGCGAGGAGGCGTGCGGAGTCGCTGGACATTAGGATGTGCATGTGCGAGCAACGCCGATTACCTTAAGCTGTATGCTTGAAGCCATGATTTCTAGCTTACTTGGCCATGGATATGCTAAATTATAAGTCTCTCTGCATGCGCTCCTTTGTCTCGGCTGTTTTCTCAACTTTCAGGTTTTTCACCTCTTTGTCTACAGTAAGCCGCCTTCCCCTCGAGACATTGAGCTGACGAGTGCAAAAAAAAAAAAAGGGTGAGCAGCTTGCCTTTTGTGTATACGGGCCAGAGCCAGCCTTTGAGATAAGCATTCCAGTTGCGTGTGATTGGGCCGCTGACTGCAACCGCCTGGACCGACTCAAGGTACCCGTTCCCACCGTCCACTTTTAATTTTTCTCTTTCTTTTTTTTTGATTGCGGTTGTCTCTTAATGGTCAGAGATGTACCGTGCGCGGGTTTCACAGCAGCCGTGATCGTCGGGCGTTCTGTGGTGAGACTCGAGAGTCACTTGTCAAGTGGTTCGTGCTGCCGCGCCGCCATCGCTGATTTTCATCATCTTGTCTTGCTTTGATTCTTGCTTTCAGCGCAACATGGGCCTGGGATCGAAAAGAGGGGGGCCATGGCATCCCTGGAGCTCCATTCTTCGGGATAAGGAAAGTGGACCAGCCATGATTGGCTTAGCGGTACGAACGGCGAACACAGTCCAGCTCGAAAGGGAGAGGTAGATAAACATGAGGCTTGTAAGAGTAAAGTCTGAGTAAGAGTACGGTACCCGTATAGAAGAATCATGGTGGCTAGACACAAAAACAAGGTGATTACTGCGCCGACAGCTCCAGACAATGGAAAGCTCTTTTGCAAAGTGAGCCAATTCCCGCAATCATGTGCCCAATATCACGGTCGCCCAGTGAGTGCAAGTGGAAAGGGTCCTTCGTACCGGATGGAGCCCATGCCCATGCCATGCACCTCGGACCCTTTGGCCGATTAGGACTGGGGGAGGGCGAGTCGTCCAAGTGGGGAGCATCCATTCATGGTTTTTCTCCCATGGAGGTGGTATCGCATCGCCGCAATCGTGGATCCCACATTCGAACATGGCAGCCAGAAACTTTGGGCGGGCGCTCCGTAGCGAGAGCTGCACATTCTTGACTCTGGACCGATGCTGTCACTGCACGTTCTCGGCACTACGGCGGCGCCCAGCCAGATGCGTAACGACTCCTCAGCGCAGCTTGTACCGCTACATACAAGTCGTGCTCGTACAGCTCCAGTCAAGCTGACTTACTGTACTGGTAGAAGTTGATGCCTGCACCGGCAAAGCGGCCGGTGTCAGATTCGGACTTGCTGAGCTGCCCAGAATCATTCATCGGGGATGGCCGGTCATGGACGCCGGCACGATCGGCTTCTGTGAGAGAGACGGCAGCGAGGGTGACGAGGCTGGCCGGGTTAATTTCCTGTTTGTTTCAATCTTGTTTACTGGTCCCCTCCATCCAGTTCTTATCAGTGTGATACTGCCCTGCCACACAGGTGACGCCTGATTGTCTGATTGCCCATGGCGATGCAGCCGCGCTTCAATGGGATGTTTACTCTCGGTGCATCCATGTCCAATCACCCGAGGCTCTGTGAAGCTCTGTGAAGCTCTGCGCAGCTGCTGTGTGACATCTCACTTCTGCCCACATGCCAAGTACCATCTTGATTGATCGTCCATCGCCCAGCATTCTAGGGAACACAGACAGCACCCCTACTGTAAAAGCTCCAGCACATGTGTGGGCTCGACTGCAAAAAGTCTCGCTGACACGAGCCGCTCTGTGCGCATCATGCCCGTCTCGGCGATCCACCGTCTCATGTTTTGAGTTTTTTCTGGCCCTCGATCCTGGCGATCAACGGATACAGCTACATACAGTAAATCCATCAGCGATACTGTGCGTGCTGTGGCGCTGCCCGCTTGTTTCAACCAAAATTGTTTCCAGTTTTTCCATGGAGCACCTGTCCATATTTTCAATGTGTTACGAGTACAGAAATAGCAAAAACGACTCAGACGGGGCCTCGGAGTTGGCCATTGAACTGCGCGCCGTGGCCCTTTTCAATGGCCTGAGCATCGGCCAGTAACAGAACGAGGTGTAGGTGTATACGAGCAGACAGGCACAAGTACCGCTACCTGTGCGCCAGAGCCGCTAGAAGCCTCCGCCAGGCCCTATTCGCGTGCCTCTCCCAGCTCTCGCTCGCGGCGCACCGGCTCAGTGCACTAGGCCACTAAAGCCCGCCCACGGCGTCCGCTAGTGGCCTGCAGCTGGCACCGCACCGCCCATCAGACGGCTGTTCGCGCTCGTACCGGCCTCGTACCTGGTGTGCTTGCGCCCCAGGCACCCGGTACATGTACATGTGATGGTACCAGTACCAGTCGATGGAGCCTCGTATCGCTGACTGAACTGAACTGCACTGCGACTCGTCTCTCTTTTCTCGAGAAACGCCTTTGAGGCCCGAAGCCTTTTCCCCCTCCAGCAATTCCGACCAAACAAAACCCGTCCATCGCCAAATCGTGCTCGACGGCGCTCATTCCAGCGACCCTCGCCGACGCTCGCTCCTTGACTCCTCCCGCAGCTCTGCGGCTCCAGACGCTCGTTTTGTCCTTCGTTTCCCTCCGCCAGCCATGACGATCCGAATCCTCGTCAACGCTGCGCTGCTGGCCATCCCCATCGCCGTGACGCTGGGCATCTTGTTTGGCCTGCAATCGCACCGAGATGCCACGGGCCAGCCGCCGTTGTTTGCGCCGCAGCCGCCGCCAATTCCCACTCCTGCGCCGCCGAAACCTCCAAAGAATGGCGTCACCAAGACGAGGTATTGCCAGAAGTCGTTTGGAATCACACCAGATACCACTGGGCAGAAGTATATATGTAGGTGCCGAGCTGTTCTATTCGCAATGTCACCCGAGCAGAGACGACAATCTTCCGGGGCTGTGGCCGGCTGGGTATTTCAACAATGTTTGGTGTAGTTCACCATCAATCACAAGAGAGGCTTCTGGTCTGATTTGAAGCTTGCGTGGTGGCTGTTGATATGCTGCGATACTTGGACGCTGGATTCCGGTCCTCACAACACCCATGTCAAACCTCAGTCGGCAAATATCTGGCCAACTATCTGATCTTCGACCGCTTTGCTTCTCCATTCTGCTACATTTCATGACATTAATCTCCATATGTGCAAACATTGATCCAACATGTTCACTGACCTTGCTGCTCTTAGTAAATCCCAACCAGTGGAACTGGAACGTCGGCGATCCGGGACGCTTGTGTATGAATGTATGTTTTGGAACTTGTACATCTCATCTGATGTCACATCCCCTAAAATCCATGTCACATGCTGATATTTGACGCCAAGGTCACCACGAATAACAACGGCACATACCCCACAAGCACTACGGCACCCGAGTTCATGATTTCATGGCAGTATCCCGTTGGCCCAGAAGACGACCCTGTGCATGCTTTCCCCAACATCCAGGTTGATACCGACGTACTCCCCGCCACCGTTGATAGCATCTCCAAAGTCGATATCGATATCGAATGGTCCTATGGCGTCGGCAATGAGACCACAACGGCCTCTTCCCTTGCTGATCTGACCGCCGACAGTCTCAACACCAATGTTGCTATCGATATGTTTATTGATAGCGATAAGACGTCTGCTCAGAACCCTGCCAAGGCCAAGTTCGAACTCATGGTGTGGTTTGCAGCTTTTGGTGCTTCTACTCAGCCCATCGGTTTTGGCCAAGGTCCTATATCCACCCAGAAACTTGGTAGCGACACATTGTAAGTACTGTTTCTCTCTTGCCAATTCTTTTTTAGAAACTCAAGTACACATCACTGACAATCATCTGTCCCCAGCAATCTTTATTCTGGCATCAACACAGCGACGAAGCAAAACGTCATGACCTGGTACACCGACACACCCATAGAAAAGTTCAACGGAGACATCTCTCCACTCATTAACAGTGTGTTCAAGCTCACCGCTACTACCGACCTTCCCAAGTCCAGCGACTACTTAGGATACCTAGCTCTGGGCTCTGAGGCCTTTTCCGTGGACAAGACCGTCACGCTTTACGTACCCCAACTCTCGATAGATATAGAAACATCCTCCACATAAGGGAGCACCTAATAATATGGCGACTTGATTTTTTTTTCTATTTTAATCTCAAATTTCGTCTAAATCAACCGTGCCGTCCGACAATTGCCCTTTTTGTCTCGTCCAAAACCTCCGATTCGCCCTGGCGCTGGTGGAAGATTTAACCGTCGACGTCAACGATATCCGGCTGAAATGACGCTGCCACGCCCCTCCCTGGCTGCAACCTCTGTCTCGGCAAGGTGGCGATGGACAAAAATTCTCCTAAATGACGAGCATCGGGCCCTAGACGAAATACAACATTAATTAATCGATCGAGCACGGCATGGCATGGCATCCACTCCGATCAGATCAGATCTTTTTCTTCCGCATGTACTCGTACATAATGGACTTTTTGTCGTGGGTTTCAGGGTCTTTTGAGAACTAGGGTGGTTATGTTTTCATAGTTGCATGGCGTTTTTCTGCCAATTGCGTCTCGGGTATGGAGTTTGGGCGGGTTTTGCTATTTTGAGCCATTACGTGTACATACAACCTTTGCTGCGAACCATGTTTATTCAGTGACATCTTTTTCTTCAAATTTTTCTTTTACTCGTGGATTCAATGCCTAGTGTTTTTCTCTGAGTCTCTGTCGTTCCGACCACTTGGTAAATAGGAGTGGGGAGTTCCTGAGCCGCCAAGGAGACAGGGCCTCTCATGGCAAAACTCTTCGGGTAAAAAGCCGTTCTAATTATCCTGTCGCCGCGCAATTGGCCAATCAGAGCGGGTTTCGGCGTATTGTGTTTTTCCTATTTCTTTTTTTAGAATGGGTAATTTTTTTCCTTTATCAGCCGCGCCGACTTATTAGACTACTTGTTCTAACAACTACGGGTTAGCTTGAGTGAGCAAGAGTTTTGAATGAGATTTTTCATGCAGTTTTACCTTCGGGTATGTAGGCTGTTCATGAGTGAAATAATGGATCTTCTATCAAAGGTTTGTAGAGCGCAATTCCCCAGAACCCAGTGTTCGCAAGCAAGGAAACGAACTAGAAATTTATGCTTACTCGTACCATGACTAATAACTCATGAGTCTAATGACTACGATGAACAAACGCTAGAAGAAAAAAACCGTTCGTCTTTCTCTTCGCCACTCCGAGGCCCATTGAACTCGGGTTAGATACCAATAGCGCGACTTTTTCGTTTCGACTGCTTCTCGGGAACTGACTAGAGTTGTTTATTTTTAGTTCACCCCTGACTAGCACATGGCAGCTTTGACCCACGATTGAGACGGGCGACGTTGCTCCTTAGTATTGGTAGCAGTTACTGGAGTGTGATTAATAGAATGACTTCTATGTGACAATTCACTTCTTGCTGGATTCCAAGGCCAGTTGACTTATTTCGTAGTTACTGTGGTTATCTTGTGCTATGGTACCAAGTGCCCGGCTTATGGGAGATATCCTTTTCAAGTAGGCGCAAGTCTTGCTTCAGAAGAAGGATTCTCTTAGCACGCCTCGGGATAATGGATGCATTTCTTTTTTATATAAACCATAGCAATATCAATATGGGCTAACCAAGCTGCTTGGATAATGATATTAGCGAACAACACGCTTGTCTCCCCTGAAGATACTGACGTAGTATACTTTCGTTATGGGGAGTTTGTCGAGCATGAAGCAGTTTCTGCTCATTTATAATGGAGCCAAGTATGACGCCTCCGTATCTGCATTCGGTGTTGCTCAACAAAAAATAGACGAAACCTCTGATACTGTCATCCACTTACGATTGCTTGTTTTCGTTGTACAGGACGGTACAATGGACTTTTCAACCCTGTTTTTTTATCTTGTTTCTGCAAACTAATTGCACACACCTAATACAGACTATTTTTCCTTTGCATTTTTTGCCAATAGTGGATAATCATGCAATCTGCAACCAAGGATTTGATACCAATGATTATGAGAGGTGATTAATGGAAATAGTGAAAATTAAGAGTTAGATTCGATTTATGATCTGAATGAACCACCTGTCAAATGACACCACCACAGCTGCGCGCCTGGGTGTTTGCTCTCCTCCTGAGCCCTTCTCTAGTTTAGTTCGCATTTTTAGTTTCCATGACCTTTGCTTGAGTCATTCTGAGCTCTAGTGCCTTTGGTATCCCTGATTTCTCTCCCTGTTCTTTTGCTTTTCTTTTGTAATCTCTTGCGTGATCGCTCACACCGCTTGAATTCAGATTTACGTTCTTCTGTGACCTAATTTGTAGTTTTGCGATAGTTTTCCGCCCTCGTCGCATATACTGTGTCTCTTAACAGCAAAGGATGGAAGGGCTGATTGAGGATGAGATCGGGCATAACCCTGTAGTAGATTGACTACTGCCTCATGACCATTTTCCGCAGCCGATGACAGCGGCGTCAGGCCGAAAACATCCTTGGAGTTAATGTTAGCTTGGCCTGTAGTAAGCAACAGCTCAACTACTGCCTCGTGACCTTTTCTCGCAGCAAATAACAGCGGCGTCCTGCCGTAAGTATCCTTGGAATTAATATCAGCTTGACCCATAGTAAGCAATAGCTTAACTACTGCCTCATGCCCCTCTTCCGCAGCTAATGACAGCGGCGTCTGGCTGATTTCATCCTTGGAATTAATATTAGCTTGGCCTGTAGCAAGCAACAGCTTAACTACTGCCTCATGCCCATTTTCCGTAGCCCATGCCAGCGGCGTCTGGCCGTATTTGTTCTTGAAATCGATGTCAACTTGGCCTGTAGCAAGCAACAGCTTAACTACTGCCTCATGGCCATTTTTCGCAGCTAATGACAGCGGCGTCTGGCCGTATTTATCCTTGGAATCGATGTCTTGACCTGTAGCAAGCAACAGCTTAACTACTGCCTCATGACCGTTTCTCACAGCCCATAACAACGGCGTCCGGCAGTATCTATCCTTGGAATTAATATCAGCTTGGCCTATAGCAAGCAATATCTCGACTATAATTGTGTGTCCTTCCTCTGCAGCTAATGACAAAGGCGTTCGGCCACTGCCATCTTTTAAGTCTGCTTCCACTGTGACCTGGCCGAGTCTTTGTAGGATAGCATTCATGACTCCCTGAATACCATACCTTGCTACAACATGTACAAGACTGGTATTTCCTGATGGGCAGTCAGATGAATGTTCGTCTATGCCGCGGTAGACTTCCGTCCATAGATTTATTAGAACGTTAGATGGCCAAGAAAACAATTCCAAAAATTGTTCGGCAGGTGTATCATGGTCCTCGCTTTGCTTCATGTGCGACACCCATGAAGTAGTGGCATAACTCAAAAAAGGAAACTCGGTAACCATTTGGTCAGGATTCTTTGTACCAATGGCTAGTTTTTCGACTTCTTTCATCGCCAAGTAGCGTATGCAGGTCTGGAATAAATATAAGTGTGACATTCCAATTGCCGCATGGATAGACACAAAATTGGCAGGTAAGGCTAACAAGCCCTTGTCAATAAAAAAATCTTTAACGGACTGGTGTATGAATTGGACAATAGGCGTATTAGAACCCGATGTTATCTCAGCAAGGCCTTGACTGAGACTCAAGATTCGTTGCCTCATGCGTTTATCATCGGGTACATAATCCACTGCGCTCTGGCATGCTTGTAGCGATGAATAGCCAACATCTATAGCCATAGCCCAACGCAGCTCTTTTACCGATAAAGGCCGCCTGGCGAAGTAGATCCACTGGATTAACTTCACAGAAGCTGGCCCCATACCTCGTATGAGTTGATTGTATAATGATTCGAGGTCTTCAGGAATAGAATCCACTGCTGCTATGATCTGGTTTGGCCCAGCACCGTTTATTGTAAGATTTTGAATTCGCTTCACCACTAACTGCGCCCATAAAAAAACGCCAGAGGCACGTTCGATGATTGAATCAAGAACAGTATCTGAAATCGGTTCTCTGGAAGAAGACGATTCAGAATGCACATAAGTGTGAATGTCGGCTCGGTTTTCTTTCTCAAGGCATATTTCGGCCAGGCCTGGGGAACTCAATATTGGGTAATGACGACAGCTAAAGCAGATACGGAGTTGATTAGAACAAGCAGACAGGGCGACTGATTGCTTGAATAGGAGCTCGAACTTGTGGACAAGGTCTTTTGCACTACCTTCACCGCATTCGTCCAATGCATCGACAAAAATCCAGACTGAACGAGTTTCTAAAATTCTCAAAAGAGACGACTTGAGGGAGAACCATAGTTCTTTTGGATGCCATTGCCACTTTTCAACGCACTCGCCTATCTCCTTGCATCTCTTCTCAAAAGTAATGACAAGGTCTGACAAGCAATAAGGTATCTGCTTAAGAATTTGATGAAGAAGCGATCGAAAGAAGCCCAGTGGAGTTCTTTGAAGATCGCCGCCACGGCCGTGAAAGAAGAAGGAGATGACGAGATCGCTGTATCTGGCGCTGAGGAAATGTTTCTGGTTGGTAAAGGCAAAATTGAGAAGCGTGGACTTTCCCGAGCCAGGTTTCCCTTTTATCCAAAGAAGCTCTTGATTAAGTTCTGTCCATTTTCTAAATGTATCGTGTTGAAGTAGCCACTCGCATGTGCCTGAGACGGCAGAGTCAATTTCAAGAGAGCGGCTCGTCATGCCATCAAAGGCTAGCGATTTCAAGGTTTGTTGTATCAGAGCCTCCTGTAATACGCCTGCAAGGTTTCAATACCATTTCTACTTAGCCTAAGTAGTTGACTGGGGACTAAATTTGATTACATACGCTTTTGTGCCCCAAGTGCTTCTCGTGCCTCTTGCACCTTTCCTGCCTCCCGGACAAGGCTTTGTAGTCGCCCGAGAACTTTTTCATACTCGCTGTCTTCTGAGCTGAACTTGACCATTTCCGAGTGAGTTCGGTTGATAGCGCAGATATATTGTTGCCCATTTTCCCACGGGCGACAATGCGTGGCAGACGACTTTGATACTAAGACGGCGACTGGCCCTGTCATTTTCCATTTGTCTGTTTCATCCTAATAGGTATCAGCGCAATTCTATTGCAATAGTTTTGATAATATTATACCTTCTTAGCAGTTGGGGATTTGAGCGTTTCGTAGAAACAAATAACCTTGGACTCTCCTCGGCCTCCTAGTGTTTTTGGAAATTCTCGTTGGTAGATACTGAGGATCTGTGAGCCGTGATTCCCGATAGACTCTAGTAAAAAGCGGTTTGGCCCGTTGCCAACAATGGATATAAGGGACTGGATATCCATGCCGTCGTGTGGTACACCAAAAAAGGCGATTCCGTACACTGCTCGTAACAACTTTTGGTCTTCCTCATCGTCTGAGTTGGAGAGTGATATGAGAGTCTGCCATATGTAAGTAAAGTCTCCAACCTAACATAAAAAGTGTGCATACTTCTTTGACAATGAGCCCACCTAGGCTATGAGCAACGAGTATGATCGGTCGGAATGAACCGGCAATCGCCATACTTCGAAGAGATGAATGGAACGAGGTCCCAATATCTTCCAGATTCTGGAAACTGTCACTGTCTTGAAGACTAGACTCATAGCCGTATATCATGATGCGCGAGATGGGTACATCAGGATCATCGCCATCTTCTCCAGTTATATCATATGGGAGCGCATCTCGTAGCCACATGTGCTCTCCACCTCGCTCTTTGAAGGATCCGAACGCGTGTCCGCCGAGGCCAGAAATTGCCATAAGACTAGAAATCATGAATAGATGACGGAAAAGTAGATCGCGTATAGTACTCACTCAATACGATGATCTTGCAAGGATGGTGCATACAATGTCGTGATGCCATTGAAATCACAATCAAACACTAGGCTCGATGATCTAGTGGACTGCTTAGGCAATGATTGCGAAGTTATTTTCAATTTTTTCACAGCTAGGATCTCTTGCAGCTGAGAGGAATGGTTTTGAAAAGTTAGTGTCGCTGTTTGCGTGCGTCGATGAACCTCGGTGGCCAAAGACCCAATATCTGGTTCAGAAGAGGTTTTCTCTTTCAAGAAAGACTGCAAGTCATCTTCACTCCAGCCGCGAGGTACACCGCGTACACGAAATGTCTTCCCTATGTTTGATTGAGGCTGATCAATTGTTTGAACTAGAATTGGTTGCATATTTCGTTAGGAAACTATGGTGAAAGTGGTGGCTAACAGGGCGTCTACTTCGACGGAGATCTTGACTGACATGGAAAGAATTTTTCATCGTGCTCGAGTTGACCGAGTAAAATACCTCACCCTCTTTGGGTTCCGCGAGCATGCATTCATACCCGATTATACAACCAATCATTTATGCGCCTTTGACCAGGGCTCCCAAGAGGGGTTAAAAGAAGGCTGCCGAGGTCGGGACAACCCAAGACAAGCGAACGATAGGCCAAACTATGCAGTGAATATAGGAATATTTTAAAGTTAGATGCGACTTCTATTTGATTATTATAATAATAATCACAGGCAATTGCTCTGGGGATTGCTACTGTTGCTTTGCTATGAGCGGCTCAAAGTAGAGCTATCTTTTATATGATCCTGATTGGTCTCTTTTAATATCCGAATACTACCCTAAAGTAGATCTACCAATATTAGTCTTCTATTTCGGGCGTAGGAATGGACAGAAGAAAGAGAATTGTCGAAGGCTAGTACGTTAAAAGTCGCTATGGGGAATTTATCTGTGTTGGGTAACTAGATAGGTAATACCTCTGAAGCATGATAAGTTATCATATAGTTTTTACACGGCTAGACTTTTGCCATTAGAACTTGGACTGTATACCATTTTGCACTGATGGTATATCCACAGGAAGCATCCCCCGCACGGCTAGCACTAATATCTGCCTGATTTTAACTCCTTTTCTATTAGATCGATCGTTTCAAGGTATGCTCCTGTGATCTCTATCTTAATATTTCATTTCGCTAGTAAATAATGAAGTCTGATTTGGACTTACCTGCCACGTTCCATCTTTGATTCGCCGTTTGTAAAAGGTCGAGACAGAGCGATGCCTGAGAAGAAAATCCTGACGCTTCCACGGCGGGAGATGTAGCCATCAGGTATACAATATTAGCAAGACATTGATACAAACTATCCAAGAACCAAGGCGACAAGCTGGCGAGGTCTGCCTCTTGTATCATCTCCCTGAGGACATCTAAAAAGGACATTGCCTTGACAATGCAGTCCTTCATTATGCTCTGGCACGTTAGTGCTATCTCGCGAGCGAGGGCTAATTCTGATACATCTAAGGATCTGTCGTTATAAATAGCAAATGAGTCGCAAGAGTGGTAGTCGCAAAGCTTCATCAATGCGCTAGAAAGTAAGCCTTTGTATTAGCTTTGCCGCTCATGTAAGAAACAGATAAGAAAATGGACTCACCTTAAACAAACACCCACAGAGCTATAGAAATGCATCATGCTAGCTCTGTCCTTGCTGATGACTTCTAAGAAGCTCAATAATACTTGGCTAAGCATTTCAACGCTATTCTTCACGTGCGCTAGACTCTGCGTTTCGTCGTTGCAGTGTTTGATGACTTCTCCTTGTAGATGGGATGCTTGAGCAAGACGGGCGAATGGACTTGCAGAGAGATGTTTCGATGAGGATAGAATAAGCCGTTCAGGATACATTGCATGCTACGTATGACATCAGTTCTGTGCATCTGGTATGTCATCGAAGGAGTTTCAACTTACGCCAGAGTCCCAAGCATCATCGTCAACAGGTAGGTGAGATGTAGTCTGCGGATCAGCAGACAGCAGAGGTCTGTTGTCTCCTACAGAGTTGACATATCTGTTTGTGGTTAGATCTGCGATACTTGCGTGACAGAGCACTTAGTCGAGGAGGGACATACCGTTCGAGGATTACAATAAACCACCAGATTCGTTGTCTTTCTTCCCAGTCTACCCAAGTGCGTGGTTGTTCTAAGATCTGAGGTGCTTCTCGATTATGGATGCCGAGGGTCATGGCTTGGGTAACGCAGCACCCCACAGAAACATAGGCAGCCGGGAAGATACCGTGGCCCATCTCATAAACGGCAATAAGCAGCTGAGCCTGAAGTTTGAGTAGTGTATATACGCCTGCAATATCTAAAGAAGCTGCAAATTCTTTAGTGCATAAGTACAAAGGATCTCTAACCGCGTCGGACGAGCTTCCCGGCACCTGTTGGATGAGTTTCATAGTCAGAAGTAACAACGCGAAATCAGCTCTGGGGCGGCTGTTAAGCTCTACGTCGGCCAAAGAGGTTAAGCGGACTCGACTGATAATGGGCATCCACTTGTGGACGGTTTCAAAGTACTGTGACATGATGGAGGCACTCTGTGCTTGATCACTCAGATAAGAAAGAGCGGCAGCAGGGATCATGTCGCTGGATGGCGGTGGAGGAGCATCTGGACGGGTCTTGATATCTGAATCTAGGAAAAGCTTCTGGAAGCGTAGGGAAGCTGGGTAGAAAGAAGTCGCTGTTTGCGACGTTGGCAAGCTGCCGGTGCCTTGGCTGGACGATGCCGGCGTGGATAGTGCCTGAGGAGAGACTTTTGTGACGTGATTAGTGACGAGCGACTCGAGCTCCTGAATGCGAGTTTTGAGCTCATTCTCCGTTTGCCGATTGGTATAATCGCAATACCGGCGCAGTCTAGAAAGGAGCGGTTAGCCAATTAGAGGGTAGACAATCTACAAGATAGGAAATAGAGGAAGAATCCGGCCTGGGCGGACAGTCTGAAGAGCGGCCGCTTAACGGCAACAAAGCGGAAAATGTGAATAGTAAAAGCCATGGTGGATAGTAAAATACCTGGTGCATAAAGAACAGCCCGGCAAGGCCTTGTCGCAGCGTCTCTTGTACTTTTGGCAAGCAGCGCAGGCTCGTACAGCCTTTTGCCTAGATGGAGACGAAACCTCGCTCATTTCAGATGAATCGAACCTAGAGCCGCTCCGAATTCATGGCGCTGGTCAGTAACACGGCCATTGTAGTTGATGGCGATAATAGCCATAGTCTGCGAATGCACGAGCGGCCGCTCAGCAGCCCGACAGATCGGGATACGCGGAAGATCGGTCCACTCACAGCACTTGAAACATGAGCAGCGGATTAGACGGCGGAAATAGCCCAATGGCAAGTCGAAATTGAATGAATCGGCTCTGGTGATTCACAGGATATCTCTGTTGTTTTCTATTCGTTCGTGTCTGTATGCGAATAGCACGTTTTGTACAAGGTGAGAATGACTTCCCTCAATTGATAATTGCGAAGAGGCAAGCCTTTGAGAACAGCAGACGCCCCACAACGCTGAACTCTGGAGCTGGAGCGGCCGCTTCTGAGCGGGAAAAACCCGCTCGCCCCACGGCTTGTTTCGTTTCGACGGGTTTTTGCGGAGATAATTCACAGGGGATTTACAGGGAAAGCCTAGCTGACGTTGAGCAGGGTATTGAAAAGTTGCTCATGTCAATGTTTTGGGTGACCTCAAGAATAGTAAATATCCACCAATAGCCGTGGGTGTATCGCCGCAGCTCTGCTATCAATATAAATCATTCCCTCAATTGCTATACCTACATTTCTATTTTGTCCTCCGAGGTGGATTTCAGCCACAAATATTTGCCCCGCAAACTAATATTGACAGTAGACCTAGGGGTTCTTGATGATCCCTATATATCCGTCCTAACAAACGCGAAGGCTCCCCCAGAGCGTAAATGATATTAGCTCTTCCTTGAATTCCAGGTTCATTTTTTTTTTAGATTATCGTACTTTGATTGTACATTTTATAGTGCTATAACTTTGAACACACCCGTGAAACCGAGGTATTCGCTGATAGGGTAAAGAAACTAAGCAGCAGTCTAGCAATTGGCTTCAAACAGGTGACAATAATCCTCGTATCAGGATGAAAAATAAGCGACGCAGCTATAAATATATTGGAATAATTTGGGGATAGCTGATAGCATCAGGATCTTCATAAGGGATCTTCTAAAGGTGTCTCTGCCAAGATTTCGTGGATCTACGTAAGCTAGGAATGCATCTGCTAGCGCTGCAGCTGTAAGTGTACTAGATGGGAATGTTTTGGAATTCGCTGACAACATAGAAACACGAACTAATTATCCCTGTTCTTGCCATCGTTCTACCACCAGAGCAGAAAGACAAAGAAGGCAAACCTTTTTGAAAACTTCTCATACTTCTCGTTGCATTGTATTTCTCTATCGGCGTGGAGAAAATTGCAACAAACGGTACAAAGAGCTATCCTATGAGACTACGTTGCTCTTTGGGAATTTTTTTATTAATAAAACAGCTAGGAGGAGTACTTAAATTCTTTTTATTTTCCTTTTTTATATGCACGTCATCTATTAAGTTATATACTTTTGGTAAGAGACACTTAGTGTCTTGATATTCTCCACACGGTCTTACTCCTTCGAGACCTGCTACCAAGATAGAAGCCTATCGACCAGTTGCTCTAGGTAATAACCAACATTCGTACGTTTCCTTGTAGCAAGGGAATGATCGTGATTTGTCTGCAGACTAGCTAGTAGCTACCAAGCTAATAGCTACTGCAAGGCTTGGTCGGCCTAGGTGTGATTGTGTCCTCATAACCTCGAGCTGGTCATTGAGCGTGTGCTTTCTACGACGATTAGCTATTGCCAACGTATGGAACGCTGGGAGATTCAGTGTGGTATGGGGCACGAATGTGACATTCAGGTTCACGTGGTGTCGCGTCTGTTGGTTACATGTATTAGTCAAGATGGGAGAAATGCCCCCCAATGGAATGCTATCAAGGGAGGACATGATCATGCACTCTTAGGTCTCAAGAAAGGGCAACCCAGCCAGATCCAAGCCGACTGCTTCATCTTGTGAATGCGCATAAGGCCTACCAGACGCGTAGGCGCTGCATCACAGGGGCTTAGAATGCTATGTACAGTGAGACTACGTTCCAAATAACTTGTCTTAGCTGTCGGATAAGGTCATATTCTAAAAAAATGCTCAGTATATGTTACGCTATATGAATCCTTATCTCGTATTATAACGCACCTGAGTTGAGATGGCTAAATCGTGTACTTTACCAGTTCAAACCCCAGATCCGTAGTACTGAAGGTGTTATCCACAACTTCTTTTCCTTTCCACTCATGTATTCTTATTTCCCAAAAGCAGGAAAGCATAGGCTTGCCTCTACTGAGCTTCCTCATACTAATACTTCCACTTGGCTTTAGCTTTTCCGGTATACTGTCGAAGACTACATCTACGGCGATGACGCTCATGTCGCAGGTTGCACATAATGAAAATTTCACAAGCACTCATGGCCAAATACTCATATCTATTGTCAATATATCAGCACGCAACTTTATATCAGTATTTATTCCAACAATATTGCGACAGTTCATCAGCTACAGTACAGAAGCTGGCTTTCACAACATGAAAACGTCCTCCAGGTTGAGAGCGATGATTGGTACATTCTTTGGTACTGGGGTAGCCCTCATAGCTCACGGAATTGGGATGTGGCGTGATGAGAAATCAGGGACGGCAACACTGGCAAGTCGCCGTTCGCGAGCAATTTTGGCCAGTACAGCTTTCGCCGCAGGTATCGGCGAACTTTATACCAACACCGCTGCGGGTAACGCTTCGACACACATTGCCTTTACGATCTACACAGGAATGAGGGATCTAATGGTACAATCACGACTGAGGCTGCATAACCCAAACACGTCTGGTATAAAGCCTGACTGGACACACTTCAGCATCATGATGTTCTTAATGACTATAATTGCGGGGCTGGTCAACTTTGGCATGTCAACACTGGCATCTCCTTCAGGACAGGCTGCCTGGGCTGCTAGATCGAGCTTTACCGAACAGCTGAAGCATGCTGTAATACGCGGGGTTTTGAATCTGATTGGTGAAGTCGGCGATGACTTCCTATTCCAAGTCATCCCTTCCATACGCTCGCATTTCAAGGGCGTTGAGAATCCTCATGTACTCCGGCTAAGCCTCAAAGATGTCGGCTACCAGAAGGGTTATCTCACAAACGCGGCGTTAGGTCCATGGGCCGCGCGAACAGGCCTCTTGGCGACAACTCTCGCTTTACTAGGCATTGCGTCGCCATGCCTTGCACATAATGCAAGGCTTTTGGAAGGAGTTTCTGATTTAATAGTCGGTGTTACCAACGGGCCGCTCTATGAGCCCTTTGCGAATTCAGTTTCGGGACAGCCGGATCCCGTCCGCAACCCATGCGGCAGTGACGAGGAGAGCCAGAAGCAGAAGGAGTGTAGTCAAAGCGATGATGCTGCTAGTATACGCAGCTATATGCACCCAAATATCGACATGACAAACTGTGCAGAGGTCAAGTGGGAAGAAAGTCAAGGGCATCATCAACCGGACTATACAGAACCTTACGACGAAAAAGCCTCATCTTTCCAACCACAAAGAGATGGACTGCCAAGAATAGATGAATGCGCATCGTTGCAGTCATTTGCCTCACCATCACCAATATTAGTTGGCTTTTGTAACATAGAAACGCCCAAAAATAGTGGTAAGAACATTTTCTGTACACGTACTTCGCGATCAACCTTCTACGGCATACTAATAGGGCAAACAGCCCAAATCATAGATACTAGGAATGCAATGAGAAACGATTGGGACGATGAAGTTACTGCTTCGGAAGAAGAGTTCGAACGAAAACAACGACGAGCAACAGCAAGCGACACTGGAAGTATTGACCTTGCTACATTACGACGCAGTTTCCGACTCGGAAGGGCCATGTTGGTCACCACGGTATCGGATATTGGCGATTCCATGATATTTGCGTGTATACGGCACCAAGCACAGACAGCTGCTGTAACAAAGGCCAATACGTACAGGCTTGGAGCCAATTTCATTAGCAGAATTTGTTCTTTTGAGGGTTGCCGCAAATTCCTTTTCGCCCAAGTGAGGGGGGCTATCAAGCTGGGCAAGATGCTACAAGTGTTGCAGCCTAACTGGAAAAATACAGTGGCATTCAACGGGTTTGATAGCAAGCTGATTGGTGTTGATCAACGACTGCTAATTAGATACATCAAGCACAGGATTGTCCCTATACTGGAAAGACTAGAACGAGTGCATGCGTGGAATATGGCAGATGCAGTGCAACAACTAGTTACATGTATTAATCTAGGCAGGGGCCAAACAAAACATCCTCCTTCTATAGTAGAATAGATTAATGAGTTATGAAGTACTAGAATAGGAAAATAAGGGGCTGGTACCCAAAATCAAGCTGGAGTAATCGAGGGTCAGTTGAAAGCGTCAAATGTAGATGTTCGATAATGATAGACGACACTGCTGCTCTTGCGGCTGCGTAGCCTTCGTGATATGCGCCATTGGAGTAAATATTACTAGACTAGTGTAGTAAGAGACTCTATACTATTCAAAACGGCGTAAACTAGACCTAAGATGAAGATATTATCTACCCCGGACTTGCTGCATTCTTCAAGCAGCGTAGTACTGGGCCTATACTTAAGCTATGACGCGGCTGATTTCGATTTCGTCCTTTACTAAAGTTAGTGGCTAAATTCACTTTAGATTCAAGCTCTTACCTCGAGATCGCCAGGTTGAATTAACCCTCTCACCCCAGTACTCTGTAATCTTGGGTGGCTTCTAACCAGTTTACGATATTCAGGGGCACCCGGTCGCACGACGTTGTCTGCGGCAATAACGGCACCCTTGTGCAAGAGACCCAGCTCCTCGTAGACTTTGAAGTCAGCGGGATATAAATCCTCAACATGGTCCAAGAATAAAAAGTCAACACTGGTCAAAGTGCCTTGCGCGTGCAATTTGCGAAGAGATTCTTCTGCGGTGCCAGTGACAACAGTGACGATGTCAGAGAGCCCTGCAAGTTCAATCAACTGTCTAGCAATAGAAGAAAACTCAGCGCTGAATTCAAGGCTAAAGACACGGATCTGTTGAGATGGGTTACTGCGGCGCATGGTATCCGCAAATAGAATAGCAGAGTATCCCAAGTAGCCACCAAGCTCGACGACGGTTTGAGGCTTTTCCTCAGCGATCAAGTTGGATAAAACCCCAGCCTTGTGGCCACCGATGCTGATAAGGAATTCATGATTGGCCGAGAAATCATCAATGACTGAGAGTATCTTTGTGGGAGAGCCTCGTAAATTTTCAAGATCGGGGTGCGAAAGGATGAAGGAGAGCAGTTTGTCTTCACGCCCGTCGTCGGACTATGAGCGTAAGCTTAGCGATGTTTACCATACGGTAATTTTAAAATAATGCTAAGATTGGAAATTACCTCGACTCCTGTTTCAAAGACTTTCTTTAACCCAGGGTATTTCTCACCCAATGCGACGATTTCTGGAGGGTCCATTCTGGCGACGGATACAACTTGGAGCGCGCGACTGCGTGTGTGAAAGAGGTAGTGTAAGTGATTGTGTAAATCAGAATCGCAGTCTGCGAGACACGCTCAAGAGAATGCAGCGGGTTTTTCTTTAATACGCGTTATTGCTAATTGATACTCACAGAAATAGCTTCAATATGAGTTACTGCAGTGTATTTCCTGTTCAAGGAGCTGCGCGTATGCGAAGAGCAGTTGATACTCGAAGGAGTTGATCTTAAAGTCTCATTTTGTGCGGAGATGTGGGGTGCAACTATTAGTCATCGAACGAAGGATTCCTAGGCAGTTATGAGTAGTATCAGGCCTGCATTACCATTGCTTGTTTCTAAAATGGAAGTTTTTAGATGATCAAATAAAAACATGGAAACTTCCATACATATTTTCCACACGTATGGCCGAATTTTGCTTGAATGGTGCATATACTGCCTGTATCGAGCACTACCATAATGCACAAGCGAGTAACGTGTAAGCCGCGGGACGTACCAGACTCGGCTTCACCTTAATAATGCTCAAAGAAAACGAGATACTGTCAATGACTGCGTAGCTACGCAGCAGACATTCGCATGTTTGAGAGTGAACTGGAGAATAAAATGTACGCATCAGTGTATGGACATCCGTCCGCAGCAATCTAACCGTGCCTCTAGCTTTATGCGAGCCTGGGTCCATAGGGATGGAAATCGGAGTTGTGGAGAGAATAATATTATCTCTCAATTTTCACCAAGTCCTTTCAATACCTGCTATGCCTTTAGAGTCCCTAGTCTATAAGATATTGTATTTGGAGAGTCGTGGGGTCTGACATGCTAGGTGCTTCTATTACAGATATCCTGAGCCAATCGTCTCAACGTGTGATTCCTCAAGGATAATATACATGCCATATGATGGGCAGTAGCGCTAGATAGACTCGAGATTAAGTTTCGAGTAGATGTATTAAGAAAATAAACAATGATAGCTCCGTCGGATACAGCACTATTCTTTGAGCATAATTACTACAAAAACAGTCGGCTTCTTAAGAGAGCTGCTGTACTGTATGCCCTGAACTTGCCAAAAGTGGATTGGCGGAGCTCTGGAGCTGAGCGGCCGCCTCGAGCGGGCTTTTCCCGCTCCGGGGATAGCGATTCTCGAAGAATGCTTGAGTCGTAAATCATCATTTCAGTAGCCAATGCAAAGATGGCCTCTTCTCCGGAGTTAAGCTATGTGGATGGTATGAGAAAGAGGAGCTTTGGATCTGTTGGCAGGTCTATAAAGATGAGGACGAAGCCGCGCAGATTGATGGAAGAACAAGCACACAACACTACCATCTCTACATCATAAACATCTCTGCAGTGCGAAGAAGTCACATCGTCTATCGAGTTTTACAATAAATTATAATCTAGCCAACAAACACTTCAGATATATCGCCATGGCTCGCATTTGGTTCGTCACCGGCTCGTCCAAGGGCCTCGGCCTTGCTATTGTCGAAGCCGTCCTCGCTGATGGCGACAACGTCGTTGCTACTGCCCGAAACCCTGACACGGTGAAGCACCTAGTTGAGAAGTATGGATCGGACCGCATCCTACCTCTGGCCCTCGACGTTGTCAACAACGATCAAGTCGAGAGCACCGTCAAGGCTGCAGTCGACAAATTTGGCCGCATCGACGTTGTTGTCAACAATGCCGGCTATGCTGTGCCACGAGCACTTGAAGACGCATCCATTGACATTTACCGGGACCAAATCGATGCCAACCTTCTCGGCACCGTCTATGTCACCAAAGCCGTGATTCCCATCCTGCGCAAGCAAAAGTCCGGCCGCATTCTGCAAGTCTCTTCCGTCGGCGGCCGGCTCTCAACTCCTGGCTTATCGGCCTACCAGGCCGCTAAGTGGGCTGTTGGCGGCTTTTCGTCCGTTGTGGCTAAAGAAGTTGCACCGTTCGGCATCAAGGTGACGGTGCTGGAGCCTGGCGGCATGAAGACGGATTGGGCTGGCTTTGCAGACGATGAAATAACCATCAGCGAGCCGTATCAGCAAACTGTCGGAGAGTTCCAGAAGCTACGGGAACAATACAAGGATTATCGGTCTGAGCCGGCCAAGGTGGCCGATGTGATTGTCAAGATTTCGAAGGAAGAGGAGCCTCCTCTGCGACTTCTTCTGGGCCCTGAGACTGTGGATTTGGTGAAGCAGGCCGCAGAGCAGCTTGCGGCGTCGGACGAGAAATGGAAAGCTGCGACACTGTTGTCTATCTAAATGGTGAAATTGGAGATGCGAATACAGCCAGCGAGTCTTTGTTAGAGGTTATCTGTGGATACATATAACGTTTTATCATCATTACCATGTCGCTCAGCAACGGTTTATTATCCCAGCTGCGATAAATCTGTGATAGTCTAATATTCCCTACTTCCAACATCTTAGTAGCAATCGCCAGTCATTTTGTCTTGATTAACGCCCCGGACTCGTAGAAACAACTATCAACAATTACCTGTAGAAGACTTTGGCAGCTTCTCGGCGCAACCCCGCCAGTGGGGATGCATTCAATGTACAGATGGTTCAGAACAAGGTCAACAAGCTTATCATGCAAGCTATTTCTACTCTTTTCTCTATGCTGTAGTAAATAATGAGCATATCTTCGTATGATCTGGCATATCCTGGCATGCATGCTAGATGTAGCAACAGTAGCGACAGTGATGTGGAGAGCTCGTCATTGCGACAATTTCAACAAGTACCTAGTGGCCTGAGACGTGCCCTTACATCTTTCCGTCTGTTTTCTGTGATTTTCATGAAAATACCTCTACTTCTAAAAGCGGAAAACGGCCTAGCCAAAGAGGAAACTTTATAATCGCAACGATAAGCGAGTTGATATGAGTGAGCTTGATAACAGTAGAGCCAGTGCTTGGTCTTATCATTTGAACCTCTTGGTAGCGACGTCATTTGCGCATGTCATACCTGTCTATATGGATTCATGTGTGAAAACGTGCGACTCGCTCAACTGAAAAAAACTCAGGTGTTAGGCACATACAGGCATAGAAATGCAGCTTGAATATATTCGCACGCCATCTGTAGGTAGCATCAAAGGGTAGCATCCGCGTGTCCCATCGGCTGCATTTGCTGCCCTCACTGGAAATGAGATCATTTTGCCGGGTCAGTTGCCAGGGCACTTGACTGCAACGAGACAGCGTCTCACACTAAACAGGCAACATGAGTGCCGTGTACCAGCTGCCGATTTCCTCTGCACATGAGGCTGGTCTGGCGATGTGTTTGTAAGTAGCGAGTAATCGTACTTTGTTGGCGACAGGGCATACAGGTAGTGACGTCTGCGATGATGATGCCATCGAGCAAATCTTACGCTCTGCGGAGGCGGCGCTCGAGCATAAGACGCCATTCTGTCCCACTTATGCCACGGTTTCAAAAGCGAATATAGATGAATACAAATTGATTTGGTTTACTAGCGTACGATATATCATGCTCGAAAATGAAGTTATCAAGCGTCTTGACATTTCTACCAGTCTTGGCTGGGCTCTCTAAGGCTGTGCCAAACCACGGAACCAGCCAACTCACAATCCAGGCTGATTATGATGCAATAATCGTTGGAGGAGGGCCTGCAGGTCTCAGCGCGGCCAGTGGTCTGGCCCGCGTCCGGCGGAACGTTTTGTTAATCGACTCGGGAGAATACCGCAATGCCCAGACTCGGCATCTGCACGATGTTATTGGATTCGACGGTGAGTCAGTCTTTTGAGCTCACAGGGTTTACAATCAATACTTGTTAAGATATACATTCCGTGCTCGAAGGTAGCTGATCCATCAACAGGAGTCACACCAGCATATTTCCGATGGCTGGCTCGCAAACAAATCCTGGCTTACGGCACCGTCAATTTAGTAAATGGCACCGTTACCAAGATCCAGCCGGAAGCCAACAATTCATATTTCACAGTGTCGGCTGATTATCTTGGCGGTAACAAAGTCATCTTCACTACGCGGAAAGTGATTCTCGCAACTGGTTTGCGGGACTTGCTTCCATCAACCCCCGGATTTGCGGAGAACTGGGGCAAGGGCGTTTTCTGGTGCCCATGGTGCGATGGACATGAGCATGCAGATCAGCAACTTGGAATACTCGGGCCTTTCTCCAAAGCCGTTGAGGCAGTCCGCGAAATCATCACTCTGAATCGGGATATTATCTTGTTTGCCAACGGGACGGATACTCCCGAGGAGAGAGCTATCGCAGAAGAAGGATTTCCCACGTGGGAGAATTATCTGAAACTGCGCAATATAAACATCGATAACCGTATCATTACGTCTCTCAAGAGACTTTCCAATGGAACAATTGGAGACGAGGATCCCAGCCTACCATCTAATCCTGAGCACGACCTCTTTCAACTCAACTTCGAGACTGGCGAGCCGGCCCTTCGTGCGGCTATTTTGACTAATTTTGATACTGCGCAAAAGTCGGACTTGGGTGAAGAGACCGGCGTGGCATTATACGGCGGTAGGCTCGCTGCGGATAAAGACAATGGCCTGGTAACCAACATCCATGGCATATTCGCCATCGGAGATGCCAACTCGGACAATGTCACCAACATTCCGCACGCCATGTATAGTGGGAAGAAGACAGCTGTCCATATTCAAGGTAAGCGTCATTGCCGCTGGCTTTGCAAGGCTAAATCATGTTGCTGACTATGATTCCCCGATAGTTGAGCTAGAGATTGAAAACGCAGAGGTAGAGGTCGAGGTTGAGGATGCAGAGGCGAAGCTTGTAACTTTGTCAACCAAGAGAAATTTGCAAGACCATATGCGAGCGCTGTGGTCGCGCATGAATGAGCCGGGAGATGCACTCTACACGAGAGACTTTGATCAGTGAAACTTAGCAGGGCTATGATACTGGATCAACTGTATATGTGACTGTCTATATGTATTGTTATTATATCCCATAGACAAAACGATGCATTTGAATCACTCTGCAAGAAAGCCTATTAGCATTCCAAACCAAAAGTGCCTTTTGTAGCTTGTATCTTACAGATGTAGATCGTCATAGATAATGTTTTGCCTGCTTTGTATATAATCTGAGGCCATTAGAGCATCTGGTTCTGGTGCCTGTAACTAGTGGTATAGTATAAACAACGGCAAATAATCGTAAAGTTGTATTCCAGATCATCTAGGAGATGCCGTGTCTCGAAGCTTCCACTGGCTGAGCATTTGCTGAGCTTCATCCCGCTGCGAGTCTTCCAACGCAAACTGAGCAACGATATTTATAGAGAACTTTGTCCGCATAGCATCGCCACAAAACGGATTAACCATATTGAGGTACAAGGCAGCATTGAAGACGCTCGCCGCATACATCGAAATTGCGGCCCGGTGAATATCAGCCTCCGATTGACCGCTGGGGTCAATCGAGCCTGGGGGTTTAGATATTGAGATGATGAAAAGAACAGAGTGAAGGATGATGTGAATGCCGCTATATATAGAAACCATACTCGAAGTGAGTGTTTCATTATTAGCTAGCATCCAAGGCCCCGATAATGGGAGGACGGATGATGGGGAATCAGCGGCTACATAGGCAGCATCAACAGCGGGCGAGGTTCCGGAATTTTGTGCAATAATCTCATAGTGCTCGTCTCGAAATTCTAACCACCAGTGTTGTAATTGTTCCAGAAGCATCATTGCTCCCTCTTCAATCTTGCTTTTGCGAGCTGTGGGCAGATCGTGGATGCGGTGTATCGAGCTTCTCAACTTTGCGCCTTTCTGATTCATATTCGGAAGGCGTAGTGTCGTTGTGAAAGAGAGGAGGATATCAATTAGCCTGTCATAGCAAATCTTGTGCTTTTTCTGGAACGGTATAGAGAGCCATTCAGGCGAAGAAAAGTTGGCAGATCGGTTTTGCATAATGGAATGAAATGCCTGGTAGTGGACAACTAGTCAGTGAACAATGACCATATAGTATATGCATAGGGATTTGTAATATCTCACCTCTTTAACCCTCATCGACCGCATCACACTATGAGCAAGGCCATCAACGCATTTCTCAGGACCACGAGCCTGCAACATCTCTACAGCTACTGAGTGATGGAGCAGCTCCGCGTCAGATCCGGCGCCTTGAAGCGATTCGTAGAATGAGAATAGCACTGGGCCACAAATTGCCACAATATCCGCTGAATGAGGCATTTCTGATACTGTATCTTCTTCCGATACCGAAGTCGTCGGTGATTGTCCTGCTTGGTTGCCAAGTACCACGGAGCGATAGCTCTTTATGCCAGCCAGGTAATATTCAATGGCGAGTCTTTCAGCTCTAGAATCACGAGTGACGGCATGGTGCAAGAGCGCAACGGCATGTAGCGCATACTTGAGTGGACAGGGTAACGAATTCGTCGCAACAAGGAAAGGAAGCTTGGGTATCCAAGATTCTGGTCTAAGAGTGGAATAGTTCCGGCGTGAGCTAGTCAGCGTCTGGGTGAATTTGCTCACAAAGCAGTATTCATCGTAAGCGGAGGTGACAAGAACCGGCGGAATAGATGCGCCGTAGTTTAAGACGTCTGAGTTGGAGAATTGATCGCTGTCGAGAAGCGAGAGCCCAGTAATTGAAGTGTCCATCATGACACTGTGGAACATGTCGCCTCTATCTTCATCGGCAGACTGACAAAGGTCGAGGGATGAATCTTCGCTTTCCGCCATACGACGGTAGGATGACGGGGCTGTTGAACAGCTGCTCTCCTCGACACCGATATAGCATGTTGCAATCTCATCTTCGGTGATAAACTCATATCCTGGATTCTCTGTAGCTTTTCGCGTGCTATGCGTCTTCTTTTTCCTCTTTTTCTTTGGCTTCAACATACTGCAGGATACCTTTTCAGTCATGTCGAGAAAGACTGCCCCGCGAATTGCTCCTGAGCAAGACAATCCAAAACGAGCGCATTGTTTACAGCATCCAGGTCTTTCATCGCACTGCGTCAATCGAGTTAGTTTCAGATGTTCAACAGACAATCAAGGGCAGCGATGTTGTGAGTGATGAGATGGGTGTGGACACTTTACGTACCTTGACGCGCCGTGAAATGCACTGTTTGCAGCCTTTGCTGCGCGGCGGACGGCGGACGATTATAGCAGACATTGCCTTGAAAACAGAGGTTGCAGTGGCCTCAGTTTTGATGAGTCTGATATATTACAGCTCGCGGCTCTACTTCCGCCGAGTTTTGAACCTTGGCGGTGTACAAAATGGCTTCATGTTTCTGTTCCGCTTCTACAATGAGAGAGTTACCAATGGAAGTTACAGTGGGCTTGACAGGCTGCTGACAGAATGTCAAAGCACTGCTCGATGAGCCTAGCGGTGGGGTGCTATGTGCATGAACCAGGGGAAAGCCACAGCAATGACGACTGTTCAGTAATAACGGGCTGTTTCGTATTGCCGGCTGAACCTTGCAGAATGACTACACCACTATACTAGTAGTAACAAATAGTTACACTTAGCCTAGAGCCGGCATTTCAGTGGCGTCAGGCTTGACAGCTCGCTACACGTTTCGCGTAATGTGTACATGTAGGTATTGATTTGCTCAATTGAGAAGGCGAAACAACTCAAAACTTACACAACTCTGAGTACCAAAGAGAAGAGTAGAGCCGGAGCAGCATTTCAACTGCAACACAGCATTGTGTCTATATTTAACAGCGCTTACGCTATGCATGACAAACTGCTACGGGCAACGCGTGGGCTTCACATGTCTGAGAAATAGTCGTGCATAATGACGAGAGAGAATATGTTTTTTGTGCGTTTGTAATGATTATGATGAAAATAAAAGCAGCTATACAAGTCATTTATCAGGTCTGCCAAATGCCTCAAGTCAACCTGGGCCTCAGTTACCTCCAACCCCACAACAGAAAGTCAGATTTCATCGTCCTCGTTCGACGTTCGCAATAAGCTTCACCAGCTAAGCCAAATGAAACAAGAGGATCAAATCCACTGAAATAATGCTTTTGCTCTCTTTGTTCACAAGATATAGCGAAAGTTGGGGTGGTAGTCGTATGCTTCCTCAAGCGACAGAGAAGACTGTGGGTCAATAGTTCCAGCTGTGCGATGGTGCTCCGCCTCTTGATCTTTCTTCTCGTTAAGACGTCGCATCCAAAACCACACAACGCAAGTCGAAAGCAATGCCACAACTTGAAATGCCAAACAAATGCTGTGGCCTTTGAGGTAGCGAGGAGGATCCGTGTAGATGTGAGATGCCATGATGGAAAAGCACTGTCCAACCACTTGGGTGACGGCCCAAGTAATTGCCCGCTTGGTAAATCCACCAATGTTAATCCCTGTCCAGGCGCCAACTATGGTGAAAGACGGAAAGACTCCAGTAGTTATAAGGCAAGTGCCAAATAGCTTGACTTTATCATTGGTTACCAGCATTAGGATAATGTAACCCACGATGCAGATTGTGTGGCACAGCATCAAAAATGGCGCTTTTATGTTCAACCGATCGGAGGCAATATTGAGGACGAGAAGGGTGACGAAGGCACACGCGTACGGGATGATGGAAAAGAGCTGTGTTTGAACTTGAAAACTATAAGCGAATGGAGTTTAAATCTAGAAGAAGACTTACCAGGCGAGTAGTTAAAGTCATTGATAAATGTCGGCAAAAATGAGCTTATAGACGAGAGGGACAGAGATATCCCGATGTTGATCAACGAGAAAAGGTATAACTTGGGATCTTTAAAGGCAACTAGCACCTGCACCCAATCGAATCCGGCTCCGACCGTGTTATAAGCTATTCTGAGTTAGCTGTTTTGTTTTCATCTAGATCGCCACCGAGTTCTTACTCTTGAGACGCTCTACAGCGAGTTCAATTTCCTCTTGAGAAAATAACCAATGTTTCTTGCCCTGAATTTGATCCGGAGGATTAGGTAGCAATATCCAGGAGCATATGCCGACAAAGATACCAACACAGCCTTGGATGATGAATAACCACTGCCATGCTGCGTATCCCAAGGATCCGTCCAGATTCTGTTGTATGGCATATGCAATAAGGCCACTGAAGCCTCCGGCGATGGTTGAAGCAGAGTAAAAGAGCCCTATCACGTCAGTACTTGGCTATAACATGAACATGGGTTGATTTACCAGAGCGAGTTGCCACCTCATCTCTTTTATACCAAAGACTCGTGTATAAGCTTAGGGATTGAAGGAAGGCAGTAGCGGCTCCAATCAGTACTCGAAGTGCAAGGACCGTAGCGGCGTTTTTGGCTGCTGCCGTACAGCACGAAAATGTTGCAAATAGGATAACACAGCCTCCGATCTGTCGATTCGCTTTGAAGGAACGAACGGTAAGGTAGGCAGGGATAATAAAGAGCATATAGCCAACGTCTGAAACGGGTTAGCCATCACGAGAGAAACAATATTCATCAGCTCGGTCTTACAATACAAAGAAAGAACGTTGTAAAATTGGCCGTTCGTGATGTGGAGATCAGATTGTAGGCCCATGAGGCGGGCATTTCCAATGTTTCCTCGATCCTAAGCAGCCAACTTGTTAAAAGGAAACTTTTGCGGATGATTAGATTTTCTGCTGCCCACCCATTGGTTCACGAGCATGATTAGAGATATCATCCCAACTAGAATGATATCGACTTTGAGAAGCAGGCCATTTTGTAACTTCTTCTCTTTGAGCGTTTGGATTGGGTCCGTCGCTACAAATCCGTCATCGACGTACTTGATCGCAACTTCATTTTTTTCGATGTTGACTTCGTTGGAACTCATGGTATGATATAGCTCAAATGACTTGAAGATTGTGATATTAGGCAATGAAGATGAGCGTCAAAAACAGAACATCTATTGCTTTTATATAGAGAGCTACATTGCTCTTGGGTAAGATACTATTGAATCCATTATAGGAGCACCAAAAACCTGGGGTTCTACGTGCCGGCAACCCCAGATCCGAATTGCCGGACGTGACATGCAGAAGTAGCTGAGACTTGAAGCCGTGAAACTCAATAGGCCAAGAATAATAGTGTACGAGATTGATGAGTTTAGCGCTGCGCTACAATGTTCATTGGGGCAAAAGGTGGGCTGTGCATCTTGCCAGAATAGGTAATTATCGCGATGGCCGCAGTAGCTTAACAAGGATTCAGAAGAATGCCAAAAGTGGTAATTTTCCCTTGTCCACGATACTGTCTACTATCTAGTAGTAGTATAATCGTATAATGTTGAGCTATTAAAGGATATGCCAAAGGTGATAGGATCAACCTGTGTTAGTTTAACTGACATACGCCCCCTTTTGAGTATAAAAACAGTGGAAACGTGCTAAGGAGATGCTTGTCTCCGTTACGAATTCGAGCGGTCTACGTAATTCATCAACCATCAGCCACCTTTGATGGCAACTCACTGCCCAGACTCTCAATACATCGGACTTTCGTAGGACCAGAGCAGGAGTCCGATACTTATCTCCTGAATATGACACGGAGTTCGGAAACTTTTACTCAAATCCGCCTTCAAAGGATGTAGCCGCATTGGCAGAGGGCGAGGATGTTGGAGGAAGAAAAGATATAAATTGGTGCTAAATCTCGGTCACAATTTCATCTTTCTTTCTTTTCAGTATCTTCATTCACATCATCACTCAAATCTCCGAATAGCTTATACAAAATGCCCATCTCACTCACGCTACGGAAGCCATCCAGCTTTCGGGACAAGGAAAGCGAGCTTCAATTGCGCATCAAGGAGCCTTTCAATGTCGTGGCTGTCGGAGACATGATTCAAACGATGCCTTTTTCCAATAGGACTGACCCCAACATCCAAGCTCTTGTCCAGCTGATGCAAAAATCCGACATCACATTTGCCAACAATGAAAATACAGTCGTGGATCGCCTTACATTTCGCGGTCCCATCTCCCACATGGAGGCCGACAAGCACGTCGTGGATGACTGGAAAGATATGGGCATCGATATGGTCACAAAAGCTAACAATCATACATTCGATTGTGGTGATGCTGGTCTTGTCCAAAATTTTGAGCAACTTCGCCGCGTGGGTATTGAGTATGTTGGCACCGATTACAATACTGCGGAGGCGAGGCTTGCCCGATTCAAAACCACCCCTAAAGGTATCGTGGGTTTCATCGGAGCGTATGCTGAAACAGAAGATCATTCTCAGCTGTTTGGTATATCCGCGAGAGACCCAATTGTTGTGGCGCCAGACCAGCTTGCCCAGCTGAGAGCAATGCGCGATAGCCTTCTTGCTCGGCGTGCGGAAGTTAAGACGCCAATTGGCATGCCTAATGCAGACCCCGAAGGATCTGTTCTTGTGTTTGGACGCCAATTCAGGGTTCAAAATGCCAGCGCTGACGCCGATGAAGAGATTAACAACATTAAACGGCGCTTGGAACACCACCTAAACTCGAAGGGGACGATTACCTATAAGAATAACTCGGTCCGTCTGAACGTTTACCACAGCGTCACCGCTGAGCAAATGCAACAGCTGCGATCCATTGCAGGTGCCGATACGAATGACAGCTCTGAGACTCTCGATGCTTTTGGCGTTCATTTCCGAGTCGGTCCAAAGATAGGAGAGTACAGCTATGAGATGGAGCCCCAGGATTTCCGCGACATTCTTCGTGAGGTTCGCACTGGGAAACAATTTTCGGATTTTCTCAGCGTTACCATCCATTGGCACCAAAACCGTTTCTCTTTCCAACACTACTCCTTCGACCATTATCCAACAGATTATCAGATCAAGTTTGCCCGTGCAGTTATCGACAATGGCGCCGATTTCTTCTTCGGTCACGGCGTGCACACGCTCAAGGGAGTTGAGATATACAAGGGAAAGCCAATATTCTACGGCATCTCCAACTTTGTTTTCCAGAACCCTCAGTTTCGCTCATGGCGCGACGATGCCGCCGGACGAGCTCCGGCCTCCCTAGAAGGCCCTATTGTTGGAGATGGCGAGGCCAATGAAATGCGCTGGGCTTGGCTGAATGAGTCAGAAAATAGAGAGGCGCTGCTCATATCGGCCGATTATGCTGATGGAAAGTTATCGCGTGTGTTGGTCTATCCGGCAGACTTGGGAAAAACTCCTCGCAGTGGATCCATGACTGGAACGCCCACAAAGCCCACCCTTGAGGTTGCCAACGAGATTCTTGGCCGGCTTTGCGAGTACTCTGAGCCATTTGGGACTAAAATTTCGATTGAGGATGGTGTTGGAGTTGTTCATATTCCTTCCGAGTAGGGTAGTCTTGGGGTAGACTACATGTATTTTTTCGTGATTAGAATAAAATACACACAAAATCTGTCTAGTATACAATTCATTTCCTTCTTTAAAAAAAGAGAATCAAACAAGAATAATATTTCAGCTGTGATATTACATATTCAGCAAAGCTCTATCGGTGCGTGTTGTAAAGCTACATCTAAATACTTCCATAGAAGATACCCAGGTTTTCCGTGACTGTGCACTAACCTAGAGGACTGAGCTAAGACTTTCAAGTTGCACATAAGATCACACGAGAAAACAGAGTAAGAAAAGAGATGTAATGGAGAGAAAGAGTACAAATAACAGGCTAAAGTAAATGGGTTGACCTTTTCCAATAAACCCGAGCTGTTGAGAACCGTATGGCTGATACATGTACTTCTTAACCGTGAGTCATCATCCCATCACATTGGCAGGATTCAATTCGAGTTAATAAGCATTATTCAGCCAGGCTTTTCTAATAAACGCACGCAGTTACATCAGCACCTACGCAACTGATCACATCAGTATCTTCCTTTAATTTAAATAAGATTAGACCTAAACCCAAGTTTAATTTGATACACGTATTCTTTTCTCGCAGCGTTGAATGCCACCAGCTGAATTGCCGAATCTACTGGATCGAGTACCCGCCTCCAGGTCTTAACGTAAGCACATATCGACGCTAGGAAGTAAAACGTAATTCCGAATTGATGCCTGGGGAGCCTGGCCGTAGGCGGACTATAATAACAACTTGAAATGCCGAGAGCCTGAACCGTCGCGTGCTAAATGTCTCCAGAATACACAAGAATCTAAACCGTGCTCTCTTTCGCGACTCCGCTATAAGACTATCTGAGACCGACTATCTCTTCGGGGATCGGGAACAGCCAACCTAGGAATATGACAATCCACAACCGCCATGTCATCAGCGGACCCAGCAACGCAGCTTGATACCCAGGAACAGCCTCAGAAGACCAAGAAGCCCCTATCCTGCATCTCCTGCAAGCTCCGGAAGCTGAAATGTGACCACGAAAAGCCGATATGCACTCGGTGCACCAAAGCCGGCAGCGAGTGCATATACCCAGAAGCAAGACGCAAGCCGACCATCCAGCGAAGCAACGTCAAGGAATTGGAGGCTAGACTAGGTGCGTATCGGATACGACAAACCCATCGCGCTATGGAGTAAGCACATCAGCACCTAACACTTACATGAACCCATAGCTCAGGTCGAGGGCTATCTCAAGGAAGCTACTGAGGAAAGTCGAGATGTGAAAAGAGGCAAAGCCGACGGCAATCAAGACAGTGACGATGGTACGAAAAGTCGATCGAGAGCCGCGACGGCAACTGATGAGGAAGATGTTGCTGCCCTGGATGAGCAGACTCCATGTATCCCACTAGCACAGTTCGCCGACCCCAACCAGTTCGCTAACCCGGCCGAATCTGGTGACGGCCTTCCTTTTGAGTCGTCAAACTTCGAATATCTGAATGGCAAGCAATATAGCAATGACGAGCTGATAGATCTCAGCATGTCAGAGACGTTGCCCCCTCTTGATGTTATAGAAGAACTGTATGTTGTATCATGCCCAGTTTCTTCTTCGTTTCTTCTTCTAACTCGACTTATGTATTGGACAGGCATGAATGCTTCTTTACTACGCAGTACCACTACATGCCGCTTATACAATCTTGCCGCTATTACCAGGCCTTTTATGGTGGCCCTATGAGGAAGCCGCCCATGTGCCTGCAATATGCCATTTGGGCAATGGGAGCACTGTGGCACCCCAAGTACGACCGATGCGCCGATGTATTTTATAAAAGATCTCGATATTACGCCGAGGCTGACGAAATGAGAGTGAGAAGCCAGCTCTATCGCCCGTACTCGAATCATGAACTATCACGTAACTAACTGAGACTCAAGGAATCCGGAGAATATTTCATCACAATAGCACACGCTCAAGCTTGGGCCCTCATAGCTTGCTATGAAGCGAGAGCTATGCTCTATACTAGAGCGGGAATGAGCTGCGCCAGGTGCTGCCGCCTCGTACACATGCTTGGGCTTAACAAAATCGACAGTCCAGATGACGATGCTCCAGAGACTCTTGGCCCTCCGCAGGATTGGATCGAGCTAGAAGAGCGCAGAAGAGTCTTCTGGGTGGCCTTTTCATGCGATGCTCAATCAAGCATGGCAACTGGCTGGCCTAGTTATATCAATTCTGACGATGTAAGCTTGTCTTTTCTAGGCCCATGACCGATGTAACCTGACTTGATAGATCATGACTCGACTTCCAGCTAGTGAAGAGGCTTTCATCTCTGGCGAAGAAGAAGAGTGCCCTTTTCTGGACGATGTTATGAAAGGCGCATCCTACAGCGGCTTTTCCGGCTCTCTCGTGCTTAACCACCTCTTAAAGGCCATCATGCGTCATGTCCATCTAATTAGGCCGTCGGACCGACCTGAGGATCCCACGCACGGAGAGTTTTGGAAGCGACATCGCCGTTTGGATAATCAGCTGTCGACCTTGTTCATGTTTATGCCGGACAAATTCCGTCTGCCAGAAAATTTGCATAACCCTCTAGCGACTTACATCAATCTCAACTTCCACGCATGCGTCATTTGCTTGCATCATGTTGCCCTCGAGGTCATTGAAAAGCATGGCCTTGGCGATCCTTTGAGAAAGGACAGTCGATACCTTTTAAAGAATGCCGCAGATGAGATTGCCAGCATTGTCAAGATGACATCCCATCGCTCATCATTATTTGTAAGACCTTTCTCGGCTACGTTAAAGACTCACAGGACTAACAGAGCCCTTAGAGCAACCCTTTGTGCGCCTTTTCGCTGTATAGTGCGACAACGGTGTACGTTTACCTAGCCAAAGAAGATCCAGCTACGGGAATAAATCCTGTCGACATGTCCAATCTTGAACTCATCGTCAATGCCATGGAGGCGATCGGTCGAATACATATGGTTACCTGTGCCTTCTTGCAGCAAGCTTGCCTTGATATCGACAATAATGGCCTCTCGTCAACTATCAAAATACCAGCCCTCTACCAATACCGCAATCTCTTTGGCGGCCCAGCCTCCAACATTCCCCTGCTGGCTCGAAGCCCCATCTCAAAACACACGCAAATGAGTTCTCCGCTGCCTGGGCGACTGCCTCTGGGCAACCCTCTGGGCCACTTACGGCCGACGAATCTGAGAATGACAAAGTCAATTCCGTTACTGACTGGGGTGACGGCACAAATGGGCCGAATGGGCATTACAGAGAGCTTCCGGCCTACCTTTGGCGCTATATCCAGAAATTTGGCACCCCGGCCCACTGATAACATGAATAAAAGAAAGCGAGATCCTATGAGTTCTCAGGCTGCAACAAATACAGACGCAGAGATATTTATGGCGGCCTTGCGTAATGGATATATTGGCCGCGCACCTACATCTGGAGATTTCACACCTCTCGATCGGACCAATTCACCGCACTTTTCTTTCTCACCTATTGGCCAAGGGACGGGCAGTGAACCGGGATCGAGTAGTAACAGCGTATGGCCTTGCACCACAGGAAGTGACCCAGGGCATAACTCAAGCGATTCCCAACAAGACCAGAGCCACCAGCCTTCAATGGCCTGGCAGTTGGATGATGACATGATGGCTTTTACCGAAGGCTTCTCCAACGATTGCCCGGATGCAAACGGTGGCCCACAGGCTTTTTTCTGAGTTATAACTCGTGCTACCATACTTGGACGGCGTATACAGATGACTGAATTTGGAGTACATGGTTACAATGGCTCTTAACAGGGAGGTGTTTCAGGAGTTCAACGTTCTGAACTGCGTTGAAGGAGATGCCATTCATTTTGTCTTATATGGATCGCCATCTGATGCTTAAAGCGATGCTATAGATTTTAGCCTATGAGAATATCAAGTACACATCTCCCCTTTATTGGTACGGTAGATGAGGCCCGGAAAATCGCCCCAGCTTCTCACATCCATGTTATTATCGCATTCCTCATTTTTCTTTTGGTGTGGAACAGAATGACTCGTTCCATGATGACAATCAGCTTTTAACGCCACTTTGATACAAGCAATTTCGTTGTGGACTGCTAATTGCAATCATGTACGTCGTCAGCTATTACGTCGACTCTAGTATTCTCATTACCACACATTTCTTACCATATTCAAAGATGGCAATCTCACCAATGAAATCGCTACCGGAGTTCGGGCTTTGGTCGACAGCGGCGAGAAAATGAAGCGGAGACACGTCGTCAGCAGCATTGTCACGGAAGTCGCCATGCTTTGTTTGCCGGAACTCGGGGTTGCCCAACAGCGGTTCAAACCACTACGTTTTATCTATAAACGAAGAGCTACAAGATAGAAATGTAGAAAGATAAATGAACTGAACATTAAAACAATCACGATCAAAGCAATGGATTCACACTTCCTAGCAGGCAAAAAGATAATTATTGCAGGTGCCGGGATGTCGGGCCTGTCTTTCACTCTCGCTCTTCGGCGCCTCTGGCCCGCTAATTTGACGCCTCCAGACATCACGATTTATGAACGCGAATCCAACGTCGTACCAGCCGGCCGAGAAGGATACACTCTGTCACTTGCTGGCCACGACGAGACCGGCGGCCTCTATGCAGCTCGCGATCTTGGCATACTGGACGACATTATGAAACATGCCGTGCAGGGCCTGGGGAATAAGTTCAAGTTTACAATGTGGAACAGCTCATGGAGTGAACTTTTAACTCGAAAGTTTGAGCCTGCTCCCGGTCTACCTACGTCAGGGATCCGAATTGCAAGGAAAAATCTTCGAAAAGTGCTGACTGATGCGGTCGGCCGAGAGCGAATTATATCGAATACTACTTGCGTGGATGCAGAGAGGCTCTCTAATGGGAAAATGCTCGTCAAACTCTCTGGGAGCCATCTACCAGAGAATGAGTCGACCGCTGAGTGTGATCTTCTCATAATCGCTGATGGAGCATCCAGCAAGTTCAGAGCAAGTCTCCGGCCAAATGATACCTTGCAATACACTGGAATCATGCAAAAAGGCGGCCTGGCTATCTTTCCAAATGGCATACCAAAGCCGGTTGACGAAAAATGGGGAATCATACTTTCCTCGGGCAAAGGCGTCGCTTGCTTCCTGTCGCCATACGATGAAACAAGCGTATCTTGGGGCTTGAGCTATCGCGCACCAACTATTGAAGAGCCATTGAAGATCAGCAGCATCGAAGAAGCACAATCAGTGATAGAAGAATGCAAGGAGCTTGGAAAAAGAGTTTCTTGAACCATTCCAAAGCATTCTTAACGCAACGGATCCAAAGTTTGTGTCTCGGCTCGCTGCTAGAGATAAACAGGCTTTCAGCCATGATCTTTCACTCGGACCGGCAATCTTCATAGGGGACAGTAACCACGCAGTTACTCCATTTTCGGGATATGGAGCTAGTCTTGCCATGAAAGATGGCTGGGATCTTGCAACGCAATTGTGCAGCTCTCAGAGTCTGGAAGAAGCTGTTAAAGCGTACGATGCTATTAGCATACCGAGGGCCACTAAAGTACTCAAGGAATCACGCCAGCGGATTGATATGAGCCATGCGACTGGCTTTAATTACTTTTTAGATAGGAGCCTCCTTAGTTTTGGTGGATTTGTTCTTGGGATCAAAGATGCGTTAGGTTCTACATAGGAGCGAGAAAGCTTCTATCAACGTACATGCGATAGATTGCTTCTACCTAGTTCCTGAAACGGAGACAATTTTTATAAATTTATCTCTTAAAGAAACAATACTTTCAGTTCTTTTAAAATGGGAAAGTCATCCTTTATTTATCCCACAAATGTATCTGAGTAAAGAAAGAGAAATGCGAAATCATATGTAAACTATCCGAGACTTCACGAGGCCCTGCGTAGTATTCTAAGCACCTTGAATAACAAATTAGCAACGTAAAGCAGAATATGAGGACCCAAGATATAAAGGAAGAGGCCAATGAATATTCCAAGCGCAATGGCAGGAACTTGTGCAAGCTGGCGAGTTATCCACGTAGTGATATCGCCAACCAATAGCCATTCTCCACTCATCTTTCTCGCTTCACGCAAACCTAAGAGGCCATCCAAACTTCGTCTGCTATTGTCGCGAATATATGCATCAATCCCACCCTTTTTCACCATTTTCTCTAGTGCTTTCTCGAGGGTTGGGCGTTCTTTGTAGCAACAGCAATCTACTGCCATTTCCTCCTCTGAGTGTTGAGAGTGAGAATCACGGTCGAGTATAGGCACACCGTAGCCGCAGGAGGTTTGGACCTTGTTTTAAGAGTCAGTCTTTTGGTAAATAAATGAAAGCGCAAGGAAATACGCCAACCTCCCATATCTCCAGCATAATGACTGCTCTTATTCCAGGAAAATCCCCTTCTTGGCCGATAGATTGCATCAATTCCGAGAACCTTGGATCAGTTCTCTCAACGACCGAACCAGTGCAAAACAGTCGCATGATTCGAGGTTTCCCATCCAGACTGCAAAACATGAGAGTGGCTCTCTTATTCTCGTATAAATGAGAGATTGTCTCGACGCCTGAGCCAGCAGTGTCCAGATACGCGGCATGATTTGAGTCGAAGATGTGAAAAGTGGATTGTATAAGGCCTTTTGGGGAGAGATTGACATGTTGGCCATTTAGAGGGGCCGATGCGATGAAAAACATTTGTTGTTGCAGCGCCCATGTTCTAAGGTCCTCAGAAATAGATTTGTAAAAGTGAACCATGGTATTTGATGGATTATGATGAAGTGTTCTTAACTGAAACAATTTTTTTTTTTTTTACAAAGTTTAGGAGAAAAAAGTATTAAAAAACTGCCAGGAACAGGGTGAAACGAATTAGATGCCTCTCTATATAAATTTAATTGAACCACTTCTTGATACTTCCTAATCCTCGGAGATAAGGCACTGTTGTCTTCTGTAGAGACTTTGACTGATGATTTGTCGCATGGTCTGGATCACGGCTGAACAGCTACCATCTAACTCACTTCCAACTCAAATAATTTATATAAGTAGCATTTCGTGAGTGCCTCAACTCATATCTTAAGGCTTGATGCCAAGACATTGTCAACAATCAAGCCGCTATATTAGCTTCGCCTTTTATTGGAGATCTTAATTCCCGATCAAAGCCTCCTTCTCCGCTGCCAAGTGCCGGCATTATCAATGCCCGGATCTGCTTGGCTTATACGGATGCTGTAGCAAGTCAACGCCACCGAGGTTTGAAAGGAAAAACAATAGTAAGCTCTGGCCACTCTATTTCCGCCGACTCTGCTTTTGGAGCCAAATTGTTGGCACTATTGTATTCTGTGACGCAGCGGGGCTTCTTCCGCGGACTTTAGAATTTGGCCCCGCTGCCCATCCCACTGTAGAGAGAATTCTCAAACCCATGGAAAGTGCGAATATACGATAATGAAGTACGCAAATAGTGGCGAGAACAAACACTGCTGCTTCTAAAAGACTCGTATTTGGGAAGACAGTAGTCAACCATGTTCAACCCGATATCATAGTCGAAGCGGCATTGAGAAGCATCTCCTTCTTCCCAGGGTTTTATCTGGTGAGCAGCTCTCGATAATGAAGACGAATATCAGGTCAGTCGTGCCAACAAAAAATTCGACCACTCTTGGCTAAGGTCATGGCCTCCTCAAGAAGTTCAGTAGGCTTTCAAGATACCCAGATAGATGGATAGAAAGGCAAGACTATAAGCATAGAAATCCAAGCTCTAATAAGAATCAACCATGATCCTGCTCAACATTGAGCGTTAAATTTTTAACTTGTAAACAAAATCCACATATGGAGCCCAAAAGATACGCAGCAGCCAGTCGTATTATATAATGCTGGTGTTCGAGTAAGCTACACTGCAAGGACGTGAATCATGACTTGCATGTATAGAATAGATGAAGGAGGCACACTTGGGCAGAAACACAGCCCCGCATTCCTACTGTAGGATTTTACATCGTCGTTTAGCTTCTAACACGTGGGCACGCGGGTGAAAGTAGCATATGACGAAAATCCGTGCGTGAGCGCGAAGACCATTGTTGTTTTAGTTAATTCACACATCATTTATCTATTTTTCAATGGGGAACCATGACATCGCAGCTGACTATGCAGCATCCATACATACGTGTAATCAACGCAATAATCTGAAGCGGGCGCATATGAGGGGTCTAATTGTGATTTGCGATGGACAATTGGGTTTGAAGGATGAGCTTGCACGATAGCGTGACATCCATTCATCACTTCGGATGACAGACATGACTAGCCATGCAATCTCAGCCTCCATCGATCTTGAGATGCTACTGGCCCACCATCTTAGCCGTATTTCCGGGACCAAGGCCACTCCAACACATGGCTGTATGTCATAGGTGGAATCCCTGAAGCGAGATGAGATAGCATTTCAGCTAATGATGTGCGTCTCCGCAAATCAAGGAAAGGGCTAGAACTAGCGGATCTTGCATTAACAGAATTAGGGAAACGTTAGTACCAAGTAGATATTTGTGGTAAAGTAATGGGCGTCTAAAAAAGTAGAATTTTCTAGATATTTTATATCGTTGTATGCTAGACAACCAAGCTGTTCAATACTGGATTAGAGAACATATGGCTACTAGCGGTTATGGTAGTACATAGGATACATAAAGATCAAAGTTAATAGGCAAATAAAACTCTGCTTCTCTGCATATATTGTTCATTTATACTATCTATATTCGTCTACTCCCTAGTTCATTCCTTCGCTTCTTCCTTCACAATCCACTCTCTTCCTTCGCATCCTATTTCTAGATAGCCTAGCCAGCTAGCTTCGCATCATACCATGCTCCATCTTTCTGCATGGATTTACGTAGGTGGCTAGCTTGGTTTAAGCATACCTGAGCTTTGACATTAAAGGGCTTCTTAAAGACAGCCGCGGGACGTTTTCTCAGATTTATTCCAACTTATCCTTCGAAATCGTTTACACACCAATACCGGGTTTCATTCTACTCTAATCTCTTGAAACCCCCTGAAATACCCTCCAACATGTCTTCCAAGACACTTCCTGTCATTATCGTTGGTGGCGGCCCAGTTGGTTTAATGGCTGCCCACATCTGCAATAAACTTGGTCTGGATTTTGTACTTCTCGAACAGTATCATAGCGTGACTCCAGATATTGGAGCATGTATCGGCCTATGGGCACCTTCACTGCGAGTTCTTGATCAACTTGGGCTGTGGGATGCATTTGAACCTCAAGTAAAACCAATGTTTGACAAGATATCTTTCACGCAAGAAGGAGGCATCATTCACTCGGGCTCGATATTCGCTGTAAATGAAAAAAGGTGCTATAATTACTCCGATCCATTAGATGACACTCACTGACTCTGATTAGATATGGTTATCAAACATCCATGTTCCGGCGGCACGGTATTCTTAAAACTTTATACGACTCTTTGCCAGAACGCTCTAAGCAGCAGATCTTGGTAAACAAGAAAGTCGTCGCTCTTGATATCAAAGAAGAAAGCGTCAGCGTCCGCTGTGAAGATGGGTTTGAGATTGAAGGCTCAATCATTATCGGTGCAGATGGATCGCACAGCGCAGTGCGAGAATGTACAAAAGAACTGGCCCGTAAGAGCTTTTCCGAAAATGAACCCTTTGGAAAAAGTGAGGACTTTAAAACAACATACCGACTCTTGTTTGGAAACTGTCCACGTATTGGCGATGCTAAGCCTGGCACCGTCTACGAGTGTCATAGATTCGGAACCTCTACCCAGGTATTTGTTGGCGACGACATCATGTGGTTTTTTCTCTATGAAAAGCTAGATAAGCCCACGTCTGAGCACAAATCATACGCACAGAAAGATGCCGATGAAATTGCCGCTCGCTATGCGGACCATCGTATCACAAAAGGGCTCCATCTTCGAGACTTGTACAAGGCGCGAAGTGCCTCGGGTGCAACTGATCTCGAAGAGGGCATTCTCGACAAATGGTGGTGGAAACGTATTGTTCTCGTCGGAGACGCGGCACACAAAGTGACTCCCAACGCTGGTTTGGGATTCAACAGTGGCATACAAGATTTGGCCGCGATTGCAAATGGCATGCGAAGTCTTCAAAGCAAAGGAGGAAGTCTGCATGATAACGAGGCCATTGAAGCGCTCTTCTCGCAATATCAAAGCCAGAGAACGAAGCCCATGAGGAAATTCGGCGATCTTTCTGCCAAAACAACGCGCATATGCGCCTGGCACTCGCGCACTGCAATGATATGGGATCGCTATATCATGCCTGCACTCAACCTTGAACTCATCATGAGTAGACTTCTGGTGGTGCCGATAGTCAGCAATTCTATTGTTCTCGATTGGCTGCCTGAGCCACATTATCGCTCCGGGTCAATTGCTTGGAAGACTGCTCCGAATCTGAATCTTACTGAAGAGGTTTCTTAGGCTACTGCATATTCAGCCTCGGCGAGTGACAGAGGAGTTCAGGTTTTAGTTAAGACAACACATTTATTAGGCTAATGTATTCTTTACCTTATAATACCATCATTACTGTGTATTTCATTCCAATAGCCACATCTTTGGTGTCCTTTCCATTTTTAGAGGCACTCACTACATGTCCAAACGATAAGCTAAAATGCAGGCCTGGGACAAAAAAAATGCCGATCAAGTTGAAGGCATGTCGATGACTACTCAATGTGCTTTTGCGCCGAGAGCCCATAATTTGGTTGACAATAGCTGTCGCACTTTGGGTCTACAAAGCACATGTAATTAGATGCATAGGCACAAGCCATGAAAAACGTGGACCATAGATTGATATTTTCAGCTTGGACGTATCCAAAAGTCTGTGAATGCCTGAAGCTGACGTCTACAACAACCCCTGTACCCAACTTCTATCCATGCTGCAAAGACGAATATCATCAAATACTTTGATCAGCTGAGAATAATTAAAATTTGAGCGAGCGCGTCCGTCATTATATATATCATCCACGTATTGCGCCCTCTATATCTGCCAATTGCGGCCAATATCTTCAGACAGCTCTGGGATTAGAGCGAAGATGAGCTCATCGATTGCGACAACTGTACCGCATTAAAAATATATGATTGACTTTTCGTCATGGTAGTAAATGAAAAGATTGGTCCAGCTATGGCTTTCGCCTCTCAGCTGTGATTGTTCTCGTGGAGGTAGCTGAGCATGCGCCCATAAGAATTTGTGGCTGGCTGAGATAAAGTGACGGAGCTGAAGCTGGAGTAATCTCTTATAAAGTAAGCCGCGCTCTCCTTCATAGCTTTGAGAAATTCTTCATTGCATTGTGTCAAGTTTGCTATATCACTACAAAGGCCATTCTATGAAAACATTGGAACTTTTCTTTTAAACTAGTCTTGATTTGCGGAAAGGCAACTCGCCATCATGCTTGTTTACCAAGGACAGCCAAAAGCCAACCCTGATGGAATTGAATCGGTCACGGCCATTCTTCCAACAAAGGCCGAAGCTGGAGCGCCATGCATCGTTCTATGGCGCAAAGCCACCACGGCATCGACCAATTCAAAAGCTGCGAGCAGGGAACCACCCAATTTTGGAAATTTCGAAGCAATTCTAGAAAAGGGCGACGACAAGAATACCAAGTTCAAGTCGGCCGCATCCAACTTGGAACTAGACTTCACTGGAGATCATAAAACCGTGTCTCTCAGCTTCCAGCCTACTCATGGCGGCCAAATCCAAAACACAAAGCTGACCTTAGCTCTAGGAGACCCGTTCAAGACTCACTCGCCCCAATCTGAGGCATCCATCTTTGGCGGGCCCGTCATCATCCAGAACAAGGGCCGTGAGAATCTCATTGCTCTAGTTCTATGTGAGAAAGATGAAAAGGGATCCCAAAAGCCAATCAGCGTCTTGATTGAATGGGGTGCAGAGGTTGCCATGGCCGAGATACCTCTAAGAGTTCAAACTTGCCAAAGCAAAGACAAGGACACCATTCCCGACCATGACGAAAATCTTTGCTTCAGCTTGAACAGCCGCCAGCACCATTTCCACGGGATGGTGAGGCGCCCGCGTCGTTCTTCTCCAGAGCTGTTACTGCAAATTCGCCCTCTGCCTAATGCTCAGTCTAATGCCAAATCTGATGAGAAATCCGATGAGCCAGCAGCTTGGCAGACAACGCAGAGCTATCCTTCCATCGGCAAATACAACGACTCCATGCACACCATTGTGCGCCGATCCGCTGAAGCTCGCCACACAAGAGTGTGGAACGACACTGCCGATAACGACAAAGGCATTGCGCCATCACTTGTAACTGTCACTATCCAAGAGAGTGGTGCAGCAAATGACACATACAACAAGGGCATGGCGGCTGCAGGCCTCTTCGTCGCTCTCCTAGGAGTTGCTGCTTGTGCTGCGCCGCCATCTCTGAGCTCAGTTGGGTGGGCAGTTGGCATTGTGGGAATGCTTCTTGCTGGCAAATCAGGGCATGACAACTTTCACGAAGATCCTGGCAAGTCCATTACCAAGGTGCTTTACCCGAGAGATCGCATTTGTCGACGCGCTGTTGGAAGTGGTGGTAATGAGATTCTCATGTACCGAGCCTATATGGAAGGGCATGTGCTGAAGATTACGAAATACTTCAGGCCATCTGCCGGAGTCGGTATAATTAGGGTCTCGAATATCATCAATAGCCCCCCGCCTCCGCAGGGATCATGGCAGGTGGAAGAAATGTTTTCTTTTCAGTTTGCCGAGCCCCAAATTATCAATCTTTACCGCTATATCAAAATCCGTGGGTTGGTTCCCACGGGTAATAACGAGAGTGGCTCGGGGCTCCCCAGCCATGGGCTCCCTTCTGCAGGCTCATTCGTTTGGTTCGATACCAATGGAAAGTTTCTGAAGTTTTATGAAGCAAAAAGAGAACAAGGCGGGAAGGGTGCAGAGCCTATTACTCGTTTTGGGTTTGGATTGTTCGACCCAAAGAACGATAACAAGGCTATTAGGCATAATGTCATGTCACTGGTCCAGGGAACCAGCACCCAGCTGAGCGCCAACATTGCAGTTCTCAACTTGGACGACGATCACGGCACTCCGGTAGTGACTATGCATAACTGGAAAGCCAGCGATTTGGATTGGGTCGCGAAAGCTGACAAACAGGAGGATGTTTTGGACTTTATCCAAAAGAACCGGAGAAATTGGAACTGGGGATACCAGTGGGATAGTAAGAGTGGTGATATCTATATCATTGATTCGCCCTTTCATTACAGAGAGGACTTTATGACTCAGCATGAGGGCACTCATCTATTCCTTCCAGTCAGCAATAAAGACTGGACATATACATCAATGGTTGTGAAGGACCCCAAAGCACCGTCATCGCGCAAATGAGCTACCCCAGCCGAATAGTACAACGCAAGAATCTAGGCTTAATCGATGAGAAATACAAGATTTGAACTTTGACTGCCCCTGGATCTCAATGTATGGTGAGACGAGTGAATGCAAAAACAACATACATACGTGAATGATATATACTCCTCTAGAGGTGGCACTTGTGAAACAGCGCTTTATAGATTAGGTAACCGTGCATAGGAGTGTAGTCCCTTGAACATCAACCAGGGATTATTCGAAGCTATTCACTCGGATAATTCAGCCTTTTACTGTCATATTTGGCCAATAATAAATTTTGGGTTGGCTTCACAGTTAAAAGCCCAAAGATCGATCTGCATGTCATTTGTGACCAGCATAAAATGTGTTGCATTTTACCACGAAGCCATGTGGCTTCATGTCCGGTGGCTGCCACCACCAGGCACAACCTCCACTTCATTTCGTCGTACAGAGCAGTCACACAGTCAATATCAGACAGCAGGGGCGCCCATCAGCGATACGTAATTGGAAAAAAAACAAGGCATCAAAAACCAGCCACAATAGCAGGCAGACCAAGTCCAAATGTCAAATTCGAATCCAAGGCGAGAAGAAAACGCGTCCAGCCCAGCACATGGCCCGTTATTATGCCTTGAAAAACACCCACAGGTCAGCCTCAAGAACAGCACAGCAGGCTCCCACGCTACTAGAAATTAAAAATCAGGCACCAACTGCGAAATGTGTGTGGAGATTCGGCAGATCTTCCGCCGTTGTGTACCTGAATGCCTCGTAGTTTTGGCAATTTTTTTTTTCCTCGCCAAGATTTTTTTCTTTTGACGGCCTCGCAATGAACGGTTGCTCCAATGCGCCAGCCAGTAACTGATCTGCATAGAAATATTTGGAGTAGGGTTGCGGCTCATGTATATGTCAGCTTACATACGGTGTTGTGCCCAATCACTTCCATCAGCTCTATCTAATCTTCAACCACTGGCTATCCATCAGAGCTCCAACTATCACGGCAGGCATCATCTACACCAACGGTGTAAAATATTTGCATCGTCTCTTGCCCTGAAAATACGGCATGGGCCAGTCAACAATACATGTTAATGAAGATTGGGAGCAAAAGCGTAGCTTTGTCTTACAAACAGAGCATTCATGTCAGCAGCCCCACAGCTGTATCACGGCCCAGGGCAGTGCCTCACCAAGCCCTTTTCTCTCTTCATTCTTTTGTAGATTTGCTGCATTACTGGCATGAATTGCGTAGACTTAATAAATTTCACCACAAGATGCGTCACCTGGTGGAATCAAGTGAAACATTATCCAGGGGTCTGTCTGCTAAAATGGAGAGGCCTCACCTACCTGGCTAGCAGGCAGGGCGAGAGAATCCATCCTGGGAATGGCGATCATTTGGGCCAGCTGCCATATAAATGCACATGATACTTTTACCATCATTACAGTTTGCATTTTTTCTCTCTACTATACAGCAGTCACACGACAGTAGCAACCATGGATAAGAAAGGTTACCCAAGCAAAGCCTCCAAGAAGCCGAGTGGTGGCAGCAACTCCAGTGGTAGACAGCATGGAGAGTCGTCGTCCAGGTAAGCTAGATGTTACGCAAGATGCGAAAAGCAGTGTTGATAACATGATACAGCTCCAAGAAAAGGGACCAAAGCTACTCCCTGAACAGGTACTTGGAAACCCCCCAACGCCATGAAACATGGGATTGGGAACAAAAAGCCAAGCGGAGGAGCGACAAGAACCATCGCCTGTAGGAGAGGCATACCGTTCCGAATATCTTATATCTTGCAGCCCTTATCAAGTATGCACCCCAATCTATCATGCCATCATATCATCATTGAAAAGCATCATCTGCCTATCAGGAAAACTAATTAATCAATGCAGCTACAGTATACCGCCAATGCGCCTTTGAAGCAGAACCAATCCCATATACCCACAAGTCGACACATGAACCATCCACCTTTCCACCACAACTATAGCCCTCACCATCATATATGGCCGGACCATATCCCCTTCTCTTTTTGTTCGAATACCCTCAAGCTTCACCCTTAAAATCAGCCCTTTGTAAGCCAAGCCAGTCCCACGGCTTCGTGTCCGCCTCTACCGGCGCAGGCATGCTTCCCCAATACTCCACCCCGCAAACAGAGTTCTCAGCAGACCACGACCTGTCCACTCCGAAATATCTCTTGATGATCTGACTCTTGATGGGCTTTTGAGAGACCGTCTGCGGCATCTCTTCTCCGGGACCAAGAATCTTCACCAACACAGGGAGCATGTATTTCGGCAGTGTCTCGTTCATGTCTTTTCGCAGGCGTGCGAGATTAATCGTCTGCTCGGAATGCCGTCTCTGCAGCTGCTCCTGCTCTGGAGTGAGACGGACGACGGCGGCGCATATTTCCTTTGCTTCATTGTCTGGCACACCCAAAACGCAGGCTTCGGTCACGTAGGGGAGAGCTGTAAGTACAACCTCGACTTGGACGCTTGGTATCCGGTAGTGTCGAAACAGGATATCTAGAGAATACTAATCAGCATACTAGGCAACTGAATGTGGGAGGAGCGTGTTGTCAGTAAAGACGTACAGTCAGCATTGGCACGGCCAGAGAAGATGAATTCGCCATCCTTGCGCTCCGCAAAGTCTCCTGTCTTGAAATACCCGTCGGCATCGAAAGCGGCTTTTGTTTTTTCTTTGTCTCCAATATATCTTTTGGCAGGTCTATTAGCATAATCCCAATTTCACAATCGTATTGCTATTATACAGAACTTACTTCCTAAGCATGAATGGGCTCCTGACACAGATTTCTCCGTGATTGCCATCTGTCAGCTTGACTTCAATGCCGGGAATTGCAGCGCCAATTGCGTCCTGAATACCGTTAGTTTAGGCTTTTTTTTTCTTTCTTTTTTTTGTACATTCAATAGCGAAATTGTAACAAAAGGGTTTGGAAACGTACCGATCGCTCTGTGCCGTCAAGGTCCTTCCAAGTCGCCAGACCGCCAACCTCTGTCGATCCATAAACATTCTTAAACGTCAGTCCGGTTCTGTTCTTCCAAAACTTCAACACGGACGGCGAGACCATGGCGCCGGCGCAATAAATGATGCCGATGTTCCGAAACGCTTTGATATACTCCTCCTGCTCATCCTCGCTCTGTGCCTCCAGCCACTCCTTCATCTCGCGCAAGATGCCAGGCGTGAATCCCGTTCCGGTGATGTGGTGACTGCGCAAGACTTCCCAGAGGCGTCCTACTCCAGCCCGCTCCTTGAGGATGTGAAGCTTCTTGCCGGTGAGCATGGGCTCGACCAGGCTGATGGCGCCACCAAGCCAGTGAGGCGGTCGAAAGCACACCGTCTGGCAGTTTGGAGGCGCGTCTGGCTGAAACACCATGCAGATTCGCGGAAGAACAGCGCCCTTTGGCGGCCCGGTCGTTCCAGACGTGAAGATGACCAAACCAGGGCCATCAGGGGCCATGTTGAGCGTCTCATCAATGGTGATGTCGATTGTGCCTACGGGCGCGGCATTGCATGAGATGGGGATGGCCACAGGCTTGAGATCCGTCGAGGCGCCGGACATGGCCGCAATTCGCTCGGCCTTTTCGTAGCAGTCTTTGCCAGCGAGGATGCAGAGCGACTCTGCGCTGTCGACAAAATATCGCGCCTCTTCGGGGAGGATACCAGAGCCTAGAGGTCATCGCATTAGTTGGATCAACATGGTATGCCATGCGCATTGCACGCACCAAATGGCATCGCCGCTCCTCCCAGCACGCGAGTCGCAAAAAAGGCAACGATAAACTCATAGCCGCTCCTTGTCAGTACCGCGACATACGGCCTCTTCTCTTTGAAAACGCCTCGTTCACTGAATTCAGACGCCGGCAACTGCTGGCGCATGAGATCGCGCATCCGCAGGATATCTGCCATGAGCTCCTCAAGAGTCTTCTCAAAGCCGAAGTGGTCGTAGATGTAAGGGCCCTGGCCGGCGCATCTCTTGACTGATCGCAGGAATTGCACCAGAAGTAGGTCGTTGGGGAACTTGTCCCTTGCAGATCCGACCGCCATGGCTACGGCTGTGGTTGCTGATGCCGATGTATAAGTGAGGAGCTCCTTGTATAAATAATGACGATAGCAGCAGTATTGATGGTTGTGTAGAAAATGTCAAAAATATATCCTACTTTGTCCTTGCCGTGAATGAATGCCGTATATATATACTTGAGTCAATCACTCAGTCAACACCAAGCCGATGGTGCGTGAATTAGACGCCGAAAGACACGCTGTGAGACTCTCCGCCACCAACAGACGCAAGAGACAACATCTGGCTAAACCGCCGCATGGCAACCGGCCAATGCCTGCAATTTATCGTGCTCGACCTCGCCTTCATCGTGAGAGAATTACAGGTCCGAATTCCAGCACATCCTTCCAGCTTCACCCAACTCACCTACAGGACGCCGAAAGAAACGGAACAAGCAGGGTCATCGGACTCGCCCCACGGAGAGCGTCCGAAGCCCTGTTTGCCTGGCTCCATCCATGCACTCATGCAGTAATGCAATGCAACCACGCTCTTCTGACAGGGTTTGGGAGCCGCTCGCGGCTCGAGCCCCAGTTTCGCAGCTCTTAGTCGGGTGCGGCCGATCGTCGTTATCGACGTCTCAAAGAAAAGGGCCAGTTGGTCTTCAGTTAGTCTTGCGTAACGGTGGCACGGATCCAGCGCCACGGCCCCCGAGCTTCGGATGTCTCGTTTCTCGGGGCCCTATTGTCTGCTTCTCCGCACGTCTTTGCGGGCTTTGCTGTAGGTTCCTGTAGGGAGCCGGATCGGGGGAAACGCGATGCTGCGTATACCACGCCTGATAGGCCTGAGAGACGCACAACAAGCGGCACACAAGGGTGGAGAGAGGCGCATTTAACCAACGAATTGTGGCGCCCGGCCGTAGATCGAATGCAGTAACGCGGCAGCCTCATTGTCCCCGCATGCTAGGAAACGCGACGATGAGGCAAGACATCCGAAGCCCCTGTTGCAGCAAATCGAGCAGCTGAGCGCCTCAAAGAAGCCCAGCCCTCTTCCGATCGACCTGTCCCAGCATCGTGTTCTACGAGGAGTAGTCTAGAAGCTAGCATAACGCCACCGGCGCTGTGACCCATGACACCTGGACACGACTCGACCCTTTATCTATTGCTTCAAGCTGCATTAGAGCCTTCTGGAAAGGCCAGGCGCCCGGCATCGACCTGTGACCGCCACTTTGCGTGCTCAAACGCCGCCTTGGCCAGCTGAATGAGCATCATGTCGCTTCCGGAAGGGCCCATGACGGAGCCACTAAAGGGACGGCTCTCTGTTCTAGCCGTTACTCGCGAGCGATATGTCGTCTGTGCGACTGTCGTTGCTGTTGGTTAGCCCATTTGACTGCTTCTTTGGCAAATATGAACAAGGAGAAGAAAAGGGAGTGGGAATGGAATGCGTCAGCAAAGAGAAGAGGAAGCTCACAAGGCACGATAAGATGCGGCAGTCCCAGAAGAGGAGCCAGAGCCCCAGGTCCAATGCCATCGATTCTGCTCGGTGCTCTGCACTACATTAGCTGCATGCACTGGAATCCTTCATGCAATATGGATAATTGTCAACACACTGTGGTAAGTCGTCGCGGTAATGCACTGTATGGTGAGGCCCGAAAGGGAGGATCATGATGCTATCGGAGTCTTGGAGGGTCGGCATGACGTTCTCGCCGAACCACGTTTTAAAGACTCCAATTCGCTCGCGGTGGCTGCTGCCGTCTTCTGCGGACTCGTTTTCGCCGACACGCCTAGGCAATGGTTATCCCCTATTCAGCATATGCATCTTGGCTTGCTCGGCTTATCAGACAAACTACTAGTCTGGGGCAGTTGTCTGATCTGACCCCGTGGAGGACATACCATCTGAATCGGGGAGTTGTTTCGACATAAGGCGCATGCCCGAATTTCTCCTCGTAAATTCGGCGAAAATCCTCATATTGGTGGTAAAAGTCGGCACAAAAGGAGCTGAAGGGAGCCTGAGTCATATTTAGTAATGTCAAGTACTACCGTCGGAGATGCCTGGCGCGAATACACTCACCTGCCTCATATATTCTTCAAGGCTCTGCCCATTGGCCTCAACTGGCGGCTTGAAATTCCAAATCTCCGACAGGCTTATCCTGTCGGCTTGAATGCCAAGGAAATGCTCCAACGTAGCGACAAATTTGTCTGTAAGGGCCTGATTTCCCTCCAAAACGGAAGCAAAGTCCAAAGGGTAAATGATGCGTTTGGGAAACGCGACGTTCTCGTCTGTCATGTTTGAGGCTACCTGGACAATTTTGAGCAAGTCTTTCAGGCTGCGGCTCGAGAAGCCGGCCGCAGAATAAGTCCTGCATATACACATAAGTATCCAACTCATCTTCAAAGCTCCTCGACTAATGTTTTTTGGACTTACTGGGAATCAACCTGCCATCCGTCCAGGGATATAGCACCGGCTGAGGGTCGAATCGAGTATACACCATGGACACGCGCTTGCTCACGGATTCCATCAAAGCCTAGACAGTTAGTAAACTACTCATTCTCCAATCCCAGAATGAGAACATTTTGAACCCAACTTACCATCTTGCGCTATGGCATATTCCATCCAGTCGTATCCGCTCACGCTGGCTCCAGCACCGGCTGCGCTTCCACCCGAGTCTTGATATCCGTCACCCCTCGGGCTCCATGGAGCTTCGACATCGACCCATTCTCGGCCAGAATCAAACTGTGACGATTTGGTTTTGCCTACAACGATGGCACCCATGTCAATTAGGCGTTTGACAAATTCTGCCGTCTCGGTGGCTTCAGTATCGTGCAGCTCAGTCCAGGCCCGGCTCGACAAGGTCGTGCGAACTCCTTTGAGTGACGCGGCATCGGTGATGGATATTCGGACTCCAGACAAGGGTTTGCGAATAGACGGCGCTGGATGGTAGAGCCGAGAAGGTACGGCAATAGACTTGAACGAGCCATTGTCTGACAGGGACGACAGCGCTTCATATCTGGAATCTCACATTAGATCACGCAGTCAATTGGCTGGGCACCAGGTAGAGAAACATACCCATCTTCAGTGTTGTTTATACTATTAGGAATCACTCCAAAGGTAAATGCATCCAAGACGTCGTCATAGAGTCTCCATGCCTGGTACAGGTTCGGCCCGTGAAGGAAATAAGGACCAGAGGGCAGATCTCCAAAGCCACCTGCATCAGTCTCGGCTTTGTCTTCAGCCTCAATCTGCTGCAACCTGACCACGGTCCTGCTGCTCCGGGGACCGATATTCTGGATGAGACCGATGGTGTTGTCCTTGTCTGGCTTTTCTACCAGAATGCCGCCGAAATCAGACTGGAAGACGTCGTCTACGGCAGCGAATAGATCCAAAATGCCGTCAACATCGCTGTTAATCTCGCTTGTCGTGAGGAGAGTGACTGGAATCAGTGCATCAGGGTTGATTGTCTGCTCAATCGTGCCCTAAACAGTTGCTCAATGTTAGCACAGATGGAGCTCTCGCAGCCTGCAATTGACGCGTCATGTCGTACCAATTTTTGAGGATGCAGCAAATACTGAGAGCCCGCAACGACGACGGTGAAGAGGTTCTTCATTGTAATGTTGATGCTGGTTTTGCGTTGCTTGGGCCGCCAAAAGCTTAAAGGCGGTATAATTGGGGATCGATCTGCTTTCGAAGCCGGCCCCGCGCCCCATCCGAGGTATTTATTGATCTCGTCCCAATGATGAAAACCGCGAGAAACACGCCTCACTTATACCAAAATGACATGAAAAAAAAGAAAAGAAAAAGAAAAAAGCCACAAAGACAGGAGACGCGGGAGACTGCCGTTTATTGAAACTCATTTCCTGCTGCTCTATACGTATGTCTCACTCTGAACGCCGTGATTGGCTGCGAGAGCCCCAATCCCTGTCTGCAGGTCATACATTTCCAGTTCGGATGCTACCTGTACGTAAATGAGGAATGACAACCTGGTGCGTCTGAGATCTAGGGCGTGGAAAATTCCAAGGAAATAGCTGCCAATGACTAATTCGTGCGTACATATACATGTCATCTACGCGTAATTTGGAGTGAACCAATGCATGCGGTGAGCGCTACAGTATGTGCCCTCGGGAGACGAGAGCCATGTTGTGGCCACACTCTTCTTACATGTACATGATACCGTTCGGGTATTGTAGAAGGATTTTTATTCATTGTATATGTATACGTAATATAGAAAGCGGCCATAACTGCATCTATTCGCTAACAAATCGCCATCTGCTAGTAAGCAAGCTCTCCAGTATGCTGTACCAACAGCTTCTTCCCTTCAACAATCTCTGCCGAACGCTGCGCAAGCTCCTCAACAGACCAATTGGCGCTGACATATCGTCCATTCAAAAAAGAAGCTTCCTTGGTCGTCAGCCAAAGCGCGCAGCCAGCAGCCAGTGCCGGCGTATCCCTAGAAAACCGGGCCAGCCAAGGAGGTGTTATATCCGTCATGATGGTTCCCGGATGAATACTGACGGCTCGCACATTGGGATTCTCCATGGCAATGAATTGAGATAGCTGCGTCAGGGCAAGCTTTGATAGACAGTAGCTAGTCTTTCCGGGCATGACGATGAAACCCATCGCAGAAGAGACGTTGATAATAGTGGCCTCGTTGGAGGTGCCAATAAGGTTGAGAAATTCATGGACCATGAGGAGCGAACCCTTCAAGTTGATTTCCTAGAAAAGAGTTAACATTATAAAACCAACATGAAGTCTCTTCTATGCTTACAAAAGGCTCCCAAACGGCGGCTGCCGAGGTAGATCGTAGCGGCTGGCCACCATCGCTGGCGCCTGCATTATTCACCAGCACATCGGCAGTTCCAAAAGCAGCTCGGATCTGCTCAAACACCGCCTTGACAGACGTTTCACTTCGAACATCGCACGCAAGAGGCAAGAATTGGGTTTTCGGAAACTCCTTACCCAACTCCTCAGCTGCCTCTTGCAGCTGGTTGAGACTACGGGCAATAAGCACAATTCCTTTAGCTCCGGCGATGGCAAAGGAACGAGCAAATCCCTTCAACACAAGATAAGTAAGACTTTCTGATAGCCGGGATTTGGTTACTATACCTTTCTTCCTATGCCCTTGCTTGCACCTGTGATTATTACAACTTTGCCTTTCTGTGATAGGGCGGGATTTGATGGGTCGATGGCGGGATATACGTCTCGGTAGGTTTGTTTGGTGAAAGCTTGAGATGTGACGACGTAGTCATCAGGAAGGCCTTGAAGCGGATCTGTAGCAGTCATGTTGTCGATTTGAAGTGATGTTTCACTTAATCTTTTTTTTTTCCCTTTCACTCAAAGTACCCTTGGATCCTTTGTTATCGTCCACATCAAGGACGGTCCAGGGCCTTATATACATGCATTGTTCTTTGGGGTCACAGATCAGTTATACGCAACCAACTGCAGCTGGTGACAAATTCGGCTCTTCTCTACATTTTACATGGTAAGTAAAATGGCATCGCAACAAGGCCATGGCGGACATTGCTGTGTTTCTACGCCCGCGGGAGATTTCCCGCGGAGTATTGCGGCCAGATCAATCCCTCGAATTTACCGCATAACCCCGAAAAATCCACTTCTAGATCCGCTTTGGCCATCTCAACGACCAATTATTAGAGCTCCTGACTTATACCGCAATGATACCTACATAATTGCCATTGTCATGTCGAAACGGTGCACCTATTATTTCAGGGTAATGATCCAAAAACGGCAAATGGTCCTTCATTCCTTGATTTGATTGCTACAAAAAAGGAGCTACACCGCAGCGGAGCTAGAGCAACGACTGGGACCAGGTGAATACCCAGATGGTTTTCACCTTTTCCAGGTCACGCTCAGAGCTATAAGTTACGATTTGAAATCATCTCGGGCCTACAAGGGCTATTGGTCTCCTTTGTAAGCAAGCTTTGACACCCGCGGGATTAGATTTAGCAGCTATTCTCGTGACTATAGCCAATATGGCATTTTCATACTCCTTCTACCGCGCGGCTATGATGAAAGACTACCTAAGAACATATCGCTTTGCATATTTATAATTATTGATTTGTCGTTCCTATATTTCCTACAAACGCCGTGTTTGCCGATAAAGACGCACGTTGTGAGTGAGAATCAAATCCATTAGCTTAACTCTAGTCTTTCTTGTTCTACTCTATTTCTAGACACGCTCTATCTTGTTGATGATTCTAATAGCTATCCAACATGAAGACGACAATCATAGAGCACAGCAACTAACAAAGTTCAAACAGCTCATGCCAGCACCAGAAGCTGGTTGACCGCAGGGTCGGCCGCCTCGAAAGCCTCCTTTGCGTTTGCCTTGGGAGGATAAATAACGCAGCCATTGATCCAGGTCTTGATCTCCTTTGCCGGTCCAGCCGAATTGGTGACCTTTCGATCCCATCCATTGCACACGACGGCTCCCCAGCCACCAAGATCGAGACACGTTCCGTACGATGGCATGTGATACGGCTGGTTGGGCAGTTTGAGAAGGTCAGCAGCAACATTGTAACCGCACGAGCGGCCAAGAGGCATGGCATGCTGGCACGACATGAGCGTAAAGTTGCCCTCGTCGTCCGTCTGGGCGCAAGCCGCATCGCCAGTGGCAAACACGTCGGGGGTTGCCGGGACACGAAGGTCACGGTCGACAATCAACCGTCCTCGATCGTCCGTCTCGCCGGGAACCTGCTTCGTCAACGGCGTGGCCTCTACGCCAGCAGTCCAAACAACGGTGAGGGCGGCGATGCGTTCTCCGGAAGAGGTGACAACACCGCTGGCATCAATCGAGCCAACAGCAGTGCCAAGCCTGGTTTCAACTTGGAGATCGCTAAAGGCCTGGGTGATGACCGGGCGAGGATTCTCTCCCAAGTCAGGTCCAATCACGTCTGCCTTTTCAACAACAACGACCCTGACTTTCTCCATCATGCCAAAGATGGACCGTAGGCGCCGAGGCAGCTCCGTGGCAAGCTCGATACCAGTGAATCCGCCACCGCACACAACAACGGTGTTGCGTTCTGGGCTCGAGGGCAGAGAAGCCAAGCGCTTAAGATGAACCTCCAAGTCGGTCGCATCAGCGATGTTGTCAATAGTAAACGCGTGCTCCCGCAGTCCGGAAACGTTTGGCTTCACCAGACGACTGCCAGCAGCCAAAACTAGTCTATCGTATGAAAGATTCGAGCGGTCACCCGTAGGACTGACCACTTCCACTTGCTTGTCCTTGGTCCGGATCACATCAACGACTCCTCGAGTGAAACGGACGCCCGTAGCGTGCAAAAGCTCTTCCAGCGGAGCGTACTTGCTAGCAGCGTCGGCCTCGTAAAGACGTGGCTTGACCACGAGCTTAGGCTCAGGGGCGACAATGACAACCTCGATGCCATCGCCAACGCGGTCCTTGTTTTGTTCGATGAGTCCCCTGGCGGATAAGGCGCTGAATAGGCCGGAGAAACCAGAGCCAACGATGACAATCCTTTGAGCCATTTTTTTTTTTTTTGAGATTATAAAAAAGAGTGCGTTGTTGAATGTATAAAACGAATGAGCTGAGAAGCTATATCCAAGTTGACGAGTTGATGTTGATCGTATTGAATGAGGTCGTTATCGAAAAAGAGCTCCAGCCAGCTCTTTTTTATAAAGAAATCTTGTCCCACTACAAATCGCCCTGAAAGAAAAATGAAGGATGATTTCAAAGACATCCCGAGACCTTTCGATAACGAAGAATTGCGCGATTGAAATCCCTTTGCCGTTTCGGCGTGGCCTCACAAGCTAAACGGATACCCGAGCGGGTGGCCATAGTTGTCAGTATGGGTCCCAAACCAAGACGGCAAAATTAGCTGGTAGACGCTGTAACTGTTCATAGAGAGGACGCATGGTGCATGTTTGCCTTTGGGAGATGCTTCACGATCAGAAACAAAACAATGCCCAGCGCTCGTTCTCGCGGAAGTGTGTGATTATATGCTTATACATGTCTTGGTGTTTCTCACTCTGGAAATGCTAATAAGATTAAGCTTCTTGAGAGCGGCCCGTCCAGTATTACATAAGGCGATCTAGCAAACTTTGCAGCGTCGGGAACCGGTCGCCGAGCCTGAATCGCTCTTCGTGCAACAAGAGTGCCGAACGTTAATAAGCCGGCTGGGGCGGTTATCGCTTGAATAACGGCGGTAGCCGACAGGCGAGATATAGAGTACAGGGGTCAAAGGGCGCCGCTGTAAGTTGTAAAAGGCAGTTACGAGCAGATTATTAAGAGGAGGTTTCACAATACGAAGTCAGCAGGGAGACTATGATGAAGTAATCGGCGATTAATACTGCTCTACTATGACCCTCTGAATACATTTTTCTTTGCGGTACCTTTCTAGGTCGCGGGCATATTGTTAGTTGCCGCAAGTCTTCTCAACTCCTCGGCCGAGACTCGTATACTGTCCAGGTCGGCACCACCAATACTAAAACCATATACTGTAATTGTAGCTATGAATAGAACATCTTATTCTCAGCACTAATAAAAACTCTCAGGAAATCTTATAGCTCTGCATCCTATTTTTCCCGATCTGTGACTCAACCATAAGACAGCAACTACGCACAGTACGCGCCTATATCATACGCCGACAGCCATGGCGCCGCAAAAAAGCTTCCGATTTCCAGCACCCATTTTCCAATTGCAGCACAAATTCTTCGCTGGCCGATCCGTCCGCTTCGAATTCTTCCGCCTACTGACACACCAGCCCGAATTGTGCATCTCCGGCAGAGAAGAGGGAAAAAAAGGTTGATATAAGCTTGAATCGCTCGCGGGTAGCCGGCGGTGGCGGATACCCGGATCGGATACCCGGCCGTCTCAAAACGGTATACAACGTGCTGGGCCCCGAGTCAAAGTCGCTAACCACGCTCTTCATATCCGCATTGTACCTCTGGCAGCTCGTAGGACTGGCAAACGCATTGCCTTTCTCTCTGCTAAGTGGGTGTCTGCCCGCATTATCGTGGATATCCGCTCGGTTTTTGATTGCCAGCCCCTCGATCTAGTGCCTTGGATGGCATCAAGTTGCCGCCAGCAAATCAAATCACAATCCACCACCAACCCAGCCTGTCATTGATCATGCCACGGGACAAGGAGAGAGAACCAGATGCAGAGGCCTCACAGCGGTCAGGAGGCAAGACTGGCTCCCCCAAAGGAGGCTCTGGGTCTCGCGTATCGCTAGCCTGTCTGCCCTGTCGGAGCCGCCATGTCCGCTGCGATGCAAAGAAGCCGCGGTGCAATCGCTGCAGTGAGGAGAACAAGGAGTGCAGCTACACCAAGTCGAGGCGAGGAGGCCTTGATAGAGCAGCGCTGGCAGCTCGTCGCAGCCAAATTGCCGCGTTGACGACAGCCAAGAACGGCGGCCATCTCTCTCCAGCCGGTAGCGTTGACGGGACCGCCAGCACGCCTGATGTTTTGACTGGCAGGGATGATTCACATGCTTCATTGGATGTACTTGGAGATGGCTTGATGGGAAATCAGCCATTGGATCCCAGTCTCTTCACTCCTCCAGATGATTCGTGGTCGACATCGAGCGTCGTCCTTGCTACATCAGACCTGCAGTCCATTGACATCACCAAGGACGCCTTCATCGACGCTTATTACAACTGCTTCCACCGCTATCACCCCTGTGTGCTTCCCCGGAGATGTTTTGAGCAGTACTTACAGGATCCGACCCGGCAAGATGAGCTGAAACCGCTGGTGTACATGATGCGCTTCGTCGGCAGCATCTATCTAAGCTCCCATCAACCTTCATTGCGGCCAAAGTGCTCTCGGTTGGAAGAACTGGTATCCTCGACGCTTGCCCAAACGCCGACGACGTCGATCAATTCCTTCATGGTCCAGTGCCATCTCATCTATTCCGTTTGTCTATACTGGCGCGGAAATGTCCCCAAATCACGGATACACATGGGCATAGCGAGACAACTCGCGCTCGACCTGGGCATGCACCGCCGCGAATTCGCAACAGACCATGGCAACGGCGACTCCGTCCTGGAGGAATCATGGCGACGGACCTGGTGGCAAGTTTACATTGTCGACGCATTTTATTCCGCCATCAGGCGAACCGCCGACTTTCCATCCTATCACGTCGAAGCAAGCACAGACTTGCCCTGTGAGGAAGAAGAATACGAGCGTGGGGTAAGAAAATGGAATATCTCATCAACACATGGATCTGGCTGCTCACTATTACACTGTAGACTATTCCCCGCCCAAGGACATGGCAAGAATTCGACTCGCGAGAGTTTCTTTCGGAAGACACAGTCTTTTCATCCTTTGCTTACCTCATCGGAGGCGTCCGCGGCATGGCTGATGCCATGTCCAGAGCTCTCTCGCTGGAAAAGAATTCGTCTGATGCCGGAGAATCTTCGCCCAGAGTGTTGGAATCCGTCGATTCCATCATCGAAGGGTGGCTTCTTCTTTTGCCAGAGTCAAAACGGGACGTCTTCTCGGCAGACGGCCAGATTGATGAGCTGCTATTCCAAGCAATGATGGCTCTCCATGCGTTAGTATATGCTGCCTGCCCATCAAGCGTCTTGTGCTGACATTATGTTACTGCAGAACAACCGTAGGACTCCACAGACCATTTTCAAACTGCGCATTCGATCCCCTAGAATGCATCTCGAGCTGCTCCGCGCCCCCAGCAGCAGGAGCTCACTCCGATCCCAGCAATGAATTCAGAAGCATCCACACCATCAAATGCATCCGCGCAGCTGAGGCGCAAATCGGCCTCCTCGCCTTGCCCACAAAGCCATGCAGCCATACGCCATTCGTCGTCTGCATGCTTACCACGGGAACTCTCTCGCTTCTCGCCGCCTGTCGATATATCCTTCGTGGTCAGAAGCTCGCCGTGGCGCGAGACCAGATCCGCATGAGCATCGGATGTCACAAGGCAATGGCCAACGTGTGGCCCCAGGCTGGAAGCAACCTACACGAAGTTCAAGCCATTGCCTGTGAAGTCTTGGGGCTGCCCATGGGAAATAATAACCACAATAATAAGCCGGCCAAACCATCATTTAATCAGGCATGTTCAAGTCCAGAAACACCGTCGATTCCAGAGCCGAGTCTTCAAGATGTGTCGTGCGGGGGCGACGCCCTCAACTTGATGGCAATGGACAATCTGCAGGCATACTGGAATATGGCGGCCATACAGCCAGATACATCCTTTTCATGGTGGACGGGAGGAGATGAAAATGCATAAGTAATGGATATAAGAAGGAAACAATTTGCTTATTTGGCGTTGGACGAGGTGACAACACTCGACTCTAACATACATGGCGCAGGGCAATATACCACAAGCATGGGTAGGAATACGGATTAGAGGATAGTAATATGTGTAGGATTAGTGATGGACTTGATAAAGCGATAATCTAGGTGTTTAGCTCACGCACTCACAATAGACAGTTTGCAGACACATTGAAAGACATTGAAAGGGAACCTTTTTACAACAAGATTTCTTTTTTTTTTTGTTTTTACGATGCAAAGATAAGGGTGAGGCATAAGCGATATATTAAAGAGCCATAGGTAGGATCATTCCTCTAGAGACGGTCAAAAATCCTAACAGCAGCTGCATCCCTCACACTCAGGCTGACACGGACCTGGTTCTCCAAAAATTCGTGAGAAACAGAGACCATGTCGCTACCATCCAATGGAGTGTGCATCAGAATCAAAAAAGGGCCATGTTCAGATGCAATACTCTTGGTTCCGACTCCATTTAAAAGGACGTCGTCGAATGCTTCGCCCATCTGAAATTTAGTCTCTTTAATGCCCAATTCGCTTTTCTCCGTTATATTCCATTCGTCTCCATCCTTGGAGATGGTAATCAGTGGCGTGGCGGATTCAAGTTCGCTGCGTCTGGCCTCCGCAATACCTGCTGCGGGGTGAGTGCAAATCCGATAAACATGAATGATTTAATAAAATCCTTACCTAGCCCCAAGAGGAACTTGTCATAATCTTGGCTCTTTGACAGTTTATAATCCCCACTGGAAATGTCCTCCCCAGTGAAAAATTCAGACATCTTTATGTATGTTGTAATGCAATTGCTCTTAATGATGAGATTTCAATCAGCTTGGTGTGGAGGATGAGGAGAAGCCTTGCTTCTGGATACGACTGCGTCTGCCTATTTATATGGGCACAAGAGACATAGGCAGTGTGACGACATGGTAATATATGCAACCTGCAAGTATCCGAGAAAATGCACCTTGCTTGCTTGTTTGTTTGCGCTATTGTGGCTGGTTTTGATAAAAGTATAGGTACACGTAACTTGCATGATCCGAAATGTGTCATCCGCTAATTCGCTGTACTTGATGCATGGTAATAAATTTAACACAAGCTAGCCAAGCCATGCATCTACCAGGCTGCTGTATGTCATATAGAGGTAACAACTACAAAATTTAGATGCCAAGCTGCCTGTATATTTGTTCACCCTTGATTCCAACAGTACCATCTTTTATTTCGCTTTGTGCTTCCTAGCATAACAAGGCGTTATCTACTAGTATTTCAAAGCTAAAGTCCCTAAAAAATAGTTGAATATCAAATAGTCATGTAGGTACTTAATAACCGGTGTCAGCCTACGCATTTCAATTGAATATCCATTACCGCAATGCTAAATCTTGTTAAATCAAACCTATTCAGAAATATACGCGTACCTCAGGCATGTCACTCGCAGCCCCACTTGCCGCCTCCCGTCCAGCGGGGCCTTATCCGTTATCGATTGCCCGCCAGCATGGGAAATTTCAATCGCAGTAAAAAAAGTTACACCACCAAATCTCCAAAGCGCTACCAACCACCTCTTCCTCCCCATATTCCCATTCAATCATCATGGCCAAAACTCAGAAAATAGGTAATTCAAACCGTCAACTAAATATGTAATAGCAAAAAAAGCTAACAGCACTCCCAGCCCCCTCAAAGCGCTCCCGCGCCGCCCGCCGCGCAACATCCCCCTCCATCAACATCGACAAGTCCCTCAAAAACGCCACCCTCCCAGCATCTTCTTCGTCCACTTCCGCCGCCGTCCCCCGACCGTCCGTCCTCGCCGCCCGCCACAACGCCGGCGTCACCAAAAAAGTCCGCCGCGGCCGCGCCGTCTCGGCAAAGGGCCGCCGGCGCCAGGAAAAGGGCCTCGAGATGGCCGAGGCCGTCGTCGAGCGCATGAGCAAGAAGCTGGAGAAGAGCTTCAGCAAGGCGCGCGTCGTGCAGACCCGGGCCAAGAAGTGGGACGACATCAATAAAGATGTGCTGAAGAGCAAGGAGAATGCGTTTGCGGTGTTGATGCAGGATGGTGACGAAGAAGACAAGGAAGAGAGGGAGTGGGAGACGGATGAGGAGATGGATGGCGAGAATGCTGTAAAGAGTGCTGCTGCTGCTGTTCAGCCAACGGCAGCTGCACCGATGCTGGATGACGACGATGACGAGATTCTATGATGGGATTATGACTGGCGACGAAATCATGGCGACTAATGGATTTTCCTCTTCTTTCTGCTTATTTTCTTCGTGGGACTTGGGCGTTGCAGGCATCATTAAAAAAAGGAGGTTCTGACTTGATCATATTGGGAAGATGAATAAACAGCTCATCTATAGAGATTTACTTTGCGTTGAGAATGCCGCCTGGAATAGATTCTGCCATCAGATTTCAAAGGCTCTATAGTACACACTCATACATATACATATAATGCTTCTATTATACACAGGATACCCCAAAATATACATCAACACCACCATCCATCCAAGTCTCCATCACACAATCCGCTGCAAATGCCCTCACCTCTTCACCCCCTCCAAATACAACCTCACCGTCCCCCCAACCTGCCCCTCCATCTTCTTCGTCTCCCTCGCCCCCTGGCTCTCAATCTCCTCCCTCACCTTCTTCAACACATCCTTGGCCTCCTCCGCCTCCACCGCCCTCCCGCCCTTCTTCTTCCCAATCATCAACTCCACCTTCATCCCCTTGCCCAAGAACCCGCCCATCTGCCGCAACTTTGTACTCAAATCGTGCCCGCCAATCGCCCACGTCAGCTCCATCTCCTTTGTCTTCGCCTTGCCCGCCACGGCAACCTTCTTCTTCTCCTTGAGCTGCTTCAACCGCTCGTACTCGTCGCGCTTGTTGACAATCTTGCAGACGGCATATTTCGCGGGGGTATTGTTCTCCGCGTTGGCGGGCACGTACGGCGTCATCATGCGCAGCGACTCGCCCTCCTCGAGCTTGGTCAGGACGTAGCGCGTTGCGAGCGGCCCCTCGGCGCTGCCATTGTCAATCACCATGATCTGCGGGTCGGTGATTTCGTGGTCCCACGGCGGACGGTCGCGGCCGGAGCGCTCAATGTCCTTTTGCGTCGTGAAGCGCCGGTCATAGCCGCGGTCCTTGTCGTCTGCGATTCCAGACGAGGCGCTGGTCGGGCCTCTGTTTCCGCCCCGGTAGGGCTTCGAAGCACCGGCGTAGAATCTCAATTGGCGCTGGACGGGGCGGAATTGCAAGGGCGAGGACGAGGACGATATCGCGGACGCGGGTGGCAGCAAGCTCTGGCGGGGAGCTCTGCAGGATATTCTGGAGGCGACGAATCTCGCAGAGTCGCAGATGCAGCGAGAAGTAGCCATTGTCGACGAGGCGCGCCAATTGAAGAGAAACCACAAAATAAAAGAGAATCCCCCAACTCAAAAGTTATGGCCCATGTGCAATGCCAGCAATAGAGGGGAACAAGGACAAATAGTGTCTGCAAAGTAGCCGTTCAAAGAGAGCCCGGAAAAAATAGCGTCATAGCTTACTGGACCCCTGGAGCACTAAAAATGAACAGCACGGCCAATGAGAGGCGCTCACTGTAAAGGGTCCAGCAAGCACCTAAACTACTCTCGTGCTTGTCATGGCCTCATATCAACTCATCTCAACCTCAACTTTGCATCCTCTCTTAAAGCATCACCGCTTCATCATAAACACGTCTCATCTCATACAATCATCTTTTCAACTCTCCTCTCAAATCCTTCATCTCACTCCTTCTCACAAAACAATGCCCCCTCCACACCACCCTCTCTCACCACCATAAACACCATCATCACCATTGCCATCACCATGATCTCCCACCTCATCGGCCACCCCCTCCGCTTCGCCATCTCCACCCTCAAAATCACCTGCCTCGCCCACCTCACCCTCTCCCACCTCGTCCAAGTCTCCCCCGCCCAGGGCCCCTCCATGCTGCCCACCTTCACCGTCGACGGCGACTGGATCGCCGCCGACATGACCGCCCGCCTCGGCCGCCGCATAAAGGTCGGCGACCTCGTCCTCTACAAGATCCCCATCTTCGCCACCCAGCACGGCGTCAAGCGCGTCATTGGCCTGCCGGGCGACTACGTCTCGCTGGGAACGCCGGGCGAGAGGGGCGAGGAGCAGATGATTCAGGTATGGACGAATAATCCTAGGACAACTGTGTGGTCAGAGATGTATATGAGCAAAGACTGACAATGGCAGGTTCCCGAGGGCCATTGCTGGATCGTGGGAGATAATCTTCCAGCCTCGCGAGACTCACGACAGTTTGGTCCGCTGCCACTGGCTTTGATCCAGGGAAAGATTATCGGCAAAATTTTGCCCTGGAAAGACCGCCAATGGGCCAGTGACGGCCTCCTCAAAATAGACTCATGACACACAACACTCAGCTTCTACGGTTCGTCATTCAAGATATCCAACAACTATCCACGCTAGACTCCTATCAAAACACACACACATAACGAGGGGCACGGCACGGTTGTACCAAGTAACGTATAGCATCATTAAACAAGTCCAGTCACCAGCATCTAGATAGACAAACGGGGGCAAAAACAGGCGAGCATTCGGGTGTCAAGCATGTAAAAATATCCTTCGTCTAAGTACATCTGCTTTGCTCAAACCCAAACATTCAAGTCCACCCTCATCATTGTGTTTGTTGTCTCTACTTTCATTCCAACGTGCATGCTGAACCAGTCGCAGTTCTTGGCTGCGTAATATGTTTTGTACAAAAGGAAATAAGAAAAAGAAGAATGAAAAAAAGAGAAGAGAAGAGAAAAAGCAAGACATCCGCCATCTTGGGAGCATGGCACTTTGACTTGCATGCCGCTAGAATCACTATTTTCTCCTTCGGATCATGTAAACGACATCGTAGTCGTCTTCGTTAAATCGGACTCTTTTTTTTGAAATAGCACACGCCCTCGGGGAATTCTTCGCTAAGTGGGGAGGTGAAAGTACCAAAACGAAAAAAAAAATCAAGTCAAAAAAAAAAAAGCCGCGGAAGCAAAACGTGATGAGGGTTGAAACCGCAAAAGGCTTCCTTCCCAGGAGAATTCCGAAGCTCGGATGTCAAGGCAGAGCGCCTCATGGCTTAGTCTGAGTCAAAAAAAGCTTGAGACGCCTAAAACACCATCGCCCTCACCATGCCACGCTGATCCTCCTCGCAATCTAGTTTACGGGATTTAAAGCAACATTTATAAAAAGTCCAGTACCATCGTTCTCGGGGGGTCGGTAAAGCAAACCGAGGCAACCTTCGTTTAGCCTTCGATGTGTGCTTTTGATTGGCTGCTCTGGCCAAGAAGCTCGAGGCATCGCTGCGCCAGGTTGATGACTTCTCCTTCGTCCTCCTCTTCCGCCTCGGGGTCCGCTTCGACTTGGCGGTTGGCAATGCCTCGAATGTTTTCGATTATGTCGTCGGCCTTTCCGATGTGGCCAATCAGCGTCTTGTCTTCAGATTCGAACAGCTGCAGCAGTGTCCAGACAGCAATGTGCTGGAAAGTGGCGTCGCCAGACTGCAGGAATCGGCACAGGTATCCGTGGACGCCACCGTTGGGCTCGTTCCAGTTCTGGACGAAAATGGAGTAGTCGCCAACTAATGGTCACTGTTAGCTAGGGATCTTTGGTAGAAACGGTTGTGCGCGCTCACCTTTGGAAGACAGGTTACCCAGGGCAGCAGCGCTGTTGCCCTGTACTTCGATGCTCTCCGAGTGGGTAAGGGGAATCAAGACGTCGCATACTCCGAGGTTCAACAGGTGAGACTTGAGGTCGTCGCTCAGGGCAAGGACGGCAATGGCGGCTGTCATTTCCGACTGGACGGTAACGGGAACGTCCAACACCAGTTGCTTGCACTTCTGCACGGCTCCGGCTTCCAACACGAGCGCCTTGTTGCGATCCGAGCTGGCAGCCAGGTTTCGTAGCGTTGAGATGGCGTGGCACTGGATCTCTTCGTTGTCGGTGGAGCCCAGGAGATCAACCAGGGGCTTCAAGAAGTTGGCCTCGATAATGGGAGACTCGTTCATGGGGTGGATTGAGATGTTGCGGATACAGGCGACGGCGGAGAGGATGAGAGGGAGGTATGATGACTGGAGGAGGCGAAGCAGTGGGTGCAGTCCGTTGGCTCGTACAATATCCAACTGGTACTTTTCGTCGGATGCCAAGTTGCGGAGAGCCAAAGCGGCCTGGCATTGCACCTTGGGCGACGACGAGTCCATGAGATTGACGAGGGACTGGACGAGCTTTGCCTCTGAAGAAGCCAGTTTCCGCCTGTTGTTGGAATCAACGGCGATGTTACTCAGAGCGGTCGTGCAATAGTATTGGACGTCGACATCTGGAGAAGACAGAAGCTGGACAAGGACGGGAATGGCGCCGGCGTTGACAAGCTGTTGCCGGTTCTCGTCTGATATCAAGGCAGACTCGGTTAGCTCAAGTCCATATCCTCGGCACCAAAAAAAAAAAAATTCAAGGCACAATGAATTTCTTTGAATGGAAACACTAAAAAGTACGCACCAGAGTGTGTCATGTTCAGGAGAGCTCCGGTGGCATTCCTCTGGACTCGCATATCCTTGCTCTTGGCCAGTCTGGTCAAGGGACCCAAAGCCCCTGACCGGGCAATCTTGGCCTTGTTCTCTTCGTGCGTAGCCAAGTTTGTGATGCATCCCACGGCGTTGCACTGGACTTCGACATTTGGCGACAGCATCTGTCGGATGAGAGGAGTCAAGCCGCCAAGCTGGACAATAAGTACTTTGTTTTCGGCTGTGCATGCGCGACACGCGGCGGTTAGAATCTTGTCCAACATGTATGTAGAAGAGCTCTCTTACTGTTGACGGCGAGGTTTCCAAGCGCTGCACTGGCCGCTCTCTGTACCTCGATATCGGGGCTCTGTAGCAGAAACAAGATGGGCTCGAGGGTATCGCGGTCGACTTCGCGGACATCTACGTGGTTTGGAGTCAGCACCTGCGTCACCGCCCTTGCGTGGCAGCTCCGGAAACCGCTGCGAAAGCTGTTTGGCGACACGGCATACCTCGTTCTGTGATTTCGGCAAAGGTCAAGCTGGCGCTGCGTTGTAGGTCAATGTTTTCGGAAAAGACCAGCGTGCTCAGGGCTCGGAGCGGTTCGCCGGAGAAGAAGTCGGTCTCGCCGCGCTGCAACTCGGGGGGTAGACAGGGTCAGCTTCGAAACACAACAAGAGCGGAGGAATGATGGCCGGCAGCATCGAACAGCAGCAGCATCATCAAGGCCCTGGATAGACGCACGTTTTCGAGATACTGGAGCAGATCGGCGACTGCCTCTCGCTCACTGTCGGCGAGCGCGGGCTCGTAGAGGCCATCGCGGGCTCGCCCTGGAAACAAGGAATCGGCCGTTAGCAAAAGTCGGCGAGCAGCAGGGCCGGCGCCTGGACTCACCTCCGCAGCACGTCGAGTGGCAAATACCCATGGCGGCAGCGGCTGGGGCTTCTGGTCGACTGTAGAGCGGGCGGGCGCAGAGGCTGGCGGGAAGAGAAGAGCGAAGAATGAAGACGGGCGGAGATTGATAAATGTTTTGGGAGGTTCTTTGTTGATGCCGCTGCTGTGCTTATTAGGCGGTGGTGATGGAGCTGCTACCGCTAGCGGCACCTCTAAATGGGCAGCGCTACGGCACCTAATAGCGGACAAGTACCTCTGCGGCGAGTGGATGCGCCAGGGTACTTTGCGGCGAGTCCAGCACCAGGATGGGCCACGGCAACGGGAGCGTGACGAAAGGGCGGGTCCTCGCAGCAGCAGCTTTTCTGCTTGGGCTGGCTGGGCCACTGGAACTAGAGCCTGGCGGGTATTAGGGCCTGTGTCGCAGCAGCAGTGAGTCGATGCTGTAGTGAGTAATTGCCCGTGTATAAGCGTCCAGTTCACTGGAAGAGGCGTGTACGAGCAGCTGGTGTTCGCGGCAGGCAAAAAGATAAAGTCTAGTGCAGAACAAGGAGGGGCAGCGAAATGGCAAGAAGAATCGGACAAGAGAAGCGATGCGGTGACGATGCAGCGACGATGCCCTTTAAGATCCGATCCAGGGAAGAAAGAATTGCAAAGAAGAAGAAAAGGCAAGGGCTGGAAAGGGACTGCTGCTGCATAACGACTTGTTAGGCGCTTTTGGGTTGCAGGGGGCGACAGAAAATCGTCAGAAAAACGAGACCCTGGCCTGTGATGGAGAGAGCAGCAGGTACCGTCTACTTTGACCATCTACAGAATTCAGGCACATGTCCAAGTACAAGCTACTGCGCATCCCCCCAAAGTATCTTCATCCCCCATGCCTCCTGCTTGGGCGCCTTTGGGGATAGTACGGAGACTGCTGGCAGCACTAAGGCACTAGCCAAGGGCTCAGAGAGGCGGGCTCTGGCGATAATGGCTGGCCCACCGTGCGGTAAGAGGACGCCTGACTTTGTACATGTGGACGGGGACGGTTACTTGTACGTTTATAATGCCTGGATGGAGGCAAGAGGATACCGAGATGGGGTCGCGAGCAGCAGAGCTTGGATCTGCTTCTCAGTCGTGGGATGCTGTCGATAACGTCGCATCAGGTCTCCAGACTGGGGGCTCTGGACGAGTCATCAGGCATCCATCGGTTGGTTGGTGATGGTCTGTTAGTGACTGACTATTGGTGAGCGGCATGATGTCGATGAAACAAACCATGCAGCCATTGTTGTACAAGATGTGCTGCATATGCACCACAGAACAGCAGATGCCCTCCTCTTTACTCCTCTCCTCTTTGCTCCGTCTTGCCTCAGCATCTCAACTCATTGCTCCCGTCCATCGGCCCATCCATTGGTCCATCCATTGATGTAGGCACTTGGCTCTGCTAAAATCTCTGCTCTGCGGCATGATTGACTTGTTCGGGATCCTACGTGTTCACGCCATGCCATACAAAGCAGAGTTTCTATGCACAGCAAGGGTCTCTGCCCGGTGCCGTCTCATTCGCAGCGCTTGGGGCCTGATGAGCAGCTAGCCAGCAGAGCACCGCATCAATTGGGAGGGGAGGCTCCGCAAACCACGTATGTACATGCAGTCTGCTGTATGTAATGGCACAGGGAGATACAGTGTGCATGTACAAGTCCGTTTGCAAAGACTGAATGTGCATGTACTGTAGCTGGGCCGGGACCTGCGAGTCCAGCTGTCATGGAGCCCATTGGTGCCGATGGTTTTTTGTGATAAAGGCGGCTACGACGATAATGGCGGATGGGGCGAGGCAAGGCGATTGTCCAGCAGTCGGTCATTGCAATTTGTCACCAGTTTTTTCTCTTTTCCTTTCCCGGCACGACACGCGTACATACAGACAGGCTCACCGATAGTCTCCCCGTTCAAGTGCATACATGTGCTCGTATGTCGGTTAAACAGATGTTTGCGAGCCAAAAAGGCGGAGATGCGCCATCGCCAGATGAGAGTGGGCTTGGCTCTCGAACCTTGGCCGCACCATGTGATTGAGTTTTATGGATGTTGGTGGCCCTCTATATTCCATCCATGGCTCAACAACGTGGCCGCGCAATATGAAGCCGTGAGCAGCCAGAAACAACGAGACTGCTGAATGCGTCGACCAGCCCTGTTTTTTTGGTGCATGTAGTTGCAGGTACTTGAACTTGAAGCCATCCATATCTGTCTACCCTGGAGACCCTCCCGGAAAAGTGCGATAAGCCCCAAATATGACTTCATGCGACATAATCAACGATTGCGGTACCCCAAAAGAAACTAACATGACATTCTGCATCATCCATGTACCATGTATGCACATACGTGTAATCCTGCCATCTTATCGCTGCGGCGGGAGCGGGATGGTGTTTGCTCTGCAGCAGATCAGTCAGCATGCAGCCCATACTTTGGGTCCTGCAGGAATACGAGTATCTACTACCACAAGTAAACAGGTGCATTCAAGAGAAAAAGAAGGAAAGAAAAGAAAAGAGAAGAAAGCATTCAGGGTCTGGGGTCCGACGATGAATCCGGCAGGGTGACGTTAGCAGACCGAGAGTGGTTCAATGATGACTCTTCACGGGCGTAGGACTGTCGGATATCAATTGTGTATAAGTGATAGAAGCATGAGCCGACAACGATATCAGTGGCTTTCTTGGCATCAATTAGGGCAGTCAATCTCACCATCACCGGGTAGAATATGAGGGCAACTCTACTAGTATCCAATGCCAATGTTGACTCTGCTTGTAGGACGCGGTAGTTGCAATGATAGAGCTTGGAGTCTATCTACTGCCGTTAAGAAAGCTTGACTTGACCAATGGGCGAATCAACAACCAAAAAGAGGTTGAAACAAAAGTAAAATACAAGTACCAAAAAAACCAAAAAAAACGGCATCTTCCGTTTCTTAATAATTTATGCAAGCAATCCAATTGGCACGAAACAAAATACCGCGTCCAAGACCACGCCACTTCTTTGTCTCGGATCAAACAGCTCGCTCCAGCATTTAGCGCTGTGGCCGATTTTATTTGCGCGGAATGAAATAGCCGCAGGCGCCGCCTCACAATGTAGGTACATGTACGGGTAATAAAAAAAAAGTTCGTAGAGATCTACCAGAGGGCTGCCCGTTTCGTCCAGTTTCGCATCTAACACGACAATTAAATGTTCCGTGGTGTCCCAAAAAAATAAAAACACCAAAACACCAAGAGGCATAAGCCTTGACTGCATGTAAATATACATCGCCGCCGGTTTCTGCTCGCCTCGCCATCTGCAGCTTGCTGACGAACTGCAGCAGAGAAAAAGAGGAACAAAACCCGCTGACATCACCCCCCAACCCAATCAGGCCGATTTTGGTTTCTGGGGCGCCTCTCCAGGGCCTGTGAGACGCTGGAATGGAGGGAAATGCAGAGGCCGTTAGCGCTCAGCTGCAGCAGCCAGTAGCAACAATCCCCGCACCGGCTGCTGCTGATAGCGATAGCGGGAGAGTCCGTGGCAGAGCTCCAGCAGCCGAATCTGCGTCGTCTGGACCAGGCAACGACAGCGACAACAACAACAGCAACAGCCGATTTGCTGCGGCCTTGACGACTTCAACAACATCGGCGTCAGCATCAGCATCACCAGCATCACCGCCGTTTACGTCAGCACCGGCAACGCCAGCCAGAGCCAAAGCTGCCGCCTCCAGACCCGAACCCGGCCCGGAGCCTGAATCTGGATCGACACCTGCATCTGGCCTTGGATCACCATTGCCTGGATCTGCATCCCGCAACAGACCCGACACCGGCTGCGACGAGGCTGAAGCCGCATCTACATCTACTTCTACATCTGCATCTGCATCTTCCTCGGCAACTTCAACGCTCGGCAGGCAGCAGCGCCCGACCAGCATCGCCCTGCCGCCGCCCTTTGTCGCCCCGTCGTCGTATCTGCGCTTCCACGCCAACTCCCACGCTGGCGGCATCATGGCCGATGCGCCAGACCCCAAACCGCAGTCGCAGAGCCCTCTGGACAAGGAGCAGCGACAAGGCCTGGTGCGTGAATCTGCGTCTGTCTATACCGCCAGAACTGCACTTGTCTCTTCCTTCTAGCACCAGCAGCTGCATCTGCCATCGACAGCGGCAGCCTGCTTGCCGGCAATGCTGTGCTTCCTGATCGTGCCGAGTCTTTGCCCCCCGCGCCCAGATCCATCCAATCCGTCCCTCCAACCCGCCATTCATACCCAAATCTCCAATTGCTTTGCTTTGCTTGATAACTTGCAATCATCCGCTGACCTGGCATCTGCCCTCTTGCAGAATTCAATCCGAGACTTCCTCCGCAAGCGCACCAGCTACGATGTGCTGCCGCTGTCCTTCCGCCTCATTGTGCTCGACACCGACCTACTCATCAAGAAGAGCCTCAACATCCTAATCCAGAACTGTAAGCCGCCGCAGAAATCTTCCATCACTTCGTCTGGCCAGCCCTGCCATGCCCCGCGTCCTTCCCCGCGCTAGGCTGGGCACCGGCTTTGGGCTGGCCGTTGGGTGTCACGATGCTGACTCTTCTCTAGCCATTGTGTCTGCCCCTCTATGGGACTCGCACGCCTCGCGGTTCGCTGGCATCTTGACCGCGACCGACTACATCAACGTGATCCAGTACCACTGCCAGTTCCCCGATGAGATGAACAAGCTGGACCAGTTCCGTCTGAGCAGCTTACGAGGTGAATACTACTCTACTCTTCCTACTGGCTTTGCTATCACGGCGCTCAAGAGGCTGACTGTGATGCTAGACATTGAAAAAGCAATTGGGGCCACCCCCATTGAGTCTGTTTCTGTCCATCCTTCGAAACCGCTCTACGAGGCCCTTCGACGCATGCTCAAGACCCGCGCGCGAAGAATCCCGCTGGTCGACGTCGACGACGAGACTGGCAGAGAAACCGTCATCTCGGTCATTACCCAGTATCGAATCCTCAAGTTCATCGCCGTCAACAACGAGCACAACACCATTCTACTCAAGAAGACGGTCCGCGATCTCCACCTAGGGACGTACACAGACCTCGCCGTGGCGCGCATGGCGAGCACAGTGCTCGACGTCATCGACCTCATGGTCAACCGGAACATTAGCTGCGTACCCATTGTCGATTCTGAAAATCGAGTCCTCAACGCCTTTGAGGCTGTCGACGTCATTCCATGCATCAAAGGGGGCGCTTACGACGACCTGAATGGGACTGTGGGCGAGGCGCTGTGCAAAAGGCCGGAAGATAACCCGGGCATCTTCACCTGCAGCGAGGACGATAGGCTGGATTCTATCTTCGACACGATTCGAAAGAGCCGCGTGCACAGGCTAATCGTCGTCGATGACGAAAATAAGCTCAAGGGCGTCATCTCGCTTTCCGATATCCTCAAGTACGTACTGCTACACGACGAGGAAGATGTCGCAAAGTCATGAGCGCCTCTTTTCTATTTATGGTGTCAAGAGCCTTTATACTGGAGAACTGGGCTGGGTATACGGAGGTTTAATGGATGCATCTGGTGTGGCGTACTGGTTGTTTGATGACGAGGAGAGGCATGCCAGGAGAGCTGCTAAGATTCTGCTACATATATTTCACCCCCCCCTTTTTTTTTTTTTTTTTTTTTAATTGTTTATCTACTGATAGAATGCTGCAAGGTAAGTTTCTTTTTGGTTATTCCGGGCACTGCTTCACTATCCGCCGCAAGTGGCCGGCGGCCTTTTTGGGTAGAAATTGAGTTGAACTTGTAACTTTGAACTTTGTAGAATGAGAAAGTTTCAAGTCGAGATACCTTCATCCTATACCTCTCTCTTGTGTTAGGCTTTTCTATTCCCTCACTTTGCTCTGAGAGAGGCTTGAGTCCTACATCCCTGACCCTTGGTCTGACCTCTGATTCTTCATATAGCTCTCTCGTATTGCCTTCCGTGGCGCCTGCGAGAATTCAGCCAGCCGCGTGCGATGGATCCGGTATCAGTGACCAAGATCGTTTTTGGCAGCCGATAAATGCTTAAGCAGCCCTCCTGCAGTGGTGGAGCAGAGCCTTCCCTTAAACGATGGCAGCATTTCCTGCTCAGAAACTTGGACGCGCGTGTTGTGGCTGTTGGGACACACAAAACCTGCTTTTAGGACAAAACTTGGATCTTCCTTCCTCACCTCTGGATGCGCGAATTTACAAGGAACCTGCCCCTGCTTTCAAGCCCTTGGTCATGGGCTGATTCTACAACCTGCAGTTTGACAACCCAGGAATATGTATCCTCTAGATTCACAAGGCCGCTTTGACTGAAGCATCAAATTATCCTACCCAGTTTGGCTGCGTTTAGACAAGCATCTTCAGCCGATCTATCCCTCACCAGTTGGTTATCTCATCGGGGGCTTCGTCGCGACTCTCTCCGTCTGCCGCCATGGAGCCCCGACCCCAACCAGCGGCACATCAGCATCGGCGCCGTTACTGCTTATCACGGCGAGAGATGATGCGACGCGCCTCCCTTCGCCAGACTCTTCAACAGCCGGCGTCTTCCAACCAAGCACGTGCGATGCCTCTCGACCAAGCCGTTCAAGCGTTGCTTAATATAGAGCCATGGCCCAGTACCCGCACCTGGCCACCGACCGCTGAAGTGCCAGACTTCATGGATGAAGACAACCAAGACGAAGCTCAGGAGGTGTTTATTGACCAATTCAACAATCTGGCGGTGGAGGTATGGAAACATGGACAAAAAGGATCGCCTTGAAATGTGGCTGACAGCTATTAGAATCGAGTACCATTGCTCGCCCATGGTGACACTATCCTCATTGTAAGTAATGGACCGACCTATGAGCTGGACAGCATTTTCTGATGTTTTCCGTATTACAGAACCTGGAAACCCCAGAGCCTAAGCAGCCTGGGTTGCTCCGTCGAATCTTTTCAGGACCAAGTAGGCCGGATCCAGCATCACGACAGAGCGTCTCAGACTTGGCATATCATCGTCGCTACAAGCCTGATGTATACACGTCGGTTGATCTTGAAGACCTGCAACGGCTGTCTAGCAAAAGCCTGCTGCGTCTGCCCCCAGCTTACGCCCCCTACCCCTTGGCCATACCAACGTGCTTGCGTGCCTGTGCACAATTCATTGCGGAAAAGGCCAATACCCGGGGCATCTTTCGGGTTTCCGGCTCTGAAAGAGTCGTTGAAGAATTCTCGCGGTACTACAACTCGGTCCCTGCCCATGAAGAGGCTGTGCTTGGGACAGTCCTCCAAGATACCTTGCCGGTCCACATTGCACACACAATCCACGATGTGGCTTCTACGTTCAAGCGCTTTCTAGCCCGCCTGCCAGGAGGGATCTTGGCATCGCCAAAACTTTTTAATGTTTTTGTTGCAATCCATGAGCAGCTGGATGGGCCGTCTGAGCTTTCGAGTGGTTATCGTGCCCAGGTTCGTGCACGACTCATAGCACTCGCCATTCAATCCATCAGGTCAAAGTCTATCCGCCATGTGATTTGCGCCGTCTTTGGCTTGCTACATATGATTGGACGGATCACTGAATTGTTGCCAGAAGAGCGTGTTAATGGTCAATCTCTTCATCCCGATCATCAGTTTGTGGATTATGAAGGTCTTGGAGTTTGTGTTGGCCCGCTGCTAAGCAATGATCCTCCGTTGAAACCAGTCCAGCCAACTCCTGAGCCGCGTCGCTTTCCATGGGCTTCGAAGCTGCTTCGTCGGCAAGCGCAAGAGTTGACCGAAGACGCCAAAGCTGAAGAGGAAGCCAGAATTATAGCGGCAATGGTGAAGCGTGCCATGGATGCAGCTAGTGTTGCTGAGATGCTTATTACACATTGGCGGGACGTGGTTTATGAATTGAAAGTCTTGAATAGGAATGTTCGTGATGGTGTGGCGATGCTGCATCTCGAGTATCGCGAGATGCCTCCACTGAGTTCAGATCCAGACATTGGCAATCCTGTTGTGGACTCGGATGTTCATTTTGAGGCAGGTTCTGAGGCAGGTTCTGAGGCAGGACCTGAGGCAGGTTCTGTTGACAGTCAGGAGACTGTGTTCCTTACAACGGCCGCGGCCAATGGTCAGCGAGAAGCCAGGAGTGGCCTGAAGACTGCGTCAGCTGAGGCAGGTTCTGAGGCAGGTTCTGTTGGCAGTCAGGAGGCAATGTTCCTTACAACGGCCGCGGCCAATGGTCAGCGAGATGCCAGGAGTGGCTTGAAGACTGCGTCAGATCCCCCCCAATTGACTCCCTCAAACGCCATCCGACGACCAACGGGTACAACCAAGGAGTCGGCAAGGATGATACTGCTCGAGACGGAAATACAGCAGTTGAAAGAATTCGACATGGCGGCATTGCATCAACAACTGCAAGACGCAAATGGGAAGCTGAGTAAATGGAAAGAGAGAGCCTTGGCTGCGGAGAAAAAGGCAAGGCTGTTTCAAAAATTTACGATGCGCGTCAGACACCTTTACGGCTCTCCCTCGAATAAAGGCTCTTGTCAAAGCGGAGATGACGGGTCGGCAGTCAGAGAAGAGAGCGACGCACAAGGTTCCTACCTGGTTCATAGCGTTCGGCTTCACAAGGCCCTGGAGGCTATTGAGAAAGGAGTCCAGGCCACCGGTTACCAAGAGAGTATAGGCCTGGGAGATGGAGATGCCATTGCGGCCAAGATATTCCAGAGTTTATATCCCCGGATGCAGACACGAGACGGGCCGCCTTGTGGTGGTTCGCCCTCGGGTGGTTCCAAGGCTACAGCCACTGGCGATGCGCTGTTGTTGCAGAGTATGGATGGCGTGGCGAGTCCCAGAGACGACGAAGAAACGCTGAAGCTTCGTCTTGCGATGGTGGAGCTGTGGATGGCTGTGCAGGAGTTGCTGCGGATGGAGGATGAGGAGGCGTCTTCAACGACGTCTTCGTCGTCGACTTCGTCGTCGTCGTCTCAGCAGTCGAGCACTTTTACTAAGAATGAGCCTTCTTCATTTTTGTAAGTTGCTTGGTTGCTTGATTGGTTTCGTGTTTGGTTGATTGATTGCTTAGTTGGTTACTTGTTTGTTTGGTTCACTGGTTTGGTTGATTGATGCAATGGATTAAGTCTTATAATATCTATTATGCAATTGATTGTTTTAGGATATAGAGTCGTTAAAATTCAATTTTTTTTTTTTTTTTTTTTTTTTTTTTTATATCATATCAACATTGCTTTTCCAACGCTTCATGACCATTGAACTTTGATCTACCCTATTCAAATTCAAATACCGTAAATTCCTCCATTGAGATTGCCATCTCACGGCGCTGGTGCTCTTTTGTACTACCAAGGAGCGCCAGGCCGCCGTGCAATCCTCCATCTCCCAGCTTGGTCCAGATTCATATTGACTTGCATTCTTCCAATGCCATCCACAACGGCGTTGAGCGCCCGGGTATCGACATCCTCTGAGTTTCGAGCATGTCTGCTGCCACTACCGCTACCACTACGAACTCTGTTTTGGGGTCTCGGTATGGGACTCATGGGTGGAGAAAGGACCCGAGAATCGCCCTGGCGGAGCGTAGGCTGAGAGTCGGCGATAGACAAGGGCGATTCAGGCCGTTCGAGCTGGGAGGTTGGCGGTGAGGGGAGAGAGTAACTTGCGGCTTGAGTAGAGTAGGTGGACATGTTTGCGAATGGGGGCGAGGAAGAAGAAGACGAGAGAAAGCTGGGGCGGGGTTGAGCGGAGGGGACGACGGAGAAGGGTTGGATTTGAAGCTCTTCTCGTGGTTCGAATGGCGAGTTGTTGGAGTTGGTAAATGGCGAGGTGGCGTGGGCGAGACGGAAGATGGCTTCTTCGTCGGAGGATGGGAGGTCGGGTTCGAAGTCGGAGTGGAAAGAGCCTGGCATGGGGTGGTAGGCGGTTGAAGGCATTGAAGAAGAAGATTGCTGAGAAGATTGATGCTGATGCTGTTCCAACGGAGGAGAAGGAGCAGGAGGATCGTAGGGGATGAGATCCAGCCACTGCTGCTGGCGCTGATGCTGCCAGTCTCGCTGGCTGGAAGAAGACGCGGCAGAAGAATCAGGATTGCGGCTGGGAGAAGGACGAACAGGAGACGCAGTGCGATGCAGACGACCAATAGACAAACGACGATGCGGTGCAGGCGAAGACGACGGATTGATTACATTTGGCGGTGATGGCCAGACCATGGCGATGTGCGGTTGGTGCTGGGGCTCGTGGGTGCGGAGCGGCGAGACGCCGTGGCCTGGCTGAGCGCGTCAGTTTTCGGAGACGAAGATTTCCTTGTGGCGGTGGGTGAGTTCGGCGACGGCGGAGCAGAGGACCATGTCTGGGAGATTGAGTTAGCAAGACGTGGTTGACAAGGGGATATTTCGGAGGAGACGCACCGACTCCGGGGCCGACGTCGCGCGTGCTGAGGGCCTTGATGGAGAGGTCTGGGTTGACCTTGCCGATGACCTGGGCGGCATTGCCGTTGACGAGGTGAGAGTCCTGCAAAGAATGTCAGTGATGGTGATGATGATGATGTGGAAAGAGACGCACGCGGTTGAGCAGAATGGTGACGACGCCGTCGGCGTCAATGGTGGCCTGGTCGCCGCGCAGCTGCGTGACTTTGCCGACGATGGTGACGGTGCGGCCGACGAAGTTGTCGAGGTAGGCGGCGACGATGCGGGGGGTGGACATTTGCTCGGCCATGGTTGATGTTGGCGATGCTGTGGTTGTGGTTGTGGTTGTGTGCTTGCAGAAGCGAGGTATAGCTGGTGTAGCTGGATCTTTGAACTCGAACTATACTAGCAGCAAAGAAGAAGCAGCAGTGATTGTCTGTGTTTTGTCGTGCTGTGCGATGTGGGATGCGGGATGCTCAGCTCAGCTTCAAATCACGAACCCCTCAACGCGGTTACACGAAGGAGGTCGCGGAGGGATCGCGAGATCAGGTGACACAGCATTGGTCTCTCACGTGCGAATAAGCTACAGAAGGTCTTGTCCGCTGTAGCAGTTGGCCTACAGCACTACGAGCACTATCAGCTACCAGGTACTAGCACTCTTACGATTCTAACTCTAGCACTACTTCAATCTTGACGCCGCAGCAGAGCTTGCAAGCTGGGAAATGGTGGGAGTGGGAGTGGCAAAAGCCTGCAGCTCTCACGGTAAGCAAAATCTCATGCTCTCGCTTGCCCACCGAGTTGGCCGAGACGAGCCGTGGCCTGCCAATTGGATGAAGGCCAAGCCGCGAGTGTGCGTCGCTTCGCCATGGGCTTTGAATGGCTTGATGGGCCGGGATTCGTCACCGGCGGCTCGGTTCTCAAACTTGGTGTTGTAGATCACGGGTCTGGCTGGGATGAGATGGATGGACGGATGGAACGGTCAGTCACTGTGCCGGGTAAAACTCCCTTCTCTTACAGCCAGCTGGGTATAAACGTGTAAACTGTGAAAGCGTGCTAGCAGGGACATGGATTGCTGGAATACTACTGCCGGCTACAGACCGGTACTTGCTCTTGCTCGTCTATATCCGAGCGATCCAGGCGCTGGAACTCGATGCCGGCCGGCGTGATATCTCGGATGCGAGTGCTTTCCTTGTTCATTCGCCGCATATCAAACACACAAGAGACGTATATGCACACACACCTGTTCGTTCATGACTGGCCCGGACTCCATCGGTCCCCGTTTCGAATCCAACCACTCCATCCAAAGGGAGAGAAAAGAAAAAAACTCGCCTTACTGTGCCGGCCTGGAAAGCTTTCCCATTCCCCCAAAAGGTGGGACACACCCATCATCTCGCCCGACGGGACGTCTCGTCGTGCTCCCCCATGATTGGTGCCCTCCTTTGATAACGTTTAGGTAGCATTGGCGCCGACCTACGCCAGGCACTGGAGCCGGAAGCATTCCCTCCTCTCTTTGTTGTCTCGCACTTTTCCCTCGGAGAGCCGAAGACAAGGTGAGAGAGGAGGACGTCCTGATAGGATGCCTTGGTGAAGCCACAGAAGCTTGTCTGGCGTCGAACGGAATGCCACCGGGGGGATGTGGGAGGGCCAGTTTGAATGCGAAATCGGCGTCGGGACGGGATCCCACCTAATACTGGGACTCTTTTACTTTGTAAAGCTCGCTTCTTCTTTTGTGGCTTGTACAAGCAAGCGAGACCTGGCTTGGTTCAGAGCGACTTTTGCTGCTGTACTTCGTATCAGCCTCGGCTCTACTTACGCCAAGAGCATGAGCTGTCTCTTTTTCAAGTCACTTCGGAGTTCTCGGCTCATGAAGCTCTTGACACATTTCCTTTACATTTTTTTTTAAAAAATTGATGGCTTTGCCAGCGGCTTGGCAGAATTGCCAAACTCTCTACTCTCAATGGCTCGTATCGGAGAAGGCTGTCCGGAGTAGGCAACAACACGCTGGGTATCACAGGCTTGGCTTCAAAACAAAGTATACTACAAAGTATACTCAGCTGCCTGTCAGCGTATTGCCCCTCTCAGGCTACCGTTGGTTGGGCAAAAGCGAAACTAGAGCTGCAATAGTCTAGAAAAGGGCTGGTGGTAAACCAAAGGCTTCTGTCGACGTAGAGGGGAAATTGGATATCAGGAAAAAAAAGTGGTATGATGGACTGATTGATAAAGGGCGACATTTGCCATTGTGAGCCCATGTTCAGTGCCAACATATCAGCATGTTTCAGTGCCAACATATCAGCATGTTTCAGTGCCGCCCAATTGGCCAACCGAATGGCAATTAGAGTTGCCACAATTTGCAATGCTTTTTTTGTTCTGTCTTGTCGAGTGTTGAGTGTGAGCGAGGCTACTTTCGGATAAATGGCTTGGACATGGCCCACCACCAAGCAGCCAGGAAACAGCTCCGCTTTCGCTTGTTCAGCTCTCATTCCCAGGAACGCCCGCTTGTTAAACTTCAATGGAGCTGGTCTAGCTGTCGGAGGAGTTCCCAGGAATGGCTATGAGAGGGAGGGGCCGGCGCCCACGGCAAAGGAGAGAGAAAACCTAGACGTTAATCTAATCACTGCAAAGTTTGTGGCAGTCGAGCTCTCCGGGGGCAGCAGACGCCAAAAGCCTAAAAACCGGCTTTTCTTTTTTTTCTCAAAAGGCAAGGCCGAAGCATAGCGAACCAGGCCAGGGGAGCCATTCCTCGAGTTGGAAGTAGTCTGGGACACGGCTTAGCCTTTGTGATACGTGGAGAGTTACGCAACGGCCAATGGCGACGGGAAGCTCAGCAAACCGGCATTATGCATGTGAGATGCGTGCCATTCATCCATTCATCAATCAGTGCATGGCAAGCACGGGTGGACTTTGCTCGGCCAGGGGTCCTGTCTGCCCGGAGCTGCATGGAGAGATGCCCGGATATTGGATTGTTGCCTGACGGACGGGCCTGGATCTCGCCGGAAAGCTGCTGGGGCCATTGACAGGAGGACCCTGTATTTGCTTAGGCTGTTCGTCTGTTGCTCCAGTAAGAGGCACTATTTCTCTTAGCTCGAGCTGCAGCTGCAGGTTTTGGGTCCTGAAGCAAACGGCCATGTTATCATGCACTTTGCCTTTTGCGATGGCCCGGTGCAGCCCGGTGCAGCCCAGTCCCGTCCTATTCGGCTCAACTATGATTGTGTCGCTGCCCAAAGCTCGGTCTCTGGATATTCGCGCAGAAAAGGCTGGGTGGCTGCGCAGAGGCGGGAAGAACATGGCTGGAGACGCAACCGTCTAGAATCCATCAGCCATGTCAGCCACGCCAGCCAAGCCAGCCAAGCAGCTCGGGAGAAATAGGCGGACGGCCGAGACCAGTTTTAGTTAGAAGCAAACTTTGACAGTGGATCGAGAGAGACTATGCCCCAAGTTGCTTGGAAGCGAGGAGTGCGGAAAGTGGAGAGTCGTGGCCGGGTGGATGGAGAGATAATAATAGAGGAGAGGATAGAACGTTTGAAGACGGATGGTTGTGGTCGGCTCATCTCAGCACCTCTCCAGGCGGCATGAGCGCTAAGACGGCCCTACGGCGCTTCACTGCTGCGGTCCAAGCCAGCGCTGGGGGGCCTCCAAGTACAGGCCGAGTACAGGCCAAGTCCATCCCAAGTACCTGCGAGCATTCTATAAGACGCACCGCGGCCTGCAGTGGGACGAGAGTTGAGCAGAACGGGGCACTCGAGCTGTAGGGCGTGCAGCTGTAGCGGCATGCATGCATGCACTGCGCATTGCAACCAGGCAGCAACCTGGGACTGAAGCCGTTGGATCAATGCGACTCGATGCCAGCTGTACAAGGATGGCACCTGTGGGGGCCAGATTCTGATACCCGGTCTAGTAGGGAAAATTGGATCGGAGCTTGGATCGCGATCGCACTAAAATCAAGTCACCAGAAGGGGAGGGATCGCCACAGCGTCCCAGCAAGGCAGAATAAGGTTCAAGCTCTGGGAATGCGTCGTTGAAGATGGGTGAGTCAGATTAGGCGGGAATCGGGACGACTATCGATTAGAAGATGTGAAACTGCCTTCTTCATCCGGGTAACTAATTGCGACCTAGGTGTCTTTGCCACAACGGCGTTGGCTTCTAATGGCGTGAGATAGTAGGGTGAGGTGAATACCTCAGTTGGCTTGGAGGTCGCGACGCGCGTTCGAACACGGCCACGAGCGCATAAATCTTCAAGCCATGTTACAGCTACTGCTGCTGTTGAAACGGTCAACTCCTTGCTTGTCTGCTTGGCACGGCCCGTGATGCGGTGCTGCCTCACATATAAAACGCTGGCGTGCTTGAGTATAGTAAGCATGCCGTGTAAGGTGTAAGTTGTTAAGAGGTACAGATTGGATGCTTGGCACATACAACGGATACTGACAGACTCGCAGGTGGTAGTATCACAAGCACAAGCAAAGCAGTGCTTAGCAGGGGCTTGGGCTAGGCGGCCTTGGAATATTCTTTGCATCTTGAAGCCTATTTGGTGAGAGGCTTTGATGCCGTGAACCAATACAACCAATACCCTTCCAGCACAAGAGAACATTTATCGTTTGTCTTAATGGCGCCTCGTCTTGATAAAAAAAATTACGCTTTCTTTCCGTGTATAATGTGTGTGAATTTGGTTCAAAGAGGCGCCAACACTTGCCTCCGGTCCACGGTTATAAGCCATGTATGTCCATATCTCGGTCCAGATACACTTGTGGCGCTTGCTGTGACTGCGTCTTTTGATTCGTTGCCTACTATATAAACCCTTGCCAATTCCAATGCTGTTGATGAATTGATGCTATTCCGCATCCTGACTGGAGCTGCAGCCATTCCACATCCCGACTGGGACAGCTAGCTACGCCGGTGCCGAGCTATCATGATTGGTGCAGCTTGGAAAGTGGTTATCTCGCGGAAACCACTGGTGATAATACCACCCGATTAAGCCTCGAGCCGAGTTGCAGCTCTTGTCTGCTTCTTCCCTTGCAGCCTCCTTGGTCCGGAGCTGATACTTGACCTGCCGTCTTGTCATGGTGAGTCCATCGAGCTCGTTGTTTCTGCCTCGCTGAATCACGGAGAAGACGGAAGAGCCTAACAATACAATACCTAATCAGACATCAAACATCGATGCTGCCACCACCACCGCTATTACTACCGCTATTCTCATTACTGCACTACTAGAGCCACTGCTGCCACTATTAGTATCGTCCAATATTATTACTTCGTACAGCTACTGCTGCTACTGCTGCCACTGCTGCTCCGCTACTGCTTGCCACATACCAGCCCGCGCACTACCTCGGGTTGGGCCTAGCAGTACTTGGCGGTACACTCGATGCTTTCGGCACCCAAGCCAGAGCTCGCTGTGAATCCCACCGTGCCGGCCCCGATGCTTTTTACTGCTCGCCCGCGCACCTCTGCCGCATCCGTCCTCCCTCCTCTTCAATCATTGGAACAGTCGACGTTGCCGCCGGTGCCATCTCGCTCCTCGCCCAGCTCTCAGGCCGCAAGCGTCCGAACCCACGACTTTGCTGCGTCCACCCCGACCGGCTGCTGCATCGCCTGTGCCGGCCAAGCTCCACCTGCTGAGCTTCCCCTCTCCAGATCCTCGATCAGGCCCCTGCTGGGTTCCCGTGCTACGCTACGGCCCCGCCACGGCTTCTGAGCTCCAGCGACCCCCCCCCTCACCAGCAGCTGTCAACGCCCCCCGGCTCTCTGGATCGACGCAGACGCCAATTGATCAACACCTGCTGCTCTTCAACTTGTCACAGCAGCTGCCACCAGAAAAAACACACAAAAAAACACGCAAAATATATGGATTAGAAGCCCAAAATAAACATCAACGCAAGATAGGAAACAGAAAGAAAGCGAGCCGGCGATTATGTGCGACAGTCCTCTCTTTGGCGAGTTCGGCCTGGGCATCCACAACAACCTCCCAGGTCCCATCTTCCCGTACTCCTTCGACCTCTACAGGGACGATCCCATCGACAACCTCGTCGATCCCGGACTGACGGCGACGCCATATACTTCGTCGCCGAACTCGTCGTTCCCGTCGCCAGAGCAATTGTCCGGGTCCTCGCCGCTGAGCTGCCACGAGTACTTTGTCGACCCCCGAGACAGCATCGGCAGCCTCGACGCAGCAACCATCGCCCCTCGTGAGACGGTCGCTCACAACAACACGGCCGTCGCCAAAAACAGCAGCCACGGCCCCAGCAGTCACAACATCAGCAATGCCAGAAGCAACAACGGCAAGCCGAGCAAGGCAATCCCAAGCTCGGCTTTGGCATCGGCCTCATCATCATCATCAACAACGACGACGCCAGCAGCAGCTCCCCAGCCACCCGCTAATACGTCTCCCATGGTAACAAGGACGAGAAAGGCCTCTTCCCAGAACCCGGATGCTTCGGGCTCAGCAGCTCAACCTCGCGCCAAGAAGCAAAAGACAACCATCACCGTCAAGCTGGAGCCTCAAGAACCCCAACAGCAGCGCCCGCGACAGCAGCGCCAACGACAGCCCTCGCCGCCGAAACGAAAGCCCGCGCGGCGAGGCTCCACGGCAAAAAAGGAAGATGTGGCCCAGCGCACCAAGAACCTGGAGCGCAATCGCATTGCCGCATCCAAGTGCCGCCAGAAGAAGAAGGAATGGGTGGTTGATCTCGAGGTGAAGAAAGACTCGATGCAGTTGCGCCACGCCGAACTGCGCGCCGAGTATTCGAGCCTTGTCGAAGAAGTCACAGCCATCAAGAACGAGCTCATGGCCCATGCCAAGTGCCAAGACCCCAACATCAACTTCTGGATCGAAAAGGAAGCGCTCAAGTATGTTGAGAGATGCATGGGCCCGCCTCCGGAGCGGCGTCCATCCATGCTGGGGAATGGTGAGCTTAACCTACGATATGGGGGTAGATATTCGTAATGCCCAAACCCTTGTGCTGACCATCATCTACTATGCAGCCGCATCTGGATCCAGCACGCTGCCCTCGCCGGCAGAGTCTCACCGGTCCCATCAGGAGCCGCCGCTACCGAGGCCTGAAGGGGATATCAATCTCGACTACATGCCTGACGAGCTACTGACCGGTGACTTTGTGTGAAGGGAAATGAAAAGACAAGACATGATACAACAAGACAAGAAAATCAGGACATGGGATAGGAGATCTTTGCGGCCAGGAGCTAGTTTAGCGTCAATGGATTTCTGTGGCGGATCGAACGGGACAGGATGGCATTTTCCGACGAGGAAAATCAGCATCTCACGGCTGTACCGTAGTGCTTTTTATTTTATTTTTTTTATTTTATTTATTTTGCCCCTCGTAAGGAGTAAGAGGGCTGGGAGTAATGGAAGGATGGCGATGGGTACAAAATATCATCACGGAGGATTGGGAAAGAATGAGCTAGGCGTTTGCGCATGTACCTACTTGCAATGGAAAGGAGGTGGTTGACCTAGTATATGATGGATGGCCGCACATACAAATATTAAAAGAAGGGGAAAAAAAATTAACAACAAAGAAATGCAAACCTGTGTCTTGGCTTTGACTCTGAAATTACAGACAGCTTTGACTCTGAGTATTAATAGTTTTGATTTTGAAAATATAGACCGTTTTGATTCTGAAAGTACAGACAGCTTTGACTCTGAGTATTAATAGTTTTGATTTTGATAATATAGACAGTTTTGACTCTGAAAGTACAAACAAGAGCTGATAGATGAAATTTATATACCTTGAGAGGCAGATTCAACTCTGCCATTATTCAATTTTCCGTCCCAAGTCTGTACCTGTGAGAACATTTTTACTCAACTTTACTTATTTTGATTATTGAGATGTAATATTTTGTTATTTTATTCCCTCTTGCAAGTACATGCGGTACCTTCACTAGCCCATCTACAGCCACTCCCTTTTTTATACACATAACAAGAATATCGTACAGATGTCATGAACTTCTATTTTGCTCTTCCCATCTCCATGACCAATTTCACCTCCTCTTGGTCCATCCCCGGGCATTGGACAATCCCTTGATGCGCTTCGTGTACTTCCACAAATGCCTATACGCAGGGCCCTGTCTCTTGGCCTCCCAGCCGCGCGGCTTGACGGGCGGCTTCAAGCTGTGCACGCGCGTCGGCCTGAACTCGACGTCTGCGCCGGCCACGCCGTGGCGCGCCATGACGCCGGCGGTGTTGTCGTCCCAGACGCTGCGGAACATGTTGAAGCCCACGGGCGTGAGGCTGAACTTGTCGCGGAACGACTTTAGCGAGAAGCCGTCGCGCGAGGCGTAGAGCTCCTTGAGCTGTGCAACGTCGAGCTTGGTGTCGGGCTTTTGCTCGAGGAGGTAGATGCTCAGGCGGTGGTAAGGGCTGCCCTTTTGCGCAGTGGGCGGCAGCCACGGCACGGCGAGCTGGTCGGCGGCGCGGATCCTGCTCAGCGGCAGAGACGTGTCGCTGGGGCTGAGCGAGATGTTTGCCGCGAGGAAGTGGCAGCGCTTGGAGAAGGCGTCCTTTTCGACGTCGGGCACGTCCGAGTCGAGCACGACGAGGGAGACGAGCCGCGGGCCCTTGTCGAAGACTTGGACGCGCAGCCGCGGCGGGTTCTCGCTGACGAGGGAGTCGACAATCTCGCCGGGCGGGATCTTGGATTGGCGGAAGTAGAGCTGGACGTCGGCCACGGGGTCGAGCTTGGGGAGGACGTCGGGGACAATGTTGAACTGCTTGATGCGCTGCGTGATGAGGCGGTAGTCGTAGGAGCGCCATTTGCGCTCGGCGTAGTGCCGGTAGATGGGCTTGTCCATGTCTCCTGGTATACAGTTAGTGTCTTTTTCTTACTTTTTATAAATATATGAGTCTTGTGTTTTTTCTTACCTAGTCCATCTTCAAAGCGCTTCTTGACCAGCGGGTCGTTGATATCCGCCTGGATCTTGAGCTGCTCGACATAGCGCCTCAAACTAGCCAGCTTCGTATCCTTCATTGCCTGTCCGCCCTTGACCAGCGCCGCGTCCTTCTTCTCCAGCAGCGAAATCTTCTCCAGCTCCTCCTGGATCTTGGCTACCTTTTCTTGTCGGTCCGCCGCAAGAATGGCTCGCGCTTCCTGAAAGGCCTGGTACGGCAGCTGCTCAAAGGGGAGGCTGGCGGTGGTGCGCATGGCGACTCTTCGTCTCCGGGACCCGATGGGCATTTTGCCCGCCTTGATGAGGTCGCTTTCGAATTCCGGCAGGACGCTGTTGGGATCGAGGTCCAGAGGGCTGGGCTGTGCTGCTGCCGCCGAAGAGGTTTCAGCAGCAGCAGAGGCGCGGGCAGCACCCGTTGTGAAGGGCCTGATTGCGCATTGTGGGCGCAATTGCCGTGCCAATGGCCTCGCTACAGCCTGGCACCGCGACATGGTCGACGCTGTGTGTGTTGCTGTTATATGGAATAACAAAGTTTTGTATGTAATACAATATCTCGATATCTTGGGACTGAGGGTTGGTGGTGCAAAGTTGCGATTTAGCCCCGCTAAAATTTTCGGCGGCCGGAGGCGGAAAACGCCGCTGCGCTTTTGCTTGCACCACCATTGATGGTTGATTTTCGCTTTCGCTACCAAGAGCAGCATCAGCACGGTTTGAAGAGCCAAACAGTTGGAGATTTCTCGTCTTCAAACATGGCTGGAAAGGGAATTGGGTGTCTCAGCGAGGCGCTGGGTGCGCTGAGGATATCTGCGCCCAGGGTATGTCTTTTCTGCGTTGAGATTTTTGCGATGGCATGACATGATTTGACTGACTTGTGAACAGTTGGCGACGACGACGGGCTTCAGCAGACAGTTTGCGCGGTCAATGGCTACAGAGGCGCCGGCAAAAGACATCACGAGATCAGCTTCCAATGCGCAGTCCCTGATGCAGTCCTGGAACCCGAGTATGACGACCTCATCTATAGCAAAAAGCTCCCGCTAACCCCTCCATCAGTCTCAACCGTCCCCGTCACCATCCACAGCTTCCCATCCCTCGAGCCGCAGTCCCTCGAGCAGTGGTCCGTTCAGCATCTCTACCTCCCCCTCCGCCGCGACCTCCTCCACCTCGCCGTCGTCTACGAAGGCGACAACACCCGCCAGGGCACCGCATCCTCCAAAACCCGCTGGGACGTGCACGGCTCGCACCGCAAGATGCGGCCACAGAAGGGAACCGGCCGAGCTCGCCAGGGCACCAGACAGAGCCCGCTGCTTCGCGGCGGAGGAAAATCGCACGGTCCTCATCCTCGCGACTTCGGAACCAGGCTGAACCGTAAAGTCTACGACAAGGCGTGGCGCACGGCGCTGAGCTACCGGTATAGACGGGGCGAGCTGATCATCTGCGAGGACGGCATGGAGCTGTCGATGCCGGAGGATTTCGAAATCGTGGCGGACAAGTACTTAAAGGACGGGCTGAGGGAGGCATATCTGAAGAAGTACATGTCTGGCATGCTCAACACGCTGGGGCTTGGTCGCGACGACGGCCGCACACTGTTTGTTACTGGCGATAGGAGGGACAGGCTGTACGAGGCCATGGAGCAGGTGCCGTGGGAGGGACGAGCGCTCGACGTGGAGGATGTGGATGTCAAGGATTTGCTGGAGACGGGCAAGGTGGTGATGGAGAGGAGTGTGCTGCGGGAGATGATTGAGCAGCACCAGAGTGATCTGGTGAGCCGGATTGTCATTAATGGGTTTGCCAAGGGGGGGCCAGCGCTGGGTGAGAAGGAGTTGTAAGGGGACCTGGGAAACAGAAAGGTTTACGCAATTTCTATGACAATGGGCTTATAGATGTAGTTTGTGGACTGAGACGAGGAGGTGATGGAGAGATGTACTCGACAATAAATGTATACTAGTCATGGATGATATATCAGTGGATATCTATAAAAATAACACACACATATATATACGATTTAATCACTGGATCATGGGACTAGGTCTAGTTGACGGCTTATTTAAATTCTGAGCAGGTGCAGTTGGTACCTAGTAGAAACCGATTTTGTGCAGCTTTGTATGGCAGGCCTCGATGCTCTCCAAATTGCAAAAAGCCTTGCGAGATCCTTCCTAGATCAATGTCCAAGTAGATATTCAAACGAGAGACGATTTTCTAGCATGAAAACATCAACATACACTAATAAACGTCATATGCCGAAGAAAAATTCCGATTCATAGCTTAATGTACCTGGCCGATGCTAGATTACAAGCCCGATGTCATTTTGAGCATCACCAAACGCCACCCTTGATCATAACAGTGGTTTCCGAGCGAAAAATATTCCAAATCTCCCATTTCTCTAAAAGCCGCAGATATCTTTCTCCCCTCCCTTTTATATCCCGTGATATCATATTGGACCAGATTTGCTTTTGCGTGGGTATCGCAGAAATTAGAGCTAGCTTTTTCAGCTTCTTTATCGTCGAGGAGGGGGGTTGAATCCGGGAGGAGGAGGGCCTCCAGGAGGGAAGCCTGGGGCGCCAGGGAAGCCAGGAGCACCGGGGAAACCAGCAGGAGGAGGGAACTGGCCAGGGAAGCCAGGAGGAGCTAAAATCGCAGTGATTAGTACCAATGCAGCCTGGGACAATATAGAGAGGATGGTATTAACTTACGAGCACCTCGTCCACCGAATCCAGGAGCACCAGGAGCGCCGGGAGCGCCAGGGAAAGAAGGGAATCCCGGAGGGGGAGCAGCTCCACCAACACCAGCAGCCGGGCCGGCGAGAGAAATCGGGGCGGCAGCACCACGTCCGGCAGGTCGAGCAACGCCAGGACCAGCCTGAAGAGTCGAGGCAATTCCGCCGGTGGTGGTCTTGCCAAGTCGAGCGCTAGGATCGGCGGGAGGCGGTGACTCGACAGTCAGAGAGATGATGTGAGCGCCACGAACAATCACCAGGCCCAGCGTTCGCTTCTCCTCCTGGACCACGGTCTGGCCGGCCGATGAGCCGCTGGGAGCCGCCGCCTTGGTCTGCTTGCGCTTGATGCGGCGGAATTCCTCCGTGTCGGCGAGGACGAGGTTCATGTGTCGGTCGTAGGCGAGCATCTGGCCAACCAGCTGGCGCGAGTCCTGCAGCGTCACACGCATCCGGTAGTTGATCTGGGAGAAGTCGTCAGTGCCTGGTTCACGTCAAGGATCGATGGGCAATCGAGGAGGGGGAGCATCTGCGTACGTATCCGGCCTGTATTCACGTCTCGTTAGTCTAACCATGTCAACATGTAACGCTCCAAGAGATGGCTGGGAGGGAGAGGGACTGACCATCTTGCCAAGCTTGTTGGACGCCATGCTGAAGATGAGATGCTACGGGGAGTAGCTCCTCTGTTTGTTCAAAAAATTGATTGTGTGTGTTTGACAAAGCTGGTGCTCCTCAGCCTCGTCGTCGCTGCTCTGATGCCTCGTGGAAAGCTTGAGAGTTGCGAATGGGTTGGTGGTGTTGAGATGTTCGGAAAAAAGCAGCTCCACGTCTAAAATGCCCAGACTGCAGCGGGTGGAGCCTTGCGCGCCAGGTCCTCTGTACTGCTGTTTGCACGCCAAACATGGCGCGATTGCAAGTAGAAGAGACTCTGCACGTGCTACATCACATGACAGCTCTCAGGCATCATCCCTCAAATCAATCAAGATGTCATTTTACAGCTCTCATTATGTTCTATATGTTGATTCATTTATTCGTTTCTCAATTACTGGTTTTTCAACCTACAAACGACGTGTTTCGTCGCCAACTACAAAATTCGACTCTCAATGGATGGGACACAGCTCCCGTCACCACCAATCTCCCTTACTGCGCAGCTTGGACTCGTCTTATCCTCAGCATTGGTATAGACACACCAGTCGAGATGCTCCTGTTTTGCGTATATCGCTGCTCAATCTCTTCCAAGCTGTGTCCTCTCGTTTCAAACATACGCAATGCCACAATGATCGTGGTGAAGAGGGAAGAAAACGCAAAGAGGTAGTAGGCTCCGTATGTCGTCTTTGAAATGAGCACCGGCGTGATGAGCGCGACGACATAATTCGAGAACTGCATTCATTAGCTTCATCTACTTCACCAAAAGACTTCAATTGCATACCCAATTGGCACTCTGAGCAAGGCTGGATGCGCTGCTCCTGGTCTTTCTAGGCAAGCTCTCAATCAAAAAGATTCGGAAGCCAATTGCCCAAGTTCCGTTGAACACTATGGCGAATAGGTAGATGGACACAATCACCACCCACTTGCCAGCTCCTCTATCCGCATGGACTTTGTCGGCAGCATACAGTGATCCCATCAGCAGCATAAGCGTGGTAATCAGGATACCGCCCAAGAGACTGGAAGTTCGTCGTCCCCATTTGTCTGCGAGAAAGGTAGCCGGGATTGTGACTCCGAGAATAGCCAGTGCAGAAACACCAGAAGCCAGGAACGACGCCTGTTCGCCACTAAGACCGGCCTTTTCAAAGAGAACCGGTGCATAGTAAAAGACGCCGTCAATCCCAGCCAGCTGCTGCATGCCCATGATGAAGCAGCCAAAAATGGTTCGAGCACGGAAGGGAGCTGAGAAGGCCTCCCTGAATCCGGCAAAGGTCTGCTTGAACTCTTGCCAAATTGCTACATCATTGGGATTCTGGGCCTGTACTTGGGTCATGGACTCCTCCAGCAGCTTTTCGCGCTCAACCTCGTCAAAGCCAAGGCGAATGAGAACCTCGCGCGCTTCGGTCAATCGACCTCTGGCCAGCAACCAGCGCGGAGAAGCTGGGACAAACCAGTACGTTCCCGATAGCAGAAAGCCAAGGGCTGCTGAGACAACCAGCGGAAGTCGCCAGCTGAGCGTTGTCGATTCGCCCAGACGTGAAGTCCCATAGCAGATGAAGAAACCACAAACCAGGCCCACAACAATTGTGAACTGCGGAAATGCTGTCAACGTGCCCCTGACTTTGGTCGGGGACATTTCTGAAACCTGCACCCACACATTGCTCACAAACAAGCCCTCGCCTATACCCTGAATAAGACGCCCAACAATGAAAGCACCGAGTGAAGTAGCGGAAGATTGAATGGCTGCCCCGACGCCGTAGATGAAAGACCCAATGGCGAAGATGCGGACCTGTCCGAAGCGGTGGCCTAGGATACCGGCGATGAGGGCTGTGAAGGCACCGGAAATGAGCACAGATGAAACGACTACTCCGTGAACGGTTGGTGAAAAGTCGCCAAAGGTCTTGCGAAAGGCAGGCATCGTTGTCACAGGGCCAATGTTGCCCGTATCCAGGCTATATCGAAGAGTCAGCCATCTCCCAGCCTATAAAGGGGAAACATCACTACGATGGTGTTTACATACCCAAAGAGTATAGAGACGCTGGATGCCGCCAGACTGGCCCATACGTAAAACGGTGGTGCCTTTAGCCACCTCATCTTACAGGTTACACGCCTTAAATTCTCCAATGGCTACAATATTACAGAAGTGGGTGTTCACTGTTATTCTTGGGACACTGACTGGTCTGAAGCTTAGACTCCTGGATGATGAGTCCTCATAACAGATTAAATACGCCAGACATGTCAACTAGCTCCCACGTGTATTTCTCATCAAAAGAGTCATACCGATCTTAGCGACCATCAGGTCACCATCAAGTCGAACGATTGCCGGCACTAACCATCGTTTCTGGCGCCGGAGCTGAGATCCGGTGCCAGACAAATTCACGACCCGGAGTTACAACTGCGGAGATGCCGCTTACGGCCATCGGCTGTCTAGTTCATTGCGCCCTGGACACGAGAATATATCGAATATCAATTGCATAATTGATGACTCGACCCGTATATTGCCATCACGGGGATCATCAGAGATTTCTGAGCTTAATTTTAGTTTCAATCACCCCGTAATTCCATCTGATAAAGCGTGGAGCGGAGTGAAGCGGACGGCGTCGGAAACTGGGTCTAATTAACGCTTCATCTCAGCAGCCCCGCGACTCCATTGGCCCCCGATTTGTAATATCATTCACGGCTTTCTTTCTCAGCCATCATTTTCATGCATCTTTCACACTTTCTTCCCATTCTTCCAGTTTCTGGCAAAGGCCAACAAAGGGCCAAACATGCAATGTACCAATAGTTTACAGGGTAACTCGCGCTTCATCACGAATAAATTGAGGCCTCATTGGGTATTGCCTGTTTGTCTGTTGACAGCGCGTGAATTTTCACTCTAATTCTCTATAATGAATATTTCTACTTAATTGTGTAAACTTTATTAATGCGACTTCGCCATTTGTCACTGTGGCATAGGACCATTTTCCTTGGTCCGTCTTCAAGATGGCAATTTTTGGCGCTTCTTCTTTAATAACCTTTGTACGGCCTGATAAGCCATGGGATCTCTCCGAGTCCTGTGCCTGGGCCCTGATGCTTTCTCCTTTGAAGACTGCTGTCATGAATCCTTCCATGGTAAGTTGTGCTTTTACTGGCGTCGATTCCTTTGGATGCGCCCAAATCATGGCAGCCACAGCCAGTAGTACTGCACAGAGGACATACAGCGCATTCAGCGTAATCAGGATATAAAAGGGTATGATTGGGACGCGTGTGAGGGTCAGCGTTGACCGAGACTGTTCGATGATGTTTGCTCGACTCTCCATCCCGATATAGGATAGTGCCAGCGCACTGTAAGAGAAAGCAGCTGCCGTGAGAGGGACAGCATCCGAGTAGTTGGCGCTGAGTCTTGCCAAGGAAGAGATTACGGCTTGCTGAGAGATGTTGGCGTTGTCGTTCATGAAAGGTGCAGCCATGACGCCGCCGATAGAGCCGTTCGTGGAGCTGACGTTGAACTGGGCTATAGATCCGTCCACCCACGCATAGGTGGCATCGAATATTGTGCTGGAGCAGCCAAACTCCAACGTGCCAGTAAATACGTCAGGCCCCTCCGGCCCATAGAGTTCTCCAACTTCGAGGAAGACATAAAAATACAACGGGTTTAGGAAAGCATAATTGGGGTAGGAAATGTTCCCCGTAAGACTTGGGTCGTTGTAGAATTTGAAACCAACCTTGGTCACGTCGGTGGCCCGATTTGGAAGTTGCTTTGTACAGTCGAAAACATTCCGATCGCCCTGTTGGCATTGGACTTTTATTATCTCGCACTGAGTAGAGATGGCGAAGGCGCTGGCTTTAAAGTCCAGCTTTGATGATGAAATCGCTGCATCTGAAAGATAGAAGAGGGATTGCGATGAGTTTGAGGAAATGTTAGAGATGGTATTTTTGGTGGAAATGTTGTTTAGGATCTTGAAAGGCTCCTTGTCGGTGGGGAGATATGGTATAAAGTTGCCATCCGCCCCATATCCTTTTAATGCCTCGCAGGGGTAGTGGTAGTCGGAATAAACGCAATCTTTTCCCTGTAAGAATCCTCGACCAAACGAGTGGTTTGAAGGGGTGGTGAAGTTTAGTTGTGTTTGCTCGCTTGGCTTGACAACAATGCCAAACCAAGTATCCACCGCTGGAATAAGAACGCTGCGGACGTTAGCGACAATCTATCACGGCTTTGGTTGAATCATTTAATTTTTTTCTTTTAAGGATTGAAAGATGTGATACTTACCCCAAGACCGTGACAATAATAAGAATAGTAAGTGTATGTGAAATTGGGGCCGCGAATTTACCCCCCATATTCGCCCGAACACGAGTGGCTTTCCACAACTCTTCCAATCGGCCAGAAAAGAGTCCAATTAGTAGCGTCAATTGGTTTGGGGTTAATAGCTTGTCGTTCTGCTCCTTTTGCGATGTCTTTTGAACAAAATCTGCAGCGAAAAGTGCTGCCAGCCCCATGATGGCGCTTGACAGGTATGGGGCAAATTTCCCAGTAATAGAGGCAATCGTAGTTAGAGTAGACGGATTGAATTGGATATAGTAAGCATCTGACCCTCCAGTCTTGATAAAGTCTCTGACAGTTCTCGATGCTAGGGATAAATTGTCCGACGCATGGGATGTCTGTAGTTCGCCTGAGCCATCGCCGAGAATTACGCGGTTGCGGAATGTAAAGACAACAAGAAGCGCAGTTGCTGCAGAGAAAATAATGGAGGGCACTGCAGCTAGCAGGATTATAGATATGTATGCTTTGGCGCTGTTCCCCTTTTTGTGTTTCTTGACAGAGGCGGCATCTTCAGTCTGTTGCAGAGGAGTGTCTTCGGACGAAGACATATTATTCTCTTGTTGCTTGTGTGAAGCGTGAAGCGAATGAGGCAGAAAAGAAGAAAGCAAGAAAGAGAGACGCAGAGAACATCAAATCTAGGTGCAGCTGGAGAATTAAGGATTGAGAAATTGATATTAGCTGGCTGACATTCAAATTAATAGAATACTGATCGCGGCGCTTTGTGTTACGGATACAGCAAGCGAACAGTTGGCATTTAGTGTCTAATAATCTTGGTTTCTGCCTCATCATCAGAGTTACACGCACACAGCCTTATTTCTTGTAGCATCATATCAGAGCAAAAGATTGCCGTACGACGTCCAGGCAAGCATAGCCGCCTGTAACCTATACCCGGCTACTGATACTATAAACAGAACAAGTGCGCGGCTATGCGAATCCTTACAGCCGTGTCCGAAAGCAAGGCTGCCCGTCTTATCAGGGGTTATTCTTTCACAGATAAGAGTACATTTAACCATTCAAATAAATAAAAAGATCTGGCCAGTGAATATTTTTCTTGTCCAATAGCTTCGTGAAGAAAGGCATTGATGCATTCAATTGTATGAATGGCCTGATGCCTACTATTGCCAGGGTCAGTAATACTGGTGAGACAGTATACTTGGACTTGATTACCTAGTATTACATATGGAAGTTCGACAACAGCCATCTCAGGTTTAACAGCGGATCCGAAAACTTGCATACAATATGTCTTGCATACAATATGTATATATAGAGACGCTTCATCCATGAATCAATCGGCTCAACTGCTGGCGATGCACTTGTACATACTGCATGCTCTGAACATACAAGACTGACTATTCTACTGCTAAAAATACTCGGCAAACCCAGGTATATCCAAGCCCAGTCCCGCCAGTCCTTTTCCCTGATGTGGTGCATGCAGAAAAAACCTGGTATAAGCTGGAAAAGATAAAAAGAAGGCACACGCGCTGCCAAAAAGTATCACGGTGACAATTCAACGTGCAAAAAGTGGTGCCCCCGGCCAGGATCGAACTGGCGACCTTAACATATCTCCAAGATGCAATGCTGGATCTATAAGAGTTAAGTGGTAACCACTCCACCACGGGGGCCTGTGTCCTCCAACCACTGAAACTAAGCTTATGAACCTTTGCTGTAGTGCCGTCCAAAAAAAAGCCTTTGCCCCAACTGCCGCCTCTTTTTCTTCATGGTTTTGGTTTGCGCTGCTGGTTCTGGAGTGGATTTGGGCGTTTATATACATGTGCGAATGGGTGGCAAAAACTGGCGGGAAACTAGCGTTTTGTAAAATTCTTTCGAGGCGGGTTCGCCGAACTCTCGGCGTTGGTCTGTTTTCGCGCAAAAGATCAGTTGAGAATCGGCTATTGTTTTATCTTGCTGTGCAATATTTGCATGTATTAAAAAGATGTATGTTATCATTTGGCCTACGCCGAATGTTTTTTGCGGGTGTGCACGTATCGTGGACGAGCAGCACTTGCTTGAAGAGGCGATCTGGTTATAGGTAGGTCTAGGACGTTCAATTATAGTCATCTTGGGGTGATGGATTTTTTTTCGTATCTTACTTAGCATATACACCTTTATATGTCTATGTATTACGACCTATGTTCGGTGTGAGATTTCCACATTGGAATACGTCTCGGGCCTACACACTCGGAAGAAACACAGGCTGACTGAAGTTGGAAGAATGTTCTCAGCCCTGGCTAAGAATGCCTTACCTGATTGCTACCGTAATATACTTCGACTGGAATGGACTCCCAAGCTCTTTATATAGAATAATATACACTCGTCATGCAGTATCACTCGAAAGGTAGAATAATATACTTGGTGATATTACTAAGTACATATTTCGTAGCCAATACAAGGAGGCCAAGCAAACGCAAATTATGCTACACTAGGTGTACGTCTCTTTATAAAGCCAAGAATATCTTGCCACGCAGTCTACTCTCATCTTTGATAGCATATGACATACAATAGTTTAATCTTGACATGTATACCGCGATTCCTGTAAAGTCGTCGCCCTCGTCTATTTAATACGTCTCTACCCCTCTCAGCGGCTTAATTTCCATTTAACCAGACCACACTTGCGACAATCCAAGTACAACAGCTGCGTCGTTCTCTTCCATTCGCCCTCTTGCGGATATCAGGCCTACTAATATTAAACATTGAATGCCCCAGATAATTGTTCAAATGGCTTGTAAGACTACCCCAGAGCCTCATAGTTGTTGGCGCATAAAATTAAAGCTAATTGAGCATTGCCACAGCTTCTGATCAAATTAATATTAGCCGGTCTATATATGATACTAAAGCCCTTTTCTTGATTTAACAGAGGCATTTCTCGAGAGATATTACAACGCTGTTAATGAGAAGGATGCAGCTTCACTCGGTGCAAAATATGTCAGTTTTGGATAAAAAAAGAATTTGGGAAACTATTTACCAAAATTTCTAACAGAGTGAAACTTCCATCTTCTCCCGGCAATCGAAAAACTTTATTGGCACTAAAAGATCTCAAATAAGATTTTTGTACGTTTTCTACTCGATCTTTTTTGTTGGTAATGCTCTTGTGCTAAACAGAACATAGGATCTTTGTAGACTAGGAGAACTCAGCTACTGCTCTTTTCCTGCACAGCTCAGAGATAACACGCTGGTTATCATACCCGAGGCAGCCTTCATGGTATGAATGAATAGTAAACTTACGTAAAAGTCTACTGACAGAACGGATACAGGAGTCGGACGAGGGCAATGGCCTACACTTTGACGAGTGTTTTGTTGCTACTGTGTCTAGAGACGAAGGAGGGGAATTGAAGGCGCATGTTTTGAATCGGATAGATAGGCTAAATCTATAGACTGCGATACCACGGACTATGGAAGTTTAGGTTGAAAATGAGCAGTATGGGCCCTTTGGAGGCTGGCTATAACTTCCCTAACAGTTGCGGAAACAGGCTAGTGTAGTTAATTAGAGAGTTGATCAAAGCCACTTTGATCTGGCACCCATTCTTCCAGTAACTCTAGTCAACATGTCCATCTACCAAGCCACAATCCCTTCCTTATTCGAAAATGTTCCTGTTTCGCCGTCATCTCCCAAGGTCGCGAGTCTTACTGCGTTCAAAGCTCCATTTTCCGGAGTATCAATGCCAGAATAGCCGTTCAAATTGGTAGCACAAAAGCCAGGACAGGCTGCATTAATCTTCCATCCGGCGTCTTTATACTTGAAGGCATAATGAAGCATAATCATATTGAGCGCTGCTTTGCTGCTGCGATAGATTGGCAAACCGACTGGGTGATCCCACTGATGAGTGAGTGAACCTATGGAAGAGGATATAAAGACAATTCGAGGCGCGGAAGATGCCTCTAGAAGAGGAATAAAGGCCTCGGTAGTGAGTGTGGTGCCAAAGGTGTTGACCGTAAACGTGTCTTGGAAATTGTGAAGTGAAGGAGCAGAGGTCCTCTCGGCGGGAAGGCATACGCCAGCGTTATTGACCAGGACGTCAAGACGGCCAAATTTCGATGTTACCTGTTGGGCAGCTTGGGCAATGGACTTCTCAGAGGTGATGCTAAGTGACAAATATTAGCATTGCTTATACATCTTTCAGGGGACACACTTGCGGCATCACATGGTAACGTACTCAATAGTAATGGCCTCGACATCCAAGCCCTGCTCTTGGAGTTTCTTGGCGGCATCAATTCCACGTTGGGGGTCACGGCTCCCCATAAGTACATGGTATCCTGACTTTGACGACAGAGACTTGGCTATCTCGAAACCGATGCCTTGATTGGCACCCGTAACTAGGGCGATTTTCGAGGAGGGAGAGATAGCCATGGTGTACTTGTACTCGTATGTAGGATCTTGATGGAAGATAGATTCAAAGGGCTAGTAATAAGAGAAGATGAGTGAAGTTGTTACCTATGATAGAGGACACCAGACAGTCTGTGCGCTGCTCTTTATACTAATGTCCAAGTCCAAGGAGGCGGGTTTACACCCGGATTTATTAGCTATCTCCATTACAAAATCACGATGTAAACAACGGATCTCTAAATTTACTTCATATTGACAGAGTATGAATAGAATCGTCTGCAGGATTTCAGCATCTGAGTGGTCGATACTTGAATCCCAGTCATTGAAAAGGAGCTTCCCTGTCTTTTTAGCGCACTCGCGCAAAGCCTAGCCTCTTATAGAATGCAGACCCTGGGTTACTAACTTCAGCCCCAGAATCAGATGCTTATTTGTCTTGGGATCTCGTTAATGCCCCCGCAGGCCATCCATTTAGCGTGCTCGCGCAAAACCTAACTCTTTATGGTATATAAATTGGTTCCGCCTCCTTGGCTTGAGTATCACATCTTCCACTCAACCTTGTGCTTCTAGGAAATAGCTGCTTCTTGATATGACAATATGGTGAACTATGGACCATCCGGAGCCTGCCATGCATGCAGGGAGAAGCGTAAAAAGGTATGTAAACGTCATTCCAAATGGCTGCTTCAGCGTGCTGATATATCATTAGTGTGACCAAAGCCGTCCTGTATGTAGTACTGGGTATTGTTGTCCAGGAACAATATTTTTGTGGCGAATCTCCCCAAGAGTAGTCATACTACGATACTTGATGCTAATTGATTACGTCCTACAGTCTTGTCTCAGGTGCAGCCGAGCACGCCGCAGCTGTCCTGGATACGAGTCCACCAAAGAGCGACAGTTTGTAAACTATATTGGAAAAGAGGACTTTCAAGCATTACATCAGGCACACTCTGAAGCATTGAGTCGAGTAGCAGTCCCTGATAGCCTTGGGACACTAAATTGGTCTGATATTGAACGAGACGCTCGTCTACTATTCTTCAACGACTACTGCATTGTCTCATCGAATAGGAATCTGTCTCGTGGATATCTACATGGGCTTCGGGCCATGGTCTATAAGGCCGGTCCAAAGTCCGAACTTGTACAGGCATGTACGCTTATTGCTTTGGCAAATCTAGGGAGCAAGCTCGGAAACTCCATACACAGGCACAGGGCGGAGGGCCATTACTCCTCATTGCTACGGTCCTTCCGTCTGAGCATTTCAAATCAAGCGGTATTCACCACAGTGGAGTCACTAATTACTGCTACGCTACTGGGAATATACGAAGTACGCTTTCGCGAATCATGATAAGAATGGTGAGCTGACGATTACAGATCATCACCAGTACTGGTACCACTCTTGGCGCTCATGCAGCGCATGCCTAAGGGATATCAGCCATTCTTGTTAGCAAATTTTCGCCTTTTGACTTGCTTTGTGATGGCGCGCTTTTCCGAGTCGCTAATCCGACACCTCTTGAGGATCTGGAAGTAGAGATTTCTGAGCCTCCGTCCTCCCTCCCACATTCTTCCGCAATCGTCAACAAAGTATCAAAAAAGTTTAGTGTTCTGTGTACACCGCTATTCAATCAGTCAAGCTCGGCCATAGATTTCTTTTACGCAAGTACAGTGTCCTTGGTGCGAAAAGCCAAAGCTTTGCTGGACAACGAAGCCGAAGCCACCGTTGACCAACTTTGTCAACTCAAGTCTGAGGCTGAACAATTGAGAGAGGCGTACGATACGTGGCCAGCCACCGTACCTCTAGAATGGATACCAAAGTCAGTTGGCCTTATTACACCTAAGGCTGAAGACACATTGTAAGTCCATATTAATTATTAAACAATACTCGACTGCCGTTGTGTCATTCCTCACGTCATCTACAAGTAACGCTTGATATGTTTTGTTGCTGACTTTGGTACTCAAGGCCCCAAGTTGGCTACTGGCCAACAACCATTCTGAGTTATTACGATTGTACGTAGAGTTTCAAGCATAACTATACTTACTAACATATTATAGTATATATTGCTTCGCTATGGAACAACTATCGGAAAGCTGCTCTGCTGATGTTGAGTATCATATTGAGATGCCACTATCGAATCAATGGCGATTTGAGCGACCGGATATTCGAATACTCAATACAAAAAGACATATTGAAGCAGAGCGAAGGGATTGTATCTTCTATTCCATATCTTTTAACAGCAGATTTGCCGGCATTTGTTGAGAATGCTGCCAAGAGATCTCCTCCCATTATCCCGGGTCAACCAATCGGAGGTTTGCTGTCGATGCACACTTTATTCGTCCTAGCAACATTGCCCATGATTGAAGAGGAGTTAAGAATCTACGCACGGGATTGTTTGGCGTGGATAGGGGCACACATGGGCATCGGTCAAGCAACCGTCTTGTCCAAGGTGAGATAGTAATCAAGTCATCGTGTTCAGTAAAAACTGACTTTTAATCGCAGTATACGAAACTGAATCAATTTCAGTATGCCACGGAAGCACGTGTAATTATCTGGACGGGCATGCTTATATAGGAGAGGAACATCTCAGGAGTACAGTAACTTCTATTTAGGCTGCCTGAGAAAACCTTTGCTTCTGTTTGAGAGTCATTGTGGAAAATGAAGTTTTTAAAGGTTTATAAATCTATTTATAAATGTGTATATGCGGCCTAGAGGATAGACCCGCAGTCAATTACAGCATTGGCTCCCGTGATGCTCTAGTTTTTCACAAATGAACACATCTGCTCTGCAACGTCCTGAGATTATCTGTAAGAGATTGAGTATATGTATACTTTTGACTTAATAAACTTACTTCAACCTCGGTCAACTGACCTAGCTTTGTCTTTTAATAGCAGCATTGCGCTTGCTTTCGGGAAATGAAGACGCCCATTTTATCATCATCCTTCCTGGTGAGACAGAGTCTACTCGGATGTTGCTAGTGCCTGAAACAGAGGCGAGGCATTAACCAAATGAATTTGAGCTGGTTTAACCTTTTGGTTTGTCATTCGGGAGACCAAATGTTGTTCAGAAGTAAAATAACTATTGGGCTTTACAATTAAAGATTTAACATAAAATAACCAGGATTGTAAACCTTGAATTATCAATTGTTTCAATTTATGACTAACTGTTATATAATGAAGTATAAAGTGCGAAAATTAAAGGCAAATAATTATAAAAATATAGAAAAGTGTAACTTATATTTAATCTTTTCAAATTAATAGATATATATTCGCTCGCATTATAAATTCAAGCAATGTTAAAATAAAAGACAATTTCACAAGATATTTACTTTTTAAAAGTTATTACTACTGGGCTACCTCGACACCAATCTTTTGACTCTCGAAGGTAGCAAATCTCTTAAATGTTTCGGTTTTTTTGCTTCCTTGAGCTTTCTCAAAAGCTGACTCGCTTGGCCTTGATCCCAAATCCAAAATATTCTTCTAATAAATCTCTCTAGCGGGGAAAAATCCATAGTAAGTGAAGGATCGGCGCCGTTGTCGAGGAACATCTCTATAACCTCTAGCCACATCTGAGGATCGTCGCCAGCCTCTTCTTCTGCCATTTGTAAGACAAGCTGCCACGGCGTCCTCGCTAAATTGCCCTCGGGTCGGTTTGCATCTGCGCCACAATTGAGTAGGAGCCTGATCATTTGGATATCTAACGGTTGAATGGCCGCAAGAAGCAAGGACTGTCCGTTAATCTTATATGTGACTGGGAGGCCTTCATCTAGTTTGCATTTTACGTAGAAATAGATTTTCGAGCAAAATGCGTAGTCGAAGAACGAGATAAAAGGGTGAGTTCGACGGCTGGTCCATCCTCCAGCCAGATACTCCGTATTTGTCCAATGCGGTGGGCTGCTTAGGAGTGGGTCTCTCAGAAGAGCCTCGAGCCAGGTGCTGTAGTTTGGATATTGTACGCATGGGCTTCCCAAGATCTTGTTTGCCGCGCTATCAACCTCATCGAGATACCTTACCCGCATCTCATCCGTACTGTTCTCAGCTTTGGTAGCGTACATAACGCATGACCGGATAATATGCCAGAACTGGCTCGCCATTTCGAAATATGGCCTCAAGGTTTTGAGCTGAAAGAGAAAAGACACACATAGTGCCAAAGACGGATCAAATGTTCCGTTTTCCTTTGTACCACTCAGAATGTAGTTCCAAATCTCTGCTCTGGCCATGAAATCCTTGACGGTTCGATGGAGGTATTGCACTTTGGCGTAAGGCAAATGTAGTTTCGAGTCGATGGGTGATACTTCAAGGAGTCCTTGACAACGGCTAACTAAGCGCCGCCTCATCGTTTCCGTATTGTAATACATCTCATCAGTAGGCAAAGGTGTGACCTCGGCAACCAGAGCTTCCAATACACCCCTTTCCGCAAATGCGAGGTTCAGAAGGCTTAGTGGTTCTGCCGCTGCTCGGGTGACCTGGAAAATTCGTGATGTTTGCTCGAAATAGGACGGTTCGAAGTTATCCAAAATCTTTTTGAATAGCTGCTCAAGATCAGTTGGCAGTTCCAGCACCTTTTTCTGCAATTCTGATATCCAAGCCCCATCTCTTAAGCCTTGAAGCAAAGACGCCACGACCAAATGAACCCAAAGAAATACACCTGAGGCTTTTTCTGTAATTTCGCTGATCAAGCTCAAGGCCGATTGCTGGTATTGCTGCTCTAGCTCGACAAACCGGCCATTGTTCTTCAGTTTCGCAGTGACAAAGTGTCGAATGTCAGAACTCGTAAGTTCCTCGAGCCTGAGTCCCGGTCTATCCCGGAAGGCCTCTTCGAATGCAAGCCAAGGTCGGCTAGCTACGCAAATCTTGACATTCAATGACATAGCAACGTTTGTTAGGATATCGATAAGATCCGAAATTTTTCCATCAAATTCATCCAGTCCGTCGATAAAGAGCAGAAAGCGCAGTGAGTCGTCCAACACCAATACTTTGATAGCTCGTGAAAGTTCATGCCAATCCCATGGATGAAGATCACCCCCGAAGAGATTGTATAATCTCCACCTGTCGGGGAAAACCTGGGGAATAAGCGCTGGTCGCTCTTTTAGAACCTGATAGAGAAGTGTTTGCAAAAGGCCTAACCGGGACATTTGCATCGCGGTGCCGGAGTTCCAGAAAAAAAAACCAGCTGTCACAAGAGGAAGTCCTGAAATCCACTGTTTCAAATGTCCTCGAGTTCGGGCATCGTTAAAGAGTAACTTCATTAGGGTTGACTTCCCAGATCCTGGTTTACCCGTGATCCAATAGAGACTGCCGCTACCACGCAACCAGTTGGTGAAATTGTCCCAACGGCGCCTAGGCCGAATAAGCCGGTTGCCTGGTCTTTCAATGTCTTGCTCGGACTCTACTTCTGAATGTTCTTCATCGTGTGACGGATCAAAGATCCACTCAAAAGTTCGCTTGTGGGCCTCTGGTATTTGCTCATAACGGTCAGACATGCCATGAAAACGGAGACGATAAAGGAACCTCTCTTTCATCTCATATTCTCTTTGCAATTTTGCGGCGTCTGTCAGTTTCGCGGAAAACTCAGCGACATGATCCTCGTTCTCAGCTTGCCACTTTTTCGTGTATAAGGTGTCAATCATGTCCGCTTGCCATCGCTTGTTATCATCGGTAAAACCAATAATTAGCCCGCTAATGTGCTCCATGGCTTCATTCTGATTTTTTCCCATGTCATCGAAGAGCTCTTTGTGTTTTTCCTCGACTTTGTCAATGTGCTCCCTGCCTGAAGCGTTAGTGAAAACCATTGATCCGATGCAGCCAGCCTATGAGGATGTACTTATGGGTCTTTACCTACTCACCTAAGTAAGACTAACAACGTGATGTCTATTTGCTGCCTATATGTATCCAATCTCCCCAACAAACCTTGGATTTTATCTTGGCTCCAGACGCTAGCAAGGGCTTGTCGGAAACTGTTCCATCGGCTATGCTTGCTATCGGCTTTAAGGTTTTGGAGGGCTTCCAGCAGCTCTGTTATTACCGTTCTGCAGCCTTGACACAGATTCTGCAACTGCTGACTGGTCTGTGTGGTTGGTTCATAGCGACGACCTAATCCTCTACTGAGTTCCTCGAGATTCATTGTGATTGCTTCGAGCTCTGAGTATTTAACCAGTGCTCCATCTGCAGACTTGTGAATCTCAAGTCCTTTGGAGAGGAGTGTGCTTCCGAAACTGATGAACTGGACGATATTCGACGCAAGTCCGAGCGCGGACAGTGGGTCGGCCATCTCAATACTGTCGTACTTGAAAATATCCCATGAAGACTTTCTGGCTTTTTGTCATACGATAGCGGCGTGGGGTGAGGGTTCAAGCTAAGGTCGAACGGACCTGAAGACAACCTTATCGTATGGTAATACTAAAGTTGATGCATTCGATTAGTTCAACCATGCCATATTTGCGTCTGCGTGTGAGCCTGAGTCACTCTCCCTTACTTACACGTACAACGTCGTGATAGCCCGAGAGCTTGTGGAAACGGGCGTAACCCACTATGAGCTACTAATATAAGACTGACCGTTGAACGTTGACCGGGGTACGGATGGCGCTAGAAAGGCTGTCTAGTTTGAGACTGTGGCGGGGGCCGTTGGTCCAGCGTCCTGTTTTTTGTATTACTTCAATTGACGGTTATTATTCTTAAAATCCTGTGATGCTCAAGTGGTAACTACTGCACAGTAGTTGAAATTCCGCAGATTGACAGCAGCCATCACGTGACTGAATAGGACAACCCCGCTCGGCATTGCACGTTTAATACATGTACTGTACAACTCTAACCAATGTGTAGAAGTGTTTGTAGCTTGATAGACTACGAGAGAGTAGAAAATATTTATTGAGTTTTTACTATTTAGTGTACAAGGAAAAGTTTATACACTCGGTATCTTATTATTATTTATTTGGTACAAAGTCGTACTACAACTTTCAGTAACTAACTCATTCAGCTACAAGCAAGCAGTTTAAATGTTCGAATCACTTAAAGGTATGTCATTGCAACTGTAGTGAGAAACTACAGACATTGACGCACAAAAGAGGCGAGCTGCCTCATTGTCCCGCATTATAAATAGTACTGGAAACTACAGATTAGAAGAAGGGGTAAAGTTTTTGGAACAATATAGATTTTCTACCACCAGTCTGAGATTCCATACATTTCTCATCAAATTCGTTTCATCTATCTGTGTCGTCCAGTGCCACATATCTTCATCACATCAACGCCGTTATAACCATGGATCCCGATAAATGCGATTTTCTACCTATGAAGGACTTGACTGCTGATAATATCACGGAGTTGTTAATAGTGAAGCTAAAAACCCTCGCTGATGACATTTAAGTGAGGCTATTCGTCATCTACATGACTTTGCACACGAGACAAGATTGAGTATGGCACAATGGGAATATGCAGTAGACTTCCTAGCTGCGTGTGGTCAGAAATGCTTTCCAACGCGACAGGTTTGTTGCCACTTGTCTCCACTCGCTTTATAAATAGGGAACAAAATTCTGCAGCAGACAAAGTTTTAATTGTTGTATAAGAGTTTGTTCTACTGTCCGATGCCATTGGCCTCTCACTTCTCGTTGATTCTATTGATCATATCAAGCCGGAAGGTGCAACTGAAGGCACAGTGCTCGGCCCTTTTCACATCCACGAAGCACATCACATGTCCAATGGAGATGACATGGGACTGACCTAGACGGTATTCTAATGCTAGTTCACTGCACTATCAAAGATCTCCACGTCAAACCAGTAGAGAACATGTAAGTGGATCTTTGGGAATCGGACTCTAAGGGGTTTTACGACGTGCAATACAGCAATCGAGGAAATCCGCACGGTCGTGCAGCGTTGAAAACTGACACAAATGGTCAAGTCTGGTTCAAGGCTATTGTCCTCATTGCATATCCTGTTCCAACAGATGACCCTGCTGGTAATTTTTTGAGGGCCATGGGGCGCCATCCATGCCGACCAGCCCACGTTCACTTCATGTTTGACAGGCCAGGATATGATCATCTTATCACGTATGTTCCCAGCAATGAAGCTATACTCCAATGTATCGTATTTGGTAACCTTCTTTTCTCTTCTTAGAGCTCTCACAATACGGGGTGATCGATTTGAGTCTCATGACCCTGTCTTTGGAGTTAAGAAATCGCTGATTGTCGACATCAAACAAGTCACTGCTGAGCCGATGGCGAAAAAGTGCGGTTACCCATTAGGCATGAAGCTATTAGAGCATGAATTTGTTGTAGTAACGAATGCTGAAGCTACCAAACTCCGAAGGGAGAAAGCGCAAGAAATTATGGGATGCGGAGGCAGAAAGGTTGACTTTTACAATGACTTGCCATTTCTGGCTGTTGACTGATGCTTATTAGCTGGCGATATTGTGTACTTGTAGTTTTAGTTTATCAGTTTGTATTTAAGCCTGGAATGTCAAATTCAATAGTCACCTGAAGATCTTGTGGTTCGTGGATAGGAAAGAAGATGCAGCGAAGACCTCTTGCATGATGGCATATTTGTTACAGCCATGGTTGTTATTCTGAAGTATCTAGCTCTGAATGCTAATTATCCGGATAAAATAGTCTGATATGATTCTCCAGTCCATTGTGTCTTATAACCTTCAAGCTGCTGGTATCACAGGGTATAAACACCACTGCAGCGTATATTTTTTGAGCAGTACAGCTCAACTTTAGCATCGCGTGGGGCAATTTACAAAAGATCTTCACTGCTAGTGCTATTCTAAAGACTTTAATAATATACAGCACCCTGCAGAGACACAATACTTCTGTCAAGTGCGCTGTATCTGGGCAGCCAAAGTCAATATAATACTACTCAAGTGCTCTGGCCCCAGTCTTTTGGGAGGTAGGTAGTAAGCGTAATGCTTACAGGTCAGAATTTGGCACGGTGAAGCTTGAACAAGAGAGTTTTAACTTTACACAGGTAAAGAGATGATTCCTAAACCGGATTTTAACTTTCAAGCAAGCACTTCAGGAATGCCATACATAATCGTGCAATCACTGTTAGCTATTGAATTATTGAATTATTGCTAATTAAATATGGCTAAAGCTCTAGTAATTTTTCGTTGTGCTTCACGTATGCTCGAATGAGAAAACGAAGCAGTGGTTGACAATGATACAATAAGGTTTTGGGAATAGCAGCGAGTTTTGTAATCCAACTCTATTTAGTCGCCACTATCGCCAAGCCTTAACAAACATAGCAGTAAGCCTATATAAGCCCTAAGAGCAGCAAGTATATATACAGAAAGGAGAAGTAAAGGCATGAGCTTGAACTTGACTGTCAAAAGCAAATTCTTTTCTCAACTGATCCAACGCACTTTCTGTTCTAAATATGCTGGTCCAGGCTCCAGTTTCGCTGGATTATACCATGTATGATCTATATGCTGTCGACAATGATGGCAACACTCGTCCGGATCTGTTTTATTATCCATTCGGATTTAAAGTTGACGAAAGCTTACCTGTCAAATTTGTCTACAACTTCGGGTTAGAGACGGAGATGAAGTCGACAGTTGATCCCAATGCTCTTATGGAAATGATGGTGCGGGGCCTAGCCCAACGGTATGGCTTCTTCGCTGGCAAGCTTCACATATTTTTACCTATTTCAACATTTGGAGACAAGAAAGAGAGCCCAAACCGGGTGGAACTCGAGAGAACTTTCTCACAGATACACCACGACCAAATTCCCGACTTAGGCTTCGTTACTAGCCCTGCCGACATCGTCTTGAGCCCCGAACCTGGAATCGCAGTAGTTGTACCCACAGACAGCATATTGACAATTCCTCATGCAGTAGATCCTGATACTCACTATGAGCTCTTATCAAAGCGAGGACTAGCTTTTTCAGGGCTCCTAACGCCTCCTACAGTTGTCGTTGATGCAGAAATTGCTCCGGACGAGGTTCAGGATCCTCAACAGCTTCAGCAAGCGATGCAGCGAATGCTAGAGCCCCTCGAAACATATCAGATCCCTTTTTTTGTCAAGCTTAATCAATCTGTTTCAGGGAAAGGCGTCTTTGCCGTCACATCAGAGGCTCATCGAGAACAAGTCAAGAAGATTCTTGGCGTGCAGCTTCAGGAAATGCTTCGCCAGATCAACGATATAAACAGCCACCTACATCCCAGCTCTTTTATCTTACAAGACTACATTCCTGGCAAAGTAGTGGCCCTATCAATGTTTGTCACACAAAAAGGCCGCGCGATTTTTAACGCTTGCTGCCAACAACATTTCGATAGCAGGGGATACTGGATTGGAGGCCAGATTTCCTATCCAGAGCAAGAGGCATTGAAGCAGAAGTACGCTGAGACCATGAACCAAATCGCCAAGTTTTTGCATCAACGCGGTTACTATGGACCTGCTGGCGCAGATATTGTAACAGACGGCGACGGGAAGAATTATACAGTTGATCTGAATGTTCGCGTTACTGGGACGCACCCCCTAGGCCCGCTTGCCGGACACTTTACGCAGCGCGGGTTGAAAAACGCCACGATGATAACCGAATACTTCACATGCTCAAGATCTGACTTTGAAAGGGCATTCAAAGCTGAAATAGCGGATGGAGCGCTCATTATCTGCAGCTGGGTACGCGAAGAGGCCATCGGGTTGAGCCATGGTGGTGTTACAATAGGAGGAGCGGATAATGAAAAGCTGGAGAGCTTAATGGCAAGAGTTTTAGCTCTCTCAGGCATCCCAAAAGCTGTACCTGATGATTCATATTAAATACACACACCTCACTCAGTTCTCGCAGCCTACTTACATGTAGCTTTCAAATAACCTAGCGGCTCGCAGCGTCTGTCGCATCTCAAAGCATTGAAAGTAGCCACCAAAGTGGGCTTTCTTACAAAAATAACTAACAATATTCAGTATGCGCGTGTCTTTTTCATGAGTGTCTCTGTCTAGACTATCTAGTACAATGGTGCCGATCTTACCTCACTCATTGTAGTATTGGAGCCATAGTACCTCAAGACATTTCTTAATAAGTAGCTATTTTATCGTTTGAACGCCGTGTTCCATCATCGGCTGATAGCAAAGATTTATGAAACCAAACGTGGTTGTTATTATCACACCCATGAAGGTATTAGCCCGGACCGTTCACTACCTAGACAGCTTGGCCCTGCCACACGATCGTGAGTATGAAGACACTGTTACAACCAATTTTCACACCTAAAAAACATCGACACTTTGCAAACTTGTTGTTGAATTTGTGGAATCCGGATGTCTTCGGGATTAGATACGCTTGTGGCTATGAAAAGCATGGGAACAGGAAAAGTTTCAATTAGCATACACCTGATTAGAGTTGCAACTACCCATAGTACAACCCTCTAAGCTGCCTTTAGGCTACCTTATAGTCTTAATAAAATAAGACTAGGTAATATTAGTTATCCCTACCTTTTATTTGTGTACCTAATGGGTATACTATTTCTAGCCTGGGCTACCCATGGGACCCATGGGCTGGGTTTTTTCCACCATACTGATACACCTTAGGTTTGTTGTCCTGTCGTCTATTGGAAAAGCCCATTGTCCTATTTGCCATGGCTTGTTCATACGCTTCCTTTGTTTAGTAAATTAGCATCTTGACTTTTCAGAAAATAGCAATAACTGAGACGTACTTGAGTCGGTGACTTATGAAACAGTTCTCGTTCAAACTGGCATCCCACGTCAGTTGGTTGGGCATAGCGAACATTGCCCGTGGCAAGAGTGATACTGGAAATTCTAGGACCATGTTAGTTAGAGTAAACTGAAAAAAGAGTGAGTTGTAGATGGAGTCAGAGAAAAGTCTAACTAAGTATGGTGTTAGTACATACAACTCCAATGTCTTTCCCACGCGCTCATAAATAGAGAAATTTGATTGCCAAGTCATGTCATCTAATGGCGGTGTGTTTTGTTGGATATTCTGGTAGACAGCCTGCTGCAGCTGGGAGGTGGTGGGCTTTCTCATTTGTTGAGAGCGCCCATACCGAGCATCCTCTTCTCGAAGACGGACCACATCTTCTCTTGCAACTTCCTCCTCTTCTATTTTGGCGTCTTTTCGTTTCCCTTCTGCCTTGTCCATGGACATGCCAGGCATGCCAGGCATTCTAGGCCAAAAATTCGCATTCGCTTGAGCAAGTTCCTCTAGATGGGCTCGAGCCGCCTTCTCACTTTCAACAGCGTCTTCTTCTTCTTCTTCTTCTTCTTCTTCTCCTCCTCCTCCTCCTCCTGTTTCTTCTTTAGGCATTTCAGCTGTTACTTCATCTCCCGCCCCCTCATGCGTATTCTGTCGCAAGTCATTCATATCTTCTCGTTCCTTTGGCGGAGACGAATTATCACGCTTTTCTATTGCCACAGGCCTTTTTTTATTAGGAGGCTTTCCAGCAAGAAAACTAAGCATGGGATTGCTCTTGTTGCTTTTGCGAGATATGTTCTTTCTCTTGGACAGCGCTGCGTTTGTTGTCTGAAAACTGGGAAATCCAAAAGGTGACCCGCTAGGCGGTGGTCGTATACCACTATTCCAGCCAGGAGGCGGAGGAGGCGGAGGAGGCAGCCTGGCACCAGGTTGATGCAGACCTGCATATCCTGGATAGGGGGGAGGATGGTAAGAGCCATGGACCGGCGGTGCTGTATCAAGAGGCCACATGGTCATAGTGATGGACCAGCCCGGCTCAATTACCTTGTCCCAAACAGCTGGGAGGATGATTTCGCCTTCAGGACCAATCAAGTCATAGTGGCCCTCTTGGACGTGAGGTCCTATAACATCGACATGCAGAAAGGCCTGCTTAATCAATTCTTCCATGCCCTGTTGTACAAATGTCAGTTTAGCATGACTAGCATGACAGGACGAGGCCAGACAAGAATTTTAGTGAATCCAAGCCTTCTTTGAGAACATACCTGCCAAGTGTTACACAAATGAAAAGGGAAGCTAAATTTTCGGCCAACAGCATCTTTAAACTTAACGGGGGCTGGTTCTGCTCTTCTTTCCTCAGCAGCACCCTTTACCTTTCTTTTGGCTTCTTCCAAAGCCGCTGCCTTTCTGTCAAGTTCATCAACAGCCGCTTTATGCTCTGCTTCAAGCTTCTCCAGCTCCTTTTTTTCTTTCCGCTTTTTCCGATTCGCTTGTATATCCTTTATGCCATTTTGGACGTAAGTCAGATCCCAGGATCTGGCTTTATTTGACAGCTCATGCGCCTTTTCGAATTTCGGTGCCATTAACGTTTCCTTGTCGAACTGATCTTTTTGCGCTTCGACTTCCAATCTGTCAATTTCCATTTTCCGTAACAAGTCTAGTGCTTCTGATCCGCCATGCGCATCTTCATTCTCCAACTCAATTTCTTTGTCAACAAAGATTTTCATTTCTCTCCACATTATGCCAAACACTTCTAATTCTTTTTCAATTGATTCGTTTAATTCTCTTTCCCATGGGGCTTCTGTGTCTTTGTCCGGATGCGTACCATCCTCAGCACGCTCAGTAGAACTACCCAAGTGGCCAGATGTAGATCCAGCATCGCTTTCAGCACCAGCGGGAAGAGATTGGACGTCCGAAAGGAAGTGGTGGACATGCTCTGGATTAGAATCGGAGGAAACAGCCTCGGCCAAGGCCGTTTGGGGGAGCTCTTGAGATGCAATGGAGGTTTCAGGCACTTCCAACGTAATTAACTTTTCAGCTGTTGAAGATCCATCTCGCTTTTCTAATCCATCGTATTCATAATTGCCAACAAAAGTTTGAGGGACTTGAGTCTCCTCTTGCAGATGCGCATCTTCTTGAGCACGCTCAGTAGAGCTAGCTGAAAGCTTCGGTGTGTCCGCTGTTGCATCTTCTGCTGCGACTCTCAGATCGTGGTCGAGGTCGAAACACTCGGCAAGGAGCTCGTTGATACTGTCTTGACCTTCAGGGATATTGCCATTTACAACAAACTTGCCGTCTACCCTTAGGTTGTCGATAGAGTTGAGCTATTTTAAAAGAGAAGAAATAAAAAGTCAGTCCATTGCACTAATATTCGCTTCAATTACGGACTTCAACGATCCATACCTTCATGCTATAAGGATACAGCTCTCTGACTGAAGAGACGCCGCCACTGTCCCTTACTTCGCGGAGACATTTCTTAAGAGTTAGGAGCTGGCCATAGATGGGCAGAAGTGCCTCAGAAACCGGAGGAGAGCTCTCTGTGAGTTCGGGTTCGGAATGAATTGAGGGTATCATGGGTGATCCAGGAATATCCCATTCCATTTCTAGATCTACAGTGAAACTGATGCTGTCTAATCGAGCGTTATCAAACTGACTTTCGGCCTCGCTCTGCTCTTCAGTATTATCTGTATGTCGCGGCAATGAAAACATAGCGAAGCGCTCAAGATGAAGGGCGATATGGCTTTGTAGTTTTTGTATAGAACCCAGTACTATCGAACAAACAGGACAGCTTCGATGGACACCCCGCATAGTTGACGTCGCAAATTTCGAAGAGACTGCGTTTTGTTCGTGATGATCTTCAACATGTTCTTCATATGCCGCTAACGTGGTAAATGTTTCTTCCTCATGCTCGAAACAGCGGTATATTCTTTGGTGCGTAGACATCTCATGCTGGTTCCAGTCTTCACGTGTATCATACAGCTGCTCAGAGTTGAGGCATTGCTCATAAGTACAAACATAAGGCCGCAGATCACGTATTATGTGAGCCCTATTTGTGGCCAAAAATTAGTATAGTTTAATTCTAGAGTGCTTGAGAAGCATCAGTCGTCAAAGCCGAAAAGAGAGTCTTACCTCCACGCTTTCTCTGACAGAAGTGAAATAGGGCAAATAGTAAAACAATATGGACATTCGAAAAAATTGTTAGATGTAGGTATTTTGGGCGGCGGGGGAAAGCTGACAGTATCTTTGCTAGGATTCCACGCGGATGGAGCATACTCAGAGACGTCAAGCTTAAGCACACCCTCCTTTTCAAGAATTTCTTGTCCAGCAGCCTGTGCAAGCCGTAACTGGGTAGCTGTTGTGACTGATAAAAGTTTCTTTGTCTCGCCGATATGACCGTTGATAATATGCTCTTCATCGGTGAGTTGGCGTGTGGGAGCTTCTACGAAGCTCGACGCATGCTCCCGAAGCTTGTCTTTATGCCTTTTCCAATAAGCGAATTGCTGTCGCCTGCGCCCGTTGGCTCGGGCTATGCGCTGGACAAGATAAGACTCGGCGCCCTTTGATACTTTGTCCCCGTAAAGTCTCAAGACGCCTCGGATGGGCTCCCAGACATGGTCGCTGCTGTCAACTTCTCCATCGCCACTAACTGAAGCTTTATCTTTGCATTCGACTAGTGCGTTTTCTTGCATAGCTCTATGCTTCTCATACTCTAAAAAGAGAGAGCTAACATAATCGTAGTCATGACTCTTATAAGACTCGAATAAGTCTACGTTGGAATATTCATCAATCTGCTTGAAATTTCGAGCTTTGGAGGACGCCAGCCTTGTTGCAGGATTGCGGATCCAAACGGCTAGCTTGTATAAGCGATCAATCGGGTCTTTAATGCTCCCAAGGAGCAGATCAATATCCGATTCAAGCTCGGAGTCTGTATCGGAGTCCTCATCTCCCGCGTCGGTGTTGCCATTGACATAGTCCAGAACTACAATACAAATGTTAAATCGGATCTAATAGAGAGCATTTCCATGCCCAATAAACTGGGTTCTTTAGTGAAGTTTCAAGGCTAAGTTCTTACCTTCATCGAGAGATCTATTTAGATTTTGTATCATCTTATATATGCTCTCTTTCATGCTTTCAGAATCGCGAATTCTATAGTCTAGCGATCCATGGCCCATAACAAACAGGCCAAGATTTACCGCCCAAAGTTCAAATCGATCAAATTGGGCACGCAATAGATTCGCTGGCCATTCTTGTATTTGGCTTGTGACTGATTCCGGCTGTTTTACTTCTTCAAGAAGCTTGAACCGCTGTACGGTTACGAGACCAACATCGGCGAGTGATTCCATGAGAAAGGACTCTTAGGCATGGCAGCCTCTGAATAAGATCAATAGAGAAGGTATACTTCTGTGCGTAGCGATACCAACAAATGCGACAACGTTTTCTTGATGTATGCGATAGACCGCTTTGAAGCGTAACAGTTCAGACAATACAATGCTAGAATATCGCCATTTGTAGCACCTGAAAGCGGGGAGCAAGCCAATTAGAAAAGTGATCAGCGTGATAATATGCGCATCCTGCAGGAAGCCGAATATTAGCCTGATACTTGGCCTCTGGTCGTGGACAGGCTCTCAAGCCAGCAATGCACAGTTACAAACGAATGCTGTGCTGCGCCTTTAACCACTGCTACTTCATCTTGTCAATTTTAAACGTGAGCGGTGGTCTAAAAAGTGAATTACTGAATATTTGAAGACTTTTCCCTCTCTATCATTTCCAAATTTGGAACTCACTCATTGTATCTTCGCTATAAGCTTGAGAGGGGCGAATTTGTACAGCCCTGTCAAACATCCATCAGATTCTCCCTAGCTTTATTGATCCCCGCACGAACCTCATTGACAAAACAGCTGATGCAGTCGATAATGAGATGATGAGATTTTTACGAGCGCCAAAATAACAACGATTCCTCATGTCGACATTTGAAGTATTCGGGATTGTTCTTCGGACAATACCCATTCTCATTTCTGGCGCCGGCTTTCTCGCGAGCGATAAAAGCCTTGTAGCGTTTCGCAAGCGGCAATATGTCAACAAGCTGGCGAATGCGCTGCTACTCCAGCAGCAGACAGTCCGAGAGACGGTCCGGCTCATTATTACGCGAAGCGGTTGCAATCACGATGAGTCGCTGCTGAACGAGGACCCTCTTACATACTTTCAAAACAAAGACATTCAGACCCAGGTCCTGGATTTCTTGGGCGACGAGAATTACAAAGCCTTGATAGGAAGGCTGCAAGACATGCAAACAACGTTGGAAGAAGTGGCTAGGCATCTAGACGGCGTCATTCCCACTCACAAGGTTCGTGGAGCTCATGGCGAAAGCTCTTTTGAAAACATCTGCTAACTGACCTTTGCCATTTCTTACAGGATAATCCATACGATCTCACTGGGATTATAGAAGCAAATCTCGCCGCAAAGAAATACAGACCAGATTTCCTCCCTCGTCTCAAAGTTGCCCTCAAAAGCAGTGAGATTAAACAGAGCATTGGCGAACTCGATACAGCCACCAGCACTCTACACACATTCTCACAGACAATCTTGATGAACCGCCACGAGCCAGTGAGCTCGCTTCCATCGTCGAATCATGTCAAGCTTGCTAAAGCTTTCCGCCGAATTCACAAATACTCAAAAAGCCTATATTCTGCCCTTTCCTCTTGCACTCGAACGTGTCACAGCGAACATGAACACGATGCGCACGTTCTCCTCGAAGATCGTATTGATGCGGCTTCTAAACTGCTAAGCTCCAAACAGCAGTGGGACAAAGAAAACGAGGCATTGCTAGCTTTCCAACTCCTATTTGCTGCGAAGCTTCTTGCGCCGATTCAAGCGCGGTGGCATGAATTATCTGTCAAATGCATACAAGACGACAGCTTTGACGATGCTCAGACGTCGAAACCGTCTCGAGTGCAGATTCTCGGACATGACCCTAAAGAAGCTGCTTCAACAAGCTGTCTTGCGAAATTTTCTCCAGTGAACAACTTTTGCGCAGCGATTGTAACAGCTTACGACAAGCCCCAGCATGTCGCCTTTGTTTTGCACGAGAGCAGCCGGATAAGCACTGTGGTAGCGAATGAAAAGACCATTATGCAAAAGAGTAACTGCCAAAAGATTACACTGAAAAAAGTACTTTCAGAGTCACACAATCCGCGCGGAATGAAGCTGCCACTGCGCTCAAGTATGCTCCTTGCGTCGAAAATTGCTTCGAGCCTACTTCAGTTCTCACAAACACGGTGGTCTGGCCAAACATGGTCCAAAAATTCCATATATTTTATACTACATCCAACTTCCGAGGGAATAGCTCCCCTTGTTGATTTCAGCCGAGCCTTTGTATACGCAAAAATTGATAATAGCGAAGTCGTTGGGTTAAAGAATGCTGAGCCAAGGTTAATTCTCCTGGAACTTGGAATTTTACTGCTGGAAATATGGCATCAAACCTCGCTAGAAGACCAGTTTCCCGACAAAATTGCGGAAGTATCTGGGGGATACTTCTCTCGTTTATCCCTCGCAGCTCAGTGGTTGGATGATGACTATAATACTCCACCACTGCTGTATGAGGATGCTATACGATATTGCGTCTACGGAGTGTCGACTAAGAAGGGAGCTGATTGGAATACGAATGAGTTCTGGGGTGAAATATGTAAAGAGGTTATCAAGCCTTTATCGGAGAATTGTAAGCAATGGAAATGAACCATGAATTTTTTATGGTTAGTAGCGTTTTCACAACTGGTCTCTAATTAGTCTCTGAAATGCGATTATCATGCTTGACTGGCTAAAATTTTGGGTATCGCACCCAAACCTATTTATAGCGCCATTCGAGTTGTGCGCCTACTAATTGAACTTTTTTTTTTTTTTTTGGATAGAACCGATATTTTTCTATTCTCAAGAATTTAGGTTCTCGATTCTGGTGTTTCTAAAGTCTGATCTACAAGTTGATTTGCTATCAGCTCAGGCAACGCTGAGATAAGTTGGCCTGACTCGTTAATATACTGACTGCCACTTGTTCTATTCTTGGTTGGAACATCTCGTCAGATAGGACTGCTTGACACTTCAAAACTTTAAATGCTGGTCTGCTAATTGATCATTGAGAGACTTAATGGCGGGTTGCTGTGTTCGGGCTTTATTGTTTCTTAATTTAGCTACCACTAATAGTAGTGTGTCTTTTGATAGAGATAATCAACCCTAGGGGGGTACAAAACATCTCTATTTGTCTGCTTAGATCCCTATCCTGTTGCCAAGCTTTTACTAAACAGAATACCTTTTCAAGTAAAGCTAATTGGTTTGTAAGAAACAGCCAGAAAACTGCGATCCGTCTTGAATTGCTCGAAGAAACAATAGGTGGATATAGTAAGTTTCTTCACAATGTTCCCAAACTCCCAAATCTTGTCCCGTAGATTGATATTGTCGTAATCAAGATCCACAATGACGCCCCAGTTTGAGTCAAATGGTGCCATTATCCGGGCAGCTAGCTGAGCAATGGGCTGTATGTCCGTGCCTCGAAAAGGCGTGCCAAGAGAGATAAAGCCAATAAAGCGTTAATACGTAGTGCAAATGTAGCATAGTATTGAGATTGTAGATAACATGGCATCTCCCGACTTTGCCTAATTCTTAACTTTGGCCTTGGCCAGCGGTAAAATCTCATAGACCAGGCCCGTCCTCCTTCCTAAAGAAACGTTTCCGAAAGCCATCCCTCACAGAATCCTTGCTCAGATCCCCGGCCGTTGTGTCCACGATGTTAATAATTATGCCGTCTTCGCTAACAACTTCCAGGGCCTGATTCGTCACTTCATTGCCTATCGCGTTGAAAACGGCATTGACATTCTCTAAAGCAACAGCAGACTCTAGCTTAGCCTCTTTGTAGTTTATAACCTGGTCTACGCCAAACGACTTGAGGAGCTTGAAACTTTGTTCAGACGCGGCCGTAGCGATAACTCGAGCCCAACCATGTTGCCTATCCGGATGGCCCAGATGACAGTTGGACCCGTCCCTCCGGCAACTAGTAGGTCTAGCCAGTCTTGAGTTTTGCGTAGTCAAACAAGCCCTACCATGCGGTAAGAGCGGAAAGTAGCACCAATGCAGCCTCAGCGTAGCTTATACTCTGAGGCTTGGGGATCATTTTAGAGAAATGAGCCTTGGCATATTCAGGCATGCCGCCGTCCGTGCTTTGCTTGCTAGAGAAGGCCTTGGTTACAAGGACCATAACTTTAGTGCCGACTTCAAGACCCTCCGGTACGTTTGAGCCCACCTTTACTATAACTCCAGAGTAGTCCTTTTCAGGGGTAGGGGTCATATACGTACCGTCCTTCTCGTAGAGCTGCCAGTAGCGCTCCATCCAAATAAGACCTGCAGTGTGGACTTTGACAAGGGCTTCGTCATCATCGATCTCTGGTATGTCTACCTGGACGACCTTGAGCTTCTCGGTGCCGCCGTATTCTGTGAGAAGTCTTTTGATGTCGTTGGATCCCGAACCTTGATGTTCCGCATGGAGGGGTGCACTTTACCAGTGCGTACTCTGCGTTTCTTTATTTTCACTTTAGACCTGTTATCCCACTAATCTCATCTCTTCCGCCTTGTTCCTATTAACACGACCCTAGATGACTCACTAAGAATAGGCAAGGAGTATTAGCATTGTACTATGCCTATAAGCGGGATACAAAACTCCCTAGGAGCTCAGGTGGTATGTAGTAATTGTTAGTGGGTACAACTGCATGTTCGCAGGTCACGAGTCACGCATTTAACAGCACTAATACAACTGACATGGGCTGGGTCATAAAGCGACCAGTGTCAAACAAACTCAAAATAAGACTCTCTATTACCAGTATTGATTTACAACCAATCAATTAGGGGGAGAGACCGAATTGGCTGGATGGGCGGAACAGAATGGAGTTTCTTTCGTCCAGAAAGCCAAGCCCACGTCAAAGCTCAAGCTTTTAGACGGCTTTGGTCTTGATGACTCCTGCACCCCACACGTTCCCCGACGTTCCCCGACCATCGCTAGGGGTCCTGTGAAGTGGTGGGTCGGGGTAACAGTCTTGCCGCTTTACTGGGATCCATCCTTACCCTCAATACTCAATATCGTGTAAATGGCTTCTCTCTATTCCCAGGGCTATCCTCGGCAGTGGCGTTTTGCACCACTGTCCAAAGCGTGCCAAAGTCGGAGACCCGAAGCTGATCAGCCACATCGATATGTCGGAGAATTAGCGCAGGATGACCGGAGAAATACCATTTTTGAAGTCAGACGTCTACTAGTTTACGGCTTTGTCAACGGACAATTAGCCTGCTCTACTGGTTGAGGTAACTTGAGCATGTTGGATATATTTAAGGACTAATAGGCGGTGTCTTCCGTCGTTACCATTTCACTTTATCATTTACAATTACTGAGGGCTCCTTGAACCCATACCAGCAATGGAGACATCGCCTGCGGGACAAGCCTCGCTCGAGCTAAGGGAGGTGAACGACACCTCCCCCAATCCCGACCAACCGACTTTCGAAGCCGTAACAACCAGCATAACGAAAAGACGCAGGTTACTGATAGTAATATTCATCGTATCTAGCAACATGGTCCAGGTGAGACTTGAGTCGTTAATCTCTTTCTTGATCTCCTTCTCAACGGGACCAGATGATATCCAACATGGTTGGACTCGCTGCGGGACTCGAGATAAGCAAATCACTGGGCTATGCAACTGGTCCTGGCAAAGCCAACTGGGCCGCCGCGTCCTACCCGTCAGTCCCCAACATTCCCAAATCATGTCATTAGGGCTCTTCTGAACATCGCCTGCAGGCTGACGCAAGGCACCTTCGTTCTGATCAGCGGTCGCCTCGGTGCCGTCTACGGCCATCGACACGTCCTCATCGGCGGCGCCGTCTGGTTCGTCATTTGCTCGCTCGCAAACGGCTTCTGCAAGACGTTTGTCACTTTCAATGTTGTCCGTGCGCTGTCTGGCATCGGAGGAGCATTAATCATGCCAAACGCTGTTGCTCTAATCAGTACGACAATACCACCTGGAAGATCGCGGAATGTTACGCTGGGTTTTTTCGGGGCCTCGGGTCCTATTGGAAGCTACCTAGGTGCCATCTGGGCTGGTATTTTCATTGAATATGTGGATTGGACGTGGATATTCTTCGGCATGTGAGTCTTGCTGTGAATCCCACGTTTAAATCTGTCTAATATATGTAGGGCAATCTTGGGGACATTCGTTTTCGGGACTCTGGCGTTACTTCTCCCAACCGACTCTCCTGTTGACCGAAAAGGGACAATTGACTGGATCGGCGCCTTCCTTGGTACGGGCGGCCTGATTGTTTTCAACGTTGCTTGGAAGTGAGTGAAACAGCTGGCTTAGCAAGATGTTTCAAAACTGACCTTTTGCAGCCAAGCACCAGCGAGTGGATGGGAAACGCCTTTCGTATCCGTCTTGCTCGTGATATCAATTATCATGCTCGTTCTCTTTGGGGTCTGGGGGTCCAGGTTCAGCAAAAATCCCATCATACCACTCGGAATATGGACAGCACCATCCTTTACAGCCGTCATCTTCGTCGTTCTCTTTAGTTTCATGTCCAACGGCATCTTCCTCTGGTACATGGTAGCATGGCTTCAACTTCTGCGTGGCAAAACCATCCTCCAGTTTGGCCTTGAGTGGACTCCATTTGGGATTGTTGCAACGATCGGCACGTTCATCGCAGCATGGCTGATTCCACGCCTCGCCGTGCAATGGATATTGGCAATCGGTTCCGCTGCCATCTTGGTCGCGAATCTACTCTTGGCTACGATGCCGGTCCAGCAGATGTACTGGGCTCAGGTCTTCCCAGCGACGATATTCATGGCCTTTTGTCCAGACTTTGTCTACGTTGCGGCGCAGATCGTGGCCAGCAACAGTGTCAAACGTAGCCAGCAAGGCGTTGCTGCATCTCTCATTGGCACGCTTAATTTGTATGGGAACAGTCTCGGTCTTGGATTTGCGGGGACGATAGAGACGCAGGTGAACAAATATCGGGTTGATCAAGTGCTTGGATTCAGGGCTGCATTGTATTTTGGAGCCGGCATCGCCTTGGTAGCGACCGTGCTAGACATGTTCTTGGTAAGGGTGGTAAAGGACGAGAGAGAGGGATGGACTGATCCGGCCGACGCGGTAACAATTACGGGGACAGGGTTTGAGGGAGGATTGTCGACGGCTACTGAGAGACTTCGACGGTGATGGGCTCATGGTCCTAGAGATGCCATCGGCACATCCATGACTATTTCAGTAACCATCGAACGGGGGTGCGCAACCTTGACCGAGGCATATTCGTGCGAGTGAAAGATACCTATGCTAGAAGAGATAGTCTGCAGTTTGCTAATAGGACTATGTTGAGTGGAATACATCTAATAAAAGCTACCTCTTAGGCTACTCAGCAATGTGAACATCCTTCTGATACTGCCAGTTCCTTTCAGTATTACTTCTCATAAGGCGCAACAGCAAACCCATGTCTCTGAGCATGAATCCTCACCAACCCGCCATCCTCTGCCTTTGCCTCAATAACCACCTCCTTATCACTAACACTCACCAGCTCCCCCACATCTTTATGATTCGATCCAGTATCTGTCGGCCACATCTTCACAAGCTGCCCCTTCTTCAGTTTCTGGTGTTGAACCACCACATCCGTCTCATCAATCTGTCCAACCGATTCATGATAGTCCGAGCCCAGTATCAACTTTGCGGCTTCTTCTCCGGTCAATGTCCTCAGTTCCCCCAATTCGTCTACTGCCTTTTGCGCAGTGCTCTTAAATCTTTCCATCCAGGCGAACACTTTGGGAAATTTAGCTTCCGAAATCCACTCTTCTGGTCTCGCTCCAGGCACTTTCTCCATCCACAGCAGCGGCCAAGCCATTTCAATATCACCAACAGTCGGCCCTGCCGTCCCAAGCAGCCAATCCCTCCCATCAGATAATAATGTTTGTTCTAAAAACTCAAATCCATCTTTTACCCTTCGTATGGTATCTGGCCTCATCGCCTCCAAAGCTTCAGGCGGGAAAAACCCCGCGCCGCTCATGAACTCGGTGCGGTCTTTAACAAACTCCGGATCCATCATACCTCTCGTCTTATACAAAATCAACTGCACGAAGCATCTGCCAAAGCCAGAATCAATCATGAATACCTGGAAAAGACGTTGCAGTGCCTTTTGCTCGGGAGTTGTGGCAACAGAGAGGCGAGCGCCTTTTCCTGGCTCCAATTCGCTGAGCTTTGTCATAATGTGCCGCGTATCTAGATAGACGTCTCTGCCAATGGTGAGAACAGGGATGCGTCTATATTTGACGCCCAAACGGCTGAGATCAGGCCGGGGCATTATTCGCGGTTGCATCTACACTCCGTGGTCAGATATAGTGTTCTCTTACAAGGCAAACTTTTCATACGCATTGTTGGAATTTGATGCCCTTGAGAGCAAGATACCACAGGACTTGCTTTGAATAAGGGGAGACCTCATAATGGTAGAGAATAATTGGTTTCTCGGCTGAACCCATATTGAACGTCGCGATGCTCAGAATAGTGGTGTAAGTTGGAAAGGTGAGTGCAGTGCGGGGAAATTAAAGTCTAGACAGCGCCATGGAGTTTGCATTTTTATATCCACGGCCGAAGGATTCAAGCTGTAATTGAGCACCTGAGGCTACTATCAGACAGCTAATCCTTGTCGCTGTAAACTCACTTGAAATATGCCTCATTTGTATGACTACAGGGCGTTTTAGGTTGTCATTCGACAGTTATCCTGTAACTGGAGAGCTAAAATACACGTAAATGACAACGGAGTAGTATTCAGAGGTGGAGACCGTATATCAGCGTGTCATCTCAATGCCTGTGTGTTATACTGTATTCCCTTGAAATACCCCATAATAAATATTGCTACTTGGCAATCTATCAACTCATCTGTTTTTAGAGGAGATATTTCTAAAGTGAGTATTTTTAAAAGTATTAACAGACTAAACAAGTAGTTATATTATGAAATAATATTTTTATTAACTCTTGTTTTATCTTAAAACTAGATGTATGACTAAATGCACCATGTAGCAGGATCACTTAGCCGCAGCGGTTCCATCCATCTGCCTCAATCTCTCATCCATCCCACCATAATCGCGACCGCCATCGCCGATACTCAGGCGCCAGTGCAGCAACAATGTCGGCACACGGGCGGCACGCTTCCTTCGGGTATCCGACAGCAGGGCCGTTCGAAGCTCCCTTGAGATATATGATGAAAACGAAGAATCGCAGATGGAGTGCGACTGCGCCCGAGGGCATCAACAACCCGGAAGACCTGTGGGATACATACTGGAATCGCTTCAACTGCATCAAAATCCCAGTCTTGGACGAAGACGACTTCTTCAACGTAGCCATGGAGATTGCGAAAGTCGCAAAGGACAAGGACGACTTTGAGAGGCTCTTCCAGGAAACGAACAAACAGCGGCAGGATGCGCAGCTCGATACGCTCAAGGACGCCAGCGACAAGATTGGCAGCGGCGAGCAAAATATCTTCCCGTGCCGAGATGCCAAGAGGGCATTGTCTCGGGCCTGCCTGACGGGCTGTTTTCAGTACTTCCTACGGCTGGTGCAAGGCGGCGTCTATGGCTGGGAGGCGGACGAGATCGAGGCCGAGGCTGAAGCTGAAGCTGAAGCCCCGCGTGCAGACGAGGCGGAATTGTATGATGAGGACGGCGTTGAACATACTTATAGAAGCTGTATGCGATGGTCTATCGATGACGACTCTGAATACGATTCGGATTATGCCGTGCCTGGTGAAACGCACACAATGGACGATCTCGAAGCCTGGGCTGCTCGGCATCCAGTCGTTTCGGGCAATGGTATCATGGGAGCGTCTGACTCTCCCAACGATAAAGTACGCGCCAAGCAGCAAATATCGGCACATGCGCGAAACAAAACATGTCCATCAGAGGAAGGCGGAACGACAGTGTTGAGAAAACAGTTGGTGCCTCAGGTCCTATCATCTAGTCCACCGTAATGGCGCATTTCTAATTCGCAGCTTGCTAGGAAACGAGTTCGATTCACTAAGGGCGACGAGGCGGAGCAATCTACACATAAACGTCGGAAATTGGAGAGCACTGCGGCGGCGGCGGCGGCGGCGGCGTCTGATATTGCTTCTCCGTCGACGCCGCGAATATCGAGTGAGAGCCCCGATAGTGAAAAGGCCATCTGTGACGGCGACAGCAATTGTAGATGCAAGCGTCAAAGAACAGACGGACCGGCACTTGCCCTCCCATCTCAGCCTTCTTCATCTACACAACTTCCAAGCGGAAAGACGACTAGGAAGAGAGCCAGTCTCGATGACGATGACGGCGATGATGCTGATCGCAGGTACAAACGAATAAAAGCAGAACATCTCGCCACACCAATACCGCATATCTCCTCCCCCATAGCCACAGAAGATTCACCAATCAACAGCGCGCCTGAAAGAAACCCAGAGCAAACGACAGAACAACGAACCAGGGGTAAGCAACCCGCCAAGAAGAAGGCCGGAAAAGAGAAGAAAATCGACAATGGCGTACGGAAGCGCCGAAAGCAGAGTCCTGCCTCGCGTATCCCATCTACAGCATCTCCCCAGAGCACTCTTAACACGAGGTCTAAAAGGGGAGCCAACAAATCATCCACGCTGTGGGAGCTGGATGGCTCGGGTAAGCCGCGTTTAACTCGATAAACGTCCCTCTCATCAGTGTCTTTAGCTGCTTGCACGATTTGATAGAGAGCAAAGACTAGACTCCAGGCATCAGGCATTCATTCTCAAGAATCATGGTCGTTATCCCGGCAGGGCTAGGTGCAGCGGCGTAGTTTCAAGAGATGAACAGAATTCCTAACGCCTGGGCGTTCCCGTCAACATGGTCGCTATCCTGGCAGGGCCGGGTGCAGTGGCGCAGTTGACAGGAATATGCCCTCGAAGGCTTAGGAATCTCCAAGACATGGTCGTTATCCTAGCAGGGCTGGGTGCAGCGGCGTAGTCTGGGGGGGACAGCAAGCCCAAAGCCTGGGCAATCTGAGAACATGGTCGTTATCCTGGCAGGGCCGGGTGCAGCGGCGAAGTTTGATGGGAAAATATACGGTCCAACTCTTCTCAAAGCGTGAAGCATGCCCATCTCAGTTTCATTCGACCCTGACGATCTGTTACGAGTCTGTTTATGTTCATTTCACAGTTCACATGTTGCATTTGAAAGATACCCGTGCATTTTGGAAAGGAGTTTGGTGGCTCATTTGCTATTAGATAGTCTTGGTAAAACAATATTGGGAATGAAATTTACACAAGGTTGGTTGATTTGTTTCAGTTAGATACCCATATATGAGGAAGCACAGCAAAAGTTCAGCCATTCAAAGGGCGTGCTACACACTTTCATTGGAATCGATGTCGCAGCTGATGTGCCTAGTAACCCTTGATTAAAAAGAAAGTTGAAGGAGAATGCGGGCAAAAGGTAATGCTTTGCCAATGCTGTTTCACGATTGGCTTCATAGCCGCTTGATGCCTTGCTCGTACACATTGGTCCATTGAAATATTGGACAATTCGCTACTTCTCCTTGGCAATCTATTGACTAGTGGAGCATCTTTCATCTGAAATCTACAGTATACCTGATCCAAGGGAACACAAGTATAAATCGCCAATCCTTGCAGTCATAGTATCCATCCCCAAATCTATTCATCCCATTCGGGTATCTCATATTCATACATCCCTCTAATTGAACCCAACCCAAGCCAATCCCATACAATCAGTCCCGCCGAGTTTTCCCCATCCCAAATCACAAAGCGCCTCCCACAACCTTGACAATCCACATGGCAATCCGCACCTTCAAACTAACCCTCCTCTCATTTCTCGTAAAATCATCCATCGTAACTCCAGCCGCATGGTCCTGCAGCCACTTCTGCTCTTCTCCCAACCGTGCTTTCAACGCCTCGTTTCGTGTCACAATCAGCGTCCCGGCCTCCAGGTCGAGCGAGTAACTTCGTTTCGTGTAATTGGAGCTTCCCACGATGCTCATGCTCGGGTTCGCATCTCCAGGCATCGTGATCCACAGACCCTTTGCGTGGTATGTCCACCCGCCGGGCTGGCCAGTCGTGCCGAAGCGCCACTCTTTCAGTGTAATGTCTCCTTCGCGACCACGTTGCTGAACGGCATAGAGGAAGCGGCGTGCGAGTAGCACATATGCATCCGGCAATAATCCGGAAACTCCCTTTGACTTGTAAAAGCCATTGGCTTCCGGCGCTGCTGTAATGACAATATTGTTATTCGAAGCAGTGTTGAGCAGCAGTTTTGTTAATGATGGCGCAGGGTTAAAGTATCCTGCAGTAAACGTCCACGACGATCCCGCATACGCCGGCTGAGACAATCTCTCCAAAATCCGCGTCAGTATAGGAAGCTCCGTCGACGTATCCGGCCGCATAACCTGAGACATCTGGCCGAGCATATAGACCCGAGTATCCTTAAACTCGCTATCCGGTACTTTTTCAGGCGCAGATATCAACGCCTGCAACGTAGACGTAGTGCTCTTGACAAAAGACTGCGGCTTCTCCAGCGGTGACGGAGCAGAGTTCTTTGCCGGCCATGTAAGAGCAAAACCTGCCGCATCTTCTTTCGACGGTTGAACAAGGAAACTAAACGACGATACGCCATTATAAAGCTTCCAAAAGTAGTCCGTCACCTCCTTGGACGAGAAGAGGTGATATCGATCCTGTCGATTCGTAAAGTAATCCATCGATAAGTTTGCCCTTTCAAAATCTCACGTCAATGCAAATCCCCTCAAACCGCACTTCAGCAGCACCAACATACCCTGACATGATAATCTCGTCATCCACGCCATAAAGCTTCATATGCTGCAATCCCCATCCCTCGTTGATCCTCTTCGGCACATACTGCTTCTTCAGCCCCGTCAGATTCGGCGTATGATACATCCGTATCTCGACTCGATCAGCCCCAAACTCCTCCACCAGCGGCGCAAGCAGCGAAGCACATGAAGGGTTCGGCGACTCGCGAGTGCCGCGCAGCGCATCCGTCAAGATGCTGAGCGTCAGGTCAGGGTTCTGCTTCAGCGCCTCTCGCAGCGTCTCGATGAGCTCCTTTTCCGACTTGCCAATGTACAGCGTCGACAGGAATATCCTCTTTTTCGCATTCCGTATCCGATCCTACATTATAAAAAAACCATCAGCCTCCTAAACTGCTTGTCTCTCCTTGTAGGTCGCATCGTACCTTGAGCGTCTCGTAGAATTCCGTCGGCGTCTTCAATATCCGGATCTGGTCGCCCCGAAGGTCGAAACTCGGCGCCATGCGATCCAATTCGCTCACAAACGGCGCCAGCAGCCCTGCATTTCCGCTGTGAATTGGCGCTGCGGGAGCTCCATGGGGTGTCGCATAGCTTCTGAACTGGTATCGCGGTGGTGAAATGCTCGGCTTGGATCGGAGGACTCGCGCTCTGGAGGCGCAACGAGCGCAGCTGCGCACAATCATGCTCTATGCGTTCAATTGCAAGACTCACAAGTAAAAATTCAAAAGAGAGAAAGAAAAGAAAGAAAGACAGAGTCCTTCATCCAAAAAATTCCATCGGCATGCGGCCATCTATCTAGAGCTTGAATCAAATCAGTTCAGCCGAGCTTTTGCCGCGCTCGCCGGAATCTTCAACCAAGCTTCAATGACCTCTTCTCACCCGAGGCCAAGATTCCAGCGAACACATCCCATCACCGGTAGGAATTGCCCGCTACCGCCACCATGTCGACCATCACAAGGACTCTGGGCAACCTGCGCAAGGTTGGCATCAAGGTAAGCGGCCTCGCCATCTCTCTCAATTGCCGGCTGTTAACATTTCCCGCGCAGGATTACTTCCGCCAGATGCTGGTACGTCTCGAGAGATTCTAACCCTCCAGCTCTTCCGACAATCGACGACGCATAGCTAACGCATAGCTCTCGCACCTCTCCTCCAACAGTACATCGGTACGCCCATCCCGTCTTCGCCTCTCCCAATCCCTCAGCAACACTCCCCTCTGACTCCAGCAAACAGGTGACACAAAGGCCGGAACCCTCATCGGCACCGACCGCGCCGGCAACAAATTCTACGAGAACCTCGAGGAACTGCCGCTCCGCACGCGCTGGGTCGACTTTGCCAAGCACGACTACGACGCCGGCCAGATCGAGCCCGGCTGGCACGCCTGGATCAGCTACGCCGTCGACAAGCCGCCCACCGAGGACCCCCTGATTGCGACGGGCACACGGCACTTTGAGCCGGCGCTGCCCAAGCCAAACTATACCATGACGCGGGGCGCTTTCAAGACGTACAACACGTGAGTTGAGCACGAAGCAGGGGACGATGGGCTATACACACGGACGTGGGATCTGAGCTAATGTTTGAGGGTTACAGAACGAAGCCGAAGCTCAACGCTTGGGAGCCAGTGGTCAAGGACCGGGTATGAGTGGTTTTTGAGGTAAAAGATGGTGTACATATTATAAACGGCAAACACAAATGAATCAAACAATAGACACAGGCAGATATGTGCATTACTTGGTGATGTTAGCAGGAGAGACTATCTCAAACACTTGAACGGTGGATTTAAACAAACATTTTACTTCTTTTAAACAGGCGGAAAATATCGACAAAAACAGACTCAGTACTATCTAATCCCATCTATTGCGGTGCAACACATGATCAAATCAAGCCCGGAATCCTTACGCCGTATCACAGCGTCTACTACCCCACTCTACAGTTTGCTTTCTACAGCTGACTTGATAGCTACAAAATCATTAGCAAAGTAAATATTGAAAAGTGGTGAAAACTGATACTTACCATCACAAGAAACCTTTGCATCGCCAAACAACATCTTGGTGTTTGGCATGTAAAACATCGGGTTCGGCACATCAGCTATACATTGCGTATCAGCCTCGCTTATCATAGTACACTTATGGATGAAAAAGAAAGAAAAAAAAAGACGGGCACTCACCATAACCACTGGCCAACGTGCGCTTCATCACAATAACTTGCTTGGCCTTCCAGGCATGCAACACTGGCATGCCCTCAATGGAACTACCCTTTTCCATGGCAATCGGGTTCACAGTATCGTTGGCACCAATGACCAAGACCAGATCAGTCTCGGGGAAGTCATCGTTGATCTCGTCCATTTCCAGGACGATATCGTAGGGGACGCTTGCTTCCGCCAACAGCACATTACATTGCCCAGGCATGCGACCAGCAACTGGGTGGATAGCGAAGCGGACAGTGATTCCCTTTGACCGCAGCGACTGGACAATGCTCGAGAGCGCGTACTGTGCCTTTGCGACAGCCATTCCATATCCGACGACTATGATGACGGATTCGACGTTCACTAGCTGGTCTGCAACATCCTCTACAGATGTTTCAGTCGCTTGACCCTCTGGCTTGTACTCCAAGGCTTGTGTCGGAGTTCCTAAGCCTCCAAACAGGACATTGGTTAGAGACCGGTTCATGGCAACGCACATGATGTATGACAGAATAGAACCAGAAACGCCTATCAGGGCTCCCACAGACGTCAAGAGAGGATTATCCAGCATGAACCCTTCGGCCACCAAAGCGAAGCCACTGTATGCGTTCAACACGGTGATGACGACGGGCATGTCAGCGCCTCCAATTGCAGAAGTTGTCGTGTATCCCTTGATGAAACTCAGCGCCGTGTTAGCTGCCAGTGCCCCAGCAGCAATCATGGGAGCACCAGGAGCCATGGTAAGGAAAGCACCAAACGTAGCGGCATTGGTTGCCAGCAATCCAGTGTTGATAACATGTCGGCCAGGGAGGAGCTTGGGGCGAGAAGACATGCGACCTGCGAGCTTCAAGAAGGCAACAATTGATCCGGTAAAGGTTACACCACCAATCAGAACACCAAGGTATGCAGTTACCATGTGCAGAGTGGTGAGGTCAGAAATATCGCCCATGACACTGCCAATGCTGGTCAAAACGGCTGCAAGACCAACAACTGAATGCAAGGCAGCGACAGTTTGAGGCAAATCAGTAGGCGTAATTCTCTTTCCAATCAACATGCCTGAAATCTTGTTAGTAACCATTATTCTTGGCTAGATGGATACGGTGACTTACCAGCAATGGCTCCTATGGCAGCGAGTCCGGTGAATTGCGTCAAGACCTCGGGGGAAAATCCCACAGCAGCCAAACTAGCCAATACACCAGTGCCGACACCAAGAATACCGAGCATGTTACCCATGCGAGCAGTTGCTTGAGAGGCCAAGCCTGAGAGAGATCCAATGCAAAGAACAGAACTGATGAGATATCCGGCCTGGACAAGGCCAGCGGCTCCGGTCGACGCAGCAGCGATGAAGCCTCCACCGAAGAGAGTAGCCGGGATTGCATAAAGCCAGGGGTACTCAGGGGGGTCAGTAGGTCCTAAAAGACTATTAGCTGCGCTCGTATCAATTTCATTGACAGAAGACGTACGTTTGAACATGTCGAGCATTCGTTTGGTGATGACGAAGCCACCACCAACATTCACAAAGGCCAGCAACACGCTGAGGGCGCCAAAGGTTTGAGGAATTGTCTCGGGCAAGTAGCCTCCACCGAGAACGAACAGACCGCCAATACCAACCATGCCAGAAATCGCGTTTGTCACGCTCATCAACGGAGAGTGTAGCGCGGGCGCCACGCCCCAGACGACGCGATAACCGATCAAGCTAGCCAGAGCAAAGGTGAATGCATTAGACATGAACAGAGGCCCGGTGAACTTTCCAAGAGCAAGCATGGTTGTCATTCCGGCAGTCACAGTAGCCACCTCGCGAGTCTTTTTCTGCCAAGGAGTGAGTTCTACAGCTTCGACTACAACGGCAGCTGCGGGTTTGGCTGGTGCTGGAGGAGGGGCAGGGCGGGGAGCGGGCGGCAGGATTTCTCCCTTTTGCATCACAATGGCGCCTCTGACAACTTCGTCAGACAGGTCAATTCCAAATTCGTTTTCTTTGGGAGACATTGAAAGCAAGAGCTTGGTGATGTTGTTTGAGTAAAGAGTAGACGATTGGGTCGGCAAGCGAGACGGGAGATCAGTATATCCTACGATTGCATATTAGTATAAAAATCCTGAGCATCAGAGACCTGGTAATATCTTACCAATAACCTTGACATCATTGTAAGTTATCATTTCGCCTGCTTTGGTGGCCTCACAATTGCCGCCAGCCTCAGCCGCGAGATCAACAATAACACTTCCGGGTTTCATGACATCGAGCATATCCATTTTAATAAGTTTCGGGGCGGGCCTTCCGGGAATCAGAGCCGTAGTAATGATAATGTCCACTTCCCTGGCTTGTTCCTTGAAAAGTCGCATTTCGGCTTCGATAAACTCCTTGCTCATCTCCTTGGCATAGCCTCCCGCACCAGAGCCGTCTTCATGCATGTCGACTTCGATGAATTCAGCGCCGAGAGACTCAATCTGCTCTCTGACCGCGGGACGAGTATCAAATCCGCGAACAATGGCACCCATTCGACGAGCAGTTGCGATTGCGCTGAGACCAGCTACACCAGCTCCAATGACCAGAACTTTACAGGGCGGAATCTTGCCAGCAGCCGTGACTTGGCCGGTCAAGAATCGACCAAAGACATTGGATGCTTCCAGGACAGCCTTGTAGCCGGCAATATTGGCCATGCTACTGAGGGCATCGAAAACCTGAGCGCGAGAGATACGGGGGACCATTTCCATAGCAAAGTAAGTTGCGCCCCTGGCAGCAATCTTCTCAACAAGATCTTTATTCTGGCCAGGCTGTAGGAAAGAGAGAACTGTCTGGTCTTTCTTAATGGCATTGACCTCGGCGTTTGAAGGTCCTCGGACCTTGAGAACAATATCGGCTGCAGACCAGACACCATCAGGGGAGTCGACAAGAGTAGCGCCAGCTTTTTCATAGGCTTCATCCAAGAATTCAGCCGCAGCACCAGCTCCGCGCTGGACCAAGACCTTGGAGTATCCCTTCTTCAGGAGCAGAGCTACATTGGTTGGAGTCAATGCGACTCGGCGCTCCCCGGGAAATGTCTCCCGCGGCACACCAACCGTCAGTTGGCTATAAGGAGTCGTGGGGGGCACCACGGTGGTCGCGTCCGTCGAGTAAGCCTTTGGGAAAAGAGCGGGAACTCGTGGAACCGGAGAGTCACGGCGAACCAGCGCCAGGGACTTTGCAGCCGCGGCGACAACTGTAGTCTGCCGCTGGGCCCCCGAAGAGGCGTGCCATTGGCGGTGGCAACTCACCAAGGGCTTAACATCTAGTAGCAGAGTCAGAGATTGTCACTCGCTGGTGCCTGTAGAGGCGCAATTCACGCATAGAAGGGACTCTGTCTCTTACTTTGGATTCGAGAGCGCAAGAAGCGCGACGAAGAAGCAGTAGTAGGCGAAAAGTAGAGCTCAGTGGCCAATGGGCGAAGCACAGAGGACGCCATCACGAATCGACCCTCATCTGAGGCGACTTGGACCGACACACACAAGGATTCAAGCTATAGGTGTAGCTGTATGCGATAAAAAATTAGAAGAGAGGTAATTATTCATCATTCTCCGGAAAGACAAACATACCAGATCAGCTATACGAGCTCACATCGGTTGATGTCTCGACAGTCGTCAGCAGAGCTCATGCGCCGCAGCAGTAAGAGCCCTTTGTATCTGCCGGTTCTGCTAAAGCAATAGACGTCACGATACAGTCGAAAAGAGCTATTTGCAAGAAGAAAAGGAAGAAGGAAAAGAGAAGAAGCAAGAAAATCACTCGATCGCAACGCGTGCGCAGGAGGAGAAGGTGGCCTCTACAAAACAAGCTCGGTCGTTAAAACCCCCGCTCCGCCGACTCCAAGTTTTTAACGGCCCGGGTAAAAAAAAAACAAATCACAAAAAGAATGGTGACATCGTCGGAGCATCTTTGACGTCCAGTACTCCAAAGATACAGCCGTCGCAAGCAGAATTCCGCCGGCCAGCAAGGTACTCGTCCGCGGACAACCTTCTCTTTTCTGACGTTACCACTAACAAAGAGACGACCATCAGGTGCGGGGTCCTCCAAAGGGGGGTCTCTCCAAGAACTTACAGGGGCATCAGAAGGGGACCTACAGGGGGGCGTGAGGGGAGTTTAGGCGGCACGGCCACTAAATGATCCCCCACTGCGGGGGAACTATCGGCGCTAAAAGCTGGGGAAGGGCGACGTGCAGCACGAAGCGGCAGCAGGCCGTATTGGGACGATTTGCGCTGCTGGAGGTTGGAATCGTGCGTTTGGGGTGGTTGCGATGCGAGGCGGCTCCGACGCAGCCGAGCGTACATACGAGCTTAATTCCATGGTGTGTGCTGTGCGTGTAATGCGGTGCAGAGTTGAGCTGAATGCGCGGGATATGCGGGAGGGGAAAGGGAAGATCAGGAGATTTAAAGTGGGATATTGCCGGATATTTACTAAAATGTAACAAGGAAGCGATGAATGGATATGGATTAGATATTATTGGCTGTAGAAGCTACTAGTACTAGATATTATCCAGCTTTTGCAGCACCTGGTATCAAGCCAGCAGTCAACTCTCGAAGCAACTTGCAGTCCCAAACCCGAGCATCTAAGTGGTGATCAATCTGTAATAACTCAATTAGTGGTATTAGCGATAAGAGCCCGCTTCCAACACAGCATCTGATAAACATTCATCTTAAGCAAACATTCAGAAATACAAACAAGACACAAGCTCAACCATTACAGCTCCATCTGGCAGTTCCCCCCGTGGCACGGAGTCTCGCATCGGCCCCGGAAGTCGGGCCCAATGTTCAGGCACTTGTCGCACCCGCAAACAAGATCCAGGTGCGTACCGACCTTTTGATCGGCATCGTCGCAGAGACAGATATACAACGCAGACGAGGTGTTTGTTGCGGGGACGTTGTTGTTGCAGGAGGCGTGGGGGGTCTTGCAGTATGACTCGGCCAGCTGTTTCTGAGACCACGGCTTTTCTATAGCACTTTACATCAGCTCCGTTCTTCTATGAAAGACTCCAATTTCATGTGCATAACATACTCATGCCCATCAGCACAGATGCGCAATAGGTATAGCCGCATTCGCAGATGGACCCCTCCGGCACGGGAGGCTCCCTGGTGGCCACAGGAGGTGGCGCATCCTTGGAGGTGGAAGTCGAGGTGCTGGAGGTGGTTGAAGATTCAGGAACCGGCTGCGGCTCTTGGGAGGAGAGTGGCGGAGGGGGCGTGTCGGGCGTTGGGAGCTGGGGCCTGGGATTGGCGGCCGTCAGTCCAATCAGGGCAACTAAGGCGATGGCCAGCTTCATTCTGGTTGTAAACTTGGTCGTAGAGTGCTTGTAGATTGGATCAAATTAGATGGAGATGTGAGATGTTATTAGTTGTAGGGCAACTAGAGGTAGGCATATGTTCACTATCCCATCTTTATATAGGCATACTTCTTTAGCACTGATGGTTTTGTGTAGTTATAAATAGCACTTCGATCTAAATGAGTAGCACCAGATCATGAAGATCGACAAGAATTAAGCTTCCGTCTTGACAAAAGTGATGCTTGTGTCTCAAACTCGGCTCCATGCTCTGCTTTCATCTCTATATTTCGTCACAACACGCCATTTATTCTACACGAATACACAATTACCGAAACATCACGTATTAGGCTTTTGATTTCGACACGAATAGGAAACAAACAGCCAAATTAGTGTGCAACTTTGTAATTTGATATCTATGCCAACAAATTGTAACTATTAGCCAGCATTACGTAGATATCTTGGAACTTGTATCTGCTTCTCAGGTTATCGGTCCCGATGAACAGACAGGCAGTTTCTAAATGAAACAAATTTTCTACACTTGATAATTCATCCCAATTGGTTCATAAGCAGGCAATACTCACATACAATTTGCCCATGTGTGAAGCCACGAGTACTCTATGCTGTGACCTACCCTGCAAATGACTGTATCAAAACACAATTCACACAGTACGCCATTCCATTACTGCTCTGCACAGTGCAAATACCCCGCCGAGTTGCCGACTACCCCTCCATCGGCATTCGGAATCCTCTCGAACCATTATCGCCTCTCAAGAAAATCAAACTCCCACTCTCACATCTCCATCACCACAACCTCTCAGACATCTCTCCAAAATGGCCGACGACAAAGCATCAGGCCTCGCACAGGGCCCCACGACCATCAGAGTCGGCACGCGCAACTCGCCGCTGGCCCTCGCCCAGGCCGACATCGTCGTCGCTGCTCTTCAAGCCGTGCTGCCCGCCTACTCGTTCCCCATCCACGGAATGACAACCACCGGCGACCGCGACCAGACGACGGCGCTCTACAACTTTGGCGGCAAGGGCCTGTGGACGACGCAGCTGGAGGACAAGCTCGAGGCAAACGAGCTCGACATCATTGTGCACTCGCTAAAGGACATGCCCACGACGCTGCCCGAGGGCCTGCTGCTGGGCTGCGTCACCAAGCGGGAGGACCCTCGCGACACGCTGGTGCTGAAGAAGGAATTGGTTGACAAGAACGGCTGGAAGAGCCTGGCCGACCTGCCGGCGGGCAGCATCATCGGCACCAGCAGCGTGCGCCGCATCGCCCAGCTCGCGCGACGATACCCAAACCTCAAGTTCAAGGACCACCGGGGCAACATCCAGACGCGGCTGCGCAAACTCGACGAGGACCCCGAGCTGACGGGCATCATCCTGGCGGCGGCCGGCCTGCAGCGAATGGGCCTCGACGCTCACATCTCGCAGTTCCTCGAGCTGGACAATGGCGGCATCCTGCACGCCGTGGGACAGGGCGCACTGGGCATCGAGTGTCGCGCCGGCGACCAAAAAGTGATTGACGCCCTCAAGCTGATCGAGGACAAGAACGCCGGTCTGGCAACGATAGCCGAGAGGAGCCTGATGCGCGCGCTGGAGGGCGGCTGCAGCGTGCCCATTGGCGTCGAGACCAAGTGGGTTGCGCCGGGCCAGCTGAGGCTACGGGCCACGGTCGTGTCGGTGCAGGGCACAGAGGGCGTGGACGGCGAGGAGGTTCAGACGATTGCGTCCGCGGAGGAGGCCGACAAGTTTGGCGTCAAGATGGCGGCCGATCTGGTGGACAAGGGCGCAAACAAGATCTTGGACGACATCAACAAGAACAAGCCGGCACCACCGCCAGCGAAATAAGAATTGGTGTAGCTTGCTGTACGACTATGTGTGAATGAGACGGAAGGGCAAACAATGGAAATTGGAGGTGTGAATGACATGGAAGGACAAGGTCAATGGAAAATTGGAGCAAGGAAAACATTTGCATCATCATCATTTTAACGACGCACGACAAACCACAAAATGTATACCCTCATCTGATGAAATATGGCATGGTACACAAAATGCGAACCTGTTTGTTTGCTAAATAGATATACAAGATTTAAATCCATCCCCTCCGCTGATTACCAGGTTGAACTGTTTTGATTTTTTTCTACACCATTTCAGGCCAGCTCTTGTCATCATCTTCTCAATGAAGAGATGTGATATTTCTCGCTCTTTTTCTTTTATATCTTCCTCCCCCCCTCTCTCTTCTTGTTAAAGGTCACCGTCCCCATATTTCACACCAATATCTTAGTCAATCAATCGCAAAACATGCCCATCGTCTAATCTTTTAGCCGCCCCTCTTTCACTCGGCCTCCTTACTCGGACGTAAACGCTTTGTACGCCTCGGCATCCAGCAGCTCGTCAAACTGCGCCGCGCCCTCCTCGTCCACCTCGACCTTGACAATCCAGCCGCCGCCGGCGCTGTCGTCCTCGGGCACCTGGTTGATCGTGGCGGGCTTCTCCTCCAGCAGGGCGTTTGTGTGGGTGACCTTGCAGCGGATGGGCGCGTTGATGTCGCTGGCGCTCTTGACGGACTCGACGGCGCCGATGGAGTCGCCCTGGTCGGTCCATTCGCCCGCGGGGGGCAGCTCGACGTAGACGACGTCGCCCAGCTGCTCGGCGGCGTACTCTGAGATGCCAATGACGCCGGTCTTGCGGTCGGCCGAGAGGTCGATCCACTCGTGGTCCTTGGTGTATTTGCGGGCGAGGCCTAGAATTGGATATCAGTTAGACATGTGCTGTGAAGTAAATAACAGGTTAGGTATTTAGAAACATACTCAGGCGGGTGCTGGAAAAGCTTCTAAAGGGCATCGCCAGTCGAGCCATCGGGGCAGCGCGGGGTGCAAAGCGCATGGCCACGGGGCGGGCAGCGCGCAGGGAGGCAGCAATTGAGGCCATTTTTGTGTCTGGGGGGTTTCTCTGTTTGCCGAGGAAGCTTTTAATACAGACAGAGAGAGGAGGTTGAGCGAAAAAAAAGAGAGAAAACAAAAGAGAAGATCGTCAATGACGCCCCGAATAGTCTGGAGTCTAGTCGGTTAATTGTTTGCTCTTATCGGAGGCGCTAAATGGGCTGTTCGGTACGTACTCATGTGGGGTTGATTTGCAGAAAAAAAGAACAAGCCTGGCTTAGTCACCCATCCAGCTGCATATTTCGTTGGACACTCGAAATTAAGAAACCGATGCAAGGCGCCGGCACCCGAATCGCTCCTATTTGGACTACATACAGAGGACAAAGGGCCAATCATGGGCGGTGGATGAAGCGATTTCGCAGCTGGTGCCCTGCATTGCGAGGTGCTAATTGGGTAATCATTACTCTACCGGAATGGGGGAGTATGGGGATGCTCTGATAGCGATAACGGCGGGTCGAGCCGGGTTTACGGAGTTGCAGTGTGAGATTTCTGTGGATTGAAGGATCCTGGGACACGGCATGGAATTATGTCGATGAGAAGAATGGGATAATTCAAATCACTGAGATGAATCATATGGAAAAAGAAGAAGCGAGGGAAAAAAAAATGGTGAAAAATGGTGGCCGAAAACTTCATATCCGCCATAGTCACGATAGTCCATCAACCTCGAAAAGGAACTTGAAAAGGACAAAAAGAACAAAAATAGAAGATCTCCAGAAGCGGAATCGAACCGCTGACTTTTCGATAACCTGAACAATTACAGTCGAACGCCATGAACCAACTAGACCACCCGGAGTTGTTTCTTCTTGAAATAAGGCGTTGTGTATTCAGTTTATAAGAGCTCTTTGTGAAAACGGGTAACTGTATTTTTGCGGCGAGTTTTCAACTTTGCAGCTTAAAACACAGCTTAATTTGGTGCTAGTCCCGCCCTATAGCTGCTAGCTTGGAGCTCTGGAAGCCCTAAAACGCATTAATAGTTGGTTGGCTCTAGTGGCTTTTCCTTTTTTTGCTTTTAGTGATGCACGACCACCCATGTTTAGGTGGCCGAATTCGATACCTGGATATTTTATGCCTAACACGAAGAAGGTGACGGAAAAAAAAAGATTATGATGATCCAGAAGGTGGAGAGCATTGCTTGGGGTCTTTCCTACATGTAGTGCTACAGCAGCGGCTAATAAAGCTATGCTAGCTCGCGCATTAGTGTAAACAAGTGATTGCGGGCTCATCGTAAAGAGGAGGGATATGGCGTTATGCAGTAGCTGGTGAGCCTTTTCCCAATCATACTTTATTATAAGAATGTTGGCGGCCCCATGTGCTAATTAAAAAGCGTTCAGATCAGGGCCCGTTAATGCAATCCCAGCTTACGATATCAGGATGATGGCTGTTGATTCAAGTCGTCCGTTTAGGTTCAAATTGCCCAAACCTTACACCGAAATTGTTTCCAAACCTCAAACCGAAATTGTTTCCAAGGTTGTATGTGTGTGCAACCCGGCCTGGATGGTTGTGAGGCGTGACGTGGGCAGCATCAAGTAACAGTCTGAAAGCTCGAAGGGAGCCAACTTTCGATCCCGCGCGTTTAGACCGCCTGCAAAGCCAATCTCCAAAGTTGCTTAGACAGGAAACATAGTTTGGGTGGCCACGAAGGATTCTATCGACTGCATCGCTTGCCGCACTAAATCCCCGATTCAAGTCGTCTATTGATCCTGTCTGATCAAATCGCAAGCCTAGCAAAACACTAAGGTTGTGTAGTTGCATCCATCGAAGCGGGTTGTCGCAAGGTGTGGCATCCACTGCTTTGTTGATCATGCTAATAGCCTGATCCATGTCATCCATTGATCCAGTCTGCTCAAACCAAACGCCGAGTACTTTTCCAAGGCTGCCTAAAAAAGCAGCTTGCTGCGCATCGTCGTGAGGTACAGCATCTACTGCATTTCTTGCAATGCCAACAGCTCGATCCAAGTCATCCATTGATCCCGTCATCTCAAATCGATCGCTGAGCAAAATCGCCAAGGAAAGAGACATAAAGGGGGAGATGTAAGGGCCTGCTATGCTTATTGCCAGCTCTCCAGTTTCAATAGCCTCTTCTAAATCTTCACGGCGGCCGTGTTGCTTGAAATCTTCATACAGCCTTGATACTTTTTCCCTTAGGCGTTCAAGTTGGATGTCAGTTGCCGGCTTTTCTCTACCCCTATGATTGCTAAGTATTATTTTGGACTTAAAATTTTGAAGTCTATAATGCAACTCACGGTTCTTCCAAAGCTACGGCTTCTATATCTTTCTCTCTGGCCTGAGACTGGCGGCCCCAAATAGTCACTGTATTTAAAAGGCTGCGTCGCCGATTGTAATCTGGATGATGTGCAGGCGTCGCCGCCGCCCACTTCTTCGCCCGTTGTTTTGCCTGCTTAAGACTTTTTATATCTTTTGACTTTTGAAAGTGCAAAAAGCATAAGTAGATGTAAAACTCGATCTGGGCATCGTTTATAGGATCCTCACGCAATTCTGCAAAGGCCTGGATATCTTCTTCGCTTAATCCATTGCAGAAAGACTTTACTTTTGCATCAATATGGAATTTTTCCGTATCCATATCAGTGAGCGACATGAAAATAAAATAATTAAAAGATGTAGTATATTCAGGGGAAGTTAAGACAGTATCTTTACAAGGAAATTAGGAATGTCGCTGGGGTCCTGACTTATATAATTATTATTCACTCCCTCCATAAGCACTAATGCAAGGAGCGTTCTCAGACAGCCATGTCTCTTAACACCCTACGCTAAATATAGATACCTACCAAGGCAAAGTTGATGCCTTACCTCATGCCCCAATATGCGTATACTTTGGCGAGTTTTATTGGGTATTTCATAACCCAAGGATTGATACCGCCTTGTAGCCTTGCTAGCAGCCTAAGACCTTGTTTAACAAGCCACCCACCCTATCCCTACTATTCTAGCAAGCCTGATTCACTATTTCATTCATGCATAGAGAGACGAAGCTGCGTCTGTGGTTTCTTTATTACATTCAGTGTGCCTTTACAGGCTTTATTAGGCATTGATTAATACCCAAGGCAACAAGGCAAAGCTACACCTTACATGTACTCTGCCATGCATTGTATCTATCTACTTATACATGTCTTAAAATTTTACCCTTTCAACTCAACACCAGAAACAATTACATCATGGACACATAAGTACTCTATACCTATTATATTCTCTAATTACACCACATCCTTTGTACTTGTATCATCTTCTGAATATGGCTGATAGTTCATCTATCTCTCGAAAGCACTGGGCGATTCGGAATCAACCACTACACTTATAAATCGCGCCTTCAAGGTATCATAAGGGATGTGTCAATAGCAACGAGTATCTCAAGGTGGGGCCCGATCCTATAAATATCTCCATGCTCACTGCGACAACGCCTCCTGACCCATCATCTCGCCTTCCGTTGGAGGATCCACACTCCTGGCCAACAAAATCAAATGTGATGGATGAGCTTGAAGAAATCATTCTAAATGTAAAGCTAGGGGGACCTTGTCTATATCCATTATTTAGGGCACGGCTTGCGCGAGAAGAGCGGCAATAAATCTGCTCAGCAGCTAGGGAACTTGACCCTCGTTCTTTTTTGAAAATGGCCAGCATGGCATAAGCTACTTCAAGGGCGAGATTCTAGCCAGCTATTTGAAAGAGATTGTGAAAAGTGGATTCCTCGTCACCGTTATTCTTGAGCATTCGGCCCGTGGAATATAACCCTGCTGCTAATGCTACCGCCCTGCCGAAGGTTGAAGACTGCTAATTGAATCCTGGGTTGGGTTTTAGGTTGCATACCAGTTACACTCTTTTACTGCAATCTCCACAGCATGTCTTTCTTTCATAGCTTATTATATCCAAGTGAATGATTTGTGGTTTTATAAAAATAGGTTCCATCTCCACCTCCTATCCTGGCATCGGTCTTGTGTTTTCTTCCGTAACTGAGTTGAACATTATAGGCTGCGTCCGCACTTACAGTAGTAGCCAGCGCCTCCTTGATATTACATGATGATATATAAACGCGATGATGGCTTCCGGCTTCTTATATATAGCGTAACTTATCATCAGCCGTTGGTTCATACACGAATCTTTGTACGTGTCTATTACTCATGATGCAAGAGATCAGACCTCAAACTCAATGTCTCTCTCCTGTTGGTCTTCTTCTCAACGTCCTTGCTATGAAACCTTTACAGAATTTTTACGCTACCGGATTAATCATAACAGTTTCTGATTCATCACTTGTTATTGACTTGCTTGTGCATAGTATTTTCCTCCCGTACCTTTTCCCCCTCTGCGTGCTAGCGAAATTGTCCGCCAAGAGGTGTGATCAAAGTCAGGCTCCTTCAGAGGCCCATCTTTATACACTAAAATTACCACCCACTGCATAGGGCCGTTGTTCACGAGATAATGTTTTAATTTTATAATACTGCAATGAATCGCCTACGAGTGTGCATGTAGTCAAAAGTAATGATAGAAGAAGATCGCCATGACCCAGCTTGAACTCGTCTTTTACCTAAAAGAAGAAACCAAAACCTTCCAAATCAAACCAGCATAAAGCCCCGAAGAGCAAACCCCCCGATCCTTCAATTGATCCGAGAGCAGGCGCGGATCATAATTCACCAATCCAACTGTTTCTTCATGGAAGAACCACGACACAGACATCGAGTCATCCTGAGTTCTCTCCCAGTATATCTTGCTCCAGCCCAGAGACAATACCCATAGTCGTGGATCTTCTTCGGTAGTCTCAGCGAATCTGATTATAAAAGGAAGCAAGTTCAAATCCACTTCCTCGTTCTTGGCTAAACTTGACTTGCCACGGCTGTGGCATAGAGCCTCATAATGCTTCTCCTTCAGAGTATCCATGGGCATAGCAAGGCCCCACAACTTGGAGTTGGTTGTTTCCCAATGGCCTCAAAATCATGTTCTCATCGCAGCCCAATATCGTACATATGATATCCTCTTATTGTGTTAGTAGGGCAGGGCAAAGCATGAGATTAAAACGCCCGGTCGTTTCTTGTGGTTGGAAACCAATCCGGAATCCACGACGGCCTCTCATAAAGGCGGCCACTTTGCTTCATGCACAGCGAGAGTGACTCTAGTCTCTTGGTCTCTAGCGGCCGTGAACGCATTTTTATACAGAAGTAACCATATTTTCAAGATTTGGTAAGAAGTCCTTGTAGTGAATTGATAAGCACTGAAAGGTAGTGTGTTATGCGATGGACAATACAAACAAAGCGAGTATATCTAGATGATGTAGTCTTGATCACGATCCGCCACCCTTTGTTTATTCATATCATTGCAATGAATTGACTATGAGTGAGTGTTGTAAAAAGTAAGAATTTCGAGCAAACAGCCATGACCCAATATGAACTCGCCCTTACACGATCCCAATCAGATGCTCATCTCCAACAATCTCATCCAACAAGAAGAATTATATCCAGCATGCCAAACATCACCCTCACAACGCAGTCCTCACCACCTTGCCCATCTCGCCCATATCAACCCGATCCACCCTCGCCTTCACCTTTCGCCAAACCGCCTCGGCCACATCCTCCACCGGCCGACTCGCATCCACCACCACCAGATCCTCCTCGTCCTGCCTCCACGACGGGCCCTCAATCCCGCCCATCTGCTGCAGCAGGTCCTGCCCCTTGATGTCTTTCCCGCCCATGCTCAGCGCCCAAAACAGCTCCCGCACCGTCCGCTGCATCTCCTCCTTTTCGTACTTTTCGCTGCCCCAGCCGCCCCGCGACCGCGCCGTCTCCTCGTCCAGGTCCAGGAAGAGCACCACGTCCGGGCGGGGCAGGCCGACGTCTGGCGAGCGCGCCCAGGACAGCGGCAGGTGCGGGTTCTTCTTTGCGGCCGAGTAGACGATGCCGGAGTGGTAGAAGCGGTCTGAGACGACGCTGATGCCGGCGGCGAGGTAGGCCCTGATTTGGGCGCTGGGCGGTGGTCAGCCTTGGCTTTTGTATATCTACATGTATGTTCCTCATGACAACTTACGCAGATTCCCAGCGGTTGGCGCTGAACAGCAAGTGAATGGCATGGTCGTCCAGTTCAACGTGGCTCTTTAAGTAGCCATCAATCAGCTGCCCAATGGCCGTCGTCCTGTCTGCACGGCTCATCAGCATCAATCATTCCCTCCTGCATGCACATGCCACCATCAGCTCACCCGGAAATCGCATCACCTTGGCCGGCCTGCCCTCCTCCACAAAGCGCTGCTCCAGCAGCTTCACCTGCGTCGTCTTGCCGCTGCGGTCCAGGCCCTCGAGCACGATAAAGGCGCCCCTCTTCTTGGTCGCGCCGCTGCCGTCCTCGCCCGCCTGGCCGTGGCTGGAGGCGGTGCCGGCGACGGCGGCGGCGGCGAGGTCGTGGATGGAGGACATTTTTCTTTTTTCCCTTTTTCGTTTCTATGCAATGATTATTTATTATTCATCTGAAGCTTCGTTCATCTCTTGCAATCCCCTTTTACGAGGTTGACTGAGCTGTCAAAGTGTCGAGAAGATGAGAGAAGAGAGAGAAAACAAGAGCTGCTGCGGTTGGAGGGGAGCTGCATGCCTGCATGAGCTTTCATCATCGCCGATAAGATTGGACGCCCGCACTGTGACGCTGTGGCTGAGAGGCCGTGGCTGGTCCGTGCATTGCTTCTCACTTCTCAGTTGTCACATTTATCAATTTACAGAGTCATGTCACACAAAAAGACGGTTAGAGTTCAAACAATACGATTAATCGTGTACGATACTTGCTACTCTGCAAAGACTCTAACAAGAACGGCCACGGACCGGCGCATCAAATCAAGCAACAACTCCTGGTATCACCAAATTCCGCACAAAAACCAGATAACGCCGCCCAGCCCTGAAAGAGAAAATAGAGGGCAAAAAACTGATGCGCCAAAGTCACGGCCTTTTTGAAGCAGGTTTAAACAAAAGAGAGGAAGAACTAATAAAAAAAAAACAGGCCAAACAGTGTCAGAGAAATATAAAAAGAGAAAGATGAGAAAAAAAAGACTCAAACAAAAGGCTCAATGCTTGCTCGCTCTTCATCCAGCGTAAGAAAGCGTACACTCATTCCCTCGTTGAAGATGCAACGTCCATTGCAAACACGGCTCCTCACGGGCTCCCACACGGGCTCCCAGCATCCTTGGCGCTGTCGCTTTCCCATAGCTCAAAGCTCTCGCCTGTGCCTTCAATGGGTTGCAGCACAGCCGCCTTGGATGATGAGTCGTCGGATCTTGAGATGAGGGCATCAATGTCCTCGTGGATCTCGAGCTCTTCCTCCTCGTCCTCCTCTACCTCTGTCTCTTCCTCTTCTTCATGAATGTTTGAGATGCTGGCGAGAGGAGCTTCCGGCTCCTCGTCATCCTCGTGGATCAGAATCACCGATGACTCATCGCAGCCGTCGGCGTAAAAGTCTGCAGCGTTCATCTCTCCCAGTGCAACCCGCTCCTTTTCAATAACCATCTCCTCGCCCTTGGGCTGGCTGGCCGGCTGGGCCGAGGTCTGAGAGACGTCATCTGGAGGGGGAATGTTCTCCTTGTCACGGCCCTCGGCACCATCCCGCTTTGCGCGCTGCTCCGTCTCCTCATCAGACGAGATGTCGAGTGTGCAGGTGCTGTGCTGGAGGAGGTTGGTCATCTCCTGCTCAGGGGTGTCCTCATGAATGTCAAAGAACCAGCTGGACTTGCTCTCAGGCTCAAGCAGGCTAGACATGGGTTTCCTGGCTGAAGGCTTGGGCGTGTACCCGGCAATGGTGCCCTTCAAGGCAGCATCGAGAGAGAAGGGGGCAGAAGAAGCCCCCATGAAGGAGGGAGGGTCCAGACGAGTAGTGCGTCGCCGGCTCGACAGCATTTTTGATCGCTTTCCATGGGTTGGTGAGCGCCCGGCTGGAGGAGGGCAGGACTTGGGCGTGGCATTTTCAGAGCCGAGCTTGCTCATGCATGACTTTGCACTGAGGATGCGTCGAGGCGTTGAAGCGGCCTTGACTGGAGCGGCAGACCGCGCAGGCGTGCTGGCCTTGGGAGTGAGAAAGAAGTTGGAGGGCTTGAGGGCGTCCTTGGAGCTGACGCCCTTGGAGCGCTTGGAGAAGAGCAGCGGATCGACATTCTCGCAGTTGTCAATCTCCAGCAGCTCAGCTTTGCGCTTTGGAGAGACGGGAGCGGCTGAGCGATGGTGTTAGCCAGATGCATTCTCTCATCAAGCCGGGCTGCCATTCTTGACCGCAAATTCATCGCACAAACATACCATTTTGTCTATTTTTGAGACTGGTTAATGATTGAAGACGGGCTCCGTCCAGGGGAGCAAAGGGCTGGCGAGTGACGGCGGCCATGATGGGCGAATTAAAAATAGCGATTCAACTTTGCGATTTTGCGATGCGAATTCGATTTGGTGCGGGATGCGATGATGCGACAAGTTGACCCAGTGAAGAGCACTTTGAATCGGTGGAGAGCAAAAACAGATGATTGATGGCAGCAGATGATGATTCACAGTAAAATAGAGATGAGTATCAATTAGTTGGAAATGAGGCGAGAAACGGCTTTTGCAGATTAATTCTTTTCTTTTTTTCTTCTTTTTTTTTTTCTGCTTGTGGTATGTATTCGCTTCAAAAAATCCAGTGTTTAGCGAAACGTCCTCTGTTTTCCCCTTGTTTTTACACCAGACTGAAAACGAACGTGTTTGGCGTGTGTTGTTGTGGCGTCTTGAGAGAGCGAGAGAAGCCTGGAATAAACAATGGGAGAAAAAAGGATGAATGAGGAGGAGGGGAGGGAATGAAGCGCGGAAAGAAGAGAAAACCAGGCCCAAGTGGGACAGAGGCTGTACTAATAAACAGTGAAGAAAACACGCCGCGAGAATGGAACGTGAAGCGAGAGCTGGGAGGCGACGGAGGGAGCGTAGCAGGGAGGGGCGCCACAGCACAGGGCGGTACAAGTCAGACGGCGCAGGGCTCCGTCGCTGGAATGTGACTGCGACACGGCTGTTTGCTGCAGAGCGACTTGGGCGCGAGGTAGCGGGGTTGGCAGCCCGCAGGTAGCGCCACACGCATCTGCAGCGGGCGAGTGACCCGCGCGCGCCATTTGCGTTCCAGCAGGCAGCGGTACTCGGCAGAGTCGCCAGTACCTGGTGGTCCGTGCGCGGGCTGGCTAAGGGAGGTACCGCAAGACGCGCCTCACACACCGACGACCTTGACTTGCGCTTTAATGGCCTGAAGGGTGGGGGGGTTTAGCAGCTTCAGGGGAGGGAGAAGAGAACTGGAGGAGGTGCAGTACAAGACAGAGGGATTTACAACAGGGATGCCCATTTCGAGGATGATGCAGAAATGCGAAAATCAATGCGAAGCGAAGCTGCAGGGCAAAAAAGGGCGACAATCCAAGATTTCAGATCACTTCAGCATGGCGAGCTGCAAGACAAGACAAGACAAAGTCGAGGCAGACTCGCGCATCCGCATCCACTCCACTTACACGAAAAATCTCGATCCCCATATCAGCCCTCATTTAAGCTCTGCCGGGGGCACCGCACTTTACGCGCGACTCTGCCGCCAAACTGTCACGAAAAAGCAACCCGCGCTGCAAGGACCCAATGGACGCGCGGGGATGCGCTGCCGCCAGGGGATGCGCCCTGGAGCGGATCCCTGGTTGGTGATGCAGAGGTGCATGAATGGCGGGACGGGTGGGTTTGGCGGGATGGAGGAGATGGAAGAGCTAATGAGAGAGCTGGGACGCGAGGTGGACGCGATGATGGCGACCCAGGAGGGTTACAGCGTTGCATGGTGGATGCAGCAGATGTGGCTATATTTATCTTGATCTTGATTCTTGGCGGGAGCGAAGATGAAGAGTGGTCATCGTGACGATGCAGCCTTTGTGTAAGTGACATCAATCTACATGTCCTCATGCATAGATGCGCTGCAGATGGACCTCGGCGTCTGCGATGCTCTCGCTCAGCCTACCGCTAGCATCATCAATTTCAGCTTCATCATGTCAAGCCACTTCGGCTTGCCCCGACGCCAAACCGACGCGTCCATCTTACACCAATCCAATATCAACTCTCCACCAGTCGCACCAAGCAGATGCATCTCCCGCAGCCCGACCGTTGATTGGCCGCAAGTCCCGTCTCTACAGCCACTGCAGCTTCAATCCCTGCCCTGGCAATTCTGCCTCATCTGCTCTGCTCATTCTGCAAAGCCTAATGGACTTGTGCGACATGCGGCACGGCATTCTTGCTGCAATTGCCTGCATGGGCACAAGTACCTGGCGTCTGATACATGACTCTCGGCAAAAGGGCAGCACGATGAATCTCGAGTTTCAGTTTCAGCTCAATCTAAACCATGGCATCCCTCTGCGAGTCTGCGTTTTAAAATGCTTGCATATTGCTGTAGCACCATTGCCATTGCAAGCCTCGTCCAACCTCTGATATCCAATCCCCCTGCATCCATAGACGCCCTCGACAGCAATATCAAATATCAATGGATAGAATACAGCGACAGCACCACCTAAGCGCTGCCCTTTTGTAGCGCCAGCTGCTGGTCCACCAACCCGCCCAGCGTCTCGCCCAGCGGCCGCCACCGCATGCCCAGCACCGCATTGTCCACCCGAAACGGCGTCGGCCCATCCTCGTCCAGCCTCGTCTCCAGCTGCGGATACGCCGCCCTCACCCACTCGCCAATCTCCCTCCAGCTCGTCGCCGCGCCCGAGGCCACCAGCTCAGCCTCGCCCGGCTTCACGTCTGCCGCAGCCGCCTTGAGGCACAGGTCGGCCACGTCCCGCACGTCCACAATCACCGCCGGGAACAGCGGCGCCGGCAGCTGCAGCGACTGCCAGAACCAGGCGTTGATGCCGTCCAGGTCCGAGGCCGTCTTGCGCACCAGGCTGGGGCCCAGCACAAACGTCGGGTGGACGGTGATGAGCTGAAAGGCCGGTTTGTGCTCTGCGGCCCAGTCCAGCGAGGCCTGGTGGGCGACAATCTTGGAGGCCACGTACATGGTGCCGTTTTCGCCCTTGCCGCCGGGGAAGACCCTGTCGAGGTCGATTTCGTGTCGCTTGCCGGTGTTGGCTGCTCGCTGTTAGTGATGGCTGCTGGCTGATGCAATTTGTTGCAGTGATTATGCATGCTCCCTTTCCATACATCACCAACATGCATGCAATCCTGGACTCACCTGCCACAAACGTGTCTGTGTTGCGAAACAAGTCCACCGGGCCAATGCCCAGAATCGAAGACATGACAATCACCTTGTCGATGCTGCCCACCTTGTTGGCACTCTCCAGAATCGACAGCGTTCCGTTGCGTGCTGGCTCGAGATAGTCCTTCTGCAGATCTGCTCCCTTGCCAGGCATGGGCGATGCCAGATGGAAGACGACCTTGACATCGTCCAGGGCTTTGTCGAATGCCCCGGCCACTGAAATGTCAGGCACCACCACAAACTGCAGCCTTGAGACATCCTCCTGGAAGATGCCCTTGAGCGTGTCAATCTGCTCTGCCTTGCGGACGCTCACTCGCACGTTGTAGCCGTCCCTGAGCGCGGAGGCGACAACCTGTGAGCCAATGAAGCCCGTTGCGCCGGTGACAAAGGCAAGATTGGACATGATGCGTAGATTCCAAGAGTTATAATTACAATAACGTATTTGTTTTTGACGTTGCACTCATAAAATAATGCTTCACCCTGTTCATATATAATAAATCTGCTCTACATCACGTACAAGTGCATCACTAATCGCCCGTCTCTATCAACAATACCGATTTTGTAATCAAACAACGATCACTAATCAATAAACCAACCAGACAAATCTCCATTTATAACCCTCTTCTGCACCTCCACGCCAACATCTACGCCCGACGATTGGGCAATTACCTCACCGCCCCGACTCGACTTCCTCGGCCATTAGCGCTGATTCATCCTCCTCCACCCCGAGTCATGATCCTATCGCCAAAGGTTGTACAACAACGGAAACTATCTGCGTGCTGTGATGCTTATATACTCATCGATCCTCGGCCTCTTTCCTTGCACGTTTCTTTCCGAGGTATTAGTGTAACTGCACACAGGATCGAAAGGCTCACATACCTCCTGAAAATAGCAATTTCCTGAAATAGCAATTTTATGATTAGTAGTGTATCAAAATGCCGAGATGATGCTGTATTCGCCTTTCAATGCTAGTCATCTGGCCCATAGATGCAGACAATGGCCCCGTTTCGGCATAGCCAAGCGTTAGGATCTTATTCGAACAAGTCCAAAGCTATAGTGCTGATTCCTTGCGGACTTATAAAGACTGTAATGCCGCAACATGAAGTGAATAGTGAATACTTATAGTCACCAGTCGCCATCTTCTCGCTGCAATTCTGAGTTCCCAACACTCATCAAACACTTGCTTACACTTCACTTACATCTCCAACAAACCGCAAACATGCCTCACTGGCTCATCTACCACCCCCCCTCCGTCTATCAGGACACCGAGTCCAAAGACTCCCTAGCCAAAGCCATCACCGCCTTCTACACCGGCGTAGGCATGCCCGCCTTTTACGTCGTCGTCCAGTTCATCGAGGTGCCCTTGACCAGCACCTACATCGGCGCCCACACCAGAGACGCCAGCGACAAGCCCTTTATCCGCCTCGTCGCCACGCACATTGCGCACAACTACCCCAACGACGATGCCGTGATTCGTGCGGCTGGCGAGAAGTTCAACAAGCTGCTGACGGCGGAGATTAAGCCCCTGGGATATGACTGGGAGTTTCACATTGCCGAGACGGATAGGCGGTTGTGGAAGGTTAATGAGTTTACGCCCCCGGAGAGACGGACTGAGGGGGAGGCGCTTTGGGTCAAGGAGAATAAGCCGGTGCCTTATTGATAGATGTCCCGGGATTCAGAAATACGTTTTTGACAACGCAATACTCCATACTGCTTCTCTTGACCCATCTCGGGCTATATTATCTAGTAGCTGGTCATAGCCAATCGTTGAACATCACGTATCCTGTATTATATGATATCCATCACAGATAGCCGTGTAATCTATTCATACGTACCAGAACTCAATCATATCAGCCCTGTCACTTCCGTTTTGCTTGTAAAGTGAGTATCGAGTCTAATTGCAAGCAGCAAGAATACATGTACCTGGCCTCCCTCTACAGCATTTTTAACCCTACAACAGGCTATCAGTTACTTATTATTGCTGCCTCACTTCATTCTCAAATCTATTCGCAACAACCAAAATTAGATGAGTCCTCCTATTTGCACCGTAACATATTCCTACAGTATTTGAACCGTAGTGGCCTAAAGTGGCCCGTGCGTTAGAATTTTCTAAAGTGTTAATTATTTTACAGAATTATTTGAATAGCAATAGGATTTTTTTAAAAATTTTTTTAAAAACTTATTACATAAACTTTACTATATAAATTATATATAAATAATTCTTTTTAATTATATAACTTTAAAATAGCTATAATATATAGGTTTAAAAAGTGAAATTTTAAAATAAGATTTTCTTTATTAATTTTTGATTATATAAGCTAAAACTTTAAAATTAAATTTTTACTTATATAAAATATATAAAAACTCTTTATGCACTTATTTTAAATAATATATAGTTAGTAAAATCTATAAGTAAAATTTTTATTAATTTTCTTAGCTTATATATATATTAAAATAAAATTAAAAAAAAGTTTTATATAAATTAAATAAGGCTTTATTTATATATATATTTTTATAATTTTTAAAAAATTTACTTATTATACTATAGGTATAAGAAAACCTTAGTGGTTTTGGAAAATTGTAGTGCACGGGCCACTTAGCGCGGTGCACAGGCCACTACGGTTCAAATAGGAATATGCTATGGTGCAAATAGGAGGACTCAATTAGATTATTAACATCACTTGATTGGTTCATTGTGGAAAAAAAGTGGTGACCTATCACGACTGATCGTTTCGTCCAGCCGCACTCTTCACAGCATTTTTCACTCTCCCCGAGGCCTACATTATAACAGATAATGTCACTTGATTGGCTGCTGGCGACTTAACATTTTGCCTTTTTTTGACATGTCCACAGCCTTCGTACTTAAACTAGATACCTACCTCTTAGTCGGACCTAAACTCCTAACTAAACGACACATATCACAACCACTAGAGTTAAAATCCACTCGGAGGTTAGAAAATGCTTGCTGAATATGTATCCCATCTCTTCATGAAAGCATCTTTCCAGGTTCTGTCTTGGACGTTCTCAACCTCATGGCTTACACATCTGTCGCCCGAGGCCCCACATCTTTTAGCTTCCGCATCTCAGCCCGGCTCCAAAAGAGGCCACAAGCTTCCGCACCATCTCTCTCTTAGCGGCCATTCTGCATACCGTTTGCCATTTGCAGAAATCAACATGTCGAACCAAACGAGTCCTTGTGTGTTTATATGTGTGATTCCAAAGAATATGTTCCCTCAAGCCTATACAATAGCTGGATTAATCAGCGAAATTTGGATAAAGGATTTACAAGCACTGAGCCCTTCTACTTGATTCTAAGCATCTTTAGTTCTAGGCACCTGCGAGTCCTCAAAGAGCTTGGTTACGTGTATTAAACTTAATTCGCCATATCATCTCTCGCATCAAATTAGACTCTTGCTATTACTTATTAAGAAGAATATGCCGATTCTTCATCAGACTTGCCCGCGCAGCTATATAACGCCTCTGCCATCACAACCAGACTCTTATTCTATCCAAGGTCCCACAGCCGTTACCGTGAGTCGTGCTGTATCTTGCCGGGGCCTACCTTACGCTTCATCTTTTCTTTTTCCGCTATACTTCATACACGTACCGTAGAGGTTAAACGCATCAAACATGGCGAAACCATTCTAGTGGATGAAATCAGTGTTGATGGCGTGTCTAAAGATGCCGCCCGTATCAGAGTTGCACGAAACTTGAAGGCGGCCTAGTTGTAACATGTGCTTGCCGCCAAAAGAGCGAAACTCGATATTAACGCCTGATTTTCTCTATTCTCCTTACGATACAAGTTGATCATGACTTCATCCCCATCACATGATATCAGCATTAGTTCTGTTAATCTACCAGGCAACTCGCCAAGCTCGCTACCAAACAAAACTTGCAATGGGCTTCAAAAGCAGCTAGCGCCCAAGTTGCCGAGATGGCGACAGTTGACAACTTGACTAGGAAGTTACCAGGTACAACAAACCCGTCTCAATTCTACAGCAACAGTTATCATTAATCAAAAGCACTAAATCTCAACATTTCACAACACGAGCAAGCCCTCCGCTAAACAACCAACTCATCATGAGACTTTACAAGGATCCGCTAATTAGTCCCCCCAAAAGCATGCTTTATGCTTATTGGCTCCAAAACTAAAAGCTCTTTGCAACGGTTTCTATTTTTACACCAGTTCCGCATCAAAAGAGGTTAAAAAAGGAAATCTCACTCATCCCCGGTCTAGTTCATTGCCCACCGCTTAATGTGACAAAACGCTCATCATATAATATGAAAAGAGCCTCATTTCATCGGCGGGCCCACCGCTTCAAGCAACCCAACTCTTCTCAACGTCTTAAGAAAACTCATCTCTCACGAATAACCCTTCACAAGTAAACTGGATAGCGCAACATGTCCAAAAAAGTCTCCTGGCACGACCAAATCCTCCCCCCTCTCAACCACTCCAACTCGGAAATCCGCGTCCTTCAAATCAAGCCCGGATTCCCAGACTCCCCCATCCGCTGCACATTCCACGTCACCTCTCTCGACAACCTAGACGTCTCCTACGAGGCGCTGTCCTACGCCTGGGGAACCGACAACCAAAACACCACTCACGAGGACATTTACTTTGGAGACGATGATGACGACACCAACAAGGTCGGCGTCACCCTTCCGCTGGCCAATGCTCTCCGCCAGCTGCGTCTGTTGAATGGGCCCCGCCACGTTTGGGCCGATGCGCTGTGTATCAACCAGACAGATAATCACGAAAAGTCCCTTCAGGTCAGCATCATGGGCCGCATCTACAGCACCTGCACGCAAGGCGCCATCTGGCTCGGGCCCCTGGGTGAGGTGCCTGAGGAAGATGCCCAGGCAGCCCTTGACACAATTTCCTGGATCGCTGGCGAGCAAGAGGCTCATTCGTGGATGGAAGTCAGCGACAGTGAGGAGGATAGCGAGGAGGAGAATGATGAAGATGAAGATGAGGATGAGGATGCAAACAGTGATGAAGATGAACAAGATGAAAGTGAAGACGACGACGAAGACAACGACGACGACGAGAGTCAAGACTCAGACCACAAAGCCTCCGCCCTCAAACGACAAACCGCCGCCGCCGCCTTCAAAACGCTCTTCCACCTCCCCTGGTGGTCCCGCATCTGGACCGTCCAAGAAGCCATCCTCCCCCCCCTCGCAACCCTCTACTGGGGCCCCTGCCAGATCCCCCGGTCCACCCTCGCCAAGGCCGCCGACAGCTTCTTCGACGACTCGGCCCCAAACGTCCCCGACGAGTTCTGGCGCAACGCCGCCATCGAGAGCCTCACCGTCGCCCTGCGCGGCCTCGGCGCCTCCCGCGACGAGGAGCTCTTCATGCTGCTCTGGCGCTGGCGGCACCGCAAAGCCACGGACCCGAGGGACAAAGTCTACGGCCTGCTGGGCTTTCGGCACGACGTCTCGCTGCCCTCGGTCAAGACGTGCGATTACACCGTCGACGTGCGCACGCTCTACCACAAGGTGACCATCGACCTCATCAACATGAGCACCGATCTCCAGCCCCTATTGGGCCGCGGCGGCGAACGCTCCGAGATCCCCGGCCTCGCCTCCTGGGCCGTGGACTGGGACGGCGTCAGGGACCCCTCGATGAGCAGCAAATGCAGCTTCTGGGACCATTACCACTGGTGGCACTATGGCGGCTTCACTGCTGATCGCGGCATGTACGGCGTCGGCGAGGGCTTGCGGGTCCAAGGCGACGACGACGTCCTCCGCGTGACTGGTCTCCGAGTAAGCAGGATTGACATGGTAGAGGACAATGTCCCAGAGGAGATTGAAGTGCCAGAGGAGGTCTCAGTCGCGGCACTCTACCGGCTGTATGGCGACCGATGGGGCGAGCTCATGGCCCGGTATCATGAGCAGTTTCCCGACAAGCTCTTCAGCGGCGGCATGGTTGCTTTCCTCAGCTTAATCACCGGTAATCTGGTGGCAGATGGTTCCGAGGATAACAACGAAATTGCCGAGTGGGTTCAGAAAATGCTTCGCACTCATATTCTCTTCATTACCGACGACGGGCGGCTGGGACTGGGCCCGCGAAATGTTCGCCCAGGACAAGAACTGTGGATTGTGGGCGGGTGTAGAATACCTCTAATATTGAATCCTCTGCCCAAAGCATCAGACAAAGAGTCTGAGGTGAGTGTGACATTTCATAGCGAATGTTTTGTGTATGGGATCATGTCAGGAGAGGCATTAGAAGGCAGAGGAGACCAGGTAATAGAAATCCTGCTCCGGTGAAGACTGACAGCACTTGATAGAGGCCAGTTTCACGTGAATAGCAACAAGAGCGAGCGACATGTTGAGCGTGTAAAAATATCTGATATCACTATCTGTAATCTATAATGCCAAGTCAACACACCCACAACTCCTATTCCGTGCTCCAACCGTCTTTACTGCCCAAGTTGATGAAGTCGAGTAAAACTTGCAATGGAATTCATCACTTGACCAGCCTCTATATGATGCCCCGATCCACCAGCAACTGCATGAACAATAGCATCGACCTGCGTAGAATTTGCGAGAGGGGCGTCCAAGTAGAGCTCGTGGGAGTCTAGCGAGCGATGGGGGCTGTCCACTGTGAGGAGGGCATTGGCCTGAAAGAAATGAGCAACGCCAACAGCAGGGGTTTCTGGGACAACGGGATCCTACCCAGTCTCGTTCTTCACAGGCACTGGTCGCGGTGATGTGGCCCCCAGGTCGTGAGGAGTAGGCACGGTAAGAGCCGCGCTCTCCAGGTCGTCGCCAAGATCATGATCATGCTGTTTGGCTGTGCTCGCCGTGGCAAAGTCGTCTTCCAAGGTGTGCATAGGCCGTCGGATAATGGCCCTAGGGGGCAGGGGCTGGGCATTGGCTTGCAAAGTGTATTGATACGGATTACCTTGGACTTGCCCGGGGCTGGCCTGCACACGAGGAGCGGCCTGTGGACGAGAAGCGGCCTGTAGACGAACTGCTGGAGTAAGCTGCGCTTGTTTGATGGGATAGGCCATTGGATCGTAGCAGATATACTGCGTGTCGTCCACCTTTTCGCCTTGATTGCCACCTCGGGTTTGCTCGCGGAAGATGATTTCTCCTTCAGCTCGCACAAGGGTCCGACGGGGAGAGCAGCAGGCATCACAATAGTCTTGACAATCATCACCGTCAATGCCGTAGTATCTGCGGACGGACTTTTGCAGCGAACCCAGGCAAAAAGCGTAGACTACAGACATTGTCAGTGTGCTTGCGTCCTTGGTTGAAGCTGGTATCGACAAGACATACATGGAAACCCTAGTGCAAACCCGGCGCAGTCGCAATTGCAATTGCGAATCTCGGGTATGTTGGTGGCATCGCGGCCACTGGCGGCCATCTCCAGGCGAGTCCACGTCCGCGAGTAGCTGTAACAGCAGCAAAAGACGCTCTCCGAGGGGCATCCAAGGCAGCAGGCGGCGGCGGCATCGTCTCTGCCCCAGACCCATGGGGTTTGTCCCCCTTGTAGACGAGCATTGTCGACGCCATGGACGAACTTGAGGTTGTTTGGGAAAGAGTTTATGCGAGCCTGCAGGTCACCGGATCCAGGGAATGGGCACATTTTGACGAGCTGCTGGTTGATCCATACTCAACACGCAGACGGGAAGCAGCTGGATGGGAACGGCAGGGCTCAAGAAGACGGGAGTAGCAGCAAGTGAAGTCAGTGCAGCAAACGCAAAGCTGGAAGATGAAAGAGAGCGGGAGCTGAATGGCCAGAGCTGGCGAATAACGATGATGCTGGGGACAGTTGAGTTGATAACGAGAGCAAAAAATGTGGTGATGAAGCGATGATGGCGATGGTGAAGAAGAGAAAAGCAGAAATTGTAAACTGAGTAGAAAACAACAACACGCCTACAGTCTGTTGAGGCGAATTAGGCGAGAGGAAGTGGCGCCTCATAATTGAGGCAGTCGAGATGCTCTTGGCACTGGTTGCCCAAATGACGAAATGCAATGTACTTGCTGTGTACTTGAGTTGTGGCCATGAACAGTATATCGCGATAGGTAGCTGCCAAGTTTCGATGCTCAGACCGCACCTACACTCGCTAGACCTGGCCTGTAGCAGTTGTACGCTTTATGTCGTTTATATTTCGTAGATGCGAAGAAGATGAAAGAAAAATGAAAGCTGCATGTGCCTCTACTCCGCCAACAGCATATTCAAGACGTTACAGTAGTATAATGATTCTCGCATGCCTCGAATCTGCAAAGACAGTTACGCCGACTGCGGCTCTCAGACAGCAAATTGACTCTCAAACGACTGAGACATTGTAGGGTCCAGCTGAGACTATGGAGCACTCGAGATACAGTTGTCGGTGAGATGAGATGCTGTCTCGGTTTCTTTGTTGTTATCGACAGCATGAGCACAGCTACAGAATAATGACTCGGGTCTGTACAAGGCAACCAGGCGCTGAGGGGCCGAGATCCGGCGGAGAGCAGCAGCTTCGCTAGCGACAGCCACTGGTGGATTAATCGCATGTACTTTTGCTCCCACAGTGACAGACGCTGAGTACGTGTCTCATGGAAACAAAGACGCGCAAAATGGCGCATGCATGTCACTCTATTGATGTAGAAGCGACGCTTTCCCATCACAAGACAAAGTTTCTTTGCGCACTAAGCAGCCACATCTCGATAGTCGGCGATGCTAACAGGCCTTAGCAGCGCCTCTAGCACATCTCGAGCCTGGAACAAACTGCCGAAATGGGCACCTCAAAACGCGGGGATTGGGCCACGGGCATCCACACCTGGCGCCACGGGCCACGCCACAGAGCGTCTTGAAACCCGGGCCATTGAGAGTCGAGCCCCTGAGCAGGAGCAGTCAATGACTCGCCCGGGGGATGGTTGTTGAGGGCTTTGGTCTTTGGTTGAGTTGAGTTGAGTTGAGTTGAGCAGACACTATAAACTGCAGTCTGTATGGCAAGCGTCAACCGATCAAGACTGCGTTGTGATGATCGGACCCAAGAAGTGATGCCACGATTCGTGCAGAGTGGCCTGTGTGCCAAGCGCGTATCTCCATGTCGTCAGTCATTTAACTGGCAGCGCTTCGTTATCAAAGGCCAGTGGCGATCCGCATGGGTGGCCAGGGGCTGCTTGGCTGATTCAGGGGGAAGACGGGAAAAACATGGTAAGAAGAGAGAACAAGAGAAGATGAAGAGAAACATGCAGCTGGCCAATCGTGTCTGTCGCCACGGGTGAATGAAGAGCAGCCCTCAAGCCATGCAGCGTTCATGCAGCCACCCTTCACAAAGCCAGCGATCCGTTGCACGAATGCGATGCGAGCCAATCTGTGCTACATGACTAAGGGCACGGGCAGCGCCGAATGGATACAGCCTCTAGCAGCGCTCTAGCACAGCGCCAGAGCGAGAGGGACCGTTCGTACTCGCAAATGGCGGGAGGCGAATGCAGATGCCAGGCACTCGGTCCAGTAGCAGCACGGCAAACGCGCGTGGTCGTCCAGGATCTGGGCCGCAGTGAAGGGGAGGATCCTGGGCCTGGGAGATGGCAGCGAGAAACCGGCGGGGACGAATTGGTGGTTCGCATCTGATGTGCTGATGTCAGGGCTACGTTGGCACGGAGGACATCCTCCAGCATTGCAAACGAATCTGTACATCTGCTCCGTCCGTGGCGCGAATGGCCGTGCCGATGTTGCGAGGTAGCGTTATCTGGGCATGATGCCATGTCGCATCGCCATCTGCAGCATCTGTTGAAACGAGTTGGTGTATTCGTACTCGCCAAGGGGGGGGGCCGAGACATGTGGAAGAAGACGAAGGAGGAGAATAAAAAAGAGAGACAGTTGGGCAGTGCTTGTGTCACGCTGCAGAAGCATCACATGCACCTGATATGAGATCTTGATAGCATCTGCTTCACTGTCTGCTCTGTTGTTGCACAGCACTGTCCCATTCCAACGCCTGCCTGTACTGTAAGCAATCACCACAAGTCCAGCACTCTGGGTCAAAGGAAATCAGCCATCATCTGCTTTTCTCATGCGAGCCAGGCCCATGCCCGCGCCAAATCCTTTCATCTGGGCACGTTTCGCCCCCCCATCCCTGCAGACGCCCCAAAAGCCCGCCCCTGTAGCTGCACTAGTGCTGCTCGCATCTGGTGCTTTCGCAGCACTAGCAGCATCGGCTGCGAGCTGCTGCAGGGCACCAAGCCCACTAAAGGCAGAGACCCAGGCGGCCCAGGGGCGCTAAACGTGGCGGAAGGCCGACCGTTAGTGGGCGCTGCTAGTGCCGTTCTAGGCCCTGCATGGCCCGAGCGGCACCTACGTTGGGCGCGCAATCTCGCTGGCCCTGGCTGCAATTACTTTGCTGCAGGAGAGGATGAAGCGAGCTGTGATCGATTGGTATCTGTACCTGATGTGCAGACTGGCGAGGGCAGCAGAGCAAGGTACAGCAGACAAGGCCAAACGGACAAGTGTACAGTACCAACCAAGGCTTGTGTGCACTAAATCATCTGCTGATATACGAGCAGGATACCTGGCGAGCTGCAGACTCCCGCTGCGAGACAGCGTACTCTCCAGGTACTTGTGGACTGCTGTCTCTGCCAGCTGCAAACGCTCTGCTTCTTGTTTGCCCCGTCCGCTAATGCTAGCGCCAAGCACCACCTGTACCTGCACCCATCCTTGCCCTGTACCCCGTACTTGTACGACGCCCGCCAGCAGCTGCAGAGGCGCTGTATCTCCTACCAGCTCAGCTCGCCTCCCTCTTTTCCAATATCACTGCCGCTCTCGCTCCTCCTCGACCTCTCCACGATTCTCTCATTCTCGGTAGCTCGAGCTGGATCCAGATTTCTTTGTTCTTGCACAAAGAATTTCATCTGAGCAATCAATTTGCTTACCTTCTCGGCGCAACGACTTGTTATTTTTCTGCTCCAGAGGTCCAAGCTCCCGCAAATGTCCAGCATCTAAATATCGATTCCCTTCATCGTGGTTGCATCGCACCACGTTCTCTCCTTCTTCTCTTCTTCAGCCATTGCCGCAGACTTTCAGCACTGCTGCATATTCTCTACGCCACCGGAACACCTTGACAACTTGAGTTTCCATTCCACTCCCCACGACCGACATTGCGCAATCTCCATTCAAACGTTGTGCCACGCTACTCAGAGGTATGATTTTCCGTATGCGTCCACATCATATGGCGCACTCCTCGTGACATGCAAACTGTGGCTGCAGTCGGGCACTCTCCATACAATTAGATTTTGCGCCCTTTCGACTGCCCGCATTTTAACGCAGCCTTTCTTATCGTCTCATTCCTCTTCTTAATGCAAAAAGCTAATATTCCTCCTAGACTCTATTCCTTGGATACTCTGTTTGCTCGCCTGCTCGATTCTCGAAATCGCTTGGCCTGACAAGGCTCGTTCTCATTTGGCCACTCCTCACACAACTCCTCAACCCCTCGCCATCTCTATTCGCCATCATGTCTTCTCTCGACCACAAGAGGCAGTCTACTTCCAGCGTTGTCCTCACGACCGAGGTCACCGTCGAGGTTTCTGTGCCCGCCAAGGCGCTGACCCCTACCGTGGGCGTCTATGCTGTCCCAACACATGCCAGCTCCGTCACCAGCATCACATCCAACCCGCACTCGGAAAAGACAACAACCAACCCCTTTGACGCAGACATTGAGGCCCTGAACTCGCACAGCTCTCTCGACAAGTCGGGCCGGAAAAGCATGACCATGGATGCCGCCGCCAACTGCCCTGTATGGCCCGGAAAGGACCACTGGAAGAAGCAGGCCAAGCACGCCAAGATGCAGCGCACCCGCTGCACCCCGATGGCCAGACTGAGCGCGCGCAACAAGATCATCTGCAAGATCCTCATCATTGTGTTAGTCGTGGGAGCCGCCGTCAGCATTGGCCTTGGTATCAGCAAAGCAGTGGGCGCACCCGTTTGGGGCAGCAAGAAGTCAGACTGAACGCAAACATGATACTGGCGACGATGCAGCCGACCACGAAACACACCTCCTTTTCTCTCAAACGCCTTATGTACAACGACAAGAATCAAGCCTCTATGAGTACCGCACACCACTACCGCACACCGCACACCTCCAAGACTCATGTCTCCATCAAACGACGAATCTGATCTGGCGTCACCTGCTAGCATCAATCTATCCTCTCTAATGGCCTTGTATTGTGTACATGACACCATACTTTTTCTTCCATCTTGTTATCTTCTTCTTTTTCTTCTCTTTCTTCTTTCTACTTTTGTTCAATTTGTTCGTCTTTAATCGTGTATTGTCGTGTGAAAGCGACGGCATAGAATTTCATATCATAGCCGGGCGTTAATGGAGTTGTTGATTTCAGCCCCAATGTTTGGAGCGCAACTACGGTAGAGATGAATGCAGGAGGCAAACTGGATGGAATTACGCCTCTTGTACGAGTGCCAGCCTCGGATGCGAGTTTTGTTTGCCAGTTTACCTAGATAGAGGGATATCTGCTTGAAGCACAGAAGCCGGTAATAAGCCGGCGACTCTGTGACCCAATACTATCAAATGCGAGATGATGCTGCCTATGAAACATGCAGATGATTTTTACTTTCTTTGTTGCGTATGCCTGTGGCTTGTGCTCCCATGGTTTTGTGACTGGTCTTTTCTGGTTGGGATGGCGCTGAAAATGAGGTTACATTGCGCACTGACCCCGGTAAGGGGCTTGCTTGCGTCTGCTGGTAATACGACGTTGTGATACGACCATTTTGCAATTTTCGGCAAATGCTGTCGCTGGGATAGAAGATGGAATTTCACGGAACAATGAGAACGGGAGCAGGAGCCAATTGATGCAGCGGGATGCAGAGCCCGAGCCTGATTGTGGTGTTTTGCATGTGACGATATCGTTTGGCCGCATGCAGCAAACAGACGGCACCAACGTATTTGGTACTTTGTACTTTCTTGTACCAACACTGCACTTGGCTGGAAACTCATTCACGCGAATAAAGAGTACGACAAACATGTGCATATAAATTGGATATCAAAATATAGAGCAGGTCTGCAACAGTTTGAAAAAGTCAAAATGCAGGTGTCGTCCAGGAATACACGTATAGAAATAATTGCCGAAGACCCAAAGCCTTGGAGTGCCCTGAAAAAGAGGACCTGGGCGGGCGTATACACGTATTCTCGGCGGAACCAGGAGGCCGCTATTGGTGGGAGTGGATGCAGGGATCTAGATTGGCAGGGTACGTACTTGGCTGTATGTGGTTATCGATACGATGTACTTACTATACGATTATGATATAAGATGGGCAGTGGTGAGAGAGCAGATGCAGAGATGGCGGTTTATAGAGGGAGATGGGAAATGTTCTGGGTGAAGTCGGATATATAAACCGAGGGAAGATACAGGCCAGTTGCCTGACGGATCATTCGTCCACCTGTATTTGTATGCCAAGTTACTTGGTATGCAGCAACATATGCCAGGCATCATCACGGAATATCGATACAGATCTTCTATTAAATTTGATTTATGGAAGATTTCATCATTCTTATATTCTATTCGCATGCAACTAAATCCATTCACATCAATGGCTCGATACATGCCGTGACAGCTGCCATGGAAATAGGCAAGAGGGCTGCCGGCCTCTCCTGCCAGCTGCCAGCTGCGCAACGTCATCAGGCGACGAAAAAGAAAAAACCTGATATTTTCCATCCGATTCTAAAATTTCAGAATTTTCCTTGCTCATACGCGTTTCTTGATTCTCCAGCGTAAGTCAGTCACGCTCCCCCAAAGCCTTTTCTCGCGGGAGCAACTCCAAGCTGGCCATCGTCGGCAGTAACTCTCTTTGATTTCTCGTCAACTCTTTTCTATAATCTTCTAAGATCTATCAAATTCAGAGAAATTCTGGTCATTCACCCATTTGTCTGTTCAAACCCGATATCGGCACTTCATCATCATGGCTTCCTCAGACGACGAGCACAAGTCCTCCTCCGTCTACCTCGTCATGGCCATCATCCTGGCTGTTCTCATCTTTCTCAACGTCCTTCTCGGCGTGGTCTATCTCCTCATTCCAAAGGAATGCTTCGACTGTCAAGGTGCTATTTATCGTCGACGAGCTGCTGCGGCTGCGGCTGCTGCTGCTGCTGCCGCTGCCGCCGAAGATGTCGGTAGATTCTATCACCAAGCTCACCGCGGCCCTCATCATGGCTATGAAGCGAGATCCATCTACATCTCCGGTTCTCAAGGACAGCAGGTTACCATCATCAACGGCATTGTCGAGGTGGATGACGAACTTGACCCGTGGGCCTACTGGGCTACTGATTCTGAAGAGACTCTACACGGAATCTCTCTCAACACCGCCCAGCCTCAGTATCAACGTCAAAGCCATTACGATATGCACGGCGACGCCGCCATCGCAGCTAGAACTACGCCTACCGTCAATGCCATGGTCTCTGACTACGACTATCGTCACAGCTACGAGCAGGATGCTCCGGAAATGCAGCTCACCTCTGACGGCCTCGTCACCAGAATGCCCAACGAGGGAGGCCTGATCCTCGACCTGGCAGGATACGACACCCAGTCGCCCATGGAATCCGTACCTGAGCGCGCCGTCGTTCGCCCCCCGCTTGCTCGCAACATTGACGTCTATCCGCCTCCGCCGCACACACCTTCGACTGTTCGCACCTGGGGAAGAGATAGCGACGCTACTATTCGTCCTGTGGTGGAGAGTCCGCGCCGCGAGGTTGCTGGAGCGAGAGACAAGAGGTACAGCAGACTGGTGCAGGGCGAAGACTGTCTCTAAGGAGATGTGTGAGAAGCGAGGGGAAACGTATTCTTCCCGGCAAGTGTCTATTAGCAGAGATGCGTATACGGAGAAGAATGTCTCTGAGGTGACAGGAGGAACAAGGATAAAGGCGGTTTTACGTTGATTAGTTCATCATGCGTATTGATTGGCCCACTCCAGTCATGTTAACGAGGCTGAAGGACAGGACGTTATGAAAACATTGAAAAAAAGGGACAAAAAAAAAGGACAATCTCATCACTTTGCGCAAGGGAAATTGTAGTCTGAAGGAGAGATCGGATGGTTCAAACAGTTAGCTTATGTTACTGCACATGTACGGAATATACAACAATTCGAGAAACGACGCTTCTCTGCTATCCTGCTACGTGAAGACGTGGTGTATCATGGTTCCACTCACATGCGGTTGGAAAAGAAACACGTTACACACGTATGAACATGAACATGAGTGTAAACATTCTTCATAGGACCATCACATTAAGTTGAAAAAAGTATAGGAGATGGATAGGAAAAAAGATCCTGGCCCAGCCAATATCCTCCTCTCCAACCCGATACCTATGCATCGCATTGATCCATCTCCGTCCCTTCATCCTAAGACTCGTAAAAAAAAAGGGCCACAGCACTTTTGTGTCTAAGAAAGTAAGAGAGGCACTTTGCAAAAAAAAAGAAAAAAAAGGCCCTTTTTTCTTTCTTTCTAATTTCTCATTTATTTGCCCTTCCCATCGAGCGCCATTTCAAATAGAGGTCCCTGTCAAAGAAGAAAGAAAAAAAAAAGGAGAACGGAGCAGAATACAAAAGAATATAGTTTAAAAAAAAGATAAAAAAAAAAGCAGCACTGTTTCTCCCTCCGTACCATTGTAGCATTCTTCCAAAATCCAAATCTTAGTAGTAGTAGTGTTAGTTAGTCAGGGGTAGGTGGCGTCGCTCCCACACCATGTGCGCCTCAATAAGCCATCGCCGTTTACTTCCAGGTGAAAAGAGGGCCCTCTCATGTGATGCTGTGCTCTCGTAGCCGTGGTAAAGACGCAGGTGGTGGGCAACTGGGAAAGATTGTAAAGGCACTCTTTTGCAAGGGCATGCTAAAAGTACACAATTTGTATTTCACCGCCTCTTCTCTTTGGAGATGCGTGTTTCTTTATGCTCAAAAGTGATGATGCGATCGTCTGCGTCGCTGGTCTGAAAGTGCGTAATAGTGTGATATGTCGCGAACTATGCGAGCTATAGTGTGTGCAGCAATTTAATGATTTAATGCTGATATCATAAAACAAGTGGTCGGGTGTGGGAAAAAAAAGAAGGGTCAAGTTGAGCATTCGGAAAGAAGCGCCGCGGAATGATGAATTGGATCAGACAGACTGATATAATAACAAGGGCTCGCCGACATTTTCGATTTCGGGAATGGTGCATTTGAGATCGAACGCTTTTGAAAGAACAATTTTGAAAATCTAGAATTCGTTAGTTACTGCAGTGCAGCGTATTGCGTATGAAGAGTGCAGCCAACCTTTTGTACGTTGATACTGTGGCTTGTACTTGAAAAGATTAATGATGCGCGCATGGCCTTGGCAAACCGTCTCGCCTGAGTAAAGTTAGTAACTCCATCGGATACAGTGGCATCAATGCTGCTTACCTGATTGGAAATCTCCTCCTGGTCCTGGATGGGAAAGTTGACAAAGTGGTCGTACTTGGTGCCGACCAAGACGGGGATAGCCGTCTTGTTGAATCCGCGCCCCTGGCGATACCACTCCTTGATGCTGTTGAGCGTGCTCTTGCGCGTCAGGTCAAACATGAAGAGGATGGCGACGGCGTCGTTGCACACCAGCGGCAGCATGTTGACAAACTCGCGCTGGCCGCCCAGGTCCCAGATGGAAAAGGTGATTTCGGTGTTGCGGATGGAAATGGTCTTCTCCATGAAGTTGACGCCCAGCGTCTGGATGTAGTCCTCGTCCCAGCTGCCCTCGACGTACTTGACCATGAGCGACGTCTTGCCAATCTGCGCATCGCCCACCATGCCGACCTTGATCACGACGTGGTTGCGGCCGTTGGACTGGTCGCCAGAGCTCGGCCGGTAGTCGTTGTACGATGGCGCCGCCGGGTTCGAGAGGCCGCTGGCCGGTCTCGACAGCGACGAGGGGCCCCCGACGGGCGGCGTCTGGCGGCTGGGCGAGTCCTCGTCGTGCCTGACGCTGCCGGAGAGGCTGTCGAGCGACGGCGTCTGCTGGTGGTGGTAGCCGTTGCTGTGCGCGGCGTCGGATGCGCCGTCGAAGCCGCCCATGGCGTCGTCGGGGCCTTGGCTCATGCTCATGTCGGCGTCGTGTGAGGGGAGAAAGTCTTGCTGCTGGGAGAAATCCATCTCCAGGCTGTCGACGGCGGCGGCGTCGTGGAGCTGAAATGAGCGGGCCGCAATACTGTTGGTGACTAGGTCGGTGGTTTGATTGGGAATGAGATTCGGCGGACGTCGGCGATGACGGCGATTATGGCGATTCCGATTATGATGTCGATAAAAAGAAGGGCGGGCGCTATGAAATGAAGGCGCAAAGTGAGATTAAAGAAGGGCGGGTTGGTCGTTGTTCGTTTGGGTCTCGGGTCGGATCGTGGAGGGCATCAAGCTGGGTTGGGCGTCGAATTCGGCAAAGAGGCGCACGGCATTAAAACAAGATTGAGGCAAGAAGAAAAATGATGACAAGACGAAGGAGAGAAAGCTGCGATTGCCGGAAAGAGTACAAAGGAAAACGGGTCGCGGTCAAAAGTCCAGAGCGCAGGTCGAATGGCTGGAGAGCATCAAATCAAGCAATTCAAGACGATGAGGGGTGCCGTAGAGCAATTATGGTGCAAAGGCTAGCAGGGGTTTCTGGCTGGGGATGATTTGGCGCCAAAGGGAGCTGGAGGAGCGGGCCGGAATTATAGAGGCGCCGTGGGCTGAGCGCTGCCTGACAGAGCCCTACAGGCTACAGCTGCTGGCTGTTACTAACAGGGCACTGATGCCCAGCGAGGGAAATTGCTGGATGCGGCGCTGGAGCTGTCTGATGGATGGATTGAGTATTGTCAACAATGTCGTCGAGGGAAAAGGGGATAGCAGAGCTGATGGTAGTATCGACAGCAGAACCCGTGACGGGATAAGATGAGATGGAGATGAGATGGAGATTGAGGCGGAACGGGATGGGGTTTTGGACAGGGACACTAAGCAACAATCCTGTAAGCAACAATCATGGTGATTTGTTAACGCTGGATTACATATACGCTGCAGGTAAACATTTGGCAGTATCATCTGTAAGCAGCGGGTTGCTATGGAGGGTAAACAAAGAAATGCCCGTCATCTCCTCTGTTTACTGCGCCAACCAACAACTCGTTTGATGCAGAGTCTGCTTGTTGGCACCGCACATACTTTTGCACCTGCATTAGGGACGATAATTTGTTTTTAAATTCACAGCCTCCGCTTCTCTCAAAGTTTCTCGTGTTTGGCGCGCTGACGTTTTTAATTCCCCGGGGTCGGTATCGCTGGCCAATCAGTGATCAGAGGCCTATGCCCGGCAGAGTATCAACAATCGAGCAGCTTCAAAACGGTGGCTTGAACCATGCAGGCCTCAATACTCGGGACTACCCACCAATCGGCGAGATGCAGACCAGCGCCAAAGTCTATCGATGTATCCAGGACAACGCGGATGTACTATCAAACAGATTCATCAAATAAATGCAATTGAATTAGATCACCAACAGCGGGGGATCCGGCAAGTTGGTCCCAGGTGCTTCCAACTGAACCATGTCATATCACGTGATGCGTCACCTTGATGCTGCAAGTCATCTCCAGGGCTCCATCAAGCTCCATCACCCATGTAAGACCCGTCTTTACACCTCGACTCATTCATCCATTCAAACGTATATACATGTAAACATATATACATGTATATACCATCTCTCCGGCCTACGGCCAATATATGACACAGGTATCAACAAACGCATCCTCACCACCTCTTCCACGCCATATACGTGATGCTCGCTCCCATCGCTGCGCTGCCCACAATGCCCACCCACACGAGCGTCGCCGTGCGGAATACGCTCTTGGCGTATTTCCGCATCGTCTCGCCGTCGTTGGCGTGAGGAAACGGCTCGTCGGGAACCGGCTTGCCGAGAAACTTGGCCAGCGGCTCCCAGCCGTCCTTGAGCTCCATGGTGAGGAGCCTCTCTGGGGCGATGCTTTTGCGAACCCAGCCGTTGTATACGGACAGGGTTTCTATCAAATCACAGTTAGCGGCGGAAGGGGACCAAATACACGAAGCATTGATGATGCTAGTATTATACTTGCCAGCAGACCATCCCTTGTTCCATGACATTCCAAAATGCTCCTCGTCGCTGTTCCATCAAAATGTCAACTGTTGAATCAAGTACCAATGTCTGATATAAACTCACCAGTCTTGAACCCCCTGCAAAAAGATGGGCGCCCACCTCCACGTCGGACAAGGCCACACCAGCAGCTTGACGAACCACCAAGTGTCCATGTTGGCCCCCTCGAGCAAGGACTCCATGCTCTTCATCCAGCGGTCAGCGTCGCGCTCAACAACAATCACCTTGGCGTCGGGATACAGCTCGGCCAGCTCCGAGACAAAGACAATGGAGGGATTATCGGTGAGGGCGACGAAGCCGGCGGTGGCCTCTCGGAGCAGCTTCATCAGGACGGGCTTGTTGTGGCGGTTGGCAAAGATGTCACACCAGAGCTTGGCATATGCTGGCATGCTGCCTCGTCAGTCTCATTCACTCAGTCTCCAAGCCATCATATTCGGCTCACCGTCCTCTCGGCCAAACAAATGCGTTCCCCCGTGCATGACCGGTCCGTCAAGCAGCTTCTCCAGGGCCAGGGCCATGGACACGGTGCCGGTGCGCGAGTAGCCGGCGCTGATGACCTGCACGGTCCGGCTTTTGTCGGTGGGGATGGACGGCACTCCGCCCATTGTGGCGTTGCTGCTTGATGTGTGGCCTATTTGATGTCTATATGCCCAACGGCCCCGTGAATAGGAAACAGAAAACAGAAAGCATAAGTCGCGCAAAGTAGAAGAGCAGGCCATCAGGCCGCTTTTACATTGTCGGCCATGGCCATGAGTCGGCCATGCCAATCTGTCCCAGAACAGAGCGAGGGGCCGACGGCCGACTTCCGTTTTCCGGCCTGCAAATCGTCGTATAGTGAATACGACCCAAGGTGTTGATAGCAATAAGCGACTACTTTTGCTATCGGTAGTTGCAAGCGTGTGGCATTCGATACCACCCAAGAATACCCAGATAGCCGAAGGAATGCGCTATTACCAGCGCTAGCATGACTGCTGGTGACTTTTTTTGTGATTTATGATACATGTCTCGCTTACACATATATGAAAACCCCACGAGCAATAAGATTGTGGGAATAGATGGACAAGTCCTTGCAAAGCATTGGACTATGATGGGTATATGTACGGGTGCTTATTCGTCATCACTATATACAAACTGACTCGCCCTCCCCCATGACCGGTTTTTCCCCCTCTCTTCCAATGACAACTGGTGCTTACACGCCCGTTGCTTTAATTAAAAGACGACCGTCTTGTGTCCGTTGAGAAACACTCGTCCCTCGGCATACCACCGCACGGCCGCCGCCAGCACCTGCGTCTCGACCGTGGAGCCCTCCTCGGACAGCTTCTTGGGGTCCATGCTGTGGTCGACGCGAGTGACGCGCTGCTCGATGATGGGGCCCTCGTCGAGATCGGCCGTGACGATGTGGGCGGTGGCGCCGATGATTTTAACGCCGCGGTCAAAGGCCTGGTGGTAGGGCTTTGCGCCGATGAAGCTGGGCAGGAAGCTGTGGTGGACTGTTGTGTGTCAGCTATGAAGCATGTATATGATGCATCTTGAGAACTTACTGTTGATAATCTTGCCGGACATGGCCTCGCACAGCCGCGGCGACAGCACCTGCATGTAGCGCGCCAGCACCACCAGCTCAATCTCGTGCTGCTTGATCAGCTCCAGCACCTGCGTCTCCTGCTGCAGCTTGGTGTCCTTTGTCACGGGCAGGTGGTGGAACTCGATGCCGTAGCTCTTGGCCAGCGGCTCAAAGTCCGGGTGGTTGGACACGATGATGGGCACGTCAATCAGCAGCTGGCCCGTCTTCATGCGGAACAGCAAGTCGTTGAGGCAGTGGCCAATCTTGGACACCATGATGAGCACGCGGGTCTTGCGCTTGAGCGGGCGGAAGTTGTACTTCATGGCGTACTCGGCGGCGAGGGCCTGGAAGTCGGGCTCGAGGTGGGCGGTCGATTCGGCATCCTCGGTGGAAGGCGACGGGCCAAAGTGCACGCGCATGAAGAAGTGGTTGGTGGCCGGGTCGGAGAATTGCTGCAGGTCCAGCACGTTGTGGCCCTTGGAGGCGAAGATGCCGGTGACGGCGTGGACGATGCCGGGCTTGTCGGGGCAGCTGAGCGTGAGGATGTGGCCGGTGGAGGAAGACATTTTGATGATATTCGTGGTGTTTTGGTGTTTGCTGTTGAAGCTGGTGTTGTAGAAGCGGTAGGGTTGGTTATATGCAAGAGAGAAGAAGAAGAAGAAGAAAAAGTGAGGCTATCTCCAAGATAAGATAGCAATAATCGAGCTAAAGTTTTTAAAGTTGGACCTTGCAAGGGAACTAGCCGGCTTAGTTTATAGAGCTTGTCAATTGGAGCAGGACGACACTGGGCATTAAATCTCCAAAAAAGAAGAATGTAGAACAGAGGCCAGCTACCTATTATTTAAATTTTTTCTTCTCGCTATTAAATCCCCGGGAGTAGCTCGGCGAGTTTTTGCCAAGTGGACGGTCTGACTCTTTTTTAGTGAGACCCGGGTCCGGAGCTCCACCGGTCTAGATGCGAATTGGATCTAATTGAGCTTCTATTTGTTTCTAATAAATGGTTTGAATCACATAAGCCAGCGTTGCATTCCATTGATTAATTATTTGGCTGAATTTGCTGTTTTATTATATTTTCTTCTACCGCTGTCGTTATTCGTCAATGGCTGTAGGGGTGAATGTGGACTGCCGATTACGGAGTCGGTGCCGGGCTGGTGGGGCGCCGATTTGCGAATCTGGCAGCGTCACTCGCCGATGAGCTGAGCTGAGCTGTTTTAGCATTGTGCTGTTGTATCTCTCATGACCATTTGGAATTGGCATGAGGTCATGTCTTGGAGTAAATAAGGAATTAGGAGTCACAATCATCTGTAGGCAATCTCAAGCATGAGCTACAGTGTAAAAATAATGATGTATGAAGAAGTCAATTGAGCACCAAGCGCAGAGAGAAGTTGAGTATCATTGAGAAATATTCATTAAGAAATAATCGTAATCAATATAAAAAAGGGTATTATCGTAAAGCATCGACAAACAGGTCGTTATATCTTGTCATGCGTATCCAATCCTCCATCCTCCACCCAGACCACAACTTCTCGTTCTCTTCTTCAAGATATTATCAAAAGACAGACACTCAACTCCATTACACCATCTGATCGCCATGAGGATGCATCGTCCCCCCAACCGCCCGTCTCGGCACCGTCGGGTTCGCATACTCGCCATTCACCCCATTCGCATGGTGTCCATTGACTCCCATCGCCCCAACACCATCATGGCCATTCACGCCATTGTGATGGTGTCCCATCTTGTCATGAGCAACCCCAGATCCAACTCCAGCAGCCCCAACGCCAGCTCCGCCTCCCGCAAAGCTCTCGGTCCCCCACCCCACGCGCCTCGTAAACGTCGCGCCAAACAAATCGCCGTTGCCGGCCATGTACGGAAACGCCACGCCGCGGTTCAGCGGGATGTGGTTGAAGCGCCAGTCCCAGATGGCCGCGTACGTCATGCGGTATCCCGAAAAGGCCATGGCCGTGCCGATGATGGCGCCGGCCACGACGTCGTACCAGTTGTGGAACTCGTCGATTGTGAGTGCGCCGCCGATGAGCACCGCGCCGAGGATGGGCGCGTAGATGACAATGAGCTTCCACATGGCCGGGTGGTAGTTGGAGAAGACCTTGAGCTTGGCGTTGAGGTACAGGTACAGGAACACAAAGCCCGCAAAGGCCGCCGTCGTATGGCCGCTGGGGAACGACTCCAGGCTGTCGTCAATCTCGTCCGGGTCGCCGGTGCAGATGTCGCGCGTGTAGTAGATTTGCGTGAAGCCGCTCCTGTCGAGGCCTTGGCTGGTGACGTGGCTCAGGTCCGGCTTGCACACGTCGAGGAAGTGAGGGCGCAGGCCGCCGATGAGCCACTTGCAAAAGACCTGGAAGACGGCCGCGGAGATGAGCGAGTACAAGAGGCCGATGACGCCGTTGTTGACGTCCCAGAAGGAGCGGATGCGGATCTGCATCGCCAGGATGACGGCAATGGGGATGATGGCGGCGAGGAACGCGGCGAGCCAGATGGGGACAATCTCCTTGCGGAGGGGGTAGCCAAACTCGGGCCAGACAATCTCGCCGTCAGAAAAGGTGACGGGGAACGATCGAGTCGGTGCAGGCTTGGCTTCGTAGACCTGTCAAACACAGTTAGTTATATCCTCTGGGTACATATCCAGGCGTCACTTACACCCAGGCCAATAGCGCCCATAGCCACCATGGTCAGGATATCCAGCCATGTCACCTTGAGCCACTGTCCAAAGCTGGGACGTATGTGCATCGCGTACGCCTGACGACGGTTCGCACGACCACCACGGCCAAATCCAAAGCCTCGACGCTTCGTCGTCGTCGTCGTGCCGTTGGTGCCCCCTGGCGAGGCTCGGGCTCTGCGTCCAAAGAGCGCCATGGCTGTCGATTTGCTGAAGAAACACAGCAAGTAATGATATATAAAAAAAGGGGCGTCAAAGAATGACTTGGGTAAAGCACCGCTCAAGTGCTGCCAAAGTGCAACTCAGAATCAGACGCTGAGCAAAAACTGGTTGATCGTTCCTTCGCCTCTCTTCAACCATCAACACCAGGCCCAACCACGTATAATATAATAATTCTTCACAACACCAAATCACCCTGCATTTCCAGATCGTCGCCCAACCTGACGTCAGCCATGTCACAGGCCACAGCAAATCCTTCCGTCATCGTCACAACCTCTACTGCCGTTCAGGGCTCAACCATTGCTTCTGATTGCCCAACGCTTGGCCCAGGTCCCCTGCACGCTCCCGCAAATTAGGCATCGCAGAGCCATGAATAGCGTCATACAACTGTAAAACAAGCTTGGCAGTAGAGTTGTTTTGGGGCCGGCGCCTTTCTTCCGGGTGGTGGGACAGGGGAGCCCAATCACAACGTCATCGGCCTGTCATTGTCATCGAGATTTCGGCGTGAAACCCACTTTCTTGTTTGGGGAAGCTTTACCGAAAAGTAGGTCCATGCCTCACCGAGATCACCGAGTGGATCTAGCCTGGGTCCGCGTATATGTATGTGATACTGCTAGTAGGTACTAGGTAGGTATTATTAGCAACTCACCGAATAGACCCAGTCTGAATCCGCGTATAACAGCAACGTATCAAGCCATCTGCAAATTAACCGAGACCGCAAAATGAATATCCACGTACAAATCATTAGTAAAGCACCGTTAGCGTGGCCTAATCTTGGCTTTGTGTGTGTATGATTACCGCTATGTTGTGTTCAATATCTTTCTAGACTCGCTTTTTGCAAACCGCTTGCGTATCAAAGGCTATCCAATAGTAATACAAACAGCTCAATCCGAGTAATCCAATTTCCCTCACTTCTCCACCACAATTCGTCCATCCAAGAACCAAGAAAAGACCAAGTAGACTAAAACTTGAGTACCCCACAAGTCTTCACTAAGCAGACCAAGTCTTCCCCCAATGTCATTCTCCTCAGATGTAAAACATGCTGTTCTTCAGCCTCTCGTGAATCTTTACGTCCTGCCCAGATGCCGCATGGCCCTCCGAACCCTCCACCACCGACGGTGCCGCTGAATTGGCCGGCGAATCAAACAAGTGACTGAGATAGCACCGCGCACGCTCACACAGAATGTCGGCATAGTACGCGGGCGTGCAGTAACTCACAGCCTTGGTGGCTCGGCCAAATATGTAGCACATGCTCTGAGTCAAGTCCTGGAACTCGTCCGCAATGTTCTTGCCTGGCGTCTTTGCATATCGCTGCCGGAAGATCTCATCCAACACGACATAGTAGTGCCCTGGCCGTGCGGTGCCCTGTAACGCTGTGTGCGCCTGGAGGAAAAAGTCCCAGTTGCGGGCTTCGGTCACGCCTCGGTCGACCACGGTGCCGGATTTGGTGTTGCCCGAATTGTCGGCATCAGCAGCTGCAGTAGGATAGAAACGCGTATGATGACGCTTTCCCACAACAGCGATAGTCAGGCGAGGCAGGCCTTTCTTTTGATCGGCAGCCGGGTAAACCTCCTTGCAAACAGCGCGTATCTGCGGCAGCTCCTCGTCCAACACGGACTGATACTGGCCCTCTGAGACGCCGTCGCGGTAAATGATGATATTTTCAGGATAGGCAGTATGTTTGCCCCTCTTGCGCCACAATTCAAGGCGCGACTTCAGCATGATGCCAAGCTCCGTAACCATCTCCTTGCGGCTTTTCTGGACGCTGAGGACCGAAGGCCACTGGCCAAGCCACCGGTCTACGCTGGCAACCACGCCGGCGACACTGGGAGCACCCTTCGAACCCGGAGACGGATGAGTGACATCAATGCCTACAATCATAGTCTTGTCTTCGGCAATGAACCCCAGGCGTGAAGGGTCAACGACATGGTTGTTGCCGCCCAGCTTCAGGTTGAACTTGAGCGCCAGGTTGCGAAGATATTGATCTTGCCCATTAGGCTTGGCAATTTTCGCGCCGACGCTGCAGATGGTATGGATGCCATACTTGACATCTCCCAGAAGTTTGATACGATTATATAGCGGAATGGGGGTGTGAGGCAGGATGATGAAGAGCAGCTGTAGCGCCGATGCGGCACGCTTGAACATATCCTCGAGCTGAGCGTCGTCTGTGTCACTCAGCTGCAGTCGCTGAATTGGGAGAGGCGCGCTCGCAGCGATTCCAGTGTCTTGCAGAACCCGGTGGAAGCTTTGTACAATACCGTTGAGATCCTGCGAGCTGAACTGCTGCGCTCTTGGGTGGTCATTGGGCATTTCAATGTATAAGCAAGACCACTTCTGCACGCTGCCGCAGGTGCTGAATTTCAGGCTTGGGGCATTCCTTGGTACCAGGTTCCAAGTCCCCCCAAACGTCGACACTTGCTGATTCTGGCCATAGCCGACCTTTGGTCCCATGAGAACGCGGCCAGGCACAGTGATGAGGCCGGGGGCAACATTGACGCCAAATTGGCTCTGAGATGTATCAGCAGGCTAGTCTCGGAATGAACAAAGGAGACGGGGGGGCAATCCCCATATCAACTTACCAACAAAGAGTTCACTTGAGAGGTTAAACCAGCAGCCTGCAGTCCCTTGGAAACAATAAACGTCGCATTTTCCGCCGGCCTCTTGACAGCAAATCTAATCATCTGCTGGGTCTGAGAGGGGTCAAGCCTTGAGTTGGAAGGCTGGCCAGGCAGCACATGGCAGGCTTGAACTGGCAAATACATTGGATTCTCCCTGTTTCCAACATTGATGACTGGCAATCTTGGGTCGCTGATGCGAAAATTGTGAGCTATATACGACTGTTAACAACCGCTGACGATAGATTCATTGCCGCAACGCCATGAGCCACTTACTTCTGACGAAGAAATCATAAACAGAAATGTACTGTCCTGCGGACGACCCAGACGCGCTCTGCGGGTTGCTGCCCTTGCCGCCCTTTTTCTTGCCGCCAGACGCAGAGGCAGCTTGAGATTGGCCTTTTGCGGGCGCGTCGAGCCAGAACTCGACATCTTTAGGTCCGCTTCCAAATGCCTTGACCCTAGGAGGGTGCTCGAGGCCATGGCCATCGTTCTTGGTGGCATAGCCAAAGATGGTTTTGATGCGCGGGATTGGCTTGCCCTGCTTGTCTAGCTTCTCTTTCAGATGGGTGGTTCTGACTTTGATCCTATTTATAAATGCTGCTTGTCTGTAAGTATTTCTCTGAAAGCTGATAAGCTTAATTATAAATTGGTCAAGAGGACCATCTTGAAAGAAGGCAGCGTGAGTAGGATTGACGTTGACAAGCACGCGAGCTGTTGCCGCACGAACGCTAGCAAAGAAGCCACGCATAGCTGTAAGGCAGCTCCCAAGGTCCCAAGTATCAGCATCCGCGCCCAAAGGAAAGACTTTTGCTGACCCAATACTAGCGAGATTGTTGGATGTCTTTGCATAATGATTGAGGAAAATGTTGAATGCTTGGATAAGAGGCAGCTTCTCGTCGTATTGGGCAGATGGATCCGTCGAAGTAAGGTAGCTGATCAGCTCCGAAGTGGCCAGAGAATTGGTAAGCTGAAGCTTGACATTGTACTGGGGGGCATTCTCGCGTGGCTCCTCGTGGCCTTCTTTTCGGTACGGCACAGTCACGGTCAAGTCGGCAAACTTCTGTCGGCAGATAAGCGTAGACTTGAAGTCGCTGACGATATCGTGCTGATAGGCCGCCAGCTCCGATGCCTCCAGCAGCAGGCGGATGATTTGTGTCAGCTTCTTCCCCGTGGCGGCGGGAGCAACGGCGATGTCATATCGGTAGAGGACAAGCTTGGGAGATGCCGTCATGGCGACATAGTTTGCCCAGAGCACCACTTCTGCTCCCTTTGTTCCATAGTTGGGTCGGCGAGGGAACGCTTCCTTCAGGCCCAGCGTGCTGAGATCAAGGCCCTTGCCGGACAGCAGAGCGTCTTCCGTCTTTGCCACGGTCTTGTCGGGGGCGGGGACACCGCTGGGGGGACTGTAAGATGTGATGAGCGCGTGTCTTTGCCATAACGAGATGAGTGTCAAGGGAATGGGATTCTTCTCACGAGAAAATCTGCGGCGGCGCACCGCCTCTGCCACCTCGGAAAGGAGCTCCTCCTCCTCTGCCTCTTCCACCATCGCCTCGTCCTCCATCGCCACGTCCACGGCCAAATCCGTCACCGCGTCCTCGGCCGCCGCCGTCACCTCGTCCGCGTCCGTATCCATCACCACGGCCTCGGCCTCTTCCGCCTCCGCGGTCCTGAAAGTCTCCCCTTCCACGTGAGGCCATAATCTCGGTATAAGTCAACAATATAAAGCTTGATGCTGGTGGAGTCGATGCTTAGCTCCGGGTGTAATAGCGGGAGAGTGGGTTTAGAGGTTGGTGGACAAGATAGCGTGCGGGGCTGAGACATGGTGGCATGTTGTCTTTTTGTAGGTAGCCGTGGTGACTCAGCTGCTCTTGGCAAATACTGTAAGGCGCCAGTCTGATCAACAACATACGGCGGGTTGGCCAGTCAGCAGCCGAGTATCTGATGCTCTGATTCGCACACGTCGAGTTACACAGACAGGCAGACGTGTTTCCAGTTCATAGGCGGCAAACCACGTGATATATAGACAAATGTTCAAGCATCGTCACTTCTTCTGTTTGTAATGGTACAATGCTTCATCACATCCAGCATACTAATGGTCCAGCACGGGGCGGGATTCACTGCGCATTAGATAGTCAAAGCGTACAAACTGTCAACATTAAATCCTCCTATTTTTCTTGGTATATTATATTCATGGCTTCAACGAACAAAGCACGCCTGTCAAGATTGCGAGCAGACACCAGCATTGAATCATGTACACATGCATCATAGATCGTGTACCCTGACACGGCATCTTGCCCTCTTCGAGCCACCATTTAATCCCTTCATCACTGCCCAAACGCCGATACCTATGCACATGAGCTCTAGCAACAAGCCATCGACCGTGACATGCCCAACCTACCGGAGCTCCGAAACAAGGATAAAACGAAACCAAACACTCGATACAGCCACAAGCATCCTTCTCGTCTTACCTGCGACCACGGCCAGCTCCTGGCATACCGGGCATGCCGGGCATACCAGGCATACCAGGCATACCACCGCCCATGCCCATCTGTCGCATCATCGCCTGCATATCCATACCGCCGGGCATGCCCCCGCCACCGAGCATCTTCATTAATGATCCCATATCCGGCATGCCTCCCGCGCCGCCCGCGCCGCCCATGCTCTGTAGTCGTTTCTGCATAGCAGCCATTTGCTGTGCCTTGTTTCCGCCCCCCATGGCCTGCTGTGCTCTCTGCATATTCTTCATGTTGCCACCCATCTTCTTGGCCATGCCGGCCATCATCCGCTGCTGTGTGAGCAAATCTTCCACCTCACGAACCGAGGTTCCTGATCCCCGAGCAATGCGAGTCATTCGGGTGGGTTCGTCGATGAACATCTTGCCGTCCGAGTCGAGTTCCTTGTCGGTCATGGAATCACAGATGTAAATCATGCGCTTCAGCTTCAAACCGCCCTCTTCGTCGTCCATACCCTGCATCAGCCCGCTCATACCGGGAATCATGCCGGCCATCTTTGACAGGGGACCCATCTTCATGATATTTGAAAGCTGGTCTCGCAAGTCTCTTACTGTAAAGATACCCTCTTGAATGTGCTTCATTGTGTCTTTTTGATTCAGGTTGAGGCTTTGCACGTGCTCCACCAGGCCGGCCATGTCGCCCATTCCCAATAGCTTCTGCACAAATCGCTGAGGCTCGAACCGTTCCAGATCTAGCATGTGCTCTCCAGTACCAATAAATACAATGGGTGTGTGTGTAGCGGCGACTGCGGAAATGGCACCACCACCGTGCGCGTGACCGTCTGTCTTGGTGATGATGATGGCACCAAAATCGGCAGCCTCCTTGAAAGCCTTGGCTTGAGATTCGGCTTGCTGACCTATTGATGCGTCCAGCACCATGATGGTTTCGTCTGGGTTGACTGCTGCCTGGATGTCAATCATTTCTTGGAACAAGGCGGATTCCTGTCGGTGTCGACCTGACGTATCGACGATGATGACATCAAACTTGTCCTTCTTGAACTGCTCGACACCGGCTCGAGCAACCGCAGCAGGGTCCGTCTCCGTAAGTGAACCGTAGTACGGAATCTTGGCCTTTGTCGCATTCTGCTTCAGCTGATCGAAAGCACCAGCACGGAAGGTATCGGCGCAAACCAAGCACGCCCGCAGTCCTCTGCTCTGGTAGTGCCTCGCCAGCTTCGTACATGTCGTTGTTTTACCAGCACCCTGCAGACCGACAAACATGATGACGTTGGACTTGCCCTTCTTGGGCTTGAAGGGCTCGGCATGGGGGTCGACGAGTTTGACCAGTTCGTCGAAAACGGCCTTTTGAATCAGACGCTTCTTGTTTACGGCGGGCGGGAGTTCTTTGAAGTTGACGGCGCCGCGGATCGATTTCCGGAGCTGTCCAACAAGTCGTACGTTGACGTCGGCTTCGAGCAGAGCGGCGCAAATCTCCTTGAGCATGGAATCGAAGGCCTGTTGCCACCGTCAGTTGGGAATTCCGCATCTACGGCGGGGCAGCTTGGAATGAACCAACCTTTTCGTCCAGATTCTGCTCGCGCGTGAGGTTGGAAACCGCCGCATTGATGCGACGTCCGAGATCTTGCAACACCATGGCGAAGTATGTCGATGCCCTCGCGGAAACAGTTGCGGGTTTGTCGCGGCACCGAGTCCGATGGTTGAGGCGATCGAGGTTCAAATGGCAGCTGGCAATTCGGCGTATTGGCAGGGTGGGGCAGACTTTGGGGATGCATTAAAGTTTCTCCGACGCTGAAGCATTGCCCGCTTATAGCAGCTACCCTACGGTAGACCAGGTATTTGGATGAGTACAAGAGAAGCATGCAACGCATTTATTCATGAAATGATGGTCCCTTTAAATTATTTCGTTTGTAATTTGCGGTGCATTTATGACTCGTTGATTCTGTAGTAGGCGGGTGAGTACCTTGGGCTATAGTCGCCATCTCAAGGGCGGTGCTGCCAAACTCAAGTCAACGTCAATGTTTCATTTACAGTCGAGTCTGGTCTCAAGTTTCTATCTACAACACAGGAAAGTTGATTGCTTTGAATGGCATTCATCTCCCCGTTGCTCCATCACCCAGTCCTAAGTTTAAGCACGGGACTTAGACTTTCACCGAAATTGAAAAAAAAAAAAAAAAAAAAGGCCTTCAACCCCCGAGATAGACTTACTTCGGACAATAAAGGACTGCCGGAGCGAACAATCATCTGGCATGACGATCTTTCTTTGAGCAACATATTAGTGGATGATGGAGGAAGAATCACCGCTGTAATTGACTGGGAACGTGTCTCTGCCATGCCGCGATGGTTGGCTACCCAAATGCCTAGATTTCTCGAGGGGCTAGCCAGGGAAAAGGAGCCTAAACGCCAAGATTATGCCGATGAAACGCCTGGGGACAATAAATATGACGGGCTGGATAATGAAGGAAAAAATGACTTATACTGGATACATCTTATGCAATACAGGCAGACGCAGGTGAGGAAAGTCTATCATGAGCGGATAGAGTAGAGCGAGGTGAATTTCCTAGGCTGATGGATGTACTGGATGACGGATTAGAACTACAGTAATCTATCGAGGTTTATTGCCATCTTGAATACTGACATTCAGTTTCAGTCTGCTCGTGAACGATATACGCAAACATTGTCTTGGTATCGGTCATATAAATCTGGAAATTCATATGTCGACAGCTGAAACAAGAAGTAAATAACCGTCGGCATAAAGCTTTTCTGCACTTGCCTGGCGGCTAAAACGATCTCAACCATCTTTTTAGCTAAGAGGAGCAGGCATTTCAAGCACAAGGTAGTTAGTGAAAAACGTTCGATTACACTAGGGTATCAACTCAGAAACCACCACTTTTAAAACTCTTTTATCCCAGTTCATCATACCATTCCCGGCTTCGTTTCTTTTCATCATGTACACTTCATCATAATGCCAGTCCCCTGGCTCCTTTCGTCCATCTGTACAAAGACAGAGCTCTTCGTCTTGAACGATGTTCATCCCAATTCGTCGTTCCCGCGCCCTGGACGCTATAGAGAGTTGACCGTAACACTGTTCGAAAGTTTTTCTAATAACAAAAATTAACTTTTCCACTTCATGACAAGAATCCAATGCATAAATGGGGGGACTTTTGTACCTGAAATTCCGTGCTCAGCGTTACAACGCATACCTCGTGCGCGCGAATGATGTTCTCGCATGCCTGCGCGACCGACTCGTTCGGACCTAGCTGAGGCATCCTGTCTGCAAAGAGAAGAAGGATGAAGCTTCCCTGAAGAAGATATATGCCGAACAGATAGGACATAAAAGTAAGCTCCGGGTCGATTGTTAAGATTGTCGAAACGGACTGCGACGCAGAAATGGCGTGTGACGCGCACTCGTTGAATCTTTTAGATGTGATCCAGTCATCGCCGTCGTCCAGCATGGATATGGCATCCCATTTGCCGTGGAGGAGCACATGCAGCACATGGAGAATGTGCGTGCTGTAGGCCTTGGCGAGGCGCATCTTGGACGGATCGCTTGCGTTGTATGGCGCTGTGGAGGGCGGATACGGATGGGACATGGATGACCGCGAAGGCATGCCGGCGACCATGCCCCTTGGCGTGTGGATGGGCAGGGGAACTATGCCACTGTCGTTGCCTTCTGACGAGAGTGCCGCGAGACTCAGTTCGTATGTTGTCAGAAGCCCCTGGATGACAGACACGGAGTGTGAATCGTCTAAATCTCCGAGCCGTGGATGACGGCGCCTGTGATGGACCTCTATGATGTCTCCAAGTATAGCCATGAGTGGCAAAAAGTATTCGAAAAAGGCAGATCCAGAGGCCGTTGTTGGCGGTCCAATGGTGCGAACGGGCATCTCGTTGGGAGGAATGGTGTCGAGATTCTCCCAAATAGCTTCAGGTAGGGGGGCTGATGAACAGGGTTAGTTTAACGAAAGCAGAACATATTAACAATTTACTTAGCCTAAGTTACTTACAATAGACTTCGCAGTAAGAATCAGGTATCGTCAACGCCGAGTTGAAAGACAAGGCCAGATGCCGATCCAGAGCGTACAGAAGCCAAAAGACTCTCCTGCGTTCCTCTCGATGCTCCACATTGTACAAGCTGCCGTCCTGCTCCTTTCGACATGAGCAGAGGGGATTCGCGCAAGGAGTTACGGGCCCGGCACACTGCTCGTCTTCTCGATTGAGGCCGAGTGAAAAGGCCAGTCTCGTCGCCTTTGACCACCACTTGTAGCAGTCAGATTTGAAGTCGGAGCCGGAGACGGCGATGGAGAGGAGGATAAAGGTCAAGACGTCGTCGACTTCACCGGCCGGTTCGTTGTTTACTGTAGTTTTCGGCACTGTTGCGGGATTGGGGATCCGCGGATGGGGAGTCTCGTTTTCGGCTCTGAGACCACCTAAGACGAAATCATGTCAGCATCTCTGGTTCTTTTTGACTGGTAATGAGAGTATTGAGAGTAACTCACCATGTATTCGCCGCCATCGATCTGGGTCACGCTCAGATATCAGAGACGTTGCCAAATCATACAAGTCATTGACAATCTTTGCCCTTGTCCCCGGCACATGCAGCATCATCACATCAGCAGTTTGCGCCACGCACCACAGAATCGTCGCGAGCAATGCAGGCGTGGTATATCGAGGGTTCGTCGGATGCATAATCGACTTTTTGCGAAAGACTCTGGTCAAGATGTACGGCGAAGCAACGCGAAAAAGCGAGCTTCCGGGATCCGTCAGGAAGATTTCCAGCAAGTCGCACGCAACGGAGGCGGGGATGATGTTGCGGATGTAGGGCAGAATTGGCTCGAGGAACTTGTACCAGCAGTCGTCGTTTGGCGCCTTGTGGAAGAAATCCAGCATCAAGCCTCCTGCGTCGTGGCTGTTTGTGCTGAACGACCCGCGGTTCTGTTCATGGCTGGGGGTGGACTTGAACGAGCCTCGGTGTTGGCGTGCGTTGGGGGCCTCGGCATGGGGCCGTCTGTCGATTGGCGATGGGTAACCAACGCTTCCGTCAGACAGGGCAACTTCAGAATCTCCAAATTGTCCGTCAAAGACATTGACAGACAGGGGGTTGCTTATGGAGGAGCGTGGCGGCATTTGTGGTTGTATTCCGACCTGGATGAGAGACGGGACGCTGAGCGGCGGTGCTGGCCGGCTCTGAGGATAAGGCTGGCTGATGGAATGGAGGACATCCTGTCGAGTGTCTTGTAGAGTGATCTGATCATCCTCGGTGGTAGCCGTGGTCACATCCACAGCGTCAGTGAGTGAGTGCCGTGCAGCCGTGCTGGAGCTGATACTGGCTGATGGAGACGAGATGGATGCTCTCGAGTTGCCGTTGCCATTGCTGCTGCCATTGCTGGCATGTCCCATGTTGGAATCTCGTCGTATGATGCTTCCTCGTCGGGTCGACGAAGCCCACGAGTCTCTCCGGTTACTGATGCTGCCATTGCTCTTGTGATTGTTTGCTGTAGCCGAGGCCGGCAGACGCCCTCGTTTCTTTACTTCGCGATTGTAACGACAAGTGTATCCGTAGTCTTGAAGAGAGGAGAGAGAAAGACAAACGTGTTAGATATGACAGTTGAAAAGATGACGTGGGATTGAGCCATCAAGGTGGAGATTGGGGGCCGTTGCTATCTCCATCCAGGAATGGAGCCCCGGGAACGATTGAAGGATCTCACGAGAGATTCCTGGTAGTAAGAGATGGTAGGATTTAGGCTTTGCTTACCTTCGCAACGACGACAGGGACTATTCACACGCGTGTTAGTCAATCACAACGCCGCATGGGTAACATCTCAGATCTGAGAGATCGTATGAGAGAGAGAGAGAGACTCACTATTCTCCATCACAGCGAGTCCTCGAGGCGCTGCACTTGTCGCACGCTCTCCGGGTGCGCTTCCGAGGCCGGGCGTGCTCCGCATCGGGCGTGGCCCCGCGGTCATGGCCAGACGCGACGAGAGGCTGAGGGCGATGCCGCTCTTCACCGTCGGCTTCGGTAGCCATGGCTCTTTTCTGAGTTGCTGTCCTGTCTCTGAGACTGACTCTGTTGCGCAGGGCTGGCTCCCGAGTCGAATCCACTCGCTATCAGACCGTAGGCAAAAAAAAGATGGGGGCCGCTCTGTGAAATATCCGGGCGTGTGGTTATGGCTGGTGGTTGGTAGTACCATCTACATACAAGAGAGAGAGGAAAAAGGGGGAAGAATACCCAAGAGGGGCAATTGCAGATTGGGGACGACCCGACGGATACTGGGAGCTGCGCACAGGCTTTTTTGATTCTTGACAGACGGGGTTGGAGATGCCTTTTTTTTTTGCTTTTCCAAACACGAAGGGCGAATTGCAAATGTCGTATCATTTAGTACTTTGCCGTGCGTTCGGAGTCGAGGCTAGAAATGCGGGGAGAGATGGGCGATTCATGAGGCTTTAGCCATTTGCTGCTGTGCCTGCAAGCCCTCGGCCAAACTAAGGTGACGCTAAATTGCTTCAGGGCTTGGTGTCTGCACCGGTCTCTTTAATTTTTAATTCTTGTTTTTAAATTTTTTCTCTCTCTCGTGTTTGCTTACTGTTAAGAGTTGCAGGGGGGTTGCCCGCTTGTTTACCCCAGGTTTGGGATGATGAAGGTTGTGGAGATTGTGGATTCGCGGGCCAGACATTTTTGGTGCCGACGGAAGAATGATCCAACCAGAGAGAGCTTCGTCCCCTCTTGGGCTCACATGATGCCGATCCTACAGCACGCTTGAGTGTTGACGATGGGACAAAAGAGCGCGAAGTAACCCCGTGCTGCGGGCTGATTCACGCACACCCTGGATGGCTGTGCTGACTGACTCTGGCAGCTGTGTGAAGCAAGTCTCGGGGAACGTAGGAAAAACCAGGGGGTGGAGTCAATTGGCCTTTTTGCTGCGGCGGGCTTCGAGATAGATTGCTCCTGGTGGCCGGTGATTAGTGGAATGCGAAAAGTAAGGCCGAGTTGGCAAATGAAACCGTGGTCATGACTTTAATTCAGCGGCGGCAACTTGCCGAATTGCCTATTTGGCCGAATAATTCTGGAACAATTCCATAACAAGACGGGAGATGCATTAGACCAGATCTTGCCTCTTCTATCTACGAGCTAGCCTGGATACATGCGAAGAACTTTGTATATTAATTGAATGTTCCTATATCAGCAAAAGACAGAATGCCACTCCAAGTCTTGGAAAAAGAATAAATAAGAGAAAAAAAAAATGGTCCACCAGCAATGTAACGCCGCAATACAATGCAAAGCCACGCCTGGCCACTTCACCAAAGGATTCTCCTCTCCATAGCATCAGCCAGCGTGGTTAAATCCAGGCTCCATCCACCTTGTATACGCTCCCGCTCACAAACGTGCTCTCTGGGCCCAGCAGGAAAGCAATCACATTCGCCGTCTCCTCCGCTGTGCCTTGTCGCTGAAAGGCCGTGGGATCGTCAAAGGCAGCGTCTTTTGGCCGGCCCGAAAAGTCCCAGTTCTTCTGCATCAATGGCGTGTAAATGGCGCCGGGAGCAACGCTGTTGACGCGGATTTCTCGCTCTCCATTCTCAAGGGCAGCGGCTCGCGTGAGACCAACAATGCCGTGCTTGCTTGCGTCGTAAGCGCCATGCCTGGCAAATCCTACAAATACTGCGTTAGCGAAAATCTCATTGCTCCTTTTTAATATGACGGAAACAAAGCTCACCCTTTAATCCGTGGATAGAAGAAACATTGACGATGGAACCGCGGTCGTTCATATTCCTCAGTTCGGCTCTCATACAGTACATGGTTCCGGTAAGGTTGACGCCGATGATTCTATCCCACTCGTCATCGTCGAGCTCTGAAACTGGCGAGACGCCGTGGTATTTCCCGATAACTCCTGCTACGTTGGCAGCACCGTCCAGCCGGCCGTGGGCCTTGACAATGGACTCGATCCAGGCATCGACCTCTCTTCTCTTGGAAACGTCCACTCTTGTGACCATGTGAGGAACTTGCAGCGAAGTGAAATATACTTCAGCAGCCTTCATTGCTTCTGGATCTACGTCGGCAATGCAAACCGTTGCTCCTCGTCTTGACAGAACCTGCGCAGTGGCCAGGCCAATGCCGCTTGCACCGCCGGTGATGGCAAAGACCCTGCCTTTTAGAGCCATATTTCCATCAATGACAATGGGCGGCGGTGGTAGCGATGCTGTTGCTACCTGAGGCGTTTTCTGGACCATTTGGGGCTTTTGAGAGCTGTTGGCGAAGCCATTCTGCGTCGCTGGAGAGCCCGAAGACTTGGATGAAGATCGCAACACGGACTTTGAGTTTCCCATTTCGTCCGAGAAAAGCTTCAAAACAAGAGGAAAAAAGGATGCGAATTTATAAAGAGTGTGGAATGAGGAATCTACGGATATCCCGACTGTTGCGGCTCACGGCGATATATAAACGCTCGAGATAAGGCGACCCGAGAGTTAAATCTCCGCTAATCGAGGAGCTGGAGCTGAGGACTGGACACATCGTTCCGAGGCTGACCATTGTCCACGCGGGTAATAATCCGAAGTTTGTTGAATTACGCAGCAGCCAGATTTTCCCTTATCAATTGAGTCTCGAAGCGACTCGCAACAGTCGCTGATTGGCATCTGCAACTTCCGTCGGGGCCAAGGTTGGGGGCTGAGAAATTAGCCGACGGCTTTTTAGAGCCGCTGGTTTTGGCTAATATGGAGATGGCTGACCAATGTGGGTTTGGGCGAGCTTGATGCTGAGCCGTATGAATGGCGTTCATTGGTGGGTTCGGCTTTCGCATCTGAGATTGGAGAGAGCCGACTGATGGAATTGCCAGGCATGATAGATCTTGTTGCTGATGCAAATGACTTTGTAGATCATTCGGGAACTAGGATGTATTGTGAAAATGTTCCGGGCCATGGGCATTCTGTGCATACTGCATGTATGCGGAACGTAGTGAAAAGTAGCCGTGGACAGTGAAAAAGAAAAGGCCAAAGTAGTCTCTACATCGTAAGAGGGCTTGGAGGGATATCAGACATTTGAGATTCGCTCTTACTGATGAGTCCATATACTTACTATTATCAAGGCAAGTTATCAGTTTGGGCATTCGGGAAGTGCAGCCTCTCTCTTGGCCTCCAAGCCCTATTTATGAGACACTCCTACTCAGGTCCGGTCTCGCCGTGTACAGCCAGACCCATTGCATCAAGTGTCCGTAACATGGCACTTTGTTACACCGAGGCACCCAGGGATTTGCCTTGCCGGGCGGAGCAAAGCGGTCCCGGCTCGGGGCACGCCGGCGCCGATGATACGGAGCCCGAGTCCTTTCCGGGGCTTGCATAAATATGGATGTGAAAAGGATGGAATAAATATTTCATATTGCTAGAAAAGGGCTGAACAAGCTTTATTAAAGAATAGCACAATATGAATATACTCCAATTGTGAGTGCGATATGTTGGTCCTTTTAATATGGGCGTTGAAAGCACTTGAATTGTATATGCACGCAGGAACACCATCTCCACCAAGGAAAGCAATTACCGGGCAGCAATTTCAGCTATAAAAAATTCACTTATTTTTCTGCCCAAGTTATTATATAGTTGAAATGCCTTGGAAACTTGAAAAATCCGACCTTGATTCTCTTTGACGCCGGGTGACTTATTACAGCTCTTTGGATGAGCGGGTGAAGCATCACGGTTGCATAAGTCGCCACCAAAACTACATCTAACAAATATTATAAAACACAAATTAAAACAAATAATCATGAAAAAAACAATTAAACAGAATCAATTGTGTTGTTCTTCAACAATCTCATCTCAACAAAAACTATGCATCTCATCCCTCTGCACCAAACATGAGCCCACTTCCCATCCATCACACCACCAAATACCAAAACAATGCAGTAAATCCCAACTCCCGCCACAATCGCCTCTCAATCCAAGAAACCCATTATTTCTCCTCATCTCACCTTGCATTTTCACTTCTGTTCAAAAAAGCTGTCAATTGCGGGACTCGCTGCAACTGCCCGCAGCGCGCAACGTCATGCCCACATCATACCCGCCACCTCGTTGAAGTCATCGAAGATGCAGGCACTCCTACAATAAAAAGGGCCCCTCACTGACACACTGTCCATGTTTACAGCACACCATCTTCCTTCTAAACCAATTCCCACATCCAATATTCAATACATCTCCAAACTCTACAAGTCCATCGTCATGTCTGCAAGATCATCTACAGTCCTCTTCCGCACCGCCCTCCGCCCAGCCTTTGCCTCTCGCTCCGCCATCGCCCCATTTAGCACCACCGTCTCGGCCCGGGCCACTACGTACGGCCACAAAGACGACCTCGGCGGGCCCGGTGGCCAACAGCCTCCACCGCGGAATCCGGGCGGACCCGACGCTTTGAAGCGTAATTGGTGCGTTCTCATTCTAGATGTAGGATGATGTTTGTATAGTTTGACTAATAGATGGATGTAGGATGGCCATTGGCGGTGCTGCCCTCGCCGTGCTCATCGGCTACAACTTCTTCGCAAAGGACCCCGAGGAGGCGAAGAAGCAGCGCGACAAGACGCTTGGCGAGATGAGCGGGAGGACAAAGACGGAGATGGGCGGCTTTCGACATGACTGAGAGGGAAGTGTGTCTGCTGTGCCCGGGACTATCAAAATGAAGTGATTGAAGGAAGAAAAGAGAAGAAGAAGAAGAAAAAGAGGGCATCGTCCTCTGGCTGTAAGATTAATGAAGGGAATGAGGAACATCAAAGTGTACAATGGATATCGAATTATCATCTATATGAAAACAAAATAAAGGAATAATTACGTCAAAATCTAGTAAGCTCCATCTATCCATCATGAAGCTCCAAAGGGTATCTTACATCCCGTCTATACAAACATTAGTTGATCTTTGGCGTCTCCGCCGCAGACACAGTCTCCTTCTTCCCCTTCTCCTTCTGCAGCAAATAATCACCCCCCTTCACCGCACTATAAAACCCCCTCAAACCCGCCAACGGCCAGAGATCCCAAAACGCAGCTTTGCTCCTCGACTTGAACGTTGCGTTCCTCGCCTTCTCCTCGCCTTCCACGTCAACCTTGACTTTGTCGTACACACTCGGTAAATACTCGGCCTTGTACTTTTTCCTCAACGCATCGTACGACGTCCTGTCGTAATGTGACCAGAATTCGTCCTCGGTATAATACGCATGCGCATACAGCCACTTCTTGCCGTTCAATTCCTGGACTTTGCGTTCCAGCGCGCGGTTCTTTTCAATGACTTGGCGGCGGTTGCCCTTGACGCCGCCCCAGACGCCAAAGTTCATCAGGTCCGGGGTATTCGGCTTGGCAAACTCCGAGTGCAAGCCGTGCCCAGAGTCCGGGTCGTCGCGGCGGATGCGCAGAGGGCAGATCCAGAGGGGGTAAATGTGCAGCTCCTTGTCCAGCCAGGCCTGGAATTCGACCACTTTATCGTACGGGACGCCGACGTCTTGGACCATGTAGTAGTCTGCGAGGCCGCTCTTGTGCACGGCGCGGTACATGACGCGGGCGTGCATGAAGGAGTCGAGGATGTATCTGGTGATCCTGTTGAAGGGCGTGATGAAGTAGCGGTAGGCATACACGGCCGTCCAGAAGCCGCCGCGGTCGTAGCGGAAGAGATAGTCCTCCAGGGGGACATAGTCTGTGACGAGCATTTCCTTGACGTTTCCCAGCCCCGTCGTCTTGAGCCGCTCCACGACCTCCTTGGCCCGCGTGTAGAACCACGGATCGCTGCGGCCGAGAAATCCCACCGGCTTCGTCCCAGCCGGCAGCTCATCCGTCAGTCTCCCCACACAGACAACCGTCGTATCCATGGAAAACACAATGGCGTCGACGTAGTCGTTCTCAGACACATCGCAGGCCTTCTGCACCCGCTTCAGCATGGCCGCCGCGCCCGCCGCCAGCGAATACTCCAGCTGCACGAACTTTTTCGCCTCCTTGAGCTGCACCTCCAGCAGCGTCACGACGCCCAGCGTGCCAAAGGCCGACGCCGCGCCCCAGAACAGGTCCTGCCGCTCCGTCTTGGACGCCCGCACCACGGCGCCGTCGGGCAGGACAATCTCGATCCAGTTGATGGTCGCGTCGAACGCGCCGTAGCGGAACGAGCTGCTCTCGCCCGACGTGCCCGAGAAGCCGCCGCCGACGGTGATGCCGGGCAGCTCCATCACCACCGGCGGCACCAGGCCATGGCGCAGCGTCTCGCCGACGAGGAGGTCCATCGGCACGTTCGGCTCCACGACGGCCGTCCTGGCGGCGGCATCGACGGCGAGCACGTGGTTCAGCCGGCTGGTGTCGATGGTGTTGTCGGCGCTGCGGTGCGAGCGGCGCGTGCTGTTGGTGGCGCCATGGTAGAGGCGGAAGGGCTTCTGCAGTTGATGGAAGTGCTTGACGCGCGCGGATATGGAGGAGACGACTGTCTCGTGAGCTTCCATGGCGGTGACGTCAGAGGTCTATTCCAACGGGGGACTCTATGTAAACGAAGCAATTGATCAATTGATGTGCACGCATGAAAACAAACGCTGTACTTTGTAAAATCCAGAGGCGCTGAAACCAATTGAGTTGATGAAATAAAGATGCATGAGACAAGTCATCAGCCAACATCCGAGGTTGGGTGATGCTAGAGATTCTGCTTACGTTAGTAGGGAGCTCAGCCACATGAAGCGGTATGCGCATAAGAGTCTAATTTACAACCAAAGCCAACGAGAGAGAGCATTGAGATAGTCAAGAGTTCAAAGTGAGAGTTTTCGTACAATGTAGAATACTAATAGGATAAAAAGGAGAGAGATAAGCAGGTCATTTGACATGCTTCCTACGGCACTTTCAGCTGCGTAGAGCCGTGCCTACATGTACCTATGTACCTGAGCTTTAGTACGTTTGCAGTGCCACTTACATATACCTCCACCACTTTACCTAGGTACCTATTGTAGCAGTCGAGGGGACCAAGAAAAGTCAAATTTTAATTTCAACACGGGTTGTGATGTTTGTAACTGAATGGATAAAGAAATAAATGTAAATAACTTGATATATAATGCTATTTGCACCGCATCAATCACGGAATCAATCTCCCAGGTATGATAAAAAAAAAAAAAATGAACCATCCAGCCTCCATCTATAGAAGCTCAACATGGGGGCAACAGCGGTTCAAGACCAGGAAATGGGATTTCTACCAGCGAAGTAAGCTTTTGTTTTTTTGCCAACGCTCCAAGATTGTCGACTTGAATATTTTGAAGTATATTTTCCCCAACTCCATCAAGCCCGCACACTTGAGGCTGCTTAGATGGATCAAAGAATATCGGAGCGTCTGCTGGCTTCTTCAATCTGAAGATGCGCCGAATTCCTGATCCAAAATCGTGAGCGAAACCTGCTTCCAACTTCATATCGAGGATAGCACTGAAAGGAATAGGCTCATTATTGGCATCGTGCTTTCTGTCAACAAGGATAGCCAAATGGAAGTGTGGCTCGACACCAGTCTTTGCGAGTTGGTTCTGCTCGCAGTACCACTGCACACCGTAGAGGCGGTCTTTGTGATCATCATATAAACGGTCGGCCGTCCCTCTGTCAAAGTACTGGCGTGTGTAGGAGATGTTGGCTTGCCTATTGGCATTTACATTGGCCGTCACGAATTGACCCCCAGATAAGCCAGCACCATAGCTGTTCCCATCCTGGTTGGATGACATGGTCTTATTCCAGCGCTTCTCTTCGACGAACGGAGCATAGGCCGCAACCTCTGGCGATGCTTCCAAGGCAGCCTTGGAAGAACCTGGCTCGTTATCTTCGCGGAAGCTGAGCGTGATTGTCACAGACCGGTATCGGCTGTTCCTCTTGTGGCACGACAAACGGACACTGAGGATGATAAGCGTCATGGGTTCTTTCTTTTCTGGAGTTTTCCATCCGTGAACACAAAGAACCAGCTCCACACTCTTTTTGAAATCTGACTTTTCTTTCGAAATATGGATAAACCGTCGCTGAAATCGATTACTTGGCGGGTTAGACGTTTTGAAGGCTCCGAGACGCTGATAAAAGTCTGGTTCTTCATCTTCGTAGAAATAATCTAGCGCATTTTGATCCATATTGTTTTGCATATTGGAATGGTGTCGAAATGCTATAGACTTCGTTTCATCCCACTGAGTGTTTGGTTTGGCACCTAGGATTACACAAAAAGGTAGGCATAAATGGTATATAAAGAGCAGACAAAACGCTCGTACTCCGATAATGCTTGCTTGGACATCTGTCGCAATTAAGAAATCTCAACAAAGGGCCAAAGTAAAGTACTACTATCAGGAACCATTAGGCATTAATGCACATATGCCTGTGACAATAACCGCGCCACTTATTCGGCTTAATTACGTGTGATTACATGCAGTTGGGCATAATCGTAGGTTGCATTTTGTACATGGAGGTGGAACCTCTATACAATTGTGCAATGAATAGCCTAATATCTTAAAATTCCATGGTTCTATCAAATGATAACTGAGTAATGAGTTGTTACGCTATCTTAACAATTTCGAATAGCAGCCTCACACATCCTTACCTACCATCTTCTGGGCCATAAGTGTCAGAGTCAGGTCACAAAGAAGAGTGATAGAGGATCAAGTGGGTCAGTTGCGATCCTGCTGATAGATTGCAGTTATGTACCATGAAAAGACTATATTTTTCTCTGCCCTCTTTCATAAAGAAGGGAGCTTTGTCCCTCTTTATATATCCGTTTTTTATGGCAATTAGGTTCTAACTAGTTGCGTCGCAGCTTCTTTGTCTTTTTTAACCTGACAATAAGCTTCATTAATCAATGTTGTAAAGTCAAATTTTTCGTTCAGCCTGTCCCTTCCACACAAATGCTGTGGTCTAACCCAGGGACCAAGCCTTGCAGACTTGGTATCATCGGACATATCGCCAAATCTTTCAATAACAGTGTCGCGCTTCCATGGTGTGTTAGGCCCTGGTGTGTTAGGCCCTGGTGTATTGAAATTCGTCGAAATGTGGCAACATGATAGAATCAAGGAAGCCGTGGCGGCTGCTATGGCTGTCGCCACAGAGCTGCCGGTCACATGATTATCGGACTTCAAGAATGGAACAGTCCCTAGCTGGATTTTGTCACCGCTGAATCGGTATATGAAGCCATCTTCCTGGCTTTGCTCCAGAGGTTTTCCCTGTTGGCTGCACGCTGAAATAGAAATGACTTTTTCCCGATTATCCGACTTGTTCAAGATGTCTTGCACAGCGCTGTGCCCTTCGTCTGCTGTGCTGCAGATGATGATGATGTCCTGGCGTTTCGCTTCATTGATTGCTTCCATGAGCTTTTCTGATTGATCTGGTTGATTTGATTGCTCGTTATTCTTTGGTAGCTGGGCATAAACAACAAGGCTCAGTGAAATAATATCCACTTTCTTTTGTATTGCCCATTTAATAGCCTCGGTAACATTGGCGACACTGAGAGAAGACGTCTTTGTCTCGGCTACCTTGGCAATATAGAGGTGACAGCATGGGTTTATGGCACAAATAATTGTTGCCATCTGGGTTCCATGTGGCTCAGAAGCGTGCCACCAAAGATATTCCCGATTGTCTTTGTTGATATATGATACTCCATCAACAATTCTCCGTGAAATGTCAATTTCGTTCTCGGGTTGGGGGTCTTCGGAGCTTTGTCTACTGACAGCAACTACCCCGCTGTCGACCAGGGCAATTTTCATCCTTGGGGGCCTATTCGTTTCCTTTTCATTTTCTCTGTAATAAGCTTTGAACTTGTCAATAAATGCTTTCAATTCGATTCCAGCAACATCAAGAGTACTAGTGAAATGTGGTAAGCAGATATAGTCGGGCGAGATCGCGTCCAAGTAGTTGCTCACATATCGCCAAGGTTTCGATAAACAGCCATCTTCTCGCTCGGAGAAAACCATTGGCAGCTGTTTACAGTGATTTTGGCTTTTAGTCCTAGAAATTCCATTTTTTCTTTGAGACTACTGAGCCAGTTTTCGGTGTTCTTAGCTCTTGTTTCTCTGACGAGATCCTGTCGCGTTCATCGTTAGCACTGACCTTGCTTCATATATTGGCAAAACGAGCTCATACCTCAATGATACGTATATCAAGTTCTTCTAGCTACAGAGTGGCACACATTAGTCCCTGATATCTTTTCGCACGTGTATTGCAGGTTCCTATGAGAGATTACCTTGGTAAACTTAGGAAGTTCGTTGCACCATTGGTCAATGACTGACTGATTGCCGCTGCTGTAGAGAGTTAAATGTTGTATATGATCTGTTTCTAATCCTGGGAGGTACAGATCTGGCTTTTTCCAATCGAGAATCCTAACATGTAGATTATTGACACAATCGATAACTTGATCGTCTCTGTGCGGCGAGTGCAGCCGATCGGAGACAACGAGCTCCAGGATTTCTGTCACTTTTCGGCCCTTTAGCCATTGAACAGCGTCACAGATCTCTGAATGATCTGTTCCGAACATGTTTACACTTGAACCTTGTGAGAAAGCAATCTTTTCCTCCAGATCAGGAAAACTGGCGTATTTAAGAACTGCCTCAAATTTCATGTAATCTGACTGGAGATCTTTGAGCGATTTGATGTACTTGGTGAAACTTTGCGAAGTCGTATCGAAATTCGGAAAATGAAGTGTCATAGATTGTACTGACTTGTTAAAACATCATCTGTGACGAGAATTTCATTATAGTGCTTGCTTACTCTCCACTGGGTTGGCATGAAATGTCAGATACTGAAAAACAGGGGCCACTAAACAGCGTAATGTTGGTTATTACTTACCTTTAGAATTGTTTCCAATCTCCTTGATAGTTTGAATTGCTAGATCGCTTCTGATCATTGCATGTACGAGAAGATTTCGTAGTCTGTCGTATGACTCCATGTCTTCTAACAAAAGTTTATGCCCGGCCAACAGCTCCAATGCGTATATCAGCTTGCCTTCATTGTTGGCAATGCAAGCTTCAATCTGCTGAGGAAACCTTTGCAGAATGTCTTCAACAATTTCACACTTTCCAGATGATACTGCATCGTGGAGCAGACGGCAATTCTCTTTGGTGAAGAGGTCTTTAAGCGTTTCATTGCTGAGCAATTGCCACATGTCATATGTTCCTTCTTTAATGATAAAACTGGCTCTGTCATTCGTGATGAAAGATGAATTCACTTTTTCTTTCATAAGATGTATAAGAATTGACATTGCTTTTTCTTCAACTGCTTTCTTCCAAACGTCTGGAAGCCAATCCGAAGGATCGGTATTGCAAATAATGATGTCGAATATTTCGAGGGCCTTTTGTAATTTCGTGGTCTTTCCTTCTGTTTTGTCGGCTTGTTTCTCTAAATCTGAAGTTGCTTTGATGAAGTTTTCGATGCATGAAGTTTTTTTTAATCGGATTGAGTCAACTAACGTCGGGTAACTTGTGTATAACAGCTGAACCACATTATAACGCATGTGTTTCGTTGCCAGCTCGAATGCTGTTTCATTTTTGTACTGCATGGCTAGCCCTCGTAAGATCTCGTCTGTGCTGCCATCTGACTGCTGCTCGTGCGTGAGAATCATGAATTGGATAGTATCATGATCTCCTTCAGCTGCCGCATGATGAAAAGGAGGAAGAGTTTCTTCGCCGTAAACATTGCTGAAAATATGAAAGTGTTCCTCGGAATTACAAAGTGCCTTAATCAGGCAGCCTTCCCATGACTCGTCGTAAATGGCGCTTCCATTCTTCTTCTTTTTAATTATCCATTTGTCAATGGCTTTTATAAATATCTCTCTTATTTTTGCCCGTGCCCTAGATTTGGAGCCTCTCGGAGAGAACAGCGTTTCCAAGTCCGATTGAAGTTGCTCTAATTGAGATTGCTCTATTTTTTCAGCCACGCCTTCAAGTCGGGAAAGTATATTATCAGCAGTAAAATCAATGCTTCCTAGGTCATTCTTCCGGAAATCGTCAACCGAATCGTGTTCAATCCCCATTCCATTAAGTATAAGTCTCATTAAATCAGCATCTTGGTTTTTAGATGCATTATTCATGCTGCTGTTTGCCATTCTGCGTAGAATACTCATTCGACTCTGTGTCATGGACTATCGTGAAGGATCCAGAATAATGCAATAGGTAGATGGCTCAAACACCGAAACTTCACCTTATATCTTTATCATGATTAATAAGCCGAGAGTCAGACTTATCTTCTGTTAAGGATGCGCAGATACTGATATCGCAAAATGATCCTAATTGATCTTAATGCATATGCATTCTCCGTCAGGCTTCATGTCTGAAAGCCTAAAGCCGAAAATGGACACCTGCATATCACAAAGGTAGCATTCTTTGATACCCAAAACCTTCTCCGACGTAGCATTCGATCCATAACATTGCAGGTATGCAAGGCAGCCAGGGAAATGAACACCAATACCGCAGCGCCAGCGAATTGTACAGATTTGCCTTCATGCCGCAATCTTTGTATATACGAATATTGAACCACGTCACAGCGTGATATTAGGCATCACTGATAATTTACAGATGCTTCGTATCTGCATGAACAAATGCCTAAGTGCCAACATCTATCGGGCGGGGAAGTGTATATCGCTACGTGGCATTCAGAAAACCAGCATGGCCTCCTTCCAAAGGCCAACGCATCTTTACACTTGGCAGTAAATGATGCCCAAGGCTGCAAGACAATAACTAATATGATCATGTATCAGAAATGTAAAGCCCAACAAAGGCACATATCAAGGCCTGGATGCCTGAAGCATTTGTTATAATTATTAAGGATTACAAATCAAATCAAACACACAAAATAACAAATGCATCCTTCATAAGCTAAGACGTAAAAAGCAGTAGATATGACACTGAACCAAGCACAACGGTCTTTGACATACAATCGAAACATAGAAATGATGTAACTGGTCTACAGATCCAATAAATAAGAAGATTAAATGTAACAATTAAATTTGCATTTATATGAAAGTCATAGTAGCATATTATCCAATGACATAGTTATAGCTCTTAAGAATCTTAGCAATGTAAAATAAGTCAAATTTGTAAAAATTGCAAAAATCATGTATGAGCCATGTGATAGTAGTATATATAAAGCGGACTGCCCACGCAATTCAGCATAATGGATTACTTACCCAGACTCATATCGCACTCCAACTTCTAGTAGCTTTGCATTTCGTTTACAAGATGCAGAAAGTTACAGATGCATTCAGAGAGGTATTTAGAGACCGGCGAAAGGTAACACCTCAAGATGAGAACTCTCATGGTAAAGATCAAAGACCCGCTATCTCAAGAACTACTTCACATTCCTCGCAAATTCCGATTGGAAGAGCAGCTTTTTCTCCGAGGACGTCAACAGAAATTATCAGACCCATCACACATCAAGGACCAGTAGAGCAACATCAGAAACATACACAAGAGTTGCAGAAGCGACAGCGAGACGACAATGCCCCTGCTACTATTGAAACACACGCAAGTCTACACAAAAGGGATCTCAACGTAAATAAATTCCAAATTCCCCGAATATCAATTAGAAATGCAGAAACTCCAACGTCGTCTCAACTGGATGTGCACGACAGCTGCAGAGATCCAGTGGCCTCTGCTTCATCAGAAAACCGACCAAAACAAGACCCAAAAGTGACGAGCAATAACGCTCAAAAGAATCCTGCTAAATCAGAAACCGATTCAATGTCTATACAAGGCTCTACTGACGAGCAGTTATGCGATTCAGTTATTACACATCTGTCACGCAAGCTTTGGGATAGGGCATACGATGATCTGAAACAACAATATGAACTGCTGGTGCAGGAATACGAGGCGATTTTATCAAGCCTAATGAGACGACGTAAAGGCAAAGATGTCGCCCATGTACCCGGAAATAGTCTCTCACCAAATAGTTCGTTTCCGAATATTATCAGTCAAAATGATTCGGATAAACGAGAATCGCAAATGGGAGATTTCGTGTCGCAATGGATATCAGGCAAAACCCTGCTGGCATCGTCCGATCCAAATAAGAGCGCTGAGCGGCTGAGAGGAATAATGAAGCGATCGCGGATCATGTTTCCTCAAGGGTCATTAGCTTGGGCCGGACTCTGTTGTGCGTCTTCGGTGAGTGCAAAATCATATCAGTAGCGATGCTCGCATACTCATTAATCCAATAGGCACTTCTGAATCCAACATCTTTGACCGAGGAAGCTTGTGATGGTATCATCACGCTTGCTTCAAAGATGCTTAGCTACATGAATTTGCCCAAACTACTTGTCAATTGCGAACTTAAAACAACAGTAAATGATAGGAAGCTGCAAAGGAGAATTATCGATCTCTATACGTCCATTCTTATGTTCGAAATCAGAATCTCGGTGCAGGCAAACTTGTCACCTTATGGCATTCCGGAATGTCTGAAGCGGATTGCCGATGCCGAAAAGGCGCTGTATGTTTCTGAAGAGACTACAAAGGAATTGACCGAGGTACTCAACTTGAGCAAAAAAAGCCACCATCAAGGGGCTATCCGGGAAACCATCAAAGAAAGACAGCAGAAACTTCTAGATCAAGGCGAATCCAACTCAGACCAAGATACCGTCGTTTCGGCCAAGTTGAACACCCAATTGACAAATGACCTATATCAATGGGCTACCTCGGAATTAGCATACCAGGTCTGGGCAAAATGGGAGAATACCAAAACCAACGAGAGACTACTCTGGCTACGTGGCAAAGCTGGTAGAGGCAAAACGACACTGACTTATGCCATTATGCAAGCAATGCAAACAATGGGAGATGCAGCCAGACAGCAGCATCCAACACAAAATCCTTTTCAGGTGGCATATTTCTTCTACAATAATGAGCGTGGCGTTGTCCCTGTCATAAAAAGCCTTATTCGACAGTTTATATCACAGCAACAAGAGCTTATCAAGCATCTCGCAGAGAAGTATGTATCGACAGGAAGAAAGGTCTTTGCTTATTCGAACGACTTTTTGGCTATGTCAGGTGTCTTTTTTGATATCATTATGGACGAGGCTTTTTCTAGAACCTATATTATCATTGATGGTCTTGATGAATGCCTTGCCTCTGACGGGTGGGCGGGACCTATTGATATCCTGAAACTTATCGCTTTATCGCTGGATAAGACAAAAGATACATCCAAGCTTAAATGGCTGATTTCTTCATCTTCTTCGAAGCGCATTTTGGAAGCTTTTTCTAAAGAAATTATGAGCAGTCTTATCCTAAGCCTTGACACGAATAGTGCGAACACGCCATTGAACAAGGGCATTCAGTCAATTCTACCCAACCACACCTCTTTTGAGGTTTCAAAGCTAGCACGGCGAAAAGGTTATGACAAAGAGCTTCAAAACAGGGTTACAACTCAGATGATTGAAAAGGCACTACTTTCCAGCAATCTCTTGTGGGTTAGTACGGTCTGCCGGGTTTTGGCTGCTGAAGAAAGCTGGTATGCCATACAACGCTTGAACGAATTGCCAACCGATCTCGGAGATTTATATTCGTTCATGGTTAAAGAGTTGATAAATCTACCCAAAAATGACGGGAGCTATTGCTTGTCTATTCTTTGGGCAATGAATACTGCGCAGTGGCCGCTTTATCTTTCTGAGTTGGCTACGCTAAGCGGGCTCCAGGGAGGTATTGACACAGATGGCAACGGTGCCATCAATGTGGGCACAAAGACGATTTTAGAGAAATGTTTCGCCTTTCTTAAGATTGATGACGACTGCGTCTATTTTTTGAACAACGAAGTAAAGGAGTATAGTGAAATGGCCGTTGCCCAGGGAGTTGATCGCTCACCAGACTACCATCATACGCTCTTAGCTGAGCGGTGCCTGAAGTCACTTGCTACATTTTTCACCAACCGCAGCAAGGATCCTACCTCTGTTTATTATTCAGCGATCTATTGGATATACCACGTACTTGAAATACAGTTTCCATCTGGCGCTATTCTCAATGCTGTCACCGACTTCTTGCAGAAATATCTACCGGAATGGCTAGAGCACGTAACAAAAAGGTCGTCTATACCGGCAGCTGTAGGGCTTCTACGTAAATTGGACTTGAAGATTCAAGTAAGCTCCAACAAATTTCTCAAAGGATGTCCTGAGTTGTGCGTGCTAATGGTGATTTGAAACAGGCATTACCATCAGCTCCCCCAAATGATATTAGCCTCATTGAAGACGCTCATAGAGTATTCCTACTTTACGAATCATTCAACACTCCCTCAAATATTCACAGCCACAATACTCTATTGTTTTGTCCTGCAGAAAGCCCAACCAGAAAATCTCATTTAGCTTCCGCTTTCCCCTACCTTCTTCAGGCCCCCACCGTTGGGAGAAGATGGACATCCAACTTCTTAGTACTTGAAGGGCATACCGATTGGATTAATAGCATGAGATTTTCACCGGATGGTCGCTTCATCGTCTCTGGATCTTCTGATAAGACCGTTCGAGTTTGGGATGCCGAAACAGGAGCTATTCAACATATAATGATGAATAATCAAAACTACGTTCGGAGCGTGGCCATCTCAAATGCTGGGGTTATAGCGTCTGGCTCAGAGGATGGCACCACTACGTTATGGGATTCGAGCACTGGTAAACCTTTCTGCACACTCAAAGACTTTAATGGTTATGTCAGAGGTCTCCATTTCTCTCCAGATGGCACTAAACTTGCCGTAGCGACAAGCAAGGCTCTTGAAATTGTCTGTTTATCCACAAACGCTCGAGCCCAGACGACGGGCTACGATAGCGCAATATACTGTTCCTCTTTTTCTCCTGATGGGCGCATGATTGCAACAGGGTTTCTGGATGGAATTGTCAAAATTTGGGACGCAACGATGGATATTGCGAGTTCAGGTCCTACCACTCTCGGCGTTATAAACATATTGACCGGGTATAAAGGCCATCCACGCATTGTCAAGTTTTCCCCTGACTCAAAAATTCTTGCTATTTGCTCAAATAACTTTACAAGCTTTTGGGACACCCAGACCTGGACGCTAAAGCGTAGGCTTAAAGATTTTGCATCAATCGGCGGGGCTGCGTTCTTTCCTGATGGGTCGCATTTTGTGTCTAGTACCGACGAAAGCACCATGGAGATATGGGACATGGAGTTATGGGACATTGAGAAATGGGACATGGAGAAATGGGACATGGAAACTGAGAAGCCGAAAACCCAACTGAGATGGTCCGGATCGCCCGCAAAGTCATTGTGTGTTTCTCCCTCTGGTCAATATATTGTTTCATCTGGCCGTGATCGCCTTATTCGGTTTTGGTATGCCCATAAACAGCTCACCGAGGACATCGGCGATCCTAATCAACTAACAAGCTACCCAACTACTGCTTTGGCGATTTGTCCTGCTGGGAAATGCATCGCCTCCGGTCTGAAAAGTGGCGATATCTGTCTATGGGATGGAAATACTGGCGAGAGAATTCGAACTAGCGATGTGTTGAAACATGACTCCAAAGTCAACTACTTGGCGTTCTCAAATGATGGACAAAAATTGGCATCTGTGTCTCACGATAAGTCCGTTCGGCTTTGGGATACAAAAAGCGGTATCCTTCTCAAGTGTTTTGAACAACATTCGGATTGGGTTAGATGCGTTGCTTTCTCTTCAAATGGAAAGTACATTGCTTCAGCCTCTGATGACTATACGGTCTTGATCTGGGATGTGACTGGTGTGGAAAGTCCCAAGACACTGACAGGCCATCGCGGCTATTGCCGCTGTGTTGCTTATTCTCCTGATGGTAGCTATATTGTATCAGGTGGAAACGACAACCAGATTATAGTATGGAACTCAGAGACGTGTGAGCAAGACAGAACAATAAAGATCACCGGTGGCGAAGTCACGGCCGTTGCGGTCACCCCAAACTCGCAGAAAATATTAGCCTCTCTCAGCGATGGCACTCTCAAAGTCTGGGATATTGGTAAAGAGAAGGAACGACAGTCATCTAACAAGGGCAAGGAGTTACAATCAATTACCCAAGAGACGGAACAGCAACCCGTTACCCAAGAGAATGAATTGCAGCCAATCCCTCAAGAGAAGGAACTGAAGTCAATTACAACCTCTCATAAGAACGGCTTCAACAAGCTATTCTTTCCTAGCGATGCCCAGCAATATGTTATGACAGAGGTTGGGCCCATATATATCGAAGATGATACAGCCGAACAACGCCTCAACCACCTCCCATATGCTTTGAAGTATGATGAGACGGAGCAGCAGTGGTGGATTACACATTTGGGCCAAGATGTCATATTTTTACCCAAAGAGTATCATCCCGAAGATAAACATGCGGTAGCTGTTCTTGGACACAAAGTTGTGATAGGATGTAAGTCTGGACAAGCTTTATTATTTAGTTTTAAAGAAGGGAGTTTGGGTCTGAGTTAAGTTTGCACACACAAGATAATACGCTCATTAATTATACGGAATTTACTATATCCCAACTCGGTTTATCTCGTCTTAATAGTGAAGAAACTCCAAGTATAGTTTTTCACATTTCCATAACAGATATCAAGTAACTTGACTCATAAACAAAATACGCCTTATTAATTCCCATTTTATATACCGCGCCTTATAAATAAATTACACCTCTAATTCCTCTTATCCCTCTTGTACTTGCCCACCTGTTTCGGCTGGCTGCCATACGACCTCCTCGCCTGCACCTTGTCCTTTCCCATGCTCGCGCCCAGCTGGATATCCACTCGCGGAGGCGTAGAGAAGCCAAAGCTCTTTGCAATTTTGACCAGGTCCAGCTTCTGCACGTCGTAGACGGACCGCAGGCTGTGGCTGGCGTAGGCGTGCAGGTAGGCCTTGAAGGCATCCTTGGCGCTCTGCTGCAGGTAGTAGTTCTTTCCGATGAGCTTCTCGAGCTGCGACTGGACGTTGATAATCTTCTTGCGCGGGAACTCGAACTCGACGACGGGGACACGAGCGGCCTTGAGGTGGGACAGGAAGCCGACTTCGTTGGGCTATTGCATGTGTTAGTGATTGGAGAGGCAGAACAGCTATGCGGTTGGAGATGAGTTTACCTGAAGGAAAAGCAAGCTGCGGCCCTTGGCATCGGAACCTCGCGCTGTTCGTCCGACACGGTGAATGTAGTCGCGAGTGTTGTCCGGGGGGTCAAACTGGACAATGAAGTCGACGGCGGGAATCTAGGATTTAAACAGTCAGTATTACAACATCTTTTGCTTTTCCCCAACAACGGCAAAAGACACTCACATCCAAGCCACGAGCAGCAACATCAGTGCAGATGAGGATACCGTGCGGCGCATTGCTAAACTCAAAGAATGTGTTGGTCCGCTTCTGCTGCTTCTGCTTGCCGTGAAGATCCAGCACCGGACAATCGATGTAGTTCAAGAGCTCAGAGTAGTATTTGACAGAGTTGCAGCTGCTGAAGAAGACAATGACCTTCTTCTTCTTGGCCTGCATTTTTCGGAGGAAGGAGAATAAAAGTAGGAAACGCTCATCGCCCTCGCACAGGACGTAACCCTGCTCGAGGCCATCGACTGTGCTGTGCTGCTTCTCCTCGTCGACGTTGATGTATAGCGGGCCGGGTCGCAGAGAGATTCTGGCCAAATCCTCTGTACATCACAAATTAGTTAGCCACTCAATTAATGATGTAAGTCAACCCGTAGAAAAATACTCACCAACTTTGGTCGTCTGTGTCGCAGAAAAGAGCATAGTCTGTCGGTCATCGTTTGATAGCACCTTGACAATCTGCCTCATTTCATCTTCGAAACCAACTTCCAGAATACGATCGGCCTCGTCGATGATCAGAGACTTGAGGTTCTTGAAGACAAATTGGGTGTTGAGGAGGTGATCGAGCAGTCGGCCGGGGGTGGCAATCAACAAGTTGACGCCCTTGGTCAGCTTCTCGACCTCTGCTCTTCGGTTGGCTCCTCCAATGACGATACCGTACGTCTGTGAGTGGTGCTTCATCAGCTCGCGTGCGACGCCGAAGATCTGGAGCGCAAGCTCTCGGGTGGGGGACACAACGATGACGCCAGTGCCGTTTCGAGGCTTGAATCGGAGAGAGCTGAGGATTTCGATGGCGGGAATCAGGAAGGCGAGCGTCTTTCCGGATCCAGTCTTAGCTGCACCGAGGACGTCCTTGCCAGCGAGAAGAGGTGGGATGGCCTGCGGAGGAAGCAGTGTTAGTAAATCAACAAATACAGCATGCCATTGAAGCCGGGAACTTGATGAGAGAGACAAACGCTGCGCTGGATGCTGGTCATCTTTGTGAAGCCCATCTCTTGAATTGCCCTCATGGTCTTTTCGGTCAACTTGAGATCTTCAAACTTGTCAGACTCGGCCAGGGTCGATAGTATCGGCGCAGAGCTGGCCGGAATGACATCGCCATCGGCATTTCTGGCGACAGCATTTTCTTCTAGATCGGATCCTTCGCCCGCGTCTGATTCTCCGTCCTCATTGCCATTCTCCTGCTCAAGGTTTGAGACAGCATCTTCATATCTCGACTCCTCCTCCTCATCTGATGCTTCTTCGTCGTTTTCCTTGGGCTCGGCGGGGGGAGGATTCTTCAGCTTTTTTGACTTTTTGCTGTCGGCAGCGGCATCGGTCTGATTGCGCTTGCGCTTGTTGTTCAATGTAGCGCCAGCCATGGTTGACGATGTGGTTTATGGGTATTTGCAGAGGGCTTGTTGGTAATGCAGCAGGAATATTTCGCCAGCAATCAGGAACCGATAAGAAAAAAAAAAAGTTGGTTTGCGATTTGCAAAAAACGGGGATCCACTGTGGTGGGGTTGCGCCACAGATGCGCAGTAATCAATGGAGCTAAGAGGGCACCAGCCACAGGTACGTACTTTGTTCAGCTCACCACCACACTTGTGTTTGGTGATGGTATCAAAAGGCAGCAAAACGAACAGTTTCACCTCATCAGCTATCGATTGATGAAAGATTTATTTTAGTTGATTGAATTTTTATTTTTATTTTTTTCGTTTGCATTATAACCACCCTAAAAGTCAAAAAGAAGACCATGGCATCACTCAACTTCATATCCACTTACAAACGGCTCTTCGCCGCCAAATACGTCCCTCCCAGCTTCAACATGTCAACCGCCTCCTGCACCATCTCCGCAACAATCTCCCCCGCCGGCTGAATCTTGTCAATCGCACCCGCAACCTGCCCCATCAAATGCGGAATATCAATGTCTCGGCCCTCGTCCAAATCATGCTCCATCGGAATGACGCCCTTGCCCACGAGTTTCTTAATCTCCTCTGGCCGGTCATGCCAGCTCTGGATGTAGCCATTGGTCCTCATCCGCAGCGGCCGGCCCGTCATCACCAACGTCCGCTCCGTGCCTTCAAAGCCGCACGTCACCACCGCCTTCTTAGCCTCCTCGCTGCATCCAGCCTCGTCCGAGGCGAGGAACCGCGTGCCCACCCAGACGGCCACGGCGCCCTGCATCAGCGAACTGGCCAGGCCGCGTCCATTGCAGATGCCGCCTGCAGCAACGACGAGAGCCGGTGAGCCCTGGAGCATGGGCGGCTTGTACCTCTTTGCCACGTCGACGACGGCCGGAATCAGGACCGAGTTGGCGACATCGCCTGTGTGACCGCCTCCTTCGCCACCCTGGGCGCACACGATATCCACGCCCAGGTCCAGAGCCTTGACGGCGTGTTTTGGATGCCCCACCATGTTCATCACCAGGATGCCGTTCTTGTGAAGCTTCTCGAGGACGTGCTTTGGCGGCACGCCAACCGCACAGACAAACAGCTTCGCGCCGCTGTCAATGGTGATGTCAATCAGCTCGTCCAGCTTGCCGTGCGTGTAGTCGTGATTCGTCTTGCGTGCATTTCCTCCCACCTGCGGCAGAGCCAGATCGACGCCAAAAGGCAGGTCAGGGCTCTTCAGATTCGCCTTGAGCTCGGCAACAATCTCGCGCAGCTGGTCCGGCGTGTATTGAAAGCCGCCGATGACGCCCAGGCCGCCGGCATTGGAGACGGCGGCAGCAAGGCGGCCTCCAGAAGTGCGGGCCATGCCGGCGAGTATAACGGGATGCTGGATCCCCAGCAGCGTGGTGATGGGGGTTGTGATGGGTCCGGTAGGCGCCATGATTACAATTGGTTGTGAATGTTGTAGATGGAGAGAGAGCACGAGTGATTCGCGTGTTATCCGCTTTTACACATGGGAGGACAAACAGGGGACTCAGTAAGATCAATTAGCCAATTGCTTGAGAGAGACACGGTTCAGCTAATAGCGAGAAAACATTACAATGAAGAGATAAAGGTGAAAAGAAAGAGTTGGGCAGTGACATGAAGAAATAACCAAACGTTGAACCCCCTTCCAGCCATCGGCAGCAATTCCACGCCTCCGTGCCCGTTCTCCGGCTCTAGGCTAGGCACACGCTGCGACAGACCCCTAAAGCGGCAGCGGCTACGGCCCCAGCCGCTTTGCGGGGAAGCGATCGATGCCGAGGCATCACGAATCGGCCTGATGTGGAAACTCCACGGAGTGAGAGTACTATAAATGCTCCGAAAGTGTGTATGAAATGGTATTCGAGCTTGCTGTATGGCATCTAGAATAATAGCAGAAGCAAGAATCAACCCTAATTATGCCGACTCTTCCCCGGTACGGACATTACATGGTGAAAACTTGAACAGAAAGCTTCTCTACAATAGCGTCTCGAGAAGCACTCCGGATAGATCACATGCATATCGTCAGAGGGAAACAATTATATAAATTGCATTTCATTTCTCATTCATTCATTATATTCGTCAGTCCAAATCTGTACCCCCTCTCCGCGTCATTCCATTACCGCGCTAGCAGGCCGCTGGTAACAATCTCAGCATTTCCCGCCCAAGTCGGTAGTAATAGTGACATCTAGGCGTCCCGTGTCAGTAGTATTATATATAGGTCGAAGACTACATGTAAACGTATCCGAAGCTTTTAATCTTCTGCAAAGCCAGCAACGCTCAATAGCTCATCCAAAATGTGGCAGCCGCGCAGGAACGAAGCCGCTCTTGACAGTGGGCGTTGTCTCATCTTTCGCCTGAGCCTCCTGGTCATGTCCGGATATCCCGGAATCGTGAAGGGCACCTTCTTCATCACCCTCGTCATCGTCACTCTCCTCACCATCTTCCAAGTGTATCTCGTGTGCCTCTTCTTCCGGTTTATACTCATCGTCTCCCACATCCGCCGGCTTCGGCTCTGCTTCTGTTTGCAAACCTCGGTCCACCGCCAATTGGGCTGCAGCCTCTTTCTTCTTTGCCAATTCTTCATCCTCTTCTTTCCCTAGGCGTTCTTCTTCTAGCTCGAGGTCTCTAAGTGATGGTAGCGGCTGGGCGTCTTGTACGGATTCTTGCGATACTGCTCCAAATATGGCGAGGCCAAGGCCCAGAGATTCTCTTGATCCGACGGAGCCAAGGGTTGTCCTAGATACTGTTCTAGAGACGGTATGCGCCGGCCGCTTGCCTTTACTGCTCGGCGTTCTTCCACTCCTGCTGCTCCTGTCATCCTTTCTAATCATGTCATAGGTCACCTCATCATCGAGTGCTATTGCATCTTCGTCTCCTTCGCCGTCGCTGGGAAACAGATCACCACGGGAACGATAAGAGTCTGATGTTGCGCCTGACCCCGTTGTACCGCTCCGCTTCCTTGACCGTGACGGTTGTAGTAGTTCTCCGTGATCCGAATCGTCTTCCGCTCCCAGCAGCGGCTGCGTCTCGGTATATTCGTGTTTTCTGGCACCAGGGTGCTCTTGCAGATCCGCCGCACTAGGTTTGTATCGCAAGGTACCACCCATCTTCCAAGGGAGCTTGCTTAGGAATCCAATCGGCTGGGTGCTGGGGATAATGGTGGGATCCTGCTCGCTGTTTTTTCTCCTGGCCCCTCTGGTTCCGTAGCTCATGCCTCGCTTTCGGCGCGGCTGGTGGTCGACCGTCTCAGGCCTCCTCTGGCTGCTGCCAGAGCCAGCCAAGAGCCGATCCCAGTCTTCCCCGCCCCAGTTGCCCAGCAGCCCGCCGCTCTCTTCCTCACGATCCCAGTCATCGTAGAAATTAAAACTGTATTCTGCCCTCTCGCGGGCGCGCTCTCGCTGCCGTCGGATACGCTCTTCGGCATCGCCCAGGCAGACGGCCGTGCATTGCTCAATGGCGCCTCGGACCGACCCCAGGCAAGGGTTGATGTAGTGGTGCTGGAATGTCCAGATGCCGGCAGCGGCATTCTCAGTCACGGCCTCTGCGTCGTGTGCAATCTGGTTCCAGCGCTGACGCAGGCGTGGATCCTCGAGAAAGGCCATTGCTGGCGGTTGGGTTGCTGGGTTTTGTTGGTTTACTGCTTGGCGGAAGCGTACCCAACTGGTGACGTCGCAGACATCAAATGGAGCGGCAGACGAGAATGGCGGGCAGCTCAGTGTGCCATCTCAGGGGAATCAATTGCTCGCAAGACTCGACGACCTGTAATCCGCTGCTCTCTGGGTGAAATGCCACAAATCGGACGATGCCCGGGTTACTGTTGAGGGTTGAAACAATGGCAACGGAGTCCTTCGGTGTTTATGCTGAATTAGCCTGAAGCGACCCATTGATGAAACAGCATCAATAAGAGGCGGTGGCACGTGCAGCCATCTCAGACAGTGGCTCGAGCTTATGTAACGCCGCCCGGCCAGAGCTCGAGCTTCTTTAGCCTCTGGGACTGCGCTGTAACTTTCAACTTGGCGCTATAACGCGGTGCTAATGCATGGAATATTCTGCTGTCGGTCTCGGTTCGCGCAGATTCAAGGCGATCTGAGCACAGGTTCGACGCCACCGATTTTCACTTTCTGGGGTGCATGCGCGAAAGTCAAAGTCTGGCCACAAAATTTGTCTTTGAGAGTATCACAAAGTTGTGGTACCTGAGGATCCACCTGCTGATACACATCTTTTCGTCTTGATGCAAAGTTAAATTTGCAGGGGATAGCTATCTAGATGCTCGGATATTGCTAAATAAACGAGCCCCATTCGTGCAGTGGAAAGTTTTCCGAATGTCAGTCTTCTTGACGCCACTTCATAGCTGTGTGCTTCAACTTTGCTACAACAAATAGTGACATTATTTTGTTACAGGCTGAATCTAGATACATATCCATGTTATTTATCGCCATTATTGAGTACGAAGATATCGCCAAGGTCATCGGTGGAGGGACGGCTTTTACATCCTGACCTAGACAGTGCTTTGCAAAAGAATCCACGCCTAAATTGCACGGGTGTAAGAGCCTATTGGCATTCAATCATTTCCTGCGAAGCTTAAAATCGTGTAAATAAGCTCTATTAAAATATTTGTGCTGAAACCGATGTTGCCATTGCATGTAAACCTTTTGGTTGGCAATATCCAGGTCTGTAGGTTAGCCGACAGCGCTTGAGCAGCTGAATTACACGTCTACAAAAGCGCTTATCGCGGATAATGGTGGAACGATTCTGAGGTGAGAATTTATTCAATTAAAAGTCTGTGAGCCAGGGTCTATGTGTGGCATCTGATAGAGTGGGATGGCTTTTATCGCAGAATGAATATGTGGCATGAAGAGAAATAAATAACAAGAGCACTCTATCAGATCCAAGATTGAAAGCAAGAAGAAAAGCAAATAATTGAATATCAAGCCATGTCCAAATCCATGTCAATGAATTGTGATTGTCAAGTACGAGAAAAGAGCGTGTGCAGTCGGGTTCTCTACAATTAGCGAGTTGTGCCTCCATTATAAGCAGTCCCTCTCCATTTTTGCTACTTTACTGATTGGAGCTTGTTGTTTATATTTCACTTTTTATTATTATTAATGCGTCAATAAATTATTCTCCATAGCTCACGCTGGCTCTATCTATGCAAACTGACAATAATCATCTATTACAACACCCTCCCCTTCATCCAAGCACTCTTTATGAGGCACGGCACATCCTTCCGTTGCTAGCAACAGTCCAGGCCTCACTGCCCACCAGGCGGTTACCCCAGAAGAGCGCATTGGGATCGTACTTCTTCTTGATTGCAAGAAGCGTGTTGTAGTTGGAGCCGAAGAACTCCTGCTGGAAGTTGGGCTGCTGGAAATCGCCCTCGTTCATGTAGATGCCGCTGCCGGGAGTCACGGCCTCAAGCTGGGGCATGTACTCGTGGGTAATGGTGTTCTGGTCCGCAATCATCTGCGAGAAGGGGGCCGTGTTGTTCCAGGGCGTGCCGATCTGCAGGTGGATCGTGGTGTTTCGCCATGCCGGCAGGACGGCGTTGTTGACGCCGGCGGGGCGGGCGTAGTTTGCGGAGCTGCCGGCCATGACGACGCCCTGGGCGGTGAGGTTCTGGATGACGGCCTGCAGACCGTCGTTGTTGTTGACGAGGACGCTGCGGGGGATCAGCCTGCTGCCGTAGTTGAAGTCGCCGACGTCGAGGCTGCCGTAGGGGAGAGGGCCCATGTAGGTTGCGTAGTGGTCAAAGTACGAGAGCTCGGTGTACTTGATGGTGGCGGGAACGCCCAGCTGGGAGAGCAGTGCGGTGAAGGGGGCGAGGACGGTGTTCTCGACGTAGTCGGCGGTGGAGTTCCAGACGGTGATCGGCTTGACCTCGAGGATCTGGTTGTTCATCAGGTACACCACCATGGCGCCCTGGTCGATCATGGTGGGAATCATGGCGTAGAACTCGGAAATGACCTGGTTGAAGAGGTCCGGGGTGGTGGTGGCGGCAAGAATGTCGATCTGAGCACCACCGATGGTGGTCTCGGGATGGACCTTGACCGTCATGGAGGTAACGACGCCAAAGCCGGGGCCGCCTCCGCTCAGAGCCCAGTACAGGTCGCTGTTCTGCGAGGCAGAAGCAGTCACGACGGTGCCGGCAGCGGTGACAACCTCGAACTCGAGCGTCTGATCGGCGCCGAGGCCAAACTGGGTGCTGAGAGCAGAGTGGCCGCCACCCTGGGTGAAGCCTCCGGCGACGCCAACGGTCGGGCACTCGCCGGTGACGGCAACATAGCCCGCAGCGTGGGCAGCCTCGAGGATCTCAAAGCCTTGGATTCCGGCACCGACCTTGATCGCGGGGCCGGTGTAGTTCTTGCTCGAGTAGTTCTGGACGCTGACGCTCTTCAGGTTGTGAGTCCAGATGCCCAGCGCGCCAGCACCGGTAGAACGGCCAAAGAAGCTACAAAGGAGATTAGTCGATGATGCTACAGAAACACAAGTGAGTGGAGGTTGGCGTACTCATGGCCGGTGTTGCGGACAACCACGCGGATGTTGTTCCTGGTAGCAAAGGCCAGCGCGGCAGACACGTCGGCGGTGCACGAGACGTTGACGGCATAGCTGACGTAGTTGCCCAGGAGACAGGGCCGGGACTCGGGCGTGAAGGCATCGCAGCTCTGGTTGGCGAAGAAGGGTTGCATGATGGACGACGAGGTCACGTAGCTACATAAGCAATTAAAACTCCATCCTTTGCGCAAGGATCATGATTCAGGCGTGTACGAACTGTGTCTGCGGCAGCTCCCAGTTGGCCTGCAAATTGGCACAAACGTTCTGGTTGTACTTGGGGTCGTGGCATGGCGTGCCCAGAGGGACCGTGGCGATGAGGCGGCCGCCGAGCGTCTTGTTCAGCGACGCCCATGAGGCTGCGGATGGCCATCCAGCATCGCCGGGAAGATTGCGGCACGCGGGCGCAGGAGGAGGGCGAGCGGCGGTGTCTGCGTTTGCAGCAGCAAACAGCGCGACCGCGGCCGCGATGGAGTATCTCATCTTTGCTTTTCTTTTCTTTCTGGGTGTGTTGTTTTCCCTTACGTCGTGTCTTCTCCTAGGCGTCGCAGCGTGGTGAAGCTCGGGATTGCAGCGAGCAGGATTCAATATCACGGCCAGCGTGTGTCGTTGCCGGGCAGTATATACACGCAGCGCGGTGGATAAACGAAATCTATCGCATCGTGCTATCGGCTGCCTATATGGAGACGTTGGAGCCCGGAGATTGTACAGCAGGTGAGAGTGGCATCCCGGCGCGCCGCCTGGTGTAGAATCATGCCTCGGCTGGGTGGAGCGGTGGTCTGTCCAACGGCCAAGTCCGCGACCTGTCGAGGAGAGTCTGAGCCGATATAGCCAACACAATCGTGCCGGACACGTGTGGCACTAGCAACGGTGTGTCGTGTCTCGGAGACTAGCATTCCAGTTGCAATCCACTCATCGGATGGGAGTCGTCTTATACGGAGCAATTGCTCTTGTAGCACAAGTGAGTTGAATACCAAGATGCTATGCTACCATCTTCTAATTCTACGAGAGCCTTCTAGTGCTAATGAGATTTTCAACTACGGTGCTCTGGCAAGGTCGCTTACATGATTCCGTACTTGTAGGCATTGGGCAGCCACTTACAGACCTGGCATGGATGTCTCGGCTCAATCCCAAGTAGACGCAGGCAGGCAGGGCCTTCTTCAGTCTTGCTCGTCTTCATCACCGGACAGCTTTCTTAGTAATTAAAGACCTGGTACAGCAAGTGTGCGGCGCAGTCCTCCCGGATTTGGCGGCCTCAGCCGCGCTCGGAGAAGCACCGAATCCAGCTACACCAAGTCGCATCGCTCCAGAACCTGAGACCGAATCCGTGCTTAGCCCGTCTTGGGGCCAAGCCCGATCTACGATAAAGGCATGCGAGCCAACCCCCTTTCCATGCAGCTCCCAGGGGCTGGGTCAGCTACACACACCCATAATGTAGGTGGTGGCACTAGCGAATATGCCGCTTCGTTTTCTGGACGCTTTATGGAGCGGCTGTATGTATGCCCTTGGTCTTTTCCCACCTGAGCCGCCAAGAGTTTTATACAAAGTAGCGTAGGAACTCGGCAATGGCTGAGGAGCTGGAAGAGTCAGCTTTGGTCTAATTTTTTTTTTCTTTTTCTAAATCTTCAGCTTTGCCCGCGATGCCGTAATCTCTGTTCGTTGCTAACAAGGCAATGGCCCTACGTGGGGTAGGCTTGTTGCGTTCTTTGGTAAGGTCGAGTGGCTCTTCCCAACAGACTGGGAGATTGCTGTGCTCCATACGGCCAAAACCCACTCACTAATCGTGGAGACAGGGATCGTTTTGTTCGTTTGTTCGCCGTGGCTAGCCATTTACTCACTCGTACGTTCACTTCGCAGCGCTGTGTCCAATAGGCAGGACAGTTGACAGGGTCTTTTTGTACCTGTATGGCAACAGTTCCTATTTTAGGCAGATCCACCTCACCGGCATCAATTGTGGCCCTCGCGTGGCGAGAAGAAGCTAACGACCATGGAAGTCTCTGCCAAGTCCTAGCTGCGGGCACATTGCCAGACTAAGAAGCAGACCTATCCTCCAGGTCAAACCGCGTTCCTACATAGACTGACACATACTCCGGCTCAAGGAGACGCTTCCCCTGCATGTATCATGCAAAAACGCTTCATCCGTCACGGCCCCGTTGTGCTATCCGAGCAATGTCTGGGTTGTGAATCCTGGTGTAGTTTCGAGTCTGTCCCCGCGAAATGTGATCATGTAAGGCTTAGGCGAGCTTCTTGGAGAGGGCTCTTATAGATGCAGGAGATGAATAGGTCATGTTCTAGAAGCTTGCTGTCAAGGGAGAATACTCAAAGATGCGCCGGATCTAAAAACCTTGGCTGCGTTTTCTCGATATTATGGATGGGGGGAACGCGCATTTCAGCCTTTATACGGATACTTCTTTTTTGACCCTAGCCAGCTGAACCTCCGGTCCGCCAGGTTCATTTTTTTTTTCTTGCCCCCCTGACTCACTAGAATCCGGTGAGGTTGCATCTAGGTCTTACAGGTGCATTCAAAAAGAGATCTAATTGCCATCTAAATGCCCGCACGTCTTTCAAGGTTCATTCCAGATCTTTTCCATGCGAAGCCGGATATTCACTCATCCAATGGTTGCTGCCTCTTCGGGCCATTCTTTGTCCCCCTGGACCAGCTCCCCGGTGGTACCCAGGATTGGGATGAACCCCCATGCCGGTATTATGGTTCTCGACCACGTTGCGGTAGCATGTTTATTTCGTCTTATTAGCTAGCCCATAGAAGACCGTTGAAGAAACGGTGACCCATCAACGCGTCTGGATAGCCTGCTTTTGAAAGGATTCCAACTTCTGCATTTCTCCGAAGCTAGAGTATGGGGTTTGCATGATACTAAATAACTACTACCGGGACTGTTTCCTGATATAGGCACACGTCTGCCTATAGACATAGTTCATCATCGCTTGCTCATTCTTATTAAGCCCAAGATCCGGCCTTTGTTCGAAATAGCCGCGCGAATGGTCCATGAGAAAGCGAGGCGCATAAATATTACTCTCTCAATTAGCCAACTCTAAAGCGATTGAGCATAGAGCCCGGATATGTGAAAGAGACTATCGCCAGGCCCATGCCGATGTCAATATACCCAGGGTTAACGTTGAGTTCTCATTTCCAATACTAAGCGATACTAATGGCATAGAACGAGAAAAGCAAAGCAATGCCAGTTTGGAGATTGCAAGATCATTTCCCGAATGCTGAATGACTAATGGTAAACCATCCCGGCAACAGCCTAAGAGCTTCACTGAGAACATCCTAAGCGAGAAGTCAAAGAGTCCAAAGAATTGCCAAAGTAGTGATTTTTGGCTAATCTTGGCACTTGATTGAACTTTTCGTGGAAATCCAAGTCTCTGATTTCCAAACATGTATATAACAATTTCTGACAATCAACTTTGACAAGCCATCACGAGCAATTAGCGTCGATGATTTCCGGCTCCCGAACGAGATTCGGTGGAGAGGAGAATGAATGAAAAAAGATCACCATGGGCCGTGAGCTCCCATAGCGCCGCCGATCTTTTTCTTGCAGATCCCCTTCTGCACGAAGATCCGGGGCTGCTGACAGCTTTTCCGAATTGCGGGAGCGAAGAATTGATCGAACGGCGGGAAAGCCGGTGTTTACAATTCCAATAACTTGTACGCCGCGGCCCAGTTATTAGTTTGGCTTTTTTTTTTCTTTTCTTTTTTCGGTGGGCTTGGTGGTGTTGTGTGGACGCTTGAGTCCGGCAGACCGAAAAGGAAGGTCTCGGAAGCTAACGGACTCAGCCTCTAGTTGAGAGGAGCTATAACACGAGGGGGCCCGTCTTGGGTCGTATCTGAGAACCGGACCTATTAAGACAGGGTTGCAGAAAGAGAGAAAGCTTGGATAAAGCCGAGCAAGTGTCAACTTCCAAAGAAGAGTCCCAAAACGTAGACACATTCGGTATACTGTGCGACGTACGGTAGATGATTCGGGCTTGTACCTATAACCAGTGCCTTGTATGCTGTGTACCGGGAGAACATTCCAGACTTGCAGCTAAGCAAAGCCAAGTCCCGGAGCATGGCAATAAGGTTGGCCGTTAGGGAATTTAATCTCAAATTCATCATGCGTCTTCGGTGAATCAAGAGAGTTACTTTTGAAACTAACCACACGTGCTTCTGACAAGGCCGTCTTGTCTTCATGCATCTTCAGTTTTGGACCGAGCACCTGCAGCCTGCCATCTGAATTCCAGGACCCTCAGGAGTTCTCCTGCTGTACAAGTAGATTGCACATCTCCACCAAGCGTTTCACGGGGAATCTTCAGCGCCGTACCGCGAGTTTAGTGTCCTGTCTAGCATTCAATGCAGCTTAGGGCTCGGGACCTGGAGCCTGCTTTGGGCGGACGCTAAAATATTGAGGCTTGCAGAAGTCGGTTTTGGATGACATCCCTAACCATGCTTCTCAGGTTTTTTTTTTCTCTCTCCCCCGCTTCTCAGGGGGGCCTTGTATGCGACGGGGACTTTGTTCAGCTAACTTTTTTTTTTCTTCAGTCTTTTTTACGATGAATCCTGTCCCTCGCTCCCCTTGCACGCCCTTGCAAGAGTGCCCTCCTCACCTCGCTTAGATATCCCATATTACCCCAAATAACTCGGCATTCATCACTAATGCAGCTTCAACCAGACTATTGGGCTTCTCTAGTGCGAGTAATGCACGTGGAAATGGGCATGTTTCCCTTGTAAAGTGCTCGCTTTGCTGCAGGACTTTAATCATTTACCGTGGGAGGTGCTAGTGCCGAGTGGTTTGGAGAGGCTAGGTCAAAGGCTGGATTAGGCCCGTCCCTTAAGTCATTAATGCTGCGTATTAATTATACTAGGCTCTTTTCTTTCCCATATGCTAATTGGAATGCGAATGCCGACAGTAACAGCTGCCATACTAGTATATATGTAGTTCCCCGTTCTGTGACATAAAGGGGGGGTGAGATGGCGCCGTAGTTTTGGAAACATTACTGTGTAGCTGAAGCAAGGGCTGCGCGGGTTGGCACGCAACACGAGTAAGTAGGTTGCATGTATATGTTTGCTCTGCTCGCCCTCTTCCCCTCTAGTTGATTTAAAGATTTCTTTTTGATCTCGAAATCGATCTTGGGGATCAGGAAGGACAATGAGGTTGCTATCTTACCTGTTGTTGGCGCTCCTCGGAGCCTTTTCCGCGGTATTGGCAGCGGACACTTCGGAGAACTCGACCGCCGCCAATCCCCTTGCCGCGTTGCCACTTTGTGCAGTATGCCGACCTTTTCCTTTTCTTTTCTTTCCTTTTTGTTTGGGTTTGGACTAATAAGAAAAAAGCAAAAATGTCTTGCGTCGGCTGTTGCGAATTCTACCTGCAACCCGGCTGACGTGAAGTGTACCTGTGAAAGCGAGACGATTCAAGCAACGTCGGCAATCTGCATCGCGGGCACCTGCACGGTTCGGGAGTCTCTAAGTATGTCATCTGCTGGACCCTCATTCTCCATCTCACCCCGAAGGCGGACTCCGTGTTTAACACTCTACTCTTAGCCACCAAGAATGCGACAAGCACACTCTGTGGTGTTCCCATCCGTAACAAGACTCCCATCTTCGCCAATGTCACCATCGTTCTCGGTGTCATCGCCGGTGTTATTGTCGTCTTGCGTATTGGCTCCAAGATTGGCCTGGGACTGGGCCTCGCCCCCGACGACTATGCCATTCTCGTGACGCTCGCGTGCGGCATTCCTTCTTCGGTCATGAACGTTCGAGGCACCGGCGGAAACGGAGAGGGCAAGGACATCTGGACACTGCCGTTCGATATGATTACCCGGTTCGGAGTGTACTTTTACACCCTCGAGATTTTATATTTCGCCCAGGTTATGCTTTTGAAGATGACGCTTTTGCTCTTCTATCTTCAAATCTTCCCAGGACCGGCCAGGAGACTGTTATGGGCAACTGTTGTTGTAAACGCGATATTTGGAGTTTCGTTTATGCTTCTTGCGACTTTCCAGTGCACGCCCATCAGCTTTTTCTGGACAGGTTGGGATGGCGAGCACAAGGGCAAATGGTATGTCGAAGCTGCCTGTCATTACTTCTATGCCGTTGGACCTCCGAGCTAATAGAGAAACAGTCTTAACAGTAACGCCATCGGTTGGGCAAACGCAGCAATCAGTATCGCCTTGGATGTTTGGATGATTGCAATCCCCATGTGGCAAGTCCGCAACCTCAACCTTCACTGGAAGAAAAAGGTCGGCGTGGCAATCATGCTCCTTGTTGGTACCTTGTAAGTATATGCCCAATAGCACCGGCTGACAACATATCGTCTAACATGAACCCAAGTGTTACAGTTGTTAGTATCGTCCGACTCCAGTTCCTTGTGAATCTTGGTAGTTCCGCGAATCCCACCTTTGACCAAGTTGACGTATCGATCTGGTCCACCGTTGAGATTGATACCGGTATCATCTGTACCTGTTTGCCATCCATTCGATTGTTCTTGATCCGCGTATTCCCCATCCTGGGTGGCTCTTCGCACAAGAGGAGTGGCTACCAGAATTACCCGGACAGCTATGGCAAATCCGACCACGCAAACAGTCGGGCAAAGACACTGGTTTCAGCCGCCAAGTCTCAAAGTCGGCCAGAGCATAATGGGATTGAGCTCGAGACAAGGTATGAGGTTCGGTATAGCACTGAGGATGAGGCGAGATTGGTAAGGATGCAAGAAGGACATAACATGAAATCACCACACGAAGCCAGCGCACGAAGTGTAAATAGTGCAAGCGAGGTATCGCTATAAGTTTTTTAATATTTGTTAGATCTACAGATTTAGATCAGCTTTTTTTCCCTTATGACATATAAAATTTCTATATTTCTCCAGGTTGCCATGTATTGAATCAACTGCGCTTGAAGCTTTTCATTGTAGAACCGCGCTGCGAAGATCGAAGATAGAGAGACGTTTGGATGCCCTGTGGCACACCCATCCTCTGGTGGCGTTGATGTTATTGAGGAATCTCAGACGTTGTGAGCACTTGGCCATGCATTTACGATGACAGCCTAGATTTGGTGAAACAAGTATCAATCTTAGACTCCGTTCCATTTTGACAATGGCAGATAAATTTAGATCATTCTGAAACGACTCCCGAAGCATGCGAAGATCTCTTTTTAGTTTCTTTTAGAGATATTGCTAGTCAAGCCCCTCCTTGGCTCGCGTTATTTCTGGCAGCATAGGAACAGTCTCTAGGTAGCTGCGATTATGAGCGCCGCCACAAAACTTGGAAAGCGATGCGGGATTTTCTCTCTTGAAGTTTTATACTAAAGGACATGCTCTAATTTTTATCAGGCTTCGACAAGGTCGTTGCTGAATAGTATAGAGGATGATGTCAATACCCTTTTGGTTGCAGACATCTCCTAGTGGCTCTTTCAACACCATTTGCCTGAGTACATATCTTGAACAGCACTGCCAATGTACGTATGCTCTTAGATGCGCGGATAAGGGACACGTTTATCCCCTGTTGCAATGCTGCGAAATCTCAATAGACGGTGGATATTGGTTACACATTAGAGTCCTAAAGACGCCAACTTGGCATTAAATTCAGCCACTAGCATAGTATTTATTGGTTATTCTTGCTCTCTGGTCAATTTTGGTTGAAACAGCTGAGGGACTTTAAACTGTCCGGTCTTTGATCGAGTTGGCAAGCCAATGTCACGACAACAAACCCACAACTTCTGCATATACGGCTTAGCAGGATCAACTAAAGCGACGGAGTTGATAGCACTGACGATCACCAACTAGTTATGTGGATAGCCCCTTTGTAGGCCCGTTATATCCGAGTGACAGGTACACGCATGTATCCGTTGGCCAAGGAGCCACTACCTATATCTGAATAGTAAATGGAAAGGTGCTAATCAATTGATGATTGACACATGCTAGGTACAGCGAGCTGGTATCACCGACTGAACACCCCTTCTTGCTTTGATTTAAGGTTTCTCCTTCAAGAATTGACTTCCGAGGTGGCTTCTTCTCTTCATCTCCACCCATCTCAATGCACTCATGTTTTTGCGTATCGGATTCCACGGTTCTTGCAGCGGGTGCCTTGCATTGCACCTACCCGCCTTTATCGATTTAATTTGATGTACCCCGCAAACCAACTCTAATTGATGACACCAAACTTTAGCTTCGCAAAAACAACACAAAATGAGTAACGGAATCGCCAAACGCCAACGCACCAAGGGTTCATCCGCATCTGTTCTTCAAAGTCTCGCTGAGTCGGAGAATACTACCATGAAATGGCAAGATTCCCCTGAGGGTCTCAGCCCTGACTGGATCTTTTCCAATAACTCAAACGTGCAGTGAGAGATTCCCAAGAATCGTTTTCGGCTGCACATAAATTGACCCTCAAACAGTGTATGCAACGATCGGAAATGGTTCACCGAATTGACAACCTTCCCAAGCACCGCATTGGGTCCTCTTGCTTCTCAAGGGGTTCCTGTATCTGGCGTCGGAGTTGTCAACTTACCTGTCAAGCGAAGCCCTGACTCCAGGGGACCAGACGCCCATCACGTTCTTCGCCTCACAGACGTGCTTTACATGCCTTCATCCGTGTGCAACATTGTCGGCTCACCAATCTTTGAAATCGCGGCCCAAGTTAGCCTCGGCGCGACGGAGAACAGTATGGGCGGTATGAATGATGCAAGTGGCAAGCCGGTTGCCTATTTCTCTCCCCATAGTGAGCGTAATTGCCTTAGACTCAGCGGACCTCCCGTTGGTCCAAGACTCGGACCATCCAAGTTTAAGCCTGATACGGCTTACTGGTTGACAATTAAATGGCCGGCTAGCGAGAGGGCACGGTGGGAAGCTCACGGCCAACAAACCAAGGCAGACACCGAGAAGCATCAATGGGTTGGGGAGCAGCCATACACTACGGAGGAGAAGCAGTGGCTGAAAAAGCACTACGGAGGAGAATTCAAATTCCTCATGGCGTATGAATTGAGCATCTATAATGAAGAGGACCGAGCGGAAGGCCGAGCTATCATGCGAACGCTTGCAAGGGATGATGACAGTACCGACGACAATGATGAAGATGATGAGATGGAAGCAGCAGACGAAGAGGAAGACGAAGAAGACGAGGAAGACTCGGATCTAGAAGGCCATCTTGCTGATTACCACTTCAATGAAGAGGAATTGGACTGGATCAAGAAGCACTATGGAAATTCTGCAAACTTCATGATCTCATATGGCTTCAAATTCTATGACGATCAAGATTGCGCAGCTGCTAGAGGCCTGGTTAAAGATTTTTTACGCGAATAAAAGGTAGTGTCATGTCTGATACAAACTCAAGTCTCTCATTGTCAGATTAGCATCATATATCAGATTGCGAGGACGTATACAAAGGATGGAAAGAAACAAGACGGAGGCTTGAAATCAGGTAGCGTCAAAGTGCGCTATTCTTTCATTATTTATCTAGCCAAAAAGTCATCTCAATTATGCCTTGGTATTTGTCTCTCATTGTGTTGCTCACCGCCAAGATCTCTTCTTACGTACGTTCGTATACCTTGTATGTAAAATGAGACACTGTGAACGTTTCTACTGCTCTGCTATAGTTCATGTAAGACAGCATATTAAAGTCACATCAGTTGAGCGGTAGATTCACAGGACAAACTCCTATTCGTCCAGTTACGAGAAAAAGTGCTGCCATAGGCTGGCCATGCATACACGAGCAGGGTAAGATCTACTATGCAGCATCGACTTGGCATCCCATTCGCCACTCCGTATTTCTTGGGCGGCGTAATTAATAACTGAATAGGTCAACGGTCATTGCCAAGCAGCTGCGAGTGTATCGGCATAATCCGAAGCATACGTCGGCAAAATTCCCCACGTGCACCTTTCGTGCCACGGCAACGATTCCCATCGTCATCCTGGGAAAACACCAGACTATACGACGAATCGAGATCTTCAACGGAACACATCTAGCCGGTCAGCACTAGCAAAAACCGGGGAAGGAACTCGAGGCACGCCACTAACCACGCATATGGCATCAGCATCGTACGTTATGATACCGATTGGGCGCCTCTCCTATAGGATTCCAAGTGACATCGAGGTGGTATTTGACCAGGCAACCATCTTATATATTTGTAGTATGCAGTCGTTCCCCCACGCACACGGTCCCTGGCGATCCTCCAATGGTGTGGCAGCTGCAGACAAAGCAACAAAATAGGATTAAAAAAGGCGTCTTCTGAGTTATTCCACCCCTGTGATCCAGATACCCTTGTCGGGGCATATGCATCTGCATCCTCCACCACTTTCAGGTGGCATAGATTACCTGACTAGTATACCTAGTGGATGGAATAATATTTTCCACAACTCTTGTCGGGTCGCGAAGTCAAGCTAAGAAGGCACATGTACCTACGTGTCTAATATATTTAACCGTTACATTGATCAGAGATATCTTGTTAGTGTAAGGAATCTTCTTGCTCCACTCAGATTACAGTATGGGGAGAAGAAGATAAAAAAGATCATTAATAGTAGGTATGAAAGCAAGAAGCGGCGATTTGAACTCCGAGGGCCGACATACTACCGGGGTATCGGATATCTCGTACGACTTACAGATATGACACTTGGCTCCCACGTAATATCGGGCTATATTGCACATAGTCGGGACGAAAGCCCATATATTCCGATTCCGACTGCACTATGCATAGCTAGGGTGTAGAACCCTTATACACGAAAGTCTATGAACAGGTAGGTATCTCCATAGCAGTACCTGTACATCTACTTCTCATTTCGATAGCTGCGCAGAAAAGTCCATCTTCGCCCACTCCGTGAGCAGGCCGAGAAGATGATCCCATGCAGCTCCCGGCCAATCATTCGCCATCCCGATTCGCGCTGCTTGCTACCATCGTTTTGGTGTAGCCAGATGTGCCACGTGCTTTTAGAGGGCTCCTTGACCACCCGATATCCGGGCACTCCAATCTGTCACTTTTTCCAGATCTTGGGACGGTTATATGTGGGCACATCAAAAGGGCTTGACCGCACTTACTGGAACAATTGCGGCTGGAGCATATAGATCAGCACATGGAGTAGAGCTTGACCTAGAACGAGATAGGAGTGAACATAAGCACTATGAAAAAAGAGCGAGAGAGAAAAAAAAGCAAAAAAGAGATCAATTGCTCTCCCTCAATGTTTCTGGCCACAGTGTTTCTGGCTACAGTGGGAATCTTGTACGACTTGCTTACAGGCCAGGATCACGGACGGATATTCGGTAATTAAAGTGGTCCATCCCTTGACTTACATTGGCGTATCGTTCAAGATTCCATTGGCTCCCTCCACGAAAATGATTGCACGGCTGCACGACTGATTTGGGTAGTGCATTGGGGCAATCGCCTTACGCGTGTACCCATCAATATGTTATCCGGTGTCGTCAGCACTCAAGTATCGGCGAGATTTCTTGATCAAGAAGTAAGTACATGAAACCTAAAGGGCCCACTTGTAATCAAAATGGTACAGTAACAACTAGGTTTATGAGTGACATATCGGTATTCTGTAGACGGGCTGGACGTATTGGCTGTCAATTACCTAAGGTAATTTGAAGCTATTCATGAATCTATATACTGAGCGACGTGATGAGTGTTGATTTAAAGGTAACATAATTTAATACATAATATGTCTAATATGCAAATGGGCCGCTTGTAAAGCACTGGCTTCATGTACAGACTTGCGGTGCAAAAGCCGTTCAAATCCCGTGTACAAGACTGTCGCGCCGACCCAGCAATTTTTCTTTCAATCGTCCTTTACTAATGCTTAGCAAGGTGTGTATAATCAAGCCTTAGCTATGCTGCATCTACTGTTACGCTAACCTCTGGGGAAAAGACTAGCTATTTCGTGTCTAGATCGTAAAGTAAAAACTTGAGCATCTAATGGACGGAGTTCACGACGACGTCGATACAGGGCAATGAGCCAACTCAACTCATCGATATATGCCTTTTTCTAAACTTAAAGCTTATTACTTTACGATTTCGAGGTTTCCGTAAGACATTATACAAATTAGGGATCAGTAAACACCCATCATATTGGAGACTAACGTTTTACGTATATAATTTTAATTCAAGGACACAGTAGGAACATCACTCTATAGAACTATAACGAGTGAGCACACTGTACACATAAGGCAATATCTTGGCATTCTCTCCAGCTTACAATCATTCTGGGGGCCGCAAGTAAATACAGGGCGGTGGAAATATATGGCTCTCTAAACCTCTTTTGCCACACTCAGGGGTAATGGGGAGATATCCTTTAAGCTAGGGAAGAGGCCGGCGGTAAGCCATCTCAGATTATACTACTCAGGAAGGTCAAGAGAAGAGATGACAAGGAGGTAAGATTCGCCTTTGTTTTTGTATCCATGATCGTGGCCAGTAAAGGCCGCCTCGTAGGACTTCGGAAGAAATATGTCACCTTACAGGTGAATACCAAAATAGTTCATATTACCAACATGTTACTAAAGGGGGGTAAAAAAAGAACAACAAAAGAGCTCTATATTAACTTTTTACAGGGTACTAAAATTGTTGAATTAGCTTCATGATAGTTCCTCTCTATGAGACAAACGATCACGACATTCAGTATAAACAAAGCTGGAGGACAAAGTGTGTTAGCTTCATACAAGATCACACTCTAAATAACTGGAAATAAGTCATATAGTCGAATATTCACATGTTGTTTTGCAGTCTTGAGACAGCTAAATAGAGTTGATATAGGCGGAAGATTGACTAATGATTTATCTATCAATAGTTACAGGGCATATTAGCAAGATGGTATGCAATTCTAGCACTAGTCAAAGCTCAAAAGCACCGCAGATCTGAGAAGTGAGAAGCCACTTATTCTTGACCACCGTTTTCGCAATCATATCTTGAATGACACTGTAAGGATTTGGTATTGACCTCATAGATGTTGAATATATAATGTAGTATTAGGCGAGATGGGTAAGCATAAATGTATAACCATATAACGTGTAATCTGCATTGGAATCAAGACCTCTGGATAGATGTGGGCTTTGATATTCAGCTCGGCGAAGTAGTTTGCCCGATTTTTATATAATTGAGCCGATCAGCTGATTAGATTGCCTCATCTGGGTAACTTGAAAGACATGCGTCTCAGACTCTACCACCTTTCCGTCAATGGTGTCATTCAATCCGCTTAGCCGACATCCGACGATCCAAACGACAGCCGCTGCCTCAAGGATTGTGTTGCAAAGGTCATCAAGAACCATTTTTTATACGGCTCCTACTTTATCAAATTATCTTGGCAAGGCGTTTACTATCCCACCTCGGTGCAGTTGCCATACACGGTATCCTACATCTGACAGCAGCCCGGTTGATCCCAGCCGATGCTACACTACCCGAAACGTCGAGAGAAAAGCCTGGGATCGAACATTCAAACGGGCGCACATTGCGGGTATCATGTTGGAATCTTATATGCATCTAATTGACAGCTGATAGCGAAGCCACAGCATGCCTAACATGACTGGTGATTTAGTGTGAAGAAGTGTAGTGTAAAAAAGGACCTTACTTAACGGAAGACCGGACTCCACATTTGCGTTCCTGTTGTCCGGCGAGTCAAGTACGCATTTGTGCTGTCTGTTGCATGGTACTGGACAATGATCTGACAGTTGACAATGGAACGTACGCCATGGCCAAGTATGCATTACTGCTGAAGATGGGCATGGATTTCTGGGTCACAGGGTGGATAAAGCATGGTTGTAAGCAACACATCATCCTTGCTCGTAATATTTGCAACCCTTGTTTGCAACGCATCATCCTTGTGCGCGGAATCAGAGGTCCAGCAGCCTGGCATCTCGTAACCGCTCTTGGATCTGCCTTCAAATCCTTACGACTCTTGTCACTAATTAGCGGCTCGATTCGAGCAACAGGCAGCGTTTGTAACCAAGTTCATGTAGCGCATACTGTGTATGTCATGGGCTCCCTCATTCCGGCTGCGAGCCGCAGAGATTTGCTGTTGTACAAGCTACCTGGAATAAAAGTTTTAGGTTGGAGCTGGGCTTGGGTTGATTCACCACGACAGGCATGTTTGTTGACTGGATCTTCACAATGTGCAACCGCGTGTTGAGGTGGTATTAGCTGCATGCCAAAACAGATCGAGTTAGGCCAATTGCCTTTTTGTTAATATTGTAGCTGATCGTGGCTTGTGTTGCGTCCCGTCCCTTCCACCCGCTTCTTCTAGCAAAGGGCTAGCGATTTTAGCCCAGAAGAGTTGGTTAGGAAACTAATTAATATAAAAGTACAAAACGGCATTTTGTGAAGTACTTTACAACCCGTGTTAGGAAGTCCTTGTCTATCAGTGCGAACTAATGCAAACTTGGGCGTTTTGGCAAAATGAAGTACCAGCGACATCCTAGGTGCCGAACTTCGCTACACAGGCGAATGTAGCTTGCTCATCACCAGTGCCCAACAATGCACAGTGGGAGACAGCTATATGGCGGTATTCAATCCTTGTTAAATGCTTGACTTACGAAAGTGCGGAAATAGTTATTGTCTTACGCTGGCTGTGGTAAAAAGACACGAACTTGCTGCTTTTATGAAACAGGTCAATACGTAGTGCTTTAATTGCTATAATAAACCAAGACTAAGACTTAATTGTCAGCTAGAACCAAGATTTCGAATTAGTGTCATATATTAAATAATGTAACCATCGACAGAACATTCTTGAGGTGGAATCTGTTTCGCGTAACAAACTCAAGGAGCACAATGCATTACTTGCGTTTTCAAATTCAATAATATAAATTGTATGATACGTGGGTGGTCTTTTGCCTAAAGCGGTTAATCGTCTACAGCGGAGCGGGACGACGTACTTCGAGTTCTTCTTTACACTTGGCTATAGGGGCTTCAAAGACGCCATTTACACATTATCTGCTTAAACTATATCTAGCCAAGTCAATTCTAAACGGCCCTTATCTAGCTACATATAAGTTTCTCTTACCTGACAAGGATTGAGAATTACGTGTAGCTGCATCCCACTGTAGTGGTTGGAGATGTAAGTTGGTCGATCCAAGGAAGCTAAAAAAGGGGATGAATGCTTTGAGGCTAGTCAGAGTTATACTACTACCTACCACCTACCCAGTTGTATAGAGTGCATATACCGACAATAGAAAATACCAGGTTTACTGACATGCCTGTCAGCCACATGCCAGCTAGTCGGGTGCTAAAGGATCCCGTGGGATCATCCTGGAACATCTGCTAGGGTCTCAGCCGTTTTCTGCAGCCTTTATTTTCTTACCATAAATACGAAGTATAGCTCAACCAACGGCAAGTAGCACTGATTGCTAATACGTACCAAGAGAGGCATCTACTGTTTGTTGTTATCTATTTCTGTTCCTCTATAATACCATTGGCGTCGGCTGGATTGTGTTGTCATATCTTTTTCCTATATCAACAATGTTACTATTTGGCGGTCCTCAGCAACTTCGGCTGTCTTGTGACAGATGCCATAAGAGAAAGCAGCGCTGCACTCGCACCGCAGCCAGCGACCAAAATCCCTGTCGTCGCTGCAAAGAAGCAGGTGAAAAGTGTGTCTTTAGTCCTCCTCTCCGGCTGGGCCGGCCCAGCAAACGGCAGAAGCAAGAAGGCAAGCTCGAAGAGCCCAGCTACAGAGGTCAAGAGGGCAGCTTCTTGGCAATTTCGAACCAAGACCTGTCAGGAACAAATACAACAGAAACAACAGCGACATCTACAACTACACAAGACGAGAATATCTTGGGCCTGGAGACTTCCTCGCCGTTTTCCATTGATGGTATGGGAGAGATGGAAAGCTCTTCTGCGGGCCAGCACGAGCTTGCGTGTACCGCCTCTTTGATGAATCACAATATTGTGGCAAAGACTTTTGAAGTCTGGCCACTGCCTCTAGATAATTACACCGACCCGACAATATCAGTCACCCCGCCCGGCCTGTTCCGTGCATCATCTACAATCTACAACGACGAAACGTGGTCTGATCTATTCGACGACAAAGCACACTCGGAGCCTCCAACCTCTTCCCACATAGACCCGCTAGATCCATCTCTGATGATGTTGCCTGGAGCCTCGGCCAGCGACTCTGCGATAGGATCAATAGACCACTGCCCTTCCGACATAGCAGAATCACCAATCATGGACCCGATATCAATGCTTTCACAAATCCAACTAAAACTCCACGGGATTCAAACTCGGAGACCGCCCCACGCAGCTGAGCTTCAGATCATTGTGAACCAAACTGTGCAAATTGCCCAGAAGTTCATGGAGGTCTTGAATCAGGTCCTGCCACCACGCACAACCGATTCTAGTCCAGCATCCGTTCAGCACAGGCAGCACATAACGAGGGGTGCATCCATCTCATCCAACGAAGAGTCTCCGTTTCACCTAGAATGGAATAGACGGCAGCAGCAGCAGCAACCGCAACAACAATATGCGTCAGCAGGCACTGTGGACACGGTGGAAATCCGATTGGCACTTATTTGCTACATACAAATCCTCCGTAGCTACAAAAACCTTGTGCATATGCTAGACAACTCCATGTCCACGGCTGACGCACAACAATACGACCTCACAGACTTTGTGCCTGTCCAGATCGGGAGCTTGCATACGGTGGTCAGCCCACGATTGCAAATTGGGCTGTTAGTGCAGTTGATCTCGCAGCACACTGAGGAGATCAGGCACAAGACTCGCCAATTGGCAACGAGAGTCGAAACTCGGTCCAACATGGACCCGAGCCTGAATAATATTATTGGCAAGGATATTCGGGGCGAGGAAGAAGACCTCCGGGACAGACTAGACTCGATATCAGAGAGGCTGAAGATGCATTCGCAGTTTCAGGACCACCGGAGCCTCGACCGATAACAGGATAATTAAAAATACTAATTTATTGCATCTATCAACTCAGAGAACTGTGCTATGACCTCTTTGCTGTGTAAAGGATGATGATGTACATGTAAAATTAATACACTAAATTAACCCGAATAATAGCTATGAGAACTACACTAGCGATGATAAGGGAATTTAATGTATCTCGGCTTCAGCGCGCCGACCTTTATATCGAGTGATCAAAAACGGCAGTGCAGGATTCGCACTAGCCACGTTATACTTCCATTCGGGATATATGCTTCCGGATACTGGGCTTAGACGTTGAGCTAACCCGCGTTGTGGCTGAATCTACTCCGTACAGAGAGATAGAATTGTGTTAATATAACGAATCAGGCAATAAACGAGTCTCATGGTAAGACCTCCGTATTTCTGTCTGACTGGGCCAAGACTCTCTGGTCAGCGCTAATGGGGAAAAGGATTCGGCATGCAGCAGGAGGATCAAGAATTCATTCAAAGGCCCTGGCAGTGTTGCCTGGAAGCCCTGCCCCTTCACAGATTCCCCATTGGTACGGCAATGATGGCGTAGCCATTGGTTGGTTTGCCTTGCAAGCCAGGCAATACGTGTGTTCGCCATGCCACGGGACACTCCGAGTACTACTCCGTAGCGCATCATATCGATCTACACAACGTCCATGCATGCAGATCTGTAATCAGATTACGGAGTATCTGCCTGAAGGCCCGATATCCAGTTTTTTCGACTTCATGGACAGCAGCAGGCCAGTGGAAGAGGGAGAAAATCCGGGGTGCATTGTTCGCATGGTGCAATGTATCAAAGAGCGAATTGCTGGGCAATCCACCTACCTATCCTTGTCTCATCAGATATTTCATCGTGGAATCGGCGATGTAAGCGATGAGTCCGCTATAAATTAAGTTGTAAAAGACACTCCGCAGCCGATGAACTACACATACCTACCTACAAGTAAGAAATTTTACCCAAATAAGAAACTGGTTAGTTCCACTTTTCTCTTAGTTGCACTGGGAGTGGAATCGTATGCTAACCCTTTCTTATTTCATGACAGTTCTATAGTAACGTGGTATATAATGGCATGGGTTTTACAATGGCTGATATTGATTAGTGTTACAAAGAGTTAGAGAGGCTTTCATAGCTGTCCGCAGTCAGCGGCCCTGGCGGAGTGTCAAAACAAAACAACTTGCATTAGTAGTACTACTAGCACCCGGCAATCCTACGCTAGAACCTCGAAAGAGAAAAATCCCCTTTTCCCGTACTCTCCCTCCCCTGTCTTTTCGTTTTCTCTATTAAATATACGCCCATGTTTTAATATGCGGGTAAAAGGGATATTATGCAATGACACGAGGGAATCTGCAGGATTTATGCTCCATGCCAAGGTGCACTGCCAGGCTATTATGCAGGTCCCCGGGTTCTTGTTGGATTTTAGGCCGTTTTAGAAAATAGAATTGGTATACCAGGATCCTATTACGCTTCATTGTGTGGAAAAAAAAGTGCCGATGAACAGACGCCGACAAAGTTGTCGCTGAGATATCCCGATTCTGTCAAATCTGACATACATCCGGCACGCTTGCCCGTATTTAGCATCTCTTCAGTGAGAAGCAATACGCTCTGATATTTGGTAAGACGCCGCGATTGATTAATTCACGCGAGTAGGTATCAGTCTATTGGTCACGTTTCTTGGTATGTTTGTTAGCTCGGTGAAGCCATATCTTCATCGGTAGATAGGAGCTGAATGAAAGAAATTTCGGGATGCTTTGTCAGTCTGTGCGCCGTAGATAACGTCCTATTTATGACGCCATGCTTTGAATGAAGCGCATACTTGTATGATATTCTTGCCAATGGAACAATCAGGATCATCACACGATACTGATGAATAGGTTGTACAACTTGGATATGGACGCAGCCAATATATCGGGAGTTGTTTTCTCTCCCCAAAGCCATGCAACCCCAAAGTCGTACCTTGACCAAATCCACTCAACTCTCAGAGGTTCGGACATCTATGTGCCCCTTTGCAAAGCCCTCTCAAGCCTTCCACAAACGTGGCAAGAAATTGCCAGCCAACATCCTAAAATTGCTTCTCTGGAGCATGGCCTTACTTATGCAAGATATTTTCCCACGTGGCTCCAAACGGGAGACACGTCGGGGTTGGAAAATAACATGTCAGGGATTGTCACATTGCCACTGTTGACAATAATACACACTGTTCAATATGTTCAGTACCTACAGCTGACCGGCATTGCACATGCCGATTTCCTACTCAGCCTACGATCAGGAGGCGCTCAGGGATTCTGTGCCGGACTTATGGCGGCTATGATTGTTGCAGTGTCAAAGGACGAAACTGAAGTCATTGCGAATACTGCCAAAGCTGTCCGAATCTCCTTCGCCATAGGGGCGTTTGGTGAAGTAGGCTGTGATTCGACTTCGTTGAGTTCTACTACTATGGTAGTACGGTTGAAATCTGGCTCCGAAGTTGAAGAAATCACACGCGAGTTTCCAGAGGTAAGAATAATCCCCATACTCCTAATTTACGTATGCTAAAGATGTCAAACAGTCCTACGTTTCTGCGATATCCGACTCCAAGACGATAAGTCTCATCGCTCCTTCAGCAGAGATTGCTACAGCCCGGGCGTACGTCGAAAAACTGGGTCTATCATCCAAGATGATTCACATGCGAAGCAATATACATAATCCGAAGAATAGAGCTCTTGCAGAGGAGCTTTTGGGCTTCTGCCTCGGCAATGCAGACTTACAGCTACCAAATAGTGACAATCTGCAAGTTCCCGTACGATCGAACAGAACAGGCCAAGTCCTTACAAACTGCTCTCTCACAGCTGAAATCATAACAACCATTCTAACATCGTGTTGCGACTGGAATGCTGTCATCAGCAATCTGGCACATGATCTCCAACAGACGGGAAATCAGTCTCATCGTATAGCCATGATTGGCCTAGGAGACTGCATACCACTCCCACCCTTTCAGAAGAATAACCTTGATATTACCAAATTGGATATCATGGGCATTACTGAAGGCTTAAAAAAGCTTATGAGAGATCAAAGTCTATCATCGCTTGATCTTTTCCCTCCCGGCTCAATCGCTGTGGTAGGCGCTGCTTGTCGCTTACCAGGAGCAAACACACTAGAAGAACTCTGGGACCTCATTTCTCGAGGAGAATCCCGGCTTGAGAGTCTACGTGAGGATCGAGTAAAGTTAACGGAATCTTTCCGAGCGTCACAAGATAAAGATTGGACCGCAGGGCGAAAGTGGTTTGGCAATTTTGTGGATGGAATTGATAAGTTCGATCACAGCTTCTTTGGTATAAGTCCGAAAGAGGCAGCATACATGGACCCTCAGCAGCGTCTTCTACTAAGCTGTGCCTATGAAGCAATGGATGCCAGCGGATATCTACATGACCATCGACGAGAAAATGGCGACCCAATTGGCTGTTTCATCGGTGCGAGTTATACCGAGTATTGCGAGAATGTCACCGCATATGCTCCTTCAGCATTCGCTGCTACCGGAACTATTCGTGCCTTTCTTTCCGGCAAGATTAGTTATCATTTTGGCTGGACTGGGCCTTCCGAGGTCATCGACACCGCATGCTCAGCCTCATTAGTGGCTATTCATCATGCCTGTCGAGCTATCCAGGCTGGTGACTGCCCAATGGCCCTTGCTGGCGGGGTTAACATCATCACCGGCATTCAAAACTACATTGATCTAGGGAGAGCCGGGTTTCTCAGCAAATCCGGTCAATGCAAGCCTTTCGATGAGTCTGCAGATGGCTATTGTCGGGCAGACGGTGTAGGGCTTGTTGTTCTGAAACCGCTCAGCCAGGCCGTTGCTGACAGGAATCATATCCTTGGCGTTATCCCTGCTTCGGCTACGAACCAAGGCGGCCTATCTCATGGAATTACAGTACCGCATGGCGATGCTCAGAAAGCACTTTATCGTCAGATGGTCAAAGCTGCGGGTATCGAACCCGAGCAAATTACGTATGTAGAGTCTCATGGTACTGGGACTCAAGTGGGGGACCCTATCGAAGTTGCCAGCATTCGCGAAGTATTTGGTGGACCATCTCGGCGATCTCCTGTGCACATTGGATCTCTCAAAGCCAATGTCGGTCATAGTGAAACTGCTGCTGGAGTTGCCAGTCTTCTCAAGGTTCTTGCCATGTTTGCTCATCGAGGCATTCCCCCACAGGCCGGGTTCAAAACATTGAATCCGAAAATCCCCGCTCTTGAGCCTGACAACCTAGGGATTGCAACTAGGCTGATACCATGGGAAGCAAAAACGCGTATTGCTTGTGTAAACAGCTATGGTGCTTCCGGAAGTAATGCTGCTCTCATCTGCTCAGAATGGAGTGCGGGGAGCGAGAAGCCAAAGACTACTTCATCGTCCTACCCGGTCTTCCTGAGTGCGAATACGCAAGAAAGCTTGAGAGCTTACGCCAGTCGATTGGCTTCATACATTCAAGACTCTGAACAAGGATTGAACATTGGCAGCGTCGCATTCACTCTTAGCGAGCGCCGAAAACATCATCGAATTCGGTGGTCTACCACGGCGCACAGTCTATCCGATCTGACACATCAATTGAAGTCAGATCTTGTAAATAGCGTTGAAATACCCAAAACAAGAAAACCAGTTGTTTTGGCTTTCTCGGGCCAGTCAAAGACGAAAATTGGCCTTGATCCAAGTCTATGCGACATGTATCCAAGGTTCCGGGCTCATTTGGAGAGCTGCAATAGCATCTTGCGGAACCTAGGCTACTCAGATATCATGTCTTCCCTCTGCCAGTCTGAGGCCATCACAGACGTGGTTACGCTTCATGCAGGCACATTTGCTGTTCAATATGCTTGTGCAAGATGCTGGCTAGACGGCGGATTACAAGTAGACGCAGTAATTGGCCATAGCCTCGGCGAACTCACAGCATTGGCTGTATCTGGCGTTCTCTCTTTGGAAGATGCTCTGCATTTGGTTGCAAAACGAGCATCGTTAATCAAGGAGAAATGGGGCGCAGACACAGGAGCAATGCTGGCTATCTATGCCGATTTAGAGACTGTACAGCGCATTATAGCAGACTCAGACACGGAGTTTGTAGACGACGGAGTCGAAATCGCATGTTATAATAGCCCTACCGCTCATATTGTTGCTGGAAAGAAATCGTCTATCGCTAGGGTTGAGAGAATAATTAACAACAGCCCCGAGTTCAACGGCATCCGGTATCAGGGTCTTGATGTCAGCCATGGCTTTCACTCCAGGTTAACTGAGCCTCTGCTCCCAGATTTAGCCGAATTTGCAAAAACATTAACATTTAACGAGCCTCGCATTCCTTTGGAGACTTCCACAAAGATACCAGTTAATGGCTTAACGCCTGGTTACATCGCTGAACACTCAAGACATGGCGTCTATTTTAGTCACGCCGTTCAACGACTAGAGAGCCGACTTGGGCCGTGCGTTTGGTTGGAGGCGGGATGGCATACACCCGTCATCTCTATGACGAAGAAGGCACTTCAAAAGACTGAAATGCACAGCTTCCATTCGCTGAGTGGCTCGTCCTCTGCAGTCATCAACATGGCAGCTAGCCTTTGGAAACAAGGCGTTTCTGTGACTTGGTGGGGATTCTTCTCTCCCGAAGAATCGAAACTTCGCCATGTGTGGCTTCCACCATGCACATTCGATGATTCTCGCCATTGGTTGAACCATGTAGACCGCGCAATCGAAATGAAGCGATCTCAGGCTCTAACTCAATCAACAAGCGGAGGAGCTACTCCCCAATCTACCCAACTGGTGAGCTTTATCGGTAGGATCGGCAGAGATGACGAATTCCGGCTACACACTCAGACTGAAAAGTACAAAACCATGGTCACAGGCCATGCTCTTCGCCAAAGGCCCCTGTGCCCCGCATCGATGTACATGGAATCCGCAGTAATGTGCGCTCAAGAGAGAGGGGCTGATTTTGAAAGACAGACGTTCCATTTCCGTAAGATTGGCTTTCACAGCGGTTTAGGCTGTGATGACCGTCGGGAAGTGAAAGTCGTCTTGGGAGAGGACACAGGCACCGATTCATGGCGATTTTCAGTCAATAGCGCTGATAAAGAAGATCCAAGTCCTCTGCAAACGAAACACGCAGATGGACAATTTGAGGTATCAGTAAAGGCGCCAGATTACCGGATTTATGAGTCATTGATACTGGAACGCATGGAAACCTTGCTCAAGGATCGCAACGCAGAGCATCTGATGAAGAGAACTGCGTATGCCTTATTCTCAAGAGTAATTGAGTATTCCGATCTCTTGAAGGGCATTTCGTCCATCACCCTGGCCCCCGGCCAAGCTGTAGCCGAAATCGAGGTCCCAGCAGAGACATTCGACAGTCGTGAGAGTACCGTTGATCGATTTATGGATGCCATCTCGCTAGATACGTTTATTCAGGTACTCGGCTTACTCATCAACACCAGCGGGAAGAATGCTGGTGACGAAGTGTTTGTTGCAACCAGTATAGCCAACATGACAATTCTACCATGTGATTTTAAGAGTCATAGGAGGTGGGCTGTATACGCCATGTTTAGTATGGATGGAGATAAGAGAGCAGTTGGAGACGTTTTTGTCTTTTCTGGAGACAGAAGGTTAGTCGTCTTTGGGTCACAAATATCCTTCACAAAAGTGCAATCCAGTGTACTTGAAGGACTTCTCGATGGCACCAGTCCGCGAATGAACATGGCCAAGGCCCGCAACTCTGAGACTAGAATTAAACAGAGTAGAGCTTCGGTCATTGCGAAAGAAGAACCTGGCACAACACAAACACTCGACCAGCGCACAATGATTGGTAATTCTCCAAAGAAGTCACAGGAAACTCACCACAAGTTTGACGACGTCAAGGTTCTAATCGCCAGCTACGTCGGAATATCGGCTTCCGATATTCACGAAGATGAAAGCTTCAGCAGCTTAGGCTTAGACTCACTGTCTGCTGTCGAGCTTGTAGACGAGTTGCGGGTCAAGTTTGGCATTGATATTTCTGCGACCGATATCTTGACAGCTCAGGTAGCTGAGCTTCATAATTACTTTCTATCCAATGGGAGAGAATCGAGCACGACAACGAATTCACACAGCACTATGGCGGGCGAGCTACCAAAGTCCACAAATGGAGACAAGCTTTTAACAAATGGCCTCACCATTGAAAATGAGGATAGGCATGAAAGTGTCAATGGATATGCCAACGGAGATACCAACGCTACCGAGAATACAAATTACCATCTAGCCAAAGCGCCAAAGCCTCGACAACATACCAGGCACCGGATTGAAACAGTAACTTATAAAGAGGTGGATGGCATCGAAATTGCAGCAGACATCTTCATACCGCTGGAGCCACCCTCAGAGATCATGCCTATAGGTACATTCAACCATAAACCTGTCTATGATTATCGATGAGTGACTAACTTTGTCTCTCAACAGCACTAATGATTCATGGCGGCGGCCATCTGACACTCTCAAGAAAGGCTGTAAGGCCCTCACAAACATCGTATCTGCTTTCACATGGAATTCTGCCAATTAGTCTAGACTATCGACTATGTCCCCAGGTAAATATCATCGACGGGTCCATGACAGATGTTCGAGATGCCTATATATGGGCGAGAAAAGATCTTCCCTTGCTTATGCAGGCAAGGGGTATTAAAGTTGATGCTTCAAAGATTGTGGTTGTTGGTTGGTCTACTGGCGGGCATTTGGCAATGACTACTGCCTGGACAACACTAGCAGCTGGATTGCCACCTCCATTAGGAATCCTCGCATTCTACTGTCCAACACATTATGACCCTTCAGGTATTTACTATTATCCCACCAATCTCATCTCTTCCTCCTTTTTCCTATTAACATGACTCAGATGACTCACTGAGAATGGGCAAGGAGTATCAGCATCGTACCATGTCTATGAGCGAGATACAAAACTCGCTAGGAGCTCAGGTGGTATGTAGTAATTGTTGGTGGATACAACTATATTCGAGCTGATGCTTACATGTTCGCAGGTCACGAGCCACGCATTTAACAGCACTGATACAACAAACATGGGCTGGGTCAAACCTGGAGATCCCCGCTCAGAGCTTGTCCTAGCTCTCGTCAAAGAGAAAAACGGGGTAGCCCTGCTATTAGACGGAATCCCCACTGATGGAAATACACTGGGAGTCCCAGAGCCAGAGCGCGTCGCAGCTATCAGCCCTCTGGCTCAAGTTCAAAAGGGCAACTACCACACACCGACCTTTGTCATCATTGGGGACGAGGATGAAATCGTGCCATTCCATACTTCGGTGGACTTTGTGAGCACTCTTAACGAACAGGGAATAAAGAATGGATTCATTCCGGTACCAGGACAGCGCCACATTTACGATCTAACGCTGAGTCCCGGAATGGCGAAGTGGGATGATTGGGTGGCCCCGGGTTACAATTTCCTATTTGAACTACTGGGGATTGAGACGGAATAAAGGCATAATTGCTGGATTGACTATTTACACTGTAATAGTATTATTCGTTGCTCTTCAATATGCTCGCAATTCGACTCATCATGACACCAAAGTAGATGAGACAAATTTGGTAGAACATAATGAGTTCCTCACTGGGGTGTTGCCATTTACGGACCATGGCCGGGTACGAGATAAATCGATTTATTTATTACAGTTACAACTCTGTAGACGCAATAAGAAGGTCGGTAAATATGGTGTGATCATTGTATCATTATTGATACATACATCTGTTCAACTAGCACGTAATCAATCTTTATCACATATGACAACACGTGCTAGCATAGCAACAACGCTCTATATTCAGGGGAATGGTACGGTGGCACGCGCGTAGCTACAGTCTTATGCAACTAACGTTTATACGAGGGGAATAAGTCATCTTTTTGCTTTAATTTGTCCTTCTAGCTTATGTAAGTATTGCTTGTTACCATTGCTGCTCACGAAATGTAAGCTAGCGTTATACGTCCTTTGGATTGCGATACATCATATCCTATTTTGCTATATTCGCCGATCGGGTGGCTTCCGTTTGCTGTCGGCGATTTACAAGGTATAGCAGGCAATATAGGTTCCTTGTGGAGTTGTTGTAACCTGACCAGGGGCCAATACATGAAGGAACTCACTGCCCCCCACCATGTACGGAGCAGCTTCCGCGGAATTGAAAAAACCGGACCCCAACCGGCAGCTCAATCTTTAATCCAGGTAGCCTGCTTTTTTCCAGTACCGCACATATCCAGCGATGACATCCTTGTCCAAGGCTGTGAGTTCGCGAAGGGTTGCCGAACCCTTGCGGCTGACATCCGTTGCCATAACAACCGTACCCGAAGAGGCAGTTATGAAGTAGAGCTTGAAAAAGTCATAGAGCTTCTTGACAGGATAGACATCGGCGTCTTTGTCATCTGTAGCCGCTACTCGGTCCAGCCAGTCATCATATGGAAGTGACTTTGTTATCCCGAGCTCGGCTCGGACAATTTCCAAGATCTCGCCCCATGTCTGTCTCACAGGGTTCTCCACGTGGGTGACCAGGCCAGGGGCTGCTGGATTCAGGAGGAGCTCAGTTGTCACTGCAGCTGCATCATCAACCGGGATCCACGACACAGTCTGTGATACAAAGTTAGTGCTTACTTAAGAGTACCTGATACACGTATTTACGAGAGACTCGGAGAGAGACACCTACCCCTTGTATCGTCGGCAATATACCCAGGCTTTGGGAAGTTCGAATAAGCATTGGGATCTGCTCGATGACATTCCAGGCACTAGTCTTCCGCGCCCCCGTCAACTGGCCGCATCGAGCAATAGACACCTCCAGGGCGTCACTGTAGAGCAGCGATACCTCTTCCAGCATTTTTTCGCAGACCAGTTTTGCATCGGCGTATCCAACGCCACAAGCGGCGCTTTCCACCTTCAGGGGAGTCTCAAGGATGCTGTGTCCTGGATCGTCCAGCCCCAGTTTTGCAAGGACAGAAATCGACGATATGAACAAAAATCGGACCTTTTGCGGCGCTTCGACGGACAGCTGCAAGAGATTCTTCAAGTAGGCAAACTGGTAGTCGAAGGATGGCAGTCGCATATGGAAGTTCATCGGCCACGCCGCGTGCAACACATGAGTAACCGTTTTCGAGACCATGGCGTAAACCATAGGCGGAAGCCCCAAATTGTCTGCCGTCGGGTCGATTTCCAGGGCTGTAACCTTTGTCCACTCTGCATCGGTTAATTCTACACCCTTGGAAACAAGAGAGGCCTTGTCGACTTTAGATCCTCCAGGAACTGGGCTGATTACGCTGCCGGGGCGTTTTCTCAACAGACAGACAACCTTGGCAACTTGAGGTGACTTTGCTAATTCCGCCAACGCATAGGATCCTAGGCTGCCCGAACTGCCTGTCAACAGCACCACGGCTCCTTCAACAAGCTTAGCAGCGCCTTCAGGGTTGTCTACCTCTGCAGTTCTGAGAGACTTGACGGAATAACGCTGAGTAAAGCTTTGCACCTCTTTGCCAAAGGTTGTTCCGCTCGTGCTCGACGAGGCATTCTGTCGAAGTGCATCTGCCATAAGCCTGACAGAGTAGTTGACATAGACGAAATCCCTCCTAATAACATCAGGCGACGTTTCTGTAGCTGCGGATAGAAGAATTCTTCGCAATGTGGTAGCTTGCAGAGAATCTAGACCCAGAGTAAAGATATTGTCCTCGGTCGTCCAAGCATCTGGTGACACTCGTAACTTAAGCCGCTTTTGAATCAGCTCTTTCAGTTCTTGCTCTAGGTTTGCGTAGTTGAGCGGCGGTACATCAATAGCACCATTGTCCAAGTCTTTGTAAACTTGGGTAATGTCTGCCTCAAGCAGCTTGAATGCCTCTTTTCGCGCAATGGATCCTTTGTCTGTTCTAGGAACCACAACGCTGGATGATAGGACAATTATGGCGATAGGGGAGTAAATTCTTGCCGTGGCGTCCATCCGCTCGCCCGCCTGGACAACAATGGGCCAAATCTTGTTCTTAAACTTCTCCTTCTCGTCATCGGCGATGGGATCTGTAGGCTCTACAATCACACCAATCTCGAATTGGTTCTCTCCAAACGCAATGGCCGACTTGACCAGCCCAGATTCCGTCAATGCAGTCTCCAGGAGTAGAGGGTTGACTTTTTCACCGTTCGCAAGAACTACCACGTCGTCGTCGCGGCCAACCGCAGCAAAATCAGTTTCGGGAAATGCTTCGTTTCGAATCAGTTGATCGGCAATCTCGAATGGCTTCTCAGCGCCAAAGGGGAACACTGTCAGCCTGAACCGTCGTTCGCCATCGTGAGGATCCAACTCTGACACTTTGAATAGCATGTCTTTTCGTAGTCTGAAATACTTCCAATCGTATCCATCCTTGGGCGCAAATGTCTTGGTGAGGGGACCTGTCTCTGTCGTTCCATACAAGTTAAGGAGTCGAATTCCTGCAGCTGCAGCGGAGGCTCCAAACGCGGCACTGAGAGCACTGCCTCCCGTTCCAACAAAATCCAGTTTGGCTAGTGTCTTCAAACCCACCTCGTTCGGTAGTGCGGCCATGTCCTCGAGAAGAAAAGGGACTGTCATCATACCCGTTGCGCCGGAAGTGTTGACCAGGTCTACAATCGACTGAGCATCGGGAATACGGTCAGAGGCTGGGAAGCACACAGTCTTTCCAATCGACATGGACAGTCCAGGAGCAAGTAGACCGAATCCGTGGAAAAGAGGAAGGGTAGAGATGACAATCCCCTGGGCCTCTTCTTCTGTGTCGAAATCGCCATGGCTGACAGAGAATACTAGCTGTCGGTGAGTGAGAGCAATTGGCTTTGGAAGACCAGTGGTACCGGACGAATGCAACAGCAGAATGTTGGTATCAACGTTTTTCGGATAAGCAGAGTCTCTTTTGACCCTCTTGTCTTCTGCTACATCGTAAAATGAGCTGTATGGCTGACCGACATGAATATCGATGAGTTTGACGCCCCCAAAGGCTCCCTTGGTGGCCTGTGCGATCCTCTGTGAGATGATAAGGGAAGACGCTTCGGTGCTTTTTAGAAGATGGAAAATAGCCTCAGGACTGAGGCGTGCAGAAAGGACGAGCGGCTGTTACAATTAGATCTCTGAGATACGATGAATATGAAAAGGGTGGGGAAAGGGGAACAAACGGGAATACCCATGGACACCAGAGCAAACTGATGCACTATCAGGCCAAAGTCACTTTCCATGAGTAAAGCGACCGGAGGTCTCTCAGCCAGACCATTCTTAGTTGCGGCGGTCGGCACTTTGACGTTGTCTGCAATCCATTGAGCGCACTGGTCAACTGCAACCTTGAATTGTGCATTGGTGACATCGATGAACGGTCCGTTTGACCGAGCCTGAATGCAAAAGAGGTGGTCGGGGTTATGGACGGCATTAAAGTCAATTAACTCTGGCAAAGAGTGTACATGATCTTCTTTTCTCTCTGAAGAGAAGAAGTCAACTTTAGCTTTAACAAATGCACGCATAGTGATCGAGTTATAGATTTATGCTTTGACTTGATGGCTAAGTGTTTGTGATATGCAGCATATGTGGCTATGCCGTAGATTATATATATTTATAGGACAATTGTTAAAAGCATGATTCCTGTAATTGCAAAACTTCACATCTATTAAAATTCAGTATAAAAGTAAGAGCTAACATTACTCACAAGTTACTCGTAGTTCAGACTAGAACAAAGTCCTCATTTAGAAGTCTATAGTTTTTATGCGTTTTCAGACATTTGGCCAAGAATTATAATCCGCCGCCTACACATGACTATTTACAAATCGGTAAATCTCACCGACGCATATAAAAATTAGTCTATTGAACTGCCGATGGCATTTAATCCCTAGCTATATAATCTAAAGACAATGCACCAAGCATCCATCTGGTTTATAGAGCTGGTAGCCATAATACAGACAGACACTCTTAAAGAAAAGTAACGTCACATCAACCGTTATGATCCAATGTATGTCTACTACAATATACTTTGTAGTATATGAAAATAATAAGGAGACATCGAGTGGCACTTCAACTACGTCAGTTTCGGCTGTGATGCCCTGGTGTTAGTTAACAGCTATCTGAAGATGGTTACCTAGAAACGTTTCTAGTCAGCTTCAGTGCTGAATATGTAATCTTTAGGTAGCAGATATGAGATGAATCGTGAATTTTGGTAAAATGTTTGCCATAGATCAAGTGGTGTTGCTTTGGTTTGCCCGCAATGAGTTACGACTGACAGTGCTTTTAGTTGGATATTTCTTCCATCACTTTTTCGTTTTCATGCGGAGCGCGATTAAAGATCTGACGAAATATGATACCAAATGAACATATAGCTGATAAAACATCTCGTTTGCGAAAGCAAGCGGAGTGAGATGGCACATCAACTAACTAGTCTTCTTCCTGCGAAACAATCGTTTCTTCCTATTTTTCCTTTGTCTATATACAATGATATGTACGGAGTAAAAAACAAAGAGTGTGCCACCATGAAAATAGCATTCTCTGTAACTTAGATGGCATATCTTTATTTTCCTTAGGCGCGTACAAGACCAAGACCTCCCTTCTTCAGGGTGGGAATAAATCCATTGATTGCGTCGGTTCCGAAGCTATTGATGTTCATGGTATCCTCTGTTCTCATCATCTGCCTAGCCCGAATGTGATCTACAACAGTTCGCTGCTGAGGAGAAAGGTCAACCTGATACGCTGTATCTGGATTCTGACCGAGCTTCTCCAGCATGCTTGAGCGATCTTCGGGCTTGACAGGCTCAAAAGCGTTGCTGCAAAACTCGAGAGTTTTGGAGAGTTCATCCTGGGATAGCTTGCTATCCACGTCCGCTGTCCCTTGAATCACTAAGAGAGAGGTCAATATGCGAGATCTTTGTCTTAAAGGCAGGATTTACTCACCAGGCCTGAAAAAGGCAAACGCGCGGTCAAAGTTGTCTTCATCGAAGTCGCTTAGCACCGGCTCATTTTGAGCTCGAATTTGTCTATAGGCGCTCAGGACGACCAGCAAGAAGCGGACATAGCTATCGGCAACTTTCTTGGAATGCCAGTCGGCTGCCTCTTCTTCGGAGCAATCTCCCCTAATTGCCGCCGCAATAGTAGTGGCTGCAGACAGGCCACCGACAAAAGCCAAGTGAACGCCAGAAGAAAAGTACGGGTCAATGAAACAGCCAGCATCTCCAGCGATTCGAGCGTGGGGAATAGCGTAGCCTGAAGCGCTGTACGAATAGTCCGAAGCAGATTTGATGTCTGTGATGAGCTCTCCATTCTCCATGAGCTTGCTGAGATCAGGCGCCAGCTCCTTGAGACAGTTCAAATAAAATGTCTTGGAGTCAGGAGAGCCCATCTGCGACTTTCTCTCAGCAGACATCTTTTGATTCATAACAACGCCAATGGAGACAGTGCCGTTGTGCAATGGGATGAGCCACGCCCAGCCGCTTTCATCTGTATCGATAGTCAGTTTTCAGAACTTCTCGGAACAAAGATGTAAGTACAAACCTTGCAATGCCTCAAAAAATGGAGAGTTTTCTCTCGGCGTCCCCTTTCCATATGCACCTGCACCCTTCCAGTATCCCCAATTAGCAACATTCTTCAAACCTTGGTTGTATCTACGATTCTTCAAGTGTTTTGTGCTGAGCAATCCCACACGACCACTTGCATCAACAATGTAGTCAAATTTGATCTCATGAATGGTGTTATCATCCTTTCGCAAGTAGGTCGCTGAAACAGGTCGGCCGGGATACTCGTGAGGCAGTTCCCCTGACCCTTTGTATGGAGCGTCAACGAAATTAATCTTCTTGATTTGAACGCCGTCAAATGCCTTTGCGCCGCTCTTTGCAGCGTGTTTGAAAAGCAGGTGGTCTGCCTCTGATCGAACTACATTCCAAGCATAGTTCTCAGGGCCGCCTGCAGCAAGAAAATCTGTATCTGTTTTGCGCAAAGACAGGTTAGCATTTGATATAGGCATTCAATAAGCATAATACACGTCTACTTACATCCTTCCCGCTTTCTAGGGTTTAGCTTGAAAGCTGCGCCAACCTACAGTCAAAAAGAGCGTTAAAACAAGACCAAGGTTTCATTTTGAGTAATCTTTTAGTTCAGGCCGAGGCTACCTTTTTCGTAAATCCATAATTGTCAAACTCTGAGTCTACATCAATGAATCTGAGAAAGTGGCGCATCGACGCCAGCATACTCTCTCCGATATGGTATCTAATACTAATTAGTGGTTTGTCCTTACTCTCTGTATCTAGATGACTTTGGGTCTAAAGCAACACCATGAATCTTGAATCTTGAATAACAAAAGGGCTACCTACCGTGGAAACTTATCAGCCTCCAAGATGACCGTGTCAATGCCCTCTCTTGCCAAAGCAGAGGCAGCGTACGAGCCGGCTGGGCCCCCGCCAATGACGAGGACCGTGCATTTTCCAGGAATTGTCATCTTTCTAGCGGATGCTGTTTATTCGTCTTGGTAATGATTACGGCGGGATGGGCTTGTTATTATTCCATGCATGCATTGCACGTCGACCCAAAAGAGTCTATTTGTATATTTCTTATTAGACTACTATCAATATTACGGTAGCAAAAAGTCATACTAGTTATCGTGTGGTATCAAATTATGCCCGATGCAAGCAATAGAGACATTAGCAGGGATAAAAGCCTTGCTTATGTGGGATTACTCTTGTAGCTCAGGTACCCGCAACATGTCGGGATATTATTAAAGCCAAGCAATATTTATCGGCACGTAACAGACTAGGTCAAATGGAAAATCCTGATTCTAGTTAAAATTGGAAAATTCGCCGCAGACACAGTTGCGCCCCAACAGTTGAGACGCTGGTGAGGGATTGGATTTCCTAGTTGGTAGAGTCGATCGCCGCGGCTTAGATAGCGCATATTGCTCTCGTGTCATATAAGCACCGATGGACTGCTTCCTTTCGGCAAATGCAATGGGATGATGCTAATCAAAGATTCCATTGCTTCAATCAAATGATAATAAATTGTAATAAGCTAGGCTTACTATTTATTTATTTCTAAACTTGGCCTGGACATGACTAAGTAAAGCATCGCGCTTCTTCCTCGTAGGATTAGCCCAGTTATTGCTAATTCCCTGAAAATAATAAGCTATTACATCTTTTTTATTTGGTACTGGTTATACTGTTATCGCCCTGCTTTATCTCCGTTAAAAGTTTTACGCTTGGCTCCGAGTCACTGCAAAGCCTTGCTGAAGCAATTAACTGGTCCATTCAACGTGGGATTCTCACACATATATAGACTGCCCTACACTTACAAAGTCACAAGGGCTACTTGAGTCTCTCTATTGCAGCAACTTTGTTGGCAGTCTACAAATAATCACAATGGCTCCTGGAAAAGTCTCTTCTCCTCCTCTCTATTCACCTCCCACAAAAGGGCTCCTATCGTATCTGCCAGCATCATGGGTCCCCTACGCCGAACTCATTCGACTTGACAAACCACATGGCATCTACATGATCCTATACCCCTACATCCTAGGCACCCTATACGCAGCCAAGATTTCATCCGCTCCGCTGCCTCTACCTCTGGTCCTTAATCGTATCATCCAACTTACGATATGGACCTTTTTCCTCCGAAGCGCCGGCTGCGCTTGGAATGACAACATCGACCAAGATTATGACAGGCAGACGGCTCGGTGCAGAAACAGGCCGATAGCACGCGGCGCAATCTCAACTTTTCAAGGGCACGTCTATGCCACCGCACTGATAGCTCTCGGCTTCTTATCCTTGCAAGAGTTTCCCTTTGAGTCCAAGGCGTCTGCCGCCGTGGCTGTCGTGTTGGCATGCGTCTACCCTTTTGGAAAACGCTTCACACATTTTGCCCAAGTTCCTCTGGGTGCAACGTTGTCTGTCGCTATTGTTCTGGCACCCTATTCCGTAGGCGTGGATCCTCTCTCGGAAGCAAACATTCTGCCAACAGCTAGCCTTGTCGCCTGCATCATCATGCTTGTCATGTTCTACGATGTCGTCTACGCACGTGCGGATACGGCCGACGATTTGAAGTCCGGGGTCAAAGGCATGGCGGTTCTCTTTCGCAATTGGATGACAACATTGCTTCTGTCTCTGATTACTGGCATCACAGCGCTTCTCTTCGTTGCAGGACAGTCTACTGGAATGAGTGCCTTGTTCTTCCAGCTATCTGTTACGGGTCCGGCTGTCTGTCTTCTCACTATGATTACTCTGCTATCTAATAACTCCAAAAGTTATGCGTGGTACGCTGGAAAGTGCTATGTTCTAGCTATTGCTAGCTTGCTAGGTGGATTCGCTGTGGAATATTATAAGGCACTCGTGTATTAAGATAGAATGAATGGCTCAAATGTAGAAAGACGATCATGATGGGATCATATGCATTATGTTTCTTCATACTAAAGACCAGTTGAGTGTGACAATGGGCATTAATGGCTGTACTGTCAATATTGAGCAGAAGGCAAGGAGAAGGAAATAAATAGAAATAAGTTCTTATTAACTATCGCATTTTTACTATTGCTTCTCGTGAACAATACTTATGGTACTCATGCTAATAAAACCATCGATGCACCAATCACTGGGGCGAGGTCGAACTACTTGTAATCTAATGTTTTGTTCTATCAACTAAAATTCCACTCACTAAACGCTAAAGCTATACAACAAACAATGTACATCTCTAACTTAACCAAGCAATATCTTTCGCAGTAGGTCTCTTCAAAATATTGAGCAAATCGCAATGTAAGCCCTTTTCAGTTAATAAGTAGTGCAGTCGAATAGCAGTCATAGGCGTTCCTCCAAGGTCGAACAGCGTCAGATCAGGTGTAATCTCTGTCAAAGGTATTCCCAGCGCCTCAGAGAAGATACCGCAAACCTCAGCAATTCTACTCTTGAAAGCAGGCATAGCCAGCAAGGGATTAATGTGCTTGACGGTTTGGAACGAGGAGAGGATCTCAGCCGGCGCTAAACCAGAAACAAGACCCTTGATTACTATAGGCATGTAGGAAATAATAGCTGCCATCTGCGACGGAGAGATATTGGAAGCATTGTACTCAATTCCGCAGTGCAATCCGTCTCGTTGTTCGCTAAACTCCAGCTGCAGTGGGAACTTGGCCCCTCGGGCTCGGATAGGTTTGCTTAAGATGTGAGCTCCGGGTATCTTGAGAGTGTGCTCCAAGGCATCCGACTGCCAGTGATAAATCACCATGACATCAAAGAGAGACTTCTTATCCTTTGCCAGCTGTAGAATCTCAGCATAAGGTATCTGGTTCTCAGTTGCACGATTAACTTCTGTCGTAATGTCGTTAATGAGGCGTGTAGAGTCGGCCATGTTATCTTCGTTGAGAGCAAAGCGTACTGGAAGTCGGTCAAGGAATAGCCCCATTAAGCTTCCCGAGCCAGGCTCGTCTCTGCTCATATACGGAATGCCAAGCGTGATATCGGTGTTATTGAACACCGCTGAAACTGTAAGCGCGGTTGTAGCCAGGGCTAGTCGTTGTGAAAAGCCCGCACTATCTGTGGTTGGTATAACGAAAGATTGGTAGCCAGGTATTTCGGTGTCAAGAGTTTGCGTCTCGAGGTTGTCCAAAAACTCAATAGACTGTATACCCTCAACTCGATTCTTCCAGAACTCGCGCTTAGCCTTGAATTCAGGTGTCGTAGGTAGCTTGCTATTCTGCTGAAGCCACTGAGTCCATTCAATATAGTTACCCTTGTAAGAACTAGCATCTCCGTTCTGTTCATCGGGAGTGATACCATTAACTGCTGACTGGTATTCATCACTGACTTCTTGTAGCAAAATGGCAAGAGAGGCTTTGTCTGTGATTATATGATGAGTGATGAGTGAGAGCGAAGTCGTCATTTTCGAATTCTCATCTTCTTGGGTCCAGATGACCACTCGAATCAGTTGATCCTTGGCTAGATCAAATGGCTTATCAATCAACGACTGGAATTCCTTGGAATCTAACGCGCCTCCAGTAAAAACCAGCGGTTCAGTAACTTCGTCGCTGATCAAGCGAAACAATAGCCCATTTTCGAGGACATAGCGGGCCCGAAGAATTGGGTGTCTCTGGATCACGGAGACCACAGCACGCTTTAGCAATGTAGCGTCCACATCGCCTTCGATGATAAACTGAAATGCGGTGTTGAGAAGAGATTTGGTGGTAGTCACGGTATGCCAAACATATAACTCTTCTTCCAATTCTGATGGTACTTGGGGTGCAGCCAGACTTGTTGGAGTAGATAGGTTGGACAAGAAGGATCTGAAAGTAGTGAGTCCATCTTGTAGATCTCCTTGAGACTTGTATCCGTCAATGGCTTGCGCGAGGCCAGATAAGACCCTTTCTCTAATCAGAAGTGGCATGGGGATATGATAGCCAATAGACTCAGAAATCAGCCGAGCCGCCTTGATAGCTAACAAAGAATTTCCGCCAATAGCCAAAAAGTCATCGTCTCTAGTGATGCGTACTTTATTATCGTCTTCGAAGTTGAGAATCTGGCTCCAGACTTGTGCAATAATCTTTTCAGTTGGCGTTGACGGGGCATCTCCCTGGTCTTTGTACTCAGTGGCCAGCAACTGAAGTGCTTTCCTGTCGATCTTGAGGTTTGATGACTGTGGCAGAGACTCGAACGCCATGACTTGAGCAGGACAAGCATAAGCTGGCAGTAATGTCTTCAATTTCCGAGAGACTGCCGAAGTATCAACGGTGCTTGGTGTAATGAAAGCAACAATGCGGATACCGTCAACAACAATGGCAGCGGCACGCTGTATGGCGGAATCAGCTCGTACGAGAGCTCTTTCAATCTCCTCCATTTCGATTCGGAATCCTCGCACTTTCACTTGGTTGTCAATGCGACCCACATAGGCGACTTTCATGTCTTCTGTCCAACAACCCAAATCTCCTGTCTTGTACATAAATTTGCCAGGGGAGAAGGGGTTTGGCAAAAACGCAGCCTTGGTTTGGTTAGGCAAGTTCCAGTACCCACGGGTCATTTGTTCTCCAGAAAGATAGATTTCTCCTGTGATTCCTGGAGGAACAAGACACTGGTGGTGGTCCAACAGATAAAGATCCAAATGAGGGACGGCTTTACCGATAGTTACTTTGTCGCCGGGAAGAAGTTCAGTCCCAGTTGATATAGGAGCGCACTATTCACATCAAGTTAATTAGATCGCTGATTTATTCCACAGAAGCAGTGATAGAGTATATAGCTTCGATATCTTACCTCACTCGGTCCGTAAAAGTTGAATAAGCGCTTGTGCGACCACGCATCAGCAAGACTTTGAGGCACAGCTTCTCCAGCAAGACCAATAGTGTCAAGATTTGGGTACTCTCCCGGTGATAAAGCTACCAGAAGCGAAGGGGTGGAATGCGCTGCATCAACCCGTTTGAGATGACCCAGCGGATCGTTGGGGTCCTTTAAGACCAGTGTACCGCCATAGCAAATTGTACCAAAGATTTCAACCAGAACCACGTCAAACCCTATTGAAACAATCAGTCAGAAAATTGATCTTTCACACTATTCGTTTTATCTTTGTTATACAAAACTCACCTAGAGCGTAGACTTGGCCATTGCGACGACCAGGCCCAGAGAAGAGACGCGTAGGCTCATGGTCGATGACCATGAGAAGGCTGTGATTGTGCAACGCAACACCTACATCACGATGTTAGCCCTGATAATGTAGTGTCTGTGATATGTCATACCTTTTGGGATTCCAGTGGAACCTGAAGTGAAAACAAGATAAATGACGTCCTTTGGCTTTGAGATGGTCTCGAGTTGTTGTGGTTGTGTCTCGCAGGATGCAACAAACTCTTCGGAAACTATGACGTGCTTCTCTGATGTATTATGGATTACTCGCGCACAATTTTCGTTCGCGGCAATATAAATCGAAGCGCCACTCTGTTCTGTGATGATTTTGATGCGCGCTGCTGGGAGATTCACATCGATTGCGCAACAAATGCAGCCTGCTTTGAGCACCGCTAAGATTGCCACAACCCAGTGAAGAGAGCCATCAGTAAGAATGCCAACAACACTCCCTGGCTTTGTGATGGATCGCAGGTGATTAGCTAGCTTATTGGCGGCCTCGTCTAGTTCCCGATAAGTCATTGAACCGCGCGTAGACTCCAAAGCTCTCAAATCTGGCCATTTCGCGGCAGAAGCCTCAAATGCGTCTTTGATGGTATCATAGCCTTGGTAATTGCCAACTCGGCCTCTTGGCGGATTCAATAAGTTATGTCTTTCTTCTCCTGTGATAATCTTGTCTCGAACATCCTGGGTCAGAGTATTCTTATTATCGAGTAGCCCTTGGATTGCACTCTTGAAATGGCTCAACAGGCCTGTGATACTCCGCTCAGTATATCGCAAACCGTCGTATAAGATACGGGCACGAAGGCTGCCATCGTCTTCTGCTTCAAGTAGCAAAGAGATGCCAAACTCCATCATGTCATCGCGCTCAATGCTCCAGGGCTCTGGGAGTGCCTCGCAAGCTCCTCCCAGCGTTGGAAGATCGTATTCCATGACCACAATGGTCTGGAATGCATTGGCTATTCTATCTGCTGGCAGTTTGGCCACAGTCTTGTCAGAAGACCATTGGAACTCCAGCATCTTCAAAAGCTGACTCTGTGTAGCTGAAAGCATTTCCGCCACAGTCTGTTCCTCCTTGAACTCTAAAGGAAATGGCAATGTGTTAAGGAGTGGTCCAGCTACTCGATCGACATTCATGGTATCAATGTTTCTTCCAGAAAACACTGCGCCAAATGCCACCCGATCAGTGAAGCTGTAGTTTGATAGAACCAGGCCCCATGCTGCGTAGATCATCGTTGCTGGTGTAATTCGCCGAAGACGTGCTTTAGACTCCAACTCATCTGGTGTAAAGCTGAGGTTCAATTGAAGGCTTTTAGACCAGTCAGCAGCTGGGGTATCGGCGGGAGGCCTTGGCAGAGTCAACTGTGGCTGCGTTAAACTATCCTCCAGGAGGGCATCCCAGAATGCGTTGCCTTGGGCATCTTCCTGCAGCCGCGCTTGAGTCTTGGCAATGCTGATGAACTGTGGAGGGTCTGGGAGAGATTTGCCGTCCAAGGCCAGTCGAAGCTCTTCTAATATCACACTGAATGACCAACCATCCGCTATACTGTGATGTACAAGAGATAAGAGCGTAGAGCCGATGTTAGGAACGGTGATGAGTCGGTAAGCAGAGATGGGCACGAATGTATCTCCGTGCTCAATGTAGGAGATTTTCTTGCGCATCTCTTGGGAGCGGGCCTGGATAACGCTTTGCAATTGATCTTTTGTTGTCTCCTCATTGCCCCAGTCAAGGTTAAGCTCTGGGTGCACCTCTTGTAATTGATCCTTCAGATTAAATGTAGTGCGAAAAATTGAGTGCCGCTCAATGACGCGGTGCCATGCAGACTGGAATCTGCTTCCACTCAACGTTTTGCCTGTGTGAGGTAAAGTGATCCGTAGTAGCATATAATTCACAGTAGGATTTCGAAGTCCTGCTTGAATCATCTTAGCTTGGAGAGTCGACAAAGGCCCTGTGGTAGGGGTCTGCGCTTGATCTGCTGCATCTCCTTCTTCCTCTTCAAGCTCCTCTATGGCATCATGAATGGCAGCTAGATCTGGGAGGTCAAAGAGCATACTAAGTCGCACGTGAAAGCCTTTTGTTCGTAAAAAGGATAAGACTTTCAGCCCTGCCAGTGAGTTTCCACCCAGTTCCGCAAAGGAACTGTTATTTGTTATGTCTGACAGAGGAATCGATGTAGCAAAGGAGAGCGCAGCCTTCAATACATCCATCTTTGAAGCGGTATCAGAAATGCCTTGCAATGAACCACCATCCACTGCTTGCGAGCTTTCAGCGTCTAGCAACGCTTGTAGAGCCCGATTATCGGCTTTGCCATTGGGAGTGAGAGGGAGAAATTCCACTGCGCGAATCAAATCTGGTATAATAAAAGCGTCGTATTCCAGAGATAGGCCCTTTCGCAAAGCAACGCCGTCAACGGTTTCCGGCGTTACAAAGGATACCAATCGGCCGCGATACATGAAAGCTGTAGCCGCCATGACATTGGGGCTATTGCTGAGCATGGGGATCACCTGGGCATCAAGGTTGATAAGAAATCCACGGTTTTTGACAAAGCTGTCCTTTCGACCAGCGAATTCCAGTCCGTGATCTGTAAATCGGCCAAAGTCTCCAGTCCGATAAATTCTTTCGCCTTGCCAGAACACAAACTTTTCGGCTGTGAGCGCTTCATTTTCGTAATAGCCCCTAGCCAAACCCGGACCTGTTAAGCAGATTTCTCCGTAATCAGACTCCGCATCTCCATCAAGCAATAATACACGTCCGTTCGACATTGGACGTCCCAGAGTGATCGGCTTATCGGCATGGAGTCGTGCCACAAGCGAAGCAATGGTGGTTTCTGTTGGCCCATAGAAATTGTAGATGGTAGAAGTCGGTAACGATTCTGCCCATTTACGAACCAACGCAATGGGTGGCGCTTCTCCACCAAGCACAATAGTCCGCAGCTTGGAACAAGTCGTTGGATCTTGTATCGTTTGTAGAACAGACGGTGTGCACGCTATAATAGTACAAAGCGTCACAGTATGTAAGAAATCAGAGGTGGTTGCAATTCTCAGCTCAGCGCCATTGCAGATAGTCGACATGATGGCACCGGTTGCAGCATCGAACGCAGGCGAGAAGATGAGCATAACAGTATCGTCTGGTGTTGCGTTCAGATTAAAGGGAGTCTCCTCTCCGCCTTGCTGGACATAGTTCAAGAGTGCGCTGTGTGGAATCATGACGCCTTTTGGGGTAGATGTCGTGCCTGACGTGAAGATAATGTAGGCCAGATCAGTAGACTGAATTCTTTTCCACGGGTGATCATCATTCCCTTGCCAGCGTCGCTCTACGTCTGACACAAAGGCTTCCTCAATCTGAGTGTGCGAAATCTCTTCATAGTCAGGATATTCGTCTGTGCAAGTATTTAACACAACTCGGGCGGATACTCGCTTCAATGTTGACTGGATTCGATCTTCGCTCCAAGATTCTATATCAATGGGGATATACGAAGCACCCGCCTTAAGAACACCTAAGAAGCAGGCCACCATTTCCGGGCCTCTCTGCGCCAAAACAGGAATCTTATCTCCATGTTTAACCTTCTTCTCAGACAAAAGCCATGCAATATGAGTTGCTGCGTTATCGAGCTCTGAGTATGTGACTGTTCTATCTCCAAAAGAGATGGCAATGTGGTCTGGCTGCCTCTGTGCCCACTGCTCGACAAGATCACATACTGTTGTAGGCTTTGTGACGGCTTGATCAGTGGAGCCCGCCATCTTGTCTGTTGTTTCAGTGTGGCTACAGAATTGACAGGAAAGTATTGAAATGAAAGAAAACGACAAAGCCGTATAAAATGAGAATGAGAATGCAAAGCAGAAGAAATATACCGGTTATCTACAACATAAGCACGGGATGTAAAGCAATACAGTCAATTATAGAACATCCCGTAGACAAACATGAGTTCCATATCCGTATTTTACCGGCAGTAAATCAGCCATATTGGGCTTACTCGAAACTAGCTGCCGCACTTTAATTGCCCAGGGACCAAAACCAGTTCGCTACTGTTATTCCATAATCGGAATTATTAAATATCTCATTGTGCATGTCAGATTCTCAACCTGGTTACTTTATTTCATTAAAACGCTTATTATTACCTTTTATTGCTTTTAACTAAAAAGTATTATTCTACTTAAAATGGATCACATTTTCAATTATTTTACATCTTAAACATGACTATTTTCAACATTCACACCGTGGTCAAGCTATTCCATCGGCGAATTACCTCTTCTAGTAATACTTTCGGCGACTATTCCATAGCCTTCCCGTCTTACATGATGGCGCCATTACTATACTCGCTGTACTTTGTACGTACTATGCCTCATCTGCAATTCTGCCTCATTCCTCTTTTGTAACTGAATACGACATGGCAGCAACCAACAGCAACCAGCCTCCCTTTCACTTCTCCATCCTTTTTTCCCCGTCTCCCATTTATCTGTTTTGCTTGAAGTCTGGATGAGAAGCTGTATTCTCTGCAGCTGCATTGTGCAACTACGCCAAGCCAGAGTAAGCAAAAATGTCAAAGGAAGAGACAGAAGGCTCTGTTCCACCAGAGGTTGTCACCACTGGTGAGAACATAGACTCTGAAGGGGGTAGTGACCCAGCAAAGCAAGAATGGAAAATCTCGAAGCGCACGCTATTCGTCTTCATTACCATCTGTGTCTTGACCCTCATGGTGGCTTTAGATAGCACATCCATTGGTGTGGCATTGCCTGTGAGTAGAGAATAGTACATTGTAACGAAAGACAAACTTAGCTGACCATGAAACCCGAAATCCCATTCGACAGACGATTTCTAGGGCTCTTCATAGTTCTGGAATCGAGACGTTTTGGGCTGGTACTGGATTTCTGCTGTGCGCGACAGGTATGTCATTACTTTTGATTCCCCATCTATCTCGATCTATGATTCACTGGACCCTGTAATTAACTCATTTGATCGTGTACAGTATTCCAACCAAACTTTGTTTCCTTTTCCAACATTTTTGGCCGTCGACCTGTCTTCATCGTTGCCATCATCTTCTTCCTCGTTGGAGCGATAGTTGCTGGTGTCTCAAAGAAGGTTAGCCAGCTGTTAGTCGGCCGATGCATTCAAGGTATTGGAGGCGGTGGCATCTCGGCCATCACTGAGGTTCTCATTGCCGACTTGGTGCCAATGCGGTATCGAGGACAATATTACGGTCTGATGAATGCCATGTGGAGTGTGGGATCCGTGACTGGCCCGATTATTGGAGGCGCATTTGCTGGTGACGCATCATGGGTAAGCAACAATACAACTCATGCACTTTGATCTGTTCATCGGATAGCTGACATTTGTTGGCATCGTACTAGAGATGGATATTTTACATCAACTTCCCTTTCATCGGCATAGGCATTTTCTGTGTCGTCGTCTTCATGAATCTTCATTTTGTCCCAACCTCATTGGCCGAGAAGCTTCGTCGAATCGATTACGTTGGTTCAGTTGTGTTCATCGCGAGCACGACGTCTTTCCTTATTCCATTGACATGGGGCGGTGTCCTGTATAGCTGGGATTCGTGGAGAACATTGGTCCCCCTGATTATTGGTATCGCCGGTATCGCCCTATTCGTCGCCTACGAGGCATTCATCGCCCCTAATCCAATCATTCCGATCGAACTATTCAACAACCGCACTGCTGGAGTCTCGTATTTCAGCTCTGCACTCTCGGGCCTGCTTGTGTGGTGTATTGTCTACTACATGCCGCTGTACTTTCAGGCTGTGAAGGAATACACTCCGGTCTTGACTGGTGTATGTCTCTTCCCGCAGACTTTCACCGTGGCACCTGCTGGTGCTTTCGCTGGAGCGATCATTACGAAGACTGGCAGATATCGTTGGTCTACCTGGTCAGGTTGGGCTCTTGCAACTCTTGGCTTGGGGTTGCTCTGCATTCTGAGGCCAGGCACGAGCATACCTGGATGGATTTTCTTGAACTTAGTCTCGGGTGTTGGCCTCGGGTTTCTCTTCCCTTCGGTAGCTACAGCTATCCAAGCTGCTACCGCTCCAGAGAATGTTCCTATGGCTTTGGCCCTGTTCAGCTTCTTCCGATCGCTCGGCCAAGCTGTGGGGGTGGCTATTGGAGGAGTGGTTTTCCAGAACCGCATGGTTGCCAACCTGCGCCAATATCCTCATCTTGCTGCAAACGCGACAGCTTATGGTGCGGACGCGGCAGGCCTGGTTGACATCATCAAGGCAATGCCCGATGGCCAAGATAAGCACGATATCAAGGTTGCTTTCGTAGACAGTCTGCGTATTGTCTGGGCAGTGTGCTGTGCCCTGGCTGGAGTCGGCCTCCTGCTAAGTCTGCTCGTTCAGAAGTATGATATCAACCAGGAACTCAGCGGTGATCAGGGAATCATTGAAAAAGATCATCCCCAACCCCCCAGAGAAAACACAGAGGAGATTTGAATCTCTTAGAATCGGAAACCAGACATAGCATTTCTTTGCTTGATCGCAACTTTAACATCCCGACTCACCCAAAACAGCATTCAACTTGAGATTTAAGCGTGGGAAATGGCGCATGTATTTACTACTCGAGAAATATATATGATAGTAAACAGTACTTTGCTGTAATGGCGAGGGAAACGATTTCAACTGCGAGTATATTGGAAAACTTGATACATTTATTTACATTTGTGTATAAATAGACTAATTTTTAGTAATTCCATCTACTCTTAACTTCTCACTTAATTTTTTGAAGGCGCTGCTCGCTTGATAGCTTTATCCATAAGTGCCACCGTCTCCTTGAAAACCAACTCCGGCTGTTCAATGTGAGGGAAATGCGTATCTCCTTTAGCGTGAGTATATGTGAACCATTCCGGGTGCTTTTGCTGAAAGTCTTGATGGAGCTTTGCATATTCGTCGCTACCAGGCTGACTGTAAACGTGGTGGACCAAAGGCGGGTCATTCAGTGCTTCAAGCCTCTTCAATGGAGAGCCCCAGGTTCTGTATGCTGCTTCAACCGTCCTCCCGGATCGGGCCCAGGTCTCGTAGCCAAAGCCTCCAATGGCGGTAAGGCATTGATACTGAATGTTTGCATTCTGGTTACCACCAAGCCAGCTCTTGAAGAACGCTACGGTCGTCTGGCGCCAAGTGTCTTTCCCCTGTAGGGCTTTCAGCGCTCCGTAAAACTGAGGGGAAGCTTCGACCGCTAGATGGTCCAGGATCAAGATTGCTAGCAAGCGCTCACGGCCCGCAATCTCAGCCAAGTTCATTGCTGCCCAGTTTCCGTGGGACGCTGCAAGAACAATAAACTGATCGACGCCTAGCGTATCCAGCAGAGCCAGGGCATCCCGGGCATGGTCGTCGAACCCAAAGTCTTCGACGTTGTCACGGTTAGGCCCATGGCCTCTGAAGCAGATGCTAATAACACGATAATGCTCCATCAGATATGACGTGACATAGGAATATCCTCGGTGGTCGGAATTCCATCCGGAGAACGTCACAATCGCAGGCCCGTCGTGAGCAAAGCCATAGTCTGTAAACGCAATCTCTTGGCCATTGATGGTCTTGGTGTAAGGGAATGCATCTGCCAAAAAGTGTGGCTGAGCCATAGTGAGAAGAATGATGATTTGTCGTTTGGTATAATACTAGTTGCTTTCCGACTGTATCCTCTGGTTATTGGTTCCGACGTCTTTAATAGGAATTATTTACAAATACTCGCAACTTTACTGGCAGCAGGGTGACATAAGCTTTCTACATTTCTTTAATTCCGAGCACTATAACTATAGCATGACAATGGGCTGATTAGCGCAGCAATAAGACAATGAGGACCGTCGTGGATGTGTTCTAGTGCCCAGTACTTACCATACTTAGGCGCCGACAGCACTACAATATTCCCCGTAGTCTTGAGACAATAAGCGCCGATTGCCATCTCTCCAGCTTCTTTTTGCGTCTTCCCCACATAGCTCTTGTCAGCAGTTAGCCCTAGGCCTACATACTTACAGCATAGGCTGAAATACCCAGCAACTCATAGAAGAGATATGCCCAAGCTGGTGTTTTCAACTGGCGGTGTTTGTGTATCATCATGAAACATGTAATGACATAGAAAAAAAGAAAGTTTATGTATGAGTATTAAAGAAACTATGTACAATAAAAGACCATGCAAAAACAACTGTAAACCATGGTATAAACGTAGTATACAGAAAAATCACTGTTGCAATATAGTGGATCAATCCTTCTTGTTTTCAGTGGTACATCAGCTTATTTAATTTACACGTGGCTAACGATAGAAAATCCGCCTCAGCCCCTGCATAAGATACCCAGGCTTGTTCGGCGGGAAACATCAATATTTGCAATGCAGTTTTTGGTATTAGCTGACAAGCTACAGCTTTGCTGTGACTGGGGTGTAAATTTTGAGCCGACAGTCATGCATGGATGGCGCATCCTTGCCAGGTTGCTTACAGGCCTCTCTTCCTACGATCCTAATAAAACCCCCAAGGTCAAAATTTTGCTCAACCTAGCTGTCTCATATCGTACTCTGAGTGGAATTTGTTGAAGCATTATCCAAGTGCATCACCATGATATTTCAACTGTACGAGTCATCTCCCGGCCTTCTGGCTGTGGGAGTTGTATTATCGTTGGCTACTGTGGCTGTTTTCACTATCCGGTTATGGGGTGAATTCGTTGGAAATGTTAGTATTCGATCAACACTAAAACGAACATCATGATATGCCGCCATCTCTACGTTTGTTAGTAGCTAACTTTGGTTCCATTAGGCCATCCTCAACACGTTCAATGGCGGCGTGTTGTCAACGGGACGAGCGGCTCCTGGCCCCAAGTGGCAGTGGCCGAATGGCCAATTTGCAGACAAGTTCTTGAATGGCGCTGCAAGGTCGGAAGAATGGCGAAAATATGGACCAGTTTACAGAGTTTGGGCCGGTCCTAAGCCAGAAATGTAAGCCTCTATTCTTCTTCCCTGATTTTTTCAACACCTCGATCTGCTAGGAAAAGTAAATGGAAACTAACCGCAGAATTATCGTCGTGTATACAGAGTTCTTACGACTCCTGAAGATCTCAAAGTTTTCCATACAGACTCCGATAAACACACCAAGCCTTTGGACGGCAACTTTGGCTGGTTTTTTGACAAAGTTCTGGGACGTTGTGTTGGCCTACTTTCACTTGACGAATGGAAAAATATGCGACGAGTAGTCGATCCCTCATTTACTCATGGTGCTTCAGTCAAACGCATCAGTGTTACTGAATCAGATGCCAGAGCTTTTGTCGAAAACTTGCATACAATTTCGAATGAGGGAGCCGAGATAGCAAAAACCAAAGGCCGGTTTACTGTCCCTGCCATGGCAGCATTCATGAAGTTTCCCTTCATTTTTACAGCTGAGGTGGTGTACGGCAATATGACTGAAGCTGAGAAAGAAGAACTCTGGGAGATTGCAGAGAAGCGTCAGGCACTGTTGCCTTTCTTTTTCAAGGGGAGCTTCTATCGTACTTCATACCTTAAATGGTTTGACCGACCTGCCTACAACCAGCTTCAGGAGTTTTTGGACTCTTGGGCCGAATTCAATACTCGCATGGCTAGATCTCGACGTGAACAAGGCCTTCCGCTTCCGATCGTTACATACTGGGACGAGTATCTTCAAGGAAATATTACTTTGGAACAGGTAAGAGACTCAGCAAAGCTTCTCGACTTGCAAAAAATAAGGAAATACCGCGGATGCTAACCAGCAACACTTATTTAGGTGACACATACTCTGGACGAAATGCTCTTTGCAAACTTGGATGTCACGACCCACGTTCTTACATGGGCCATCACTCTTATTGCCGATCATGAGAATGCTAAGAAGGAGCTTCGAGAAGAAATTGAAGCCCACAAAGATAATCTCCAAGAGTATATCGCCAACGTCAATACTCACCTGCACCGATGTTACTATGAGTCCCTACGGCTGAGGCCAATTGCAGGTAAGTAGTTCGCTCAATGCGTTTCACTCAACAAGAGTTGAATTGCCTAGATCAGGCTAACACGTTTTATTTGCTTAGTCTTCAGCATCGGCGAGAGCGCTCCAAGTGTTAAGAACTTCCGCGGTATACACGTAAAGCCAAACGTAAGTAGACATCCCGAAATCTTTAACATTTGTGAAGTTTTACACGCGTTTTCGAACTTGTTGCTAACATGCGACGACAAAAAATAACAGACTATGGTGCTTGTGGACACATATGCTATCAACGTTCGCAATCCATTCTGGGGTCCCAACAGTGAAGAGTACGACCCTAATCGATTCAAGAACCTCAAATCGACAGATGTAAGTTTTCATGCATTCGATGTAGGCGGCGATATCCATTAACTAGTCCTTTTATTTAGCTACGATACAACCTCTTTGTCTTCGGATTCGGCTACAGAAAATGCTTAGGACAGTACTTGGCAGGACACATGGTGAAAGCTATCCTTGTACACCTGTTCTCTCAGTACGAAGCCAAAATCATCGACGGAAGGAAAGGAAAGGCTGACTATGACATTGATAAAACCACTTGGGTTCCTGTCGCGGATGTCACCGTCGAGCTAACCAAGCTGTAGTAATATTTGGAGCAAGAAAATAGAGCGGCGAATCACTAGCTTTACAGTTTTGAAATAGTTTCTTGGTAGATTTTCTCACAAGATGATGGTAGAGCATTGCTGGATGGCAGTTGTCTAACCAATAACATACACCAACTTCATATTATCTTGCACGTTTCCCACACAGCGCTGTCAGAATCGAAGTCATACTACAGCAGCTTCAAACACTGCTAGTGAACCCTGCCAAATACATAGCTGCCATTACCTCTCATATATTCTAGATTAGATAATCTATATATTTTTTATTCTGTGGAATTCTGTTTGGCTTTTTAATTTCATCATGATTCATGAGAATACATGCCGCAAATTAGTAAACTCATCCCTATAACATCGCTCTTTTCCACCGTAAACAGCACACACAGGGTTCGGTTTGTTTTAAGACTACCCCAGTAGCGGAAATAAGCAAAGTCGCCGATGACGACCAGGGTCTATCCAACAACCAGAAAGCATACCATACTCTCTTCGGTTTAGTATTGTGTATGAGCGGTTACTTTCAATTCTCTCCGATTGGAAACGAATGTTTGTTTGATGCTTACTTTGTACCTGAAAGTAATACGCTGAGGATTAGTGCGCTCCTATAGCTCTTGGCAGGTTGGTGAGTCTTCCATGGCATATTTACAAAATATTTGAGTCTTGTTTTCGATTTCTTCTTTCATCTTATATCTAGTTCACGATAGATGCCTACTAAAAGACAAAATTACATTATTCTTAATTCCTAAAACAACCTATCAATTGCTATCACGACTGCAACAATGCGTTTCCCTCCCCCTCCACGAAGTGATATAGGTTAGCTTGTTTCCTGCAATTATACCCAATCTATTGGTTGCATGAACTAACACTGCTCAAGTATGGAACGGCCTCGCCGCGTTGACAACTGTCAATGGGCACGTCCAATCAACATGGACCAATGAGACAGGCTGGTCTGAGCCAGAGTTTATCCCAGATCCATACCTTCGTGTTCACGGATTGGCACCTGTCTTCAACTATGGTTCGTTGGAACATTGATCTATGCGTGTGCAATGATGTTATATACTAACGAAACCGTATTCAGGCCAAGAGGCATACGAAGGACTCAAGGGTAACACGCCTCTTACCCCTAACGTTGTTGACGCTACCACTCAAGAATATTCAGAATATGTTGAATACTAACACGTGGAACTTATCCAGCCTTTCGCACTCCTGATGACAGGGACATCAACATTGTAAGACCTAATTTCCATGCCATCCGAATGCAGCATTCCGCATCATTGGTCTCTATCCCAGCGGTTCCCGAGGAGCTTTTCATGCGATCTGTGCACCTCGCAGTAGCAAAGAACGCAGAATTCGTACCACCAAACGGTGAAAATGGAATGCTATACATTCGGCCCATTGTTTTCGGTTCCGGGCCTCGTATCTTGCTCAGCCCGACTGATGAATACACCTTTTGCGTCTACGTTACCCCCGCGGCTGCTTACCATGGTATTCAACCGCTTGATGCTTTAATCCTGGAAGATTTTGATCGGGCTGCCCCTCGAGGTACTGGATCTGGCAAGGTTGGGGGCAATTACGCTCCTGTGATGAAATGGGCCGACAAGGCTAAGAGCCAAGGCTATGCCCTCACGCTGCATCTTGACAGCCAAACAAGAAGCGAAATTGATGAGTTTTCCACATCAGGCTTCATTGGCGTCAAGGTGGAAGGTGGAAAGACTGTCATTGTGGTGCCCAATAGCTCAAGTGCCATCAACAGCGCCACATGTGATAGTATTCAACAGTTGGCCCTATCCTTTGATTGGAAAGTCGAGCGCCGGCCTGTAAGTTTCCTCTGCTCTACTCTAAAATAAGGTACATTGTACTAACCATTTTTTTGCTTCTCCAGGTCAAATATGAGGAATTGTCTGAATTCTCAGAGGTCCTGGCTTGCGGAACTGCTGTAACCGTCGTTCCTGTCAAGTCCATTACCCGGGAAATTACAAATGAGAAGTTTGTCTATCAGGACGGAGCTGCAGAGCCTGGACCTGTAGCATCCAAGATTGCCAAGACTGTGGAAGACATCCAGAAAGGCAGAATCGAGGACAAGTTCAGCTGGCTTACAAGAGTCACTGCTGTGTAAGTTATATAGTACGAATGATGGAAGCGCAATTGTATTATAAAAGAGAAAAAGAGGAGCACATATGAATAGAAAGGGTACACTGCATTGTCTCAATACAAGTCCAACATTACATAAATAGCTACTATAATAACTTTGATGACAAGGGAAGTATTTGTAACAATATCACACGCTCAACTATATCGTGCGCTAGCTTGCTCTCTAACCTACTGCAGAGACTGCGGCGCGAAGACATGTCATGGAACTATTAAATCATCTCATTGAGGCTTTCGAATAAAACAATTGCAAATATATGGGTAAAAATACTCTTCGTCTTGTTTCCTATTTGCTGCCAAGTATAGTCAGTTTTTTTAATATGGCCTCCACAATAGCGGCACTCATGATATACTCTAATTTTGTAACATCACGAAGAAAGCTTTGTCTATATCAGCCAGAGGTACTCAATAAAGTTATCTTTGCTAATGCTCCTTCTAGATAATCATTCTATTATAAACGTATTTTTGACCGCAACTTCAGACGATAGAACGTATTGAAAGCACTAACACCATTGTCATGTCCCATTACCCAACTTTTCTCGTTAATCTAAATAACGCTTTTTCAAGATGACCGTGGCTTAAAGCACACGACCGGGCCATCCTTTCTAGCCGACACATGATCTCTGAACTTATACTCAATCGGCGTAATATCTTTCTTCTCCCATCCTGGTTCATTATCCGCTCTTCGGAGATCAAACTCCCAGAGCAGCCGCGCAAAGGTGAGCATAATCTGTGCCAGTGCAAGAGGCTTTCCGACGCAGCTTCTCGATCCAATGGAGAAAGGCATATATGGCTGTCTTGCGGTAGCTGCTCGGACAGTTCCATCCTCGTTGACGGGTCGGAACCACCTGTCAGGATCAAATTTGAGAGGCTCTTTCCAATAGCTGTCGTGGTGGTGAATGCTGTAGATGCCAACCGCAACATCTGTTCCCTCTGGTACATAAGTTCCGTCAATCAAGGCTCCTCCAGTCTCAACTTCTCGCCAAAGAGCAGCACCTCCAGGAGGTGACATCCGAAGAGTTTCATCGATAACAGCACGCAAGTAGGCGCAAGAGTTGAGCTTGGGTCCGAAAACAATCTCATCCAGTGACGAAAAGGTTGTGCGAACTTCTTCAGCTGCCTTACGATAGGTATCTGATGATCCTGTCAGGTAATGTGCTACTCCAGACATGCTTGCAGATGTGGTGTCAGATCCTAGAGAAAATTTCAGCATTAGCTATATCGTTTATCACATAAATTCGCCATGGCATAGAAACGAGACGTCTTACCAGCCACCACAAGCAATGCAGTCTCAGTACTCAATTCAATGGGGGTAAGTTCGGCGCCCGTATCGGGATCTTTGCAATCTTTCAGGAATGAAAAGATGTCCTTTCCATCGGAAAGACCAACAGCTTGGAGTCTCTTCTTGAGAAGCTTTCGGAGGAATCCCACAAATTGATTTCGTCCTATAATTGATGCTGGAAAGAGATATTTATCCAGGTTAAACGAGGTGAGTTTTGATTCTTGTAGCAGCACTCCTAGCCGAACGTTTGACTCTTCAAGAGCGCCGATTGGATAACGATTCTCTGGATTTCGAATAGTGTCAAAATCAGAGTCAAACGAGACTGTGGTCATGGTATCAAAAGCCAAATAATTGACTAAGTACAAATGATCAGTATGCACTACTTTCGGACTTGAGAACGACTGAACCTACAATCCTTCGATATATCTCTGGGACTAGTCCAGCCTTTTTCTGTGGATTCGTTGGCAGCCCTACGTAAATTCTGGCAAAATCTCTCCAAAACTGACTGTACTTTTGGCTCGAATCTGCGAAGGCTGGTCTCAGAGAATGCCTGAGCAACAACGCGGCGCCTGCGAGCATGTTGCACCTTGTTACTGAGGGTAAGAGTATTGGGCGCCTGTTGAGCTAGCACCCTATAGTTTTTGTACTTTTTAACCTTAGAACCATGGCCATAAACATCTAGAATAGATTATCAGCATGAGATAAGTCGCCATTAGCTATGGGGAAAGTATTACCGTAGAGCGCATTTACGTTGTTGACAAGCAGCCTGTTTGGGGCGTATCGAAGATACTCGCCTGTTTCGCTGTTAATCTTCCATGAGATGATACTTGCCTTGAGTCCATAACTAACCATGTTTCTGATGGCAGCGATATATATCCAGATGGATGTCGCCTTTCCATGCATGATAGGCAGAATAAAGGTTTGTGAACTTGGCAAGGAAGGGGCCTGGGTATTTTGCCAGAGGGTGAAAGAGTGCCCTATACACTAAGACATACAGTCCATAAAGTAGCTATTTTGCACAAATCATTTGTCAGTACTAAGCTTGACGATTCTAGCCAAGTTAATGAGAGTAAGGACGCTTTGCTCCATCTCACTTGTACATACCAAACTCGCTAACGAGGCTACTAATGGCCCGCCAATCTTTTTCACCAGAGCTGGCAAATCTGCTGGGAAGTGCAGCCCTCCCAAATCGATGCCTTTGAAATCCATTGGATGCGTAATGCTTCCGCTGTACTTCCCACTAGTTTCCTATACTCGTAGAAAGAAATGGGAACGGAACTAAGTCTGAACCATTTTATTGCCTCCGCTAAACCCTTGACTCGAAATACCCAGAGTAAAACATCTCGCGACTATCTGATGATGCAAGCTGGAAGTTCAGTCTGGCGTCAGCAATACAATGCTCCGACAGCTCCTACGGCCCACAAACTGATCCTCTCGCAGGCTGTAAGCATCGGGATTATAATCGTTTTATTGGAAGCAGTGAATGAATTGAGTAATTCCTCTGTTTCATTTAGACTACCTATATGCTAGTACTTGTCGCCGGTCGGCAGTAACCCTTGAATTTGGAACAAACTGCTTATGTGGGCTGTGCGTCGGCGAGTTTCGTGGGTGCTTCCGACGGAGCCTATTTCGATCGTAGAGACGAACAATCGATCTAGCAGGCCTGGATATTACCCGTAATATTGGAAATAAGCATCAAACTGTTTTCAATACCCTGCCAGTAAGCGCGATTGTGCCCAGGGGTTTAGCGATCGATGGGATTATGTCGATGCTTTAGTGGTTCAGCCGATGGTTTGGTGCTTCAGCCTCAGTCGTGGGGAATTGGAAACAGTAAACAAGAAGAATTTACACGACGTGTAATTTATTTAGCTTCATAGCATATTCTATGTATATATGGCGTTTGAGAACCAGATTCTTTTTCGTCTCCTTTTTTTGAATGCAGCAATTCTTTCAGCCAAGTCCCGGAGGTATATTCCCGTGGTCACTCTTTTTCACCCCTGCATTTACTTAGTCCTCAACGACACTTTTCTCCTCCAAGATGGGTAGCATTCCACAAGATACCGGGCTCAATGAGCAGGCATCGTACGACTTCAACGCCACCATCAATAACAGCCATGTAACTGAATCGGCTGAGCCCATTGCCGTAGTCGGCATGGCCATGCGACTACCTGGCCAAGTCCGCAATGACGAGGAATTCTGGAAACTGCTCGTTGACAAACGGAGCGCTCTCTGCGATGTGCCAGATGATCGTTTCAATGTGGCTGCATTCTCTGATCCCACTGGTAGCAAGTCTGGGACGTTTAAGCCCTCCAAGGCATACTTTCTTCAAGATGTCGATATCAAGCAATTCGACACGTCGGTTTTCCCCCTTTCCAGGACTGAGCTGGAGAGGCTGGACCCCAACCAGAGGCAACTGCTAGAAGTTGCCTATGAGTGCATGGAAAACTCTGGGGCCACCTCATGGCGAGGCAGTAAGATTGGCTGCTATGTTGGTGTCTTTGGTGAAGATTGGGAGGATCTTAATGCAAAGGAGACGCAACACCGAGGAGGATACCGCGTCACAGGTTATTCAGACTTTGTCGTTGGTAACCGAATCTCGTATGAATTTGATCTTCGTGGTCCTAGGTGAGTAACACTATCAGAATATGTCTTCCGGCTTGCGTTACAGAACTAACAATACGGTAGCATGACTATTAAAACTGCTTGTTCTTCGTCTCTGGTTGGCTTGGATATGGCATGTCAAGCCATTAGAAAAGGAGACTGTGATGGCGCTTTAATTTGCGGCGTATCTCTCATTTTCTCGCCTACAATGTACATAGCCCTCAGCGATCAGGGCGTTCTCTCTCCAGGCGGCATTTGCAAGACCTTTGATTCAGCTGCTGATGGTTACGGCCGTGGTGAGGCCGTTAACGCGGTTTACATCAAGAAGCTCAGCCAGGCTTTGAAGGATGGCGATGAGATTCGCGCAGTTATTCGTGGAACTAGCGTCAACACCGATGGTAGAACCAACGGTATGCTCACGCCTAGTCCTGTTGTTCAAGAAGCCTTGATCCGCCAGGCATACCGGCAGGCCGGTATCGAGGATCTGTCAGCGACTGCTTTCTTTGAGTGCCACGGAACTGGCACTCCAGTCGGTGACCCCATCGAGACAACCGCAGTTGCAAGCTGTTTCGGTGAGAAGGGAATTCACATTACATCGGTTAAACCCAATGTTGGCCACTCAGAGGGTGCAGCGGGCATCACAAGTTTGATCAAGGCTATCCTGGCTATTGAGCATCGCCAGGTGCCGCCCAATATCCATTTTAATAACCCCAATCCTAATAGTGAGTCAGCGTACATTAACTCGAGGTTGGACGTATTACTAACGAGTATTCTCTTATAGTTCCATTCAAAGAGGCCAAGCTTAGAGTGCCAGTTGATGTTGAAACTTGGCCACAAGGCCGTGCCGAGCGTGTCAGTGTAAACTCGTTCGGTATTGGCGGTGTCAACGCCCACGTTATCGTCGAGTCTCTGGAAGAGTATGGAAAATCCAACACCCAGTACAGAAACGCCAAGCGCATCAATAGTGTTGCCCCCGAAATTGATGCTCAAACTGGCGATCTCCAGCAGCTGCTTTTGTTGTCATCAAATAGCGAGGCTTCACTTAAGCAGACCATTGAAGCGCACAAGACCTTTGCCGAGACCAC